CACTGCTGCTGCCCGGGGCTGGGCGTGGGATAGAGGATGTGGACCGCCCGCCCGCCTAGTGCTCACATCCACATCCGACGACAGGGCGGGACCGCGTCACAGAGCGCTGCCATCGCCAGACACAATGCCTGTCAGACGTCGCACAGTCGTCGCCCGCTCTCGTGGCCTGCCACCGCCGGTGCAGTCCAGGGCGGATCCGCATCCACTTGCTGGCCGGCCTGCTGCGACCGCGCTGCTGTGCGATGCGGTGGTGCCTGTCCTGTGCTGTCCTGTGCCTGTTCTGTACTGCACCGTCTGCACTATGTACTACAGTATTGCCATCTGCCACTCGCCCTGCGATGCAGTGGGCATCATTCCCGCTGCAGGCGCTTGGGCGCTCTGCATCCTCTTTCGTCCACGCGCGACCTCCAATGGCAGAAACATACGCCGCATCTGCCTCTCCATTGCTCGCCGCTACCACCACACGTGCTCCCTGCGCCTGATCGCATCGTCCAGCGCATCGTCACTCACATCCACTCACAGTATGGCACACCCACGCCCAGCCGAGGTCGCCGTGTCTGCTGCGATGACGGCGAGCAGGCCGACCAGACCAGACCAGGCCAGCAGGCATTCGGGCCACCTCGCTAGCAGACTTCCTCATCAAAGATCGTCGAGTGCAGGCCGCCGCAACTATTGCCCGTGTCGTCGCCCAAGCTCGCCATCCAGGCCGACACCTGCTCACATCTCCTCCTGCCCCCGAGACACGCCTTTCCCATTTGCTCCATCGCGTTCAACGACACCGAAAGCTTAGCGCCTTTTCGCAAAGGTAAAAGCTGCAGCGCGCGCGAGTAAGCTTGTGAGTTTGGCAGAAACGCTGAAAGTGTACTTTTGCGATTGGTAGAATATGCTGCACCTGCTCCACACTAGCGGCGATCCTTCTTGCTGCGACTCTCAACGCTTCCTTGCCTGCCCGTGCTTGGCGCCACACCTTCCCGCTGCTGCTCTGCTGGCTGCTGATCCGGCAGAGCAGGCACGACGACATGATGCACAGCAACTCCGTCCGTCCTCCCGAAGGGCCATATCGCGACACCAGACCAGCCCGCCCGCGCGGGGATCACTCCTGTCGATCGGCGCGAGACGGCCTCGACGGCCGCTACCTGCAAGCTTCATCCGCCCACCTAAACTGAAACAGAGCAAAGTAGGTTATCCAAACCTCGACGACTCCCCAAATTACCAGAGGACCAGCCACGCGACCTCCCGCTGGGTGTTCGTCTCGCTTCGCATGCTTTTTGCTATGAATGGCAATATGGCACCCAGCACCACGCCGCCATCACTGCCGGCGGGCGAACGCACGGTATGTATTCCATGTACTCCTGCTCGAAATAGCTCGGACCCTTCCGACCACCACCATTCGCCCTAGGCCTTGTTGAACTACTCCCAGCTATTGAATCCTGGATTTCCCTCTTGGGCCGCGCATCATGATACACCTCATCTACCCTTCCCACTCTGGGCGTCAGCGTGTTGGGATCTCGACTCCTGCTGAGCAATTACATCGATTCTGGCCAGCGACTCAGAGCGCGTTGCATACCGCAAAGCCTTACCATTTGCTAGCCAAAACTTACGCTTGCGCGCTTGCGAGGGCCGCCTCTGCTTAGCTCACACAATTGCCTTCAACTAGCCTGGAGCCGGATCTCCGGGCTGCCTCGACATCGTTTGAGAGTTTCTCTTTTCGATCAATTCTATTGCACCGCCACCAAGTCTCTCACGCCATCCCTACACTCGAACAAGTCCGGGCGTGGTTGGTCCTTCCAATGGTTTCGAAATTCAAAATGACGGCAGCGATGCGGGCCAATGGTGAGATCCCACGTCCACAATTCTGCAGGTTGTACCCAACCAAACTTCTCCGAGTCGAAAGTAGGTTGTCGTGCAAGATTGTAACAGGCATTGTCCGAACCCTTCGGCTTGTACAACATTAACCTTTCCGTTCCTGTAAACTATGCCCGCAAATAGAACACGCCTGATTCGAAACTTACGAGCCCTTCCACCGCATCGCATCGCTCTCGTTGCGAGCATCATCAAACACGAATAATGATATATCGCCGACGGCCACAAGCCCACAAGAAAAGATTGTTGCTGATCATCTTCAAGTCGATCCGGCTTGTCGATCAATAAACGCTCGGGAGAGCGCCGCGGTCTAATCACTACAAGCTCAAGACGGTTCTAGCTTGGCACCACCAGCGGTGCTAGCACTTCAAGAACATATGCAAGTCGAGAGTCTCAGGGAGACGATCTTTGGAAACGACAACAATGACGCGTTAGGAGGTAGTTGCACGACAGCATCAGCCACACAGCCCGGAATGCGCCGTGTCACCAACTCGAACATGGCCACTTCCAGCATGTGACGGAACATTCGTGTTCGATCTTCGATATCTCAGAAGCTGTGGCAGTCAGGAGTGGCCACTGCTGTACCTGCTTCTGGTAAGCTGCAGTTCCTGTCGTACTTTGGATGATGCGCAGACTCGATCGGCAGGCATCAAGCATGCTGCCCCACTGCTGTTCTCCAGGGCGTCGAAATCACAGCGGCCTCGTATGCAGATGCAGATGAAGCAGAACATCCCTTCGATTATGCGTCATCATAGATCTGGACAAGAGATGGCCAGTTCAACATAGTCGTTGAGCATCACGAAAGGTTCCGACTCCTGACAACGATCATGACTCTGACACAGCACAAGCACCGTAGTCTACGCATCCTCACATTACCCCTCGGCAGGATCCGGCATTTGCCAAGCTCTTCGTTGACAGCTCGTAACTTGAAACAAGACATCCAATCAAGCGAGCAACTGTTGAAGAAACACAGCCACGACGGGTTCGGCGATCGACGTCGTTTTCAGTACAAGCTGCGCGCCCATTTATTTGGATTGTCAAGCTCAATCGCGGTGGGGACCTCCCAGTTACACAAATCCAACCACGACAAGGCTGAAGACAATCCTAGACATGAAACTCTCCGAATTGCAATCGACTGCATAGACGCCCAAGTCCGGAGTTCCGCAAGCACATCAATCTATGGGATCGTTGCCAACGAAACTGAACCTTTGGCGTCTAGACCTCGAGACGCGGGGCTTGTGGGAACCGGACTGCCGGGTCCGCCGTTGTAACTTTGTAGGCGAGTATTCGTCACCGAGGCCAACCGCATGTCAACCAAATCTACCGACAAGACGGCATTGATGAATTGTCATCTATCAATGTTTGCGGTATCGACTGCGCTGCATGACATGAGAAATCGGACGATCGTGTTGATGCGCTTGGTCGACTGCGTGACGCTAGGCAGAAGGAAAGCACTGTTTCCTCGTGAGAAGTGCTCCAACTCCAGTGCAATGGGATCACAAACCCGCATAATATCACAAATTCGAGCACAACGCTTGCCTGGAAGTTGAAACCACCAGCATTAATCATTAAATCCAGCGCAAAGGTAACTTCATTGAGCACTTGATCAGCACTCAAACTAGCTTACCAAATCTCTCCTTAGTCAATTCTCCGAGAAATGCGAAGAAGAATGGCGCAGTCTAATATGAGACTTGGCAACAACCAAGTCTAAGGCTTCATCGACTGAGTCTATGACTTAAAGTTGGGAGGATCACCACTTTGCAATACTGAATCGAACACGCCGCATCATGCTCCGAACATTCATGGAAAAATCGGCTTTCCAGAAGGTATATCTTTTTAACTGACTAGCGGAACTAGGGCAACTTCCGTCATCTTCCGGACGTTGTTCTGCAAATGTGCTCACGACGATGCACAGATGTGACGTGCAGAGCACTAGATCAGCGGCCAGCGGACGTGTCTAGACGGAAGACGTTGGACGTTTGTTGTTAGGTCTTGCGTCACTTAGTCATGGGAATATGACCAACGGTGGTAAGTCTGTGCGTTTTGCCTTCTTAGCGTATAAACTTAAGGAGAAGAGAAGGCTGGAGTGATGGGCTGGGCGACGTCGTTTGGATTTGCTGCACCGGATTAGATATTCGGATGGTTGGAGGTGCGGTGGGCCGAGAGATGGGGTGTGAACGGCCGAGTTCCGAGAGGGGAGGTCGAGTCTCCTGAAGATGTCGTGTTTGTGAGAATGCTTACCACGGCCACGGAGATGGTGGGAGTCGAGTGACCATGAGACATACTCAAAAGCTGAACGAACATGGTTTGCAGCGAAGAACGGCAGTTTCACATTGCTTCCCGAACAATTTCCCATCAACTGCCATTCAATCCATATATCCCATCCTTCTTCTCGGTCCCTTCAGGTCCCACAACTCCATTGCACGAAGTGCCACGAGAAATCTAGAAGAAATATTTGTTACCGCCATCGACACACTGCTACCAGTGCAGGTCAACCAATACCAAAAATATCATACCCTTCCTTGTTCCCGAACCATACCCCTTCTTTCCTCTTTCTCTCTCACAAATGTTGCCCTTTGGCCTACTAATCATTCAACCCACCATCTACTACCCCACTACCTTCTGCTCCACTCTGAATGTCTTCTTCACATGCGAAGAAAGAAACCACGTATCCTAGGACTGCTACGAAAGTCCGCAAAATTGGAGATCTATGATAAGCCGGATAATATCTTCGCATTCGAAGTCCTCGGGACATTCCCGACGTGAGAGGGTTTTCCCTTGTGGTTGCGGATGTAAATGTGCGTTTAAGAGGGAAATGCGACGTTGATTTGTGGCCAGTGACGAGCATTGGGATACTGATGGGCAGGGATGAGGGGGTGGTTGGATTGGCGGGAGCGCAGGGGAGATGGGATGAATGCATGATGAAAATCGTTTTTAAAGGTTTCGTTAATTGCTATGGATGTAGTCGCAGTGAAAGGTACGATGGCAGCACGCTCCATCTGAAGTCCGTCAGTGAACGCCTTTGCCGACAAATTGGTCAACGAACGCCTCCCTTTCCTTCCCAACCGATACGCCATATCTCCTAATCAAGATCGTTCGTGCGGCAGTATTCAATGTCCCTCATTGGGCTCAAACTTGCAAAACGAAGAATGCGGCAGCTAAAATCAGGCAGTCATCGCCATCGAACCCACGTCGACGCAAGACGCCTTCGACGTCTCTCACCAGAGATGTAATCTCTGACGATATTCAGCGATGCTCGTCGAAACAAGGCTCTCAAAAGTAAGTAAGCCGCCGGCAACATTTCGAATGTTGTCGCGGTAAAAAATCGAGCTGTTCAAGAACCTCGACGCCCCTCACATCTTGACGCCAAGCTCCGAATAGAAATGGTTCATCTTGTGCTTCTCGGAGGACTTCTTGCCTGTATTGGGATCATACGTATGGCAGCCTGAGGACGCGGCATTCGGTGGCTGGTTTCTAGTCAGAAGGAAGATCGAAGGCGCAATGAAATGCGTGGGGTGGAGAAGGATTGCTGAAGCGTGGGTGAGGGCTGGGTGTCGACTGGTATGATGAATTGGGTATGTGCTCTGCAAGATCCACTCGCGCCATGGTAACGACAATATAAAGGGTGTGCGGGGTGTGTGGAGCACGAGATCGGATACTCACAGTGTACAGATGCAGACTGATGGCGAAGTCTTCGGGATCTGTGCTCGGGTTGCCGACCGAGTGCAAGCCGAGACGGTCACTCATGTACGTTACTTGGTCCGTGGTGTACCGTGTCTTTCGCATCACGGGTAACTTGCTGGTCGATGAAGCTCTTGGGCATGTGGCTGAACATTTGTGTTCGGTATTGCCGTTCAGTGCAGCACCTTCTGCAGAGTCCAGATCGAGTAATGAAAGATTGGAGTTGGCTTGACATGGGAAGCCATAGAGTGTTTCTTCAAGCGTGCCCTTGAGGACTTTCATGACACAGTGAGCGTTTGCATGATCGTGTACGGGCGATGCCTTGCCAGGCGTCCAGACGAGAATCTACATGTCGATGGTCAGTGGGTGTTGTTGCAGGCTAGTGTGGTGGACTGGAGCGGATGTGCTGGGTGCCTGAACTTTAAGGCACCACAAATATGGCGTGCTCAGAGCTAAACCGCTTTGAACACGCGGGCGAGGACAAAATGCCATCCACTTTCCCACTTCTCTTCCTGTAGACTCACCAAGAGATTCGCTTTGCCGTTCCCTCGATCCACGAGGTTCCTCGTGTATGCCATTTCAGCGTCCGAAAACGCGTACCGGGACCATTCTGACTCATCGGACGAGTATGCCTCCATCGCAGAGACCAAGTCGCCCACTTTGACCGATGCACTGTCGATACCATTGCTCGGACCCAAGATGCGATTGATGTCGCTAACGAGACGCTGGAATTCGTCCTCATGGTCAAGAGATTGTCGTCGGGATAGCTGAGGCTCGGGCGAGCCTCTGGCACTGTCGTGCAGCGACGCGGTCTTCAGCGACCCCGCACTACTAGAGGCCCGTCGTGCTGTGGTAGTCATACTCGATGGCGATGATGGTGAGGTGTCCTGGTCTGGCGGGACGAAATGAAAAGTGGGAAGGTGGGACTACGGCAAGAAGAAAATTTCTGGCGAGCGAGTCTTCTGGCAGTTGGGAAAGGCAGTCGCTTGTGTGCTGCTTGCCAGACTTGTAGGGCGCAAGACAAAAGCCTTACGCAACGTGTTGGCCCACCCCGCATCGACCGGAACGTTCTACCTCGAGGATTCGTGCGCGCATGTGAGCGCTCCAGCTTCCCCGATGGTAGCCGGTCATTGGCCTCCCACTCACCGCACCACTGGCTGGAGCTCGGATTGTCTCATGCACAATTACCTCGCACAGCGCCAGCGTGCGTGGGTGGGAGTAGATCGCATTTGTCCACATGCGATGAGCCGACGGTTTGTGCTGCCCACTGCCTCGTACGGAGTGTTGCTCTGGCAGCAATCAAAAGGTAAGTTGGCGGGCAGACACCGACGTGGGCCCTTGCAAACGGGCTGTCCATTGTGGTTAATCTAGCGACGAGCCGGCGCCAGTAGCTGGTTGAGAACGTATCAGCTTGCACGGGCCTACCCTGAGCCAATTTGCACCCAGTGTCGTCCCGAGAATGTAGCATGTGTTTCGAAGTAATGGCAGCCAACTGCTTATCTCCAAACCTTCGTCTGTCCAGTTTTGCTTCGCTCTGTATATCTCTGTCTTCCATATCTCACGTGACCGAGATTTCTCGGGACTTTCTTCGATTGCCCCACTAATGCGGTCATAGTCGATTTTCTGAGCGAACACCTTCTGTACACCACCACCCACCGCGACAACGACTCACGAGTGCCTCGGCGGCCGAATACGCGAGATCGCGATCAGAAATAGCCCATCATGGCGACGACGCTGGACAAAATCAAGGCCATCGAAGATGAGATGGCCAAGACGCAGAAGAACAAGGCCACATCTTTCCACTTGGGACAATTGAAAGCCAAGCTCGCGAAGCTGAAGAAAGAACTGCTCACGCCGAGCAGCAGTGGAGGAGGTGGTGGTGTGGGTTTCGATGTGGCACGTACAGGAGTGGCATCGGTTGGGTTCATAGGCTTTCCATCTGTGGGAAAGTCGACGTTGATGTCCAGACTGACGGGACAACACTCTGAAGCTGCTGCATATGAGTTCACAACACTCACAACTGTTCCGGGACAGGTCATATACAACGGTGCGAAGATTCAAATCCTGGATTTGCCGGGTATTATTCAAGGAGCCAAGGACGGAAAGGGTAGAGGTCGGCAGGTCATTGCAGTCGCGAAGACTTGTCATTTGATCTTCATTGTCCTCGATGTCAACAAGCCACTTACGGACAAACGTGTTATCGAGAGCGAACTGGAGGGATTTGGCATTCGCATCAACAAGCAGCCACCGAATATCAAGATCACGAAGAAAGAGAAGGGTGGAATATCAATCACCACAACACAAACTTTGAACCACATTACCAACGAGGAAGTCAAAGCTGTGCTCAACGAGTACAGAATGGCCAACTGCGATGTTGCAATCCGTTGCGACGCCACTGTGGACGATTTGATTGATGTGATCGAGGCGAAGAGCCGAGCATATATTCCAGTCATCTATGCATTGAACAAGATTGACGCGATTTCCATCGAGGAACTCGATCTGCTGTACAGGATACCAAACGCTTGTCCAATTTCTTCGGAACACGGCTGGAACATTGACGAGCTACTGGAGCAAATGTGGGAGAAACTGAACCTCCGCAGAGTATACACGAAACCGAAGGGCAAGCTGCCAGACTACACTGCACCTGTCGTGCTGCGTAGCACAGCATGCACGGTGGAAGACTTTTGTAACGCCATCCACAAGACGATCGTGGACCAGTTCCGGATAGCAATTGTTTATGGCCGCAGTGTGAAGCACCAACCGCAACGAGTGGGCCTCAGCCACGAACTCGCAGACGAGGACATTATCACGATCATCAAGAAATAATTCGACGGTTTTCGCTTTACGCGCAAGGAAGACTGCCATGTCTGCTCTGCAAGCAGCGGTGTGGCGACGAGCCTCAAGCGATCCGGCTTGGCATGTCACGTTGAGGTTTTGGTCTGCGTCAGCTCAAAGCTGGTACGTAACGCCGACACGTCGATCACCACGCAGTCCTGGACCACATGAGGCCGGAGCAAGGAAAGGGATGGAGGACAGTCGGTAGGAACGACAATGAGTTGAAGGAAGCTGTCCCAACTATGCTGTGCATCGTTCAGATCATCATGACCGAAACGAGTACATGAATACACCAACCTCGAGAAGAACAGTCTTTCCTGCTCTCTCTGGCTGGCTCATGATCTCCCAAACACCCATTTACATCACGACTGCAATATGGTCGTCCATATCTGGACAGTGGTCAGCATCGCAAACACTCTCTCGGCATCAAAGGTGTGCTTACATTTGGAGATATCTCCGAGGAAACAGGCGGCGACGATACTGATCGCACCAAAAGCGATAGACACCAGATAGACGTAGATGTACGAATCCGCATATGCGGTTTGCCCCGCAAGGACAACTCCGTCGTACGCTCCAGGTACTCCGGCAATACCGGGAATGTCGTTGATTCTCTCGATCAAAGAGACTCCAGTCAGTTGAATGGCTTCCGCGATGAGGGTCTCGTTGGTGATGTTCAGGCGGGTCATCATGTAGCCCCCAATGTCTAATGATTTTAGCAGATGCCACCTCCAAGTCAAGTAAGCATTGTCGAACGTGGGTGTGCTTACATTCGACAGCTTTTGTCTCGAATTTGTGGACGAAGACATTGTAGTAGACGCAGTAGCCGATACTACCGCCGATAACTCGAATCGCGAGGGTCAAAGCGGCGACGGTAGCAATCAAGTCATCGGGACAGATGATGGTGGTGATACTGCAAGGAGTCATCGTCAGCTGCACGCAACAACCTTCCAGACGACAAGCAAACTCACATCGAAGCCGGAACCACAATTCCTCCGATACCAAGTCCTGCGATGAACAGCAGACCCCAGATTGTATTCAAATTGTCAACTCGAGCACAGGCCAGCGATCCACAACCGGCGGTCATCAGAATCGAAGAAGCGATCATCAGTTCCTTATTATGTCCTCGAAAAACGGAAAGCAGCCAGAGAACGATAAATGCTCCACCCAGGACACCAAAACTTACGGGCAAGCCGCGAATTCCAACTCCGACGGGGTCGTGGCCGTAGACGTTGAAGGCTTGGGTTGGCCAGAACATTTGGACGGAGAAGAAGTTCGCGCCGCTGCGATGCATGTCAGCACACACGGAGATTCTGATGATCGAGGCAGAGCTGTCGAGATTGATGAGACTTACGAGATGAAAGTGATAACGAGCGTCATGGCTAAGGTTCGAGGGTCTTGTCGGAGGCGTTTGGGGAACATGGGATAGGGGGCGTAGTAGCTTTCCCATATCAGGAAGGCTATGATCATGACGACGCCGAGGATGAGGGGGGCGAGGACGTGGGCGCTGTCCCAGTCGTACTGAAGAGGGAGATGTCAGTGTGAGCCGACCGGATTTCTGGATGACAATTCCGGGGCTTACCTGGTATCCGCCCCATTGCTATAGGAGAAGAGCGAGGAGTCAGCAAGCTGGTTCTGCGAAGAAAATGACGGATTTGCAGAACTGTGGATGACGTTGTTTCGACTCACCATTCCCATCATGAACATAAGCATTCCGCCCACGGACAAGATACCACCGACATAATCAATCTGCCGGAGGACTTCTCGGGTCGTCATGCCTTGAGAGTTGACTCGTGGCGGAGGGTGGTAGAAGACCACGACCATCACCTGCCATAAATGTTAACATTAGCTCAAAGCCAGTCGAATATCTCCGCTCACTCTCTAAACTTACAAGTCCGATGAACGCCCACAACCCACAAATGAGACCGAGCCATCTCCAGTCGGCATAGTATGCGATGAGCTGGCCGCTGAGATTATTGGTCAACATCGTGGATCCCTGGAGGACGAAGCAGTGGCAAAACTTACTACAACACCGACGGCAAGAAAGGCAAAATCGAAAAGATCAGTACAGCAACATACTTCCCTCTCTTCGAAGTCGGTGCCAATTCGGATGTCGCAGCCAGTGCAGTAAGCTCGTTAATTCCAGCTCCTACTCCAGCGAAAACCATGCCGCAGATGAAGTAATTCACTGGTAATTATATCAGCACATTCATCTCACATGCCTCTCGTCGACACAGACGAAACGAGAAGTGTGGGAAACTCACTATCATGCACAGTCGAACAAATAATCATCGCAATCACCAGCAATGAAGCCCCAATAATCGAAACCCAACGTCGTCCAATCAAATCGGAAATCGAACCGACAAACGGACACACTGCAGCGAGGGAGAGGAGGTTGGCGAGGACGAACCAGACCCAGCGGTCGAGACCTCCGATGTCACGGTAGATGTAAGGTGGGACGGCGCCGAAGAGGTAGACGGGGATTTGGCTGCCGGTCCAGACTGTGCAAGTAAGGCGGGAGAGTTAGTGAATGGCAGAGGAGAGCGAGGGGGCCGGGGGAGGGAGGTGGGACGTACGGAATGCCATGGCTACGAGGGACATCATTCGGGCGAAAGACTGTTGTTGTGGGAGTTTGGTTAGCCTGCGGTTCGGTTTGATGTGTTTCGTACGTGGAGGAAATAGTCCCGTTTGCTGTTGTACTTTATCGGAGGAGACGTACCATCTTGCCTATAGGCTCATGATCAACTCCATCGCCATAGGTGCGGAGACCATTCTTCTCGTAGTAGTTATCATGGCCGGCAACACGCTCGTTGGTGTGTATCTGTTCGATGTGGGTAATTTCGGCTTTCTCTTCAGTGTTTTGTTGTGCGATGTCTGTTCGGAGAGAAGTCATCAGTACAATACTTCTGCCTGCTCTTGATTGCATTGATTGATGAGGAAGAGTTCGTTGTGATATCCATACCGGATGATGCCTCACTATGTGCAGCAGGATTCTTCTCTGCCATGTTCGTCGTCGTTCTTCTTGTGCTGCTTGTGGATCGAAGATCTCCCAGAACGGTCTCTGTTCGGATTGACGAGATAGATGAAGAAGGCTCGAACAATTGTTCTTCCTATCTATGTATCGCCCCAAGATCACCATCCGGCTATGCACTCCATAGGCGAAAAGAAACAGTCCTAGACAGGCAGTACAAAGCTACCTGCGCATGTCTTGCCCGAGGGAGGCGTTACCCTCTCGTGTCACCGGAACGTAGTTCGATCTATTGTGAGCCCGTCCCAGGGCGTCAACGTGTACTCCACGCGGAGAACCCTGCAAGACGTGCATGAAGGGACCACATTCTAAGGAAAGATCGTATGGGGTAGCTCGGAGTGCATTGCGCTGGTTGGGTGAGGAGAAATAGCAGTGATGCCTATAGGGTACCGATGGCTCGAATACGGTTTGCGATTATGCATTGTTGACGCTGATCATAATGTTTCTGCAATCTCCCAGGATGGAGTGAATTTTCTGCTTGTACTCGTTGTATTCCGATTGCTTTGAAGTGAGACAGTCCACAGGACTACTTCATTCACTTCGTAAACTCGCAAAGCTTCGAACCTTAATTCCTCGCCAACCCAAATAATTCTGCTTAGACGCACAAGCTTACACGCAAGCAAGCTCGCCTATTCTCTCAGATGGCGACCTTATCCTTTCTAGCGCCAAGTCAGCTCCCCGCACAAGCTGTTCTCTAACACTGGTTCTTGCGATCCTTGTTGATGCACGACTGACTCTGGCGGGTCGAGTCGTGTAGGAATTGTTCCGGAAGGTCCGGAGTAGAAGCGGGCTTTCCTTGAAGTATAGTAACATGAACTCGGGAAATACTGTGTAGGATTTATTCCCGTGTCGTCGAATGCGTTTTCTTAGGCTGGGAGTTGTTCTTTGGCTCGCGTTTTGTACGAGACATTAGGATTGGTTACCGGTCAGATGGAGAAGGCTCACGACAGTAACATCGGACGCGAAGGTGCCGTTTCTGTTGACTCTGCTACTGGAAGTCAGACATTCGGACCGCATCGTTGGGACGTCTGCTTTGAACTGGTCGTACTGGCCTTCGTTGCCACACACTTGGTAGTAGGCTTACATTTGAAACTGGGATCATTTATTAACTTTCATTACAGACATCATTATCTTAATCATCACCCTCTTCCACATGTTGAGAGTTCTCAATATGTCGGTGCAGGTCCACGGGAGGCAGATGTTTGTTTCCGACTCTGTGGCTGTGATTCCACTTGTTATAGGCCCACTCGCGGATCTTGCCGAAGTTGCGGCAGGTGTGAACTTGGTCGGAGTCGATGAAGTTCCGGCCATTCTTTCCCATGCCATCCCACCACCGTGTTGGGATGAGGGTGAGGTCGCTGTTGCATTGGATGTTCTGACGTACGATGTCGAGACAGTGGTCTGCAAAGGTCAGTTGCGTGAGACGGCGAGAAGCGTGATTGGCAAACATACCGATGTGGTATTGCTGGAACTTCTTAGATCCATGGTTATGCTCCTTGTAGTAATCCTTGTATAATGCCTTACGAAGCATGTTCACGCAGTGCAAAGTGTGAAGGACGTCGAGGCCGGCGACGTAACCTCCCTTGCGCTTCTCAGTATCTGGATATCTGTAATACTGCTCATAGTCTGGACCCCAGGCTTCGCGAGCCTCACTGTCGTCAATAAGGAAGTATCGATCTGCCTCAGGTTAGCACTGATTACACATGGAGGATCGACTGTCCATCACTCACGCTTAATCAGCTTGTTCCACGCGCGATCCATGGCCTTGGTGGGAGTGCCAGTGTAGAGCACCTGATCTTCGGCATAATCAAAGAATGGCTCGCCTTCATCGTCGAATTGTGCCGATCCGGTGAAGCGCACTTGCTCCAGCTCCGCTGCAGGTCGCGCTGGCTTGAATTCTGTGCTGTACGTTTGTGCTTTCTGTCCTTGCCTTGAGGTCACCAGTATATTCGTCGCATACCCGAGAAAGAAGACCGCTATCGTGATCAAAACGGCCAGAGCAATGTGGAGTTTGTTGAAGTTGGAAGTCCTCGTCTGCCTCAGCTCGCCTTTGCACCACCGACAGCCCTCAGCAGACCGCTCTCCACCATCTTCCGAACTGCCAACATCCTTCTCATCCTCAAATTCATCCTCCAGCCTAAGCGGTGCATATTGTTCATCTGATGGAGCCATGGTGAAGTCCAGCAGACCAGGTCAGGGTAGCAGAAACAAAACCAAAACTGGAGGGGACGTTGCGCTCTTCTATGGCTGAGGCGATGGCTTTCTGTGGCTTCGGATTGACTCTCCGCAAAAGCCGGTCCTTCGCAATTATACCTGTACCCGTATAACACTTTGCTGTAATTTGCAATGTTTTAGGGCGTCGCATGCGCAACACAGTGACAGCTCTGCCAGCCCGTGGCTCTGCCGCAGCCTTTTACCCAATCTTCACAGCCTCAGTGCGACACGCACGCCCCATGTCTTGGGGAACAGATGGAGCTTGCTTTGTTGACGTGCCCAGACGCGCCAATAGTGGCGGAGGCAGAGACTCAGTTGTACCAGTGGAGCTAACCATGATGTGATTGGTCGGATAGCGAGGTCTCACAGGCCCCGACTCCTGTTTTGCCGTTGAACGTTTGCTGCTGCTCCGCGGACACGAACATGAACAGGAGGAGAAAGATGTCGATGTGCATTCGACACGTTTCAGACGACCGCAGCAGGTTGGCAAATCCGTCTTGGCGATTCCTGGTTGATTGTGATGAAAGTGACAGAAGTCTCGACCCTCGCCCGCTGTCTGTAACGGCCTCGAGGCAGCGAAGCCTGGTCTGAATTGTCTGCGCTTATGACGATGTTGGACTGGGCATGCCTGTCCCAGACATGGGAGAGCACATTGCTGGCATGCTCCAGCCATTGCATCCGTTGCTTGCGATACGATCTCGTGGGACTGATAGCCATACTGTGTGAGGATTTCGGGCGCGATGTGTAAGCTGCTAAACGCGCGACAGAACCAGAAATTGGAGACGCACGCGAACCTCAGACACAAGCTCAACCGGAAGTCTCGGGAGCCTCAGGAGCACATGGACAGATGATCTCAGCGTACACAGCGCACACAGACGTGTATAGACGCACGAGTGCACCACCGATTGATGCATCGAGCACTACCTATAGCGCTTTGCGCTCGAGTGTTGCATTTACTTGCCATTGGAAGCTTTAATGGCACGCTTCCTCGTCTTCATTCGATCATGCGTTCATCCAAGCCTCCAATCATCATCTCCCCTACACGGACGGTTACCAGGTTCAGTCTCAATCAGGTACTCCCGGATCGGGTGACGGTCGTGCCCAGGTGGTAGTGGAAGCGAATACAGCCACTCCGTATACGGAGGACCCCAGAAAATCGTTGTCCTCACGATGTAAAGAAGGAGTTTTGAAAAAGCCGATGCTCTCATAGTCCTTTGCCAGAAGAGTGACAATGACAGGCTCATATTCTCCAAGAATACAGTGTTCTTGCAAGATGTTGAGCTTCGCTCGACAGTAAGGATGAACTTGTTTGGACGTTGCTGCAGTCTTCTCCCTTAAGTCTTCGAGAGTCTCGGCGCAGGCGCGCGTGCGTGTCTCCCATTCCGCAGGGAAGTTGGACCAGATCCAGGGTGTTAAGTAGCAACATCCTTCTGGTGTATCAGCATCGTGGGTGCCGTGAAGCTAGCCAGTGGAACAGAGTCATTCACGTACCATCACCGCTGCCGCAAGTCGAACTTGAATAGTCCAGCCGGATCGCCGTATGATAACAATAGTCGTCACGCTGGAGATACATCAGGGATGAGTTAACGGACTCAAGTTCGTAATCATCGCCTGAGGTGGGCATGAAGAACTTCAGGCATGCCCTGCGCTTCGAATGAACAAAACCCCTTTCTGTGCAGTCCGCTTTTGCATTTGGGCCAGGAGGCTCATTGGAAGCAAGCTGGAACTGGACAGCGAGTATTCCGCAGTCGGCCAATTCCTCTAGATCGGCAGCCCACTCAGACATCTCAGCACTGAACTATCCGATCGTGAGTGTTCGGTGGAACGTTGCGCAGCTCACATCTGGAACGTCCGGCAAAGGCAGGAGACGTATAGTTGCACCTACTGGCTTGTCACAGTAAGGAGCCTCTGCAAGCTCGCCGCGTATGTATTCGCGTTGGTAATGCATCAAGTCCTCCCAGTCGAAGCCGTCCTTGAATCCTGGCACCGTGGGCTGGAAAGGCGATCCCCTCATCGAGTCTGCATCGCTCGTGGCCGTTGGGTTATTTGCCGTTAAGCTCTCCGAGTTCGCGTCACTCATGGCGGCGTCGTTTATGGCGGTGTCGCTTCCGGAGTCTGCGTCGCTCATGGCGGTGTCGCTCATGATTGTGAAAAAGTATGCCTGTCGATGTTGCTCTCACGGAGTCGAGAGCACTCCGCAGAGAGGACGCTGGGCGCCAGGCATTGTCCTTCGGGGTGCATCCGCGCAGGCGCCGATGCAAGAGCACCTCGCGTGAGTATGGCAACAGCGTGGGAGCGTCTCCAGGAAGGCGGAGTCGTTCCAGACCAGCATTGGAGAAGTGGCCCAGAGCGTCAATTCAGTGGATTCGTGAAGCGTGACTGTATTTCATATCTCATCCGGCGCCTGTCCGAGAAAGGCTTGCTCAGTCCGACAGAGACCGGCTCAGCACCTCACTTCGCTGACCCCGTGTAGCGTGATGTGGTAGTATTCCGTATCTCCCGGAACCAGCGCGAAATACGAATTTGCGGCCGCTATCCAAATGCTCCAAACGCAGTTTTCGCCAGAGCGCCTTCGCTAATATCACAAATCCCTATTCATGAGCGATCATGCATGGCTTCCTCTTAGCGCATCTCAATATGCCTCGAAAGAACGTCTACCCATCGCCATCTGTTGCTCAGTACCAATTCGCGCGACCTCTCCCACCACCAGCCGGAATGCCTTGCTCCCTCATAATCCTCGCCACCCGCTCTTGCTCACTCCAATGGGCGTACTCTCCCTTCCACACACCCCACCAGTAACCCAGATCTTCCGCAACCCCCGCAGGCCCTCTCGTATACACCCACAAAGCCAGACCCATCAGCCCACCGTAGAACACTACGCCCTTGATGAATCTGAACCACCACAAGACCGTGCCCACTACCATGTTCAGGATCTTGAGACTGATGAATATGATGACCAGGAGGAGAGCGACTGTCGCGAGGTCGGGTTTCGTGGATACGCTGTCAATTGCTGCGTTCAGGACTGGTCGGAAGAGTGAGGTCGCTTGATTGAAGTAGAAGAAGAGTGAGCGGATGTAGGACCAGTATGTGGGGTTCGAAGCGAAGACGGGAATCTGTTGGCGAAGGCCTTCGGGAAGGTTGTGGCCATGTTGTTCGTAGAGGTAGTTTGCCCAATCTACAGGCAGTAGTTAGAATGAAGTTGTGCGAGATTGATGAGAATGCCAGATGCTTACCCTGGACGTTTTCCATCTTTGCGGCGTCTTCCAGATTACGCTCGACTGGCTTGTTGCGACGAGACGCTCCAGTGGGCGATTCAATGTAGTTGCGGTGTAAGTTGCAAGCTGTTTGTCTTGAGAGTCTGCCAAATTGAAAGCTCAAGTGGGTCGCGTCTCGTGACGCGCATCCTTGTCGCGCATGTGAATCGGCCAATTTCGCTCCGACTCCGTTTGCTCCATCAACACAACATGTCCAGTCATTCTGTCGGTCAGCGTTTGAGCTTGAAAGGTCAAATATGCACTGTGCAGTATGTTGGTGCCGTCCAGAACAAGTCCGGAGAGTGGCTCGGAGTTGAGTGGGACGATTCCGCTCGCGGCAAGCACAATGGAACACATGAAGGCGTGAAATATTTTGAATGTAAGTTAAGTCAATACCTCGAGACCAAAGCGGCTGCGGGTGCGATGGCACTGGCTCTACTCGAATTGCAGGGCAGTCTTCCTTAGCTCACATCAGGCAGAAGCAGATCACCCACAACCGCTTCATTTCTCAGGCCAAATCAGCCATGGGACAAATCGAGGACTTTCTATCAAGCACTCCACGAGAAGTATATGTCTGATGATGCCTCGAACCTTGGAGCGACTGTCTACTTCTCCACCAAACAAGCCGAGGAAGTTGGCTTCCAAAAGTTTGCGAAACGACAAGCTGCTCTGCAAGGCATCCATGTGCTGATTCTCGATCGGATGCGTATACGACACACTGGCAACGACGAAGACGATAATATCAGAGAGACCTGCAAAGACATCACTGAGCTGGATCTCACCAGCAACCTATTCGAGAGTCTCGATGAGATCCTCAATTTGATCGCATTACTCCCGAAGCTGGCTCATCTAATACTGGATGGGAACAGATTCAGCGTGGACTCCGACAAGAACGCAAGAGATTTTCCTCGCATCTCATCGCTAAGTCTGTCGAATACCTTACTGCATCGAAGTGGAGAGCTATTAGCTCCGATTGTAGCACGTCGCTTCTCGCGTATAAAGACGCTCATGATAGCCAACGACGAGCTCTCAGACGCCGAGTCGCTCTCGCCCACAGATCTGCCTGAAACTCTCACATCGTTGGATCTCTCGAACAACTACTTCATGAACCTCGCTGATCTTCGACAACTGAGCTCATGCAGCCATTTGACGAAGGTCAATCTAGAGAAGTGCCAAATCAAGAGTGCAGGTCAGAAAGGCAGTTCCATCAGCAGCTCGATATTGGACCTCGATCTGGCCCACAATGCGATTAATTCCTGGGACGTGGTTGACGCTCTGCCAAGCGCATTTCCCGCGATGAAGCAGCTTCGCACCACTGGCAACCCAATCTACAAAGATATGAAATCGGCCCTGGGAAAGCCATTGATGGCAGAAGACGGTTACATGCTTACGATTGCGCGCCTGCCCCAGCTCGACATGCTGAATTACAGCAAGATTACCGAAAAAGAGAGACTGAACGCTGAGAAGTACTATCTCAACGAGATCACGGCGGAGCTAGCAGGTACAGCTCCAGAGAAGCGGGCGGAAGTATTGAGAAGGCATTCGAGGTGGAATGCGCTGTGTGAAGAATATGGCGAGCCTTCGATACCAGGTAAGTGCATAATGCTTGGCCCCTTTTCATTCTTGAGAAGCATCATAGACTAATGTTTCGCAGACCAGCCCAAAGCAGATTCCATCGATCCACGAAGTCTAGCTGCTAGACTTGTGGATGTTACTTTCGTCTTCACAGACCGCCCAGAATGGCAAATTAGGATACCAAAGTCTTTCAATATCTACTCTGTTCTCGGCATGGTTGGCAAGAAGCTCGGTGTGATGCCGCTGGAGTTGCGGTTGATCTGGGAGACTGGTGAACGAGATCCGATCGGCCTCAATCAAGATCAGACTGGCATTGAAGAGTGGGACTCAGATGAGGAAGAAGACGGCGATGAGACCAGGGTCGCAGAGCATTCAGTGGCAAGAGAAGTGGAACTTGTTGCTGGCACTAGGACTTTGGGAACATATATCGAAGGGCGTGAAGCGCGTGTGAGGGTGGAGCGCAAGTCATGACAATCTTGGACGTAATGTCTACAATGGCGCTATGCAAGTTACCTTCTCCAGCAATGTCGAACCATCCCCTCGGACAGTCTATACAGCAAGCTGCTCCCTCTCAGCACTACACGTCTGCTGCCACTGCTTAACTAACTTCCGCCTGTAAGGCCACGAATCCAGCATACTTTGACTATCCCAGGTCTCGATCTCCATCGCCATCGCATCGTTCAGCACAAGCACTTCCTCCGGCTGCTTCGGACTCTGATCGACTGCCTCAAATTCACTCTCCTCGACACGGCTCTCCAACCACTCCAACACCTTTGGATTCGCAGAAGTCGATGGGACTCTTGGCCCAGCCAACGAGCTCAGATCACTTCCCGATCCACATCTACCATCTGACCTATGATTGGGATAGATCCCTGACCAATATTCATCTGGAGCGACAGAGATAATCTCAACATCCGCTTCGATGGCAGCTTTCCTCGCGGAGCGGAGGTCATCTTCTGCTTCGAGGAGCTCATGAGTGATCTCGTGATTGCGAACAAACCAGCGTCTGTCGAAGGCTTCTTTGTCGACATCGATAGGCTCGAGACCCTCGAGGGTACGCTCTCGATTGAATTCCTTTTCCTGCCATTGGTTATACTCTTTGAAGTGAAACTCCTTCTGCGCAGTATTGAGTCTATCGCCTGCAAGTCGGAGTCGTTTTCGCCGGTCCTGGGTGAATTGCTCCTCGGGTGTCGGTGTGGGAGGTTTGTTCATGAGGGTATTTTGCGATGTGTCGAGGGCTGGTGGCGGTGCCACAGGGTGGACTTCGTCCGGCTGAAGGTTCTTCTGTCGTTGTGCAAAGAACTTTTGATATTGCTCCTGAAGATCGAAGCGCTCTATCGGCATCTCTTCTTCGTTGCTTTCTTCGGCAAGCGCCGCTACCACGTATGCTTCGTCAAGGTGCACCATCACTGCAGAATGTGCCTCTATCAGATAGTCCTTGATTGTTTCGAGCCTTGTTCGTAGCTCTCGTTCCCGCGGACCTAGATTCTCGCACATCTCTTGCAGAACCTCAAGCTCTCCCTGTAGCCTTTTGGCTTCTTCCTCACTTGGCTTGATGTTCAGGTCCGCATCTCCCTTCAATTTCAGCTCATGGCTTCTGATCTCGATATCCAGCGTTTCCCGAAAGTCTCTCATCTCCGCCAGCTGCTTTCGAATGTAGCGTTCCATTTTCTTGTGATGCCGTTGCAGTTTAATGGCTCCCTTGATATTCTGCGACATCTTAAATGGCACCATCAAAGCAGCTGAGTCCTTCACGCCATCGTCAATGAACACGTATCGACAAGGCCCCTGGGTGTAATCTTGCTCCAACTCCTCGGGCACGAACTCGATATATTTCTGAGCACGAAGCGCCTCTTCGGCAGCATAGACGTCCTCCACAGCATCTTCGTGCCTCTGGATGTTGTTCTCATAATGTTCGTTAATTTCGTCACTGTCGTCCGAGTACCGCCGTACTGAAGGTTCTCGCGTTTCCGGATAGTCAGCTGGTCCGCCCTCGACACCAGACTCCTCAGCCGCATGACTATGTGCTTGCGGATCCTGGTGTCCATCATGTTGCGCCCGGATATCTTCAGCTCCAGTCGACTGCTCGTTGGCAACTTCTGTAGCACCGGAAGCGGATGCGTTTTGTGAACTCGTCCTGAGAAAACGAGGAAGATAATCACTTTTGATGATTCTGCCTTGTATCTTGTGCGCTATCGCAGCAATGTCCTCGATGGCCATGATGATAGACTTCCAGCGTGTCGCCGTCGCTTTCTTGGGCTGCCTTTTCGCGACTCTGGAGCGAACAAAGCTATGCTTTAAGGAGTGATGTTGGGTGTTGCAGCTCTCCATGACGTGCAGTCTCAACTTGTCTTAGAGAATTGTGAGTCGGTTCTGGACAAAGGCCACTCGATGCAGTAGCCAAGCTGGCTTTGTTTTGTTGTCGTTGGTCGAGTTTCGTGCCTTCGCTCGCTTTCTTCACTGTTGCAAGCGAAGTCGCGCCTGACAGAAACAACAAAGAATAGTGTACCGCATTGGTAGACCTATTCTCCGCTGCGAAGTCTCATTGAAGACTGGTGGTTTTCAGTTGGGTTGTCTTCACCACGATCTCGTAGTGCATTACCAGTATTATATTTGTTTGCACCACTTCTGGCGGACAGCCATAAAAAGTCGCAAGCCGTCCGGTGGTAACGGATATAGCAAACCGAACAAGCCTGGTTCCACAGCCTACACACATCAACATGCCTCAGATTCTCGCAGCTAAGCCAGCAATTGCTGTCGCAACGTCCTCAAATGCAGCCCCAGCTCCAGCAACAGCTTCCAACATCAATTATGCAGCGGCAGCGTGATCCAGAGTCCAATTCGCCACAGCTTCTACAACACCTGGGCCGGTTGACGATTCCCCCGGTGCGACTCCAACCATGCAGACAATCGCTCAACGCCAGCCTCCCCCTCGTTTGTGTCCTTCCTTAGCACCCGCACCTTCATATGCAAGCGTCAAAACTCGCTTCGCCCTATCCCAGCATCCAAACGACATACAAGTGTATGCAAACAACGTACACCCGAAGCAGCACAAAGGTTGGTTCGACAACGGAGTTTGTGTGATATCGCCGTACCATCGAGGCACCTTCAGGCAGGGGGACGTGGTATCGGTGCCCTTCCATATCTCCAACACGAATCCAAATGTCGACAAGTATCAAAAGGAGATCCAGATCACCGCACAGGGCCCAGTGTACTCAAAGCGCCGGATGTTCATCGTGTTGTTCAAAGCCCGGGAGGCGATGTTCTGTCTGCCATTGTACTCTTGGCAGCAAGTCGGTATCGAGAAGAAGGACGACGGAAGAGGCCTTATAGATGACCATGTCTGCGTTGTCAACTACAAAGACAGAGTCGAGTTCGAAACGAGCGGGAAGGTAACAGGTCCTCATCGGCCCTTGTTCTTCGTGCACAGGCATGAAAACAGTGTCGGACTTACTGAATCAACAACATGTCAGCTTGTGGGAGGCCAGTGGATCAGTTACAACGAGGACATTGGAAAGGTGGGGCGAATAACCGAGAGCAGTTACGACCAGATGCTGCTTGCCTGGAATGAGAGGTGCAAGGCATGCTGGCGTGACAAGGACCCATTTCCGGTGGAAGGCGAGCAAGATTACCGTTTCGTCAAGCTGAATGCTCCCCCGTCGAGAATCGGAGGTCAGTCGCAGGCACCTTCGCGCCGCTCACAGGATCCCTATCACTCACAGGCTCCTTCAGGCTACTCACAGACGCCTTCTCGCCCCTCATATGCATCTTCGCGCAACTCTCACGCAGCTTCACGCGGCAGTATGGCCGGCAGCAACTGGAGAAGAGGCAAAACAGACCATTGGTCACCTGGTCAGCCTTATTAGAAGTCGTGGGTAGTTTCAGTGTAACCAATTTCGCAAGAGCTCCTTGTCGCGTTCCGGAAGTGAATGATTCAATATCGCCCAGGCGTTTCGCGGAAAGCTAGTCTCGCATGATGAGGTCCTATCTCCGACTGAGTGCTCGCTCCTGAGGAGCATCGCATGGTCTTGAAATGCCTTGCACATGCTTAGAGCTTGGTATTAGCTGCGCGGCTTGATATGGAACTGTGAAATTGATCTTGATGTCGATGGAAACTGTTAAGGCTGAACGAGAAGGAGAAGGTGCTCTGCTGACGCCAAGATCTCTCCGCGCACGAGCGTCACTTCCCACGACTGCTCACATGCACCTTTGCTCTCACACTGTCAAGAAAAATTATACTCCCAAAGAGTCTTTCGACACTTCATCATCGCTTTGCTTCAATCTCTTCCATCTAGCTACAGCAAGCCACAAATGCCTCTAGAGCACAATGACCAACGCCCAGCTTCCTCGCATAGCCTCTCGCTTTCCGTACATCAAGTTTCCACCACTCACAACCCACACTTCACTCCAACCACGCGAAACCACTACATCACAACCCAGATTATCGCTGAAGTCCGCTCTATAAGCCCTCCTCCAAAAACGAGAGATTAACGCCCCGAACTGCATTTATAGGTAGGAGCTTACATCACGCAGTAGTGTGCATCGCATTGCCCAATGACTTTTCGAAACAAGCGAAGTGATCGGCCGCCAAGCAGGAACGGGCTGCTGCGAGCAGAAGCTGAAGCGGCACCACGTTCACGCGGAGTTGATCAAGATAGGATAGAACGTGGTTTGCACGATGTAACCATGTTGATCTTCTGCTGTGAGGTTTTGAAGAAGAAAGGAAGGTGGGTGATGGAGAGGGAATGGATATGTATATAAGGAAGCGTGTGTTCGATTGACACGACTTACTTCCATTCAGCATAAGCACTTACCCAGCATATTTTAAAGATGTTTGCCAACACGATCCTGTCAGCAGCTCTCTTGCTCGCCAGCACGGCGTCAGCGCAGTACCAGTATGGCACTTGCACAGCCAATGGACAGAACGGCGTCTGCATCTCCACGTCCGAATGCGGCGGAACATCCACAGCAGGCGCATGCCCAGGTCCATCGAACATTCAGTGTTGCACGTACGGCCGCTGCTCTCGAAGCGGTGTAAGCGGAACCTGCGAGTCCGCGTCCACATGCACAGGAAGCAGGTAAGAGGCCCATGCACAGCTTCATGGAGGACGCATCTGACGAGTTGATAATAGGTACTCTGGCCTGTGTCCTGGCTCTTCAGACATCCAATGCTGCATCCGAAGCGGTGGCGGTGGAGGTGGAGGCAACTGTCCACCTTCAGCTCAAGCCAACATCATCGACTTTATCAAATCCTTTGAAGGCTTCCGAGGCAGTCCATACCAAGATGTTGCAGGCAAATGGACAGTCGGCTACGGCCATCTTTGCTCTCAGTCAACTCGCTGCCAAGAACTGGGCTATTCGTATCCAATCTCCGAGGCTCAAGGCGAGCAGCTTCTGGCACGCGATGTGAGGCAATTCGAAGTCTGTATCGGACAACAGGTCGGTGGTGTTCGACTCAACGCCAACCAGTATGGTGCGTTGGTTTCCTGGGCGTTCAACGTTGGATGCGGGAATACGGCATCTTCGACATTGGTGAAGAGGCTCAATGCTGGAGAAAATCCAAACACAGTTGCTGCGGAAGAGTTGCCAAAGTGGAACAAGGCCGGTGGACAGCCTGTGGCTGGCTTGACAAGGCGTCGTGCTGAGGAAGTTCAGTTGTTCCAGACAGCCACCAGCACTGGTGCTCTGCCATGCTAGATGAGGTAGCATCAGCAAATAACAACATTCTTCGTCGAATAACCTGTTTCACTATCAGACCTTGTGTGATGTCGCCAGGCAACAACGTTGAGATCGTGATGATGTCCGACGTTGAGTTGCCATGCGCATGAATTGTGCAAGTTTCCTGACCTGTCGTGCTGTCGTGTTAAACAAGTGGAGCATGTGATAGAGTCGGAGTAACTACGGGATAGCATCACTGTGACGCGAATCTGTCTGGCACGACGGGTAAACAACAAGAAGTGCGCAGGTGTCGTAGGAAATGTGTCTGCTGATAGAGAATCCCTCGCTATGCCGGCCAATAAGTGGAGCTCTATGATGGAACAGGTTGTGCAATCTCCAAAGCTGTTGTCCAAGTTTTGTACATGTGCCCGCATTCTGACGTAGCGCAATGTGTATGCACTGCGAACGCATGCAATGAGTACGCGCAGTGCAGTATTGAGGGGTGATGCCATAGGACGACCTCATTGCCCCGCTGTGAAACGTGAGGGTGTTCGTGCTCCATATGTTGGCATATAAGAGAGTGCTGCCACAGAGGGACATTCGATTTCCAGATCACCTCGAAAGCAATCAACTCAACTCAACGAACAACTTCAAATCACATCAATCGCCAAAATGTCCGACAGCTTGTGAGTAGCTTCTTTCAGCAGGCCGCAAACGTGTCCTGACGGGTACCAGGCGCCAGTCCAACACCGACAAGGCAGCTTCTGCCTTGAAGCCAGACAGCCAGAAGTCCACCACCGAGCAGCTTGGTGACAAGGCCAAGGGCGCTGGAGATTCTGTCGCAGGCAAGGCTCAGCCAGGTGAGTTATCCAATCCTGTGTTCATCATCGATAGGCGTCTGACAATTTCATGCAGAGGAGGAGAAGTCCGCCACGCAGAAGGCGACTGACAGTGTCTCGTCCGCCGGCGAGAGCGTCAAGGACACTCTTGGACTGGGAGACAGTGAGTTGCCCACGGACAGCAACACCTTCTCTTGAACACTGCTAATGCATTTTGCAGAGAAGCAGTAGAGCAAGAGCTCTGATCATGTCTCCTCTCTTCCATGCAGATGAAGAAGACTTATTTGGACCCACAGCACCTTGTATCTGAGATACCATTGATCAAGTCATGATTTATGCCGTAGCATAGTGCCGCAATGAAAGTGTAGCCGCTACAATGCTCTTGCCGATTTCATCCGCATCTCTTCCCTTGGCTTCTCTTGCTTGAGCGTGTACGTGGCAGCATGCTGTCACACATGTCTGATGGTAGGACTGTAATCGACGAGGTGTTGTTGCGACGGCGTCTGGCTTGTCGTGGGTCGATAGACATGTGTTCCTGGTTAGGACCTTAGTCCTGTTCAGGATCTGGGAAGGAGAATTTGTGCCTCAGGCTTTTCATCCGACGGGTGAGCTCATGATCGACGCTGCCGGAAAATAAATGTTCAGGACGAGCCTCCGAAGACGTCCGATGTTCTGAGCCCATTGCGGACCATTGGGACAGTCGTCAGCTCTTGATCGTCACGCCTGCATCTACCGTTCCATTTCTTCTTCTTGCGCATTCTCCATCATGTTTCGTACAGCGTTCCCGCGTGCAGTCGCAGAGGTCCGACTCTCCAAAGCACTACCAGCGAAGCTCCCCACTAGAAGCTTGACAGCTCGACCGCTCGGTGCATCCAGCAACACCACCTCCGCTCTCCCACGATCGATACGAACTTTCGCCAGCACCGCCAGAATGGGTAGAATAGAAAGCGATGCCTTCGGCGAGCTCGAAGTGCCCGATGACAAGTACTGGGGAGCGCAGACGCAGCGCTCGCTCGGCAACTTCAATATCAACCAGCCACAGGATCGCATGCCACCGCCGATTGTGCGCGCATTCGGTGTGCTGAAGGGCGCTGCGGCGACGGTGAACATGAAGTTTGGATTGGACCCCAAGCTTGGAAAGGCTATTCAGCAAGCAGCCAGCGAGGTCGCATCGCTGAAGCTAGTGGACCACTTTCCACTGGTTGTATGGCAGACTGGATCAGGCACACAATCAAACATGAATGCGAACGAAGTCATCTCGAACCGCGCAATCGAGATCCTGGGCGGCAAGATGGGCAGCAAGAAGCCTGTGCACCCCAACGACCATGTCAACATGTCCGCATCCTCCAACGATACATTCCCTACGGTTATGCATATTGCCGCGGTCCTGGACTTCGAAGAATCTCTCCTGCCAGCTCTCAAGAACCTGAAAGAAGCAATGAAGCACAAGGCCGCACAATTCGAGAACATCATCAAGATTGGACGAACACACTTGCAAGATGCCACTCCTTTGACACTCGGCCAGGAGTTCTCCGGCTATGTCACCCAACTCGAATACGGCATTGAGCGCGTAGAATCCGCCCTCCCACGTCTCCGCCTCCTCGCCCAAGGAGGAACCGCAGTCGGCACCGGCCTCAACACCTTCGAAGGCTTCGCCGAAGACATCGCAACCGAAGTAACCAACCTCACCGGCCACCAATTCTACACGGCTCCCAACAAATTCGAAGCCCTCGCCGCGCACGACGCCATCGTCGAAGCCCACGGCCACCTCAACACCCTCGCCACCTCTCTCTACAAAATCGCCCAAGACATCCGCTTCCTGGGCTCAGGTCCCCGCTGCGGTCTAGGAGAACTCAACCTCCCCGAAAACGAACCCGGCTCCTCCATCATGCCCGGAAAAGTCAACCCCACCCAATGCGAATCCCTCACCATGATCTGCTGCCAAGTCTTCGGTAACCAAGCCGCCACAACTTTCGCAGGCTCACAAGGAAATTTCGAACTCAACGTCTTCAAACCCGTCATGATCCGTAACCTCCTCCATTCTTCTCGCCTTCTCGCCGATGGAATGAACAGTTTCCGAGAGAATTTGGTTCTCGGTCTCGAAGCCAACGAGGAACGTATTGCAACTATTATGAAGGAGAGTTTGATGTTGGTTACATGTTTGAACCCTGTGATTGGATATGATATGGCGTCCAAGGTGGCCAAGAATGCGCACAAGAAGGGTATTTCATTGAAGGAAAGTGCGATGGAATTGAAGGCTTTGTCGGAGGAGAAGTTTGATGAGGTTGTCAGGCCTGAGCTTATGATTGCGCCAAAGGCGAAGAAATAGACGCCATGCCATGTTTAGCGGAAAAAGAATGTGCAGGAAAATGTGTACAATGAGACGATATTTATTCGATGAAAGCATTTCGTTGTACATTTTCAAATCTTCACCTCCCTGTCGTTGCTGCCACTCCGTGGAGCTCTTGTCAATAGGCTGACAAGTAGTACAGCGGAGGTCAATTGGTGGCAGAGAATAGAACAATGTCACGATGTGTAAAAGCGGAACCGAAATGATGAACTCGATCTGGCATACCACTACGTCTGTCTAACCGTAACCCAGCACACCGCATTCGCATCGCATCGCATTCGCACAGCCCATCCATCCCATTCATCCAATCCATACTGATGATAAGTCTATGCAATGATCCGGAACGCGAATAAGAAAATCAAAGGCGAAGCGAAAAGAAGTTTCAAAAAAGCAATCTGGGTATCGTCACCACTTTGGAACCAAACAAGTAGAAAGAAGCAGAAGCAGCCACAAGAAAGAAGTTTCCAGTCCGCTATGCCATTATTAATGCAGGTTGGGGGTGATGATGGTGATGATGCATGCTGAATGGTCCTCGTTCGCCGTGGAAATCAAATGGCTCATGCAGGAGTGCAGAAAGGAGGTGATGCAGTAGCAGTAAGCCCTCGATTTCGAAGTGCACAGCAGCAGGAAGCTGGAAGTGTCGTTCTGGTAGCTGTTTGATGATGCGGATGGTTGCTCTTTCGAACGATGTGATTTGAGCGGAGGGGACCGCGAGCGGCCATCCTAGCAACGCCATATGATGATGTGGTTGCACAACCGTGATGCAGTGGTAGAAGTAGCGCCAACGCCGCCCCAGGGATAAATAATGCTGGCTTGACTGGTTAAGCCTCGAGCGGTGCAAGGATCTACAAGAAGTGTGAAGATATGTTGTATTTTCGTCCTGACCGAGTTGTCGGGTTTAAGGTCACATCGAACATTTTCGGGTCAGGAGGTTTCATTGGTAACCGTAGTTCTGGGGCATACTGTTACCAGGAGTGGACCAGCCTTGCATGCCTGGTTGTTGGCCTGGCCCAGATTGTGTCTGAGCTCCCATATACTGGCTCGGGTTCGGCTGATACATGCTTCGGTTCATGCCTGCATAAGCAGAGTTCATCTGGCCGAGCTGTTGGGCATAACTCATGTTTTGGCCCGGCATCTGCGGCGGCGGCATTTGCGAGTGATGCTGCTGTTGCGGCTGTTGACCATAGCCAGACATGTGTGATTGCCCCAGCGGCGAGGGTTGCGGCTGAGGAGGAGGCCACATCTGGTTCGATGGGTAGCCGGGGTAAGACGGAGTCTGCCTGTGTTGAGCTCCGACAGCCATGGAAGGCGAGCCATGATGAATTTGACCAGGTGCACCTCGATGCATAGTTTGAACAGGAGAAGGCATTGCATTCTGCTGGTTCTGGTAAGCCGAATATGCCTGAGGGATGTCCTGCCGCTGCTGCGCCACCGATTGTGGGCTTTGTAGATTTTGCGGTGCCACGGTGCTTGCTCCAGCTTGCTCGGTCTGAGCCTCTGTCGTCTGCTGCTCGTGGGGCCGCTCCCAGTAATTCGTCAGATAAGACGACCTGTGTTGGCGTTGCGCGGCCAATTGCTTATTGAAATCCGCTGCGCCCACGGCTTGCGTCATGATCTCTGCCGGTGCGCTCGATCTGGTGATATCCACGTAAGCTGGCCCTATAACTTCCTGCCTAGGACGAAGAATGCCACCAGATGCACTTGGTCTGAGGTCCTCGCTCGGTAGGTGAATCATGGGCAGTGGCGCCAGCGATACCTGTCCGAGACCTGGCGGTCCAGCTTCCATGCTGGCATTGCTGTAGATGATTTCCCCTTGAGGAAGAGCATTGAGGGCATTGGCGTGACTTGCAGCTGCTTCTGCTGCAGCCTGTTCTCGAGCCCGAGCGGCTCCTGGGCGTTTCTCTCCAGCTGGGTCGTCCTCTGTGAAACCTTGTTTCCTAGCCTTGGCTTCCCAGTAGTCGTCACGAACGCGGCGGCCACCTTCGATCAAACGGCTACCAAACTGCCTGAACATGGACCGAGCTGTGACGATGGCGATTTGCCGTGACCTGTAGGAGTAGGGCAAAATCTCCTGATGGATCAGGTTGTCCTTCTCTGCTTGGTTTGCAATAATCTTGTAGAGTGACCTGTTCTTGTTGAATAGCAAGTATGAGTCGCGGTATCCAAGCACGCGAGCGCATTCGGTGGCCAGCATAAAAAGCTTCTCCCCTCGGTTGGGAACGTTGAACGTCCGACATCTGTACTTGCGCTCTCCTAGAGGGTACCCGTCCTTGGACACTTTGGTTTCACCGGCCTCATCAATTTCTCGTGGTATGTACTCGTCACCCTCTGGGCCAAGCTGATCTGTCGTGTGGTCTCTAACAGTGGGCAGGGCCTTGACCACAGGAGGCTTTGATATCGAGCCTGGGGTGGATCTGGTTGGCGACGCCTGAGTTGGAGATGCGTGCGATAACGACGACGTCCTCATGTGAGGCGTTTGCACCGGCTGATGACCGACGGCCATCGACATGTTGGGCGATGGTGCAGGACTTTGTTCCGACTTCAGTTTCCGTATCTTGTTGGTCTTGGCGTCATCTGGAAGCGGCGTGTCAGCGTGCTTGCCTCAGCTATCATTCCTGTGCGCACACAGAAGGTGCCACTTCGCATGCGACTCCATCTGTCACACGCTGTGTATCTTTGCAAGTACATACCACCTTCTTGTTTCACTCCGGGTGTGCCGTACGAATCAGGTGTTCGACTACGCTTCTGCCCGCGTGGGCTCGCTGTCGTCAAGAGGTTGGAGGTGCTCGTGGCGTCTGCAAAGGGAGGAATGAGTTAGCATATTGTTCAAATGCCCGACCGGGCTGCGGAGCGCTGTCGAACGGCGGGGGAACGCGTCGCATGGTGATAGAGCGGGTGGGAGACAGTGCTTACTGGGCGCATTCAAAGCTGCTGGATTGATGGTGCCCGAGTCTTCCATGTCCAGACCGGCGTGTAATGTAGATAATGCTTCAAAGCTCCGATGCGACACGGCCAGCATCACATCCCGCTACCTGGCATGGAGCACGCAGAGTCGGTACGGGCCTGTCGCACAGCAAACGCTGTATCTGGCGCAAGTGTCTCGAGGTGCGCGCCGGTGGCGGCGAGTCGATGGAGATACTCGGGGACTGGCGCGTATTGGCAGTGGACAGCAGCGACGTGCCCTGGGAATTCGCCCTCGCGCGTGCGCGCACTTGGGATAGGTCGATGTGGATAATAGCTCTGCGACCAGGGACGGAGCGCAGCGCTGCACGATCCCAAACTTTGACGAGCGCGCAGATAAGCTTGCGGAAGGCTGGAGAAACCCTGTAGGCCGAGCGCAACGGCCAGGAGCAACAGCAAAGGTCGCGAGCGGTGGTGTTGAGGCGCTGTCGATGCAAGGTCGAGGCTGCACGCCGTGAGGGCTGATGGTTGTGATCCGCCGAGAAGCTCTGCAAGCGCGATCCACTTGCGATGGGACGTGCGTCTGAGCGGCTGGATGACGCAGACGGCTCGCGAGTCGAACAACCCCACTAGGCTGCCCTTTTCACAGTCAGCTTCATCCTTCAATACTCTCCATTTCGACGCCCATCGGCGACCGCGCGGTGTGCATTGTCCATGTCCACTGCTCGCGCAGTGCAGCGGCCTGTTTGCAACGCAGAGAAATTGACCGGTCGCGGTGCCCTTCAGCCTGTGACCCGAATCTCTGCGCGTTTCTTCAGGCGGCCGCTGGGGTTACACGTGCTGGCCAGACGCTGGGCCCTCAACTGCAAGGGATACTTTGCTGGGTCGGGCGGAGCGAGGAGCCAACGACCAGGCGCGCGAAGTGCAATTGTTGCGTGAGTTCCAGTGGGATGGTGGAGGGAGGTTCGGGTTGGGTAAATGGAAAATGGCACTCACTTAGCAAATGCAGCGCGCCACGTCGAAGGCGGTCAGTTTCCAACAGAGTGAATGCGGTGCCGTGCTATACTCGCACGTCGTGATTCGTCGTGTGCAAGCTGCTCGGCCACGGCGTTGGTAGCGATTGTACAGAAGGTCGTGCAGAATTGCAGCGGGCACGGCGAGTCGCTCAGGCCCAATGCGCGCGATGCGAGTGTCGTGTTGTTCTTGCAGACGCCGTGCTCTGCCAGCATCGAGACAGAGGAATAATGGGCGAGCAGAACAGGTGCGGTTGGCCGCTCGTCGATGGCCCGAGTGTCGTCTAGGTTGCTGCCAGACGAACCGTGATCGCCGAGCCGGTTTGCGTTTGCGGCTGAGTCGCGAGCAGCGTTCGCTTCCTTCCTCTCTGCTTCCTACTGGCCGTCCAAGACAGTAATATCGTGAGGGTGAATGCGTCCCTTCGTGGACGAGGGCACAACGGAAGGCAATGCACGCGAACTGCACAGGCACCCGCAGCAGCGAATGATCGAGGCAAAGTGGAGCACCGGTGGCTTATACTTGCACTGCTCAACACTCTGGCCGCCGCAAGTCACCCATCTGCGATCTGCCCGCGCGGGAGCGGGCGCTGCTGCATGATTGCTCACATATCGGACTAGACACAAGCGATCGCGCCGCTACTGGTGCAGCTTGATTTACCCAGTGCAGCTTCCATCGCGACCACGACGCGCCCCCGAAACGGCTTGGCTACCACGAAAGCTCCAAAGATAACCAGCCCATACTATCGCAGACAAAGCTCCGCCGCCGCTGCCACTATCGACTGAGACGAGAAGAGCAGCTGGCCAGGATGCCGCCAGCCAATAGCTGTGCACGCACGCCAACGAGGGGCCGGTGGCAGCTCATGCCCTCCCGCGCTTTGTCTCTCGCCACTTGCACTCGCTGCTGAGCATCTGTCGCCTCGAGGCCAGCCTGCTCTGCTCGCACGCTCCTCAGCAGAGCCAGCACATTGACTCATGCCAGTGACGCGCTGACTTGCCAGGTGACGTCCCTCTCCGGCAGCCACTGTGCTCAAACGGTGCATTCGTTAATGCAAATGCCCGTCGTGTCGTTCGCTTGGGCGACGGTCATCCACATCCCACGCCTGCTGCAAGCTGCACGCCCGATGTCCTCGGCACGAAGCTACACGCCTATACACGATTGTCCTTCGTCGCGCGTCCCGCACGGTGCCATGCCCGCCATGGAGATCTACGTGCTGGGGCGCAACGCTCGAGAGCATGTGCTTCGTGCCAAAGTCCGGTAACTCTCATCCTCACGGCCACTACCCTGAACTATAAAGATGAGCAACCAGGATCGCTTTCACACGCACAAAACACCTCGCTCGATGCGTGGCATCATTGGCTCCGTCTGGAATGCAAATGGCTGCATCTGCTCGGGTAGTTGCGCACGAACCGTGCGTCTTGCGAGCATGCACAGATATGCCCTGGCCATCTCTGCCTCGCGTCCAAGGTGAAGATCTGTTGTGGAGCGTAGACGGTCAGCTTGCATCTCTGGTTGCTCGCCCGCCCCCAGCCTTCTGCCTTGCGGCCCGCAGCAGCATGGCAGCAGCAGGATGTCACAGAGCCACAAGATCATGCACTGGATGAAACAGGGAATCGCAGACGTAACATGAAAACATCTGTGATCACACGACCGGACTGACTTTCGGCTTCCCTACCGAGCCCGACGAACCGCAACAGACCCAGTTCACGGACGAACGACAGCGGACGGACGCGTTGCGCAATCGAGCGCTCATGCGCCCACAGCCTGTCTCAGTTGGGCATGCGAGGCTGAGAGGTGACGCCTCCAACGAGAATTGCCAACTCCGTCAGGCTCGTAAAACGCCAATACTCTTTCTTCCGCCAACGATTGGATGGCTACGCTCGAATCCTGGTCGTCCCAAGAGATGCGCTCCAAAGCACGCTATGTGCGGCCGACTCCACATCTGCCTGCATAATGGGCAAGGTGACCTCTCTATGGACCAGGGTTCGGCCGGCTTTGAAAAAGCGATCACATGCATCTCCACAGGTACATTGTATCCTGCATCATCATTGCAAGTGGTATCGAATCACCACAGCCTGAGCCATTCACCGCCATGAATACGTGAACGAATGATGGCGTACCCGATGCAACGAGAAGTGTTCGCCCCATTCATCCCGAGAGTGCGAGCGAGAAGCGTGGATTCAACGCGTGCAAAATAATAGGAAGAGCGAAAGCGCGTGGTCGATAGCTTACGAAAGTCAAAAGGACGGGCCGTCCTTGCAGCTACTCATTCTATGGTCCTATCCCACGGGGTCTGGGAACAGCGTTCGAGGGTGCCGAGATAGCCGACCAACATATGCACCAGGTCAGCAAACAATCCGTAAGACTTTTGGAAATGACGCTGTGGTTCAGGCTTGACCAGGGCAGCCCGCGGAAGACCTTCGTATCTCCGTTCCTCATGACTAGAAGGTGCAGAGCTACGGAAGTTACGTCCAAGCTGTCCGGACTTCATCTCGAATTATGGAGGCCTCTAGCAGGCTAAATATGTCAGATGAGGCTTTTCCTAACGACCTTTGTGGAAGACACGTCCCGGGATTGGCCGCGCGAGGCCTGCTGATAGGATGGACATCACCGCACCGGCCCATCCGAGATCCAGTGAATGATTATGCTTCGGGAGTTGACTCCGTGGTATGCCCCATCACCTTGATTTGTCCTACGCCTCGACCTCGCCATTTGGCAATAATCCAAGAATGTTAGTGATGGCCACGGGCCCTGGGGTCGATCTCTAGCTTGTTTCATATCGCTGACGCAAAGCGCCTGGGCTCGAAGTAGCTCGAAACCCAATGTGCAGGATATAGAACGCAGCACATTTCCGGGAAAACGAGTCATGGTCGCTGAAGCTGCCGCCGTGCAGTTGCTTGTTTCGCTGTCAAACAAGGGCAACTCCACGAACCTGTTCTCGGGCTCAGCACACAGGACCGAGTAAGATCGGACGTCTCGATACGCGTTGTCCTGGAGGCGCTCGCGATTAGTGGGGCACGAGGTCATTGTCCCTATGGATGCCCAACATGTCCCTCACCCATGCTACACTCCCACTACCGCCACGACTACCGTCGACATCGACACGAGGTCGTCCACGCGCTATACGGGTGGCAAAGCAACGTGTCGCCTGCGATGGCGAAGTCTCGGAATCCGGTGGCAAAAACGAGGTATATGCACGCAGTTGCCTAGTGGCTTCTTGCGACTCCATATCGCAACCTCTAGCACGCCTTGCGGTTGCAGTGGACGCCTCGAACAGACTGTCGAATTGGTGTCGTACGTGTAGCTATCGAGCCAAGACGATCCGCCGAGTGTAAAGTGCCTGTTCCGGTTGCAATTGAGGTAGGTTTTGCAATGGCGCGAATGTTACGAAGCACTCAGTCGGCCGTGCCGTGTCAGCTGCCTCGAGCTTCACTCCTCCCGAACGCCAGTATCAATCGGGCTCTTGCAAGAATTGCGTCATTCTTCCAGGCAACGGATTCGATAATTGTTCACCGGAGTGTCGATGTCTATTCGTAGCACCGCGTCTCGTATGCTGGTAAGATACGAATATATTCGCCTGTCAGCCTTGATCAATGGATACCGGTCAGGACAGCTCAAAGCAGACAGCACACCTTGTTCTTCGGCAGCGGAACTCGCCACAACAACACCCTCTTCACAGAATACACCACACCCTCAGAGGCGGCCGACGCTGAAAACAGTAGCAGAAACTAGCTGTAGAAGGCAAACGGTGGGCTGAAGTGAAGTCAACATATACTTTTCCCTCTTCTCCATCCTCGCGACATTTCTTCACGCTGCACAAGCAACCTGGATCCCGTTCTAAACTTAATCTTCCCGTGTCCCAGCACAGCAGGACCCTCGCATCTTCAGACCCCAGATTCTCCTTCAAAATTCTCCGAAATGGCAAGATCTGCATTAGAGATGGTGTCTGACGTGGCAACTAAGGCAACTGCCAATTCGTCCACCCCAATTCTTCCTTTCACAAACCGAAAGATTAAAGATGTGCCGCGGCAGATAACACGCAGCAGCAGCACATGGTGGCTTGCGTCTTTTGTTCTCTGCGTTGGCAATGCATCGTGTCGTGTCGTGCGTGATGCCGCAAGTCATACTTGCATTGCAGAAAGCTCGGGAATTGTGCATTGCCCGGCTTTTCTGACACACTTGACACGTCGTACGCAACACACAGATTCTAGAAGCAGAATAGATGTAGGGTCTGGAAGCTCGGTCACGGCATGCCGACGCGGCTACCTGCATACGTCTACCTCTACCTTTCCCTTGTGGTGCCTTGTGATACTTACTTTCGTGCTCGTGCGTTAGCCACTCGAACTCACAATCACTCATCATTGCCATGCCACCACGCGGGAAGGAAAGAGTAATTAATTACAAAAACGTGCAGCTGTGTGGCGATGCTGCAGATGTGCAGGTGTGACAACAGGTACGGCTGACAATCTGACAGCATTGGCAATAAGCAAACAAGCATGACTGGACTTAAACTTCCGGTGTAGACTCAGTCGGAAGAGGAGTGTGATGACAGATGCAGAAGGGTGCATGTTTGCTTTGGTCCGAGGGTGTAGGAGCCGAAGCAAGCAAGCAAGCAGAAATGTGGCGGGTCTGCATGACCAATGGTTGCCTGACCCAATGATGGAGCAAGTTTGAATGGTGGTAACGGAGTTGTTGTGAAGATGGCAAGCTTCAAGCAAAGAAACGCGAACGGGGAAAATTGTGCGAGTAGTTAAACTGTTTCAAATTGCCTTGATTCGTGTTAGACTACATAGGAAATACTACGCAACTGTTGTCCAAGCCATATGAACTTCATGGTAGTGTTATGATAAGAAATGCAAGCAACGCGCGAGTGGGGATATCATTCTGATGCCTCTGGTGTAGCCAAGTTCTGTTATTCATGCAATCGTGATGCTGGATGATGGGAGATTGAAGTCCCCATTATCTCCGGACCGAATCCAGTTCTTCAATGAATCGATAGATTCCTTCAAAGCCTTGGTATTCAAGCGGATCGTGTTTGTTCGACCCATAGCTTCCGGAGTGCACTGACTGATAATCAGGTGATGACAGCCAGGGATTGGAATACTGCTCTTCTTCGAGTATGTCCTCGAAACCCGTGTCCGATTGCGTAGAATATGCTGGGCTGCCCGACAGCATATCGTCGAGACTTATAACGTGCCTTTGGGATGCCATCATCGGTTTGATCGGGTAGTCGTAGAGATCACTTGCACAGGATTCTTCGCTCATGGCTGACGGGTCATTGCTAGGAGCAAATGGGAAGAGTAAGGCTATCTCGGTTCCAGCGAAGGCGTCAAATGCTGGATCTTGAGTGACAGTGCCTCGCTGTACGTTAAGCTCAGAGCAGAGACGTTCCACCGTATCGGCGTCACAGCCCGGAAAGTGCACTCTTAAATGATCCTTCTGGTATGTGATTGGTAAGTCCCCGAGCGCTGACAGTCGTTTGAGGTCATTGAGCACAGCAGCCAGATCCTTCAGAGCTCGCGAGAAGTCGACAGACAGAACATCGAGGAGACCCTCGGTGTTCAGGTTGTGCTTCTCAGTGGTCTGAGACATGGTGTAGCCGACGACGGAGCTCAGAGGAGTGAGTGCGGTGATAGTTGGGTTGACGTGGAAGTCGATCCATGAACCGGGTGTGGCAGCTGGCACAGAGCGCATCTTGCGGCCGGTCTCTTCCTGCAAAGCAGACACAGCCTTGAAGCGCTTGTTGCCATTGCTGTTCACTCCATCGTACTGGGCCTTTTGACCTTGCGTGAAGAAGGCACGCATAGCCTGAGACACATTCTGCACAACTTGAGATTGTACAGCTGGGCCATGGCTGAAGTATCTGGCGCCCCCTCCGCCGCCGTGCGAGTATCCGCCTGCTGTACGACCGAGTGTCCCGCCAGTCAGATTGGGTCGAAGAGTCGAAGCGAATGGTGCTCGTCCCGACGATGACTGTACGTAAGATCCTATCCTCGATTTCGGGAACGATGCACGATCGTACCGGACACCAGGCTTGCTACCAGCTGAAGAAAATCGTCGGGGAGTCGAATATTGACGGGATTGGCTCTGTCGAATGCGTGCTAGAGGATGGAGTGGTTGTTTCGGTGCGTTTCGGGCGAAGATGGGCTCGAGTTGAGCTGCTCGCTGCCCGCTGACTTGAGCATCGATGGCCCGTAAGCCTTTCGATAAGGCAGCCTTGAGGCTCTTCGCGTGGCGAGCCACGAGGCTGTGCCACGCATGCAGCCCTGGCGGCATGGTGATTGTGGGATGTGCTCAGCACGAGGGTTGAGATGTCAGTGTAGGAGGAGAAGAGGCAAGTGAGGCACAGCCAAACAAGGCACGTCAGCTGTGGTGGAGGAGTGGCGAATGCAGGAATGCAGGGTCCGAATCCCGCCGATCGCGCGGTCACGTGCAGTGCGCAGCTGTGGCGCATTGCATCGAATTCTCGGCCGGCTTCAAACACAGCAGCATCAATCCATCAGCGCTCGAATCATCAGCACTTTGACACGACATGACTTCGCTCAAGAGGTCATACGCGTCGACCGGCTCGGGCACGACTCTAAGCAGCAAGACATACCTCCGAACGCTCAAGTCAGGAAAGGTCCAAAAAGTTGTCCGCGAGCTCTACCTCCGCCAAGACATACCATGCTCCTCCAACCTATGCACCGAGTGCATCGACATCGCTCCAGCAGGATTCAATGGCAAGAAGGAGCCGTTCGTTCTTTCCGCCACACCTGCTGGTACTAAGCTCTATCCCGGCGGGCACTACCTGGTTCCTGATACAAATGCCTTCCTCAATGCCATGGACTTCTTCGAGGCCGAAAACACAGTGCAAGATGTTATTGTGCTGCAGACTGTGCTGGAGGAGGTCAAGAACCGGTCACTACCGTTATACCACAGACTCATTGCTTTGACCAAGAATGACGGCAAGCGATTCTATGTCTTTTTCAACGACTTCCGTTTGGAGACCTACGCCACTCGGGAGCCGGGCGAGACCATTAATGACCGCAATGATCGTGGGATTCGCAAAGCCTGCGAATGGTACTCAGAGCATCTGCAGAAGGCAGTTAAAGCTCGTCAAAGCATTCGATGTCCTGATATTGTGATGCTGTCCGATGACAAGGACAGTTTGCGCAAGGCTCAGCAGGAAGGTGTGGTTGCCACTAATCTAAACGACTATGTGTCTAGTCTGCCAGATGCAGACCGTCTGCTGGATATGGTTGCTTCTAGTCGTGACCAACGTGCATCACGAGATGCCAAAACGCAATTGCTCTATCCTGATTATATTTCCACGTCTGCCATGCTCACTGGTGTCAAGAACGGAACTATGCATCAAGGCACATTCAGCGTATCGCCATACAATTATCTGGAAGGAACAGTGCACGTCCCAGCATTCGATCGTCCTCTCATCATCCAAGGACGCGAGAGTAGCAATCGTGCAGTATCTGGAGATGTTGTGGTGCTTGAAGTCTTGCCTAGAGATCAATGGAAAGCCCCCTCAAGCAAAGTCATCGAAGAGGAAGACATTGGCAAAAACGACAACGCAGAAGTCGAGGATGGCAGCAATGAAGGTGTCATCTCGGTACAAGAGCGAAGAGCATTGCAGGAAGAAGTCAAGCGTGCGCATGGCAAAGTAGCAGAGGGCAAGCCTCAGCCGACCGCAAAAGTCGTTGGCATCATTAAGCGTAACTGGCGACAGTATGTGGGACACATCGACAAGGACTCTGTCAAATCGGGAGCCAAGCAAAGCCGAGCGCAACAGACCGTCTTTCTCATACCAATGGACAAGCGTATCCCGAAGATCAGAGTGCGCACGAGGCAAGCCGGCGATCTTCTTGGAAAGCGCGTACTGGTCACTATTGACTCCTGGGATCGCGAGTCACGGTACCCTGTTGGCCACTTCATTCGTAGTCTGGGTGAATTGGAAACAAAGGGTGCCGAGACTGAAGCTCTCTTACTTGAGTGGGATGTGCAGTACAGGCCTTTCCCAAAGACTGTGCTAGACTGTTTGCCAGCTGAGGGACACGACTGGAAAGTGCCAGCAGATGTCAACGATCCAGGCTGGAGAGGCAGGAAAGATCTTCGCGAGGAGCTCATATGCTCCATTGACCCTCCAGGCTGTGTTGACATTGACGACGCTTTGCATGCGAAGAAATTGCCCAACGGCAACTTCGAAGTGGGGGTGCATATTGCTGACGTCTCACACTTCGTCAAGCCAAACAATGCCATGGACAAGGAGGCCGCTCTACGCGGTACGACAGTCTACCTGGTGGACAAGCGTATTGACATGTTGCCTATGCTCCTCGGTACCGACTTGTGCTCACTCAAGCCATACGTCGAGCGGTACGCGTTCAGCGTGTTATGGGAACTGGATCAGAATGCCGATATCGTCAAGGTCGACTTCACCAAGAGCGTCATCAAATCTCGAGAGGCCTTCAGCTACGAACGTGCACAGCTTCGCATAGACGATCAATCGCAGCAGGACGAGCTAACACAAGGCATGCGCCATCTCATGTACTTGTCAAAGAAGCTGCGAGCGAAGCGCATGGCAGCTGGTGCACTGAACCTCGCCTCACCTGAAGTTCGAGTGGAAACAGAGAGCGAGACTTCCGATCCTGTCGATGTGAAGACCAAACAACTACTGGACACCAATCAGCTCGTCGAAGAATTCATGTTGCTCGCCAACATCTCCGTTGCTGGCAAGAACTATTCCGCCTTTCCACAGACTGCTCTACTCCGCCGCCACGCTGCTCCTCCAAAGACTAACTTCGAAGAACTAAGCAATCAGCTCAAAGTGAAGAAGAACATGGAACTTCGCTCGGACTCTTCCAAAGCCCTCGCCGACAGTCTTGATACCTGCACGGATCCTCAAGAACCTTTCTTTAACACGCTCGTACGTATCCTCGCTACGCGATGCATGATGTCCGCCGAATACTTCTGCTCCGGCACACAATCTTACCCAGAGTTCCGACACTATGGTCTCGCGTCAGAGATCTATACACATTTTACAAGTCCGATTCGACGATATGCAGATCTGGAAGCACATCGACAGTTGGCTGCTGCTATTGAGTACGAGCCTCTCGACTCATCGTTGCAGTCGAAACATAAGATTGAAGGAGTGTGCAAGAATATCAACGTCAGACATCGTAATGCACAGATGGCGGGCCGCGCCAGTGTAGAATACTACGTTGGACAAGCGCTGAAGGGTCGTGTGATGGACGAAGACGGATTTGTGATGCGGATCTTCAGCAACGGATTCGTGGTTTTTGTACCAAGATTTGGTATTGAAGGTCTTGTCAGGTTGAGAGACTTGGGTGGTGAGCAGCTGGGTGGCGAAAGGGAGCCTGAAAGTGTGTTTGATGCTGAAGAGTACTCGTTGGAGATCAAGGAGGGAAGCAGAGCCGGAACAAAGGTTGAGCTGTTCCAGAAGGTGAAGGTGAAGATCAGCGATGAAGCGGAGGAGAGTACTGGTAAGCGGAAGATCAAGTTGGGTCTGGTATGATGACCACTACATTGCTCGCAGCAGAGAGCCAAGCGAAGTACCAGACGAAATAGAATCCTTTCAAAACACGAATGCCAGCATTCGCAATACTCATGATCTCGTTACCCATCCCTCTACCATCTAGATATCTATTATTCCCCCAACCTTCCATCTATATCTACACTCTCCCACTTGCTCTTCCCCTCCCATCCCCGTCCCTCCTCTCTACCAACTCCACCTCATCCCCCTCCCTTTCCCTCTGGCCATCTGGCCCTCGTCCCCCTTGCCCCGAAACACTCCCCATCCTCCCAAACCCCCACCTCTCCCCCTTCCCAGTCTTCCACCCCCTCACAACAACCACAACCAGCAACCCCAACATAACAGTCGGCACAACCCACGGACTAAAAACAAACCCCCCACCCCTCGGATTCCCCAAATTCGCAAAACTCGTACAACACAACCCCACACCAATCAGCGCCCCAAATCCCAATTTCAAAAACTCCCATTTCCTACTCTCCAATTCTCCTGAAAGCCGTTTTTGGAGTAAGAGCCGGTGATTCGAGAGGTATGTGACTAACATACATAGGATAATGACTAAGCCGATAGAGGTGAAGAAGTATACGTAAGTGAGGTTGAAAACTCCAGCTGTGGTTTGAGTAGATTGGAGGACGTCTGTGAAAGTCGAAAGGGAGCCGAAATCGACTTTTTCGGAGTCGACGCCTGAAGGGTTGGTTTCGTTTGCGGGAGAGGGGGATAAGGCGGATTCGAGACTTGTGCGTTGAACCGGGGAGTCGAAACCGGCGATGTTGTAGATTGTTTTGTAGAGGGTGAAATAAATCCAATACAAGGCGTCTTTCGCGAGGGAAGGGTGTTCGTTGCCGTTGGAGATGATGGCGGAGGCGTTTGCCGCGTTGTTGAGGTCGTATGAGAGCATTTCGAGGGTTTCGGAGAGGTCGCGGGAGGTGAGGAGGCCGCGGTAGATGAGGTAGTGGGCTGTTTCGTTGACTTGGAGGCCGACTTCGGAGTAGGCGCCTTCGTTGACCATGGATTGCCATTGCATGTATTGGTTTGTGAAGATGTTGCCGCGGACGACGGCGGCGCGCCAGGTTATGCATTGGGCGAGGCCTTCGACGCTGAGGACGAGGGCGACGTGGAGGGGGAAGTGCAGGATTGACCAGACTTGTTGGATTATTGTACCAATGTGTTCGTCTTCGACTAGGGCGTCGAAGTAGAGCATGTAGATGAAGTAGAGGATCAGGACTGCGCAGAAGATGTTTGCGACAGTCGATGCAGTGAACTCCAGAGCACCTTCCGATTGCACGATGCGTTGAGATTTTGTCGCCAGAGCGATGACCCCTTCGCCGAGGATGATTAGGGTCAAGAGTGACATGCGCTGCACCAGGTGCGTGCCCTTGAAGCTGATATTTCGCCAGACAGACGAGATGGTCGTGGCGATGACAGTCTCGATGATGGCGATAGCGTACCAAGCTCTGTAGGTATGATGTTCCTCTTCGACGCTCCGAAAAGTCCAGATCAATCCAAAATAGGCCATAGCAGCAACGAAATAAGTCGCAGTGATGAGCGATATGGGCAAATATGCTTGCTTATTCCGTCGATTGAGCCAGATGTATTGAATGTACTGGAACACTAACATCATCCGGCTGATCATGAGGTATATCGACAAAGATTTCTAGAAGCCACGTCAGCAAGCAACGACAGTATAGCAAGAGTATCTCTGAACTCACGAAATACCCCTCTGAAGTCGTCCCCTCAGCATCATCTTCAGCTTGTTCCTTCGCACCACCCACATTATACTTGGGCCCCACGACCGCAAACCCAATCATAACCAAAAACTGCACAGCTTTGGCAATTCGCTCAAACAGCGAGTCGGATGCAAAACGAACATCATATAGACTAACTTGATACCAAGTGAACCACAATCTGTCATCAAAGTCAGTCAGTCCAGTCCCAGACCCTCCCTCTCAAAGCCCTCCCACACCACCTCGAACGAGGAAGAAGTACTCACATGCAAAAGAACCCCACGTACTGCTTCAGCGTCTCCGAATCCCTAACCTCATGCACCGCAGTAAAAACCGTCAAATTCGCCGTAAAGAAAAGGTCGTAAAAGAGTTCCAGATTCGAAACTTCACGTTGTTGTCGTACAAGTGAAGCGGTCTTGTCCCCAGAAGGACTCTCATCTTCTCGTTTATCATAATGCGGCGACTGAGCCTTGATATCGCTCCTCATAGTTGAAGCGGGCGAAGGACTTCGCGAAGCTTTCCTTCCGTATGATGTGTCAGATGTCGTGATCTGGTAAAGAGGCAGCTGGCTCGTGCTATTTGCGAATCTGTGATGATGCTCGTCGTTATTCATCGCATATGGCCAGCCAAGAGCGAGAGAAAGTGTGTTGTTGAACAGACTGAAGTGAAGTGGGCACACGTTGAGAAAGCAAGCTGCTGATTGCTGCGGCGCCTACCTGTATGAGCAACCGCGCACGGAGAGAGCGTTTATCCTGAATTGATAGGTAGGCAACACGTCAACCTGGCCCATAGTCAAGGGTGCCCGAAAAACGCCGACCAGGGATCTCGAATTTAGACGTTTGCATTCGTACCTAAACCTTGCTTAAGGAGAACGGGCGTGAAAGACGACGCGCAGCCTTTCCGTTTTAGTCGGCCTCAAGCATGTGAAAATGGTTCGTGAGAGAAGCTTAATATTTCTCGGCGTCTTCAGCGTAATTCCAGCTACACGTTTATTAGTGCAGTGAGATGCGAATTCCGGTCTGCGTGATTGTGAATCAGATCAGACGATCTACGCACAACCTGATATTTGCTGCATGCACGTGCTCGATGCGTTGGGCATTGGACAACAGCAGCAGCAGGCTGGTGCGCACGACGTGCTCAAAGCTGCATACGTATGCCAATGATGCCATCATTCACCCCAGTATCTTTGAGTGCTGACATTTGATCTCCAATCGCTGTCAACGTTTAATTTGTTATCTGAGCATGTTCCCCCGGTTTCAGCAACGGTCGGTCCGGGATCCGCGACCAGTCCTCGACTCGGAATCTTTGGCGTCGATCTCCGTACCCCAGGTGAGGAAACAGAGTGGTTAACGTGGAGTTTCATTACTGTTTTGAGTCAATGCTGTACCGACTCTGGGTCGTAGCAAAGATTGCATATTCAACAACGAACTCTTCAATCACTGTCGTGCGTATACTCCATATGACAGCTTTGCACAGTCACATGTGCTGCCCACGGCATTTCTGCATCGTGTTCGGCCCAGTAGTCGTGTTGCCGGCGAGTTGGCTAGGAGCCGGCAGCGGTCTGCGGGAGCCGCCGGGAAGTCCAATCGTCTCTGGAACACGCAACACTGTCTGGCTGTCACGACACACCGGCGAGATTGTCCCAGAAAGCTGGCTCCAGTACACCGCTGCCGAAATAGCTGAGCTGTGCACGTTGTCCTGCAGGTCCCCCGCCAGCAGCAGAACCGCGTTTGATCGCTTCGCACAGGTTACGGAAGGTGAGCAGTAAAGACTCATGCCGTGGCGCCAATGGGTCAGCTTGGGGTGCATTCTCCATGTGTGCGATAACAGATTCGAGAGCCAGATCTCGTTGCAGCATCGAGGTAAGTGCACCTGCCTCCCACCCACCAGCACTTGGCAGCGGCCGGAATACGCGCGACATGAGAACTAATGTTTCCAGCATGCTTGCCCAGTCAACAGACGACATCTGATGCAGCGTCGCAGGAGGTCGGGCCAGGAGTTCGTCCACATATTCCTTTACGCTGCAAGCGCATTGTATGAGCATTGATGACTCCGGACTAGGGCCAGCTCGCAGTTGCCGCTGATAAATGTGAATGCTTGATGCTGCGAATCCTAGGGTGCCACCTAGTGATGGAAACTCTCGCTTCAAAGCTTTGAGTCGCTGACTTGCTGCTCTTGTGTAGCCATCTATCACCTGTGGCGATATCGGATCCCGACCATCAGTGGCTTGTCGGAGGCCATCCTCCATTTCATCGATGGCGCAAGACAGCTCCAGGACGGCTACCAGAGCCCTGTCGGATGGCATACCGCCTGCCGCAGCAGCGCTCTCTGCACAAGCTCGAAGATGATTCGTCCATCGCATGGGATTCGGCCTGTCAAAACCAATAGCTGACAGATTGGCGCAGAGATAATAGCAACCGACAAACGCCCGGTCGCGCTCTAAGTTGCTCGATGGGTCCTCTGGAGGCAGGTAAGATCTGTTGTATAGCCCCAGGTCTGCCGCTATCCCCGCCAAAAGTGAGAGCTGTTGGTAGAACTGGTGCTGAGACCTATACTGGTGATACCATGCCAGAAAAACAAGAAGACCGGTGAGTACGTCCATGCTCCGCTCCCCTCCTAACAGAACCTTGGAAGACAAGGCATAACGAAATGCCTGAGTCAGACGATCCTGCAGCTCAAGATGTGCCCCAGACGATACTGTGCAAATGGCAAGGGTCAAGACTGGTCGACTCGCGACCATGCGAATAATGTCTGCCCCAGGCCGAAGTTCGACGAATGGAAAATATGGTGTCAACTGTGCATAGATGGTGAAGGCTTTATGCACAAAGTTGTAGTCGACGCCGCGGAGCAACTCTTCACATGCCTGTGAAATGTGTCAGTGTCTTATCAACACGCATCGGATACTTTCGATATTGACTCACAGCACTGTTTCCGAGGCCCCGCGCGAATAGTGCAATGAAGGATTTGCTGTCGTTGTGTGAAAGGTCATGCCGCGATAGGAGGTTGCTGCGATCAGCCTGATATTCGGGATGATTCCCCGCAGGTAGGTCGAACTTGGGCGGTGGGCCTGAGTGCGAAGCTGAAGGACCTGCAAACTCTCCCAATGGAATGCCCTCTGACTCGCCGACGTTACTGGCAGTGCGGCGCTTTCGTGCTTTGGGAACGGCGGGGATGCATTCTCGTTCCATGCGATGGCACCTGGTCCATCGTGATCAGCATGAAGTCTCATAGGCGGATCGAGCAGATCGAAAGGCAATATGGCAGAAGTGGTCGGTGAAGGGATTGTGCATGGTGGGCAGAGGAGCATGGCGCACCACTTTCGGCCAAGACAGAGACTTTGGGACCATGTGGTACAGGATCGATCTCGGCGTTGGCGAGCGAGTGAGCGCTGCAATTGGCAGTATGCAGTGCCCCTGCTGTCGGCGGTGATGGGGTCATGTTGTGGTTGGAACTCAAAGGTCGACGAAGCTTTGCTCGATTACGCACGCACAGAACATGTATCGAAGAACTCACNCAGGCTGGGGCGGTCCTCTGTCGCGACGCATACGGTGGATGGTGCATACCTTGAGCGCAGCACATGCTTGGCAGGCACTGTTTCGGGGCTGCCTCTTCCGCTTGAGTTGCCCGTCTGGAGTCGCGATACTTTGCGACGCTGCAGCGTCGACATCATCCGGCGACGGGGGCTGCTGCAGTGCGGACTCCATGGCGGCGCGGTGGGCGGTGCTGCTGGCGCGACGTGATGCTCAGCTGTTGTTGGCGTGACGGCGTGCCTGCCTGCCTGCCTGCCTGCCTGCGAGCGACGAGAGTTTGCCGACTGCGGTTGTTCGAGTGCCGATGATCGGTTCACGCAAGCGTCGTTGGCTCGCACACCTCTCCGAAAGCCTGAGACAAGGCCCGAACAGCCGGTCTTCGGCTAGTGGGGCCAGCACCGTCGGCGAATCTGCTCCGGACGATATCAATGTCGCGTTGTGCCAGCACCATGCGCTGTTCGTGAGAAGTGCAGAACGTCTGCACGACGACGCGGGCAAGCACACTCGCTCCTCGATGTGATGGTGAAGGGGAAACCGTGCCCGGTTTCTTATAGCCGCGATTAAGGTTGGTTGTAAACTTCGTAAACTTCGGGGAATTGGGCCTGCGCTGCCTCCTGCTGCTGCGCGTCTGTCGTCACTTGGCACTTGCTTTGGACATTGGACACGCGCATCGCCTGTTCTTGCTTCCCATCACCTCGCCCTTCTGCAAGCTTATACACGCACCGATTGTCGCGTTGTCCTTTTGTCCGTCTGCATTGCCATCGGCGACATAGTCCGCCGGCGAAGCCCAGATCGCGACTGCCACGATATCTCTCTCCACCACCACAGCCGTTGTGCCAAGCTCCTCCTCCTCGTACTCCTCTTGCGGCCGTATTGCAACCTCACTATCATGAGCTCCTACTGTCTCAGACAGCTCCTCTCCAGTCTCATACCACGACGAAGCAGCAACCAAACGGGAGCTTCGGATGATCATCCCGGAGAGACCTAGTTTCTAGCTCTGGCATTGGCTTCACTGCATACCCTGAAACCGGCTGGGCATGATCAACATAGCGCGCTGGAAGCGTGTGACGGCTACCAGGAAAAGCCTATGGCACAGCGACACTTAGGTCTTCTCTGCCTACTACAGTATCCGTATCGTCCGCACTGTCTCGGATAATGCTGCTGCGAGACCGGAGGCCTTCGAGCGACCTTCGTCACCGACGAACGTCTTCTGCTCTCAGAGCGATGCACGTGTTCCACATTCACTGCGTCTGCGCTACCTCATGTCTCCGGAATTCCCCTGCTCCGCTAGAACATGGCTTCGCCACATCGATGCGCAGACATCATAGTCACGTAGCGGAGAGCTAAGGTGACGAAAATTGCTCAAGGTACTCACTGCTAGAACCTCACGAATCCGTTCGCTTATACAGTTTATCAAAAAGCTTACCTGCTACCCTGAACCCAGGCACCATCTCCTGAGCGACTAGACCGTAAGTCACGATAGCAATGCTAACGGCCAATGAAGGGACCGTCGACCACGGCATATTCCGTTCAGCATCTCAGAAAAAGGTACATGAGCCATGCCAACGTGTCAGCCGATGTTAAGACTTTGGACGATACTATGAAATGGAGTCGCGATACTATTCCGATTGTCTCCGTCTATCGTACGCTATCCTTTCAGGCTTCGTCGTCACTCCAGGGAGCATCGTATAGCTGAACGCAAAAGAGAGGCGGCACGTCGGCCTCGACCTCATCCTGTCTCGCTGATGTCGACTCCCCAGGACTCTCGCCCTCAGGCCTACCAGCCGCCTCAGCCCCCATTTCCACCCCAGAGTCACGGTTTGGCTCGACGTCGTCAAGGAGTGGCATCTCCCTACAAAACCTCTGCTCAACCAAAATCGTGGCCTCCGGCCACTTCTCCATCCTCTTCTCGTCGTACCGCTTCTCCAAGCACACCAACCTCACTCTCAACCCCGCCAAATCGATCGCGTCCTGCGAGACCTGTCTCGTCTCATGACAGTACCTGATCGGTTTCGGCTTCGCCACCCTCGTTGGCTCAGAAGCCGCCTTCTTCTGGAGAGCGTCGGCCTTCTTCTTCTCCTTCCTCACAAAAACTCTCCCCAAAATCCTCCCTTTCCACCCTTTCGCACCACGGGCCCCCTTCTCACCCCGGAGCGACGCAGTCTTCTTCTTCCCATCAAGAAGAGTAACACTCTTCACAAACGCATCCACCCTCTCATAAATCTCCACAACCCGACTCTCCGGCAAAAAAGCCAAATCCTTCAACTCCACATTTTCTTTTGGTTCCCAGCCGCGGATTTCCAACTCACTCATCATCTCTTCCATCTTCTTGAGATGCTCTCTGATTTCGGCTTTTTTGTACATGAGATGCGAGATGGAGGAGTGGTGACAGAGAGAGCGGAGACAGGTTTGAGAGGGGTGGGAGCGCGGGACAGACATCTTGGATCTTGCTCTTGGCGGAGGAGAGAGGCGAGGAGAGGTCCTGTCGATTGTGTCCGAAGATTCCTCTCTCGCGCGCTTTGTTGGGTTGTGAGATGCGTCCTTTTCGTCTCGGAGTGATAGCTGGTGGGTTTGGTTCGTTGCTGCGTGCTTGAGATCTTTAGCTGGTTGTAAGGAGTTGTCGTTCTTGTTCTCAAAAGCTTTTTGATCACGAGCGAGTGTAGTCAGCGTATCTGTGATCGAATGAAAAGGGAGTGCAGAGAGGTGGCAGGGTTGTAGAATATATTCTCGCTCTGCATATTCGTCCTCAAAAATTTAATATTTTTTCTGAGGGATACGTGGTGGCTTGAGAACCAAATTATTTTTGAGGCCACTTCACGCTGACTTTGCGGCGAGACGATAGGATACCGGACGTCGAGGAAAGTAGACTGGAACCAGTGCAGTTGACATGCCTTTGCTCGAAAATAGTTGGTTCTGACAATCTTTTCAGTACGAAAGCTGGCTGAGGCCACTCGCCTGACCAGAGTATGGACATGCAAAGTCAGTATCGAACCCAGCTCACGTGAGCGACTGCTGGCACATCAGCAAGGAACATGATCTTGGAAGAAGAAGCTCGATCATGTCAATATTGGCGCAGAGCGCGATTTGACCTACTGTTACATTCTAATACTCGTAGCACGCTGGTGCTTTTCAATGCAATTCATCACAGCCTGTCTCCATGGCCGAATCAATCTCAACTGGCGTCTCTCGGACGACGCGCGCTTCTGACACCTTCATGCGCCGCCTTGCCCACTACTCCATCTTCACATCCTCAAACTCCTCATCCTCATCCATCTCGTCGCCCGTGCCCTCGTCCGTCGTCTCCATCTTCGCCGCAGCTGACTCTTCCTTGACGACCACGCCTTCTTCGTCCAACAGTGCGCGATACTCAGGCTTGAGCTTGTACGTCTGCACAAAGTCTCCTTGCCTCATAAGCGTAGCGATATCGTCCAAAGTCTCTTTGATGTAAGCTTCCGGCTGCCGTAGTCTCTGGCGCAAGGCCTTGAGAGACCAGTACGAGTACTCCTTAAAGCAGTTCTTGAGCGCGTCGAGTAAGGCAGCCTTCTCCATACGAACGGCCTTCTCCTTGACTGGCTTCTTCCTGTTGCCAGCACCCACTTTCGAGGTGAGAGTGCCGAATTTGAAAGAGTCGCGATCTGTACCGGGATGTTTGATGCGTGCGTCTGTGACGATTTGAGTCTTCTTGCCGGCGTGTAGGGCGGCTTGATATGTCTTCGCGAAATGGTCCAGACTGGTCTTGTCCTCCACCGGATGCATGTCGGCCTCATTAACGACCTTGGGCGCCAGTGCAGTTTGTTTCGGAATCGCTGTTCGGTAAGAGCCAGGCTTGCGCGGTTGCTGGTTGTTGTAGCGATCAAACTTGTTGATGCCGCCGGGTCGCTGACCTGGTGGTGGGCGGTTCGGACGGACATTGCTGTTGTGACCTGGAAGATCCTTCTCGGAGAAGATGACTGTGTTGTTGTAACGATCGCTCTTCAGGTCCAGATTGTACATCTTGGGTATCGACTTCTGCTGCGGCAAGGCATCGTCCAGGCGAATTTGGATCTTTTGCTTCCCATTCTTCTGCGGTGCATGGAACACACGGAGATGGCCCACAGTGACCTGTTCCCCTTCTGCTGCATTCTTGTGGATCTCGCTCCACGTCTTCCACATGTCCTCAGAGACCTTGAGCAGCCACGCATTTCCGCCTCTGGGTATCTGCAAGTCGGTGTCCTCCTCGAACTCGTCGACGTCGCCAATGTGCTTCGTGTCCTCCACCTTGATCTCCGGCTTCACTTGCGCCATGGTGAGAAGCGTGTGGGGTGTCTTCGTGAGCTGGATCGGACGTGGGCGCAAGATGTCGAAGGTTGTGTCTGAACAATGCCGGTCGCGAACAGAAGAAGGTGGTCGCGGTCGCGACAATGACGCAGCGGAACCTGCCGTCGAACGCCTGGTCTGTGCTCACGCGCCTTCTTCACGTCGCCTCGTGCACAACCTCACACTCACACCTGGCAATCTTCTGACGAAAGCTTTGCCTCAACTCGCTCTCGGACGGCCCGGAATCGCACATGTCAGTACAGCCTTCACCTCACTTCAGATTGCCTACGTCTCGCAAGTGCTTCTATTCGCCTACCCGCCCACCCGGAACCGGCCGGGCTCCTCAAAGGAGAGCAGAGCAGCGTCGTGCCCAGACCTCAGACGCATCGAGCGGTGCTAGCAGACCACGACCGCATATCAGTAGGCTCCTCAGCCGCTCTGAGGCCATGAGAATGTGATGGGTTCGTTTTCATGAGGCTCACTTCGCTCGTGAGCATTGCCATACCTGCTTCTTGAGGTCCGCCGATCATTCGTGGTGCGCTTTGTCTTCTGGACCAGAGCATGTGGCCCAAAGATTCCACCAGCCGACTCTGTCCATCCCCTCGCCTCGAAGTGCAAGCTGAGTAACAGAAATGCCCTTCATATGGAGCCCGGCATCGGCGGCACAGCGCCCAAGCAATAGAACCACCCAAGCCACTCTGGCCGGCGCGGACGGTATCGTTCAAATTATCTAGTGGTACAGAATCTGAGTTTCTGGTCGCACTTAGCTGACTACGTGTATTGTGCTCGAGTAAACCGCCGCACAGAGCCGAAAGACTTTGCAGGCCGCGTGCAAAGCCCCGCGGTCGAGCTCGAAATGCATTACCGAAAGCAAAGCTTCTTGACGGTTTATGAGCATCTGATCGGTTCCTGTCCTGCTCATCCTCCATCATTCCTAAGAAGCACACTTTCTTTTTCTGGCAGGCTCCACCGCGACAATCAAGTATGTCAAAGCAGTTCGACCGAAGAAGACAGGCGACTTTTACAAAATCCGGGTAGAATTCTGTGCACGAAAGAGATCTGACACACATGATCCAGCACATTACAGATATACTTCACACGACTGTCCGAATCAGCCTGCACGAGCAGACGAATTTGGAGGTGCCGGTCTTCGCGTTAGTGATCGACTCTCAAAACGACGTAAAAGTCCAAAAAGCTGACCGTCGTCCTAGAAACGCAAGGGTCCGACTCGCTGCACGCTCTTTCTTACCAAAATGTGGCGCCACTGCCAAGCGTACTTCACATGCAGGCACATCCAAACCATCGATTGCAGTTGCTGTCCACCGCGTCTGCCGAGTCCCTGTCAACACACAGCACATGTCCCGCAAGGGTCGACCAGTGTTCCGTCGCCAAACGAGATGGCACCACCAAGCCAGACCACTTCGGCGGGTTCGCATACGCCGCTGTATTCACATTCGCCAGCAGACTTTCACGAGACTTATGACCCTTCGTTTTCTACGACAGACAATTGGCAACAGACACGGCCTGGACTCAGCCTGAGCGCATACGATAGCAGCGCCTCGAATGGGGCGACACCCGCGGTCGACTTCGGCAATAACGCGTCAAACAGCGGCCATGATTTTCTTCGCCCGCCCGCGGTCAAAGAAACACCTTCTTATCATCATGGTGTACAGTCGCACCCAAGCAATACACCCATGACTGCCAACAATCAATATGGCAATCTTCACAATCCGATTGCGCACCAGAGCCAGCAAGATCACTACCAGGGCAGTCATTATCAGTCGTCAGTGCCACCAGCTGCACATCAGCATATGCGGCAGCTCCGATGGCAGACAGGTCTTGAAGAGCCGGCTTTACATTCCATGGACGAGTCACGTCGCAGAGAGCTATGGATGCAAATGTACGCTGTATTTGACCGGCAAGCAGTAGAGGCCGTGCCACGCTTCGCCCCCTCTTATCTTCAACCGCATCCGACACAGATGAGCACATACAACACGCAGCCGACATGGTCCCACCTGCCAACGGGATCAGCAATGCCACCACCAGGACTACCAATGCCACCGCAGCAGCACAATGCAATCAGTGGGCTCTCGAGCGGCCAATCACTTCAAATGCCCCAAAATGTTGCAGCAATACTTCAGCAACAAGTCGATGCATCCAACGCGTGGTCATACAACCAGACATTCCCAGTCAACGAAGAAAATACGGCGAATTCCTCTGCAACAGCGAGGACCCATGCTCAGAATTCGTCAATATCCTTTGAGTATTGGCGTCCTTCACAAGCATCTGCATTAAGAGCAGATACCGGTGGTGGCGGTGCATCTCGAGCAAACGCGGCTGCCCTGCCGAGTAAGGACACCTTCCTGGCCAACCATCTTCGTGTAGTGAAGAGACCGCCCGAAGAGGAATGTCCAATCTGTTTCCACCGGTTTCGCAATGCAGTAAAGCTGCCTTGCGACCATGTTTTCTGCAGGGATTGCATTAAAAGATGGTTCAGGAGAAGCAATACTTGCCCGTTCGATCGACAGAAACTTTTCAGGTGGCCAGCACAAAGGGTCAGAACTGCTCAAGGCAATGGTGGGCAAATTTAAACGAGCAGCTACTAGGGGTTCGAAGTTACAGGAAGAAATGTGTTAAGCTATGCCGGTAGTTCCGTCAAGCAAAAACCTTCGAGCCCAGTTTCCGCCCTGTACTCAGGCTCGTTATTACGAAAGCTATGCAGTCGTTTCTATATCCTCAGTGGATATCTCTGCGAACCGAATGATTATCAGCCCGCCAGTAAATCGACCTCAGGTAGCGTTTAGTTGCATCTTATCCTGGAGGACTGCTGCCATTCGAGGATGTCTCTGAACTCTACAGACTGCCATGATCCGCAGACATTACACCCTCAGAGGCATTAAGTTCGATCAAAATTTGGGGACATATCGCCATCTTCCATTGGTCCAGCAAATCTGCAGACTCACAACTCGTCAAAATTTTCACTCCTAGTAGTATCCAATTCGTTCTTCCAGTGGAAATGCCTCACCTGCGAATGTCTCTGTGCATCCATGATACCAAATCCCCAGAGAACTCTACCTCTGGCAGTATTCGGACCAATCTCATACTAGAGTATGAGGCAGGCAGCTTGACAGCTCGGAAAGGTCGTTATCCGTGAGCCAGTGCGTCGCGTTGTATCGCACCACAGCAGGCACGGTGGTGGAGGAGCTGGCTACGGTGGTCTAAGGTAAAACGCGGCATGCCTGGAGACCCGTCGGCGTCGAGTCAAGGCAGAAGTCAGAGACATGGAGCAGTAGTTCTAGCGAACAGCCAGCTCACAGGTTGCCAATTGTGAATGCTTCTGTAAATGCACGGACTATGGATTCTGTGAAATCTCACTTCTGGCGGCGTTGCAAGCGATCTCGGGATGGAGAAAAGTTGCAATTGGAAGTGCTTCTGCATATTAACAGGCTGACGCTCCACCAGAACTTTTCGGCGTGGTAGCGTTCAACATGTATGGATGCTGGATATGTATTGCCATTTGCAGACGTCTCTGGAAATCAATGGACTGTTTCTCGCCGGAAAGCCGGAATCCAGGAAGCGCACAGCTCAGCATTATGTTGGAGATACTCTGAGCAATCTAGCATGTCTCTGTGAATCAAGGAACCCTCTCTCGCCGGAATTTTTCTACCCAGGCAGCATTTAATACCGTCTTATGCTGGAGACACGGTCCTTCTGATGATTGTCTCCGTAGAGCCACGGACTTTCAGTTCGCCCCAATATCGACTCCAGGTGGCATTCACTTGGATCTTGTACAGGAAACAACCTGTAAAGTAGATCTGTCTCTGAAGGTCGAGCCTTGCTTCCGCTGCTTGATCTGTGGATCCGTTGGCTCTCTCGTGCATTGAGTTACAGAGTCAGACTATGAAGCCTCAATTTTCAAAAGTCATTTCATTGCTCACTTTACAAAAAGTGGTAGTATCATGCCTATCAAGACCAAAAGGAGACATTTTCAACTGCCATTCAAGGCGACAAGCTATCCCGCCTCCCCCTTCGCTTCCTCCCCTTACCCTTCCCCTTCCGCCGGTTCTTCTTCTCTTTCCACAATCCCTCCCACTTCCCCTCCTTCACTCCATCCTCAGGTAACTCAGCCGGCTTCTCATCCATCCAACCCGGAGTCACTTCAACCCCACCACTCTCTCCTACATCATTCACTTGCCCAATTGCAGCAGCATTTTCTTCTTCTTCCGCCTTTACCTCCTCCACGCATCTCGTACAAACGCAGTCCTCCCTCAACCACAGCCTCAGCTTTGCTCTCCGCTCTTTGACTGGCTTGTAGTGCTGGAAAGCATCGTACTCGATGAAGAGCTGTTCACTTGCCTTGATCGGTCTCTTGGTCTCCAGAATCAACGTCCGATGGTCTGCCAACGAGCGCCAACTCAAATTCGGATCGCAGGAGTGGTTAATGAGAGCGAAGAGAGGGCTGAGGCATGCAGCTTGTGGATCACTCCAGGCGTTGTTGGCCACGCGGGCTTCAAGGGTGAAGAGAACCCACGTATCGAAATTGTGGTTTGCGAAGATGTCGATGCCAAAACGAGTGAGAGCTTCGTTGAGGATGGAGATATCTTTGTCGAGACAGAAGATCTTGCGGAGGTTGGTGTCGTAATGGGGAGTTAGGCGGGCGATGAGAGTGTGATCGAGAGGGTTGAAGATGTTGTCTTGCACACAGGCCAGGAGGCATCGGGCCATCAGGATGGTGTGTGGAGCTTCCGCACCGAGGCGGTCGCGGAGCTGAGGAAAGAGTCAGCGTGAAAGTGGAAGCTGCGAATTATCGTACTTACCCAACGCAAGTCGTGCTCAACAGCATCGCTCTCGTCATTTGGATGCAGCTCATCGAGACAACCTGTTCCGCCGTACAAATTCGACGATCTGCCTCTGTTCACCAAGCTGCTCTCCGCTGTTCCAGGACCAGCACAGCCCTGTCCAACAAGTCAGCAAATGCCCACTTGCACTCTCCACAGCGTTCGCTGATGCAGGAGCCAGAGTTCATGCAAAGACTCACCCAAAGTCTGCTCTTGTCAACCAATACAACCTCATTCTCAGCCAAATCACGATTCGCAAAAACGCCAATCACATCTTTGCCGTTGTTCGGACCAACGCCAAATCCGAACGCGTATCTCTTCGAAAAGCACGGAAGGCTCTCCTTCGTCCCGCATCGCTCCCTGTGAGCCTCCTGTAACTCCTTCTCGATCTCTCCGAGCGTCTTGTCGCTTCTACCCGAATGCTCCTCCTTCATCCACGGATACGCCCTCGAAGAATACAGCCCTTCCTCGCGATTCGGCGCATAATCCAGATTATCCAGAATCATCTTCTCTGCCTCAGACAAGAGCGTAGCAAACTTGACAGCTTGGAGCTCGTGTTCTTCATCGAGGTCGACGTCATGACTTTTCGCCAGATACTCCTCAATATCATCATCCACGCCGTTCATAAACCCACCGTCCTCAGCTTCATCGTCCTCTTCATACCTCATCCAAAACCCCATCTTCCACCCCAGCCGAAAATTCGGCTTCGTATTACCTTCCAAAACCCCAACCACATCCCTACAAAGTTTCGCAGCTTTGAATCCATCTCCGGCTGCCAACTCGGGATATCGAAGGAGTTTCAATGTGTAGCTTCGCTTGATCCAGGTTCTCGCATCGTAAGGATGAGATAGGATTTCTTTGGTGTTCGATGCGAGGATTTGGCCAAGTTGGAGGATCTCTGATTCCGAGTATTGCTTTTCCCAGGTTTCGTAGTCTCGAGTGGGCTGCCATTTTGAGGGGTCGAATGGGATGTCCATGATGAATGTCTTTGTGTTCGTGTTCTTGTGCTGAATGCCAAATGCCAATGCTGCGTGCCGCTTGCCGCTCGGCGGCTCGAAGGGGTCTTGGGGTTACTTTTGATGTTCTTACCTACCTGTGAAGAAGGGTGATGTCCAAGTGGTGTGGGAGGTAGAGCTTGCTCTGTTGGTGGGTGTGGGTGGGTGCTCACTGCGAAGGAGAATGTTCGAGTAAGCAAGTTCAGTAGAGAGTGCACATGTCAAAGCAAGCTTAGGGTGTCATCAACAAGCACTGCCCAAATGAGAAGTGAGAGGTCGAAGTGAGTTGAGGTTTGTTGGAAAATCAACCGCACTCACCTCTTCGAGTCGCCCCCTGCCACCACGCAAAGTGAAGCTCAACCGTTGCTGGCACAAGCGGGCGAGCAAACAAACAATCCACCCAACACCACCCTCACGCGCACACATGTGAAATCAAGTTCGAATATTTCAGAAAAAACATTGCAATCAACCTGCCAATGCCTTGAGGCCTGCAACATCTCTATGTGACTGCTGCGCGATCGAATAAAGCAGCGCCCGTGGCCCATTTGACCCCTCGGCGCTTGTGACCGCCTCTCATTCTCTTTTCATCTGCTCGCTATTGGCCATCACCACCTCGAAATGCTTGCCTCCAAACACGATTAGAGCTACACATTGCTAGGACACAAAAAGCCACGAATCAATCAGATCCCTCAACTGCGCTTTCACGCAATTCTCCTGCGCCGCCCGGGAGAAAATGCTTCGTGCGAAGGTTGGTTGAGAAAGGGGTTTATTTTTTTGCTTTGGTGTTACGCCGCCCCAGTCCAGTTCAGCCTGATAGCATTGCGGCGTTTGGTTCGTTCTTCTTCTCGCACACAAGTAAAAAAGGTTCAGTCGGATTTCTCGCGAATGGCCTGCAGTCATCATCGCGGCGCCGAAGTTCTGCCGTCGCTGTCCATCGGAGGGCTTCGCCTTCAGTCGTGGTGGGATAAATATGCCCTTGATGCCTTCCCCATGAATCGAACTCGCTATGCCAATAAAAGTTGTTGGATTTGTACTTGCTTCTGCTGCATCGGATGTCTCGCATCCCAAAGGTACGACGTCTCTCTGCGTCGCCGATGCCCAAGCTGTTGGGTATCACAAGAATGGTATGCTCGAATCAGATATCCTCTCTGCCCTTACAACATCAAGTTATGCAGGTTGCGTTGCACAATCATATCTTGGACGCTCTTCATCGTCTTGTCGAGGAGGTTCGTATCGGTGGCGTTTGTAAAGTGTACATATGCATCCTTCTCGGGATCTCGGACCAGGTTCCTGAACTTGGTTGCGAAGAATTGTTGGCCGGCGTCGACGTCGCGGTCTCCTCCTGTATAGTCTGGGAAGTGGTCCTTGATGCGTGCCTTGCCTGACTGGACCTTTTCTCTGAACAAATCGATCTTGTTCAAAAACAAGATAAGCGCAGACTTTTCGAAGTATTTGCTGTTGGCGATGCTCTCGAAAAGCATCAGTGCTTCATGCATTTGGTTCTGGATTCAGTTAGCTCTTACCCCGCCACGTCAGGTATGCTGTCACTTACGCCATTTCGGTCTTCGACCAAGACATGGTCGAAACCGCTGATTGCGACCAAGAAGAGCACCACTTGCACGTTGTCGAAGACATGGATCCACTTCTTTCGTTCTGATCTCTGTCCACCGACATCGAACATGCGGTACGTGAGGTTGCCGGTCTCGAAAATGGTCTCGCTGATTCCGGTCGTTCGTAGACGCGCTCGCAAAATGTCCTGGTCTGATGGGAGGAAGTCTTTGGCGAACAGCTTTTCAATGTCTGCAAAGTAATATGTCAAATTGTCGTGCAGTGCGTATTCGTTGCCCTTCTTAATGGCAGTTTGCACGCCTGCATCGCGCCACAAGCTGGTGAAAGCCTTCAGGCAGTCCAAAGGCATTGGGTCTTCAGGGCCAATGTCCGGATCCGCGGCAACAATCTCGGCGTATCGCTGGCAGATGTCAGTCCATGCATGCTCACCAAATGGGGAATCTGTGACATACGATATTGCTTGGGTCGGCGAAATCGACCTCCTGCTCTTCCATAGCGCCAAACACGACCTGGAAAGCGTGCAGCAGGTTTTGGAAAATGGTGACTTTCCATTGTTTTCGTTCTTCCTTGGAGAAGCCTTTGGTGTGGATCAAGCGCATCTGCTTCAGCACTGTAGACTTGCCCGATTCTCCCGCACCTGTACATAGCCCGTCAGCGATCGCCCTGCGGATTCTCGCCGTGTCGTGATGCGTGCTCACCCAACAACAGCAGCTTCACCTCCTTGGCGAGGCGCTTCTGATCCTCCCGCAGCTGCTTCTCGATCTCCCTGCTCTTCTTCGCGTCGGGATCATCTTTGCTGCTGCTTCCGAAGCACATGATGCTTCCAAATGCCATCAATGACTCTGCGGTAGTGTTCGGGTCGCAAGATAGGCGCAGCTGGTCTGTCGCGGGAGCGGGCAGCAGGGTGGGCTGCTGGGGTCGGCCGCGTGGAGATGATGGCGTTTCGGGTGGTGGTGCGTGGGCGCAGCTGTGCCTGTCTGTGTGCTGCGCAGAGGGGGCAGGCTGTGCAACGCGCGCGGAGGGTACGCAGCAAGCAGAGCTGTGCGTGCGAGCGGGCTCGGTGAGGTATAGATGCAGCGCCCGGAAGATTGGACTGACACTAGCGGAGGAGGAGAGGAGAGTTCTATCGCCAAGCGGCGCTGGGGGCTGGCAGCGGCGGCGGCAAGCACGGCCAAGTCTGGCACAGCGATGCCCTCATCCCAATCATGCACGCCCCCCCGTCGCTCTATATACGTCAATCGCCCGGTCTTTTCACCAGCGCACCAAAGCAGAGTCACACGCTGCGCTGCTGCTGCGCGAACGCTCCCTCGCCCGAGTCTTTGCCGTGGCCGAGTGTCGGCAGCGTGGCGGCGGTGATGCTGCTCCTGCACTCCTCTCATGGCACAATCACACCCTCAGCAACGCGAGAGGTGTGCTCTCACGCCCGGCATTGGGCCCTGCAGCGCAGCACAGCGTCAGCGCAAGGGGCGGGAGTGTCGCCTCCGCCCACGGAACACATGCGCGCGGTCTGAAGCGAGTCGACGTGCTCCCGCTCATGGAACCGTTGGCGACGCGGCCATGGCACTCGCGATATAGCCGGGAAGATGGCGAAGTTTGCTGCTATTCTGGAAGGCCAACCTGACACGCCCGCGACTCACGACGGCGATCTCATTCGCGTGCGCGGCGCGTGGGAAACAGAAGTCTGCTTGCCTGACTCTTCCTCTGCCTTCGGTGTTTGACTACTGCATGCAACGCAAGATGAGCCGGCCGTGCCAACCCGCGTCGACCGTCTGCATGCTCTGTGCGTCCATACCCTCTGCAAGTCTGCAACTACCGGCTCTCGATTGCAGTCTGAAATCACAGGATCGTATCATCGCTCAAAAGACCCAGTTTTCAGCCCTATGCACGGCCCGTGCCAGCTCATCAGCACATATCAGCGCTACTGTCACAGCCAAACAATCATAGCTTTGAAATTGAAGGTCACAGAGACAGTCGTAGAAGCTCCACCCTTGAAGACCAGCCCAGTGCAGCCCCCAATCCATTCCTGTGGAACATCTCACAAACACCGACCCGCGAGCAAAGGAGCTGCAGCACTACTCACGAAGCACAAAAAGGAAGAAATTCTCCGAAACCCACGAGCTGTCGTGCATCAGTGTCACACTCTAGCTGTGCTAGTACCACTCCCTACCACGCTTCGAAACCTGTGAAATGTAACCCAAACGCGAACACGTTGCGCAAAAGGGAAAACGCACGCGAAAGCAGAAAAGAAGTCGAAGCAGCCCCAACGTAACATGACAAGGATATAGCATCCATCCTTGCTCGGCCACGTGTTCTGCATCATCCGAGGTGTCCACAGTCGGCAGTTTCTGCCGTAAAGATGACAAGAAAAATGGGAAAGGTTCCATTGTATCTTTCCCGCTGACGAGAGTCCGCAGGATCCGGATTAGAATGCCGCCATCTGATGCACCTATGATGATGTTTCATCAATCCTTTGGAGTAGAACTATCAACTGCCGATTCTGCGTAGGCTTCACGGTCCCCACTTCTCCTCAGCACACCACGCACAAACCACAAGTGACCAGAAGCCTTCCGTGCAGCAATCGTGCCTCTCTAGCTGTGAAACATGCAGGTCGTACAGGTTACTTCCAATTGGCCGAGTCTCACTTGTACAACTGTGCCGAACTCCAGCGGGGCGGAGAGAAACACCAGTTCTATACGAAAAATAGTATCAAGCCAAGGCGTGTACGGAGAGCTTGTTTTATCGTCTCGAGGCTCAGTCATCGAGATTCGCCGAAAGTACTCCCACCACTATTCGTCATTGCCATAGACATGATGCCTGCGTCAGAGCGCTTCATCTGCAAGACTGGTGAAGACCACTGACGCAGACATGGTGAAGAGCAGCCACCCTCAGTTTTCCGCAGCATCTCCAAGCCTCGAAGAGCCAGCCTCTCCATCGCTTCGTCGCTTTCGAAGCCTCGGGTCTGTGGAAATCGGCGGAGATACATGAGGATTGGGTCCGGATGGCCCATTTTGTGGCGCATCCCAAATGGCCCAAGGCTGGATAAAGGCGGAGTCTCTGGATTTCCTTTTCATGCCTGCGCGGGCGATCTCTCGCACGTTTATGATGCCCGAGTTCTGCGGTATTGTGCCAAACCTACCGAATCTGTTCATGACTAACAAAGTATTTCCGCTACCCTTTGCATCGTCTTGAACGGTCAAAAACTGGCTGGGCTCGACTCGGAAGGTGTTGGAAGAACTGGCGGTGTCAGCGGCGTCCATCAGGGTTCCAGTAATGGCCTCCGTCGCAATAATGACTCGGCCGTTTTCGATAGCGCCAATGGTGGCCAGGTCTTTTTCAATTTGTCCCCAGTCGACGTTGCTCGTAGCACCACGATACAGAGCTGTCCCATTGCCATTGCCGTTGCTGTTCTCCTTCGCAGCCCCTGGATTGAGCATTCTCACGATTCGAAGTACAATCTCTGAACTTTGGTCGTAGAGTTTCTCCATCAGAGTCGTCCAAGGTATCCCTAGTACTTGCTCCGCCACCGAACGACAAGCTGTCTCGACATTGACAGCGCAACACAGCATCTGGCGATCGTCGGTATTGTTGAACTGATCTTTTGCCTCCAGGAGTCGTTCACTGAGGCAGTGCGCAAAGTCTGAATCGTGCTTGGCCAGGTCGCGTAGTTCGTCTCGGGTGAACGACGACAAGATGTGGCGAATCTCTTCGATGAAGATGGGAAAGTATCCAATCAGTCGCTGGCGTGCATATGATTGCAAGTCGGCCATATCATACTCACGGCCGAATCTGTAGACCAGGAGCTCGTGTCTGAACATCTCGTGCGTCGTCTGGACGCTTTGATAATATTGGCCGCTCCGATGTTCATCATGGTCCTTCCTGTAGGGATAACTCTCATCGTTGCCTCGGTTTGTCCTCCTTTTGACAGAGAGCTTCTGCGCAAGGCTGTCCACTTCGGGCGAGTACTCGCCACTTGAACTCCATTGAAACATCCGGAGGATGATTGGGTACTAGATATCTTCCTCTTTCCGGATGTCAACAAGGGTCAATTTTGGTCCGCGTGTCGTTTTGAGCCCTAATCTGCAGATTTGCTCGAACACTGATTTAGATAGTTTCGTGGTCTGGTTCGGCAACAATGCTGGCGGTGGATGATGGCTGGCGTCGTACCTCGGAAAACCGACACTGAACATGACGCTGGGTCTGCACAATTAGTACCATAGATTTGGAGCTTTTGTCAGAGTCAACTTACGCATGATCATTACTGTTCGCAACTGCTTGTGAACGCACTGGACTCTCGTTCTCGGCGATGACTGTGTCGGTCGAGCCGCCCTGCATGGTGCCTGATAGTGATGCGGTGTAGATGGTTGCGCAAAGTCGGTCGAAATGGTTTGTTGTGTGCTGCCTCCAGACTGTGTTGAATCAGCGAGAGCAGTCAGTCACAGGTTTCAAATGCTTCAGTCGGCAGCCGCCATGAGCTGCAGGCACGAATGGTGCGCCTGGAGGGTACTCGCTGCCGGGAAAGCGCATTTCGCGATGCGGCAAGCGCCATCCTCTGCGGCTCGTGTTTGTTCTGATGTTCCAACCCGAGGGTGCGAGAAGTAAAGGACCAATACCTACTCCAGGGACTCGAACGCGAGGTGATCTGCTGTCTGCGGGATGTCTCACTCGCAAAAGTGCTCACTTGATAGCACATGGAATCATTCGATCTTTCTGACAAGCGGTCTGAGGTCGCCGCCCTCAACGAGCTCCTCCCCTTCACCACCGCCAATTGGCTGACCCCAGCCGTCACCGACTTCCCCAATGATGCGTGCAGGCCGACCCGCAACAATACAGCCTGGTGGCACAATCATGTTTGGCGGAACAACAGTGTTGGGCAACACCTTGCAGCTTTCCTTGAGCATGCTAAAGGGACCCAACACGCAGTTCTCGCCAACATGCACATGAGAAGAGATCACCGCCGAGGAGACGTGCGTTTCAGCTCCAATGAAGACGTTGTCGCCGATGCGCATGGGGTAGAATGTCATCTCGCCGTGATGTAATCGCATGGGAGGTTGCAAGATGCAGTTGGTAGATATTATGCTGGCTCTGTGCACGTCTTAGCCCACGAGTAGCACTGCGCAGTGGGACAGCGCTGACATACTTTCCAATGCTGATGGCTGTTCGAGGAGCTCTTGGCTTCTCGCCCTCAGCTGGTGGCTTTTCGATCAAGTGCAGGTCGCCCCGCATGTGCACGCCTGCCATCACGACGGACTTGCCACCGAGCATGATGTTTTGCTTCCCTTCAATGAACGAGCGTCTTGAGATCTTGTTGCCAGTGTCCTACCTGGGTCAATTCGTGCTCAGCAATGTGCATTTCGTTTTGGGCTCACTGTTGTGATGTATTCGGTCTTCGTCGAGCGACGCGTCCCGGCAGTCGGTCGCGTCGCCATCTTGTCAGCGTTTCCTGGAGGACGTGAGCTGATCGGAGCTCTTCGTACAAAGTTGTACTTTGCTCAAGTCGGTCAAGGATCAGGCTCGTGTCTGTGCCTTTGGGGATCGCTGTTGTTGCCAAGCACAAGCGCCACAGGCACAGCCACTTTCGCCGTTCACTGATGACTGTGTTCCTGCGTCAAAGCTGTTTGACGCCCGACTGCAAACATTCACCTTCACCTGCCTCGCGATTGCGGCAACGTTTTTGGCCTAAAGCAGCGGCGGTGTCTTGATCCTGTGGAAGTGACTCAGGTTGGTGGCCTCAGGAGCGCTTTCATAAACAAGTGGCGCTTCCTTCTCGACGTTCCTTACAACCACACTTCCAAATTTTGAGCAACAGCTGTTTCGCGCATCTTGAGCTCGCACGTCGTGAAATCCAGGACCAAAAGTCGAGTTCAGACGATTGACTACCACCGCTTCACGAAGGTGTGCAGGTGGGTTTCTCCGGCTGGCGCTGAACAGCCACAGCATCGAAGGCGACATCAGGTGCACGGATCCTCAGGCCGCATCGCAAGGTTCCACGAACATCGCAATCATGGCGCTCTACGAGGGCGCGCCATACCGGGCGCAGGATCCTCATGAGATCGCTGTGATGGTGCGAGGCTTCGAGGACAACAAAGGCAAAGGAAAAGGCAAAGGTGGTTTCTCATGCAAGAAGGCTACCTTCGCCGTCAATGGCACTAATATTCAAGTCGACTCGTGGCGCATGCAAGATTGGGATTACAAGAAGCCCAACTTGCCAAGCTACGCCAGAGGCCTCTTTACCACAAGAACGTCCAAAGGCACGCCCGAAATCGCCGTGCGAGGTTACGACAAGTTCTTCAATCACGGAGAAGTGTCCGAAACAGAGTGGAAGAATGTTACAGTCAACACTCGTGGACCATTTGAGTTGAGCGTAAAGGAGAATGGTTGCATCATCTTCATTGCCGGACTCGAAGATGGTACTTTGATCGTATGCAGCAAGCACTCTACTGGTGACCGAGGCGATGTCGAGACTAGTCACGCATCCGCAGGAGAGAGGTGGGTGGATAGACACCTTGCGACAGTTGGAAAGACCAGACAGCAGCTTGCGGCACAACTTCGAGCAATGAACGCCACAGCTGTTGCAGAGCTGTGCGACGACGAGTTCGAAGAACATGTGCTGGCATACACGCCCGAGGTAAGTCTTGCTATTCTCCAAAGATTGTGACCATCACGACCGTTGCGCTCGTGATCGATCAATTTTGAAGCTACAAGATGGCTGACGATTCACGCAGGCCGCTGGACTTTATCTGCATGGCATCAACCTCAACCTACCTGAGTTCGCCACATACCCTCATCATCTGGTGGACCGATTTGCGGACGACTGGGGTTTCAAGAAGACAACGTACCTCGTCAAAGACGATATCAATGAGGTCAAGTCATTTCTCGATAAGGTGGCGGAGACTGGCAATTTTGAGGGCCGGGATACAGAAGGCTTTGTCATTCGGTGCCAGTCGAGGGCCAACACCCAAGTGTGGCATGATTGGTTCTTTAAGTACAAGTTCGAGGTATTTCTACCTGCCCATCGATGACACGGCATGTGCTGATCTTACTGAAAAGGAACCTTATCTCATGTACCGGCAATGGCGCGAATGCACGAAAGCGATCATCTCTGGAAAGGAGCCCAAATACAAGAAGCACAAAGAGATCACAGCAGAGTATATCATGTTCGCCAGGAAGAAGCTACACGGTAACCCAGCACTCGCAAAAGCGTACCAGCACAACCACGGGATCATTCAAATGCGCGACGAATTTCTGGCCCAACGAGGTCTCACCGGTGCAGAAATCATCCGCCTCGAGGCTCAGCAAGGTCAGGTGTCAAATGATGCAGTGACTGGAGATGTGATTCTTGTTCCTGTAGCCACTATTGGATGCGGCAAGACCACTATCGCTTTGGCTTTGTGCAAGCTGTTCGGATGGGGACACATACAAAACGACAACATCACAGTGAAGCGCGGGAAGCCCCAGGCATTCGCCAATGCATGCTGTGCGGAACTGGAGAAGTACGACGCCATGATCGCTGATCGCAATAATCACCAACGACGCGAGCGCCAGCAGCTGATCCAAGATGTCCAGCGAGTTGTGCCCAACACACGTTTCGTGGCGCTCCACTTCGTACATGACCGCGGAAATTACGAGCATATCAGAACCGCGCTGCGAGACAGAGTACTCTCGCGTGGCGACAACCACCAGACCATCCACACTAGCAAGGGAGCAGACGAGATCATTGGCATTATGGAGGGCTTCCTGCATCGATTCGAGCCGGTCAACAGCGAAGCACCTCCTGACGATGGATTTGACCTGGTGATCAACCTTGATCCTGTTCTTGAGTCTCGCCAGAACCTCGAGACAGTCATCACCACACTTTACACTGAGTATCCAGCTCTGTTCCACAAACGAGAGATGCCCACGCCGGACGACATGGACGAAGCCATTCAGTGGGCACTGAGTGACTACACTGTTGACATCAAGCACGAGATCAAAGGCTTTGAGAACAAGAAGCCCAAGGGCAATAATGCCCCCAAGGCACAGCAAAATGGTCAGGCTCGCCCGAAAGAGAAGAAGATCGAGTACTTTTGTGTGCAAGTACCCGCTGGACGTGTGGTGCCAACTCTCAACGCCATGTTTGCCGACACTCCAGCCGAGACCGCTCGAATGTACAACACCCTTCGCAGTCAGCGCCGCATCCAGAGCGAATTTCATGTTACTCTCATCCATCGCGCGAACGCCGCTGAGCATCAAGAAGTGTGGACACATCTAAACGGATTACACGCTCAAGCCGCGGCTCCTACCGAAGAGCGCGCCTACGCACTGAACGACCCCAAGATTGGCATGGCGAGAGTACGGCTCGAACGTCTGGTATGGAATCACCGAGTCATGGCGTTTGTCGTGAGGCTGTCGCCATTTGAGGGAAGCAACGAGCAGTTTCAGTCCACAAACTCCACTGCGCATATCACTGTAGGCACAGCGTCCGCGGACATCAAGCCAAAGGAGTCAAACGACCTGTTGGCTACGTGGTTGCAGCAAGGTGCCAGCGGTGCGGAGGGCAACGGTATCTATGAGATGGCTGTGAAGGGTAGCGTCGAGTTGGAGGGTGTCGTGAAGGGTGTTTTATCGAGGTAGAGGGAGACCTGCAGTCCGGAAACGAGGCACGAAATTTTCGATTGGCAGTCATGAAATAGATGGAAAGTCATACAGTAATGGCATCTTGCACTTGCATGGCCGATATTAGCGATAGCGTCGAGCATCAGTCGTTACGCCACCTTCCTTCGCGACCCTTTTTTCTCCGAGTAATTGTCGTTCCAGCTGTTCATGCCCGCTACACCACAGATATTGCGATCTATCGCATAATGGATTTCCAGATTGATTTATAGTCCTCTGGCTGTCTATTAGAAACGTGGAAGAAGAATGGGAAATCAAGGATGCATACATGGTCATTTTTGGCTTTGCAGTACAAACTTGCAATTTCAAAACGCCTCATCCCGTCACTCCTCATCCAATCCTACATTTCTTTCATTCATATTGCGTCAAAGTCATAATACAAAGCGGTGTCCAGCACACGCTTCCAACCCCCAGTTCCTGTCTGCCTTTTCTTCTTAGACGCGAGATGGGCCGTTAAGTCTGAGCCTATCCTTGGTCTTCTGACCGAGCATGACTTTACTCAGATCTGGCTTCCAAGCAGGAGTGCTTTTGCCTGGCTTGAGCTTTGTTGCGATTTTGGCGATTGCTCCGAAGAGGTTGGGGTCTGCTTCGCGAGCTTCGAGGAGTTGGATCTATGAGTATTGGGTGAGTATTCTGTCGATAGGCGTTGATGGTCTGGAGCTTACTTCACGGGCATCGAGAGTAGAATCCACTGGGATGGCGTTGGTGATGGTGAAGAAGGCCAATGTGGTGGTGAGGAGGCTGGTGAAATGCATGTTTGTTGTTTGAGGAGGTGAGGTTGTGCTGGAAATGGTGATGGAGAATGAAATTGTGTTGTGCTGTTACTGTGTTCGTTGCTGATCTGATGATCACTCATCGATGGCTTTGAGCTTTCCTTTAATACATTTTACCTTCTATGCCCGATCTCGGTGTAATGCATTTATGGTATTGCATCCATGCTCATCGTCGCTGTGAAGGAGAGCAGTCCTCTGCAATGCTGGAAGGACTCACCGGTTCAGCCTGATTCCCTCTGAACGTTCCAAGACACGGTCCCCAAGAATTAGGGCTTGAGTGTTTCGGTTTTTGGGCTATTTCGCGGCATAGTACTTCAGAAAGTGTTGTCTTCCACCGAGAGCCCTGTTCGTTGTCCCTTTGGTATGTGCGATTGCCTGAAGTCGTGGAAGGGTTCAGCCTGATCTCCCTGTGAACTGGCCAAGACTCCGTCCGCGATAGATTCGATTCAACTATCATGGTGCTGTATGCAGCATAATGTCTCAGAATCCATCATGTGACCAAGCGTGAAGCCCTAAGAGACCCCTGCGATCCGGAGTGAAGAAAGTAGGTCATCGACCGTAAGCTCAGAATTGATCTGAAACAGTTTAGTCATGCCAATTCTCAGCCTCTTCTATAGAAAGAGCCTAGATTCAATTGAGGCAACTATGTTTGTTCCAAAATCCCGGACCGAATGCTCGAGATGCTTTGTCCAGACCGGAAGACACCGAACGCGCCGAGATCGAGACATTCGAGTGTTCTTGAACGCTGGATCATGGATCGCGCATAGCAATCGCGACCTTGACTATACGGCGTAGAGTCTTGTGTAGACCGAACAGGTAAGGCATACATAGAATGTTGGTGTCATTGCCGCCAAGCAATGAAGGCTATGCTGCGATTCGCCTTGTGATCCGCGGAAGCCGCTCCATTGCCATAGCGCTCTCATACTGTACCCATGAGAGGGCCGTATAACGGCTTTCTTGCCTGCCTTCACCTTGACTTGTGATCCGGGCTTCACGACATCGCTTTCGGCCTTTCCCTCGGAGAGATGCTGCAGAGGCATGAAGCTTCGGTGGCAAGATGTGTCGGGCGACCGTCCATAGGGCATCACACCGGTGATGTCTGTGAGCATGAGGCGCCGGAAGTCTTTGCTTGGCACGTAGTGAGATACAGGTCGTGCTATTCAGATCAGCTGAGTAAAGAAAGCCTTGACCAAAGTCAGCCATCATGGGCGTTGCAACTCCGCCGACTGGGTTGAGGACGTGCGTCGTGGAATAATCTTGTCGGTGCCAGCATGGGCAATATTCGAGCTTGCTGTTGAGATGTAGGCATTAGCAAGTACGCCGCTCGTCTGAGAGCAGACACAAGCGCCTGGGCTGGTGGTCAGAGATTTGAGTAGGAATGACACTATGGCTTGTCTGACAAAATGATACGGAACGCGATTGCCCTGTCCAAGAGCAAAGCAACTTGTCTTTTCTGCTGGCGGTAAGACGGAAAGATACTATGCGGCTGGGGGCTAGACCGACGTGAGCAACCTTCACCTGAGTAAGTGAAAACAAAAAAAAAGAAGATCAGAGTCTAATTACACCTGGTGGACCAGGCGTACGAGGGACAATTGAGCGCTGTAGCGTACTACACGGACACCCTACGTGGGACTCGAACCTGTTTTGCTGTTAACAAATTGTCCAAGAAGGCTGAACTTGCATGCGTAACTCACCCACAACCTCAAGATCTCGTCCTGCAGTGCCAGATTTAATCCTGGACGTGCAATAGAAGTCTTGCGCGCTACCATTGCGCCAGCACTTTGACCAATTAGCGCAGGACTGGAAGGATACCGAAGCTGCTTGACTTACGGGCTGCGAAGATCGTAGTGAAATGATTGGTCAGCCTGATTGAAAATAATATATGAAGGCGACATCTAACACATCGCCAGAGGAATGACTGTGGAGCCCCAGGGCAGGCAGCAATGATGGTTTGTTGAGGTCGACGGGCGAGAAAAAACTCTGCGGGTGGTGGGGTGAACTTGCCAAGCTTCTGACGTGGAAATTGCTGCCTCAATTTCTGGGTGTTTCCCCTTGAAGCTCTCGAACCTTGGCATATCATACATACGGTGGGGCTGAACGCTCTTCTCGGTGGAATGTGGTATGACTGGCGTTTCCAATATGCTGCAGCTGTCAGAGACTTAGTCGCTGTCGGATTGATCCAGAGCCTCGTCTCGAATCCCTCCCGCATCTTCCACTTGCTCCTCCAGTGCATCTTCCATTGGCTGATCATCTTCAGACTCTTCTTCGTCAGGCACTTCGTCTTCTGCTCCCTCTTCGTCATCTTCTTCCTCGTCGTCCTGGTCATTGGCGTCCTGCTCATCGTCTCCGTCATCGTCGACCATGTCCTCATCACCGCCCGGAGTTACTGCTGCACCGTTTTCAGCCTTGAGTTTCTTGGCTGGTCTGTCAGTTTCGTCTTCAGCGCCAGCATTGCTAGCGCCATTTGTCGTCGCCGCTGTGGCTTCTCCGTCTTTGGCGATCTCTGACGTTTCACCTTCGCCTGTTGGCTTGTCGGTGGCAGCGTCTTTGTCTGCTTTTACTTTCCGTCGGTAGGTGTTGCGCTTATCACATTGGGTATCATTATATTCTGTATCATGTCAGTGGAAGATCTTGGAGGCTGGCAGTACATGGCTGAGATCTGGCACCTACTCTTTAACTCAGCTTCCAGACGAGGTATGAACATCTCGTATTCTGAGTCTTTGAGGGCAGCCATTACGTCTTGCGGCGCTATCGTCTTCTTTCCTGCGGCTTGTGCGTTGTCGTTGGAGCTGGTGGCGGATTAGTCCCACTGGTAACTGTGGCTACGACATCTTGCCATGAGAGTGTGATCTTGACTTACTTGGAAGCGATGAAGTTCACAAAAACTGTCGCGCTCTTATGCAGTGCCAGTAATGCATCCTTGTGTATCTGTGTGTTTGGCGGTAGGACTCCTTTTGCCTGGAGAAGCGGCGTTAGTCCACAGCATGCTCGCAGGAGGCCAAATCAACATACTAATCTCGCAACCATCGACTTCGGCAGTGACAAGTCTTCCACGCTGAGCCCATCCTTATCTTTGCTGGCCTTCGATTGTGCTACTGGCGTGCCTTCTGGGATCTCTTCTGGTCCATTCGAGGTGGTCGACACGTTCGACTTCCGCCCGGGCATGATGTGTGATTTTCGCGGAGTCTTGCAGATGTGACGCGTCGGGTTGTCTGGTCAAACGGGTGCTGATGAACTTGATTCTGGATGGTGCTAGTCGATCTTTCGCCGTGATGCTTGCTACAGCACGGAGACGTGACAGTTTCGTGTTTGTGTTTAACCGGATCTGCAGCTCGGGACGTGCCGGCTGCCGAACTTGACACCAAGCTCGACTTCCTCTTCCGTTTCTCTGTTCTCCAAAAAGGACCAACACGAGCCATTCATGCAAAAGAGCCTACGTGCATGTGACAGCTTTGAAACATATCGGCCGGACTCTGCTATGACAGATCTCGCATATGTGGCTATTCGCCGTGAACGAATTTCACCACTCACTGCTTCACACCAGGGTCGAACGAGTAGCAAATTTCACGGAGCCTTCTACTGGCAAATTGGCAGAATGGCTCGCTGTACTGGTACATGGCATCGAGATGGCGCACATACTCTGCAGACACCTGGCTGATGTTATCTGGTCATGAAATGAGCTATCCATGCCAAAACCGTAAGCAGCTTGTCCTCCATAAAGTCTAATCTATATTTTTGGTCCGGTGATGTACCCAAGCATCACGCTATATCCTCCTCAATGCCACTTGTCCGCCTAGCTGCTTACTCTTCACTCGCGAGTCTCACTCTGATAGTGAGGCCATGGAGGAATTGGACTTAAAAGAGCGAGTTGTGCTCAGGAGAAAACGCATCGATCTACACAGCCACATCAGAAGCAAGGGCCACTACGGCCTAGGTGCCCATGTCACCAAAAATGACATTCGCTCTATCGAGCAACCCACAGCAGAGCTTCGAACCACGCTGGCGACTACATATTGGTTACAAAGAGCACTGACAGATTTGCCCCTTTCTCCCACAAGTCAAGCATCTCTAGAGGAAAGACTTCGCAGAGAGTCCGAATCATCGCCAAGTACATCTACAAGATCTGCTTCATCCACTTGCGATATCAAAGGCCCCAGCTTAGTCGACATACCAAGAGAAGTACGAGCAGCAATCTACGAATACTGTGTTGTTGGGCAAGGGCCAATCTGCCCTCTACTACGATTTTCTGACGACTCTTGCTCGAATAAGGAGCATTTCTCGAAAACTGGTCTCCCAGCGTTGGCAGAAGCCCTTCCCGTTCTGAGCAATGAACTGAGTACGATGTTGCCAGCCTTTTACAGATCGAACACTTTTCGATTCGACGTGCGCGATGACCACGGCATGGAGACACTCTATCGATGGATGGAAGAGAATGAGGAGGAGAGCTCAGCAGCGAGTACGGTCAGCATCAGGCACTGGACCTGGTGGCGGACACCTTCTGGACAACGGGAACATGCCGCTGATGAGACTGTCTTATCGCTGTTGCCGACCGGCCTCATACGACTCACTCGGAGAGGTGGCAAGTTCGATCCGGCGGTATGCAACTGCGACATTGAGGATTTCATGTACATGCACTGTCCGCGCTGGAACCTCAACAAGCCCTGGTCTGTAGCTGAGTTCGTCGATGCCCTGCGCCAGGAAGACGAGTTGCTTATCCAGGCGGTCACCAAGTTCGTGGGCTTCATACAGCAGCAAAACAATGGCTTTCACGAATGGCGCAACTGCCCGAAGTCGTGCAGCTCGTGCGGAAAAGAAGTGATGCTGCTCAGTTCATCGGATGACGTGTAAGATGCGCGAACTTCGAGAGGTTGGGCGTGCATTTCTTTGAACTGGCATTGCCTACAACCTGCTCTCCCCGTCCAGCTTCATTTGACTCGTCTTGAGAACGAACGGTGCGCTCTGGCCAACCATGAGCGAAGTTGGCATATGACACAGGCAGGCCTTGGCTGTTCTTCGAGGTTTATGTGAGCCATGCAGAAGCCGGTGGAACACCAGTGCCTCGTTTGCGTTCACATGCGGTTCACTTGACCCTGCAGCTCGCTCATAAAAGCGCCACTCTTGCAGCAAACATTTCTCAACCCGCAACTTCAACACTGCCGATGTATTACGACTACAATTCAAAACATCCACCGCAACGACTCAAGTAACACCATTTTCATCTTGAGCGGCGTGTCAGCTTTGTCTGTACTCACACTCCATGACTCCCAATTCCGACATCACATCACAGCTCTGACACGGCAACTCAAAGCGCCCTCAAGTCTTCATCGGAGTTCTCTACCAGCAGCTCCAATGGCAAGTCCGCCCAACGATCGCGAGAGCTTCCTCTCCACGCAGCTCAAGAGCGCCACCGTGGAAGAGGGCGCAGAATGCGGCATCTGTCAGGATCTCCTCAAAGAACCGGTCAAGCTACCATGCGACCACGTCTTTTGCAGAGAGTGCATCACGCTCTGGCTCACAGACAAGAGCACCTGCCCGCTCGATCGTGGCGTGCTCTTCGAGAGCGAGGACGATTGGGAGACTGACGATGAGGGAGAAGGTCCGGAATCAGTCGAGGCCATGATTCAGAGCCTGAACGAAGGCGCGAGAGAGATGGAGAGAGTAATCCCGGCGATTCAGCAAGCTGTCCGAAAGACGCGCCGCAAGGTGGAGAAAAAGTTTTACGGGCTTTGGGGCTCTTCCAACGAGGGTCTAGCATCACAAAGCGAGATCGAGCAGGCACGCGAGGAACGCAAAACCTTTCAGAATGCTGCTGAGGTACTGCGATCTGGAGAGCAAGATCAATGGAAAGGAGTCTACACAAAGTTCCTGGCCAAGGCTACCGAGGATTCGGGTCGCGAGATTGACAGCCTGGACGACAGCCAGCTCGCAGATGCAATCATCCTCGCGGAAGCCAGACGAGCGCAACTTCTAATGGCTATCACATCATTCACAGCGCTGATAAACATGGCAACGACCCTGTCTATCCTGGTAGATGTCCCACCCGAACTTCAGGGGATCTCAGCGCTGTAATCTAGATATCGGGGGCGCTGATCGTGGACACAATCAGGATTCATTATCTTACGACACATGCTCCTGCAACTCGGCTGCGGAACTGGCCTATCCAACCTGATCGAATGATGACTATCTGTGTTGTTCTTGCCTTCAAGCAAGAAATGCCGCAAGAGCACAACAGAAGACCAGACACAGCCGCAAGCAGGTCCGAACGCTCGACGCGTTTTCGTCGACATTTTCAATACCCACGCGAATTGATACAAGGCTTCTGAAGAGTATTAGCAAAGTGTCTCAATGAAATCAACACGGTACATTGCTCTTCATCCATTACACATTCTCCCTCTCGGCGATGCATTTCTGCGCCGAAGAACTATAAGCATCCTCTAGCCTAGTCATTCACTCACAGAGGACATATCTGTTCTCAGGCAATGACTCATCTACTGTACTTGTGTAGCACTCCACTGCGATTTACTGAGAGCTCGATGACACTTGCTCATTCACCTGTCGAACCTGTTCACTTCTCCAATCTCCCCATACAATTAAATCTCAACCTTCAACCTGCAACATGCACAACCCATGCCCAAATATTTATCCACCATGTCCACCACCCTCCCAAGCAAACGCGACTTCCTCGCAACAGGCCTAACACCAATCCCTGACACTCATTCAACCGGCTCATGCCCCCTCTGCCACAAATCCATCACCGACACAGTAGCGATCCCTTGCTCAAACCAACACGCCTTCTGCAAATCCTGCATTATCGTCTGGACGACCGTGAACAAGAAGTGCCCTGTAGACGGCGAAGTGCTCTACCAAGGACCGGATCGTCGAACCAATGTGTTCTATCTGCTGGAGATTACTATATTTGATGATGGCGGTGGTGCGAATGCTGGACGTGAGTTGAGTCTTGTGTATGTCTTCGCGTATCGCAGTTCGAGTTCGCTGACACTTTGATAGAAACAGGTTCTGGTCAGGAGCCTCGGGGTCGCGGTAATGCAGGCGGCGGTGATCCAGAGAGGGGTCGTAGACGTGGCGAGTGAGTTCGAAGACATGGGTGTTAGCAGCGGCGCCTGGCAGTCAGCAAAGATGAAGACGACCTTGGATAGAGAGTCTTGACTGCGGAGAAGCACGAAGTTCGAGTCCTGGAAGAGGGATGCAGAAGCGCTCAGAAGCAGTAAAGATCAAGGTTGCGCCGTTCTGAAAGATGATCACTACGAGAGAAGGGTCAGCGCATTAGAATTCTTCAAGCTCCGGGTAGTCAGGTGTGGAGGATTGAATCGATTTCTTCGCTTTCGACCTCATGTCTTTGCGATATGCGAGCAGTTTCCCAGTGCTGTAAGGCATCTCGTGCCTGCGCGCTTAGTCCTGCTTCAGACTTGTCCAAATCATCTCTACGCAGACCTTCCAGTCATTCAACTTCCCACACAGCGTCTCTAGCACTCTTCGCCCTTATGTCTCTCGTTCCTTTCCCCCTTCCATTTATACATGTTTCGTCCCCCCAATCTCACTCCCCTTAACCTTGGTCCAATCAATCTTCCCATCCAACTCCTCATCCACCAATCCACAAACCACCACATTATCCCCTCTCACCATAAACAGCCCTCTAGCCTCCTCTTCACTTTCCTCATCGTCATCGGGGCTCTTAATAATTCGTTCGACGCAATTCTCCAGTGCCAGATTCGTGACTTGATCGCATGAGATGAGATTGCCGACCATACAGCGGCCGTCGACGAGGATGAGGCAGACTTTTTCTGTTTGAGAAGAAAGAAGGTAGAATTGTTAGAAAGTGGTTCGGTCTAGGCTTTTGCGATTCTGCAAGGGTTTGGATGTAGGGCTAGCGCTCTGCGAAAGAATTTCGTGTGAGCGAGCAGTAGAAAGCAAGGGCCGATTTGTGTAGGTAGGAAGTGTAGTGTGCTAAAGGTCCATCGAGCTGTGAAAGGTGAGGCTTACTGTTGAGGTAGCTGTTTAAAGACATGACTGCCTGCGTGCTGCGCTGCCAAAGCTGGCGCGCGCAAACACGATTCTGGGTGTATTGATTTGTCGTCGACGCGAATCAGCCCAGCTTGAATTGAGGGCGCGCGCAAGGACAGGGAGCGGGTCGTCTCACATGAAGAGTTGTTGGTAATGTGAAGTTCGTGAAGTTGGAGAAGTTCGGAGCTCAAGAGCTACGCGAGTCATGCAATCAGACGTCAACAGGCACAATCGATATGGAATCAGCTCAATTGAAAGTCGCATTAGAATATAAATCGAAAAGGATTGCAACATGTTCAAGATATTTTCAGTGTCGTTTGCAGCACAGCCTCTAATGGCACTCTGCATAGTATCTAGTACAAGTACATCTGTACGGAGCGTTTCGTACATTTATGCTCTCTTCAGCTCTCAAGGCTTTTGCTCGCTCATTACAGCGAGTGCCGAATCACAAACTCCATACAGAGACGGACGCGTCGCCGGCGTCGTCTGACTGTGCATGCAACTCGAATGTCAATATAATAGAATAACACATCCGCCAGCGCCAACGCTTTTCCCGTACAGAGCTGCGAAAGCTATCTCTGTGTATGCATGAACCCGCAGTAATAATTTCTTGCACTTTATCGCTTTCTGTACGCCTTTCTGAGACATTGTGTCCAGTAACCGTCATGGGTAGCAATGCTGTAATCCTCCAGTTGATCGAGCTGCACAAAATTCGAAACGCACGGCTCCTAGTCCTCGACAGCAGCAGTTTCTTGCTTCGGCTCCGAGGCGGGAGCGTCAGCCTTGGGCTCGTGGTCCGATTCCGGCTTGCCGCTCTCTGCCTTGGACGAAGGCTCTTTTTCCACCTTGCCTTCCGTTTGAGGCTTTTCGTCCTCCTCGGCCTTGTTGTTGACCTTCGGCTCTTCCTTGGACTCTGCCTTGGCTTCCGCTTTTGATTCCGCCTTTGGCTCGACCTTTTGCTCTGCCTTTGGCTCCTCCGCCTTCGAGGTGCCATTGGTACTAGCAGAAGGCTTGGGCTTGACGGGATTGTTCTTGGTCGCAGTGTCCTTGCCTGCGAGTTTCGTGTACATGTCACGCAGCTTGTTTCCAGGGACACGTTTCTCCACTGCTTTGGACTGTGGCCAGTGATGCTCACTCACATAGTCCCACAGTGGATCAACAATGTCTTTGCCATATTGTGGGATCTGGGCATTGATATGATTGCCAATGGCGACGATGCCTGCCTTGATAAGCTTGAGTCGAGCCTCGTCGTCGGGCATGCGTTTCTTCGTGGCGCCGGAGACCTTCAGAAGCGTCGGGCTCACAGCATCAAGGATACGACGCGCCTTTTGTTCTGATTCGGTCAATGGCTTGGGCACGCCATTTGCATGGGAGCTGCCGTTGCGATGATGGCCAGGTCGTCGACCCTCAGAACCGCGTGGACGATGGCCATTCGGCGAACCGGCATACGGTGTACGCCGATCCATGCTGTTACGAATATCAGATTGGTGGAGTCTTCGCCCATCGCTTGAATGCTTGTTACGCATGGGGCCAGGACTTCCAGACTGTCCAGGTGTGTTCATCCGGCCATGGAACTGACCAAGATGCTTCCTATTGTTGCGATGGTGATTCTCGAGGGCTTTCTTAGCGGCCTGGTTTGTCCCATTGCTCATCTTGTCTTTGAGCACGCTGAGCAAGTAGTTGGCCCGACGGACGAGATGCACCGCACCGGGAGATTTGGCAATTGTCTTCTCGTCGCCGGCCTTGCTGCGCTCTTCCTTGGCTCCGACGCGATGTTCCTCGAGGAAGAACTTTTCGCCCAAGCCCAACTCGGTGTCATCGCGAATGGGAACCCAGGCTCCATAGCCATGGCGGGCAATACCGACACAAAGCATGCCATCTTCTTTCGCACCCCATTCGCTGGTGTACGTGGCGGGCTTTGAAGCTTCGGGCACGCGGAAATTTCGCCAGTCAGCGCACTGCTCAACGCAGGTGCGAATCATGCGCATCTCTTCTGGGCGTTCTGTGAGCGTTTCGGCGTTGAGTCGCTTGACCCCGCGGAAGTCGAAAAGCACTGCCTTCTTTTCTTTCTTAGTGACAGGTTTGCCAGTCGTCCTCTCGATCTCATTCTGGCGATCGACTTCTTCCTGTTGCAGTCGGATTGCGGTGTCAATTACTTCTTTAAGAGTATCCCGAACCACATTGACGTCGCGTCCTAGTAGCCGTGCTGCCTTGATGATTTCGTCCTGCTTCTCGTCCATCGCGCCATAGCGTTCGTAAGCGCGAATGAGGTGACGACACTCTTTCTCACCTAGTGCACGTTTCGGATCCAGGCCATTGTCGGAGTCATCGTCGGGACCGGAACCTTCGTCGTCGATGTGCTGCATGTTGGCCTCGCGAGCTCGCTTCTTTGCCGCACGTTGGTCACGACCATCTTCCATCGCAGACTTGCGTTTTCTCGGCTGATTCTGCTCAATGACAGACTCAAGGTACTCAGCTTCCTGCTTCTTCCGCTCTTCTTCCTTGAGTTTGTCCAGCTCGGCCTTGGGAATGATGTCGTCCCATTCCAGATCGATCTTGACGTCGGTGTACTCAAAGCTGCGCAGGAATTCTTCTCCACCATCTGTGGTCATGCCTTGAGGTTGTTCAGTTTGGTGCTCCTCGGCATTTTCAAGGACGGCATCGATATCAAGCTCCTCCAGCTTCTTTTGGTTGCCAGATTGCTCGAACATCTTCTGTCCTCGCTTTTTGAGGATGTTGGAGATGTCGTCAGAAGATGTGGGCTCAGCAGTGCTTGCACCAATGCGTTGCATGCGATCGCCAAGATCCCGTGCATCTTTGTCGGTGACACCACGTTGAATGGTGATGAACTCCAACATCAGCTTGTTGCGAGCACGCTCAAGGACTTCCTCCTCGACGGTGTCCTTGGACACAAATCGATAGATGGTGACTGGCTTCTTCTGGCCGATACGGTGTGCACGAGCCATAGCTTGCAAATCTGCTTGTGGGTTCCAGTCGGAGTCAAACAGAATGACTGTGTCAGCGGTCATCAGATTGATACCGAGACCACCAGCTCGAGTAGACAGCAGAAAGCAGAAATCTTGGCTGTCCGGGGCGTTGAAGTGGTCGATTGCCATGCGACGTGGACCCGCTGCGATAGTGCCGTCCAGTCGTTGGAACTGATATCCTCGAAGCTGGAGGTAGTCACCGAGCAAGTCAAGCATCTTGACCATTTGACTGAAGATAAGCACTCGATGGCCATCCTTTTTCATCTTGGTGAGCAGCTGATCTAGCAGCATCATCTTGCCGCTGGATGTGATGAGAGCTTTGAGCTGGTCCTCGCGGGAGTCGCTGCCTGCAAGTATCCGTTCTTCTGCGTTCGGGAACATGAAGGGGTGATTCGAGGCTTTTTTCAGCTCCATCATGATATTCAGCAGCGACGTCTTCTGTGCCTTGGGCCCGGCGTTCAGGGCGGCGTAGTTGCGAGTAAGAATGTTCTTGTAGTACTCGAGCTGAACATCAGACAACTCAACACGGATGATCTTTTCGGTCTTTGGCGGCAAATCGTTCTCGACCTTCTGCTTCGTTCTCCGAATCATGTAGGGTGAGATAGCATCAGTCAGTTCGGCGAGCTTCTTGCTGGCGTCTTCTGACATCAGGTCGATGTTCTCGTCGACTTGTACTTTGCCAGGCATGAGGAAATCCATGAGCGCAGAAAGCTCGCCCAGAGTATTTTGCATAGGCGTACCCGTGATCAGCAACCTGCTGGCAGCTCCAAAGTCCATCAACTTGGCGTATAGCTGAGATTCGCGGTTCTTGAGGCGATGAGCTTCGTCGACTGCCATGAACTGCCACTTCAGCTGTGAGAGGAAAGAAGCGTCTGCGAGAATGTACTCGTATGTGGTGAGAAGCACATTGAACTTGACCTTCTTCGGGTTGCCATCAACGAGAAGTTCGTACTCGCGGATGATCTTTCGAGCAGCTTCATTGCCGTTGTAGACGACGTAGTTCAAGTCAGGCGTCCAGTTGTTGAAAGTGTCTGCCCAAGCTGGCATAGTCGACAGAGGCACAACCACAATGAATGGTCCTTGCTGACGCCGATCGTGTCGAAGCCAGTTCATGAACGATACCGTCTGCACGGTCTTGCCGAGACCCATCTCATCTGCCAGAATGACGTTGTTGCCTCTGCACCAGTGATGAGCCAAGAAGTTCAGGCCATGTATCTGGAACTCTCGCAGCTCGCCACCCTTGATGTAGGAGGGCTGCACTCGGAATGGTTTGTACGGCGAGCGGGTGCTGAGGCTTTGCTCGGACTTGTCCGACACTGGGAGCTTAGCAGAGCGATCGAGGTACCGATCAATCTCCGTCTGCGCTATGCTGCTGATCAGTTCGGCAGTCTCCCATGTGCATGCATCGTAGAACAAGCTCTTCCACTTGACGAAGTATTCGACGCCATCGTCACCGTCTCTTGAACCGATTACGCGCTCAACTTGCACGTAGTCATTAAGAGAGTCCAGGTATGATTCGCGGTCGAGGTTCCATCGCTCCTTGTCTTCGGCGGCGACATCGGGATCGGTCTTGACCTGCTGTTCGATCTTGACAATCTTGCGGAAATAGTTCTCTAGTCGACGGAAGCCTTTGTAGCCAGATTCGGCGAGCTCTTTCCATGTATGCCACGTTGCATGGTAATGTGCTTTGCCTTGCCATTTGATCTGTAATCACGTCAGTGCACCTCACATGTGATGTCGGTGTCAGTGAACACTCACGTAGAATTCGTAGTCATGCTTGTCAGGAAGCTCAGTCTCTGCAGATGCGCGTTAACTCTGTCGTGGTACGGCGTTTAGATTTTTACGCACCAACTCCCTCTATCACACGATGATTGAGGATGGCATCGATCGCCGGCGTGTTATCCTCTTCTGCGTAAGTCCAGTAGTTCGGCGTCAAGTTCTCCGTATCATCCTCTTCGAACTCATCGAAATTCTCGTCCTCGTTGTAGGTTGTGACTTTTGCTGCGCGACGTGACGAGAAGCGCACCTCGCCCAGGTTAGGTGTACCTGAGCCAGAGGCGATGTCCTGCATCTTTTGCCTGTGCTTTTTCGCAAACGTGCGGCCGCGCTGACCGCCATAGGTGTCCTGATCTGAGTCTGAGACGTCTGATGTAGCGGCACGCGATGATTCCCGAATGGAAGCTATCACAAGGAACGTCAGCATTCTCCTCGGTGGTATAGTATATGTTGCGGGCAGGACTACATACCTGGTCTGGCGGGGGCGGTCTTTTGGCGTTTCCGCCGGCTGCCGGTGTTGACGGCATCTTCATCGTCGTCATCCTCTTCCTCATCAGAGCTGTCGACCTAGAAAACAAATCAGTGATGCATATAAGGCATGTAAGTGCAAGGCATCCTCACCACACGTCTAGCTGGTCGAGCTCGGCCCTATCGATGGACTGTCAGCAGGAGTGATGGGGAAGTGAGGAGGAAGCGGCGCCTACGCTGCGTCGAAGCCCATAGAGCTCGGGATTCTGTTTCATGTATTCCTCGTCGTCCACATCCGCTTTTCGTTTCCCAGGTCTCGAAGAGGGTTCGGACGATGATCTGTCGTGTGCATGCGCGTCGTCTTGCCTGGGCCGAGGACTCTCCATGTCAAAATCTGCGTCTTCTTCCCCAGGCGCGTCCTCATCTTCATCGAGTTCTGAAGTAGCCATATCGTGCACAGCATCATCATCGGAGAACATGCCCTCGTTCGCGGCGTCGGGTGAGTCCATGGCGGTGGGAAAGTCATTCGTGTCGGAAATTTCGCTCTCGCTTCGGCGTGGCTGGGCAGGTGGTTTCAAGAGGTCTCCATCGACATTATCTGTGTGCCCATTCGCCATGGAGATATCGTGAGAGGGCTTTGGATGTGTAGGAACATGAATGGAAGCCGCTGGGAGATGAAGGTGTTAGCGCGATATCTCAAGACTGAGCAGCTCCCACGAGCTGAAAATTTGCACATCCGTCGAACAGCACTACGCGACCAGTTTCCCCGCTCGAACGTCGCTAGATTAGACAGCAATGCCATATGGCACATGTCCGACCGCGATAGGTGCCCTCGTGATGAGATGGATATGATGACTCGGTCGGATGGCTGGCGGTCTCCGGCGGCAGGAGGTGACTTGTGGGCGCTGCGCTGGGTCACAGAGTATCTAGCGCGCGTGGTATCGGCGTCTCAAGATGTCTCGAGGTGTTCTGGCGATGGGATATATCGGTTGCGATGGTCCTTCGATGGCAGACTTGGGAGATGGCCTCGGTCGCTCCAGGCGGATACAGAACGCGAAAACTGCGAATAAAAAGGGAGAGGAGGACTACTTACAGGCCATGGCTGCACTGGCCTCGGCGGCAGCAATAACAGGGAGGGAGTGTGGGAGGTGGTCTGGTCTGGGTGAAGTGAATGTGTGCACGCTCGTTCTGAAGACCGAGAACGCTGGACGGAGCGGATGCCTGAGCCGGGAGTCGGGGCGTCAGGCCAACAATTGGGAGCCGATCGTGGGACAATGGAAAATGACGGCCGGCGTCCAGCCAAGAACGGCGTCGCACTGCTGTTTGCGTCGTGAAGAGATGATGTTGTTCTGGTAGTCGTAGTGTACTTCTACTGCGTCGAGGAACCGCGTCTGCTCCGCCCGGATCGCACCTTCGCCGTCGCCAAAGTGTGGGAAAATCCACCGCTTCCTGTGTCGGCAGCCAGCACGAGGACCCCTCCAAACCGCCCGTCGAGTGCCCACAGCAGCCCACCAACCAGAACACGTCTGAACTTCTTACTCGCCCCAGGAATTTTGCCAATTGCATACCGCGTCTGCTCCTCTGCTCGACTCATACTGCTTCAGTTGCGGCGGTCAACATCTGCGCGGCGCCCACCTCGTCCACTTCCCCGCCGTGCCGCTCCTTCGTATTGTTGAACGCACTCTGGGCGCAGCCTCGAGGCCTCCAGCAACATGTCGGACAAATTGACACGGTGCGTCCTGCCCCACCACACGCACTGATTCGCAGGAAACACAGCGCTGACAGTCGCCCACAGTATTGCAATTGTCAACTCAGACAAGTGCAAGCCGAAGAAATGTCGTCAAGAGTGCAAAAAGTCCTGTCCCGTGGTGCGGACGGGAAAGCTGTGCATCGAAGTCGACCCCTCCAGCAAAATCGCCTTCATCTCTGAACGCCTCTGCATCGGATGCGGTATCTGCCCTAAAAAGTGCCCCTTCGACGCCATCAACATCATCAACTTGCCCACGAACCTCGAAACGCAAGTCTCCCACCGCTACAGCGCCAACAGCTTCAAGCTGCACAGACTGCCCTTGCCACGACCAGGACAAGTGTTGGGTTTGGTGGGAACCAACGGTATTGGAAAGAGTACGGCATTGAAGATTTTGGCTGGGAAGCTGAAGCCCAACTTGGGACGATACGATGATCCTCCGGATTGGGAAGAGATCCTGAAGTACTACAGAGGATCAGAACTGCAAAGTGAGAAAAACTACCAAACGCGGTCGGGATGTGGAGGAGCATACACTGACGCCAGCCAGACTACTTCACCAAGATTCTTGAGGATGACCTGAAGGCTGTCACCAAGCCTCAGTATGTCGATCAAATCCCAAAGGCCGTGAAAGGCACCAATAGAACCGTTGGCCACTTGGTCACCGATCGTTCGCAAGTGAGCAAGGAGAGACTCGAAGAGATCACCGAAGCCCTAGGTGAGACATTGATGTACGCACGCTCTATCCAATTTGGCTAACACTGCTGCAGAACTGATCCAAGTCTGGGACCGCGATATCGATCTCTTGTCCGGTGGTGAGTTGCAACGTTTCGCCATTGCCATGGTCTGCGTGCAAAAAGCCGATGTCTACATGTTCGACGAGCCTTCCTCGTTCTTGGATGTCAAGCAACGTCTTGCCGCTGGTCGAATCATCCGCAGTCTTCTCCGCCCAGACTGCTACGTGATTGTCGTCGAGCACGATCTGTCCATTCTGGATTATCTTTCCGATTACATTTGTTGTCTCTACGGAAAGCCAGCCGTATACGGTGTGGTTACCGCCCCCTTCTCGGTCCGTGAAGGTATCAACATTTTCTTGGACGGCAACATCCCAACCGAGAACTTGCGTTTCAGAGAAGAATCTCTTCAGTTCCGTATTGGAGATGCCAGCGACGAATTCATGGCCGACAAAAACCGCGACTACGTATACCCAAATATGACCAAGACTATGGGTGGCTTCAACCTCACCATCGAGTCTGGTGAGTTCACCGACTCTGAGATCATCGTCATGATGGGTGAGAACGGTACCGGAAAGACGACTTTCTGTAAGATGCTGGCTGGAGCGTTGCCACCGGACGATGGCAAGAAGATCCCTCCTATGAACATCTCGATGAAGCCGCAGAAGATCACACCCAAGTTCCAGGGCACTGTGCGTCAGCTCTTCTTCAAGAAGATCAAGGCCGCATTCCTCTCCCCACAGTTCCAGACAGATGTCTACAAGCCATTGAAGATGGACGACTTCATCGACCAAGAGGTCCAGAACCTGTCTGGTGGTGAATTGCAGCGTGTCGCTATTGTGTTGGCCCTCGGTATCCCGGCCGACATCTACCTCATCGACGAACCTTCGGCCTACTTGGACTCCGAACAACGTATTGTCGCAGCACGCGTCATCAAGCGTTTCATCATGCACGCCAAAAAGACAGCCTTCATCGTCGAGCACGATTTCATCATGGCCACCTACCTCGCCGACCGCGTCATCGTCTTCGACGGCCAGCCATCCGTCAAGTCTCGTGCCAACAGGCCACAATCTCTCTTGACAGGTTGCAACACCTTCTTGAAGAACTTGGACGTCACTTTCCGTCGTGATCCAAACACTTACCGTCCACGTATCAACAAGCTGAACTCGCAGCTTGATACCGACCAGAAGTCCTCGGGCAACTACTTCTTCTTGGAAGACGATTCTTGAAGGGCACCGTTGCAGGAGGCAACTTTGAAAAACTCAACGCCAACGGCCTTCTTTTGAAGGGCCTGTTGAAGAAGTCCCGCGTCGGCACGAAGCGCAGAGCTTCTGTTAAGAGCGGCGCCGATGAGGCTCTGGAGCGGGGCGATGACGGCGACGACGATGATGACATTGACGAAGAGATGATTTCCGACTTACCAAGATGCGACCCTCTTGGTACTGCTTCGATCCGTATCAGCTTCAGCATACTCTGCTTCCAGTGCTTCCAGATGTCGCAGGAAACGTCCTACCCCGCAGGATGAGGAAAGCGGCATCTCTCGAATGACAATATGACGGGAATAACGAGTGAAATGAACGGGAGGAGCAACTAGCGCAGCTCGTTGGCAACGTTGCTGTCAGCCAGTGGCCAAACGGGACGCACGAGTTTGATGATTTCATCACAGTCAGCTCTTCGTTGATGAAAAAGGCGAACGGGCTGCTAGAGATTGAACGAGGGTGGCAGAGATGTCAGAATGTGCAGCACTGCTTACCGCCAGCGCTAACACAAGATGGTGGTCGAGGATGAAAATCAAAAAAGCAAGATTGAGGTTAACCACGTTGCTTTGGTGCTTTTATGACACGTACCGAATGGAATTAAACAAGTCACTCGTTTTGCTTCCGGCTTCATATGCAACGCGTATGTTCTGAGTGTGCTGCAGGAGAAAGACATGCTTTAGTGTTACATCCTTCATACGATCCTCTCAAAAAGACAAGTTTCCATGTAAGGATCACGTACGTAAGTCGATTCAATTCCTTCCCAGCCATGCTCTTGACGATATCGTCGCACTCGAACTTCCTCGTAGCTGGAGTCGATCTCGTCGCGTGAAAGGGGTCGTTGCTCCATTGCTGACACTGCCGAGGCATTTCAGAAGAACCATAGCGAGGGGTGCAGGACGTACGCATTTTCAGGCTCTTGCTCCTCTCTGCGGCTTCCTTCGTCTTCGCGCGTTCGGGTGCAGTAGCATCGAGAACAGATCTCGGGCACGGAACGTGCATGAAGAAGTCGACTAGATCTCTTCAATCTCACCTTCCTCCGAGCCACTTTGAAGGGCAGGAGGCTCTTCTTTCAGCAAGCTGGTATCGGGCTCAGGAGAACGGGTTCGTCCGCCTTCGCGGCGTGGTCGCTGCAGTCATTTTCAGTAAATGTTCAAAACAGTATCGATGTGAGTACTAACCTTGTTGTCGCGTCGACTCGCCATGCTGGCATCGCTCTCGCGTCTCTTCCTCACACTCGGTGGCCGGCTACCGACCACGTCGTCGTCGCCATAATCAAGAGTTTTACCCTTGTCGCGAGGATCAGCACGAGACATGTAATTCCTCTCACGCTCAGCTTCGCGAGCACGGCGCTCGCTTTCGTACAGGTCATCTCTCGTTGGCCGTCTTCGATCGTCGCGTCGATCATCGCGACGGTCGCGCTCGTCGTAGCGATCGACACCACGTGGTGGTGGCGTGAGGCCAAAGGACGCTTTCCTGTACTGTCTCTCGCGATCAGCTTGAGCTTTGCGTCTGTCGGCCTCGTAAGCATCAATCTCTGGTGTGCGGGTGCGATGTCGGCGATCGCGATCTCTGCGGTCATCTCGATCGTCTCGACGAGATCCGTTGCGGTAATCTCTGCTACGGTCTCTCTCGCGGTCGCGACGGCGGTCATCGTCCTTCTCTCTGAGACGGGCCATGTACTTATCATATGCCCGTCGTCGAATTTCATCCTCAGCTGTGTCCCAGTCGCGAATGCCTGACAGCCTAGCAACTACATCCTCGTAGCTGTCGTCCAAACGAATCGGAGGATGAACCTTCTTCATTGCCGTGCGAACGCTGTCGACAATGGCCTTCTGTTGTCGCTCGGCGCCGATCTGCTTTTCCTCTTCACGGCGCTTGACCTTTTGCAGAATCCTGTCGAAGATCATGCTCACTTCGTCCTGGTTCAGATTTGCCGTCTTTGGGTGTGAGTGCATGATCTCTGTGAATTCGTTTAGTGACGTCTCAAGAGTTACCTCGAAGCGTTGCTCTTCAAGGACGTCCAGTGCATCGTTCCGCTTTGAGCGTAGCTTGCGTTCCTCATCTTCAACCATATCCCAAAAGAGCTCTCGGGCGTTCGAAGCTGTGGCACCCGGGTATGGAGGAACGGGAACTGTGAGATAGTTGAGGAAGCGCTCATCATCTTTGATCAAGGGGAAGAAGTCTGACCACTTCGAACCTGCCTTGATCTGGCCTTCTTGCAATTTCTCGCTGAGAAGCTGTTTGTAGGCATCGCGAGCCTGTCGCTGCTTTCGCTTCTTCAACTGCTTCTCCTTCTGCGTCGCCTCGTTGGCAGATCGTTCGAGCGCCTTCATGTGGTTCTCGAAAGCGAGGAAGATGTCGAGCTTGTGTACGCCTTTCAGCGTTTCATTCGTAACGAATCGCTCGTTATTGTCGATCTTCTCTTCTGCGTCCGTCCACGTTGTGTTTGGGTCCAGTATCAGCACTTCAAGAGTCTTCTGTAGCTCATTCATGGCGTCCTTACGCCGCTTCGCCTCATTCTCTACGTGCTGCTTCTTAAGCTCAAGCACGTATTCATCAAAGATGTTGCGACGTTCGTCCTCATCACCAACACTCTTGAACGCCGATTCGTGCTCGATGGTGGGTCGAGCTGTCTTCCAGCGTGTGTAGTGCTCGATGTTGTCGTGCGTGGAAAGCATGCGGCGGAAGTCTTCGCGCGCCCTCTCCTTGCGCTCCTTTTCCTTGCTCTTTTGCTCTGCACGCATCTCGGTGCAGTACTTCTCGAAGGCATTCTTGCGTTCCTTCGGGTCCTTGATAGCGCGGTACTCGCGATCGCGAATGACGAGGCGTAGTGCATCCTGCCATTCAGTGTCAGGCGTGATATTGTTGCGTTTTAGCAGCTTGAAGAAAGCCTCCTCAGCAGCCTCGGCCGTGCTATACTCTGGCTCATCCGTCTTGACGGGCATTGGACCGCCATACCCAACCTGCTCTCGACGTGCCTCCCATGGGTTTCCGCCCCGGTCGCCGCGATCGCCGCCTCGGTCGAACGAGGGCTTCTGTGGCAGGCCGTGGTCGCGGTCATCGCGCCTACCGCGCCCTCCGTGGTAGTCGTCGCGTCCGCCGTATCCACCTCCACCGCCAGCCACGAAGTCCGGACGTCCGTTTTGCTGCTGCTGTTCCTGCTGCCTGCGCACAGCTTCAGGAAGAGTCCAGCTGGTCTCTTTGGTTACTTTGTTGTAGTAATACGTCTTCCCATCGGCCGCCTTTGCTTCAGCCCAATCCGCAGCACTGCCAGCTGGCCCTGTGGGAGCTGGGCCTTTGGAAGGAGGTGCGACCTCGACATTCGGCGGCGGATCCCATCGAGTTTCCTTGGTAATTTTGTTGTAGTAGTACGTGCGGCCATCGGCAGCCTGCGCCGCCGCCCAATCGCTCATCGTGCCGGTAATGCGCGAGACTCGTGATCCAGGCCTCGTCAGTGCGTCCGCATCGAGGTGGTGTCAATGGCTGATGGGTGCGGGCGATGGCGGAGGTGGTGTCGAAGCAGCAGCACCTGTCAAGCGCGGGAGCTTCAAAGTTTCTCCGCTGCAGTCGCGTCCGCTGGAGCCTTGGCAACGGTCAGGCTGTCCATGCTGTCCTACCCACCCAAACGCCGACCACTCGCAACATCACCTCTCGCAAGCGAATCTGTGCTTTGGACGTGCCTGCTCATCGCTTACGCCTATCTGCTGGATCGCTAGAGACTCTGGGTCGGCTGGAGCGGCGCGAGGACGTACGCAATCGACCGCCCTTCCAAGCTCCGGCTCCTGCGTGAGCAGCCCTCTCAGCGGGCACATGGCAATCTGTCTTGCTCCAGCCAATCCACTAGGTCGCTGTCGACATATGCACTATGCACGACATCTGCAATACCGGTTCATGTGGCCTCTCTGCTCCGGCCGAATATGGTTCTTCGTCCTGAAGAACATGATCGATCGACCAGTTCACCCGCAGCGGTGGTGCATGATGGCTGTCGTCTGGTTGGGCTGCGAGGCGCCATCGACCTATGAGAGGCGCGCTGCCAGGACATGGTGTGATATGCAACTCTGTCTGTCATCGCTCATCGCAGTCAGCTGGCGACCAACGGCCGTCTGCGTGGGTGCGTGGCTTGGTCTTCTCACCAAGTATTGCTGGTCTTGACCGCTGCCTTGTGACCAACCACGCGAAGCTTCTCTGTTGGAATGCGCAATCTACTGTAAGTACTAAGCGATCCGTCGCGCCCTCTGCGTTGCTAGCTCGCACTGTTCCTTCGCGATGTCCAAATGAGCGCGATGAGCGCGGCCATGACTCGAGCGGCTATACCACAATTCAGATATCACGAATGGCCGGAAGGAAAGACTCCAGCACTGCAATTCACGGCAAAAGCACCATCCACGCCAGGGATCGCACGCCAACTCAGTCCATGGTATGATCTGCCTTCGCCAAACCCGATTTCACTCTCAATCCCTTTCGTCAAACACTGCCCTGGAACTGCCCCTCTACCATTCGTGTGGGATCCAGTCAATAGGGACTACTTCTGCTATGAGCCCGAGACGACCTGCTATGTATACGCAAGGCTTGGACGCATCCACTATGATTCTGTAAAACGAGAACACTTCCGCCCGGACGGCGTGCAGCGATTGACCTTCGCAAGCACCTATCCAGAGCACCGAGTCTACCAAACCGGCGAGATCTTGTTCTGGGATTCACGCCGAAAAGACTGGTATCAATACGACATGCAAGCTCGCCGCATCCTCTGGCGTGATCACAGATGGTGGCCCTTTCCACCCAAATTCGAGCCTCCAAGTCTGAATAGCCCTCCACGCTCTCCCACGCGATCCGCTCCAGCAAGCAACGTGCAACACTCGCACTCCTCACTCTACCACACACTGCCGATCAAAATGCGCACGGAACGAGCCAAGACCGAAGAACCACGCATTGTCGAAGTCACTCCTTTCGATGCCTCCACGGTAGCAAGCGACGCAACTCACCACAGCTTACCGACTGTTATCGAAAGGCACACCCACCTCCATCCCCAGCATGACCACATCCATCTCGGGCACAAAAACAAGCACAAACACCTGGACTCCGAGACCATCGTCGTAACCGAAGAGAAAGACAACGACATCATATACGAAATCCCGCTCCACAGTCACCATCGCGGTCGCAAAAAGCACCGCAGACACAGAGGCGGGATATACGACCTGCAGGATCTGGTCGATAGAAGTACGTCCATCTAGACCACCGGACTCCCCATTCCCTCTCTCTCTAGAGAAAGTAAAGCTAACCATGTACGACAGCAACGCGAAAGAAACGGCGGTATTCGTTCTTCTGAACTTCTGCTTCCAGATCAAGGATTCCATTGGGATCTTAAATTTCTTGTAACTTGTTATTTCGCCTCTTCTGCTTCAACTCAAACACGTAGTATACAACAGTCTACGTCTTTCCTTCGATATTACTTCTCCACATTTCGATTCCCACTTCATATTCAAAACCATGACCACGTCATGCCATAACTACTTTATCCTCTATAAAAGTTAGATAGTGAATTGAATTTCATTCCAGAAGCCAAAAAGTTGGACTTTCTCACATCCTCGCGCTGCAGGACGAAGGACTCACAACTACAGCATTTCGACCATGCCACGCAATTCCCGATGTCTGTCTACCAATACAGTATCTCAAGAACAATACGAATTCTTAAGATAAACTTGAGAAGAGAAGATGAAGTATGCAAGTATCACACATGATACACATACATGTATTTCGACATGATATATCTATACATCTTCCATCTCCCTTGCATGCGCGCGACCACGCATACACAGACATGGCGCATTAATAGTTTCTCGCTTTGTCCTTCCTCTTCTCTTTTCTTCCCCTCGAATCTCTTTCTCTTTCCTCTAAATTGTTGGTATCTCTAAGTAGTAAGCGGTAATAGTAAGTAGTAGTGATCGCCATATCCCCATCTATGGTGTCATATGCCCCAACCCCGATAAGATGCCCAAAGATGCCACACCAACGACCCGGACGAAGTCCATTTCCAGTCCGGTCGTAAGTAATAGTAGTTGCTCCAAAGATAATCCAGTCGAATCGCAATCCAATGCGATTCTTCGCCGCATGTGACGCCATTGAGATATGTGTATCATAGTAAAAGCCAGGGCAAAGAAGCGTACAATAGCCTCGATCGAGGCCCCAAAATCCAGAAATGCAGGTGAGTAGTGTCCAATATTTGTTTCGATCATCAGTGCTTCATGAGTCCAGAAGAGTTCCACGTATTAGCGAGCGGAAAGGTCAAGCTCACTTCGTAAACTTCTCAGCCCTCTCCCTCTCTTCCACAATCTGCGCCTGCAACTTGCGCATTTGCGTAAAGGCAGCGTCACGCTCAGTCTGTAGCTCCGCAACTTCCATCTGGCTGGAGTTGACCCTTTCGACAACGTGCTGCACATCCTCTTCCGCTTCACGCAACAAGCCTTCCAATTCTCGCACCTTGCGCTCAAGCAGTTGGGTGCGGCTCATTTCGAGTAGAGAAGTGTCGCTGAGTTTCTTGCTTCCCAGTTTGGGGCTGACCCGCAGGAGAGGAGAAACGGGCGAAAGTTTGCTCGAATCAGGAATGGTGATGGTGAGACGTGAGAGGGCTGGGGTATCGGCTTCGTCGATGCGCTTGACTTGGGCATCGTGGTTGGCGAGCGTGGTCTCGGAGTGCTGTTGCGCTGCAAGGACGCTGTCTTCCATGCCAGCGAGACGTTTCTGCATCTCTTCTATCCTTTTCGTGGACAGTTTCTGTTCCTTCTCACCCTTCGCAATGGCCGCTGCGAGTCGCTCGCGCAGCTTGGTGTTGGCTTGAACTTGTGCCTCGAGTGCCACAGCAAGCTCGTCCATTCGAGCAGCTGAGGCCATCAGTTCTTTCGCAGCCTCGGGATCCGCTCCCTTCGCCCTCTCGCGGTAGTCATTAGCAACCTGCTTGGCATGATCTCGTTCATTTTCCGCGCGCGAGATGGTCAACTTGAGCTGACTGTCATCTTCAGGGCCTCCTGAAGGACTGGAGGGTCCAAGGTCGTCCCGATCTGACAGCATGTTTCGAAGGCCGCGAGTCTCCTGTTCGGCACGATCCAGGTCCATCTTCAGTCCACCCAGATTCTTCTCGTACTGCCATTTCTGCTCAAGAGCATCTTCAGTACGTTTCCGAAGGGTTGAGACTTCGGCCTTCAGGAAGGAAACCTCTTTTGCGTACACCGCTCGCCTTGGCGTGGAGCTCTCAGCCTTGTCTTTCGCGGCAACGATCTTCTTCATGGCGCGCTCGTGCTCCTTTTGTTGTCTGTCGTAACGCTTGATGAGAAGCTGCAGAGCCTTGTGGAGGGCGTCTCTCTGATCGATCGTGTCTTTGTCGCCGTCAAGAGATCCAGCGCGTTCTCGAGTGGCACCAGCACGGTCATTCTTGATCGATCCGACACGACGCAGACTGCCATTCCTTGCTAGCGAACCAGATCGGTGCATGCTCATACGGCCAGCATTCGCCACTCCTTCCTCGGCGATGCTGTTGAATCGAGAGTGACGGCTGTCGCCCTTCAGGTGAGCAAGTTCCTGTTGCAAGCGCGAGTTCTCGTAAACGACGGCCTGGTTGTCTGCAGCCTCTGCCTCGAGACCCTCCAGGCGGGACTTCAGTGATGGAACCACCTCGTTTCGCAGGTTCTCCGCCTCGTTGCGGAACCTCTTCAGCTCCTCCATAGTGGCACTGTAGAGATCTTCAAAGTTCTCCTTGGTCATCTTCTCTTGCCCCAAACGCCTCCTAGTCTCGTCAAGGGTACTTTCCAGCTCGTTCACCTTAACGACCAGGTCCTGCTGATTCTCTTTCTTGTCCAATTGATCTTCCAGATCCCTGACCAATTCTTCCAAGTCTCGTCTCCTATTCAGCTCGATCTGCAGTTTCGAAGCCATCTCCAATTTGATGTTTGCCTTCTCTTGCTCAACCCTGCGGACCTTCTTGTCCAATTGCTCGAGCCTCGCATCGACGTCGGTGATTGGGAATTTTGTCGAGCTAGCACCACTGTCTGAGAAGTAGTCGCTACTTCGTCGTCCTCCGATCTCGGATTGTGGAATGATGGGCATCTCAGCCCGTACGTGATCGAGCTCATCCTCCAATTCCATCTCCCGTCGTATCGAATTCGCGAGCTCCTCGCTGATGTGCTTCAGCTCTCGTTCCAGTTCGCGGACATGGGCATTCGAAGCACTGTCACCCAGCAGCAAAGGAGTGTCCGGATTGTGGAAGTACGAGGCATTCGCTTTGTGCACGTCCAGGCCTGGCGGAGTCAGCCGAGCGTATACTCGTTCCCCCGCCATCTCGATGGGCAAGGTTTTAGCCACGCCGGGAGATGGTATAGGGGAAAGGGACCGATCTGAGAATGTAGTGGTGGGAGACGACGTGCCTTCAGTCCCTCCTGATCCATTCCACCCAAAGAATCTCCCCAGGCCTCCCGCGCCTGTGGGTGATTTGGGTCGCTTTATAGACCCAGCCGAGCCTTGCGAATAGGCTTCAAGCTCCTCATCTGTCAGCCTCCTCTGTACGCCGTCCATTTGCAGAGTCATTGTGGGTGCTTTGCTTAGTGAAAGCATGGATGATCGCCTGCTTGCTCCCGAATCGGAAAATTGTTGTTCGTTACTATCAATACTGGCAATTGAATGCTTATGTGCGTGGGAAATCGTGTTATCATGCTTCGCGTGAAAGGGGGGACTGGAGGGCCGTGGGCTACTGTACGCCGAAGAGGGTACAGTGCTGGCTATGTGCGAGTCTATTGACGCACTGCGGTCGTGGGTCGAGTACCCAGCGGGGATTGTGTACGACGACCTGTCAACTGTCAGCTTTTGACTGTCACCAACGGCTGTCTCACACGCGTCTGAGCTCCATACCTGTCAAGGTCGTCGCGCGCGTGGACTGCCTCGTGGCCGAACAGGGGTCCTGCGACCTCACTGCTCTGCCGCCGGTGGGCGTGTGGTGTTGTCTGCACTGGCAGTGGACTGTCCAGCGAGTATGGCCTCCAATGCGGGTCGGCAAGCCGCGGGGATGCCTTCTCGGCTATGGAAAACGAAGCGGCACGAGGCGACTTGGCTTGCTGGAATGCTGCGAGATGACCGTTCGGACGGACAGTGCTCGGGACTTGTGAGCGGAATGCGGAGAAGGAAGGCGCGTTGATGGCCGCGAGAGAAGTCTTCTTGCGCGCGGCGAGGCCTGTAGCTGGCGGAGCTTCTGTCGCGTGGGCGACGGTGACGGCGGGCGAGGCGGCGCCGCTGGAGTCGTAGTTGCTGGAGGAGTAGTGGAGGAGGGAGTCGCGCTCGAAGGGGGCGTGAGCGGAGGTGGTATGGAGGTTGTCGAGGTCGTGAGCAGCAGGAGGAGCAGCCGTGACAGCAGGAGGGTGGAGGATGCGCGGCGTAGAGGTGGTGGTGATGCTAGGCCTCGTAGCGGAGGCGTGGTCTGCGTAGTGGTCCATGATCACCATCGAGGGCGTCCGCTCTCGACCGCTAGAGGGAGCGTGTCTAAATTGTGTGACTTGGACCGTCGGCCTCGACGTTTCCCAAAGCGTGCATGCAAGGCGCCAATCGCAAGCGCCAACGCTCACCCAGCAGATGCGGCGACGCTGTTTCGGGCATGGCCCGTTGCGCTGGTGGCCAAGCAGACTGCGCGCTGTGGCGCCGCGGGAGATGGAGGGAGCAGTGCGCAATCAGTGCGATGCTTGTGAGCCCTCCAGCAATCTGACGTCCAGACAGCAGCCAGCGCTTCCTCCGAGCAAATCACGGCAGCGCATTGCCCTTTCCTGCTGCACCCTCATATACCGCCAGCATTCCTCCCTCACCACTCACCACCGCCCATCCCTCCACACCCAGCTCCCACCACCTGGTTTGCTGTCACCACCGTCCGCCTGTCAATCTTTCGGCGCGTGCATGCACAATTGCACGCCCCACTTAGCACTCGCCAGCTGCCAGGGGCACAAACTCAATCACGGATTTAGCCCAGGAACCCGCCCGCATCAGTCCCATCTCGGCTTTCGTGCAGAACCCTAACCTCATCCAACGGATAAGGGGTCTACATACGCTTTGCTACTCTCGTCCACCCCTTCACCTCCACCAATTGCACACCACTGCACACTTGACGCCTCGCAACAGCCACGAATGTCAACAGAACTACGATGCAAAGCTCTCGATCTCTCCAGCATGTCCTGTCGAAAGCTCTGAAACCTGTCTCAACGGTCTTGACATCGCGAACATCGACCCAGGAACTGGCTGACAATTGTTTCAAACCTCAACTTGACCGATGATCGCAATCCAGCATAATTCTCCGTCTCTAGTAGACGCGCGCGGCTGCTGCACAACATCCGCAACTGTAACACGTGCCTGCAGACCTGCCAGCAACTGCTATGTGTCGGAGCTACCTTCAACTCTGCAACAAGCAATATATTTCACTCTCTCTTGCCGTGCCGTTCTGTCGGTCTCATCGGTGACCATCTTCACAGCCCTCTCAAACATGTCTTTCCTCCTCATCATCGCTTCCATTTCCCAGCACTCACAACCCTCATCTACACATTTTTCCACACCTTCGCAAAATCCTTACGAATACGCATACGCATCACTTGGCGCACTGAAACCAACCAGCAACCTGCAGCAAACACATGTGAAATTATCCCTCCTCGTCGATCATTTTTGATTGGCAAGCCTAACCTAAGTCCACGGAAGTGGCGCCGTTGAGATAAAGACGTGCCGTACACGGCCCCACGGCAAAACCGAGCACCGTGCTCGACGACGAGAGTTCACGCTCACAGCGCCTATAAACGCCTCTTCGTAGAAAAAAGAAAGCTGTGACCTTATCTACTACATTGCTGTCTATCCAAATGCGGCAAATACAAAAAGCTGTTTGAGAGATACGAGATTTTGCGGAGTAGACTCCAGGCGTTCTGTGGCAAAGTGGAGACTGGAGACTAGTAGCCAAGAACTAGACAGGATGAGGAAAGTAATGCGCATGCCTCCTAAGTGATTGATTTGTTGCGAGAGAATCAAATGTCCATCAATGTGCATCAACGTCTATCGTTATACAACGACCAAGGGCGATGGACTGTTATTCGTCGAAACGTATGTTGCTGCTTCGACAACCCTTCTATCGCACATGCAACTCACATCACAACATCAGCAACATCCATATCCATCTCCCTCGTCATCAACCTCGCATCAGCGCCTTCACTTCTTCTTCCCCTCCAAATCCGCATAAAACTCCCACCCAAAGTTTTTGCTTGGATCATTAAACCTCAACTTCCGATCAATCTTCTCAATCCTCTCCAAATCACTTTTCTCCAACACAAAATCCCCCTCCAAATTCTGTTTAATCCGTGCCTCCGTCTTACTCTTCGGTATAACACTCCTCCCCATCGTAACACCCCACGCCAACGCAACTTGCGCTCCACTCTTACCTCCATACTTCTTTCCAATCTCCACCAACTCCGGATCCTCGATCAATTTCCCGATATTCTTCCCACTATCGTAAATTTCATTCGAGTTTCCAAAGGGAGAGTATTGTGTGACGTGGATGCCTTTTTCCTTGTGGAAGGAGTAGAAGGCTGTTTGTTGAAGGTAGGGGTGGCATTCGTATTGGTGGGCTGCGGGGACGATGGAGCAGTTTTGGAGGAGACGGGTTAGTTCGGATTGGGAGAAGTTTGAGATTCCGATTGCCCGGGTTTTGCCTTTCTTTTGGAGGGCTTCCATGGCGGCGTAGGTGTTGATGTAGTCGGCATCTCCGGTGAGGACTTTGTCGTTTTCTTTGGGGAACATGGAGTCGCCGTCTTTGAAGGCTGTGGTTCCTCGTGTTAGTGTGGAGTCTGGTGATGTGATGGTGGGGAGGCTTACGTGAAGGCCAGTGCATGAGGTAGAGGTCTACATAGTCGGTGTCGAGATCTTTCAGGCTTGCATCGAGGGCCTGCAATGACAGTTCATGTCAGCGAATCTGCAGTTTATCTCCCCAACATTGTCGTGATAATGATCAAGACTCACCTTCTCCACACTCTCCGGATTATGCGAGTTATTCCACAACTTCGTCGTGATAAAAATCTCCTCTCTTGGAACACCAGACTTCTTAATACCCTTCGCCACAGCAGGCTCCGTACCATAAATCCTCGCAGTATCAATATGTCTATACCCAGCCTTCAAAGCCAAGTACACAGCATCTTCCTGCGCATCTTTATCCTGCCAAGTTCCGAAACCAACGGCAGGAATGGAAGCTCCCGTATTGAGCTTCAGCTGAGTAGTCGAAGCCATTCTGAATTGTTGCGATGCGGTCTTGCTAAGATGAGATGTAACTTGTTGAGCTCTTCGGAGAGAATTTGTTGTGTTTGCGAGAAGTCTGGATGCCATTGGGAAAGACTTGAGGAAAAGAACAAAAGAGCCGCTTCTTGTAGAAACTATGTTGGGAGACTACTGTGTACTACGAAGTACGATGATGGCACATCGAGCTTGCGTGCTGACTGTGATGGCCTCACAGGGTTCTCTTCTTACCTCACACACGGGCGAGATGGGAATTGTTCTTTCTGGCTTGTGCGACTTTGGTTGGTTCGTCGCGGAGGGCCGAAGGGAGAGCTGCTTTCATCGTGACGTAGCCGAACTGCAGGCACGCGATCTTGCGATGATGCTCCAGAAGAATCAAGCATTGCCTTTGAGCCGCTCAGTCTCGGCACTTCGGCCTGTGAATTGGATGCTTCGAGACCTCATCGTGCGAATGTCTCTCTTTCGCCAGCCTGTCGGTTGTGTCAAGACGTCACTGCGAGATCGTTGTTGCTGTTGATGCCGACGACGACGCGTACGCGCTTTCCCGAGCACTGCTGCTGCTTCGGCTGAAATTCGGCAGTCGCGTCTGTGTCCACTCCATCTCTTCCTCTCTCTCAGGTCCCTTCACTCATCGAACCGTTGAAGACACCCTCCGTCACCCTGTGCCATGCAGCGGTATTCAAGCGACCCGTCCTCCGAAATGAAAGTGCGGGCTAGGACAATTTACCCGTGAAGAAATTGTCAACGAGCGAGGAGAGGAGAAACGATGTGCCGACCGTTGAGCTTACCACGATTCGTGCGTTTCGTCTGAAGATCTATAATTGAGACATCAATATAGGAGTTCCAGATGTTCGAGAAGAAGCGAAAGGACTGCTCGGTTACGCGTGATTGTATCAGCGATGAGTAGAGTGGCTGACGCGACAGACGATGAAGGAAGTTTGCCTGCAGCGAACACGTCGCAGACAAGAAGCGCTGCAAAGCTGAAAATAGATGCTGGAGAAGACCTGAGCATCTTGGTCGCCATACCGGTTTCTTCACAACGTCCAACTTTCAGGCAACGGAGAACGTGGCTGGACACATGCTCAGTACGCGCGGCCACAATGCGACCTTTCGCACTGCTTGTCTCGACATGTCCCAGATGAAGGCCATCTGGTAGCTGGAATAGCCAAAGGCCACGCGCGTGAAGAAGGCCGAGCTTGAGTCGCATGACTTGCAACTGTGTCCCCTTGTCGTGTGAAAAAGCCTCTCTCGCCAATTGCTTAGCAGCGACACACGACTGCGACCCTCGCCTCGCCATGCTTCACGAAACTGCGTGTGCTTACCCTACATGCAAACAATACGAGGCCATGAGCGACAACGAGGCTGCAACAAGTCAGCATAACCCATGTGCGCTGCATCTCGTGATGCCGACTCGCAAAATTGCTTCACCTTCCATGACTCTTCAAACCATTCGCCTGCTAAATTCAATCATAAAGCACCACCATTTCCAGCCTCAAACGTGTCTTCGAAACAGGCATCTTCCCTTCAGACACGCCACGCATTATGAAACCATTTAGAGCAACTTGGCATAGCAGGCTGGACCTCACGATGAAAGCACATTAGCTACAGACTTCGCTGCTTCACTGACAATTCAACCTTGCACTTGCACTTCCCATTCTTGTTCATCTTCGCAACTCTGAACTCCTCTCGTTGAACATCATCATTACCCAACGTCTCAATTCGCACTCTAACTTAGCAAAGATGCTCCTCACCACCCGTCTCTTGACAGCAACCGCTGCCTTTGCAGCCCTCACCTACGCTCAAGACCAAAACCAAAACCAACAAGCCGGCTCCGAATCCCAAACCCAAGATGCCGCAGAGCTGTACGTTCCATTGCTCATATCCACAATCAAACAAAAGTCCACCTTAACTAATCCTTATCGTTTGCTCTCTTTAGCCTCTCTGTCGTCTCAATTCTCCAAACGGCCCTCCCATCCTCCCTCCTCAACGAAGCCCTAACCAACTCCGCTGGCGTCTCCTCTCAAATCGCCTCGCAATTCGCCGCAGGTGAAACCCCAGGCTGGTTTTCTAGTCTGCCGAATGAGGTCAAGACTTATCTTGTTCCGACCTTGACGGATTTGCCTACTCAGACTGGAGTGTCATCGATGATGACGGAGACGGGTAGTATGACTACGGGAACAGGTGAGATTCCTTTTCTGTCTCTTCTTCTATTCGGCGAGGTTGGGTTTATGGTGTATGGAATGCTGACTGATGTGGTTGTAGATCGCTCGAGCAGTACACGTAGCAGCAGGACGAGTACTGCGACGGAGAGCTCGAGGACTAGTGAGGCGGGTGCGGGTGCTGCGGCTGCGACTGGGGCTGTGGTGGCTGGTATGGCGGGTCTTGCAGGTTTCTTCGGTGTTCTGGCTCTCTGAGGGTCAAAGGCTCTGTAAGGGTTAAGGCCCTGTCAATGGTAACGGTGGGCAGGTTCGAGTATCCAATTGGTCACTGGTTCCATCGCGGATGTTGCGAGAGAATGCTGTTGGACTACTCTGTTCGTGCGATGTGTATGGAACTAAGATGCGTTCAATCACCTATGCCTACGAACAAGCCGCTACCCATAACCTAACCTTCTGCTGCATTTAAGTTTCCACTTCACAAAGCTCAGCATAATTGTTCATGAACCCGCCACCACTCATGACCCCATATCCATCGTTCTCCGTCCAAGACCAAACGTAACGTTTCGGACGATCGGCAATGGCTCTCACGTGGGAGCACATGGGCACCTTGAACCTTGAACGCGTGACGCGCGTGCAGCAGACTATCGCGCTGTGGGATAGCAAGCGGCATCATCGCCTCGGTAGTGGCACTGAACCAGACATCAACGTGCGATAACCATGAGAGATCGCGCCATTGCTCAAGCGTCGTTTCACTCATGAAAGCGCTTCCCGATCCAGGAATGCAGGTTGCAAAGCCTACGATCGTGCATGTCTCATCATCAATTCGTACGACAAGAGCGAGGTCTTCCACAGACTTTGCGGACCTGTCGGTGGGCCTCGGTCCATCTGTACTTCTTCCCTGCGCAGAGAAGATGATATCCCCAATCGTAGTGGCGGCGGGTACCACCCACTCATCTCGTAGGTATCGTGAACCTGCAACGCCTTTTATTACCTGCTTTTCCTGGAGTAGCCAGTCGCATTGTGACTCGAAGCGTAGACGATCATTTGTATCAGCAGTTTCAAATGGTTCATCCTTTTCGCATGACAAGTTTGGACCATTAGACTTCTGCGTTTTCAAAACATCCTGCAGCTTCAACGGTTCCCGCCCATCAACGACCCTCCAAATTGCGAAACGAACACGCCAATTCGCTACCTCTTTTAAGCCTGCGGGACATGCGAGGTCGTGCCCTGCCAGATACGACGCCATCCGGGGGTGATGAAATGTGATCGCGAGTGCCTCTACGGTGTTCTGCAGCCCCTGGAAATTGAACCGCTTAACTCGTGAAAGTTCAAGTACGAGGTCGAAAGCACTTTGCTTGTAGGACGGCACTTTCACTGCCTTTAGGTTGTACGAATCAATACCCAAGGTGCCATATATCCTGTCTCGGGCATCGGAACAGAGCAAGTGCTGGACAGATTGTAAGTACGGCTTGGTACCATCTGCATTCTCCTGAGGTTCAGCTTGCACCAGAAGCATGTCCAGCATGGCGGAGACCGGCCTCCCCCACAATCCACTGAGACCTCGAATTATTACCAACGCAGCGATGTAGATGCATTTGAGGTCGAGAATCGAGAACGAGGTCCCACCGACTAGGAAAAGACAATCGACGCCTCCGCCATGGATTTCTTGGGCGACCCAAAGCCGCTGAAAGTATGGTCTTTGCAGCAAAGCGTTGAGGTCTTTGCAAAATTGAGTACGGAACTTCGAATGCTTATAGATCGGGCTTGTTTCGTATGAACATCTGCAAGGCTGGTGGTCAGATACCCACCGCATCACAGCGACTATGGCTATCCTTCCAGAACCGCACCAATTTTTCCATACTTTTCCTGGTGAGAGGGCCTCCATGGCATCTTGGGAGGGTCCGGTGTCAACAAAGGCGAAGCTTGGTATGTTCGCAAGAATGCGATCGCTGGCCTCGTCTGCTGGTCCAATGCACGCAAGCACACGACGGGCCTCGTTGTATACAGAGTACATCATTGCCACCTGCTTTCCTTTTTCGTCCAAATCTTGTTGGTTGATACATAGCACATCGACCCAGATGTATTTGGCATTCTGTAAACGAGCCTGACGAAGGGCATAATGGCAGTTTCCTCCCACTTTCAGTTCTACACCTTGGACCAAGATTTTCCGCGTTGGTTTTGCTTCGCCCCACGCATACGAAATGGCATCGTAGGCCGGCGCGGCGTCGAAATCGTAAACTGCTAGCTCGAATTCCAGAGACAGCGCGTCCTCGAGCGACTTTTCCTGCTCGGGAATCGCATTGTCATTGAGCAGACGCATGAGTTGGATCTGTGGACGATCGCCAGCGAGTTGAAGGGAATCATAGATATTTTTGTGGTCTTGATGTGCACTCATGCCGAGGGACGGGTGAAGTGCTCGGTGGGAGGAGTATCTTCGCCACTTTGATACTTGCTAGTCGGGCGACAATATGCTCTGAGCCTTGAGTACTTTGTGCGGCAAGTCTCCCAAACAACAAGACCCAGAAGCCCTGACTGCGGTCCGGCTGCGCCTCACGAACATGAGATTAGAGGTGTCGTGCCACCCAGGATTATGCGAGGCCACTGCGTACTCGGCTGCATGACACGTGACGCAAGGTCATTCTTCGTCCAAATTTGCACAGTGAAAAGCTAATGGAAGTACAAGATCATGAGCACAGCTATTCGTAGACAGCAAGACGGAGCCTCGCAAGTGACTCCACTGCTGATCCTCTCGCGAAGTCGTCGGACGTCCAGATCCTGAACGATCTAGCACCATCCCGCTGATTTTCACGCTAGTCTGCGTTGTTCCACGTGCGTAACTGTATTATCGTCCGTGGCCTGACTGTCTTTCGCATTCATTAGGAGAGTAGCGATTGAGGTCGCATTGTCCTGATCGACGCCAGCATCAAACCAATCCTCGTCTGGCCCCTGTTGAACGAATGGTTCGAGCGCTGAGATATGGACGCGTCATTCGCCTCTTCGAGCGCTCGTTCACTCTGATCGGCCGAAAGTCGGCCAATGGTATGGAAAGGCCCGAAACATTCGTCTTCGTGCCTGCAATCTGCCATGGTGCCTCACAGCACCGATGAGACACAGCTGAAAGAAGTACCAAAGTGGTAAAGTCCAAGGGTCTAAGGATGCGAGGTCTGCCTCCTCATTTCGCCTTCCTGACCAGTGTTCGCTTCGAAACACTTCCCTGCCTGTCAAGTAGCGTGATGGTGGATCGCCTAGATCCAGTACCTCTGCGTGAACTTCGGATGACCTTGACGCGATTTCCAAATGCCACGGCGACACTCTGGGAATCGAGAGTCACTGCTGGTCCAGGATGGTCGACATATAGTGAGCCGCTACCATCTTGGCCTGATTCTGCCGCAGGCACGTCAAGCGTTTGCAGCTCGCCGTCTATGGACAACTTGTATGCTTCCCACAAGTCTGCGGCCTCCTCAGTCTTCGCGCTGTCGCGTGCATTGCGTTTCCTCTGGCGGATCTGTGACGTGGAGGGCTGTCTTCTGTGGCTGCGATCAGGTGGCGCTAGTAGTTCAATTGATGGTTTTGGCGGTCTACGCAATCCCATAATGGCATGACCGTTAGCTGTTGCCCAAGCACCCGACACAGCCAGAGTATGAGCTTCGACGTCGGCTGGACTGAAAGATCGACAGGCGGCAGAACGTTGTGCTAAACAGACGCAGCCTTCCGGAGTGTCGTTAATGGTCCAAGTAGTCATGACGCATTTGTTGGAGCCTATCGCCTCTCCGACTGCTGCGATTCTTCTCAGCGCAAGGTTGCCGCAAGCTGGGCACAATCGTGAAGTCCCAATCAGAAGCTTGTCCACATCTGGACCTCCAGCGCTGATGTCGAATTTGGCAACGTGTGCAAGGGTGCCACTTTCCAGGAACACTGCCGATTTAGATGTGGTGACGACTAGGAGTTCCATGTCCAGGTCACGGTACAGCTGCATATCAACATGGCTCGTCAAATGGCCGCCGAGGTGTCCTTCTTCAAGCTCGAGCTGAAGCTGTGCGGTTCTGGCCACGGTCCACTCGCAGACTGACCAGCCGTGAGCAGTGATCTTTGCTTCCATGCCAACAGTGTACAGCTGTCGCCCATGTGCAGTGTCTTGAACCATTGCGCCCATAAGAGGCAGCTGCGAGAGCTCATCGCTGTACGAGCTCTCATCCTCAATGTAGCTCATAGCGATGCGTCCAGCAGAACTCAGCGCCAAAAAGTGCATTTTCACTCCATCATCCGTCGGGAGTGAGACGAAGGTGAATATGGCAGCCGGGTGATCATCTGGGTATTTCATCACATCGGTCTTGAGGAGCCCACTGCTGGAATGGTACACCAAGACGCGGTCATCAGCGCAATGGCATGCGATCCATTCTCCTGTGTTGTCGATGGCAAGATGCCGTATCGGCCACGTAATGTGCTTCAGAACGTGATCTGGCACTGCCACAGTATTATGTGCCTGATGGATAGGATTCTCCACAGCAATGGTAATGCTCCGGTCCAGGGCGACCGTGACAAAATGCCCGGCTTCGTTGCTGGCGATCTTCACAATATCTAGCCTGTGTGGCAGAACCACAGTGTTGCAGGTCAAGACGTCTTCGATCTGTTCCAGCGCGAAATCGTTGTCCTCGTCACCCACGTCGCTATACAGCAAGAAATTCATTAACACCGCAACGAAAGCTACGATGAACACAATGGCTACCATGACCGGGTAGAAATGATGAACAGCAAAGCTGTGCAAGATGTGTGTCCATGTGTGATCGTTGATAGGAACTCCAGTGCGATCGGACCCTCCCAGGACCACTACGAGCGGCGCAAAGAGGCGGATAACAAAACTGTCAGCACCAGGCTTCGCCAATCGCATGACCTCTTTCGCCGTATCGAAGTCTTGCATTCTCATCCAGTCCGCAGGTGTCAGCGTGGCGTTCATGGGCGGCGGTGCAAAGGTGTCGATGTCATTTATTGGGCTGGCATTACTCCTGAAGAGATTCAGGACATCTCGAATCGTGGCGCCGGCGCCCTTTCGCTCGAAGAAGTGGTAGTTCAACGACAGCACAAATGTGGTAGTGACAGCTGTTCCAGCCATCCTTGTGCTCACTGGAAGCCTGCCTTGCAGAAGCGCATCCACCCATGTATGATGCACCGCAGGCGATTGTTTTCTTCGGCGAGGTCTGTTGTGCCTCGCTGCTAGTGCATCTTGCAGCTCAAGCCGCCTTATATCCACGCTCAGTACAGCGACGAAAAAAGTGAGCAAGAAGAAGGCGTCGAAGAGGGTTGCTATCGCTGCAAAAGCGCAGAATGCTGCGACACCGGGAGATACAACAGTTGAAAGCAGACCAAGAACTGTAACATTTTGCAGTGCTGCTGCCACGGACATGGGTCCGATGTCGCCCAGAGCATTGGCGATACGGAGCTCAGTTGCAATCGTGGGAGGGTAGGCGAGCACGGCGTTGATCATTCTGAAGATATTCTCGATGCCAAGAACAAGCACAACGAATGGATACGCGTTCTGCGGAATCATGGACAAGTTGATCTGGAAGTGGGTTGTCAACATCGATAAGCGTGCAGACAGACGACGAGGTCCCATCGCTTACCTGTAGAATGTGGCAGATCGTGAAGCTAGACAAGATAGAACAAGTCATCTGAGTAACAGCAGTCACGACCAGGCCGCCGCGCGAGTGGAACGCCTTCATCCTGCGGAAGCTCAAGATAACATAGATAGCCATAGCAGAATACGCCAATGTGAGAGCTAGATGCTCTGAAATGCTCAGTGGCGTGAAGCTGAATTCGTACACGCGGTGGCGCGTAACATGGCCATCCGATGGAAAGAGCGTACACTCTGGACAAGCACCATCTGCTAAAGTCTGCATTCTGTTGTGCCATCTGTCGCCAATTCCGCCACCACCTTTGTTGAGCAAGGTGATCACGAGTGCATCGGCGGCCTTCAGCGTAGTCCTGTCGAACTGCTTGCCGGCAAAGACTGATGCTGGGCGAAGGACCACATTGAGCGAGGAGGATGTATATCTCTGATCGTTGATGGTGCCAATGATGTCGTCGTCTGCATCAATCAGATCTGCAGAATTGTTCCAGTACATCAGCGGAGAATGGAAGGCCCAGGGCACAGCACTTGATCGCAATTTGTCGTCCAGAGCGTGCATAATGTCGCCAAGGTTTTCATTCCCGACCAGTCTCTGCTGTACAGCAAGACCACGTTTGAGCACATCCTTATTGAGGGCGTCCATGTATGAGCCATGCACCCATATTTGTCGCAGCTCAATGTCAACACTGGTCGATGCATTGTCTACCGGCTTGGCTGTCGTCCAGACATGATGAGGCACGGCGGCCAGACCGGCTGTTGGGTCCTCTGACAAGAAAATAGTCGGATAGGAGAAACCCATGGCTATTGCCACGGAGAGGAGCATGACCCATAGCCAATGCTGAGCAGTCGTTTTGCCATGGCGGTAGAATGCTCTCCGGACCGGATGGTTGACGGAAAGGCGAGGCGGCTGAGTCGTGCCTCTTATGGGTGAGAGCAAGTACCAAAGCATCAGTGCAATGGAAGCTCAGTCCTGCGCGGAATTGGGTGTAATGATGCTTTCAGCACTCCAGGCCTCTGGAGCAAGCTGTCGGATACTCATGGCATATGAGTGGGAGAGTCAGACTGTGTTGTCTGTGACTGAAGAAGCTATGATTGGACTGTACAAGTAGTCCGTCGTCCAGACGCACCGATTCGTACAGCGGTCCAATGCTAAGTGCGCGATTTCAGTGGCGGGCGCGAAAAAGGTGAGTCTGTGTGACATCGAACGATGCAAATGTCGAAAGGATTGATGGCAGAAGGGTAGAACTAAGCCACATGCACGGCCCAGCTGCCTGAGCCACACCTTCAACCTGAGAGCTTGCTGGCTGCTCGCCAACTACGTCAAAGACGACGGAGCTCTGTCTGTCTGTCTATACCAATAATCGTACTCCCACGCTCTTTTCATACTCCGCCGACCTGCCATCATGTCGATAGACCCGCCGGCATATATTGTCTCGCTGCAGAACAACATTCGCGCGCGGCCCATATCATGGGAGGGAGCTGTGCGAGCGAAGACCATCACTGATGAGGACCTAAAGAAGATCAAGGCGATCGACAAGGTGCGAAAGGAGCAGCGGAAACAGACCATCGAGAATTATGTCCAGACATACACTGCCCTGCTCCTTGGGGAGGGCCAGACCCGAAGCATCTTCGAGAGCGCGGCCAAGAGGACAGACATTCTCCAGTACATGCTGGTCCTGACTGGAGATATTGTGGATGGTGAGCCAGCGCCATGTCTGTCGCTCTCGCACCGAGCTCTACTGACCGCTGCGCAGACATTCCCGCCCTGACCGAGTCTCTCATCAAGCACCCACACCCATACAAACCACTGCTTCCACTCCTCAAACAGTCGAACAACCCCGAAGACCCCATTCCTCTCCTCACATCCTCCGTGCTCGCCTCGTTGCTGTCGCACGCTCTTGTTGCACAATCCAAATCCAACCCTGAGATCGACGAAGCCCTACCGAAGCTCTACTCCTACGTCGCCGAGCTGGCCAAGACATCCGACTCCAACCTCCAAGACATCGCGGTGCAGGAATACAGCGCGCTGTTGAGGACCTCCAAGTCAAGACAGCAATTCTGGAAACAACGGAAAGAGACGCTTGGCCCCTTGATGGAGGTGCTGCACAACGCAACAGGTGGAAAGGACTCGGACAGCACAATGTACAATGGTGGCTCAGCCGCAAGCATACGCAGCATGCCAGAGTCAATCAAGATCAGCGGTGTCGGGTTGCAGCTGCTATATCACATTCTCATGGTGCTGTGGCAGCTGTCGTTCGAGGGTAAGCTCGTGGGAAAGGGTTTGGACGAAGAGCACGACATTGTGCCACTATACACCCAGCTTCTACGAATCTCGCCCAAAGAGAAGACAACGCGCTTACTTCTTGGCACGCTCAACAACCTGCTCTCATCTAACAAGACGACACTAATGCCTGCTGCCCTTCCCGCGAGATTGCCTGCAGTACTCACAAATCTCAAAGGCAGACATTTGACGGATGAGGACCTGCTAGAGGATCTCGAAAGTCTGAAAAACATGGTCGACGAGTACACGAAAACCCAGACGACCTTTGACGAATACGCCGCAGAGGTCAACTCTGGGCATCTCCGCTGGTCGCCGCCCCACAAGAACGAGGCTTTCTGGCGGGAAAACGCGCATCGCATCATCGAGGAGGAGAAGGGTGCTCTGTGCAGAAAGCTGGCAGAGATCATGTCCAAAGACTGGGCAAACGACAAGCAAGTTCTCGCAATCGGCTGCAGCGATGTCGCCAATCTGGTGAAAGTATGTCCAGAGAAGCGAACACAGTTGGAGAAATTTGGGCTCAAGTCCCGGGTAATGGCACTCATGCAGGATGAGAATGAAACCGTAAGATGGGAGAGTTTGAGAGCGGTGGGCGAGTGGCTGCGGTATAGCTTCGAGCAGTAAGTCAGGCAAACTGTATGGTAGAGACACAAAGACTACTGATTCAAGATTCCACACACATCCCGCGGGGCTGCGTGCGTTCTCTATTGCATTCCTACTAATGACAGCTGTAACTTTGTTGACCGATCTGGAGACTCGCGAGCGCACGTGGCGAGTATCAGCGACGAATGCCAGCGACTTGAACTCCCCCACGACTTCTATCGCGAGCTATGTTGCAGCAAAGCATCTACGCGAATGCGCGGCAGATCAGTTTGCAGCCGGGATATATCTAAACTAACAGAATGATCATGAGGGCACTCATATACGACGTCCAAATACACTGACAGAACATGGAACATGGTCGCCACTTCCAGACAAGCTGCGACGGCAGTGAACACTGCAGAGGTATCTGGAAAAAGGTCATAGCGTGTCGCAGCACCTCGCCCCGCGCCCAAGACAGCAACTTCTCGCCCTCTGAAAAGTCTCAACGCATAACAACAAGTGGACTTACCCAAGCAGCCGTCGGATATCATGAACCCTTTATCGCCAAGCCCGTCGCCACGAGATAGGTTCTTCTCCCATGCCAAAACAGCGGACAGAGTTGGAACCACTTTTTCTACCACAGATGGAATGCACAGCTCGCTCATGCCCGAAGCAGATGAGTAGCTGTATACGGCTAGGAGGTAGGAGATCCTTCTCGACCCATCCCAACAGAACTGCAAGCGAAGGCGAGATCGGAGCGCGCCCCGCTTAGGATCGGATAAGATTAGATAACTGGATGGCCAAGACAATATGGTTCGACAGGATCCACATTGAGAGCAGTGTGAGCCGCAGTCCGCTCGGATGGTATCTCACTCGGTGAGCCCACAAATTTGGGAGGTGTGGTAGATCGACGTGCCATGCTTCGAAACGAGCCGTTCTCGTGCTCTTGGCCTCGCCCGACGTCGCTTACTGTACGCTGCATTTTCGATCCTTCTTGGGCTGGTGTAGCTCTTTATCTGAGGCCCTGGCCAACTCAGACTACTTTTTACTATCAGCAGATATGACCATCATGAAAGGACTCCAAAGTTTCCTTGGAGGTCGGAAACAGCCCTCGAGCCCGAGTCCTGCGATCGACAATGGACAGCATCGCACCGACGACAAGGAAGCAGGCGTTGAGATGACTGCAAGCGCGAAAGACGACGATGAACAACGCCCAGATGAACACGCGCAGCCCGGTGTACAGAAAATCGAGGCTGTGACTTTGACCTGGTCCAAGAATGCGGTATACCTCATTCTAGTCCTGTAAGTGTCCACGCATCGAAGCCGACAAACTCTTAATAGGTATGGTCTGATCGCTAACTACGATTTCGTATCGCAGGATCTGGTTTCTCACCTTAGTCAATAATATGAAGACCAGCATAGTGTACAGCCTGACCCCATACGCAACGAGCTCCTTTGCTGGCCATTCGCTGTTGACTGTCATCGGTATCGTTGCATCCTCCATGGCTGGAGCAGTCTACATTCCTATGGCCAAAGCGCTCGATCTCTGGGGTCGAGCCGAAGGTTTTCTCGTCATGACGGTTTTCTGTATGCTCGGAATTGTTCTATTGGCCGTGTCAACCAATATTCAGACCTACAGTGCAGGAGAGGTACATATCAATCACCTGCGCGAAGAATCAACCATGTCGTGATATTGATAGCTAATCTTGAACCAGGTCTTCTACACAGTCGGCTTCGGAGGTCTATCATACAGCTGGGTCGTTCTCGCAGCGGATGTGACCAGCTTGCGGAATCGAGGTCTGGCGTTCGCTTTCACATCTTCTCCGGCGATCATTTCTGCGTTTGCTGGCTCGAAAGCCGCAGCACAGGTTCTGCATCTCTCGACTTGGCGCTGGGGTTACGGAATGTGGGCGATAATTCTGCCAGTCTTTGCTATGCCAGTTTATTTCTTGCTTTCCTATCACATGCGCAAGGCGGAAAAGAATGGTACCCTCGTGCGAGCGAAGAGAAATTGGGCAGTCAATTTACAATCCATTCGATGGGTCGTGGTGGAATTTGACTGTAAGTGGCCATCCTCCTCGTATCGCACGTCGTGTTTACTGATGTACGCATACGATAGTGCTGGGCGTCATCCTCTTCGCAGGTGGAATGGTCGTCTTCCTCCTTCCATTCACCCTCGCCGCAACTGCACCAAAAGGCTGGAGCACCGACTATATTATCGCCATGATCGTGGTTGGCTTTCTCCTCCTCGCATCCTTCACAGTCTACGAGATCTTCTGGGCACCGGTGCCCTTCTTGAACCACAAAATCCTCACCGACCGGACTGTAATCGGAGCCTGTGGTCTCAATTTGACCTACCAGATCTCCTACGCATGCTACGCCAGCTACTTCTCCTCGTTTCTCCAGGTTGTGTACGAAGTCGATGTGGCTACGGCGGGATACATTGGCAACATCCTCAGCGTCGTATCTTTCGTCTCCCTCTTCGTCTCTGGCGCTCTCATTCGATGGACTGGACGCTTCAAATGGATCTTATGGATTTGCGTGCCACTATATATTCTTGGTCTGGGCCTGATGATTCATTTCCGCACGCCGGGCGGGTACATTGGCTACATTGTCATGTGCGAAATCCTCTTCTCCGTTGCTGGAAGTGTCTTTATCCTCTGCTGCCAGTTGGCGGTTCTGGTCTCGGTCGATCATCAGCACGTCGCCGCGGTTTTCGCATTCTTGTTCGTGGTGGGTAGCATTGGTGGTTCTATCGGAAGTGCCATATGTGGTGGCATCTGGACCAATACTTTCAGCTCATCTTTACGGCACAATTTGCCCGCATCGGATTTGCCGAACTTGACTTTGATTTATACGAGTTTGCCGCAGCAGCTCAGCTATTTACCAGGCACTCCGACGCGTGATGCGATCGTCGCAGCATATGTCTATGCACAACCTATTCTGATTGCGACCGGCACTGGTTTCATGGCTCTGGGCTTCCTCTGGGTGGCAATGATCAGGAACGTGAACGTCAAGACAATGACTCAGACGAAGGGCAATGTGTTCTGATCTATAGATGGCTCCATCTACGCTGGCTACAAGACGAAGTTCTCAAGAACCGTAGTGCTCCGCCGCTACGAACTCTGCAACGGCCATTCCTCAAGGAAGCGCGTGATACTGCGAGAAAGGGAGCACGACATGACGCTCGTATGCTCCTCCTGCTCATACACGCTCTTCTGCACAGTGTGCAACCCCTTGCAGTCTTCAAGCATCTTACAAAGGTCCAGCATATTGTCTTCCATTCGAATATCCTTCCACATTCGTTGTCGCGCTTCGTATTCGTCCAGAGGCTCATTGTTCCACCGCGGAGGATGTTGCTCCCACCCACCACAGAAGAGCATGAGCGACGGTGGAGCAGCTGCCGTCGGCGCCTGCGCCTTTTCTAAGAAGTCTTGCGCATATTTCAATACACATCGACTATTCCACCAAATCGAAGGACTGCTAGCCATGAAACACTCAAAAGAATGCGGCCGGATGAACAGAGCGTACAGCGCGAACAGCCCTCCATAAGAGTGCCCGTAAAGCGCCTCTCTACCAATCACAATGTTCGGGAATTTCTCTCTGACTGCCGATTTGACCGGTCCTTCTAGGAAATCCAAAAATCGATCTGCGTCCCCAAAACCCTCAATCGAAGGCGTAGTTGGTGGAGTGAGATCTCGACTTCGTCTTTGGAAATCGTACAGCTTTTCAGGCTGTAAAGGATATCCAACGGCGACGATAATGCCGCCATCTGCGAAGCGTGAAGATGTAGCGCGTCGCCAGGCGATTTCAGTTGCGGTCAAGAACATAGCGTTGCCGTCGACGATATATCTGCGTGAAAATCGGGTAAGATGTTGTGGTCCTGACTTTCATCACATGTCACAGGACACTCACACTACTGGCATCGCCTTGTCAGTCGGTGCACAGCCATTCTGCCAATGCAACGGCCATGAGACCTGGATAACATATCCTTCTCCGCTTTGAGATTCCAAGGGGAATTGCAGAGAGTTGGGAAGTGTGATCGTGGCCGTCTCTGGCGCCTTCGATGCACTCATAGCTGTACGCATTCTTGTCACTCGCGGAGTATCATGCGACGTGTTGAGGGAACGCCGAAGCTCCAAGAATTATCTTATGCTCAGTCGCCGGAATCTATGCATGCCGCTGTGCATAGTTGCGGAAGAACTGTGTGGAGCTGCTGATCGTACGATGAGAGATGTAACCATATCAAGGCGAGTGAAAATCTTAGCTTTCTCATGCCGCCTCGCTTGGCCACTGCGATGGAGAGCTGCCAAAACTCCCAGGCTACTGCATGATATGCGCGCTAGGAAACGATAGCCTCGCCTGCAGGGTTAGTGGATTGGCAGTGGGCCCCATAATTTGATGATTAATCATATTGATCTGATTACTCCTTAGCACAGCAGGATGAGTCGGCGTCCGACATCGGACTAGTTGGCCTCGCCTTGTGCCGTAGGCGTTACATATATCCACGTAAGAGCTTCCTCACGAGAGAATTGGTGACTTTCGTTGCAATTCTTCCCGACTTAATGTCGTTTGCCGAGCTCTGCTGGAATCGCAGGGGCGTACGTGTAGCTCAATAGCATGGGAAGAAGGATTGTAAGAAAGAACTTCAGTTTGTATCAGATGCGGTCGGGAGTTGACTTTGGGTTGGCGCATTTGAGCAAGTTCTTGACAAGCGATAGAGCATTCTTTGCCTTATATTATCGATAGAGAAGTGTAGATGTTCCTGTTCATGCTAACGTGACAAGCCTGAAATAGTCGGTTAGGCAGGATGGCAACGCAATTTTGCGGTTTTCTTGGGCCAGTTCCTCAGTCATCCGACCCAGGATTACTGGGATGACAGGACCCTAAATTCAAGTTAGAAGCAAGCATTTACAATTCCAATCAAGCACCTGTGCGTACGATTGAGTGGGTCCGTGCAAATCTTTTTCGACCCTCCACGGTCGGGGTCTGGTGTGCCGCTTCTTTCCCAAATTGTGTTGCCATGTTTGTAATCTGCGGGCCTTGCGTGAGCGCAGGTGAAAGCCATGAGGACAGTGGTGAGAATTGAGATTGAAAATTTCATCTTGATACAAAGACAGCCTGCAATAGTCGTGGTTTGGAGTGGTTGATGGCTTGAGTGGGTGAGTAGGTCCAAGTCCTAGAGCTTAGGACTCCGGACTATATACATTGCTCTTCCCTCCTTTACCAGCGTGCTGGTACTGGTCTCATTGTGTGATCACATCGGATAGCAATGGAATCTGTTTAAGAGCCTAGACTGGCACAGTCACTACCCTAGGTCCGATCGATAGTGTGCACAAGTCTAGCCCGTCTAAGAGCACTGTTTGATCGCCAAAACCAGCATTTTACAAGGACTTCGGCGAATTGCAGTGTAGGATCCAAGGGTTATATACGCCAACAGTGTGCCGCAGACTATCGATCGGGCCTGAGATGGTGACTGTAGGTCGTGTGGTCGGCAGAAGTGGCGAGAAAGGAGGTGCGCGGCTTCCCAGGCTTGTTTCTCGTTCGCCTGCAAGTGCGCCTTTGCTAATGTTCTCCTGAGCTCAAGTTAGGGCTCAGAAAGGGTCTTGTCTGACCACATCCAAGCTCGCGATCATGGTCTCCGCATCTGTGATTAGGTGCTTGACTCTTTGCCTCTGGTAGACATCTTCCAACTATTTTTCCGTATTGGTTTGCCGGGATCGCAAGAGCGTATGTGCACGCTCTCAGAGAAGCGCTGAGAAACGGGAGGAAGACTTTGACTGGCTTTCGCTGTTTCGATAAAGAGTGCCACGACAGCTAAAAAGGAGTGTGTAGGTCAGTTGCTCTTAAGAACAACACATAGAACTTAGCTCGCTGACATATGCAGATAGCTCTTCTTCTGGCGTGCTTATGAGCTTGATCCTGTAGTCCTCATGTTCGGACAGTGCTACTCGTCGCGTCAAAGTCTGCGGACTGTTGGGCTAGTTAGTTCTAGAGCTGAGGTCCAACGCTGCTGCAATTTAAGCTTGTCTTGGCACGGGGGCAGACACCGATAGAACTATGCTTTCCTTGTCGAGCCTCACGTCTTCAAACGTGCATTGGCATCATCGGCATACTCCAGAAGATACGCTCCCGGCAAGTGATGTGCCGTGCAGCACAAATGCGACCTCTCGGAAGGGACGATGGTTGGCGCGCAGCACCGCCGCGTGGCATGAACCGACAGGAGAGGCAGCATGCGCGACGCGTTGTCGGGACCTGAGGATATCGTTTCTTTCCGTGATCCGGCGATCGGATGAAGATGGACCACAGGAAGCTCAGTCTTCCGTGATACTGCAACCACATTGTTCAGGCACTCGCGTGTGGCTCAGGCACCCAACTGGAGGAGCTTCCGAAACTTCCTTCTCCCTCAAGAGCCAGCACTTCGCACTTTCTAATGGCCTGAACAAAGAGGCCTGCTCCCTGCCTTATGACGACGAATCTCTGCTGCTGCTGGCTGATTTCAATGATGAGCTATATTTGACTTGCGGCACGAGACTCCTGGATATCCCAGGTTGACCGGATACCATGACTCGGACACTGCCGAATCACCCTCTGGTGGTTCTCGATCTCAGTAAACGATCTGTAAGTGCCATACAGCTCGGATTCCAGGTCGCGGCTTCAGCAGCAGCATAGACGTCAATGGCTCAACGACGGGCGACGTGCCGTGCAACTCGCACAACCGTTGTGTCCTGCAACATCCCTTCGAAAGGGTCCGAAGGGCTCCAAAACTCGCTTGCGTCGACCGATCTCTCCGAAATTGGTGAAGTTACACTCATCTCAGGTGAAGGTGTGCAATCAACCTGGAGGTCTTCAGGACTGGGATGTGCGCAGCAGTGAAGACGAGATTAGTCGCAGAGGCCAACCGCCGTGACCAGCGAACGGTCTGCTTCATGCTGTTCGCCGCTTCGAACGCCGCCAATCTGCGGATCGCCTTGGGCTCTAATGGCAGATCTTGTGACGTCCAACACCTTGGACATCTTTCGCGCCTGACTTCCCAATGCACGCCACACAGGCCCAACTGACCTCTATACGCTCATTATCCGTGGCAGTAAAGTCTGAAGATGCGCTGCAGAGCATCGATAGGCTGCAGTGGCTTGTTGGTACTTTACACATCTTTGACGAAAGCGCAACGACAAGGCCTCCTCGAAGCGCGAACACCTTCACCGCGAGACATCGAACCAAGAGACTTCTGGAGCGATCTACAAACCAATCACATCGACTCCGTCGCCAACGCCGCACAAGCACTCGTGAATCAAAAGTTCCCTGGAGAAACGCCGACGAATGTGAATTTGCAGACAGTGGCATGGCCGAGCACGTATCAGATTGGTGGCACAACGTACACGGCAATACCCACGGTGACCCAGGCGTCAACATCGATGACCTCGGAGTCTACTACGAGCACGGACTCGTCCAGCATCGCATCCAGCACGTCGGTGTCGACCACAGAATCATCTACCTCGGTCACCTCTTCAACGTCAACGCCAACGCCGACGGAAGTCCACAAGAAAAACCACATCAACGATGGCGATCGCAAAGTTGCAATCGCCTTGGGAGTCATATTCATCTTGGCAGGTATTGTTGCGGCGCTACTAGTGCTGTTGGCTGCATGGTCTAGGAAACGAAGAACAGGCAGCTACTTCAAACCTGCAAGGTGCCCAGATTGCACTTCATCAGGCGCGCCGTCTGTTTTGTTCGGTGTTGATCGGAACTCGGGGGCTTGGAGGGCCGAGCACAATGAACAAACACATAGCTGGCTTGCAGGTGCAAGAGCCTTTGGTTCAGTCAGGTCTGGAGGGACGAATTCGATTAGAGCCAACTTTCCGGAAATGACTGGAAGTGCCGAAAGGCTTCCGATTCCAGTCGAGCCCGGGCAGGCATTAGCCACTCACCATGATTTTCCGCTGGTGGGCGATAGCTGTTCCAGCCGAGGGAACGGACGATTGCAGAAGTCTCGTCCTACGACACGAGAAGGGTTCATCGAGCTCCACGATGCTCCTGCCGGAACGGCCGAACTATCTGGAGATGATCTGAACACGATCAATGAGCTGGAGGGCGACTCTGCAGACCAAATCCAGCCTATCACCAGGCGACTCTCGAGCTTCCCATTCATGTTCAGCTCGAGTGTCAGAGGTGATAGTGATGCAGCCACCACCCCTGGTGGCATGGCGTCCAGATCAAACAGCGGAAATACAAGAACTACAGCATCAGAGTTAGATGCCAATGAGTCTGTCGTAAGAAGACGCCATTCTAGCCTTACGAAACTCACCATCAACCCTGTTGTTATGGCAAACGTCACCGGATCTGAAACAAACCTCCGAAACTCCAGTAATGGCTTTGGTATAACAGTTTCGGATCTGGATCATGACAAAAATCTCCGACCTTCGGAAATGGACGGCGAGTCTCCTACAAGAAGGGCTTCAACATGGCGCGAACTGCAACGTAGCACGTTCACTGTGGACGACCTGAAAGCTGAAATTGAAAGCTTCAACGCGTTACTCGTATCCGGTTCCGAAGGCGCTACTACTAGTGTTGCAACCTCTCCAACAGCCATGGATGATGATCGCCGAGCCTCAGTTCTCAGTCCGTCATCGACTGGCGCTTGGTCAGAGGCACGCGATACATCTCTGGACGAGACTTGCACGGCACCTACAGACTATACTGCACGCACGCCCTCCAATGCGTCACAATCAGCCAAATCTTCATCATCGTCAGGGGATGGCTCGCCAACTGGGTATGTCTCGGCGTTACGTCCTGCATCTCGTTTACCCGACATCAAAACGACAGAAGTGTTCCTTCCACCTCGGCCACCTCAAGTCCTTCTTTCAGCAACGAAGCCCAGCAGCATACACTCTGTTTCGTCGATATCGACGCTTTCCACGCCTCGCTTACCTGCACCTCCTACGCCAAGTGAGCGCGACACCATCTTGAACAGGCTTAAGCAACAAACCTCCTCTCCGCGCATAGCACCGACAAACACCTCACCGGCATGGGCTCCGGCCGGTGCGTACGCGATGGCACCCATATGGAGGAAGAAACGCCCTGCGCCCCTCACACCGGACTTCCTCCTACCCTCCGCCAATAGCCCACGTTTAGTGTCACCATTGAGCGGTGGCGGCGGATATGGAACCAAGAGTCCACTTTCCGCCCTTGCCTCCTCCTTCGAGGATCTTTCGAAGACAACCACACTCAGAGCTCCAGATCCCACTGCCTACCCATCTAGCGAAGCCTTGGCAAGCCCAGCTTCAGCAAGTTCACCTCGAAGACCAAGACCAAGACCTCTCTCGCCGGACTGGCTTCCAGAGACACTGCGAGCGGGCAACGGAGCAAGAAAAGGATCGGCCGACTCTGCGAGCGGCGACAATGCAGAGCCCAAGAATGACAACAGCGGCCCAGTCGAGAATCTCGGCGCAGCGGAAGAAGACCACATCCTCTCGCACCGCCACAGCCAATACTTCCGTCGATGTTCAAGACTTGATCCGGGCTCTCCATACTCGTACACTCACGCCCCCGTTACCCCCAAGTTCCAAAGCGGAGGGAAAGCTATCCACTACCCTACCTCCGAAGAAGTCAAGAAGTTTTCTTTCGACGACGGATCACGGGAGTCATCTAGTCACGGAACCGAGGTTCATTTCGAAGCCAGAGACGACGGAGATGATGGATGGAAGCCTTCCGGTTCTGATCTTGAGGGCGGAGCTGGAAGATGGGCTCTCATGGCTTGAGAAATCGATTCAGTGTGAAACCTTTCGCTTCTTCACCTCGTCTTTGCTGCAGGCAGTACGTGCAGATTTACATGACTATCTCTTTGGACGAACACGAATAATGGTGTGAGAGCTTCGAATGTACATAGTTATACACATTTTGTGCGAGCATACGCCGTTTGGCGTGGGCATCAATTGCAATAGCGGGTCCGACATAATTATTGGCAAAGTGGGTCGACAACAGCGGAGTTGGAAGACATAGTAATGAGTCGCAAGTGCATTAGATACCATTTCAGTTGGAGAAGTAGTCGGTTTAGATGCAGTTACCTTTCGTCATGTTTCCTTGCTATCTCTCGTTTTGAAATTCGGAGGTCAGAAACAGCGTAAAGATAGATCAATTTCAGATCTCATCGCAAAAGTTTCAAGAATCGAACCGGCCACGTTTTTCACAACGATAACTCAATTCCGCCAACACACTGAGGCGAACAGGACTCAAACGTCATCGACGGTACCCTGACCTCCACCACTGGCAACTTGCCCAAATCACCCGAAGGTGTTCATCGCTGAGTTCTCAGACGATTCCCTCAATTCCCTTCAATGCCGTATGTCTGACACACAACCATTCGCCTGTGAAGTCATTGCGCTTCCACTCGAACAAACTCACGCCTTGCGTTGCGATTCCGCCCGGCTGACCGGAAGCCTCGGCATTAACATAGACGTTCGCGCAGCCGAGGAATTCATCGAGCTCGCATGACGTGCCGAGGATGTTGATGTAGACGTTTGGTGCGTGGGAATGGATGAATTTGTAGCTGCCGAGAATGGTCAGAGTAGAACAAAAGAATTGTGCGGCTTCGGAAACATGGAAGTCACACAGGGTACATGCGGTGAGAGAGGATTCAGCAGGAGCACTGGACGCGATCGGGAAGGGAAAAGGAAAAGAGAGACCCACGTCTCCAGGTGCTTCCACCAGGAATCCACTTCAGGAAACTCAGTCAATCTCGCAGTAAAGCAAGAATGGTCGACGATACACGCCAGTCGCTCTGCATTGGCCCAGTCCCGATTGTTGATCGAATCGATAAATTCGCAGGACATTCGAACCAGATATTGCGAAGTCGACTCAATTGGCTCCGTCAGCATAGATGGCGTAGCAGTCGAGGCAGTCGAAGCTTCGCTCGTGGTCTGATGAGTCGGATCATACGTCGGATCATACAGGCCGTTGTCATCATCGAGGTGGTGTGGCACTATCATACTTGCATCGTCAAGGAGGAGGTGAGCCCAGCTATCATCGGACATTGGATACGACGTAGGTGGTTGTTGTTGCTCGAACCCGCCTGAGGGTGGGGTTGCTGGGATCCAGATGGAACCTGAGCGAGAGGGAGCTGGAGTGCGGAATTTGATGGGTGTGTGAGCGGCTGAGGAGGCCGGACTGGCAGGAATGAAGATTGCTGCGTGCTCCATCATTTTGAGGAGTGCAGTGCTTGATTTCCTTCAGGGCGGAGTGAACGCGGGTGGAGTTGCGGTGGCCCGAGGGGCGTGTGACAACGATTGAGTCAAAGAAGCGAATAACGTGGGTGAGCGCGTAGCTCGAGGGCCGTAGCCCTGGGAGAACTGAATTGAATGCAAGGCGAAGGGTGTACAGAGGGTAAAGCCTGACCAAGGCAAATAGTGATTGTGCGTGTAGTGGAGAGAGAGGAGAGGAGGAGGAAACGCGGAAGTTGTGATTCACTTGAAGTCTCCCCCGCCCCGCTTTTTCCGGTAACCCTACTTGTTAACGCCGGCAAGAGCCGCAACTTTTCGACATCCCAGATCGTTCTCGTTCTCGATCCGACTTGCAGCTCCAACACCAACATCACAGCATTCATCATGGACTACCAAAACCGCGCCGGCTCCAAATTCGGTGGAGGTGGTGTCGCCTCCCAAAGCGCCGTCAACGCTGACCGCCGCGAACGTCTCCGAAAACTCGCTCTCGAAACCATCGATCTCGACAAAGATCCCTACTTCTTCAAAAACCACGTCGGATCCTTCGAATGTCGTCTCTGTTTGACCGTCCACCAGAACGATGGCTCCTATCTCGCTCACACCCAAGGTCGCAAGCATCAGACCAATCTCGCGCGACGTGCAGCCAAAGATGCGCAGATGGGAAAGAAGACCGAGGAGGGCTATACGGGCGCAAACGCCGTACAAGTAAAGCGGAACATTGTCAAAATTGGCCGACCCGGTTACTCCGTGACCAAGACACGCGATCCCATCACGAGACAGGAAGGTCTGCTGTTCAGCCTACAATACCCGGAAATCGCACAAGGCGTTGAGCCCAAAGTGCGGTTCATGAGCGCCTATGAGCAGAAAGTGGAGGATCCTCCGGATAAGGCCTTCCAGTACTTGCTGGTTGCGGCGGAACCCTACGAGACATGCGGCTTCAAGATTCAAGCGAGAGATATTGATCGCAGAGAAGAGAAGTATTGGACGTGGTGGGATGCAGATAGTAAGCAGTATTGGGTGCAGATCAATTTCAAGACGGAGAGAGAGGAGAGATTTAGTGGTGTGCCTGGTCTGGCTCCGGGAAAGAGATGAGGTGGACAACGAGAATCTCGGGCGAAATTATTGGTCCAGAAGCAGAGAGCAGAGAACGCGCAGTGTCGTGGCAGCACGATTTGCGATTGTGGGCGCGAATATGAAAGTGTGCCCGGTGCGGCTATCGTGTATAGCGTCGACGAGGTCGCGAACCCAATTGTGCCAGTGAAGGCGCGAGCGAACTTTTGAGTAAGGCGCACGTGGGCCCCGGCGGTGAAGGACAACACGATACGCAAAAAGGCAAAAAAGGCTCTCTGTAAGCGACTGCTATTATACATCCTGGTCAAACGATAGCTGATCCTTACAAGCATCCTTCGGCCTTGCGCGGCCGTCTCGATATTTCCCGCGTCGCAGACTCAAGTGACGCACGTGCGTCCAACACTGCAGACCATAAGCTTGCATGTGAGCTACTCCTTTCGTTTTACTGAACTCATCTCAGTGGAAAACGTGCTGGTCTTCGCTGAGGCGCAGCTACCTGCGCGGACTCGGCTCTTGGTGCACGCGAGCGATTCTCGAAGGTCTCCACGACATCCCAACTCAGTGCTCGCAAGGCCGCGTATTCACCTTCGCTGAGAGTGTAGACCCCATCCTCCTAGAATCGCGAGAGCAGTAAATCCAGTCGCCGTTGGATAGCAACGTGGTGCTCCATGTACCAGTCGTACCGCACACTGTGCTCACCCGCATTCAAGATTTTCTGCCGAAAAGTGTCGAAGCTCTTGGCAATCTGTTCGCTCACTCCGATTTCAAGCATGTCCCAGGTCGTCAAGTGGAACGGCTCGTACATATTTAGGAGGTCTTTGTAAAAGGTCAAAGATGCGCTTTGCTGGAAAATCGTCCTGCTTTCGGTGTTGAACAACTCCTCCTGGTCCCTCGGGCAAGTGTTGTAACCTTGTATGAACCAGTTCGTGATGCATGGTTTGCAGAACATATGGCCGGCCGCGCACTGAAGTAGGACGGGTTTTTCCAACTTGCCATGGCAGATGGGGCATTGCGGTGCTGGTAAGTTCAGAACTGCTGGTACAGCTATGAGAGCGTCGCAAAGGAAAGCTTCAGGACTCAATTGGGGTTCAGGACTCTGTCGGGGTTCAGGGTCTGGTTGGGGCGCAGGACTCGGTTGGGGTGCAGGTTGGTCAGACTTGCGGCGCAGCCAACGGAGGAGTTCGCGCATGGTTGCGATGGCGATGCGTGCATTTCGAGGCATCTGATCGACAAGTGATGCTGAGCCGTGTCTTGTGTAAATGCAAGGCTGCGCCGACTGACTCCCTCCTGGTACGATATGGGTCTAGCTCTGCTGAATGGTGCGCCTGTGACCTCGAGATCAATAGTGATGGAAACAGGAGATGTTGTTGGATTATGTGCGTGGTCAAAACATCAAGTGAACAGCTACCTGTACGACTGTTGTGTTGGGCGACGGGACTTCTAAGCACGGGCATCTCGTCACCAATTCCTTCCTGCCAGGTCCGTGACTACCGTTCATATCCACCAAATGAATGCAACAACGACGCACCACCAGAAGGCTCCACCGCTCTCGTGCAGAAACCAGCACCACTGCCGCCGCTGCCATCCCCTAAAATCCCTTGGCGTTTCCTCCAACCAAAAAAATCGAAACAGCAAAAATACAATACATACATACAGCAACAACAACCTCATCAACAAAACTGCAAAATGAAAAGACAAAAAAATTGGGGCCCGAGCAACTACACTCTTTACAACGCCTCGAACTCTGCGCCGAACTGATCCTCGTCAGAGGAACTCCTTAGACTGCACGGTCACAAATCAGGTCGGAACTTGAATCGACATCAGAACAACTTCGAAGTTTCTCAGGCAAGAAGTGGTAATCTTGAGTGTAAGACGCAACATTGTAGACTGTGCGAATGCTCTCAACCAGTGAGCTAACTCGGGTTGAAAGCAATGACCAAAAAGAACAATATATACATTCACCCCCTCCCTCTCCCTCTCCTTCTCCCAAAAAAAAAAGAGAAACACGGAACCGAATCGACAAAAAAAAGGGCCCGAGCAACTACACTCTTTACTAACACCTCGAACTCTGCGCCAGAACTGATCCTCGTCAGAGGAACTCCTTAGATTGGCACCTGTCACCAATCATTGAGATTGGGGGCATGAATCATAATCAGTTTGGAACTTGAATCGACATCAGAACAACTTCGAAATTCGTGGATGAGTGGTAATCTTGAGTGGAAGACGCAACGTTGTGAATGTGCGAATGCTCTCATACCAAGTGAGCTAACCCGGGTTGAAAGTGGTAATTTGAAAGACGAATTTATACGTCAATTGGGGCGGTGTCTGGGGTGCCGACTCTGCCGAGTTGGGAGGAGAGGTGACGGCGGTGGCGGCGTTGGTGGGGCGCGCGCGTTTGGGGAGGTGAGGGTTGAAGTGAAGGCAACTGCCAGCGCGGAAGTCGTGTTTGCGGCGGGTCGGTTGGAGGGGGCCAGAACATGAGGGATTGCAGAGCAGGTTGACATGAGCGCAGAAGGAAACATCTAATTGTATTCGATACGGAGGCGCTCGTGACCTTCATGTTGAGGATGAGCCACTCATATGGCTCACCTATCACGAGTCTCTTCGGAAGTGAAGGTTCAACAAGAACAGAAGCCATGCATCATTACTTTCGCTACCTGAGAAAGAAACCCGCTCAAACAATTTGCTCTGATCTAGCAATACCCCAAAGAACAACGCCAGAACCTGTAGCCGCACTCTGGGCCCTAAAACTCCGTATCGCTCGTGTCAGGACTTGGAAGCATCATGTCCGGGGCCACAGCTGCAGGAGCACTGGGCTGATTGACTCCACCAGTCGTCGCAGTCGAACCTGGCAGCCGCCTCATGTCCGGGAAACCTGGCGGAGGAGGGCCACGGAAATTGATCGTTCCAGGCTGAATTATAATCTCTCTCAGAAACTTACAACTCTCCTGATATTGCCGTTCGTCCCATCTGCTCCAATCCGGCTCTCCTCTGTTGTCCCTCAACCTGAAGTACTGCATAGCATGGAAATCGTACTCTTGAATTTCCTCCACCAACTCGGGTGGCACTCGTTGTCCCGCTGCACGTCTATCGTTCGCACGTTGATGATTTTTTCTCCCACGTCTTGTGACCTCCCCATCAGTGAAGCAGATCTGGAGCATCGAGTGCGGGTGAATGCGAGCGAGCTCATGGTCGTGAAAAGGTGGTTCTTGGACGTACGCCTCGCGGTCCAAGATCTGTGTGCATGGATCCTCTCTGCCAAATGTTGGAGCCACAGCTCGATTGCGTAGCTCAAAGAGTGGTAGGGTGCCGAAGCCGCATGTGGGGCATTCGTCGTGGGTGCAGAACCAATCTTGAGCGCACAAGATGCAGATCTGATGGCTGTGAGGGCAGCGCGGAACCGTGATGGCGCGGTGGAACTTTGAGAAGGACTTCGTGCAGCCGGGGCAGTAAGGGCGGGTTATTGTTGGTGCAAGATCCTGTTGCAGCTGTCGCATGATAGCGCCCTCGAATTCGTCGTGCCATGGGAGACGATGAGGATGAGCCATGTTCTCGTCGGCGAACGGGTCGCGCGCGAAGCAGTCGCTGATTGAGGTTGGAAGTGCTTCTTCAAGTCGGTTGTGGAGCAAGATCTTCAATGGCCGATGGTTCAAGAAGGTTGTTTGGATAGTCTTGCAGAGAATTTGTGCTGTCAGTGAAGTGGAAACGGCGCGAAGGTGTGCTTAAAGAAGGAGACTGTTGTGCCACCTTCTGTTTCCTTCCGCGCGAGTATCTGTCGTCGCCCGCGCAACGGCGCCGGAAGGCAACAGCAAACGGCCAACAATGCTTCGCGTCAAGGAAGAACAACGGCATTGATTGGAAAGAGTAGCTCAGCAAGCGGTTTCATTAGGTTTCTGCACCTTCTGCTCATGCTTCCGATTGAAAATGCAATTACCCCTGCGCCGGCGACACAAGATCCATACATGCAATTGAGACCTCACAGCAAAAGCGCGCCAACACCCACCACAGCAGCAGCGACACCGAAACCAGTGGGTCGAGCTGCGCCAGCCGTCACAGTCACCACGCTTTGGGTGACCGTGACTACATCTTGGCTAATTGTGAACAAATGTTTGCGACCATCGGTAGTGGCACTGTTTTCAGTCTGGTCCTGATCCTCGCTACTGCCACTGTCGTCGAACTTCTTCGCTTTCACAGTCACAGTCTTCGCCTTGGGAGCCTTGACTGTGACGGTCTTCGCTTTCGGAGCTTTTATCGTTGTCGTCTTGGGGGGTGTGATCTTCGAAGTCTTCGCTGAGACTTTGACGGTGCTCGTCTTGGCGGCTGTGATGATGTTAGCATTCTTGCGCAACAGAGATGATGCTTATGGCGAAGAATCAGTGTCTTTATGAAGTGTAAAACTTACGAAGCAACCCGTTCGTAACTTTTCCGAGCGGATTGGTCTTGATGATGTTGGTGACTTGTGCGGGCGCATTGACAATCGTCGTTCCAACACCGTTGGGTAGAATGCTCACGACTTGCGCAGGAGCGTTGTTCAACGTGTTCACCAAAGTAGTAGCGACTCCATTCGGCAAGATGGTCGTCACAATTCCAAGAGGCCCGGCGTTGGTGACCGTCACCACGGATGCTGGCTTTGTCACGGTAGCGATCGTGGTCGTGGGCTGTAAAGTTGTCGATACCATTGTGATGGTGGAATCCGGTACCGAAGAGACGACCACTGTAACAACGGAAGGCGTCGATGGAGCAGGCTGAGAAAGTGTACTCGTGACTACCCCGTGTGGCGCATCAGAGACGACAACGGTGACAATTGGAGTCGTCACGGTCCCAGGCTGGCCAAGCGTATTCGTGACTGTTGTTCCTGGACTCGGCGAGACCACAATACGAACAAAGGGAAAGGTCCCAACAGCAGTGGTGACATACGTTGTCGCCGGGATTGTGGTTGTGATGACCGCAGGAGAGGTGATGACTGGATTAATCGCTGAAGGAGTACCAGACAAAGTTGTGGTGCTCGGCCCGATCGGAATACCGTTGGACTGTGTGATGGTCGTCACGCCGGGATTGACAGCGGTGATGGTTGAAGTGCCTGTGGATCCTGACAAAACTGTGACGACCATAGGGACTGTCTGAACGATTGGAACGGTAGTCGCGAATGGTATCACCGAAGTAACGGTCTGATTCCAGACGGAAGTAGTGGTCGACAAGACAGGCTGACTCGCGGTGACGGTGACTTGGGGCCCGGTCACTGTCAGAGTGGCAATGTAGCTGATGTTGGGCTGAGCACTGGGTGTGATGATTTGCGTACCGTTTCCCGGGACAGTGACCGTGAGCGTGGCTCCACTTGGACTTGTGGAATTCGCGGTGATTGTCCTGGTGAGAGTTGGGCCGCCTGCAGTGCTGTTTACTGTAACAAAGACCGTTGCGCCATAGCTCGGAGTGCTTGACGGCGTGAGGTAGGTCAAATTTTGCATGGGGCCAGTTACAGTGGCAGTCTTCGCATAGCTGGTAGTGCTGCCATTTCCCTAAACAGTGACAGTGGTCGTAGCCGTGCCGGCCGAGGCATTTCCGGCGAGAGTGCTGAAGACTGGAAGAGGTGCGAAGGTGTCGCTAGCGGTCACAGTTTGCGTAGTTTGAGCGACAGCCGTGACGGTGACGGTGTTGTTGATGTAGCTCGTACTCGCAGATGTGCGATGTGTCGATGCGGCAGGGGCCACGAGAGGGGTCTTGCTGTCATGGGTGGTGACAGTGTGGACGGGTTGGCCGACTACTGTGACCGTGACTGTGTTCACGTTCGCGTTGGCGCTAGCAGTGGAGCTGCTCGAAGAGGCTTTTGGTGCCGGGCCAGAACCACCATCGCCAGAGACAGTGATAGTCTGGACATACGGCTCGGACGCTGTGATCGTGATCGTGTTGATGTTCGCTGGCGGCGCTGCAGCAGGGAGGGCTGCTGATGAGGAGCCTGATGTACCTGTTGCCTGTGAGCTTCTTGTCGTCACTGAACTTTGCTTTGAAAGAAGAGTGATCGTGTCCACCACTGTCAAGCTAATGGTCGTGACAGCAAGCCCTGGCACTTTGCTGGCGTTCGCGATGGGACTCGACACTGTGGCAACTGATTTCGAATCCGATGATGCACTGCTGTGCGAGCAGCCCGATCCGCGCCTGCAACTTGATCCAGGGAAAGCTGAGGTAGTTTGGCCATTCCCAGAACCTTGGCCAGAGCTTCCACCATTCCCGGTTCCAGATCCAGAGCCGGTCGAAGACGAGGACTGCTAGCCTTGTGGGGGAAAGGAATGCATACCAATCAGTGTAAAGTTTGCACATGCGATCGCCGTTTGATTCGCGAAATGTACAACAAGACTCCGATTAGTCATGCACTGACCGCAGCCTGGCGCGTCGTTGTTCGAGACGTAGTTCTCAAGGTAGCTTGTTGAAAGTCAGCTCTTTTCTCCTGCACAAGGTTCGACGCACCAACCTGGCTGTGAAGTTGGGGCCTGTGAAATTCCCATGCTTGCCCGACAGATCGCCCGCTTCACAAGTTTCAGGGTGAGTGGTGTTCGTGCACGGATAGTCGCTTGTGTATGGACTCAAGTGCGGGCCAGCAGCGGAGCAGTTCCAGTCAGGCCCAATCGGCTTCTCGTGGATGTGATAGACTAGAAGTTTGTAAGATTTCCTGCTCTCTTGCCAGCATCTTGTAGGCCACTCACGAAAGGGTCCTCCTTCTGTTGGCAAGCCCAGGAAATATGCCTGTACACTGACACCATTTCCGCCAGGTCCCTGCGAGACCGTGACATTGCCCGTCACGGACTTGCTGTCCGGAAGCTTGGCCAGCCATTGCGGCAAACCATTCCCCTCAGTGGCAGGTGTGACTGCGAGTGCGAGCTGGAGGGTAGAGATGGAGGCGAGTAGGTGTCGAAGGGCCTTCATGACGATGCGATTCCGATCTGAGGAAGCGACTGTCTCGAGTTGTGCGTGCGAATCGTCGTGGAGAGGGATGGCTGTTCAGCAGGATGTGCCAATGGTCGATGCTTGAAGGTCAGAGAAAGCACCAGAGCCAGCAGGAGATATCTGCTGTGCCAGTGTCAAGAAGGATAGGCGCTCAAAGGATGCACAAAGGTTGTGAGGATGAGAGATCTGTATGAGATGAGTCGTGTTGTATGCAGAATGGGAGGTGGAGGTAACGGAAGCGATCGAGGGCATGTCGAGGCAGCAGCAGGCACGATACACTCGCAACATGCAGCTGCTCAACTTACGGGGGAAGGAATCGTCCTTCCAATGGCGCTTTCGTGTCAACAGCGTTCACGATGGAAGGACCGCAAAGATGTCTTCGGCAAGGAGCACAACGGAGGCTTATGGAGAGCATTGGAACGTCAATCTCGCGAATTGAGGCTCCGTAGCGCTGGAGTACGTTTCGATATTGCCATTTGGGCGCGTATTGCACTGTTTGGAAGTGGAAGAGCAGACGTGCTGTCACTGTTGGCGCGTCTTGGGTGCCTCAGGCAACACGGAACAAACGTCGCGCCGAAGCCGACCATCAAAGACTCAACAGGTTTCTTTGAACAGTTGAACATGCCTTTCGATTGAGTATATTATAATGCCAACATTGGAAAATACCAAGATACATGTCGCTAAACTAGCAGGATATGACCAGAATGGTCGAAACATAACAAGAACAACAAGGCTTTCCAGCCATGACACCACCCACATCACCCAACAGGCCATATTGCCCAAAATCCAGATCGCTCAACGTCCACCACGACCGCACGCTCTTGACCAACTGTCAATCTTCTGCCGTCCCGGATCATCGTCTATCACGCTGCGGCTTTCATTGATAGCAATATCTTCATAATTCCAATCATCAATTTCTGGTCTCGGCACCAGCTCCTGCTTATTGGGATCTCCGGCTTCTCCATCTGGAATTTGTGACATCCACTCGAAGATCCGCTCTCGAGGAGCTTGAGTAATGCCGCCTCGCTCGTACCCGGAGCCATAGCCGTCACTTGCATGGTCCTGGAAGCGGGACTTCTGGTAGTGCTGGGCGACATCAACACCGGCTTCTTCGGCAGCTGCTCGGGCTCTCGATTCCTCTTCTTCTGCCTCGATAAGGGCTCGTGTGAGTTCGCGGCCGCGTTGGACCCAGCGCAGAGACCAATCGAGGGGGTCTTCATTTGCTTCTTCAGCCCGGCATCGGTCCTGGTCTGCATCCTCTTCGCGCGCATCGAAAGCTTCTTGCGCTTTCCGGAACTTGAGATGGGCTTGCTGCCAGGTAACTTGTGCTTGCATCTTTTGCTGCCGGGCTGGATCTTGGTCATCCGGAATGGTGGCAGCAGGCTGACTTTCTGCATCGCCTGGCGGTTTCTCGTCGGCGTCCCAGCCTGGAAACTCTTCATCCATTTCCTTGCAGTACTGGCCAAACTCGGCTTCTAAATCCATCGCATCGAAATCGGGCTCAATGTCTGCAGGAGCAGACTCCATTAGCTTCGCTGCCACGAAGGCTTCCTCGAGATATGCATTGACCTTTTCTTGACATATATGAAGATGCTCCTTCTGGGCTTCAATGCCCGCCTCAACAAGACGGATTTGGTACTGTACCGCCTCCTGAAACCCCTCCAATTTGTGCACTTCTTTACGCAACGATGGTAAGTCTTCCTCGGTGTCCTCGTCATCGTTGACTTCGCGCTCGTCGGTGGCCATTAGAATTCGTATGTTCAAGTCGGCGATTTGCATCGTAATTTGGGAAATTAGGTCGCGCCATCGATGGTGCTCTCCAACAGCGGACTTTTCCAGAGCTCGCACTTCTCGCTGAGATTGTATGGCTGCTTGAACCTTTCGAGAGAAGTCCAAATTCAATAACAAGGAGGATACATTTTCAACGCCGTCGGACGCGTCGACTATGCGAATGGGTCCTCGAGTGTAGTCGTTTTCGTCCTCTCCACAAAATTTTAGGTACTTCACGCGCCGCAGAGCTTGATTCTTGGAATCGTCATTGGCTTGCTGCTCAGTTGAAGCATCATCGGTCTCGATTTGCATTTCTGGATCTGCGTTCACAACGTGCTCGGCTTGCATTTCTGGACCTTCGTTCGCAACGTGCTCGGCATTTGGGATGCCTGGTGCGCTCTCGGGAGCTATTGATGGCGGATCTTGGACCTCCATATGAACAGATTGGTCGTCAGGACTGGTCTCCGTAGCTTGCACGGAAATGCCTACACTGGGTTTTTTCAAACGTTCGTCTCCATCTGCACCCTGCGGAGTCTGTCTGGACCCAGATGAACGATCTGATCTCGTAGAGTCGCCATTTCGTGTGGTGCCAGCTGGGCCCTTTCTGCGAGCAAATCGCTGGAAAACTTTGTGAACTCGATTGCTGTCCACAATGACAAAGGGCACAGCAAGCAATGCAGTCACGATTGCGAGTGTCTGCGATCTTCTTTTTCCCTGGAACATGCGAACCATCTTTGCAGTGTTGTTGAAGTTTTGCGATCCAGTTGTTTGATTGACTTAGTGTCTTAGATTCGGGATATTGGTCGAGTCGATGCAATATGGATTCCTGCGGTTTGTCGAGACTCCAGATCAGTGAAGGATGATAATTAGATTAATAGGAGGTTATGATTGTTGGGCACGTTCCTGGATCTTGCAATGAATGGTAAGTCTTTGTTGCAGCTTCATTCACTTCGCCGCCAAGGCACACTGACTTTGTTCTTGGTATGTTTGCACGTGCTCCTGCCACCATTCACCACATTCACCAGTGAATCTGCTCAGGAGGTGAGTGATGCTGTGAACAGGAGGTGGACTCGGTCAGCATATTTCCAAGCTTGCAGCTTGCAGTGAGCATCAATACCATGGCAAGCGATCCAGCATTTCGGTACCCAGAAGCGCCTTTCACTGTGACCTCGCGTGTCCGCGAAGCCCGTGTTGACATTTTTGCACACTTCACGAGCGCAACGCATGAAGATGAAATAGGGCCACATCCGGTCGTGACCCTTCACTCGCCCGACCCCTTTCATCACAACTCTTAGTCTACTTCCCCGACCCATCTTCTACATCAAACCAGTAACAGAAGAGAACTCGACTGCAACTTGCAACAAACAACAATCAGCTGTCGCCCAATCGATTGTCCGCAATCATGCCACGAGTCCCGGACGAACTGTCCGCTGACCAACAGGGTGCTGACAAGTTGACACCGAAAGACCAAGGTGCTGTCGAGACCTCCGCAGAGCGCCACTCCTACCTCTTGAATGAACCTTGCAAGCCTGAACAGCAGCAAGCAGGCTTTAAGCCCTTTGGAAAGTATCAACATCCTCAATCTCGTGGATGGGTCAAAGACCAACTTCTCAAGTCCAAGTCGCAATCCGTTGCAGCCAAACCCAATCGACATGATTCTCTGGAGCCCCTCGATGAGCGCGAAATTGATATCGAACCAACGAAGGAGCCCGTGAAGCTCAATCAAGATAAGGGGTCTGTAGCTGGCCGATCCTGGCGCGGCAAGCAAGGAGGCTTCCGTACAAAGACAGCGACGACTTACGCCTTGCCGAAGAAGTCGGCCTTCGAATGGCCTGTTGGTCGGGCAGTCGCTCCAGCAGTACCATCTGCCCCAGCCCCACCGGCAAATGCAACTCACCCAGAGCCGGCACTGCCACTGTTCGTTAGCTCAAACTCTGCTAATTACCAGACCCATGCTAGCACTGGTCGCACTTGGCGAGATTTTGATATCGGTGATGTGTTCTGGATCTCGTGGACATCTTACTACACTGACCCCCAAGTGACTGCCGACCCCCAGTCTCTCTACCAGACTCGCGATGGTCCGAAGGTCACAAAAGTGCGTCTGCATGTTTGTGTGTCGAAATCCGAGTTCCTGATGCGAGCTTTGCCTATCTTTTCTCATAACAACGGAGGCATCGTCAAGATTCCACAGGACCGTCAGTATGAGTTCTCCTGCATGAAGCAAGTTGGTGACACTACTCGTGTTACCCACCCCCTGGGCACTCAAGTCCTGAGCTTCGAGAGCACTCTTCCAGACTTCGAACTTCGCAACACCAGCACTGTGCGTTTAGTTGAGTCGCAGCCTGTGCACTATGATCAGCGAATTCTGAAGGTCGGTCATCTCGCTGCGTACTCAATCACTCAGCTGAGCCAGCAGATGGCCAAGGCTGAGCAGACCGGAAGCTGGAAGTTCTCACAGAAGACCGACAAGCAGAAGCGGGACGAGATCATTGTGAAGAAGCAGGCGAGTATCGCCGCGGTGAAGACCATGCCTCCGCCTGGAAAGAAGTTGTGAGGGACTTCTTTCTGCGGAGATCCGGCATGGCCATGGTGTTTTGTCGAGAAATGGTGAATGCCCAAGACTGACGGAGTTGTTGAGTTGTATTCAGAAAACTGTCTTTACTTGTGTTTGATTGCATTGATGGGTCGTCGCTCACACGTCGTGAGTTAGGTGTTTCTTGCTATATTCTGCTTGCTTTGGCACTGGGACTGGAAAAACCGGCGTTTATGTTGTTCCAAGCCGGTTGGAGTTGGGGAATTGAGGGTTGACGACTTGCATTCTGGTGGCGAGAGGTCCGCTTTATTTGGTTTACAACGCATTTTTGGGAGCATAGCTTAGAGCGTTTGCGCTTCGATACTTTCTTTGAGGGAGTTTGTGAATTCTGGTGGAAGCCTTGATAGGGCAGGTCTCTGTAGCTAGAAACTCCTGAATCGAAGTCATGATCAGACTTAATTGAACCAGCGTGCAATTTCCATGTTTAGCGAGGCCTGACTCGTATATAGTCGTGAGTTGCAGCAAAGATAGCCCGGAGCATCTTGAGTCTGTGGGATGGTGAACCACGATTTGATGCTTTGAGCTAGTATAGGGAGCTGAGTGTTCTGTGTAAGTCTGGACCCAGTCGAGATAATGTAAGCCTTGCGTAATTTGATCGTATTGACTCGAAAGACTTATGAATCTTTCTCTTAGTGGATTCGGGGTATTTTCAGATGCTCAAAACTTGAATCTATGGCCGGGCTTTCGTGGCAATTTGACCTTGATGATCAAGTCACCTCGGGTCTCAGGCTTTTTGGAGAACGGCATACCTAGGCCTGGGTAACGATCTGTCCAGTCCTCATCCGTCCGGCCTGATTTAGTGACCTGAAGATGCTTGCCATCAATCGTGGTTATTATTCGACCCCAACCTAATTTCGCCTCTGCAGAGTTGATGGCTATTGTATGCTCGAGGTGATTGCCATTGCGAACAAACAAGGGATGGGGTTTATCTTTGATGATGAAGTGCAGGTCTGAGGAACCGTCATAGTCATCATCATCGCCCATGTCTGGGTATTTGATCTTGCTACCAGGCCTAAGGCCGCGCTTGATGGGTACAGCAAGAATGGTGTCCTCGATATCTTCTTTCCCTGTCCGCCGATCGTACGTCTTGCGTCGAACTTTTGAATTCTTCGTGGTGCCGTTGAACATTTCCTCCAATCACAGCGGCAAGGGCCTCTCTACGATTTTCGGTTCGGGCAGTGGAGGAGGGGAACAGAAAGCAGAATCATCCTTCCGCGCTTCACTTCCGCGCGAGAAGTGAGCGAAGAGATCCTCATCATCACTGACGCTGCCACGCATGAATTCGGCGAGAATGCCCTGAGGATCGTTCGAGCCTCCGAATCCTGCGAATCTGGGCAAGGGACGCTCGGCAGTCCCTCGCGAGAATTCAAATTGGGAACTTCTCGGTCCATCCTTTTGTACTGATGCGCTGTGAGTCCCTCCAATGTGCAGGTCATCGCGATGCACCTTTCCAGCTCCGGTCGCGTTTTCTCTTCCAGGTCTTATATCAGGCTTCGTGGCTGGCTTCTGGGAGTCCCGGATAGGGCCCACAGAAGCAGACCGTCGAGCCGCTCGTGCTGGTGACGGGCTGCGACCGACATAGCGAGAACGTCTTAGCCTCGAAGCTTTTACAGGCGTCGTTGGTACGCGGTCATTTCCAGTATCAAGTGCGTCTCTCCTGCTTCCCTGGTCTTCCACGTTCGATCTGCCGCCAAGTTGCTGGCCGAGGGCGGCTCTGGCTTTCTCGAGACGTTCTGTGATCTTGCGGTTTCCAGGTTCGTCGTTCATGACCTCTGCTGGACTGGTATCCAACGATCGCACATCTTTGAGATAGGCCAAACATACAAGAGCGTCTGGGTACCATCGGAACATGGAGTTGATGGCCTCTTGTAGCTCCGAGCTACTGGTCTTGTCAATACAGCATGTGTCTATCCATATCCAGTCAACGCCAACACCTGTGGCCCAATCCTTGACGAATTTGCAAAAAGACTGGATCTTTTGAAAACCTCTCATCTGGCAAATGCTTGGGTCCGATTTATGCGCGAGAAACTGCTGAAAGGTGATTTCGTCGTTCGACCAACGGTGGCTTGTGATGACGTACGGGGGCCGGTCCTGTTCGGTGGGGAATACCTTGAATTCGAGGGTATTGATGTTCAGCAGACGCATGATTCCAGTCCAGGTCGCGCATCTTCGCTATCTAGATAGCACGTTCGAGAAGAGAGCTGAGATTGCGACGTTCTCCACGCCGTGGCTGTGCATATGCATGGTCGAAGCGAAGACAGCCCCATGACGGGCTTGTGGCGGCGCTGGAAGGATTGTCTGCAGCAGAACCCTCACAATCGGGGTAAAGTGTAGCAGAGACGAAGTAATGGAGAAGCAGAGTGGGAAGGCGAAAGTTCGACATGTGGTTTCCTCGTTGGCGCCTGAGGCAAAAAATACAGAAGCTTATGTCATCCCGCTTCGGAGGTGCAGTCTGAGAAGGAGACAGTCGCCATGGTGGAAATTGTCTTCAGTATGTATGCAGCATAGTCGACGACCACGAGGCACTGCGTCCGATATCCGGAGAAGGTTATCATGCTCGGCCAGTACTCGTATGAGCTGAAGTCAGTGCCAGAATTATTGCTGATGCTTCTTTCTCGTCGCCCGTAAGTCGCGCTTCCTGGTCTGGTTCGAGCGACGGGAGCGCACCTTCTGAGTTCTGCCGCGGAGATGGGCCATCTTATGTGCTGACTGCTTGGTTAGATATAGCTGACGCTATGTTGATTTGCTTTCCCTCCTCCTAGGGGCAATGCTAATAACATGCCTACATCCACCCCACATGCTTCCGTTGCACGGAACACCCGGCAAAGCTAGCCTGTTCGCTCGCTGGCGCGAACTCTCGCACTTCACTTGCTATTTCCCGACCCTTCTACCCGTTCAGAGCCTCGACGAAGGACCCCTCCAACTGTGACTTCATGGCGTCGAGAATAGGATATAATAATCAAGCAAGTCAGCATACAGCTTACCAAGTCTTCTTTCAACCTATTTCTATTCGCTAGGCCGACAAAAACTTGTCTCACTCAAGATTGTCAAGCTCTATGTGAGAGTAAGCAGCTCCGCTGAACGACGTCACGCTGCTCAGATCATTCTCATTTTCCCAATCTGGAAGACCATAATTGCCCTCGACCTTCCATTACAGCTCGATCAGCAATATGGTACTAACCACGCTCATGCTGTATGCTGCCGGCGCAGCCATACTGCTCAGATCTATCTACCTGCTCTACCAAGCTTTATTCGGCCCATTGAAAGATATACCTGGTCCATTCTTCGCACGCTTCACTCGGCTTTCCTACCTCCGAAGTCTCTATAGTGGACAAGCTCATTGGGAAGAAATCGCATTGCATCGAAAATATGCGAAAGATGGCCAATTCTATGCTCCTGTGGTCCGGCTTGGTCCGAATATGTTCTCCATCACACGTCCGGAAAAGGCAGTGTATGGTATAGGCTCAAAGATGCCCAAGTCCAGCTGGTATGAGGGATGGAAACACCCGTAAGTGACGAAGACGCACGTTCCCTTGATCAGCCCCGTATCCCAAGCAGAAGCTTCAGGACTGCAGAAACACGATTGCAAATACTTTGCAACCGACACAGACCTTTCCGGAACTTGAGCTTAGCTGCTGACGATTGTTCGTAGATCACCAGATCGATGGACTCTATTCCCTGATCGTAATATGCAGCGCCACGCAGAGACGCGACGGAAGTTCCAAAGCATGTATGCTATGTCGAGTCTTCTGCACTACGAATCATACGTGGAAGCGGCACAAGACATCTTCAACCAAAGGCTCGTCGAAATGTGTCAAGACGGGAGAACAGTCAATATGCATCACTGGCTCCAATGCTACGCTTTCGATGTCATTGCCAATATCACCTTCAGTCGAAGATTTGGCTTCCTGGATGAAGGGAAAGACATTGAGAACATGAGTAAGATTAATCGCTATAAGGCATCTCCAACGCGCGAGAGACTTGTCTTAGACATCTTCGTACCTCCTACTGACTACTTTTGTTAGTGGCATCGCTTGACGCGAATCTGATCTTCTCTTCCCTGGCTGGAGTGTATTCGTGGGCATATCCATTCCTCTACAAAATCATGGAGAAAGTGCCAGGATCAGGCGCTGCAGCACGGACGTACCTCATGAAATTCAATACGAAAATGATAGCAGAAAAGGAAGCTCAACGAGTTGCAGATAAGGAGGCCGGGAGAAGACATTAGCCGGAAGAGGGAACACCAAGAGACTTCTTGAGCCTCGCAATGGACGCCGAAGAGGATCCGGACAAGAAGATGACCAAGTATAATGTCTTCATGATCGGGATATCAAACATTATTGCTGGATCGGACACCACAGCCGTATCACTGAGCAGCGTCCTCTGGCATCTGATCGCGAATCCACATACTCTCCAACGTCTACGCGCCGAGCTAGACCAAGCAATCAAAGATGGTAAAATGACCGCCGACCGCGTCTCCTTCAAACAAAGCCAAGAACTCGCTTACTTTCAAGCCTGCATTAAAGAAGGTCTCCGCCTCTGCGCAGCGACCGGTCTCCCCCTCTGGCGCGAAGTCCCAAAAGGCTCAGGAGGCATCGAACTCTTCGGCCACTACTTCCCCGAAGGCACGGAACTGGGCATCAACACCTGGGTCGCCCATTACGATGAAGACATTTGGGGCCCTGATGCTGCACAATTCAAACCTGAAAGATGGATCGACAGTAGTGCTGAGAAGTTGAAGGTGATGGACAGCATGTTTATGCCTTTTGGCTTGGGATCGAGAACTTGCATTGGAAGACATATTTCGTTTTTGGAGATCAATAAGGTTGTCCCGATGATTGTTTCGAAGTTTGATTTTGAGCTGCTGGATAAGAGTGGTGTGCTGGATACGGAGAATTATTGGTTTGTGAAGCCGAAGGACTTTCGAGTTGTTGTGAAACCACGAAAGACATGAGCGATTGAGGCATTCGCATCCATACATGGCTCAGCTGGCTGCTTTGATGCTGATCTGGCGGGATAATTTGGATCTGGGTCTGGTTAATACTTCAGTGACGACTAGAAAAGCTGGTAACCTACCATGACTATGTTACATTGACCACAAGACTCAAAATCCGTGGTAAATACTCAGCCAATGACATCAGCAACTTGAAACGTTGCGAATTCGAAGCACTACGCAACAACGCGCCAGCATTCTTGAAGCAAACTGACAGTGGCGACCAAAAGCTATGCTCGATTCTAGTTGCTTGACAACTTCGGAGACTTCAGGCCTTCTGGTACCGCTATGAATGGAGTCGAAATAGCAATTTTGCTCAATAGGAGCTCACCAGAAATCAGTCACTAACACGCGGTCTCAGCGCCCGATCTGTTTGAGGCAGTGTGAGTTGCCATGTGGGCAAAAGTTTTGACTTTAGAAGTCACTTGGAACTTACACTGTGATCAGCAGTTGAGGCTTTCTTGATTTTGCCGCCTCGTCTCAATCCCTCTCGTTCCCGCATGTCCATACTCATCCACAAGTACGCAGATACTCAGGGCGCGTGATTCTCCTCTCCCTTCCTAAAGCAGCATCACCATATCTAGTGCTTATTCGAAAAGAAGACCTCTGTTCCACAGCTGACGAAGGAAGCTCGCTATAACGGCGATGGATTTCGTTTCTTTCGAGGGATCAACTTCCTGGAGACTACATCGCTCGCTTCAGCAATCAGCCCTACAATGATCGTCGTCATCCATGACACGCTTCCTGCCATGAGAAGCGAAGGAGGAAGGGGAGGATTGAACGAGCGATGCGAGACGACGAGAATGTCATGATATGGATCTGTCAGCGTAAGATAAGGATACCGTCTCACGAGTGCTGGTGAGTTGAGTGGTGTGGTCGCTACATCTCGCTTACAATGAGACGAAGGTGAACAAGTCGTCGCAAACCACCACCACGTCCTTCTCTCATGCCATCCCGTCTCATCACATCCCATCCCATCTCATTGTCAAGATGTCCTTCGTCGACACTCACCGCTCACCGCTCAATCGTCTAAACACGGCTCATACAATCTCCCCCAAAACTTACCTCCTCTCTCCTCTTCCCGACCTCCCACCCCCACGCTCATCACATCCAACAATACAACCACATGTCCCTTCCCTCCCAACTCGCATCTCCCAACTTTTGAACCCTCACACCGAATTCCGGTCCCTCTTCGTAAACAAGTTCAAAGTACAAGACTGACCCAGTCCCGTGACCATGCATCCTCTTCTATCAACCACTCGTAAGCGCCCGTGGCTTAGCCAACTCCGCACTCTAACTCGTCAACTCACAACAACAGGTGTGGCACACAAAAAGTAATACCAAGTATCAAGTGGCCAAAATGGGTCATCTGATCTCGCGTTTTTGAGGCTGGAACACTCCAGCCTCGATAACTAAGGCCGCGGCGAGGAGGAGCCACACGACGAGCCGCGGACTTGAAAATAGTAGTGTGTGTGCAAAGTCCAAGGCTCTCTGCCGCTATGAATGACAAGAGTGATCAGATGATTGCTTCTTTTCGAGTTGTTAACACCAACGAGCGCAAAAGGTAGGTCAACTGAGTATGCGACTCGAAAGTCAAGTCCTACCGGCGTAGAACTTAGAACTTATTCCTCGCAGATGGAACCAGGATATCGCAACAAGAGTATAGCAGCTTTTGAGCAGGTTTCTCCCAAGCTTGTAGTCAAATACCTGGAATCAAAAAGTCGACTCTGTTTGAGATATCAGCAGCAACTCGCGCAGTTCATGCTGAGAAGCAGTCATCGTCAGCAATTCTAGAATCCCAAAAAGCCACAGTTCTAGGGACATTAGGAAAATAGGGTGATAAGAGTCTAGACCCGGATGCAGTTCATGCGAAACCAGCTGCAGCTGCAACAGCGCGAAACGTTTGTTTGCTTCCTTCTTTTTAATTTTCGCATGAAACGTTCTATGCGTGTCAGCACTGTGGCGTAAGTGTCAGCTTTTGGCTGAAGCTGAAGCTGAATCTGAATCTGGGAGCCCTGTCAAGCCTCGAAGCGGCGATTTCCTGTATTGGACAAATTGCGTATCGAGCCACTTGCCAACTTGCGACGAATGTGCTGCGCAGCGAGTGGCAAACAAGCTGAAAGCTGAAAGCCTAACGTTGATAGTAAGAGAGCCGCGCCACGAATGCGTCGCGGCATTTAGAACAGATACCCTGATCAGCAGTGCAGCCTAGCGGCAGCGAAAATGTGTGCATGTGCAGAAAGCAAGATTTCGGACGATCAGCAAGTAGAGCAAGACACGGGGGCAATACGAGCAGTTGGAGTGGATGGATGCATTGCTTGATACATACGCTAATACGCTTTGCTTCGCGTGTGGTGGTATATAGATGTGATCTGCTGCTTTGCATCGCTTCGCGCCGTCTTAGCCGTTGAGTGCAGCGCTGATGCGGCTGCCTCCGAATTGTGCCGCGATTCGTAGACCTTGTGATCCCATTGGAAAGTAGCTCACGAGGTACCAGACTAAAGCGACGATCTGGACGATTGATGTGAATAGTGTCAAGATGGTGCTGCGGAGCTGTGCGAAGTGAATATGTCAGCGACGAGTATTCGAGTGAGGCGTCTGCGACACAGCATAGCCAATGAAGAGTGTTGCAGCGATCAATAACAGGCATGATGGAGTGCTCGCGTTGATGGCGAAGCAGGGAAGGGGTGTGAGATAGGGCAGGCGAGTAGGATAAGAAGGTCGAGCGGGATGGTGCGGGAGGGTACAGGGTCTGGTCGGGTTGGAGGCTAGCGCCACAAGTCGACAGTAGTTCGACCGCATGATCGACATCGCATCCACGCAACAAAGATATTGTTGATGACGCAAAGACGTCCTGGATGTGGTTGTTGTGGTGGTGTGGCGACGGGCGTATAATCTCCGGAGAACGGCACCCGGGAAGAAATGCAAGACTTACTCCGACCGCAAAGTACAGCGTCAGCGCTATGCTGCCAAAGTAGGTGGCTGTGAATGGTAATCGTTCTTGGGAGACCAGATGGCGCACTGTCGCGTTCGGTTAGCGAGCGCCTGATGGAGTGATGCCCATGCATTCCGGCTGCAAGAGATGCCATTCCGCGAGGCAGGTACTTCGCGATACCACAGGCCCCCGTCCGCGCACTGTGATTGATCGCTCAAGCACGCGCACGCGACGTAAGGTGTGGCGGAGGGAGCAGCAAACTTGGGACGATTGCTCACCATAGACCACTGGCCCCATCATGACCGCCCACGAGCCCAAGAAGAGGACTGAAGCCATCGTCCATCTGACCACGAGTTAGCGTGTTTTCATGCAGCAACATTATCGTGTTGTATGTGCGAGATGCGCTTGGTGCCGTTAGTATAGTCTGGCGGTTGAGCATTGCCAACTGAGTTGAGTGATGCTCATGCGCAACCAGGATGAGGTCCAGAATAGATGAACGAGGTGCAGGAGATCGACGTGAGCTTCAGAGCAGCTTCGCAGCGGGCGGCTGCAGGAGTGCTCGCTCGAGCTGCGGCAAGCACCCCAGATGCACTAAGCTGATGGTCAGGCGGGCGTATCCACAGTGCATAAGTGGCCGCGGCTCTGGCACACTGCGAACGCCCACCTCGTGGCTCGGATGGTGAATATTGATTCGATGCGTCAAGTGATGACGGCAGTGACGGTGTCGATACTTGGAAGAGTGTCGGCACTGCGGGACCGTCGTACACCCTTTCTCGCGAGCGAGCAGGGGATAAGTTTTGCTGAGCATGGGGGAAGTGCTTGTAATGATGAGTACACGAAAGAAAGCGAGGTACGTACAGGATGGCAAACTTGCGTGGTCTCAGGCTGAGTATAGGCAGCAATGTGAAGCAAACGACGAATAAGGCAATGGCAGCGAGATTCAAGCCACCGAAAAGTAGGAGACGGTCCCATCGACTTACTGTGAGCACGAGTTAGCCATTGTCTCGGCTGGGCTACCCGGCTGGCTATGGCTGGGCAAGCTTCGTGAATGACCGCGGAAAGCAGGCTAAGTGCAAGACCTGTGCGGCGCATGCACGTCGGAGTCTGATGCAGGAACTCCACTCGATCACACAGCAGGTTCTTGCAACGCGCCGGCGCAGCTGCAATATGCGATGCTGTGCATGGCCGAGACCGACTGCGTGCGGTCCTTTGTGAGAGCGACATAGTGCCGGAGCGCCCCCACGCGGTGAGGGTGTCTCGTGCTGTAGCAGTGCAGAGCTGCAACGAGGCAGACCGGGCAGCAGTGCGGGAGATGTTTGCAGATGTTCGCCAGACGATGGGTGTGCAATGATCATGACTTACGCGCAAACCACGCCTCTTCCTCTTCTCTTCGTGTCCGCGCGGGGAGTGGTGCGCCAGGCCCTTCGCCCTCCGTAGTAGGCAGCCTTACATAGCCTTCGCTTCCAAATGGATTAAGCTTCGATAGAGTGCCTAAGATTGGGTTCTGTGGGCTCGTGTTGACGGGCTCTTCAGCGCGGCGTGACCAGCCCAGGCTGTTCATGCTGTCGCGGAACGACGAGGAGGCCATGGTGGTGAGGGTGTCGTAATGGACTCTGCGCGTCTTTGTGCAGTGCTCGTAGCGTGTTTGAGATTCGGTGGAGAGCTTGCGAGCTCTGAGCTAGGGTCGAATGGTGTACTTGAATGGCGAGATCAGCGGTATTGTGCTGCCTTGGGGGCGCAGCCGTGAATTGTGGAGAGCCGGGCGCTGGTGTGGGCGATAAGATGGCGACACTATGATGCGGCTGGGCCGTCGAGGCAGCGAGATCGTGTTGTGGTGGTTGCTGGATGTTGGCGGATGGCGATGAGCCGTTCACGGCAGCTTGCACTTGCTGCTCCAGGAGGTGCACAGCACAAGCGCAGGTCGGGGACGGAAGCAGCAGGCTTGGCAGCACGTTTCGGTGTTTGCGAGCCGAACAGCACCACCCACGCTCGCAGCCCAGCTGTGCTCGCAGCTCGCAGCGACAAAAAGAGGGCAGACAGGGGCCTAGCAGAGTTCGCGCTTGGTGCGCAGGGTGATGTGCATACCGATCCTGCTCGATTCCACTATGACGAATGGAGGTGGCAGCGAGCAGGTGGGTGCTCTCGCCCGAGCCGCGAGCGAGGCTACTGATTATCGGTTTCACCTCGCGCTCAAAGGGCTCCATCTCACCTGGTCCTGGAGGCCGCGCAGCCAGTGCAATAGCCCGATGCAGCGGGCGTCGCGGCGGCGTCAAGAATGTAGGGCATGGCGCGGCGTGTGCGAGCTGTCATTGTGTGTGATGTCCGTTGCTGTGGATGTGGCTGAAGCTCCCATAACGACGACCACCATCGATGGACCAAGATCCGGCAAGCGAGGCTCCGTTTCCAGCAGCCTGGGACGCGTCCACGGGCGCTGCGTGTGTCGAGCGCGGAGGGAGTGGAGGCCAACATGACTCATTGGTCATCGTGAGGGAGGGCAGATGTGGAACAGGATGGCAGCCGTTCACAAGTAGCGGTCGTTGGAGGAGGCCTTGGCGGCGAGGGCGATGGAGTACATAGGACAGCGCTCCGCCGCATCGTATCGCCGCCGTTTCTGCTGCTGCTGGTGCCGCTGCTGCTATCATCATCCTGCTTCCCTGACCGCGCCGATATACTTTGTCGCAATTGGTCGCTGCTCGCCCCGTACCACGTACAGCCGAACAGCCAACCTTGACATACGCGAATCGCATCCCATAGTCCCAAGCAAGCGCGTCAAGCGACATCGCCGTTTTCCGTGCACCGCCATTTGGACGAGCCTGCACGGAAGCGCAAACGACGCCATACCGTCTCACCGGCTTCCGAACACGCTGCCTCGCGCCCATCGCCCACTCTCCCACCCCCATCTTCTTCCTTTGTCGCGCTCGTCTGCTGGCGCACAGGGCCCGCGTCCTTTGATACAAAGGTTGACAGTCCTGTTACACCAAGCCCACAAAGGCCGATCATTGCGGGCGCTGCGCTTTGCCCCTCACAATCACTAGTTAGCGCGACACTACGCCCCCAGCACCGACACTTTGTCGCGACGTCGCACAAACGAGCGCATATCAGAGACACTTTTCTCTCTCTGCCTCTTTGTGCTCGAGAGCCGCCGTTAAGCGCTGCACGGGGTGATTGCCCTCGACCTCGCCGCTGAGGTACTCGGTGTCGCATCCGTTAAGACGACAGCTGGACGCGATCCAGAAGATCCGCATCGAACCCCCGATCTCCCTTCGACTTCACGAAGCTCGCAACGCACCTATCCGCTTGCACGTGCGAGCTGCACCAACCATCGCCACTGCGACCTGCTCACCACTGCAGGCAGCCCGCAGGCCATCGACCGAACGAAGGAGCAGCGACGGTGAGTGTGCCTTGCCTCCCTTTCTTTGCAGCGTTTGTGCTGGTCCGCGGCCTCCGTGTATGACTCCCCGCGCCCGCTATCGGCACCCGAGATGGCCTGAACAGGACGACGGCCAGAGCGAGAACCGCATTGCTGGACGGCGACCCAGCATACTCCCACACTCCATCGCGGCAAGCCGACCCGACGCAGCCCTCAGAGACGTCAATGCCTTCCTGCACCGAGCCATCTGGGGCGGTGCTTGGCGTTGCATGAAGACATTGTGGGCCGTGTCTCTGTCGTGCATGTCTGTTTTGGGCGGCACCTGCCATTTATGCCACTGCAGCCATCCGCGAGTGATTTGGCATTACTTGACCAGAACAGAACGTAGCTGACCTTCCTCTCCTCGTCCAGAGCTCCTTCCTCCTCCCATTCTCCGCCCTGCCCGCCCGACCTCTGCACGCGCGAGCGCTGCGTCATTGCAGAGCACCAGGCAACCAGCTGCGGTGCACTGCGAATCCGATCGCCCATTGGATCGAGCAGGATCGTCGTGCTCGCGACGCACTCGTGTCCGGCCCTATTGCTGGCCCAGACACGCACACCACAGCTCGCTCGGCACCAGCGGGCAGCAAGAGAGTAGGGCCGAAGGGATACACACCGGTCTCTTCGCGGCCTATCACGACACCGGCCACACGCATTGCCACGATAGTCTCGCGCTGTCACCAGGCAAAGCGGACACAAGAGCCACGGCAAACACTCGTATGAGCGCTTGAGCTGTCGACCAAGGAATGCCTGCATCGTGTAAGTCGCCACTATATCTCTACTGCCCTTTCCCGCGGCTTCACATGAGATCTGCTTAGACCTCACCTTGTTCGCCACATGGAAGCGTTACTGCGCGGCGGCACTGGCGTGTCGATGCTGGGCCAACAATGTTCGCGAATTGCATTGCTGACTTGTGTTCCCACAGCCAAAGACAGTTTGACCATATTTCCGCCCTTCGACAGTCAAGCGAAGGAAGCCGACGACAAGCGCGACTCACCTATTGAGTTCACTTTTGACAGTGGCTTAGACGACGACGAAATGGCGAGCACGCAATCGCCCTTCATCAAGTCTGAGCCAGACGACTTCAACAACTTCAACTCCAACCAATACATGAACTACAACAATCACAACCACATGACCCAGTCAGGCGGCAACATGAACGTCAATCCAGCGAACTTGACCAACGGCGGCGGCAACAACTTCATGACGTCCTCATATATCGCTGACGACGAATTGGCCGACCTCAACATCGACAGCACGCCACAGTTCGGTGGCGACGTGCAATTCCAGAATTTCCTGCAACAGCAGCACATGTCGCATCCCAATACATTCTCGCACACTCCCGACGGGGCACCAATACAGTCGCCATTCAACAACGACTTCAACTACGGGCAGTTCCGGGCAGCACCGGGCCAACAGCAATTTGGTCACAGCCTGCCGACACAAGCCCAAGGCTTCCGACAGTCTCACATGAGCGCTGACCGAAAAGTTGGTGACTCCCGGTCACCTGCCACACCCAACACGCCGGGCATGGCACACCTGACTGTCAATGACGAGAATCACCCTGGCATGCAACAGATCAACCACCGACAACACAGTTCCATGGGTAACGGCTGGGAAAGCACACCAAGCGGTCACAGCTGGGGCGAATCATCACCATTCCCATCACCAAACGGTCAACCACAGCACCCGCAAATCGAGGCCGTCCTCAGAGGTACCCACCATCACAAGGTTGCATCGAGTCTACCGACAAAGATGGAACCCGGTTTCGGAGCACCTTCCACCACGCAGGAAGCGAAGCGTCGGCGGAGACGCGAGTCCCACAACATGGTCGAGCGTCGTCGCCGCGACAACATCAATGAGCGAATTCAAGATCTCGGTACATTGGTGCCACAGCACAGACTCGAAGACGAGAAGGTGCGCAAGCATCTGCAGACTAACGCTCCACTTTCGCCATCCATCGCAAATGCGGGCATGTCACCGCCGAACGCTTCCTTGCTTGGCACATCAGCTCGTAGAGCCGCTGGCAACATCACCCAGGGTCTACCACTCGAGGAGAAAGACAAGGGTCCCAACAAAGGCGACATCTTGAACGGTTCCGTGGCTTGGACACGAGACATGGTCTGGTTCATGCACCTCAAGCTCAGCCAAGAGCAGCAGCTCAAGAAGTATGTGCAGGAACTTGGCGGTCAGTGGCCATTCGAGGCGTCTGAAGAAGAGCTCCGCATGACATCCGAATTCCTGGAAGTCTTGACCAAGCACCGCGACGCTGGCGGCTTTACTGGCTACACACGCGCGCCTGGTTCAGGTCTTCGAGTGCCGGGTTTCACCAATCTCAACGGTGACAGCGTGGCCAACTCCGAGCCGCAGAACCTCACGATCCCAGCTCTGAGTCCAGGCTACCGTCCAGGCGGTAGTGGCATGTCGAGCGGTATGTCGCACGACTCTGCAGGCTACAACTGGAACATCGACCCCAAGGAGGAAGATGAGTTTGGTATTGGTATGGAGATGCAATAGGGAGGCAACTTCACTTACCTGCCACAACCCAACACCTTCGCGTACCCACAGGCGCCAATACAGGTGCAAAACAATGTGGATCCACTTCTGCACTTCCTCAACTTCGAAGCCCCGCCATCTGCCGAGATCCCAGCGGATCTGGTGGGTAACACCGACATCTGCTCGAGCACTTGATCTGGAGCTACACCCCTTGCATGAGGGACCCAGAGACCGGGGCGTGCTGACGCACTCTGTGACAGCAGCTGTCACAATGCAACCACCCTTTCCACCGACACTCGATACCTGCTGCTGGCATCTGCTTGCGACAATGATGTTACCTCACGAGTGCTTTTGACATCTTCCACCCACACCAGCGGCGTTAGTGTTACACGGAATTCTGATACATGGGATCTCTCGGTTTTGTGCTTTCCTCACCAATGATACCACCATATGCTTTTGCTTTGATGACTGCTTCCGACTATTTGGCTATGATCTCGGCTACCCAACCGCGACGACCCGCTGCTTCGACCTATTCCGGCAAATGCACTGATGGAGTCTGGCGTCTGCTCAGACCGCGCGCATACCTGGAGTTTGGGTCCGGCGTCTCGAACACGACACACATATCACAGCCTGCGAACAAACGCGGCACACTTTCACGAGCCGTTACCATGGAGTTTTTGATTTGTCACGATTTTCCTGAGACACCCTTCTACTGTGTTGTTCTCTTGATTTAAACTGCGATGCCTGAATGGCAAGGGGGGACAAGGGAGATTCTGCATGCTTGCGAGGGAGTTCAATCAACCATGTGTTTCGACATACTACTTGCATCGGGACGAGGCACCACACGACACACAACACCAACACTACCACTTATTATGCATGCATGGCAGAGAAAGACTTCTGAATGGGACTCCCACTGAACAAACGAAACTGATGGAAATTGTTGAGAGCAAGGCAGAAGATTTTTTCTCAAAATCACACTACTTGTCTTTTTTGAATGGAGAGAAGATTGTGGCATGACTGGCTGGTACATTGTGCGACTTATCATCATCAACATCATCATCTGTTTAATGGGTAGCCGAGAATGAATCTATAAATCTGACAAATTTTCCATTTTCACTTTCTTTGCTTGCACGAGTAGGACTGTGAAGGATGTGTACGCTTGGTCGATGTATTTGACATATGGCCATTGGCGAACTAGCAGCTGCGACTTCATCTACATCGGGAGTCCGAGAGCTGCAGGTTTATCGATTGTCATGCGACGTGGTATTGCGGTAACCCATCATGAAGGCTCGACGGCGAAGATACTTAGCCATCTTCAGCTCTGCCCAAAATCGAGGCTACGGCCAGTCGCGCCTCACAACCATCTGTCTCAACCCCAATGACTGGCCTCGAATCAACCACTTCCTCCAGCCTCCGATCCGCAAGCAAGTGACACGCATGCCGACAGTTCTCCTTCTGCAGAGACAAGAACGCCACAGTTACACGAGGGCTTGTGTCCGGGCTGTCAAATGCTTGGACTTGACTTGGTTCGGGGGTAGCAGTCTGATACAATGCCATTCGGCACCTCGTAATCTTGTCGTCTGGCGTGAAGCTTCATCCTTGTCATCGACACTTTTGTGGTATGTTGGTCGTTCTCGGATTTGCGAGCGTTGCTGGAATCTGCCGTGCGAGTGTCTCTGTTTCTCCACCGCCTCGCCTCGCTGGCGATTGCCGTTACGGCGACGGCCGGTGCCCGAATTCCAGCGACCGAGACTGTGAGTGAGACTTGATGCTGTGGAGATCAAGATTTTTGGTCGTTGTGGAGGACCTTGCTGTTGGTCGTGTTCTGGATCGTTGCTCCTGCCACCCGCTGCCACAGCAAGCCACGGTGTTTTCTCACACGCGTCTCAGTTACTGCTTGTCGGCTGACCAAGGGTGCTCGCTCTTCCTTCACCGCACATTAGCAGCGACATATCGTCGTCTGACCAAATAGCTCTCTTGCCGCGTTCCAGTGCTCGGTGACCGCCGCGCGAATTTTTGTTGATGTTGCATTTGCTGCAAGCTCTCAAAGAAGAATATCGATTCCAAATGTTCATGTCTGAGAAGTCAGACCGCCTTCGTGTAGTTCAGATAAGCCTGTTGCTGGGGTGCGTTCTGCAGCTTATCCCTTGCTTGGGGCGAGGTGGTCGGTCTCACGGTTCCGCCCGAGCGGGTTTCGTCACTCCTGCTGCTGCTGCTGATGCCGTGTGATGTGTTGACGGAGGCGGTGGGACGTCCTAGTGGCATTCTCCGTTTGGATCATGGCGTTCGCGAGTGCCGAGCGTGAGCTGGAGATTGTGGAGTATCGCGATGCCGCATCTCTGCTCGAGCTGGGATTTGGCTTCTGCTTTTTGGAGTGCAGCTGTTGTCTCTTTGTGCTGTTGACCGACTCTCCCGTGCTCTGATAGCCACCCTGAAGCGAAGCCGTATCACTTCTTCCCTGCGCTGTTCTGCTTTGCTCTCTCTTCCGCGTCCAGCTCCGCTTTGACCTTCGCTTTCATTGCATCCTGCTTTTCATCTTCATCCCCAAATCCCAAATTGCGCATTGAATCCGGCGCCATCAAGTTTCTGTCCATGCGGCATTGCAGGTAGGATTTGCTGAGTTGCCTGCACTCTTCATCATTGACGCCACGCTTGGACTTGATGCAGCGCAAGTACTGCTTCATGATGGGCTGGCATTCTGCCTCGTGGTCGAGCGGGAAACTGCCTCGTTCCGGTGGCGTAGGTTTGCTAAAGGTCGTGCGGCCTCCTGGTCCTCCAAATGTCGACATGATGGCGGTGCTGTCAAGTAAGTGTTCTCTTTCGGTGATGTTTCTTCTGTGCGGGAGCGCGTTCTGGCGGGAAAAGCACGTCGGTCGATCACCGATGGAGGCCGATTCTAATCAAAAACCCCGTCATGCTTCTAAGCGAAGTTTGATGGTGGAAGACGGCCGATTAGTTGGGGCTCATCGGGCGCTAGCTCACGTTGCATCGCGGCACTGTTCCTGACGCTTCGTCTTTCTAGCCAACTGCCGGCCACGACCTTCCGACTGCTTTAGCTGTCGGGAGGTGACGCGCTGCTGGGAAAGCATCCTCTTCCCAGATGTGCATCACGGCGGTCCGAGGCAAGCGAATGGGCGTGTTGGCTCCGGGTTGGATGCACTGCCGCGCCGCTGCTGGAAGAGGCGTTTGGATGTTTCGGCTGCAGAGGAAGAGACGCACGACGCTTTGCATGAGTAGGATACACTGTAGGGGATGAAAGACACATTGGAAAAGTTTGCCGAGGGCGACGTCTGGCGTACGCTGGCCAGAGGGGATGGGATCACGGTCAAAGTTGAAAGGACGCACTGGTTCCGATATGACCTTAAGAGCTCAAGGCGCATTGCATTGAATGTCCTACAGAACCCCGAGACACCCTTCCGAGTGTCTACGCACGCTGCGGAGTGTGCAGCGGTGATTTCGCAGACGCCTCGACTATGCCATCATGCTTCCCAGCATATGCATCAGCGGATGCCAACCTCTTGATGCCAGCCTTCAACTGTGGACACGACAAGGCGACATCTCCATGTCTTCTTTACCACTTCCTGGGAGGACGTGAACGACGGACCTAGGTATGCATCGTCTCCCCAAGCCTGTTAAATGCGGACTCGATCTTCATGGCCTTTTCGCGAGATCTCGTCGGCGAGTACATGAATCTCCAATCCAGACAGAAGTCGACATCGGTCCGGGAGGCGTTGATCTCCAAAAAATCTCCTTTGAACTCGGTTGCTTCGTACTCGAATCGAACATTGGCGGCTCTCTTCGCAGAGACATCGAACCTGTTCAGCCAGCGATCCAATTCTTGGCAATTTGGACCACTTGTCGTGAAGACGAGCTTGATCTTGATGGTCTGAGTAGTAGATCTCTGGACGTCGGTTCCGTGCTCCAGCTGCTTGAGTTGAGTCTCGCCAAGTCGGTTGAGGTAAGTGATGACATGACCAAAGCAGAAGTCAATCACCTGGGCTCTGATGACAGGGGCCTCGAGTGTGGCGTAGCTGCGAATCTCGTCGTGGATCATCTTGTTGACGCGAATCAGCCCACACGTAATCTTCACGCGGCGCCGGTGGTTTTGTGCAATGACGATCGGATGGTCTTCGACTACGAGTGCGTAGATTGCGTTGCGAAGTTCAGGAGGCAACTCGAGAAATTCGAACAGCTTCTCTGGTGCCTTGTCGCCTGGTCCTGCGGTTTGGTCCTCTTCCGTGGCGAGTGGTTCAGCAGCAGTGTCGAGAGCGCTTTCGCCCTTGTGTGCGGCGCCTTGGTTCATGGTCGGTATTGGCAAGGCATGGAACTCGAGTGCGAGCGACATTGGTGCAGGAGTCGATGTTGCAGGCGGCGACGCCGGACGCGGCCGACCCTTTTTGACGCGCGTGCGCTTCTTGACCTCCATGACCGGGGTTGAAAGCGCGAAGGTGAGAAGTCGAGCGTTCGAGACGGCCAAAGAAATCTTAAGAAGGCGAGGCGCGGGTGAATCGCAGCGCTTCACTTGGCCAAAGCGGGCCAGCCAAGACGTCACTTCCTCATGTGTCACACGACAATACGACGGAACGCGCTGGATTGAATGGCTATAGAACTGGTATTGTGCGCCGACAATAGAGAGCAAACAATAGCGGCCGTCCTATTGAGCTCGATGCCATATATCTTCTCGTCCAAAGTGCATTTCGCACTGAACTTGATCACTGACTTCGACTTACTCGACAGCAAAACCAGCACACCGAACCGCACTTACCATCATCTGAAGCTCTTCACTTCCGCTACCTACCTTCTGCCGCACTCAGTTCTGTCGCACTCGAACTCACTTCCACCACACCATTTCCGCTTCTTCCACTCACAATGGCTCACATCAAGACCGAAACCACCACCCAGCACGACCTCACCGAAGCCAAATTCGTCCTCACAATCTACCACCGACGACTCCGCCACACCCAAAGCAAGCTCGCCGACCTATACGACCTCAACGAAGAACAAACTGAAGCCCTAAAATCCTCCGGCATCACACCATTCACTTTGGCCCACGCCATCTCACTTCGCGCCTCACTTGACGCCGCCAAATATCAAGTCATTTTCGACGAGGCCAATCTCTGCTACCAGAAGCGTCGGGTTGCCACTCTGCAGGCACGCGCCGCCCGATGTTGGGTGCAGCTAGAAGAGGAGAGTGACGAGGAGGACGAGTTTCACTTCGGTGAGGAGGGAGATTTTGCTGTTTCGAGTGGTGCTTGGGGTTTGTTGGTATGGTGCCCTTGAAGAACTTCATTCGATCAGAGCTAACAGGCATTTTAGTATGGTGGAGTGAAGACACTTGGGCAATTCTTCTGGAAGTAAGAGGAAGCATCGTGAGAGGTTTCTTTTGTTTCCGCAGGACGGAACATACTTCATGCCACTAGATAGAGCTCTGCTTGGCTGCTTGTACGCGAATGGAAAATTGGAGTGAAGCACATATTGGAACGAAATGAAATGAAAACTCTTTTTACCACGGGAATGATATTCCCGATCTCACGCCGAAGCTTTCACTGCATGCCACTGGGGAAAGGTCAGCTCGATTGTTTGTGCATAAACGGAAATTGGAGCGATGCTGATTTCTAGGAGAAACCAAATGAGAATTATCTCACTCGTTCCTTTCTCTGAAGGCTGGCAGTACCTCAATGCCTTTCAGCATGACCATGGGCAAGAAAAGTACCGCAGCCCAGCTCTGAGTCTGAGTTATATCGAGCGCACACCTCTCGGTGTGTCCCGCTTACGGCTCATACTCGGAGACCTTCTTGCATACGTTTCCAGAGATCTGCTCCATTGCTTGCCATCGAGACTCCCAAGAAAAGTGTCGTCAGGATCGACCAGAGGCTGAGACGCGCGAAAGACGCTGTGTCTCACGTCCTCCTCATCCTCCTCAACCAAATTCCCAGATCAAAAACCCCATCACTCAAATCTCTAGCATCTCCCGAGTAAACGAATGTCCAACCCTCAACCACTTTCTCATCTCCGTCCAACGGAGCCACTCGAATCGTGCATTTCTCCACTTTATACGCCTTGGTCTCATACTCCTGGAGCCGTTGTGCGTGCTGTTCGCTTGAGATTTCGTACAATGAGCCTGATATCGCAGGTCTCTCTGATCCAGCAGAGTCGGACAAAGGCAGTTTGACTAGAGCAGGGTACTGGCCCCATAATTTCAACTCGTAAGAAGCATTGGTGAGCTGAGCGGGATGAAGGTCAGGGGTAGAGGGAAGTTGGAGGATTTCACGGAGAAGGGAAGGTGATTGGAGTGTGCCGTAGAAGAAGTAAGAGCCTATGGGAGGAGGTTCTGCCTCGATGACTTGTGAGGCTCTGATCCAGGTCGGGGGGTCTGAGGTGACTTTTAGGTTGATTGCTGGCTTGACGGCAGTGTTGCTCTTGTGGAGATTGTTGAATGGAGGGAGAGGAGGAGCCGGTGGGATGGTATCTTGTTGTGATGCTGTCTTCTTATTTGATTCCCGGGAGTCCATTGCTCGCAGTATCGACGCTACTGGTATTGGAACGTGCTAGTATGAGGCAAGATTGAAACCCATGGACACATGCAGTCTGTGCCGCACGAGCTACTAATACTGCCACTAGACCGAAAGCAGTCAGAAGAGTGGATCGCGGAGTCGAGTGCCTACATATTCTTCCATATCCACCTACTCCGACCACAGGCTATTACAGAGGACACTCGTAACCCAGCGAGAATCATAGCCTTTCGTTCTAGAGTCTAAACTTCAAGCGATCATCAAGCGCCTAAGCAGTGCTGGATGTTGTCCCTTGTCGGAGGACGAAATGAGATGCTGTGCATGTTTTATCGAAACCTCTCATGTGTTATGCAAGCTCGAGCCTGGCGAAATCAATTTGTATCGTTCACGCCCCAGAACAGAGAGCATTGTGCTGCATTCAGGCTGAACTTGTACTCGTCCGGCTCGTTCGCGAGTACAATAAAAGCTGGGGTTTGCTGCTTGATATCAAAGCGATGCTGCAGTTCGACTGCGGACGTTGTAGCCGCCGTGGTCATCGGAGGAAAGGGAGTGTGCAGAATTCATCGCTTACCTATGAAAGTCATGTGATGGTACCCATTTTCTCGAAACAATTTCAGGCAGTCACCTACACCGGGACAACTACGAGATCTGTTGTTCTTCTATGCCGCTGTGTCTATGTTAGAGGCAAGCATGATTATGCCGATCTTATCAGACGCCTTGCAGGGAACCAGCAACGCTCAATTGGCTGTGAAGATCCTCCATCGACGACAAGAGGACATCCTTGTGGCGTATTCATCATGCAACTCTTACCTTGATCTTCTGGAAGCAGCTCGACATGAGCAAGATCCTTACTTGTAGCAGCCCGAGGTCTCTTACATCGACTCTTTGCGACTGCGTATTTTGTCAAGCACTCCATCGGCACATCTATGCCTTGCGATTGCTGCCCATCGAGCCTCAAGCTCTGCAGCCGTACGAGTTCTTGATCATGACTCTGAGTGTCGTTTCTGATGAGCTCGGTTCGATGTCACAGGCGCTGACGCCTCATGTGCAACAGCCAACGAGAATTGCCAGCGAAGGGTAGGAATGTTGCCCTTGTCTTGCTTTTGCTCGTCGCTTCGACTTGCTGAAGAATTCAACCAGGATCGCCAAGCCGATGACAATCCGGAGAACCTACCAATCATGCAGCTTCGGACCCATACTGAGACCTCGCGAATGGCTGCGAGTTCAGCGGTCGACGTTTTCTGTTGGTTGCAAGGGGAAGTGCTGCAATACTCTGCCAGATGCAGTGACCAGGAAATCTTCATCTATGTCCCGAATATGGCTATGAAGCCGACTGTTCAACGCAAGACTCACTTCGCGCTTGTGCGCGTAGTTGCCAAGACGACTCCAGCAAGTTGAGCGAGCGACGTCAATCTCAAGCCCGAAGAGCCTGTGATCAACGCAGCAGTTCGCCGTAGTGCATGCTCGATCTCGTCAGAAGCAGCAGCTCGTGCAGTTTTGCGATGATGCCATCTGCCCTCAGACATGGTCAACAGTTCCGACCTTCAGCACAAAGACGAATCGATAGTGCGCTGCGAACGCCTCCATCTGGACCAGCCATTCCGTGGAGGGCGTTGCCAGTTGACGTCGGGGTAGGCATACGAGAGGCGGAATTAAGCATGAAAGAAAGACGAGCACTGACCACAGCCTACTCGTCCGCGGCGGCGTGACAAGGATGATGCGACTGCGATGTCTTGTGGTTCATGCTGTGAGATGTCGCGAAATTGTGCTGATCTCTGCTACGAGCAAACGAGATGAGGCAGAGGTCACCGAGTGCTCTTTCATTTCTTCGTCGAGCACCACCTTTGCACGCCAGTCGGTGAGCTCTTTGCGACCAGGCCAGTCTCGACAGCGATTTTGTAATGAGGCGTCATGGCGTCCGGTATGTTGCGGTGGTAGCTCCTGATAAGCTCGGCGTGGCGTGGACTTGAAGATTCGCGCCACTTTGGCGCAATTCTGTTCGCTGACCACAAATTAATAGCACTATACCACAAGATTGTACAACCCTCTCGTTGCGCGACAAATGTGGTCTCGCGTTGTACGAGACATACCAGTAGTTTGACTGCCCGAAAGCGATCGGAATGTCTCGCGACAGCATTGAGCTCGGGCATAGCTCCATTGTTCGCGCAATGCAGGTACGGATATGAAGGACAGTCCCGTTGGCTGCTGCAGGTGAGCACCGGTACGACTGCGACTGTGTCAGTGACGTCCTGCGTGTCGCTCATCACCTAGAAGAGTTAGATTGAAATCCAAGGAAACGATATGTCCAATCATATGCCTAAGCATTCTGGAGGGAAGCCCAGATCTGGAGAAGGCCGTGCGGGGAGACCAAACTCTAATCATTTGTAAACTTCGTCGCTTGGGCGCATGTGAGAACCGATCGTCAACGTTCACCAGGAACACCGAGGCAGACTTTCCCATAGCGTTGAGAAAAGACTGGCTACGAGACGTTCGCAGCGGGTAGCGTTGATAGAGGTCGTCGTGTCCGGTTACTGCGATTTTCTTGCTTTCCGTACTTTCACTCGTTGTGCATACACACGCGACAGCAGTAACTTCATTGCAGTCAATACCAGCCGGGTTGGCTTTGAAGAAAACATGAAGTTCCTCGCCGCCCTCTTCGCCACTCAGGCTTTGGCCTTCAGCCTGGATACCAGGAGTCCTGCCGTTAGAAGTCGACAAGCTGCTGCAGATATCGCCAGCTCGATCAGAGCAATTCAAAGCGCAACAACAAGCCTCAACACAGCGATCAATTCAGGTGATCTGCTCGCGTTGGCATCTGGCAATGGTGCAGTCATCGATGCTATCAAGGCAGCCACATCGGAAGCCAATGGCCTCTCAACACTTTCCTTCGACGATGCTGCAGGCCTTGCCAACCCAATCCAGGACCTAGGCGCCGCCGTCGACACAACAATCAGCAACCTCATCAGCAAGCGATCATCACTTGATGGCGTGCGGGAAGCCGTCCTCACTGGACTCCAGGATCAACAGACCGCATCGATGGCCTTCTCAAGAGCACTCCTCAGCAAGATCCCCGAAAATCTTCAGGGTATTGCACAAAACCTCGCCCAGCCCATCGCAGACAACCTCGCCAGAGGCATTGCTGCATTCTCAAGCTCATCTTCTGGTGGTGGCAGCGGCGGCGGCGCTGCAACGACTCAAGCAGCTGGCGGCCAGACGACCCCAGCACCTAAGGTTCAAGCCAGCGTGCAGGCGAGCAAGGCTCCAGTTTCAGCAGCAGGAAGCGCGATCCCCAACGCACCAGCCGGCAATGGCTACACGATGCCAACTGTCACGACGGTCACCGGTATTCCATCGTACAGCCTTCCAGGAAGCACTCCAGCAGCATACACCGGCGCAGCCCAACCGATGGCCACTTTCGGCTTCGGTGCTGTTGCCATGGCTGCTGCCGTTGCTGCCGCGTTTTAAGCTTGAGATACCCATTCATACCGAGGAGCAGAGCCGTTGGACGGCTGATTTTGGCGGACTACTTCGAAGTTTCTGAGGTCGCGAGGATGAAAGGACCTGATGTGTAATGATTAATGCGACCATAGACCCTTACTGCTAATGCGCAGACGACCGGCTTGTAAATAATCCAACGTCATGAAGCCCGTTGGGAATGATATAACCCAAAAACAACCTGCATAAACACCCATTTTAGCTCATGTTCATCCTGAATCGCGTTCTCATCACTGTATGAAGCAGCGCGGTTGATCGCGTCTCCTCCTCACCAAAGTCCAGAGCTGTACAACGCGTCGGAGATTGTCAGAAGCTTGCCAAAGCATTAGCCAAGACCAGTGCCCGCCTCGGAACTAGCCTGGAGGCTTGCAGGTGGCTGTCTTGAGGCGGCCTAGGTGCTGGTTGGTGACTGTGCTCGGTGTGGAGGTGTCTTGGAAGAAGTGGAGTCGAAGGAAGAAACCGAGGCTTTTGAGGCACGGACTCCACATCCTTGTTCGAGCTCTCCGATTGGGATTGCGCTAACGGCTGGCTGCTTGTCGCCCTCTCAGGTTGCCCTTCCCACCACTTTGTGCTGCTGTTGCCCGTGACACGACCAACGTGCATTTCATCGTCGCCAGGGCATTGTAACGAACGGACTCGTGGGTTCTAATTTTGACCCTTGAGATGTTCTGTTGCATCTTTCGTCCCGGGGAACGACCCCGAACGTTTGTGACTGACTCTGGCTGAGCAAGTGCGAATCATGGCATACATCGCTGCAAGCCCTCGGAGGGAATACGGCAACCCGAGTGAAACTCGCAATATTGATGGCGCAAGGCCGAGAACGGGGCCGATGAGTTGTGATGCCGTTTCTGGCGAGAACGATTCCATTTTGCAGACCAGTGAAACAGATCTGTCTCAGAGTCTAACCACTTTGCGGCAGGCAAGTCACAAGCGGATGGTGGCAGTAGCCAAACGCGAGCATGAGAGCAACCAACACACTTGAACTGTTGATGGTTTGCTCGCTACCGGCAATTGACGCTTTTGGCAGCGACCTGTGTGTTACCGAACCTGATCTTGACAAGCCTGAATCCCTCATAGCAGGCGCAACATATCATGTCGGCATGCATTCACCTACGAGCTCTCCTTAATGATCGACTCCAAGGCCTTGACAAACTCCTCCACCTCTTTGGCACCTTCAATCGTGATATCCCTCCTTTTTCCCTCTATCACAATGTACGGCACGGCATCAATCCCGTTGCCAGCCTGCTCCCTTATCAGCATCTTCACATCTTGCAGTCCTTCATTTTCGTCCTCCACAAACTGTTTCGCTTCTGTCTCATCAATCCCAGCCTCATTCGCGGCGGTCAACAGTGTCTCCGTCGCGCTGGGATGTTTCTCCTCTTCAAAGTATTGCCGATACAGAGAATTGACGATCGCATTTGACATCTCAGGCCCTCCCTTCTCTTGGAAGTGTTGGATCAAGCGGTGGGCAGGCAAGGTATTGGCTACTGTCCCTCCGAACTTGAAGTCTATGCCTTCTTTATTGCCGTACATCGACATCAGATGCATGTATTTGGCCATCTTTTCGTCGCTGTCGCCGTAGCGGGATTTGCGATACCACGCATACTTGTCTTCACCTTCCTGCGAGGCGCCCGGGTATAGCTGATACGGCTTGAACTTCACCGTGAAGTTGACCGGAGTGGAGGAGTCCTCGCGGATTTGAGCCAGAGCTTTGTCGAGCCGGCGTTTCGCGAGGTACGTCCAAGGACATATCGTGTCGAGCGTGAATTGGATCTCGGAGTCGTACACCATTGTTGTCTGCTGTGTATGAAGTGGCTCTGCTCTGTTGTTCAATCAATCAATGCATGGAAAGCGAAGCCTACTAAGCAACGTCATGGTTCAAAGTCCACTGGGCTGCAGCTCCGCATGTTCAGTGGAACAGCTCCGTTCTTCCTCTGCTCCGCGCCGCTCAGAGAAAAGTTCAGAGTGGTCGTGGACAGTAGCGACTAGAGCAGCAGTCGACATTCTTGGCATTGAATGATGCCTCAGCATCGAAGCTGGTGGCTTTTCCATGTTGACGTAAGCTCGTTGTGTGGAGATCCATCGTCACGGTCAACAACGTCGAACGAGTTCAAAGAGTTGGGCGCGTCAACGCCAAGACCCGGAGTCTGGACGCGCAACGGACTTTGGCTGCTCGGGAGATCCGAGCAACACGACCACTTCTACCACGTCTGATTCATCACTACTAACGGCGCCAAACACTCCCGAGTGCTATTGTTGTCCACTTCACCAGTGCCTACTTGGTTCATCCATGGCTCGTTCTCGTTGCGCTACTCTCTCTAGAGCTGAGGCGTTCCAGCCTGTCGTACTCTCCGACGCATACGCTGACCCAAATTCACGCCGGTAACTATGGCAGCCGATATGCTATGCAGTGCCTGCGAGGCGTATGCCGCTAGACTGATGAGCAATAAGGCTCGTTGAAAGCAATGTCAGAGTGCTTAAGAGAAAGAGCTGGAAGACCAAGTTCCAGAACGACCGGGCGGACCAAATTCACCGTATGTTGCTACCGCATGCGATCGTCTATGAGGACGACCGCAAGCCACAATGGACTTTGAACGGACTTTATGCAGTGCTTCTGTGAGCAGTTCTGCTGCATAACTCAGCATGTTGCGTCATCCGGACGAACTTTGTCTCGCCGAAGGAGGACGGAGACACGGAGCCGGACAGAATCCACCGGACATTCGTTCACGCCGGTTCCTGTCATAGGAGACAGGCAGCCACCAAGCCATAGTATCTCAACAGGACATATATACTCCTTGTTGCTCTTCGAGATGTCCTCATCAAAGCACAACTCAGATCTCAAACGCACAAAGCATTCCAAACGCAAACTACAAAAACAACAACTCCGACAACATGTTCATGGGATACCACGGAGGTGCCTTGGCTGATGCCAAGCCTAAGGAGGAGGCTCAACAACAACGTCCAGTCAGGAGATGGCAGAGTGAGTCTCTAGTCAGTGACGTTATATCTATCACATGAGCCTAATGTTCGTAACAGAGGTCTTTGCCGTACTCCGAAGCCGTTCGCAATCAAGCAAAGCGTAGAAACACCGAACTGGACAGCTCCGCTCTCAACATACGACAATGAATTAGTCGATGGGCCGACAGCACGGGTTCAGTGAGCTACAAAGCTTACTAGATGTTACACCAAGTTGAGAACGACGATCAAAGACGACGAACGATGGGCTTCACAGGACCCAGACACCACGACATTGCCACACCCAGACCATGCTAGAGGCATCACAATATCACGTTACACGCCGAGGTATCGAGCTTTCGCCTGTTTATCGAAGCCGGCTATCTGCATTCGATAGAGCAGCAAACAAGCTGCACAGTATTGGCCGAAAGTTGTCCTGAAGGGAAGAACGAGGCGTAAGCCTATCAACCAACAATGCCAGAAGTGGGAGGCAATCAGTCCATCAGCATCGAGCATTGTATCATTAGCAAGCATAATAGACAGCACGTTATAAGAAGAGATGTGAAACGAGTGGTAACACGATGTTATGACAACTCACGGTGCTACAGTTCGCCTTGAATCGCAGAGGAGCACAAATCCAGGTCACTTGGTAACCCATTCCATTACCAATCCGACTAACTCTTCACTCACTGTATACAAAACCTTCTAACACCAGCACCTTCCCTCAACAACATCCGCCAAATCATGGCATCCACCGAGCAACTACGCCCAAACCAATCTCCAACCGAAAACCACGACAATGCCTCCACAACACCAATCGCCCCCAGAAAACTCTTCACAACCTCTTTCACCCTCATCCTCATCGCGCTCAACATCAGCATCTTCTGCGTCGCCCTTATGAACGTCATCATCCCCGTCTCCGTCCCCAAAATCACAGACGAATTCCACAGCCTCGACAGCATAGGCTGGTACGCCGCCGCCTACCTCATCCCGACCTGTGCGTTCCAACCCCACTACGGAAAACTTTACGCACGATATTCTGCGAAATGGACGATTCTGGGTGCTTTGATGTGCTTTGAGGCTGGAATCTTGGTTTCGGCGTTCTGTCGAAGCTCGAACGTTTTTATTTTTGGGAGGGCGTTGGCGGGGATGGGTGCTGCGGGGGTTTATTCTGGGGCGCTTTATATTATTGCGGTGTTGACGCCGGCGGAGAAGACGCCGGCTGTGCAGAGTAGTGTTGGCGTTGTGATTGGGATTGCGAGTATTGTGGCTCCGATGTTGGGAGGGTGGTTGGTTGATCAGTTTAATTGGAGATGGTACGTTCTGAGAAGTATGAGAGTAGAGATGTGTTCGATATACTGACGAGATGAAGGTGCTTTTTCACCATTATTCCGGGACCGCTGATCGCTGGTGTTATGCTCTTGATCTGGTTGAAGTTGCCGGCAGTGCCGCGAAGACGAAAAACGGGGTTTGAATTGATCAAGATGTTCGATCCTCTGGGAACGATGTTCTTCCTGGTCGGCATCTTCTGTCTGCTCCTCGCGCTGCAGTGGGCGGGCTTGAGTTATGCATGGTTTGACCCACGTATTATCATGCTGTCCATCATGTTTGCAGTAAGCCCCGCGTCGCTAAAGTGAAATGACACAGCTGATATTTTAAGCAGTTCTTCTTCGTCGCGTTCATGGGCATTCAACTTCTCACGGGCGACAATGCAACGATCCCAGTACGAATACTCGGCCAACGGACGATCGCTGCGCTGTCCTTCTTCATCTTGTGCCTCTTCGGCCAGTTCGCCTGCGACATGTATTTCCTTCCGGTCTACTTCCAAGGAGTAAAACTCATGTCGGCAACGGAGGCTGGTATCAACATGATCGCGTTCATCGCGGCTATGGTCTGCGCCTTGATCGCAGCAGGTGTCCTCTCTTCAAAGCTTGGCCAATACGTGCCGTTCTTCTACACAAGCGTCTTCTTCATGGCAATTGGGAACGGCATGCTTACGACTCTGAGACCCGAGACGCCTGCCATCTGGTACATTGCTCATCAGATCAGTACGGGAGCCGGAACAGGTCTCGCTTTGCAGCTGCCAGCTACTGCAGTGCAGGCAGTCCTGCCTGAGGAAGATTTTGCAGTTGGACTTGCGACAGTGCTCTTCTTCGAGTTCCTGGGCGGAGCTGTCTTTGTTGCTGCTGGAAATAACATCTTTGTGAACAAGCTTCATCGTCGGACTGGCGTCAACCTCAACGATGACGGTGCAACAACCGTGGTCAACAGCAGTCACGACAAAGTCAGACAGAATCTGTACATGGATGCGCTGAGATGGCCATTTCGTTTGTCGCTGATCTTGAGCTGCCTGGCGATTATCGGAGTTGTGTTTCTCGAGCGTAAGAGAGTGAAGGGAAGGGGCCAACATCGCCGCACCAAAGACGACGAGCGGAATCAACAGGGAGCGGCAAATGGCATTGAACTCAAAGAGACATCTCCAGGTTCTAGTGCGCGTGGCTCAGATGATTCGTCATGCTTTGGGTGCAGCGATAGGCCTACTTGCATCTTGCACCAGCCTTCGGCCGAGAATGCTTACATTCCGGAAAGGGACACCAGGGAGACGACCAGAGTCAAGGATTTCCATCTTCCTCGGGTGATCGAGTAGACACTTGGCTCACGACTGCCACTGTTGTACGGAGAAAGACCAGTTTGTGCCTGCACATCACTTCCGCAGTTCAGCGACATGCTCCAACGCGGTTCCTCTGGCATAATAGTCGTCGATCCAATGATACCGTTTCTCCGTTGCCCAGGCTCCAGTAATATCATCGGCTCCAGCAGATGTGGACTCTCTCAAAATCGACTGTTGGGCTGCTACATCAGTCCGGCTCCATCGGCGCATATTGTCATTTATGATGTGTCTGAAACCTTCGATCCGGGGACGTCGCAGTTTCTCATATGCCTTCGACACTTCACTAAAGTCCGAGAAGACTCCTGAGTTCGACAGCAAGACCGAGAGCACTGAGGCATCTTCAATGGCCATGGCGGCTCCTTGACCAGCATAGGGTGGGACAGCATGCGCGGCATCGCCTAGCAGAATAATACGGCCGCCGGAGCTTGACCATGTCGAGAGGTCTGGTAATTCTGCGATTCTCCATCTGGTCAGGTTCGTTGTCTCTCTTAGCAATTCAGTCACTGCTGGCTCGAAATCGCTCCATCGTTTTCGGAACGCTTCCATATTGTCAAATCCCGCAATCAGACTTTGGCTGTTTCCTTGCTCTGCGCCATACGCTGCACCATTTCCATACTTATGGTCATTCATTTGCATATGGTATCGATCGTGCCGGGTCATAGTCCATGCCACAATACTTCTCTCCGGGGCCATCCAGAACTGAAATGGATCTCGACCATTCTCGTACAATTGCTTCGAAGCTTCGTGTTTCTCCATAGCAGACTTCGGGACATCAACGAGAAAAGTGCAATGTTCCGTCAGCACCGGCTCTATGCTTTTGACACCTTCGATACATCCTCGTGTCTCCGAGTGGATGCCATCAGCACCGATGACAACATCTGCTTGGACGACTCTGCCATCTTGCAACATGACGCCAACGCCACTTTCGTGCTCGATCATTCCGAGACATCGTTGGTTGATATGGATCTTGGCGTCTGCTTTCGTTGCGTGTCGGACGAGTAATCGTAACAAGTCGCTGCGATGTACCATAGAATGACTGTCTTACATTAGCGTTCTTATTTTCCCTTCTTAGCATTACGATTATACGAACCCATTCAACGTCTTCACTCTTCGCATCGACGACCCATCTCGAAAATCTCGAATTTGTAAGTCTTGACCAACATCCGCACTATCCAAGAAGTCCTCCTCCAACCCAAGTGCAAAGAGACATTTCGTTGCATTGACAGTCAAACACAAGCCTTGTCCACTCTCCCCTCCATCAATGTCATATCTTGACTTGTGTTCAATGACAGTTACATCGTGACCGTCTTGTGCCAAGGAGATGGCTGCCACGAGCCCGCCTATTCCCCCTCCGATGATGAGGACGGTTAATTTCTCGTTGGCCATATTGTAGAAAGGTGGTGTTGAACGTGTAGCAGATACGTCGGATAAATATCAAAGGTTCGGAAGAGGGCTTGTTGATCCTTCGGCCAGCCTGCAGGATTTGTCCTTGAGCTCCACTGCACCGTCGAAGCTTCGTAGCTCCGAGCTCGCAAGCAGAAAGCAGCCAAGACTTCGATCAGGATAAAGTATTCCAGCTTGGCTTTACTGCTTGACTCCAACCAATTTATCTCTCTAGCATCTTCGTTATGCTACTTCTAGTCCATGCGGACTGACAGGTTTAATGCTACCAGAGAGACTTGCCAATAAAATCCTTGAGCACAATGTCTATTCATGATATATCTCCCCGTCCAGTAAACATCCTTCGGCTCCTCAAACATGCCTCACTCGTACACCCAGAACACATCTGTTCAAGCTGTCTAGACGCCATTGCACCACCTTGTAAATGCTTCCTCACCATCTCTGCCAAAGCCTCGATAAATACCGGATTCCCGTTCAAACTCTCCGCCCGTTTGATCGTATCTGCGTGCCCCGACTCAGCGATCAATTCTTCATCAGGCTCATACAGAGTTTCGATATGGTCTGAAGTAAAAGCGACTGGGATAATAATGGCATCCGTCTTGCCTTTTTCGATCATTTCCTCAACAGTCGATGCTGTTTGTGGTCCTAGCCAGGGTTGAAAGCCGACTTTGGATTGCCAGACTATGCGGTAAGGATTTGAAAAGTTGAGACGAGACATAATGGCGTGGACGGAGGCGGCGACTTCTGTAGAATACGTGTCACCTGATTGAGACAGTCAATTGGTTGCTTTGTGTTATGGAGGAACACCTTACCTTTGTTGACGAAAGCCATGGGTTGGCTGTGAGCAGAGAATAGGAGTGTAACGTCTTTCTTTCGTGCTGGCTCGTACGAGCGAAGATGCTCTTCGATATTTCTTGTGAATGCTTCGACAAATCCTGGATTTGTTGGCCATCGATCAATGGCACTCCATTGGATCCCTCTTTTTGTATATGCGCCTCCTTCTAGCTTTCGACGAAGCTTGTAGATTTCGTTCAAGGAACTGCCAGTAGTACTGCAAGAGAACTGTGAATATTGTGAGAAAGCGACAACTCTGCCGCGCTCACCAAAGCCATCTTTAAGAAGCTGAGAGTAAGTCTCTTCAGTGAGCGGCTTAGCGTAACGAAAGGCCACGTAAGGCGAATGCGGTGCCGTTTCTGGAGAGGTACGATCCAAGATTTTGCATAGTTCTTGTGCTTGATATTCTGACCACTTTCTGATCGGTGAGCCTCCACCGATTGCTTCGTATTGGTTCTTGATTTTTGGTGTCCTCATTCGTGCAATGAATGATGCTATGTAGCTTTGAAATCGTCCAAGAGGTATCAAATCGCCATCTGACTAAAATGTATGACGTTAGTCCATGTGCTAAGCAAAGTTGGTTCAGTAGAATACTTACGAACAGCCTTTTCAAAAAGTCTCCGACTTCATCCTGCGTTGATGGGCCACCCATATTCAAAAGGACAACGGCAGTGGAGCCCGTCGCAGAAGACGATGTTTTGCTTGCTTGCCGGAAGAATCTAGTACTCCGACATCGAGTTCGAAGGCCTAGTTGCCTGACCTACAGTGACAACATCGTTGTAGTGATGTCCTGTATGTGTGAAAGACCAAAATCTCGACAATTTCGGCCTCGAATACGACGCATGTCTTATTACATACAATTCATGGTCGTTGGTTGGACAGACCCACAAAGGACTCTATCTATACAACGCCATGGCAACGGGCCGGTGTGCCGGCATGGGTTAGAACTAGCGAGCCTGGCACAATATATATTGACCAGACCAGGCGTCGATGGAGACCAGCTCCTAGGCATTACAACTTGGGCTTGAGTTTTGCTTTCGAGGCCATTTTTTCAGCGTCTCTCTTCGCCCATTCCTTCACGACCTTTCTTTGGATTTTTCCACTCAGCAATCGTGGAATCTGATCAACAATCTTCACTCCACCAGTCAGCTGCTTGTGCTTTGCAGACTTCTTCGCAACATATCGTTGGATTCCTCTTTCAACTCCAATAGCTTCAATGCTCGGGCTTTGCAATTTGACATACGCCCTCGGTCGTTCCTCGTCTTCGATCATCAGCCCAACAACAGCCGCGTCAGCAATATCCTCATGCTCCAACAACAAAGCCTCCAGCTCCGCCGGAGCAACCTGAAAACCTCTCACTTTAATCAACTCTTTCCTCCGATCCACGATCCAAAACTTCCCACTGCTTGCATCATACTCCGCCACATCCCCCGTCTTCAACCAATCCCCCTCCGCATAAGTCTCCTTCGTTGCTGTTTCATTCTCCCAATAATTCAACAACATCTGTGGTCCTCTCACCCACAACTCCCCACTCTTTCCCACCTCTTCAACTTCCCTCTCCTCCTCATCAACCAACATCGCCTCCGTACTCGGCAACAAAATCCCTGCACTTCCACTATCCTCCTCCGTCAACCCAGGAACCATCAACGCCGTACAAGTCGTCTCTGTCATCCCATAACTCTGCACAATCGTCGCGCCTAATTTCCGACAAATCTCATTCTGTAAATCCCTTTTCAATGGCGCAGCAGCCGACATGATCCATCTCACACTCTTGAGATCCAGTTCTTCGATTCCAGATCTTTTATTCATCATGACCAGAACCGGAGGCACGAGTTGTAAATTCGTGATTTTGTATTTCGCGATATATTTCAGATAGGGTTCGAGTTGGAATTGCGGCATAGTGTAGACTGCTTGTCGGAGTTTGCAAGCGACGATGAGAGTGAACATTTGAGCGTAAGCGTGATACCAGGGTAAGAAAGCGAGCCATTTCTCGTTCGAGTCAGGGTTCCCTATCGTCTGGCTGGTTTCGTGTAGTCGAGCGTGGATGACTTGACAAGCGTTCGCGATCCAATTGTAATGTGTTGTGCAGACGCCTTTGGGCAGGCCAGTGGTTCCTGAGGAGAAATTGATGACTGCGATGGTGGATTTGGATGCTTCGCCTTCTAGAGGATCCCAGTTCCAGGTCTGGGCTTCGGAGTCAGATGATAGTATGCGTTCCCAGCTTGTCACGTCGCATTTGCTTTCTGGGGGAACGAAATTGTAGACACGGTGCCGAGGAATTCCGGCTTCGGTTGCTGCTTTTTGGACTTTCAAGAGTACAGAAGAGTCTGCGAGGACGAGACCAGCTGGGACAGTCTTCATTTGATGCACCAGTTCCTCAACTGTATACGTCGGATTCGCAGCTGTGAATATCCGGCCAGAACCTATCGTGGCGAGATACAAGACAGGTGTGTAGATGGAATTCGGTGCAACTACCATGATTGGAGTCTGCTTCGCAATATCCAGCTTGTCTAGGCCGCGTGCAAAGCGTTTGATGAGACGCAGCGCTTGTGAGGCTGAGAGCGCTCGTTCCGGGTGCGCTGCATCGATCCATAGTTGCTTGTCTTCTTCAGCTTTTCCATCAGGAAAGAGAAAAGACAGGAGGTTGCACTGGGGGATGTCGAGGTCCGGAAAGGTCGATCGAATTGGCATCTTGAAAAGATCGAAGTCCAATGACAAGCAGCGCACAATGACTACAAAATCGAGTGATGCATCAACGTGTTGACAAGTATCAGCCCATTGCAGCCAAGTCGCGAGAGTGTCAATTGAATGTTGCCAATGCTTTTCCAGCGCGTAGTCGGAAGGTTCACTCGGTGATGAACCCAACGTCATCACCCCGCCTCGGAAAGCTTCTCGTTTTGACCAAGGTTTGTGCTCAAGAAGAGCGACCAGAAGACATCATCTCTTCATTACATTCGTTAAGCGTTTATATTCTATATGCAAATCTTGCACTTTGCCTGCATCGGACTAATAGCCCTTCTTGTACCTCAATCCATCGCCAAATCTGAATGGCGGGTCTGCAGTATCGAACGGCACATCCTCGAAGCTGTCCTCCACAGCCTGATTACTCCGGGGAAGATCAAATGGCAGCTTGCCCTTTGGCTCCGCACCATCAACCCCAAAGATTACGTCCAAGAATGCGTCTGGGCCACTTCCAAAGCTGCCCAAGAACGCGGCAGCCTGCTCTGCGACTTCGGGAATAGCTGCAGGACGTCCGAGGTAGACGTCCACGATGGTAGGAACAGCAGCGTAAATCTCAGCTTGACGAGCTTTCTCAGTAGCATTGTATTCGAGCGAACCGGCAGTGTAGCGGGCCTCGAAGCCACCAGGACGAGGCTCGTATGGTGCTTGCAGACGAAGGAAAGCGATATCAGCTTCCTCAGGTGTGTCGACCACTTCGATGTTGCGCCTGGTGAGGTATGTGGAGTTGAAACCTTCAGCGTAGACCTTGCCAGAGAAGTCCTTCAGAGGCAGGATGTTGTCCTTGTTTGTCAAGAGAGTGTATGCGTCACGTTGAGCTTGAGCACCCAACTTGACGTACTCATCGTTGCCAACAATATGCGCGGCCTTCTCCACATCCACATATGGGTTGTCGAACAGACCAAGTGCAAACTTCTCTCGGAGCAAGCGGCGGACAGACAAGTCGATGCGTTCTTCAGAGATACGGCCGTTCTCGACAAGTTCGACAATGAGCTCAGGACGTTCCTCGCCACCATACTGGTCAACGCCAGCATCGAGGACGCGGGCAGCGCGTTCCAGCTCGTTGAGATATTCCACACCCCAGGCACGTGCAGGCATGTCTTGGCCGAGGATCACAGTATCGGTGATCAGACCCCAATCGGAACAGACAATTCCATCAAAGCCCAATTCGTTGCGGAGGAGATCGGTAATGATGCCCTTGTTGAAGCTGAATCCAACCTCTTCGTACTCGGTACCGATAGGGCGAGAGTAGTATGGCATCATTTGACGCGCACCTGCGGCAATGGCAGCCTTGAATGGGATCAAGTGGTGCTCGAAGTTGTTGCCAGGATAAGTTCTGCATCACAGTCAGCTACTCATTCAACAAAGAATCGGCTGTTTGGACTCACTGGTTCTTGCCATAAGTGAAATGACTGTCTTCGCCATTCTCCATAGGCCCACCACCTGGGAAGTGCTTGGTAACAGTGGTCACCGAATGTGTTCCAAACTCCTCTCCCTGGAAACCCTTGAGGTACGCAACGACAAGTTCAGAGGTCAAATCTGCGTCCTCGCCCATGGTATTGGCAATACGAGCCCATCGATATTCTGTAGAGAGATCGATCTGAGGGTGTAGAGCAGATCGCAACCCAATAGCCTTATACTCTTCTCTTGCAACTTCCGCAAATGACTGCACGGTCTCTGCACTTCGAAGCGCAGCAAGCCCCAAGCTCTCCGGCCACTGCGAGAAAGCATTCGCAGCGAAGCCAGTTCCAAGGTTCTCAGTAAAAGCGTGTCGAGGGTCCGTGGAGAATGTGATCGGGATACCCAGACGAGTGTTCAGTGCCAACTCTTGAACAGTGTTGTGCCATTCTGCGGTCTGCGTGACATTGACGACATCGCTCGCGAGGTTGAAGTGGGTGAGGAACATGTTGGAGATCATCGTAGTTGTGCTGTTTCTCGTCTCATCGCCCTGGTCGAGTGTACCATTTGGCCCCATCATCTACAGTGTAGACAAAAGATTAGCATTATTTCTACCGACAAAATGTTGCACTCGGGAGCAAGCTTACCATCTGAGTGTGAAAAAGCTGGCCTGCCTTCTCTGCGACAGTCATCCGCGAGATCAGATCATCCAGTCGCTCATCAATACATAAAGATGCATTTTGGTATGGGTAAGTAACATTGCTATGCGTTCTCCAACGAGAGGGTTTCGCATGATGTGCCTGAGGATGAGCAGCAACGGCCGAAGCAAGCAGCCCCAAAACCAAAGCCTTGCGGCCACAAGAGAAATCGGTCACACCCATGCTGTTAGCTGTAGAATTCACTGGCGCGCACAATCGATACCGAACACATCTTGATGCTCTTCTTATGTACTACCAGAAGTTCGACGGATTTGAGGACCGCAGTGCCGCTTGCATTCTGTAACGTCGTATTGCCTAAGTCTCTAGTGCACGCGGTATTGCTGCCATGGTGGGCAACGCATAGGTCACCCAAGGCACTATTACCAAACCAGAAGTGAAATTCGGCCGGAGCCCTCATCGGCAAGTCGTTCAGCCATAATGTCGAAAGTCTCGTGCAGGCAAAGCCATCTACCGGCAAGGCTAGGACGTCTTGGACATTCTTGGTATGCTTGGCGGACGATGAAATGATCGCGTGGCATGCCTGTGGTAGTAGAAAAGGTGGAGTAGCCTGCATGACGCTCGTGCGGAGAGGACCGGGGTTTGAAGGTCTTTGGATCGAATTGCCAGGTTTCGCACCACAATAGCCCGACTAGGTGGGTACCAACCACCCCACATATCCGCAGTTTCTTCTCCATATGCCATCCGCAAAACGCAACCGAACTTGTGCCACCCTGCTCGCTGGTCTTCTGTGTCGACTGGCGCGAAGCGCATTGCTGAATGAGGAAATTCAGCCGCCAGCGATATATCCGATGATGTCGGACCGAGGGAATGTCAGTGGTTCTACAGTCGTTCCGATCCGATGGGCGGTGCATGTGTGCACGGAGGGCGACGTAACCACGTGTGCCAGGACAGGCAGCATGAGCACAGCATGGCCGATTTCTGGCGCTCGAGCCCACGCACAGTGCTGTCAACTGCGTCACCGGAAGCAGTTCGCACATGAGTAGCGGCCAGTGACAGCAGGTGTGGACAAATTGCCCCCGATGGCCATTCGTATGTCTCAAGTTCGGAGTCACTGCCGAGCCTTCATTTTTCACCTCCTCAGCTCCAAGCCCATTCCGGTAGCGCATTTTCTCGCAAGGGCCATCTTGAGGAAACACTCTCGGCCCAATCCTCGCATCTGCCGGATGAAGACATCGCCACTGACTCGTCCACGATCGTTGGCTTTCTGCAGAACATACATGGCTTCGCGGCAGGCAGCCTCTTCCGCACAAAGGGTCCAGAGCTGGTTCGCAACCATCGTTGGTGCGATCAACACGTCGTCAATGGGTGGTTGCTTCTTTGATTTGGCAGTAGCGATAGTACGATCACAATCTTGAATGCTGCGATGGAGTATGGATTCATTATTGGACAATGCCTTTTCCAAATGCTCGAGTTGTCGAATCTCGGCGTCCATGCGCTGCTGTGCAGCATATATGGCTTGCTGTTGAGCCTGTAGAGGAGCGATGGCAGACAGATTTTGATTTACTTTCTGCTGTGCTTGCTGTACCAAGGTCGAGGAGAGAGCCTGTAGTAAGTGCTCCTTTTCCGGATTAGGAGGAATCGGCGGAGCTGGCATGTTTCGTTGCGCCTCAGGTCCAGGCATTGCGATGTCGAAGGGGTCTGTCAGCAGATCAGGAGCAGGCTGCTTCATCTGAGCTGGCTGTGGTTGCGGCTGTTGGTAGACAGATGGTTGCTGCTGTGCATAGGTTCGTTGCTGGCCGTGTGCCGACTGTCCGTATTGCGGAATCTGTTGCTGAGGAAGCTGTGAGGGTGGGTTCTGATACGTCTGATGGATTGGGCGTTGAGGCTGGAACTGAGGTGCAGGAAGAGGCGCGGGCTGTGCGTGTCTACCTGAGGGCAATTCTTGGACACCTCGTGGCGGTGATATGGGTGAGACAGGGCTGATGTCTTGTGCACGTGTATACTGCTGGTACTGCGCATGTTGATGATGTGGAAATGAAGGACCTGTCGCTTGTCCATTCTGCTGTCCTGGCGAGGGAGCAGCGTATGGTGGCGCAGGGCTTATAGATGCTGGTCGGTAGCCATTCGAGGAGAGTGAAGATATACGCTGGTTACGAGGCATCTCGCCAGGAAGCGGCGGCAAAGGAGGCCCATCTCTGGAAACGTCCCGCGTTGTCTCTGCATATTCCTCACCAGGAGCTGGTGTCGCGCCGGGCTTTGGAGGCAGAGGAGGAGGAGCATTCGGATCTGCACTCCTCGCAGGTCCTGCAGCCCCAACAGGCTGTTTTGGCGGAGGCGGAGGAACTCCTGGATGCGCTTGCGGTATAGGGCGAGGGTGTTGTTGATCTTGCTGGGCGCGACTGACAACTGGTGGTTCTCGCCCAAAGATCTGTTGCAAGCACTCAGCCAGCTCTGATATGCTCGCTCTCTCCCACATCCTGCCCCAGTCCCTCAGATATGGATGATACACCCTCCCGTCCACAGCCACATGCTGCCCGGGCCTCACCAACATGTCTTTCCCTGGAGTGACGAAGACATTTGGGGCCTCGTATGGGTAGGCGTGAGGCACCCATAACTTCACCGGGAAATGGTATGTAGTCCCGCGAAATGCGACAGGTAAAGTGCCCGATACGGTCAACAGCAAGGCGGACGTGCCATTTTCGTGTGTGTAGACTTCGGTGCGCGGCGCGAGGGAGGGGTACAGAGCGAGGGCGCGTGCAGTGTCGGAGTATGTTCGTTGCGGGTCGTGGTACTCCTGGTGGCCGACATCAGCCAGATTCGATACGCGATGCCTTCATCGTGGGTATGGAGCATAGACGCACATGGAGCACGCTGTACAGCCATGCGAGCACCTTGTCGGTTACTGCGGCCATGGCAATTGTCTGATCGCGAGTATCTTGTGCGTGTCGTTCAGGCCGTTATCGCATCGTGTCGTCGTGAATCATGAGAGCGGATGATGGCATACTGGTTGAACGCCTGGAGCTCCACATGCGAGCTGGGAAGTTGCTGCACGGGCCCCTGCTGTCTTGGCAATATACATCCGTAATGACTTCACGCCGGCAACCTTCTCCTTTCCTCTGCTCTTACACCGGCACGATAATCTCAGCAACACTTCTGGCCCAGGAACGGTCTACATACCATAATTGTAATTGCACTTTGATCAAGCTGTTCGAGACGAAACTTTGAGGCATTTTGGATTGCCAATTCGAAAGCCGCTCTTCGGCAATATGTCCTAACCTGAACAGTACAGTGTCGCCCGCGTTACTTCACTACTTTCTACACTCCGGCTATCTGAGCTTTCGCCCTCGCGGGGTCGCTCTCTGGAAGCTGACCAAGCAACTGCTCCATCTTCGCGCACATTCCCTTGATTCTAGCACCCATAGCAGCTTTGGCCTGCGCAGCTTCTGCAGGGTCCATCTTCGCCATCGCCCTTCGTTGGCCCGCGCCCCAATTCAAGCGAGCTCGATCCAGCCATTCCGCTGTCTTCTCCTGAACAGCCCACGCCAATCCGTTCTGGAAAGTCTGAAGGTTGACCACTATGTAGTCCATGGTCTCGTCCGGATGGGGAATGACTTTGCAAAGTTCGTTCTTGAACTTGTCATCGCTATAAGTTGCTTCGACATGAGAGATGAAGGCAGCGCTGAATACCTGCTGACAGAAGCGGACCGCTTGGAGCGTGATTGTGTTGCCGCGGAATACTGGTACAGCTTCCATTTTCGCCAGGCCGTCTGCGGTGCAGTCGATGTACAGAGTATCAGGTACTGGTTTGTGAGATCCATTCTCGAGGACAAGTTCGTCCGGATCGATGCGTACGACACGGCCTTGGCGGATAATGTTGGGAATTCGCTTGATCTGGTCGAGTTCTGCGACAGTGATTGTTGCACATCTGTACATGGTCGGCCAGACTTTTTCGTCCAGGCGTAACAACTGCCCACTGGCTTCCAATCGCAAGAAGAGATCCTCGGGTGATGTGGCTGTCATCACCGCCTCTCCAGTCGCTGCTCTACTCTTTGCCTGGCTTTCGGCAAATTCTGGTCCAGGCTGAAAGATAGTGCGTGGAAGGTACCACGAATCTCGCGGCATAATCCAAGTTATCTGCTCCGGATCGATGCCTTGGGTCAACAGCCAGAGACACGCGTCGATTCCAGTCTTGCCAGCACCAACTACAGTATAGCCACCGTGTGGCCGACTTATCTTGACCAAGTCATTGGGAGTAACAAAATTCACGCCGTCCGCGACTTTGTACGCAGGCGGCCCCATGGAGGGCACCTTGACCTTCATATATGTCGCATCAACAATCTTCGTGTTCGTCCCCACTTTGAAGGTCTTTCCCGTAATCATAGATCGCCACTCTCCCTCGCCAAGATATTCATGCTTGGGGAAATACTGAACGCGCCCGGAAGGCAGAAACGTCTGGTGCATAACAATGCTATAGTAAGCAAGGACTTCGTCGGATGTGGCGAGCTCCAATAACCCTTTGTTGAGTCCGACTTGATCGATTTTGTTCTCGCCGAGTTTCCGTGAGTTGACGCCGTAGACTGAGGAAGGCTGGTGTAGGCGCACGAATGGGTATGCTGTCGTCCAGTGTCCGCCGGGTCGCGCATAGCGATCGACAATGACCATTGTAGCATTTGTGTCGCTGAGCATAGTATCTGCAAAGGCCATGCCCATGGCTCCTGCGCCAATGATTAGGTAGTCGGCTGTGATTTCTTCTGCCATCTTGACTGAGTTGTTGTGTGTCTGTATGTGCTGTCTGTTTCTGTGAAAGTTGGATTCTAATAGCTGTGGAATCAGATTCGTGTCCGAGAGGAGCTTGCGCTTCATTTATATGTAAATCGAGTCGGTGTGTTCGAGACTGTACAATACGCACGAAAAGCTGCGGCGCCTATCGAGGGTCCCTGGAAACAGTCCATGATGAGTGATCATACATCATTTACCCAGCCTAGGTGAAACAAGGCCGCAGGGCTATGGTCTCGGCCAGAATGCCGTCTGTTATGCTTCATAGTAAGCCTATCTCGAGTACCTGCGAGTCGGAGGTCGAGACCGAAGTAGTTTTCCACGCAAGTCTTTGGAAAAAAACAGATGCGTTTGGCGTGCACTTCGCAAAGCTCAGAAAGCAAGTTTCAAGATTTAGTCACACTTACTTTACGCGCATGTGCCCCTCGCCATGAGAAGGCCCACGTCTACCAAGAACAATGTACGTTTTTCTGTACAGCTTCGGCCGTATACGAATGCAATCTGATAGAAAGGAGCCATGTCATACTCTGAATCTGCGACATCAGAATACGGTTCGGCATAATGCAGCCTCCTCTATGCAGATCTAGTCGCTAGGCTGCTTATGCCAACGCATATGGGAAGCTCGAACACTTTGTTGCTGGAAAGTCGCGCTCTTGCGGTCGTAGAGCACTTGGTGCGCGAGAGTGTCTGAGAGAACGGAGTTCGCTCCGCAGGAAGCTGTGCCTCGGCTTGGCGCGGCCGCGGAAACTGCGCCCACGTTCGGCTCCGTTGCGTCTTCTTGCGCACGACACGACAAGAACGACGACACGACTCGAAGACATTGACAACGACATGAACAAACAAAGGGTTCGCACGAAACCTAGCTGTCCAGCAGCTTTGATCCAATACACGGCTACACGTCTATCTATCTCCACGTATCGCGCAGCGCTGGATTCCAAGGCTTTCTCTGTGCCTCGCTGGTCAATCTGTTATACAACTTGAGGAGATCCTCATGCGATGCCTCAGTGAAGCGACCAACCATAGAGATATGTTCCTGAGGATCGACTTTGATGCCTCCTGTTAGGTGTATGGTCGTGGAGTCAGTCATCGGCCGAGATTTATCATACGTCTGCATCTCTACTGGCTCGTACAGACCAAGTTGCTTGAACGATGCAACGCCGGAGTTCTTCACCTCAATATAATCTTTCTTCAAATCGCCCTGCTTCTTGGATATCCCTTGACCCTCGAAGGAGTACAGCGGCAGACAGAACATGTCGGCCTGATTGATCCAAAGAATAACGAACATTCGACGTTTCGAGAAGACGGGCCCCTCGCATGTGAGCTTTAAGCGATCATGCGTGATCTTGTGATTCGGATTGAGGTTCGGAATATGATACGGCAGAGCAATAACTTCGCCGATTTTGAAGTTTGCCACTTTCAGATTTGTCCGCACGCACGTGTCGGTTTGAATGTGGCAATTGTATCCTCCGAGACTGTTCTCGGTGGGTGCTGCACTTCCTCCATAAACACTCCCTGAAGAGTGATAGTGCGTGGGTCCTACCGATGGGTCGTATGCACCACTTGGCGCAGCAGCTGCTTTGCCGATGCTGAGGCTTTGCATTGGCCCCACGATGCCGCCACCCATCTTCGAGAGATTGGCATTGAGCAGTGTCTTCCTCAAACCAAGTTCAGTTTTGCCAGCTGGCTTTTTGACTGGGACCTGCTGCCACACGTTGGCAGGTGGTTTTGCTGACGTTGTGTTAGACAACAGAGCAGCTGCAGGCGCCGGCGCCTGCACTGTGCTTGAGGCTATCGGTGATGACTTATTTCCCAGTACTAGTCGTCCCATGCTGCCAGGTGTCCTTGCGATTGATTTGGTGTGGGTGATGAGATTCGGTGATTACTTTCACGACACATGTGGGACTCTATTATCTGCGACCTCGCTCGCGCCATCAAAGGCCATTGAGACGTGTGCCAGAATAGCTTCTCTGCCCTTTGAACATTGTTCAGCTGACACTCCTGGAAATTAGGCTCCGAGAGCGGCAAAGACAAAGAAATGGTCGACCATCTCAAAACGCCACTAACAAAGACATTTCAAGCCGAGCTCTCTTTGTCCCGGTAAGGGTCGCCAACTCGCAATGCTCCATCTATCGCTCGAAGCAGTAGAGTACGTCGAACGTGTCCTTGGATAAGACTGCTCCTTGCTAAGCAAACGGCGCATCATGGACCATTTTCCGCGCAAGATGTTTCTGAGCAGGCCTCGATGGCAAGCGCTATTTCGACATGCGGAACCGGAACGCAGGACCACGGAGCCGGCAACGATTGAACAAGAGTATCATCACAGCCTTGAGGAGCATGATGACGTTGCATCGACCGGTATAAATCAGTCAACAACATACGTGGATAGCGCTACACAGACATCGCCCTGTATATCGGAATTCGAGGTGGAAGTACAGGATACTGCGCCTTCTGCTGCTCTAGCTCGAACGCCATCAGTTCCTTCCATACATGACGCTGCAGGGCCAGCGTACGAACCAGAAGCATTTACAGCGTCTGAACAAGATTGCCCCTCGATCCATGATTGTGAGGGAATAGACTCGTCCGGGTCGCGTCCCTCAGATCAGCATCATATTACTGGAGATTCATTGCAAGTCGCAGGTCTGGGAGAAGCCGAATCTGAGGATGCACGCCGCGCGCTCGCCTACATATTCTTCGTCAATGAGGAAGAGGACGATTATACGACGGGACCAGTCCGCGTTGTCACAGCATCCGACGGAATTAAGGAGGATGCATCAGCACTTCTGTTGACGCTCGAGTTTTCTGCGAGCGTGCGACAAGCTGTGTTGGCACAAAGGTCCTTCCAGAACTTCGAAGCAACGTCACTGCAGCAGAGACGCAGACTCAGGATTCTGGAGAGCGACATTGAGAGAGAGATTGATGCGTCTGAATACCGTCTTCGTAAAGCTGATCCGCAGGATCCAAACAACGAGCAACTAGAGCAACAATCATCAAACATGCGACTTTTGCTCGAAGACGTCAAACTGAGGCAAGAGCAGAGTGATGCTCAGCTCAGAACCCAGGCGAAAGTCCTCCGCACGTGTCAAACGAACGCTTTAAATATCATGGAAGAAGCGTTTGTGATTGCAGGACTGGTCCTCGAGCCTGTCGAAGAACAAGAAGCAGAGGAAGAACTATACGACCTTCAAACAGAATATCAGAACTTCATGCGAGCTCTCGAAGCCAACAGCGAAGACGGCAGCCAAGCAGGCTCTTCTCACAGCGTAGCAATGCTCGACCTAGCCGGAGAAGATTTTATGCAAAGCGCACCGCCACCCCTGTCCCCCGAAGATCAGCAAAAGTTGGATGCCAAAGAAGCCTTCTACGAGGCGAGGCAAAAGCTCTTCGAGGCACAAGTCCGCTTCGATCGAAAAGAGGAAGATCAAGCTCAAGCTCGTCACGAAGAAGAACCAACAGAGGAGGAAGAAGAAGAGACAGCGGCATTCGATCTCCACTGGTTCCAACGAAATCGCGAAATCACGCGTGAGCTCATTGAAGCCGAAGAACAGCTCGCAAAGGCAAAAGCGGAAGCACTTGCTCTTGGAGTTGAGATCAGACTTGAGGATCAGGCGTCTGGTTTTAGTGTTGGCGAGGACGAAGAAGAAGATGGTGCTCCTGCTATCAGGGAGAGCTGGGAGGGCGAGGCTACTGCTGCACACTTCTCAAGAACGAAAGTCGATGACTGGCTGCACACTGTCGATGAGCAGTCTTCGAGCGAGCAGGTAGGAGACGCTGATACTGACGACTGGGACGCTCAAGAAGTCGAGATCAGCGAGAGCCGAAGTCTCGTTGCTTGGGGTCCACCAAGAAAGAAAATAGATAAGTGGCAGCAGGACTGCACGCGGTTGACATGATAATTCTACTACATTGAGAACAGCAGAAGGCGATGCGCCATGGCGTATGCAAAGAAATGAAATACAGGGGCAGGCCTTCACCATCGACAAAGTGTTCGAACTGCTATTGATACATATCTGGTGATCCATGCCCGCCCGCAAAAGTAAACGCCATCCCAGGGTATTGACCACGCGTGTTCTCCATCCATCATCTCATTCGCGGGTCCTGAGTGCTTATCCATTTCCCATGATTCGCAATTCCGTTCGCGCCATTCCAACGTCCTGACCATGTCTGCGTCAATTCATCACATCGAATGCCGTAGTACCCCCATCGTAAATCCTCCTTTCGAGTCACAAGTCAAACCATCTACTGCCTGCCCTTCCATCTCTGATCCTGCTCTCCCTCCGGCGGGAAGTCAGTAGGCTGGTTCGTAAACTCATCATTCCTCGTACCCCACAGGTCCAGAAGCGCCTCATAGCTCGACTTCGTGATGCGGCCAACATACGAGATATCCTCCTGATATTCCACATGCTTTCCCCCAGCAATATGGCAGGTTGTGGTATCAGTCAACTCGCTCACCTCGTTTCTGTGAACGAACCAGATCGCAGGATGTACTCCTGAGGGCTTGAAGCTATCTCTGTACTTCCAATTGCCAAGAGACACGTAGTCCTTGACGTAGCCCTGCTTCCTGATCATTCCGACTTGGTTCCACGAGTAGAGTGGGAGGCAGAACATCTCTTCATCTGCTAACCAAAGAACGACGAACATTCGTCTCTTGGAATACACTGGCCCGACAGAAGTGATGTTGACCTCGTCTGCTGGTTGAGCTTGGGGAATCAGGTTTGCCTTGTGGAATGGCACAGAGATTACATCTCCGACCTTGAATGATGCTTTCTTGTACGATGACTTGACACAGATCTCGTTTCTGAACCATCCTCGTCTGTGGTGTTGGTTTTGCATCGTGACAGATTGGTTTGGTGAGGTCGAAGGTGCCCAGGCTGTGCCCGGAGGTATGAGGATGGTGTTCTTGTACGAAGGAGGTGGGCCTAGAGTCGGAGCGACGATGTTCATCTGCGTGGTTGCAGCATTGTTGTTGCTAACATTCAACCCGGCCATGCCCTGGACCAGATCAGCTGCACCATTCTCATTGACTGGGCGAGTAGCAGGCGTATTTGACGGCGCGAAGTTTGGCGTTCTTGACTGAGCATAACGTGTTGTTGCCTGCTGCAACAACTTACTGCCACCACGGCTGGCAGCTTGAGCAAATGTTCTCTGTTGGCCGCGTGGAGCGGTGGGTGCTCCCATCGGCGGTCCTGGGTGTTGGGCGCGTGGAGCAGTGGGCGGCCTGGACGGCGGTGGTCCACATGGAGTGCCCGGTGGCTGGCCTCGCGGACCGGTTGGTGTCTTGAATGTCGGTGGTTTCATCGAAGCCCCTGGATGTTGGCTTGCAGCTCGTGATGCTGCCCCGGCAGCGCCAGGTTTGACTGGGTTGAATACCATAGCGTCAGTCAGCCAGTGTGTGAGTCTAGTTTAGTATTGCTATGCGTTGTGCGTGTGTCGACTATTCGCAAATGAGTTCCTGTCTTCGATGAGCAGGCTGCGGAGGTTGGGAAAGGAAATAGAGCTTTTGCACTCTCAAGAGCAGATGAATAGTCGTGTCTGCGAACGTGAATGCCATTATTTGCGGTGCCGACGCGTGAAGTGGCTGCAACAGCCATCTTCTCCAACCTTCATAGAAGCTTTGTGTTGTGCTGATAGAGTGAACTGCAGCGTGGTGCGACAAGTTAATATCCTTGTGCAGTGTAAGGATAAAATCTTTCCACAATCAACAAAAGTCTCGTTTCCTTTGTTCGGGTTTGACGTGAAGAGGTGAACAGACAGAACACAGCATACAAAACTGAATCACTTTTATTAACCTCTGGTTGCTTCCAGTCAGCTTTTAGTTTCCCATACCAAACAATCATCCAAGACTCACAAGTACCCTGCGCACACGATGTCAACAGACAGCTCCACGACCGTTCCAATGCACCGGTTGCAAGGGACCGACATGCGTCGAGACTCAGATCCCAATGTGCTCGGTGAGATGGAGAGGAACGGAATCGATGCTACAGAAGTACTCAGCCACTCGTATCCAGAACACGATGAGTACCACGGCTCCGGCTGCGAATATGACACAACGTTCGAGAACGAGCAGGGAGACACCGACATGTCCCCGGAGGACCATTTACAAGCCATAAGGGATCTCCACTATGTCCAGGTAGAGGAGGAAAACAGTCCAGAAGATTATACCGATGGTCCAGCTCGCCTGGTGCTTGCTACCGATGGCCTCAAAAACTGTCCATCGCTCCTCCTGACCTTCGACTTGGGACTGAAAATCATCCGGGCTAGCGAGCTCCAGCGAAGATACTCCCGAGAGGCAAGGCACACTGACTCGCAGATCCGCAAGATCAAGCAGTTTGAAATGAAACTGAAACGAGAAATCCAGAGCCACCGAACTAGGATCAGCATGGCGGAAGCGCAAGAAGAGAAAGCGCAAGAGCAAGACTCGATCAATCCCACAAAGTCTTCGCTGCAAACAGAATTGCATGTGCTCGAAGGTATGCTGCAAGGCGCCGGGATCAGAAAGCAGGAGCTCACTGTTGGCTTGACTTTTCGTGGTACACTACTGCGAGAAGCCCAAGCAGAGGTTACGGCCTACCTCGATGAAGCGTTTGTGGCTGGCAATCTTCTGGCCACAGATACTGAGGAAGAGCTTCCCGTGGAGGACTTCGACCTTCAAGAAGAATACCAAAAAGCATACCAAGAAGAGTTCGGAGACGCGGACTCGACTGATGGAGTCGAGGTCCAGCCATTACTCGACACCAGCAGAGACTACCTCCACGTGGATGTCGTGCCACCAACCGCAGAGGAACAGGCCGAGATCGATATAAGGGCCGCACTGCAAGAGACCAGCGAGCGACTGGCTGCTGCTGAAGAAGCATTTGACTTCAAAGATTACGAGCGTACCCAAGACCGGCAAATCGTTGAGGTGGCCTGGCAGACTGGCCAGCCTACAGAGGACGCTAACCGGGAAGACTTCGACTTGAGATGGTACCAGCGTTTCCAAGCCATCACTCGAGAATTCATCGAAGCCGAAGAGGCGTATCGCGAAGCACGAAACGCAGCACTCGAAGCGGGTCTCGATCAGGACACCTTGTCAAACCATCAGGAAGAATATTTCAACGACCTGGCTTCGGACGGAATGTGCGACTCTGAGGCAGGCCATGACGGGACCTTTTGGGAACATTTCGCTTCGAATTGCAAGCAGGACAAGAAGGTCATCGGATGGCTGGATAGCCTTCCAGACCATTTCGACGGCCATGATTCGGCGCCATCAGAGCCAGATTCTGTGCCCGACCAGCTGGAAGAAGTCGAAGCTTGGGAAAGCGGCAGTGCCATCGCTGGTCGTCCGCTCGAACGCAAGCTAATCGATCGACGGCAAATGGAGATCGACTGGCAACACCGTATTCGAGGGCTGTGGGATCGCCAGACAATCGGCTGGTGGGCACGCATCCGAGCGGTGGTGGACGCGCTGGCGAGCTGAACGATTCGTGGGTTGCATCGGGTACAGGAGCGTCTTGCGGCTCGTTTCCATAGTTCATAGTTGGTGGTAACAAAGCAAAAAGAACACGTCTTTGGCTTCAAAAATCTTGTCAGCGTCCTCTTTTTCTTTTCCTTCCCTTTGTTCGTGTGCACGCTGCTGATGATCGACGCGTCGTTTCACCAAGCTATACGCGTCATGAGCTGTCGAATATCATGACCGTTGAAGGAACACTCGCACGCCAGTGGGTGTCGAGCCCCACTCAAGTTCGTCCATCTGACATGATAATGTGTTTGACGGCCACCAATGCGGTGATATAGAAGAGAAGATGTCAGCAATGTTGGAGAAAGAGATCATGTTGGATCACAAAGAGCGGCGAGTCAACTGCGACCACATTCTTGGCATGAAGCCTCAGGCACCAGCGATGGGACGACAAGTCGAACTTTCGCATTCTATTCTGTTTCTCCATTACATGCTGTGCATGTACTGCAACTATGCGCCATTAGCAGATTTCTCCAAGGCTACATGTCAGGATTCATGTCAGCAGAAGGCCATCTCACCGCCGCCAGAAGCCGTTCATGGGGCTGCCTTCGCTTCGACCATGCATATGCAGTGCGGAAAACGTCGCAATTAGCTTCCTTCTCGAATGTGCTCTACTCCTGCGTGAAAATGTAGGACGCGGACCGGAATCATGCGACTACTGAACATTCATACCCTCGAGTTCAAGACTTTGCTCACTGAAGAGAGCCGGGCAACGAGAAAGAAGCATCACCAATTCCGGCACTGACTTCAGCTTATACGAGTACTAACCGAGCACGATAATATTCTCTGGAATATCTGGCGCCATGCCTCGACTCTGCCGTACAAACACTGAAGTCAATTTCCGCCATGGCACCTGTCTCCTTCACAGACTGCACCTCCGAGGCTGGGTGACATAAGCTTCGGAACGGAACAATCAAGGTGCGACGCTTCTGCCAGCAAACTAGCCGCGAGGTTCCAACGTCCGTAGAGGAAGTCTCTGTGTTCGCATTCGAGTTAGTGATCGGATCACATATCTACAACAAGAGCCAAACGGCACTCCACACGTTGGAGTCAGTAGGCTTTGAACTTGCTTCAGTTGGCTGTAAGCATACTAATCATGATCAAACGGACTGAGAGAATGCTCAGTACACCGTTCCGGTTGCCATCGACCGTTGTGCTACTGTTTCGGTCTTGCAACAATGGCTGCCTGCACTACACTCCAGCTGCTCACCTGATCTCGCTTGCAATGCGAGTCTGCATCTCAAGCTCAGCAGATGGTTTGATGGCATTGACATTGACCGTAAATTGTGCTGATATTGCATCTAGCCAGGGACAAGCTTGGAGTTCATGGCACTCAGAAACCCGTAGGGAACTCAGCACACTTTGATGGAGCCACACAAGACACCTTGATGGAAATCACATTGCGTTGATAAAATTACATTCAGACCTCACTGCTACAAGCGGCTCCGCGTAACAGAGCTCTTGTCATAATCAAAGTTCTTCCTCATTTCATCCAACAACTTCTTATTATGCGCCGCCTGTTCCCGTTCATCTGGACCAAAAGACTCAGGAGGATCAACACCATTGATTCTCCATAACTCCGCTGCGCCCTCAGCGATCGCATATTCGAGATGAATACCACGATCTATTGTGTATGGTTTGAGGATTTTGTCCATTCGGTTCTTCATTCTGGTCGCCATCTGCTTGTTCGTTGGGTCCAGTCTTCTGGCTACGTGGATTATCTCGACAAAAACTGTCTTGGAAACTGGATTCGCTCCTGTGAAGTAGCGGTCGGAAGGCAGAGGCCAGAATTGTACGTTGACATAGTATGCTGGCAGGCCTACAACGACGTAGTAGTCGGTTATGGATTTGGCGAGCTCTTGTCGCTCTGCTGGGTCTTCGAATATGCCGGGAGAGTGGAAGATCTTCCAGATAGGCATGTTGATCAGAGTAAGAGCTGGAGTGGCGGGTACAGTTGTGGAAGTGTGGTCGAGAGACTTGTATGGGACGATTTGGAGAATCTGACACAGGTATGGTCAATTCCTATGTGGTGCGTACTTCGTATGCTATGATCTTGACCACGACGAAGTAAGAGAAGAGTACGGGCGTAGCTGAGTTACATCTCAAGTGTGTTGAAGAGCTCCGCCAACGCACGTATGTTCAGTCTGGGGTATCCTTGGTATCACTAATCCACGATATGAGGATTCTCAATCGATCACAACGACCTAGGTTGGCACGCAAGCAAGTTTACGGACGTATACAGACTGCGATGTCACAACGCTACTCAATACAACAGCAACGCGTGTTCACGGCATCGATGATCTCAGACCTCACCAACACACTTACACGGAACCTGATCGTTCAACACTGAAACCTGCAACCATGAGCGAACTACGCGCCGCTGTCTTCGTGGCAAAACCAATTCCATTCAAAGGAGCAGGTCTAGAAGGCCACTGGTCGCCAATCTCTTGCACATTGGTCTACGATAATTCCAGTGCGTTGCTCGTGGACGCGCCGATCGATATCGAAAACTCCAAAGAGCTCGTCGCCTGGATCCAAAAGATTGCTCCTGGTCGAGTTCTGGAAACAATCTACATCACTCACGGTCATCCAGATCACTGGTTTGGCGTCCCCATAGTCCTAGAAAAGTTCCCGACTGCCAAAGTCTTAGGCACGCCGGGAACGATCGCGCACGCCAAAGAGAATGTAGACCCTGGCTACTATGATGCTGTATGGGGTGCTTGGTTCTCAGATGTGATCCCGCCTCATCGCCCGTGGGTTTTCCCAGAGCCACTTCCAGAGGGAAACAAATTCCACATCGGAGGGAAGTGGGAGTGCGAGGCTATCGACGTCGGCCATTCCGATACTTGCAACACTACGATCCTATGGATTCCGGCGTTGAAACTCGTCGTAGCTGGGGATGTTATTTATGGACAAGTGCATCAGATGTTCGCCATCGCTACCACAAAGGCTCAACGGGATGAATGGCTTAGGGCAGTCGATGTGGTCGAAAGCTTGAAGCCAGCATACGTGATTGCCGGTCATCAGCAAGCAGAAGAGATTCATGGCACTTGGAACATTTCTACGACGAGAGTGTATATCAAAGATTTCGAAAGGCTTCTAGGAGAGGTTAAAGCCCGTGGAGGCACTAGCGATGAATTTTACGATGAGATGATGAAGCTGCATGGAGATCGAGCAAACCCGATGGTGCTTCGATGGGGAGTCAAGTCCAATCTCTGAGTGCTGTTCAGATAGTTAGATCCATCGAGTTGTTATGTAAACGACCAATAGCACTGCAAAAATGGCAGGCGACAACATCTCGGCTTGGCCACGAATTCATAATATTTCAGGCCCTCCATGCACTCTACTTGCTTTTCTCCAAAGCTTTGCTCAATCGTGATTGATCCTATCGAATGTTAGCTGACGTCTGTTTCGGTTGCCTAAATTGTTCTCGTACTGCCCAGACTTGATACAAAAGCGCCCTTGGCGAAGAACTCTGCAAAGTCTTGTGATCAAGTAAGAAACGAGCGGCGAAAGGAAGATCAATGGTCTCATCGTTTACGGCAATAGTGGAGCTGGCAATTCCATAGAGCATGATGTCCTCGCCAGCTGATCCTCCAGCATAGACTCGATGCACAACGTGCTTGCGTGCTTTGATGGCGTTCCAGGCGTTTTTCCTCGCATTTCGAATAGCTTTTAGAGATACATCAGCCCACGATGATGGTTCGTGTGTTGGTCAACAACTTGCATTCGGTTCCTTCGATAACATTTTCTCCGATGACTAGTTTACCGCTCTCCGAGAAGACCTGATCGACCCATAATTGTCCAGCTTCAGGATCTGGTTTGTCGGCGATGGAGAAGAAGGCTTGAATTAAGTTTTTGACGTCTTGAGAAATATCGTTCATCCATTCAGTGCTTTCGATCGTGTAAGACATATTCAATATGAACACTATGCTCCACCGCGGAGGGCAGAAGTACTACATATAGCTTCTTCAAAGCGGGGATCCACGTGCCGAACTAAAATAGTAGTCGGAGAAGGCAATTTATCGTGGGCCACCGAAAGGCTTCACGTGCTAAATACGTGTTTGTTCCTCAATGTTCCCAGTCCTTCGATTCGAACACTAACGACATCACCATCTTTCAACCAAACTGGCGGTTTCATGAAAGCAGCAACTCCGCTTGGTGTTCCCGTCATCACAACAGTCCCTTTTCGCAATGTCTTACCACGACTCAGATTAATCAAGATGTCTTTCAGACCGAACAGCAAGTCATCAGTACACGTCTGCTGCCTGAGTTCTCCATTCACAAACGTCTCAAGTTTAAGCGTCTCTGGCTCAGGAATCGCCTGATACGAAGCCAGCACAGGACCCACTGGAGCGAAATGATCAAAAGATTTCGCAACGTGGTGTTGACCTCCAGCTGCTTCTTGTGTTTGCCAGTCCCGCGCACTCACGTCGTTGCCAGCCATGAAGCCTATGATGTAGTCGGCCGGATTGTCATTGGGACCGAAGTCTTTGACATCGCGGCCTATGACGAAAGATAGCTCGCCCTCGTAGTCCAGTCTCTCAACGCATGCTGGGATTGGAATATCTTGATAGGGTCCAGCCAAAGCATCTGAATGTATCAGCAAATTCTCGGCAGAGTATCATCTTCCTCTAAGGTACCTGGTGGCTTGGAGAAGTAGACCGGGTACTTGGTGATGGGAAAACCACTCTCCTCAATGTGAGCCTTGTAGTTGAGGCCAATACCATATATGAGCGGTGTCGTTGCTAGTGGACACAAGACCTGATCAGATGATTGATGTCAGTGGCCTTTTGCAAATCTACATAGCACTTCAACATGGGAGACGAACCTTCGCTATCTTTGCTGTGGCCGAACTCGGCTTGAGGTCCCATGGCTCTGCACCCTCGTAAATCGGAACTTCTTCGTCTTTGAGATTGTCGAGATCTTCCGGGGCTTCGCCGTAGCGAATGTTGCCTTCGTGGTCTTGGAAGCGTATAAGTTTTTGGAAGGTTGTCTTCATGATGTGATGCTTCGATCGTCAGTGTCTGTAACAAGGCGCTCAGAACGAGCTCAATAAATGGTTGCCTCTTGATACGGTCAGACACATATCGCACTTAGCCTAGTTGGTTCGGCCTACTCCAACATTCGTGCCTGGGCGCCGTGCTGGGGGCCTTGATCCTCCGGGTTGTGCGGAGATGCGTAAGCGGGTCAGCTCGCGTCAGTTGGATCAGCAGTAAGACAGTGTGGTGTAACAAAACTGCTCTGATATTCCGCACAGTGCCGAGCAGTGTGTAGTGACTGGGCAACACGTTGGATGGACTAAAGTTTATGAGTAGAAATTATCCAGATAAAGACATGGTGCTCAAGAATTCCGGAGCTATCAATCCATTAAACGCAGAAAAGTATGCTACACCGTGCCTACATGGCATCAAGGTCTGGCACTTCTCGAGGCCCAATCTCTATTCTTTTCTTAAGGGATGCATCGTCCTCACCACTCTGAAGTCGCCGTATCATCTCCTCAATATCAATGTCTGTGCCGATCGGGTTCTCCGCAAATTCCGGCCCGCTCATGAATTTGTTGGTAGCCTCGATAGTGTCGAAGTTGTCGACTTGGGTCTCTAGCATGTTGCCATCTGGGTCTCGATAGTAGATGCTGGTCGTCGGCCCGTGATTGACGCCCCAGATAGGATCGATACCATGCTTCTTGCGTTGTCGATATGCTACGAGGAGGTCGCGCATGGTAGGAAAGCCGAATGCAATGTGTTCTAATCCGCTGCTTTGTCTCTGTTTTGGGGAAGTGCCCGGAATTTGGACGATTGCAATCCGGTGGTGCTCATCATCGTAAGTGATGAAGGATATGAACGGGTTTCCATGAGTCACATAGCCACCTAGAAAAGTCGTGTAGAAGTCCACCATTGCCTGGAAGTTGGCGGTTCTCAAGACCACATGCGCCAGCGAACATGGGCTCGTCACCTTGTCTCCAGGTTGGTCGAAGTCGTCTGTCGCGGCGCTCATTTTTGTGGCGAAAATGCGTGCTGATGATGATGGTGAAGGAAACAGGAATGAATTGGGAATAAATGTCAGCGCGTGGACGATGTGCTGATGATTACTGATCCTGATGCTGTATCTCACGGCACGCGGCCTCGCGATGCGCGAACCAAGCCAAGAGCGACATGCGAACGCTTTGGGAAAGCATCGCCTGCCCCGCTTTTCGTCCGCTGTACCTTGTGCATATGGATCATGTGACTAGGGTAGGCGGACTAACCACAAGGTGGTGTAAGTGAATTGTCAGCGCGTTGATGAAGACAGGAGAAAGGTCACCGGCAGTGGTGAGAGAAGTGGCAGCGAGTGCCGAGCCTTGGCGCTCCGGGTTTCCAACCACCTCACCTCACCTCGTCCATCTCAAAGACATCATCAACAGCATTGCGGCAGTGGAAAGACAAGAAATCGTCGATTGATCACCTTTGATGGGGCCTCATGCAAAGACTCGTACCAAACTCAAGCGCATAGAAAGATGGTCTCGAATCACGCAGACCATGAGCCATTGTCCTGCACTGCCGACGATCTCCAGTGCGAGGACCGAAGTCTAAGGCACCGAGCCGGGGCCTCCTATCTATCAGCCCCGTAGCACACAACGCGGGAAACTCGCATGACATCCGTCGAACGAATCGGCGCGAGAATGGAGGTGCCGGAGGCTCAACATGCCGCGAAGCTGAGAAGAGGAATGAAGACACACACGCCGAGTCTCGTCGATATCATGTGCGTCCACTGACTCGTTCTAACACACGTCGCGCCTCGTCGGCTGTGCCAACACCGTTTCCTCGCCACGCTACGTGCTGGTCTGGGCGGATGAGCACCAAGGTCCGCTCGTATAGCTTCTTCGCAAGGCTCTCATTCGCCAAACCCACACTGGACAGTGGTATGGACAGCGCCTTCGCAGCATCAGTGAACAGTTCTTGGTCGCGCTCGTCTTCAGCGAAGTTCAGTAATGTCCAGTCCTTGCCGAAAGTATCGAATATTGCAGTGCCATTGCTCAAGAAGACATGCGGTGGACGAATTCCTGGCCATGTAGTGGGCGTATACTGAGAAGGGCTCCATGTCGGCTCGACGTGGGCAGACTCGTCAGGCACGACGATATCGGAGACGTACCGGTAATCCATCTCTATGCCAAAATCCTGGTTCTCGCCATTGTGTTGCTGGTAATGGTCGTGCACCATAGATCGCGTGCGATGGGCTTGGTCAGTGTCCTCATCAACATGACGAGGGTCGGCTCCATCTCGCGTCAATAGTTCCTGCAACTCGGTGTGGACCCGGAAGTGAACTCCAGAGTGAGCCACATTACGTTGAGCTACAGGCTTACGCTCTACTTCATAGGATCGAAGGAGCCCTTGACCACCATTCCCTTTGATGACAGCCGCAAGTTTCCAACCTAGATCAAAAGCATCTTGAATGCCGAGATTCATGCCATAGCCACCAGTTGGAATGTTCTGATGAGCGGCATCTCCAGCCAGGAAAACGTGGAGATTGGGTCCAGACCAGGACTTTGTCACGGCAATGATCGGGCGCCACGTTGATCTCACCAGCACTTTGTCTATTGTGATGGGGTAAGGCTCGTGCATACCGCCCAATACACGGTACACCACTTCCTCCGAGCTTATGGAATCGATATCTTCCTGGTTGCTCTCATGCACGAATAAGTGCGTTGTCCAGGTATCGATCTCATCTTGAGCGATGATGGCCCCACCCAGCCCTCCAGAGGAATCAGTCAGAAAAATGTGCCAAAAGCGTCCAAATTTGTGTAGACGACGGAGATCTCGCGACTTGAAATGCACGAGGATCGCCCGCACCGGACTTTTCCGAACAACGATATCAGTGAGAGCAACGAAAGAGGGACGAGAAGCACATACATTGGACCTCCTTCGATCGGGATCTCGAGCGATCTGCGGACTCTACTGGAGCCGCCGTCGCAACCAGCAAGATATTTTGACACAAAGCTGATCTCCTCGCCCTTCGGGTTCGAGACTGTAGTCCTGACGTGATGCGGCGTCTCCTGAACTGAAATTACCTTCCATCCAAAGCGGAGATCGACTAAATCGTCTTCATCGCAGATGGCTTTGAGCCATTTCTCAAAGACTGCTTGGGAGATGCGCTGCCAGGGCTCCTGAGGCTGTGTGCCATCGTTGTTGTCAGAGATACGCTTTCTGAATTTATCAACGCTTGGAAGTTCCCACTTGCTGAGGATTCTGTCTCTGGTCAGACCAGTCGAAATAAGCACGTCCTGATCGATTTGGGAATCTACACCCTGCTTTCGCAATTCATCTGCCAGCCCGAGGCGTCGGAAAAGTTCCATGGAGCGTGCGTTTGTCAGGTCCATCTTCGGCCAGCTCGTCGTCGTGGCATTGCGTTCGAACAAGATCGATTTGACGCCATGCGCAGAAAGAATGCGGGCCAGGATTAGGCCAACTGGTCCTCCTCCAACAATGACAACCACATTATCCGGTAAAACATGTTCCAATGGAGCTTCGGTCGCCATTGATGTGAGGCGAACAGCAAGCACTAAATAAATGCAAAGACAACTCTGATGAACGATGGGGTCCAATTGTTAAGCCAGTCTATAAGCAGTGTTTCACAGGTGGTAATGTACCCCCTGCCAACGGACTATCTATTTGCCATCTCAGATGATTTCAAGAGGCCCCGCTCGTCGACATCATTTCCCTTTTCGGTCGGCTCCCAAAAGCCCACCCAGCTCGGCACTCCACATCACGGAGCTCGACACACGACTGCTTCTGCTTTCCAGGCACACTACTACTAAACAGCACTGCACATCCGCTCCGCCATGGACGCTGCGGCGATAGTGATCGGAGCTGTAACCACTCCTGAAGCATCGCGCAAACGCAAGCGCGCTCGGCAAGCATGCGATCACTGTCGCGCCAAGAAGATACGCTGTACGAACATTGTGCTCCAAGTGCATCATTCGCAACGAGTGCTGATACTCTATCAGGCAATGGAGAGAACGTCAATGAGCCGTGTCCTAACTGCATCGATCGGGGCAACGTTTGTGTGACGACAAGGAACTCTCGCCGAGTCCCACAAATTACTTCAGCTGTCCCTGCACCTACCAACACCGACTCGCCTGCGCCACCACAAGATGCCAATGTAACTGCAGACTCAGGGCTATCTGCAGACTCAGTGTTCGTGCACGATGACAATGCTGATACTACTGAGCAGGAAGAGGACGCGCTTCACGTATCACCGGACGCTCTGCGAGAGCGAAGCAGCATCTTGCCCAGTGACATGGTATGAACCCTTCAGCGTCCGCCCACTTCAGGGCGGAACCCCTTTCCGACAGTGGTGTTGTTAGCGTATATTGCTAACTCTCCTTCAATGCAGACTAACTGGGAATACCATGGTAGGTGCAGAGGCCGACATCATAACGAGATAGCGCACTGCCAGCAGTCAGGCTCACAACCACATACAGGTCCTCGTTCATTCCTCTCGATATGCTCAAGACCCGCAGTGAAATGGGTGAGCGAACAGACGGGCCGCTTAGACTTCTCAGAGACAGCTAGCCAGTTTGCGTCCGACATTTCTCGGCGGCTCAAGATGGATGCAGACCTCTCTGTTGCGCGAGCACCCGAGCCGGGTGCAGAGACCGCCTGGCGATACACAGAAGGTAATCAAAAAGATCTAAAACGATAAGTGAGGATCACGCTAACTTTCTACCACTTCTTCAGCATACTTCTCGACGGCCCTGGACGCCTCTCTTGGTGTCTTGTGCCGGCCTTGGTTCGAACGCCAGCTTTCCGCTCACCTGGCCGGTCGCCTCTGCGACAGTGGTCCAGCATGGCATGCTCTGAGGAACGTGGTCTACGCAGCCGGCTGTCGTATCGAATTGTCTAAGTCGCGGCTGTTCAAAGAGGCCAGTCAACAGGCGTGGCTGTACTTCGAGAACGCTCTCGCAGTGTACGCTCGACTGCTGTTTTACAAGACCTCGATCATGGGTGTCCAGGCCTTGACGCTGATGGTAAGTGTGCGCCACTGCGACTAGACACCATAGGGTGAAGGTTCATGCTCAAGCCATATGTAGGCCTACTACACGCAGAATATTGGCACTCCTTGTCTGGAATACATGCTTTCTGCGGATGCAGCCCGACTTGCGTTCGCCAAAGGACTCCATCGTGCGGCTCCTCCGTTCCAAGGAATGACCGAACAAGACGTTGAGCAACGCAACCGCATCTTCTGGGCAATATACTGCCTGGAGAAGCAGATTGCAAATCAATCTGGTCGTTCATCGGTATGTGCACCTTTGCTGGGCCATGGTAGTCTCCTATTTCTAAAGCTGATATCATTGATACAAGATGATTGACGATGACGAAGTTACATGCCCCCTGCCCAGGATGAATGCTTCTGGCGATGACGCATTCAACATTGCATACTGCGACAGTCTCGTACGAATTTCTCGGATATGCTCACGGATCGACAAACGACTCTCTGCAGTGCAATGCTCAACCATGGGGCCGGCTGTAACTACGCAAGTGGTCAATCAGTTGCATGCCGAGCTCGAAGGCTTGAAGAACTTACTGCACGACAAGTACAAGCTACATCTCGGCGCAAGAATCGATACAAGCTGTCTCCCGAAAGATTTCAGACTTGATCAGCTCGTGTACTTACAGTACACGTATCTTACTGCCATGCTAAATGTACACACCATCTGGGCCTATCCTTGGTTTCGGACACTCGTAGGCCTATCTACCGAGGACAAATACCGCGATCATATTTTACGCTCTACCGAAATTGTAGCACGAACCTCGCGCGAGATCGTAGTGATGACCGAACACATAAACTTCCGGGCTCAAACCACAGTCCCGTGAGTGCATGCTTCTTACTATTCCGCATCCAAGATTTGTGTGCTAATCTTGGTCGCTCAGGGTTGCATTCTTCGCACCGATATATGCAATGATCAGCCTTTTCATCTATTGCCTCGATCGTGGAAAGAGTTCATCAGATCTAGCCATGCTGGACATTGGAACCGGTTACTTTGCAAGACTTGGAATCGATAAAGAGTTCGCATTGTACGTCCCGTTTGTAAGGGCTATAACGTCTCTGGCATATGGACTCGAGGGATCGACACACCATCAGGAGCCCATCGTGCGAAGCGATGCGATTGAGATGCCGAATTTAGGCGAAGATTTCTGGCAGACTAGCCTTCTGGACGCTGATACTTTGATGCAGCTAGAAGATTGGAGCACCTTCTCCAGAACTAGCCCGGTCTAGATGGACTTGGATTGGATATTCTGAAGCCAGGTATTCGACCCTTGTACAGCACGACTTTGAAGTCAGGCTGTTGGAGATGCGCTTGCAGATCGGACCTCTCTATTGACCCGAAGCACCTGCCTCTGGAAAGAGCATTAAGTATATGCTTGTTAACTCAGCAACACAGTACGATTATGCTCTAAAAATCTACTCGAGACAAATCGGGCTTCTGGCGAAATCTGGTAGTTCGCTGCGAACTTGGAAGGTTCAGCACTCATCAGCCGAGTGCAGAGACACTGCCGCAATACAGAGACAGATGTGAGATTTAGATCTTTCCGCCCAACTTGCTTCAGTTCTCTGCAGAGCTACGAGGCTCAGAGCTCCTCATTACTGGTTGTCCGGATCCGCGAAGAGGGGCACGCTGTGGGGTTTGAGCACTAGTACAACGCTAAACTGCATTGAGTCGGAAAAGCCAATGGAGTGAATACATGTACAGCTTGCGACGCGAGACACATAGCGAGCAAAGGTAACAGTACAGCTTATTTACTGACAAGATGAACTCAAAGCAATAGGCTTTGGATGTCATCTCCTCTTTTTGCCCACAGCAACACTTCTCCATTCCTCGAAGGTCTTGGAATATGGCCAACTCCACACTCAATGCGCTCGTGCTGGGGTCCGTCTTCGTACTATGCGCTATTGTGCTCTCCAGCAAAGTATGGCAGATTGGACGTCGTCCTGCTGATATTCCTCCTGGTCCGCCAACTATTCCGATTTTAGGAAACTTGCATCAGATGCCTGTCGTGAATCCGCACATTCAGCTGCAAAAATGGGCTCAAGAATACGGGTGAGGCAGATCTCTCCGAGCAAATATCATGGAATCACTGATAGAGACTGAACATTCATAGCCCCATCTACTCGTTGATGCTCGGCACCACGACGATGATCGTTCTGTCCTCCGACGAGGCAGTCAAAGATCTTCTTGATCGCCGAAGCGGCAACTATTCGGATCGACCTAATATGTACATAGGCCAGACAATCGCCAGCGGTGGCCTGCGGTTGGTCGTCATGGTACGCATATTCGAATTTATGGTATCTAGGTCCAACAAATTTGCTGATTTGTATGAATACATAGCGCTATGGAAAGTTCTGGCGTATGATTCACAAGACGATTCACAACATTTTGAATATCAAAGCCGCTGTGACTTATGTTCCATACCAAGACTTGGAGAATAAGATCATGCTTCAAGGACTTCTTGACCAACCCGAGGACTTCCTTGCTCATATCCGTCGCTACACGTTCTCACTTTCGACACAAATAATCTTCGGATATCGTGCTCCAGATACGCAAGATCCTAATCTTCTACAACTATTTTGGGTAGGCAAGAGTGTAGATCCTCCAAGTGGGACCGAGATTCTGACATTGCGTTGTGTAGAGCTTCGAGCGCTGGGGCAAACTTGCTGGCAGTGCAAGTGCGCAGTTGGCGGATCTATTCCCCATCATCCAGTCTCTTCCTCGCGCTCTCTCGCTTAATATTGGTTATGCTGAGATGCTGCACAAGAAGGAGAAAGAGCTGTATGTACGACTTTGGATGCGAGCAAAGAATGCTTTGGAGAGCGGCAAAGGCACAGTACGTTCAACCACACCAAATATCCTTGAGGGTCATTTGTTTGTGAATTCCTAGCTAACCTTGCCCGTAGCCGTGCTTCTGCAACGATCTACTTCGAGCACAAAAGACGGAGAAATTCGACGATGATCAGGCAGCATACATCAGCGGCTCGCTGCTCGAAGCTGGTTCAGACACCACAGCATCGATTCTATATGGATTCATCCTGGCCTGTATCGTCTGGCCAGACGTACAGAAAAAGATTCAAGCAGAAATCGATCGCGTGGTAGGCTCCGAACGACTTCCGACGATCGAAGACTACCATCGACTACCATATGTTCGAGCTTGTATCAAAGAATCGCTTCGCTGGATGCCCACTGTAGTCCTCGGCGTGCCACACGCAGCAATACAGGAAGACAACTACAAAGGCTATCGCATCCCCGCAGGAGCAACTGTAATCAACAACGTCTGGGCCATTCATATGGATCCCAAACGCTCCCCATCACCGAGGACATTCAACCCAGATCGACTTGCCAACGATCCACGATCGCTGTACGAATCTGCTATGGGTGAAGCTTCGAAACGAGACAACTATGTGTTTGGAGCCGGACGTCGTCTCTGCCAGGGTATCCATATCGCAGAGCGATCTCTCTTTTTGGGCATCTCACGTCTGGTGTGGGCTTTTGACTTTTTGCCTACCATCGATACCGCCACGGGTAAGCCGATAAAGTACGACGGCGATGATCTGGTTGGAGGAATTACCGTCGAGCCCAGACACTATAATTGCAGAATTGTTCCTCGCGAAAAGCAGAAATCCAGTATCATTCGAGAGGCAGTTCGTAAAGATGCGGAGGACTTTCTTGATCCACGAACAGGCCAGTGGCGTAATATTCCAGAAGGCATGGCATTTAGTACATGGGTACCTGAAGAAGTCGAAGCGTAGGTTGGGATTTTTCGGACGTCCTTGATAAAGGGCGTGAACGAGTTCTTGAGCTGCATAGCTGAGCCACGAAGGTCGATCATTAGTAGTCTATATCTCTCGATAGTCGTTCGACTGTTGGCAATTATCTTCACTTTTGTTGCCTTCGGCAGCACGCATTCATGTGGAAGTACTAGGAGTGCAACACATACTCCTAGATCAAGAAAGTGTGTCAATAGATCTCCAGCGATCGTACAACGACTCCGTTATGGAGTACCCGAAGGCTAGCACGCAGTTTGCCCAAGTGATGGCTTCAAGCTGCTCACATCATATCGAAGCATTTCTCCCAAGAGTGATCGCGCGAGATTAATGTCAATGTTGAATTTCTTGACCAGCAGCAACAATGCTTCGTAGATACTAAATGTATTATATCCCTCTAGAAGTGCCTCTTGAAATTGCGAAAGCAACCAAGCTCTTTGGCAAATAGACGTTCAGACTGCTACGCAACTCGCTCAAGTAGAATCAGTCGATCCCGAGGTCACTGACACAACGCCGACAGTCTAGAAGTGATTTTCGATCGATCAAGAAGTCACTTGTTCGATAGATCGACCGTCTTCGAAGACTTCTCGCTCGGAGAATTGCCGTTGTGCCTTTCATTGCTGTTTCCGATACGCGTTGGGTCCGTCGAGCTCTTCAGAGCAGAGACAAAGCGTACATGATGACGCGTAGTATTCGAACAATCGAGCGTAGGAAATTGAGAAGCAAAAGGGCAATTTTCGAACGACGCTTTTTGTTGCTCACTGTCTTTCTGCCCAATAATTTGACTGACACATGAAGCTTCTGCTGATACATACCGCATTCAATTGCCTGGATATCGTTAAACATCTTGTGCCTGTCGTTGTGGCGCATGGGTGTGAAGCCGAATTCGATGGCGTTGGACGATTGTCAGGCTGATCGTTACAGCTCGTCGAGGCATTCACGTTCGGACATGATAAACAGCTCATTATAACAACTCTGCATAGTTTCATTTAAGATGAATGTCATTAGGTTCCAGCTGCTACAAGGCTCGCTGTCTGAGAAATTCTGCCAAGCTCATAACTCGTCAATGCTTATACAACCCCTCCAAGCAACTGAGCACTCTACAGCACATAAAGCTGATGAGGAACGTTGTAATAAGCTTATGAGTGTGCTGTAGAACGAGGTGACTGCCCATGAACGACTCCCAAATGCCCAAATGGCCCCCACGGCCTCCCCGTTCACTCACAGCCTTTTTACCAACCTCTATACTGTTTCTATCTTTCCAGAGCTGCCACGTTCCTCCGAATTGGTCCAGTGGTTAGGATCTCTCGTTTTCAGGCTCTTAGGAGTGATACCGTGATGGCCCGGGTTCGAATCCCGGATTCGGAATCAAGAACCCACTTTCCAGTGCCAAAACTGGCCTTTCTTTTTGCTTTTGTACCTTGCATCTGTTGTGAATCGATGCAGAGATACCACAGCTAGCTTTCCTTTTGCTCTGCTAGTCGTGGCGGTGTGGTGTGTGGGTGGTGCAAAGCCGAACGCCAAGCCATATCGCTTCAAGTGAAGTGGGTCTGCAGAGTCCAGCCAGAAATTTTCTGCACGCTTTTCCGCAACGACAATGGCATGGGCTGCAGGCTCTTTGTCCTAAGAGCGCGCTAGCGAATAAGTCTTCGTTGGGCTTGTCGTCCTGCATTGATTTTTGGATACCACCCGCTGGAGCTCCCGGCCACTTGCGCCGCGGCGTATTACTCAAGTCCCATGCCTCACGGGCAGCGGCCTCTTGGAGGTGATGTGTACAATAACAAACAACGATTGCGAGACAGTGGTTGTCAAACATGATCAGGGAGTAGCTTTTTCTTCCGTGAAATATTAAATATGTACAACATCAACTCCGTTTAACTCCTTTCAAATATTGTCAACGCATGTATGTTATCCAACACAAATCGCCTTGAAGCGGCCCACATCCCTCCTGCAGCCTTTCGGCTTCTCTCAACAGTCCTCGAACCCTCCATCTCCGCGACCCTGGTGATAAGAACTTGGCACTGGTAGAATCATGTCCGGCGACAAGGCAGTGAACATGTACTGACGAGTCACAGCAAGCTCTTGTAGAGCAAGCATCCGGTAAACATGATCTCCCAGGGCGTGGCAACCAGGTGGCTGGTGCATAGGCCTCAGCCGGGCTCCTTGATCCAAATGGCCAGTATGGCTCGGTGGAGAGCTAAATCAGTCCTTGGAGGCCAACCTCGAGGTGGACTTTTGTACTGATGACTTGCTTCAATCAATCAATGTACTGTAGGCAATTCCGGGATTCCGCTCAGCAACTTTCTACGAAAAGCCGCGCAGGATCCATGATATTTGTCACCTCACTCACTCCAGGCTGGCCTTCCCATCATGGAGTACATATTTCCCTGGTCCTGAGGATGCATCTGCTCGGGGTAGACAGGAACCTGCATTGGGTACACTTCCTGGGGCATAGACATGGCTGGGCCAGAGACGAATTGCATCTTCTGCCTCCTGGCAACTGGCTCCTCAGAGGGACTGGCCTTCCTCTTGCGGCTCATTGGCTTGCGGGCTCCATTATCCGCGGCACGCTCCTGCTGTGGCTCCTCCTTGTGGTCGTGGACACGCTTCATGTGGTCGAAGAGGTTGTAACGCCTTGGGAAGCCATTGCCAGGAATGCCTCGCTCGCAACCGGGATAGAAACAGAGATGGGGCCGCTCTCCGTGTCCGTGCATACCGTGTGCCTCTCTTTCGTGCCTCAGCAGGCATGCCGTGGATGAGAACTCTTGCTTGGAGCAGGACTCAACCTTGCAGCGGAAAGGCTTCAGGTGGGAGTCGATGAACTTGCTGTAATCGCAAGTGGTCAGTCATGTCTGCATAATTATTGGGGGAGGGATTTGAGGGATCGTACTCGTAGTTGCACTTGAGCTTTGTGGGCTTGTGCTGGCAGTTAGGGTCGCTGGCATAAGGACAGTGGTACAATCCATCGGCCTCGGGTCCCTTGGAGTATAGTGGATGGTTCCTGTGGCGTCCCTCGTCTCCTTCGCCAGTCACGCTACCAGTGGAGGAATTGGCCTTATGTGGGACAGAGTGGGTCGAGTCAGACCTCGACAAGGCCGGTGTCAATTCCTGGTGGTGCACGGGTAAGTGCGCGGGCACTGGGCGACCAGGTTGAACGAAGCTACGCCGCACGTCAGTATTGCAGGTTATGTCATGGCGCATTATATCATCGAACCTCATCTGCACCGCAGGTACTTGTTGCTCCTGCTCATACCGGACGAAGCCACCGAATTCCTCACTACCATGGGTGGACACAAAGGATGGACCCGAAATCATGCCTGGCGAAGACGTCTCCGGACGTGGGGGAGGAGTTGGCAGACCGTGGCCATGGAAGTCCTTGGCCAAGCTGGCAGAGTTACTTACTCTCGGATCGCCGTGTGCAACCATGCCAGACACATGTGATCGTGGCTGTTGAGCAGAGTGGTAGGTAACGGTCACCGGAGCATCCGTGCGTGGCAGCAATCGTCGAGGCGGAGAGCCGGATGGATCAGACACAGTCCTCCTTTGGAAATGCGAAGCAGGAGCCTCTGAATAGTGAACCATGGACTGAGTTGGGCCATACATCGCAGGCTGCGGTCCGCTAAAGGCAGGATAGTACGCGCTCATCTGTGGACCTGCTGGAATGGAAGCCGGGGATGAAACCATGCTGGCAGTGGACATATCCTGAGGGCCAGCTGTAAAGACAACGGGGCCGGATGTGGACCAATTTGTGGGCTCTCCAATGAAGGACAAATCCAAGCCGGGCGGCAGCAATGGGAAGTCCGTCTCGGGCACGTGTGTAAGGCTGTGCACAGTCTGGCTCTCATGGCTCAGAGCAGGCGACAAGCCCATATCTACAGCTCCTTGGCCAAATTGAGCCCACGACGAGGCGTCGTTCAGGGCTTGGGAATCCTGGCAGCTGGGCGCGGCACTATATGTGGGCCATTGGCGGCTGGCGGCCTTTGGAAGTGTGCTGTGGTCCGCGGAAGGTCCTGAAGTCCACGACTCCTCTGGCATTGAAGCCTGGCTCCATGATGAGTCGTACATGTCTGGGCAATCCGAAGAGGCACAGTCCGAGGCAGTGTCCGGTGGAGTCAATGGATAGGCTTCCGGATATATGGAGTGGCACCAGTTATTGACCTCTGTGGGCTGTGCAAACAGAACGGATCCGGGCTGGTGGAAGGAGTGAATCTCCTCACTACACACATGAGACGTCAGTTCGTGTCATCGTCGACAGCAGCAACGACACTGTGGTCTGTAAGCAACGTAATACAAGAAGAAACATAAACAAAACAAAAAATGGTCCCGTCCCGTGGCCGTGTAAAACAAGAGCGCGCCAGATGTGTCGAATGGAAACAGGAGGTACAGAGTCGCGGGCCAAACGTCGTTAAAAGTGCGTCGAACAGGATTGAAGGGATCCAAGGGTGGCGGCGGCAGATATTCGGTGAGGGTCAGAGTAGTCGACATTATCCAATGTGGGAGAGCTTCTCAACGATCCAAACAGGTAGCAAGACCATCTCTGCGGAGGGAACACCAGGAAACACAGATTGGGCCATCGAATCGCGCGGCCGCGCAGATTCTCTTCCTAATCCTTGGGATGATCCGTGTGGTAAAGGTCATATCCGCGATGCTGAGAACAGGTGACGAGCAACTCCACTGTGAATAAGTTGGAGGCTTCAAGCCGACCATGTGACTCAACACGCATTGGAGCGTAGAGACAATCCGTTCCGGCCTGGGAGTCCGCAATCAAGTCAAGTCCAAGGGAAGCAAGTCCATGGCAATCAAAGGTCCAATTCCATGTCCAAAGCCGGCTGGCAGAAGGGGTATCCGTGGAGTCCGTAGCAATGGTCTGATCTGAGAAATGAAATACAATACGATCTCGAACAGAGTTCAAGTACATTATCTTGCAAAGCAACGCTGTAGAACATAGAAAAGAAAGTACCTGGCGGCCAATTGATCCTCGCGGCTGCGAAATGTCATCCTGGAAAGTCCGATACGAGGCTACAGGAAGAGCCAAGTTTGTTTGTTGTCGTGTGTGTGTGAAGGTGTTATAGCAACACAAACGACGCGGATGATCGTTGCGGAGTAGGGAAGCTGTCCACTGGAGGAGAGAGGGAGAAGTAGTGGTTGATGTTGGGCAGCGTTGGGCAGAAAGACAGGCGAAGGTTGCAGAAACGGAAGCAGGAGGAACTGGAGCGCGGCCGGGCTCTTCATAAGGAAACGCTGGACTCCCTGGGGGCCGGGAGGGGAAGACTTCGGGTGGCTGAAGTGAGCTGACGCCAGCGGATGTGACGAGACGTGCTAGCGTGCATCGGCCCATGAGTAGCGCACGAATTAGCTCCGCGACTTCCTCGGCTCGCTCTGCACCTGCTGCGCTCGCACCTGCACCGCTCGACGTGGCAGCTCGACAGCGTGCGATTCATGCTGCGCGCACACCTCGTCGCCGTGCCGCTCGTCGCCAGCTGCACCGCCGTGCATCGCGCACATCGACTCACGACGACGGCGATGATGAGCTGACACGTGCGGCAGACTCAGCAGAGGCTGGTGCGGCGGAAGAATTGAGCAGCGCATCCTGGAGCCTCACCAACATTTCCCACTTCTCTTCATCTGCCATCCTTGCTCTCCAGCCACTTCACCTGGTGCTCGGCCTGTGCGACGGTGAGCTGCATCGCGAAGCCGACGCTGACTTCTCCGATCTGTGGTGCCTGATTGTCATTGCCAATCCGGGCTCCATTTCGGCCTCATTCTGCGCATTGGCAGCACAGCAGTCGAGAGCAGTGTTCGCAGCATGTTGGAACTTGGAAGCGACATCAACCCTGCAGCAGATGGACGTCACCTCAAAGCCATTGCTCTTCGCTTCTGGAAAGATTGGCCGCAAGTCTCCGAAATCTGGACACGCTGAGACGTGAGCAGCGTTTCACATATCATGCCGAGTCAGGGCGCTCTGCAGATCTCTTTGGCCTCTTCGTACGGGCTGGACGTCGAATCGTTTGCGATGCTACCGTCGTATCTGTCGCTATTTTCATTGCGCGAAGCAGCCCAGGAGCAACTGGGCGCGTAGACTTCTACCGAGCAACGTGGTTGCGCAACGATATCGTCTATCTGCACCTGCGCAGCACAGCGACAGCGTCATTGTGCAATGGTATGCCTTCCTATCGCTTACCGACCAGGCCACAACCGCCACCACCTGCGCCATCTGCTACGCAACACGACATGTTGATCGATTTGTGCTTGTGCACAATCACCGCAGCAGCATGGCCAGACCAGGACTCTGGATCCAAAGAACTCCTCCGTGAATCGTTGCACGCGAGCGGCATGCAGTTCCTCGACCAGGTGAATTTGCATGGCCACAGCATGCGGCCTGAGTACAGCCAGAAGTGTTCTTCTAGCACTCCATTGTGCAGTCCTGGGCGGCCAACAGAGAACAGCGCAGCCTTCCGCAGTATACCATGACTGACTGCCGGTGATGTTCGTCAGATTTCGACATCGCTAGGCGTTCGACTGTGCCTGCGCATTGGGGCTTGAACACAGCACGGCCTGTCGGAGTGTTCAAGTTCGTACGTCATTCCTAGAAGCGGATCGCATGGCTTGGCTCTACTCGTACCACAGAACCACGAGCTGTAGAACATTGCTGCACCGCGAACCATGCGCTGACATGTGGTGCTGTGCGTGGTGCTCTTTCCAAATGTGCACGAACTGCTGACCATTCTGTAGTGGCGAGTTCCAGATTTCTGCACATGTCTTCCACAAAAGCGCTATGCATAGCACATTCTCGCACTCGGTCAGTTCGTCGGCCTCCGATAACGCTTCGAACATCGCACAACATCCACCATTGCTTGACCGCAAACCAGGAACACGACGGGCCTGGCCGGCCTGGAATCGGTGCAAGGGTTCCTCTTCTTGCACCAGCGGACCGTGCCGACATCTTATCAAAAGGCTTCGTTCTCTTCATGTGCGCAGGAGATATCTCGGATGGTCAACAAAGCATCATAGTTCTTGCCAAGCCTTTACAGATCTTTAATAACTGACCGTCGTGATTCCTTCTCATGCGGACCATGGGCGGCTGCAACGCGGAGCTACCTCGACATGATGTTATTGTTCGAAGTCATGCTGCCATATATATAAGATGGATTGTGGATACCATGTAGGTGCTGTTGGCCTTTCACTGACCTCATTATCATTGTCTATCATCCCCTCGATTCCTTCCTGCTATCGACTGCACAGGTTTCAGCATGGCAGAAGAAGCAGTCGGACTACAACGTGCTTCCTCAGGAGCTCGCAGATCTTCGAGCGAATCCTCCTTGAGCGACAAGGACCACGAAAAGCACAACGACTTCGGAACCGACGTTCGCCACCCCAATCACGATCCGAATCATGGAGCGATACCAGAGAGACCTCTTACCAAGGTCCACACGCACGAACCTTATCCCGTCGACGTTGTCAATCTCCCTTATCGAACGCTTACCGCCGAAGCTGGCGATCGGATGCGCGAGTATACGGAGGAAACAGCGACCGGTCTCCAACCTGTCATCTCAATTAAACGAACCAAGACCGGTGAAGCGAAGCCCCAAGAGTACTCTCTCGTCACATTTGTCGAAAATGATCCCGACAATCCGAAGAACTGGTCAAAGGCCTATAAATGGTATTGTACCATGGTCGTTGCAATCACCTGCTTCGCCGTGGCCTTCAATAGTGCTGTGATCACTGCAGACCTGGTCGGACCAGCCGAGACATTTGGCGTCAGCGAAGAAGTCAGTCTGTTGACTATCACGCTCTTCGTTGTTGGTTTTGGTGTTGGACCTATGGCTTTTGCTCCCATGAGCGAGATTCTTGGCAGGAGAATCATGTACGCGAGCACGCTGCTGGTCGCTGTGATCTTCATCATTCCTTGCGCAGTCGCGAAGAACATTGGAACTTTGCTGGTGTGTCGAGCGATCGATGGTATTGCATTTTCTGCTCCGATGACTCTGGTCGGAGGCACACTAGCAGATTTCTGGAGGAATGAAGAGAGAGGAGTTCCCATGGCTGCATTCAGTGCTGCACCATTCATCGGCCCTGCTATTGGACCACTAATTGGAGGCTTCACAGCTGATCATTTGGGCTGGAGATGGCTTTACTGGCTCCAGTTGATCTTGTCTGGAGCATGCTACATCTTGATCACCTTCACCGTACCGGAGACTTACGCACCAACTATCCTCGCCCGACGAGCTAAGAAACTGAGAAAAGAGACTGGGAACGACTCATACGTGACCGAAGTGGACCTGGACCTACGACCACTCAGCGAGAGACTACGAGTCTTCTTGTTGAGACCATTTCAATTGCTCTTCCAAGAGCTGATTGTCATGTTCATCTCGCTCTACATGTCTGTCCTCTATGGATTGCTCTATATGTTCTTTCTAGCATATCCAATTGTCTTCCAGGAGGGGAAAGGATACTCTGCATCTATCACTGGCTTGATGTTCATTCCTTTGGCGATTGGAGTTGTGATGAGTGCTTTCTTCTCGCCTTGGGTGAATAAGCACTACCTCAAGCAGGTTAAGAAGTATAACGGGAAGCCTCCGGCTGAGGTTCGCTTGATTCCGATGATGTATTCGTGTTGGTTTATTCCAGTCGGTAAGTGTATTGCCAGAGTCGATTACTCATTTTCGGAGACTGACATTTCCAACAGGGCTGTTCATCTTCGCCTGGACATCATATCCACGCCTGACCTGGTTTGCTCCTGCTTTTGGAGGTTGGTTTGTTGGCTTCGGATTTATCTTCCTTTACAACAGCGCCAACAACTATTTGGTCGACACTTATCAGCACCAAGCAGCAAGTGCTCTTGCCGCAAAGACCTTCCTCAGATCACTCTGGGGCGCGGCTGTCGTACTGTTCACCATCCAGATGTACCACCGACTTGGCGACCAATGGGCTTCAACCCTTTTGGCATTCATCGGGCTGGCGTGCTGCGCCATTCCGTACGTGTTCTATTACAAGGGAGCAGCGATTCGAAGATTCTCCAAGTTCGCGTATGCCGGTGATGAGGAGAGCAACACCACAGGCGTACAGTAATGGGGCGATGACTGAATAGAGAAGGCTCGGATGCTTCTGCGGTAATAGCGAGACAGCAGCCGCGTTTTGTACCGATAGTAATGATACCCACATCGCATTTGTAGCAACATTATCCTTCCTGAGATTTAATCAAGACTCAACGCGCACGCACTCCTCTCTGCTGCAGTCAGCAATACCAGGACCATGCTACACTGGAGTTGTTGGTTGTACGCGGCCACAAGAAGTGGCGATGGGTAATCCCGGTTGCCGACAAACGCCTGTTCGCACTTGAACCACAGGAACTTCTGGGCACCAGAGCGCTGGACCAGGCGATCAGTACTGCTAGCTCGCGGTTCCTGATGATCATAACGAGTCGTGGTCGACGGAGGTGGCGCTTCAGAGATATTGGCTGATCTTGTGCTTAGCGGCCCAACTTGTGACCTGTGCTGGTTCATTGACAAGCCACCGGGCCGCGGCGAGGAGACCTCACGACGCAGGCCGCAAGCATGTCCGGAGCTATACAGCTCTGGCAGTAGACGACATTGTTCTCACGCGGGTTTTGTATCTGTGTATCTGACTGACCCAGGCGGTCGGCTCGGTCGGCTTCATATTGTCCCGGCAGCTGGCGACTTGACCGCATTCGGGAGCTCCACTGCACGAGCGAGCGAGCTTGTGACAGCTGCATATGCACAGCTGCTTGAACACGACTATGCCCATGACAGCGGGCCTGGGGGGTCTGCGTGCCACGACTCCCACCTACAACACCACCCCCAGCGCCTCGAGCACCGACATACCCAACGGCACCACCCCGACCAAGAAGTACAGCCTCTTCCCCTCCGTTGCACTGCGCGAGAGTCCGCCCTTCACCACACCTCCGGCCGCAAACAAGACCCGCTCGGATTCATTGTCGCGCGCCGATGGACGCTCCAGCCGCTTTGTCGAACAGATGAACTCCACCTCCACCTTCCTCTCGCTCGAAAGTCCTTCTCCACCTTCGTCCTCCCACGCCATAAACCCTGCGACTATCCCCACGCGAACGAGCTCTAACCGAGCAGCCTCCAACGGCAACCACTCCAACGACCGCGAGCGTAAACTATCCAAGAAACACCGCAGCCAATACAGTCTGGGGTCAGTGCCCGAGAGCAGGCGCTACCCCGAAGTCGACGAGCGTGTGTGGATGTCGCAAGGACGAAATTATGGCCACAAGGCGGGCACCAGTACGGCGTCGCGGGACTTCTCGCGAGACAATCAGTCGCCGCCTACAGTCATTGGTGCCGACCTGATCGATGGCAGCGGCAGCAGCTGGAGCCAAGAGAAGGAGAACATCCTCAAAGGGCCATATGCCTACCTCGAATCGCACCCAGGCAAGGACATTCGGTCACAGCTCATCAGTGCCTTCAACGAGTGGCTGCAGGTTCCTGCGTCCTCGCTTGCGGTGATCACTCGAGCAGTGGCCCTGCTGCATACCGCATCACTTCTGATCGATGATGTCGAGGACAATTCGCAGCTGCGGAGGGGCATTCCCGTTGCCCATTCGATCTTTGGAACTGCACAAACGATCAACAGCGCCAACTACGTTTACTTTTGTGCCCTGCAAGAGCTGATGACACTCAACAACCCCCTCGTCATTCAAATCTACACAGGAGAACTCCTAAACCTCCATCGTGGCCAAGGCATGGACCTCTTCTGGCGCGACACCCTGACATGTCCCACCGAAGACGACTACCTCGAGATGGTCGGCAACAAAACCGGAGGCTTATTCCGACTAGCCATCAAGCTGATGTGCGCCGAAAGTCCTTCACACAACTACAATCCCAACCCCGACCTCCCCCATCAGCCAGCAGATTACGTTCCCCTGGTCAACACAATCGGCCTTCTCTTCCAAATCCTAGACGACTACCGCAACCTCTCAGATACCATTTACACCCAAAACAAAGGCCTTTGCGAAGATCTCACTGAAGGGAAATTCTCCTTTCCCATCATCCACGCGATCCGATCCGATCCCAATAATTTAGTTTTGATCAATATTCTGAAACAAAAGACGAATGATGATGAGGTGAAGAGGTATGCGGTGCAGTATATGGAGAACTGTGGCAGTTTTTCGTATACTCGGCGAGTTCTAAGGGGTTTGACGAAGAAAGCTATGACGTTGGCGGATGAGATTGATGTGAGGGATGGGGCGCAGCAGGGGAAAGGGGAGTCTGTGAAGCTGATTCTGGAAAAGTTGAGAGTGGATAATGGGAAGCATTCGAGGGGGAGTGCTAGTGCTTGAGGGACTGCGAGCGGAGACGAGCAGAGATGTCAATAAGGCACTGAAGCCTTAGGAGCACGACGAGATGTGTCGAGAGCTTGAGCCAAAAGGATTGCAGCTGGCAGGCCATTTATGCTGGAAAAGAAAGCTGAGATGTGAAAACGGGGGGTCATTGTTGAATTTCGCGTTTTTAGCTTGGCTTTTCTCATGATACCAATTTGAACGAGGTCACGATATTTTGGAGATGATGCGAATCTTTCCCTTACTTCCAGACTTGTCTTTGTGTTTATTCAACGGCGCCTCAGAGAAAGTGCTGCTGGGAGAAAGAGATGAGAGACGTTCACAGAGAGATTTGAACTTTGTTCGCCATTTCCATATTGACACAGTAATAGCATTTTCGCATACAGTACTTTCCTGTACAGTCCAACCAAACCCCTTTCCAGACGCCGCGACACCGTTTGAACCATTTCCCATATGAGCGTGTCATTAACATGACCACCGTTCGCACCTCTTCGATTTCTTCTCGTCCAAGCCGGAGAGGTTTTCACAGTGCTTGCGAGGCAGATCTCAGCTCTCCAACCGGATTGCAGGTGAGCTCTGCTAGACCTTGACCTCCGCGGCCAACTTCCTCGCCAGCTTGTTCAAATCCGCATAAGCCTCTTTCCACTCATCCGCGCTCTCCGTTGCGCCCTTTCCAGTATTCGGCGTCAACATCACCACACTCGTCGGTCGCTTCGTAGACCCCGCAGCACCCAACTCCGCTCGCGATGGGACGTAAATGTACGGAATTCCGTGATCTTCGCACAGCACTGGAATATGCGAAATCACATCCATGGGGCTGATATCCGCGGCCAGAATGACGATTCCGGAAGGTAAATTGGCCGGGTTGAGGGATGTGGGTGTTGCGACGGGGGATTTGCGAATCGATTTGACGCATTCTTTTACGCCGCGCTTTAGGGCTTTGGATTTGGCAGCTGGAGGTATGTTAGGAAATCTGCCCATGTGGAGAGTTTGGGTTCCTCGATTATGAGATCTTGTGACAGGGGTTGACGCCTGTCTAGGACTGCTGAAGAGGATGATGCTGTTGCAGATGTTGCGCGCTGTACTGTCGATGTCGTGGTTGTTGTTGTATGGGAAGGGGGAAATTGTGGTGTGCGAGGATTATGATGATGAATGGTACTGGGGGGACTACGAGACTGGGACTCACCCTTCTTTACGGATTTGAGAACTTTTTTCTGGTCTTTTTCGCTGGCTAGTGGGTTTGCGAAGGGGACGAGAGCTGCGATGCCGACGACAGAGAGTGCTTTGCCGTCTGATTGCTCCTCCTTGGGCGCGACGACAGAGACTTCGGTGTTGTCGATGTCCATTACTGATTCGTCTACGCCTTCGCTCTTGCGCGACTTCTTCGATTTCTTCTCTTTCTTTGGCGTAGGCGCTGCATCGGCGTCGACCTCTTCGTGCTTGCGCTTCTTCTCCTTCTTCTCTTTCTTGGCCGCGATTTCGGCCTCTGTCTTATCCTTGCCCATGATGAAGGCGACTATCGGGTGGCAGCGGTGTCGCGAGTATGGAGTTGATAGGATGCGGTTGGTGTCGTGGTTAACGCAGTTTTCTCCGCTGGAGCTCAAGCTCAAAAATTACGGCGAGGCAGGTCGGCTCGAGGCGCAGATGGAAAGCTTGGCATCGCATTGAAACTCCACTGCAGCTACGGCATCCCATCGCCCCATCATCAGCGCTGCAGCATCCTTCCGAACGGCGAAATGTAGGGCTGCGATGCGGAGACACTGTAGTGTACTAGCAAGTCTCAAAATGGCGCCATGCTCCTTCTTCTCCTTCTGTCTACACACGATTCAGCATGATCCTAAAGCTCTCCCTCTGGACTGCAGCAGTTGCAGCAACAACATCATGTTCTTCTCCCGGCCAATCTCATGATGAGCTTCATAATGATCTTACAGAGGCTTTTGCAAGCAGACAATACTTCTACATCGGAGGACAATATATCAATTATACCTTACCAACATCGAACACCACAAGCCGCTACATGGTCGGCCAGATCTATGTCGAACACCTTATCCCTCCCAAAACCACCAAGTCCAACCCAGTCGTATTGATACACGGCAATGCTCAGTCAGGCACAAACTTTCTGAATACCCCAGACGGGCGTGAAGGCTGGGCATCGCATCTGCTCCGCACAGGCTATGAGGTCTACATCACAGACCAAGCAGCTCGAGGAAGGTCACCATACCTACCTGGCCATGATGGGGACTTGACGGCCTTTTCCACACAGCAAATCGAATCGCAATTCACCGCACCAGAGAAGCGAGATCCACTTCCTTATCCTCAAGCAGCAGGGCATACTCAATGGCCGGGCGAAGGTGAGGCCAGGTAGCGCGGTGTGTAATCTTGACGACCAGAGCTAACCTTCCGCGTAGGCACAGTTGGCGACCCCATTTTTGACGACTTCTACGCGTCTCAGGTCCCAGCTCTGATCAACGGCACTATCCAGGCATCCTACAACAATGCTTCATACACTGCGCTCCTCCAAAGGATAGGAAGGCCTAGCTTCGTCTTTACACACTCTCAATCAGGCCCTTGGGGATTCCAGCTCGCAGATACCGTTCCTCATCTTGTCCAAGGTCTCGTGAGCATGGAGCCGCAAGGACCTCCTTTCCAGAATTGGATAGGTTCACCATTTGCACAAGGCTACACTACTACTGGTGGTGCCCGGCGTTATGGCCTCACTAATCTACCACTACATTATGATCCACCGCTTGAGGATGACGATGCAAGTCTCTTGCGGACAGAGGTCGTGCCTGCAAGGAACTCGAACTCTTCAGACTGTACAAGACAAGCCGAGCCGGCGAGACAGCTGGCTCATCTGTCACACGTGGCACATCTAGTCTTAACTGGTGAGGCGAGCTATCATGACGTGTATGATTACTGTACAGTAAATTACATGAGGCAGGCAGGATTGGAAGTAGATTTTGTCTCCCTCGGCGACGTAGGAATCCACGGCAACGGACATTTCCTGTTCTTGGAAAAGAACAGCCTTGAGATTTTGGAGAATGTGGTGTTGCCATGGCTTGAGGCACAGACCAAGTTATAGCCTCGTCTCAAAGACATTGAATGCGAATCTCGAATATTCTTTTCTCGTAGTGCTTGCGTATCAGCGACCTGCCGTAGTCGGTGCGCTTCTCCCTCCATATCGCCTCGCGTGCTCGCCGTAGCCACATTGCAGCTCATGAGAGTATCCGTATCTCGTTCCGCTCACGGAGATTTCCAGCCTTTTGCCCACATTCGGACGTGCAGCTGGCTTTTGGTCAAACTGTGTAAGCGCATGCGGTTCATGGTTCTGTGTCATGTCTGCACGCTTTCCATCTTCTTTTTGCTACAAGATCGACTCCATTGCTTCTATCATGCACGTTCCTGCATCGAATCTTGCGGCGTGCGTAGCAGTTCTCCTTTCCCCTTCAAAACATTCTTCCCTCAGAGCCGTTCCCTCTTCAATTTGCTCCCCTCGCATCTCTCGCTCTGCTCTCTACCCAGAATCCAGGATCAGGTCTCCTTAATTCCTTCATCTCCGACGTTGTGAGTGGCTTTTCGACTTCTGCGACATCGACGAGTTCTTTGACTGCGAAAATTTGGCCAGCGACGGATTGTGAGACCGGGTGGTAGACGGTGGTCATGCGCTTCTTGAGGCCGAGCGCGTGCAGCACTCCTGATGTCTTTCTGGGCAGACCGATGGCTGATCGGAGGAGTGTAATGCGGAAATATGCCATTGTGGAGTGATTTGTTGTGGTGATGGTCGTAATCAGAGGTTCAATGGCAACGCCGAGGAGAGACGGAGGTTCGCGACTCCAGCTTCACTCCGCGACCAACTTTAACTAGCTCCATTGGCATGCTGTGGGCGGACCCCCGTCCGACCATGACACGACACTGAACACGAGATACGCGACAACAGTGGCACAGGGCCTACGCTCCGATCGTCGCAAGCGAATCATCCATTCCAGTCGCGACTACAGCATCAACACTTAGGCGGAGCCACCGCGACGAGACCTCAAGGCTCCAGCCATCATGAACGACCCGCCGCCTATCGAGAACCCAACACTACGCCTGGCTGAGCTGTTGCGCAATCCCGACGATTTGGACAAGCTACCCTCATTACGACAAGAGTTCACGCGCAAGAAGTCGACCATCGACGCCCAGCTCAAGCATGGCCTCTCCGAGCAGCTCCAGATCACCCAGCAGGGCATGTCGTCGATTCAGACAGGCCAGCACACCGTGCAGCTTATAAAAGAGGAGATGATGAAGATTGACAAGCTTTGCGCCGAAGCTCAGGGCATGATTGAAGACTTTCCCGAGATCAACAAGATGAGCATCATGCAGCGCAACTTCGCCGCAGTGGAGGACATGAAGGAGAAGATCAAGTCGTTTGGCAGAGAGTTGCAGGTGCTGGAAGAGCTGTTGCGAGAGGATGATGACGATCTGGAAACACAGCCGAATCTGCTAGCCATTCACGCCGGTCTGTCCGAGCTGAGGGACGTGAGGGATCGTGCCATGGATCAAGTCAAGGGACATGCCGAGGGAGAGTCGGGACTGGAACTGATCGAGAATTTGCCTCTGGAGAGCGGCGTCACCTTGAGAGACCACTTCACGAAGCTGGACGATGTGGTAGAGTGGTTCGATGAGCATGTGGGACAGGCTTGCATCAATCTCATTGGACTTGTGCAGGCAGGCAATAATGGACTGGTTGTGAGACTGGGACTTGTTATCGAGGAAGAGGAGAAGAAAGATCGACAGACAAAGGCTTTACAAGACGCGCAAAGAGAGTTCCAAGATGTGGCGCAAAGATTCAAGAGCATCAATGTGGGACAGAGAGAGCTTCGAGGCTACAAGAAGAAGTTCTTACAGGCCATCGAATACAGTGCAGCCGCACAATTCGACCAAGTCAAGCAGGCCTTTGATGAGGATCCAGAAAAGCTCGAAAAGGCGTGCAGATGGTACTTTAACGACCTGAACACAGTCAAGCTGGGAATGCAGGACCTTATGCCGAAGAAGTGGAAGATCTTCAAAACGTATTGCAACATCTACCATAACCTTATGCACGATTTTCTCGTGGCACGTTTAGACGACAGCAACATCACACCTGTGCACATGCTCGCGATTCTCAATTGGGTGGAGAAGTACTATAGCAAGATGGCCCGTCTGGGGATCAAGCAAGAGGAGCTCAAGCCTCACGTCATCGACGAACGTGAGACGGAGCTGGTGCGAGACTACCGTAATCTCATCACGAAGGCCGTCGAGCAATGGATGGATCGCATGGCAACATCCGATCGACGCACGTTCGTCTCTAGGGAAGAGGGCAGCTTGGATCAGGACGCCAATGAACACCTCCATACGAAGACGTTGGGAGACATGTGGACTATGCTGCGCGAGCAGCTATCGGTCGCAGAGTCATCCGGTCGCCCAGATGTTGTGGAGGGCGTGGTGGATGCCATGATGCGGGCTCTGCGGGAGAGACAGCAAATGTGGCAAAGGCTTATCGACGACGAATTCCGCAAGATCGAGAATGCGCCAGACCCCACAGCTCTTGAGGGAGTTGGTACATTCCAAGAATGGCTCGTGGCCATCGCCAACGATCAAATCGCCAACATCGACGAGGACTCTGGCAGTGTCTCGTTCTTGACACGATTCAAGCAGGACTATGAGCCTCTGGTCAGTCCGGCATATGCTGTGACAAGCACCGCTGACCACGAGTCTTTGATCAATGGATACGTCGATTTGGCTACGCATTGCATGTCGATATTCGCAGCAGTCATCTTCGCGACAGATATCAGACCAGTGCTGACCGAGTTTTTCACACCTGTATGGTATGGAAAGAAGACCATGGCATCCATCACCACAACCTTCGAAGATTACCTCAAAGATTTTACTGGAATTCTGCATCCTTCACTTCAGGACATCTTCGTCGAGGAGCTCTCGGATGCTCTCCTTGTGCGCTATCTGTCCAGTGTGCGAAACAAGGGTGTCAAGTTCAGACGATCCGATCCGTTCACCGAGAAGATCAAGGAGGATGTTGTTACTGTCTTTAACTTCTTCAATCAACATCCTGACATCTTCGAAGTGATCAAGGACAAATGGAGAGTCATATCTTCATTTGGAGATTTGTTGAGTGCGGAGAAGGGGCCTGGTGTCGTGAGAGCGTTCGAAAACATGAAGAACTCATATTGGGATGTGCAGATTGGCTGGGTTGAGGCTGTCTTGAGGAGTAGAGATGATTATGGCAGAGATATGCTGAGCGGGGTGAAGAGCGCGGCCGCTGCGTGGAACGGCGAGAGAGGAGTGGAAACGGTTATGAGCAAGGTCAAATGAAGGAAGAGGCGGATGGGAGTGGTATTGGTCTTTGATTGTTCCCAGCGAGGAGTTTGGGCGTATGTTGTTGTACAGGCAGGACGTGATACCCAGCCTATTTTATCCAATGCAACCTGTACATATATATGCTCTACGGTTGCAGCATGTCATTTCACTTGGTTTTTGCTCTTGCCGTCTTACCTCCCACGATGCGTTCTTTCTGTCCCAGATCGTGCTGACTCATGCGCATGCGGGATGTAAACTTCCCTCAACACGGCTTTTTCGAGCATGACTGAACTTGCAACACTCACACAATCACAGCACAAAGTGTCACGTAAGTCACGATGGACTACCTCATCCGCTACAGACAGATGCATGAAACCTTTCGACAGCCGGAGACAGAGGCACTGGCAGAGCTCAACGGTTTCACCATAGATTGGATCTCGTACTCAAACGACGTAGGTGAACATCCAACAGGTAGGCGAAGGGCAGCTGTGCACCCACAACATGTTCTCGTGCTGCTTCGTGTGTGAAGTTTTGCCACAAGGTCGGTACTCTCACAGTTGCCTTTCGCCTACGTGGCATGGCCGAATTATTTGCTCACTCTGCCTTAGTCTCCATTCGCGATTGTCCGTTTTCCAGACAACATCGACCCGTTGATTGCAGCTCAAGCACTTACATCCCGCTCAATACTTATCTGGAGTGTGCACGAACTATGGGGCGATGGCAAAGACTACTCGTCACTTCACACTGATATTCGAACAAGAACCTCGCATCTATGGTCTTCATATCGAACACCTTCTTTCCGTTTTGTTTGTGATAGCCACCGCCACAGTCGTCCGACGTCCGAACAACGAGCCACTTTTGAGGCCCTCGATTACCTAGACTTCCAAGGCCCCATCAGGATGAAAGATCCTGACCACCTGTTCACGATCTTCGAGGATTACGATTTGCACCAAAAGGTTCCCAAGCGTGTCTGCTTTGGCAGAATGCTTGCCGAGAGCAATGGCAAAGCGGTCATCAAATACAATCTCAAAAAGCGGAAGTATATTGCAACTACATCCATGGATGCGGAATTGTCCCTTATTACTGCTAACATTGCTCTCTGCCGTCCCGGAACTCTCGCATATGATCCGTTCATGGGCACAGGCTCTTTTCCTCTGGCAGCGGCACATTTCGGCTCGACTGTTTTCGGTTCTGATTTTGACGGGAGAAGTATTCGAGGGAAGAAAGGCCGGAATGTTGCAGGCAACTTTGAGCAATATGGTACTTCTGCCCACTATCTCGATGGTTTTGCAGCGGATCTAACGCACACGCCTTTGCGGAAGCAAAGAGTGCTGAATGCAATCATTTGCGATCCTCCATATGGTGTGAGAGAAGGACTGAAAGTGCTGGGTTCGACACGGGACTACCTCCAGCAGGAAGTCGTTCTCCGGGATGGCACTTTGGCACATCTCAGAGAGGATTACATCCCCCCAAGAAAACCTTACAGCTTTCTGAGGATGCTCGATGACATCCTAGATTTCAGTAGCGAGATGTTGGTCGATGGCGGCAGACTCAGCATGTGGATGCCTGTTGCCGGGTCCAGCGAAGAAGAAGTCAACGAAGCTGGAGCTCAAATCGACGCCCCGGTGGAAGAGTACGCAACGCCGCAACACCCTTCGCTCCAGCTTGTGAGCCAATGCAGACAAGACTTCAACAAGTGTAAGTGTTGCTGTCGCGATCATCCGAACCTTCAAATTGACAGGCTGCAGGGTCACGACGTTTGCTTACCTATAAACGGTTCGAGGATGCGAGTGTCGACGCTCAAGCCGCAGCCGCGTACCAAATGCAGAGACTGAAAATACAAGCGGCCGATGCTGATGGCACGGCTGACGACCTCAATGGTTTCCGGAGAAAGGTCCGCCATCTTTTCCCCTCACTGATTGCCATGTCCGCTTTCTTACTGACTGCCCAACAGTACTTCCAAGGCTTTCGAGAACCCGTCAAGACATGATCACCAGCAACACCTCATCGCATGGCTCACCAGCTCGATCGTGAAGAGTTTCACCCTTGTGGCTTCTTCACGATCGCGGTCTTCAGAGCAATAGCCACCTGACGAACGAAGCAATCTTGCCACCAAGATCGAGCCACCTCGAAGTCCGTTTGTTACCGCTGTCTCGTGTCGAGGCCCTGTGGTAGCCTTCTTCAGCCTTCTCCTGTGCCTCACTTACGACTACGAACCTTGTAGCCATATGTGCCTTGGCATAATGGACCCCGTGAGCATGGATTCGAACAGTCATAATCAGGTTTTTGGGGGACTCTTCGTATTCAACATCGCGATGAACGAGTGAGCAGTGCGTCGTCTTCGTGGTCGAGGCTGTGTCTGTGGTGCCTGAAACTCGAACGAATGCTTCTTCAGAGACGACAGGAGTGTGGTCGACGTTGGCCAAGAGTATGGTTGTTGCAGGAGCCTAGCGAAGGGAGAGGCGTTCGTTGATAGGACCCTGGGCGACGTCAACCTGCGTGCGAATGACTCAGAAGATCTGTTGAACTTTTGGTGGGTGTCGGATGCAGAGTGGTGTTGCTGGTCGTCCGCAATACCGTCTAGCAAGTAGGTGTACAGTAGCATTCACATACGGTAGCATCGAATAGAACCAACAGCGACCACTGTCTTTGAATACCATGAGCCGTGCAAAACGAGAGACAAAATCTCGCGAAGACTTTTTCAAATTTTCAGTGCTCTCCGAGCAAGATTACTACAATTAAAATACTACTTTTCATTACCATTGCCATAGAGTTCAGGATTGATGCTGTCCCAGTTTTGATTACCAGAATTCCCAAGTCCTTTTCCGGAGCCAAGTTATTAAACCTTTTGACATGTCGTGAAAAAAGTTCGTAAAACCATGCCCGCTATTTTTTGAGGTCGCCCTCTGTTCCATCTTAACGCCGTCCTGTCCAAACATGTACAAAAAGTGTGCCGTGACGCCGAGTTGATGCTGAACCATAGTTTTGGAGTCTCGTCCAGAAAAGTCTTGCGGAAAATCTCTTTAGCCCTTCGAATGCCATCGCCTATGACCTGGCCGCATGTGATCCGCCACCGATGGGCTCAAAGTATCAGCACCACCGCCAGCAGTAGCAACATTGCTCGTCATAGTCAAATCAGAGCGTCGAACTACATCAGCACTATATCCGCGGTGGTCCAATCCAGGTCTCTTCTGTCTGACGCGCTCTACAGGGTCGTGCCGCCTCGAAGCAACGGGACTATTTGCTCGGCTAGTCGCGCGGCTTCCAGGACGACTGTTTCCATACAGGCTATTGGAAGACGAAGACTCCCCCCGATCGTGGTGTCGTCTGTGCTCATGGTACAGCCTTCGAGAAGTATCTTTGGCAGTCTCGCTGATTGCTACCGGAGGCGCATCTCGAGAGTAAGATTTTGGTCGGCTCGGGACAACCGATTTCCGGCTTCGGGGTGGAGGGCTTTCGTCGAAGAAGCGGACGTCTTTGCGTGGAGAGTGCATCGGAGTGGTGCGAGCTGATCTGTGGCCGTAGTCGTCGTCTCGGTGTCGCCTTCGTGAGCGTGAGCGCCGACGGGATGGTGATCGTCGCCGCGACCTCCTGTCGTCATCGTGGTCGCGGTCGCGAATCCGGAGTCGGCTCAGGTCTGGGAGTATTTGTGGTGCTGGCTCTGGTGGGAGTGATGTGATGATGTTGGGATACACCATTGAGGTCCGCATTTTGGTGATGTGCTCTCGCAGCTGTGCGAGATTTTATTCCTGTTGATTTGTGATGATGACCGGTTTAACGAAGACTTGAATGGCGAGGTGGCGAACCAGCCTATATACCCTTCTGGACCCAAGTGACAAGAAACGTGATGCCGGAAAAGCACGATGCCTATATGGCGTGCTCCCTGCGGTTGACGCGAGTTTCCGCGTCGACGGCGCCGGTCTAGGCGTGTTGGTTGTTTAGGTAATGTCGCGATTTAGAAGATGTTGGGATTGAAGCCTTCCGCGATCTACTGGGAACGTCCTGGTAGATGGTGGTGTTTGGGCATCTGCAAGGGTCTGCGCGGTGCTGCGACAACGTTAAAACCAAAGGGTCTGCAGAAGTTGGTCCTAGGAGCAAACAGAGACGCACTGTTCGGGAGCTTGCATAGTGCTGCTACTGCACTGCGGCGTTGCACTGTATCGTTGGTATGTTTCCTACATGTGTCTCCTGCTGCTCAGAGGGGCTTATGGCTGGGATGACGGCGTTGTCTCTCCACGGCCCTGCTTGCTTGCTTGCGCGATGCCGAGCGCTCCGCCGCGATGGCTCTGACTTGTGACAGACTCAATCGAGAACGGCTGTCAACACGGCCACATTGTGTGCACGCGCCGCAAGCTGTCCCATTCAATTTCTCTGCCGCGAGTTCATCGAACAATGTCCCCAGAGCCGCATGCATTTTCCATTTCGTCTCGTCGCGACATTTTGCCTCCGCTTTTGCTTCGTGGTCACATTTCCGCACAGCATTATACCATGACTGTTGGAGATGGTCCGTATGAAGGTATCGCATTACTCCTCAATAGTCTTCACAACTTCCCAGCCGCCCTTCAGCTTCTCCTTCCACAGACTCACCCGGTTGTCACCGCAGGAGACAGCCAACACATTGCCCGCCATGCTCCAGCTCACGCGCCAGACCACCACATCCAGATTCAGCTCCTCGCTCTTCCACGCGTTTGGATCGCTGATCTCCGAGCCAGCAGGCAGCGTCCATATGCGCACAGTGTGGTCTTGCGATGCGCTTGCAATGTACGACTTGGAAAGAGGTGTAGGTGACCATGCCACATCCCTGACCCAATCTTGATGTCCCTGCAGAGTTGTGATGTTGTCGTAGCTCTGCGTGGTGGCATTGAATGACCAGATCTTGACGAGATTGTCTGAGCCACCTGTGACGAACCTCCGTACTGGGGCAGGATTTTGGCCAGGCGCTTGAGCGCTGGTAAGCTGGCCAGGGAGAATCGCTGGGCTCCACGAAATCGAGTTGACACCAAGACCGTGTGCGGGGAAGATGGTATGGGTGAAGGCGTTGTTCTCGAACGTCAAAACGGATACATTGCCGTCACTGCTCGCTGCGGCGAGGTGGCATCCGGTCTCGGGAGGTGACCAGGCTACGAGGTTGACTGACGCGGTGTGGTGTGTGAACTCGTAGATGCGCTGCCACTGGTTGTTCTGTTCGCGCCAGATCAAGATGCGACCGTCGTATGAGCATGAGGCGAGGATTGTGCCGAATTTCGGATGTGCCCAAGCTACTCCCCAAACCGCTCCTTCATGTCCCTTGAGGGTTTCCGTCAATCGGTGCTGATCGCCCTCAATCTCGAAGATCTTGATCGTTTTGTCTGAGGAGCACGTCGCGAGGCGTCTACCATAGTAGTCGAGTACGGCGTCATGCTATCAGATTGATCGTCAACTGAACTGAGCTTTTAGGTGCATGTTCGAGGCGACACGTACTATCATATCATCGTGGCCTGAATTGGAGATGACTTGGGTCTGCAACTGTTGTCAGCTGGTGGTGCCTTTTTGTGGATGCAGACGCTCAGTACCATTTTTGCTGTGGCTTCCACGCTGTCAGTCGGGGACGACGTGTTCAAGGATTACTGTATGAGAAAAGGCCGCGGTGGTTGTTTGTAGTAGCCCACAACGAGACATGGAAACATGTCCTTGGGTCCCTGACCGATCGGCATCGGCGTAACGATCTTCCGCTCTTGCTGAAGTCACACGGCTTGCACATGAAAGAAGAATGAACCATTGTCACAATCTGCAGCGCCTTACATAGTCTTTCCAACACGATACCTTAGAACAAACTGAGTGCAGAGTCACGCAGAACCAGCAAAGTCCTGATTGCGTCCGTAGTGTGGTCAGTACCCGCGAAGCAAAGCACACGCGCCGCTCGACCCGCACAACATCCCGCCTCGGCCTTTGCTTCTCACTTCCCGAGGTGCTTGCCTTCGTCCGATGACAAGCCGTGATCAATCTCACAAGACAATCGTCACGATGCTCGTCTCTCCTCTCTTTCCTTCTCCCCCATAGTTCCTACTATCACGAAGCTCTCTGATATGGCAGCGGCAGAGTGCGGGCCCTCAAACGGCCTGCAGCGCTTCAAGCAGCACACGGACGTCGACCGCACGCTACAGCAAGATCGTCTCGCCGCACGCAACCACCCGGCTCAAGGCTTCCGCTCTGCAAATCCGAATGCTCGCCTTCTTGATCCAGAATTCGAGGCATTCCAAGCTGGGGTGGAGTTGCCACTGCACGACCAAGTCGCTTTCCAACAGCATGCGAACTTTGGCGGGCCTTCACAAGTGCCAACATGGGCGTCCGACTTTCAGCGCATGTCCATATCGCAGCCACATGCGCTCAAGCAGCAGAACTTCAATACTCAGCCAAGTACAGCAAATTGGGCTCAAGGCTTTCAGCAGCACATCGCACAGGCTGCCCCACGACAGCAGAACTCTTCGCCTTCGCCGCAGGCCTTCCAGCAACGGGCACGATACGGTCTAACTGGTTTTCAAAGCCAATTTGCTCAACCCAACTACGTTGCGCCTACGTATCAGTCCAAGGGCAAAGCCCCGGTCCAAGCTGAGCAGTTTGATGAAGCTGCCTTCGCCGCTGCCTTTGACCAAGCACACGACGACCTGATGGCGGATGCAGCTGAAGCAGAAGCGACAGAGCAGGAACAGGAGCAGACCCCGAGTGCACAGGAGCTGTTGGACGAGCTTGAGGCGGAGAAGTTCGAGGCAGCAGTGGAAGAAGCCGCCACAAACATACTGAAGGAAGATGGTCATGACTTGGACATCGAGGAGATGCATCCTATGGCAAGCATGCATGGCGCCGATATCGAGTATGACACGATGCATGCGCCGATGGAAGAGCAACAAGACCAGATCAACCAGATCAATGACGATGATGCATTGGCAGCCACGGCGGAGGAGCTATTGGAAAAAGTCAAGCACAACCAGTCGGACAAATTCAAGAACAGTCAATTCCTGGCCTTGATGCGAAGGCTGAAGGATCGCGAAGTGAAGGTAGAAGGCGATAAGATGGTTGAGACTGTCAGTCCCTCCCTCAGCTCTGGTTCTACAAGCACCCTTTCGAGCACACCAGTCACTCCTCCAACCCATGATTTGCACCACTACCCTGCCTACGTTGCCGGTCATGAGTGGGACCATTGGGAGAGTCCGTATTGACAGCGCTAACCTCGTGAGTAGACAAATACCACTTCCGCACAAACGGCAGACGCGACGCTAAATGCCTCTAGCATTAACACTGAGCATACCATTCCCGGCCCGGCGCAGGCTTCGACATTCCCAGTCGACACGCGGCCTCCGGAGTATGGAATACCACATGCCGAACAGGATCATGACATGGGCAGAGTCGATCAAAGAGACGGTCAGGAAGTTGTCGACTTGCTGAATGAGCGCGGCCCAATCACAGACGACATGGGTGAGTTCGACTCTCCTTCGTAAAAGACGCTTGTCTGATCGAGACAAGCGCGCAACGGCAGCACATCTTTGTCCGACATGCTCTATGGTCAGAAGGGAACACTGAACTTCAGCTCCTTCACGCCTTAATCTGCAAGAGCGGGTGCTGAGCGTGTCTCAGAGTACGATCCCTCCTTCTCCGAATCTTACGCGAGCGCCTCTCCGCATTGGACGCCGTTCTGACAGACGATGGCTACAGATTCGGAGTACATGATGACCTCCGCTTTATATCAACCATGAGCAAGGCGGTGTCACGGGCCTGACGAAAGCTTGCAGAGCGAATGAACCATCACTATACTCCGTGGCCAAATGCGTACACGCATAAGATGGCTGCCGGCTGCTTTTTCAAGCACGATTTGGACAAGGAACAACCAGCTTGAGCTAGAGCGACACACGAAAAGAATATGACTGACGAGCGATGATGAAGGGATGCCATCTGTGGCAAACAACCTCGCCGAGCAACGTTATAATTTATACACCGTGCAGAGTGCACTATGGCCACGCGTGAATGATGGCGGGATGGAAGAAGTCAATGCCCCCAAAGAGTGGTGGACAATGCCATTTAGGGACTAGGACGAAACAGAGTCGCCTTTCACCATCTACCATAAGGGCCGGTCGGGGCTTTGGTAAGCACGACATGTTGAGAATGCGCCATCGGCAGCCGTGAAGGAGATATCGAAGGTCTAGTCGACACTGTATATAATCGCCTGGAAACGGCGAGCGCCTTTGCTCTACAGCATCGACGACACGCCTCCAGCTCCAGCGCAATACCATGTCTGGTAAGAGCATAGCAAGGGACAGCAGCCTCAATCAGAACTGACCTCTCCAGCACCTCCCAACACGCCGCTTCCACCACAACCGTTGCCACCCCGACCTAAGCTCAACTTCGACCTGGCGACGTCTCTGACTTCTCCACTAACGTCTTCACTGAAAGAAGGAATATCGGGCATCGCCATAACCGCATGAGCAATGTGGGGTCGGTGGTCGTCGCAGAGGAGTGGTTCAATTGTCAGGCTAGTGATGATGGTCACACCAGCAATTAAGTAGGGCCATTTATTCTTAGCCGTGAACATGCAATCATGTCCTCCGCTCGAGTGACTCTGATACTCAATCAGATTATTCCGTGTGATGTCACATCCTCTCTTAAAAAGTTGTTGGCAATCGTTCTGGTGAATTTAGTTGTATCTACTAGGAACGTGCCGATGTCGGAGCCGTCGGCATTGGATGTGAGGAATTTCTGGAGAGCTCTCCATCCATAACATAGCTCCAATGGCTGCTGCAAGGACTCTGCGTATAGGTGTGTACCTTCCCTGGCCATGATAGCCATGCCGTCCTAACAGTCTACACAAGGCCTCATTCCCGGCGACGGCATTGGCCGTGAGGTCATTCCCGCTGGCCGCCGACTGCTGGAAGCCCTCCCAACCTCGCTCGGCCTCAAGTTCTCCTTTGTGGATCTCGATGCCGGCTTCGAGACCTTCAAGCAGACGGGCGTCGCGCTCCCAGACAAGACAGTCGAAACGCTGAAAGAGGAGTGCGATGGCGCGTTGTTTGGTGCCGTCAGCTCACCCACCACGCCCACCAAGGGCTACTCCTCCCCCATCGTCGCTCTCCGCAAGAAGCTCGACCTCTACGCGAACGTCCGTCCCGTCAAATCCGTCACGCCGACCGCCGCTTTTCCAGATCCCATCGACCTCGTCATCGTGCGCGAGAACACCGAGGATTTGTACGTGAAAGAGGAAAAGACATACGATGGCCCCAACGGCAAAGTCGCCGAGGCTATCAAGCGCATCAGCGAGCACGCCTCGTCGAGAATCGCAACCATGGCCGGTGAAATCGCGCTACGTCGTCAAAACATTCGCGACAAAACGGGTAATGCATCAGGACAAAAGAGCATGGTAACCATCACGCACAAATCCAACGTACTATCTCAAACCGATGGCCTCTTCCGCAGCACGGCGCGCAAAGCTCTCGAACAGAGCAAATTCGCTTCTGCAGGCGTAGCAATCGATGAGCAAATCGTCGATTCCATGGTCTACAAACTCTTCCGCGAACCTTCTACCTACGACGTGATCGTCGCACCGAACCTTTACGGCGATATCCTTTCTGATGGCGCTGCTGCGCTTGTGGGATCTTTGGGTCTTGTGCCTTCTGCCAATGTGGGGGATGGTTTCGCGATTGGTGAGCCTTGTCATGGTTCTGCGCCTGATATTCAGGGTAAGGGGATTGCGAACCCTATTGCTACGTTGAGGAGTGTGGCTCTCATGTTGGAGTTTTTGAATGAGGAGGAGGCTGCTGCGAAGATTTATCAGGCTGTGGATGGTAACTTGGCCGATGGCAAGTTGCTGAGTCCGGATATGGGCGGAAGTGCCAAGACTGATGAGGTGTTGAACGATATTTTGAGAAGGTTGTAGAGGGCCCATTGGTTGTTGTGTTGGGGCGAATACTGTGGGATTAGAGCACGACAATTTGGTAGCAGAAGATAGGAGGTGCAATCCCATAAGAGCGACACCAATATCTATCCCAAGGTTGCTAAAATTACACAAAATATCCAGTATGTTGTGCGCTATGCGCGCTATGATCTCTTCCTTTTCAGTACCTTCCTATCTTACAATTTGCAGCCGTGCACGGTTCAGTATGTGTCGAGCTCTTGCTCTCCTTTCGTCCAGCTCAGAGTGGCGTGCAACACACAAGAGCGCTCTAGTCAGGCGCATGTGGCCTTTCACCTCCTAGCCAGTCTGGCTGATTCGAACATATAGTACAATGCAGCGGTCGTGCGTCTAAGATCAAGCGCATGAGCTCGCACAGCAGATTATACACATTCAATCGACTCTGCTTTTTTGACATATTCCAAATAATGCGCGGCCATTCCATACAGAAGAAAATCGAGAAGATTCCTCCAAGATGATTCAGAGATGCTCCACTCGCATTCCATTAGACCACAATATTCGGCAACTCGATCCCCTCACCAAACGTAATCGTCGCATCCCTCAACCGAATCCCAACATTCTGCTTCGGCAATCCCGGCCAAAAATTAGGAAAAAACTCATCCCCCACAGCATTCACTCCCGTCTCCTCTCCATCCCCACCCGTCTGATCCATATTTACCAATCCCAACGTCGAATTCGTCGAATACTGCCCGGGCACAACAGCCTTCCAATTCGGTCCTTCATCCGTAATAGCGCCGAAAGAATCATTCGCGGCAGGGACAGGAGGTTGGTATAATGTCGCATTAATTCCGAGTAAGGCGTAGAGGTCTGTTGTGAAAGGGATTGTAGGGTTGAGGTTTAGGCCTTTGTTGAGGCCCAGGCCCGGGAGGAGGGAGGTGAGGGTGTTGCTGAGGAGGTTTTGGGGGAGGAGAGGAGAGAAGGTCATTTGGAAGAAGGGTTTTTCTGAGGGGCTGGATTCGGTGGGATCGCCGGTTGTGTCGAAGGGGTAGACTTTTACTGTGGCGGAGCCGTCGTCGCTGTAGGTCCAGTCGAAGCGGGCGAGGTGTTTGGGGATGTTCCAGTCTGGTGGAGAGTTAGAGCATAGATCTTTTGTGGTACTCATGAACAGGGGAAGATACTCACTCTTGCGTCCATTCCATGCGGTGTACTTTTGACTGACATAGATGCGGCTTACGCGGGTCATCTCTTGACGCTTTCCATTGTCCTCGAATCCGAAGAAGCCCGGGATGATAAGCAGCTCATCGTAGGGTCCGACTGGAGTCTCAGTGTAGCGTAAGACCTGGAGCATACCAAGCCTTCCGGTGTACTCGCCTGCTATGGCCTCAGGATATTGGCGTTCGAGCGGAGGGAAAGCTTTCTTTGGCAGACTGTCGCTGTTCGCAAAGAGAGGCACACCAGCACCCGGAAGCAGAAAAGAGCCGTACATATCTCCTTTGAGAGTCCACGGTGCTGGCACAAGTTCGATGGGTTCCGGGGATTCGTTTGTGCAATTCGTGCATGCCTGTTGCGCGGAAGCAATTTTCGCCGCGGCGGCAAATGCTGCGAAGCAACGGAACAGCATCTTGTATCTTTCCAGCAACACTTGATCTCAAAGACACAATCCGGTAGGAGTTTGCATGAAGATGAGGGTAGCGTACGGGGTTGTCTAAGAACTCGTGTCCGTCAGAGGCTAAGCACTCGGCTAGCTATACAATCACATGACACTGTGCCTAAACTACGCGTACTATGCTGTAGCGAGGTGGTGAACAGCGGTCACAGTAATCAGCTGTGAACGTGGCCAGTCAGTCAGATTCTGATACTTCTTCATCGCTTACAGCAAATCCGAATGATGATCCGCGATGGAGGTAGATGCCGACATTTTGGCGCGACTAGGGTCGTCGAGATTTCTCTGTAGACTGCCAGATCTGAATCTCCATTGGGCACGAATTGGCATGGGCTGCATTCGGGCTCAGCACTACGCAAGGATGGTCTCGATGCTCGAGCACTTCACCTCGGTAATCTGTCGTCAAAGACTCGTGATCCGAGTAGGTTGCTGTTCGCCCGGATTTGATACTACAGCTGGCATAGCTGCCTGTCGGTAGATTTGCTGCACACACCCCTATTAGAAGATCATCGTCATGGCAGAACACGAATATGACTTACAGCAGTTCTGCAAGGCATACTGTCCGGAAACGGATCTTGCAGCATTTCGCGGACACCGTCTGGTACATGCACACCTCAAGATGGACTCGGGCCGGAAGATAGCAAGTTCCACGAAGCAGCCGAGCCCAAGACGAACTTCACCCTCTTGTGGACCAACTGGCGTCGTGCTATCTCGGCTGCGAATGGCGACAGAGGGTCAAAGAAGAAGACAGACTGAAGCTTTCTGTCGCAATGCTTGGCCAAATGTGCGCGGAAGATTTGAACCTGATTGCCCAAGTGAGACAGAGGGTATCATTCGATCATTATGTGATTAGTATAGCTTGTCGAGCTTGCTGAAAAACTTGCCGACCTTGCCCTCCATCTTACCGACTCCGTCCTGCAGCTTACTGTTCTTCGCAGGCGTACTTCCGTCCTGGCTGGTTTGCGACCTCCTGATCTTATTGCCTTCCGCAAAAGACGTGGCCTGCTCTACTTCCGTGGGCCGATATGCTTGCGAGTGCAGATCGCCGACATAGGCACCATGCTGATTGACTTGCCCACTTGCAGGCTGCTGCGATGATGCATAAGAATAGTTGCTGTATCCGCCGACTGGCACCTGTTGATGGGAAGAAACACCAGGGGATTGTAGAGGAGTGTGGCCAGCATACGCAGGTGGCGCAGATGGCGTGGGAGGCTGTTGTCCGAAACCAGGCGAAGCTGGATAGTTTGCGTACTGCGTTTGTGGGTTATACGTGGCTTGCTGAGGAGCGCCGAATGAAGATTGGCGGAATGAGGTCTGGTTAGGCGGTGGAGAAGCTGGACCTATTGTGCTTGCGGCCATGGGTCCGAAAGAGGGCGCCCTTGTTGCTGCTGGAGGGGATTGAGTAGGTGGAGGAGGCATGCTGCCGGAATGTGTCCGTGCTTCTGGCGTCGGAGCTCCTGACGGAGGACCAGGGAAACTCGTTTGCGGTTGTTGCGGAGGGCCACTGAAGTATGCGGCTTGGGGGGTAGTCTGCGCCGAAGATTGGTAGTGACCAGGTGTCGATGCATGCTGTAGCTGCGGAGGCACGTTATCGTACTTTGCCGCCGCCTGAAGACCAGTACCCGTGCTTCCATCGGGCGGTGGTGGGGTCTTCTCACGATAAGTGACGGGCTCTGGCGCTGCTGGTGCCGCGGGGTTGTAGGCAGCTGGCGCTGCTTGCGGAGAGGCTGCGCTTGATAGTGGCGTTGGTGGGCCAGGCAGCGATTGCGCTGACACAGCACTCGTGGTTCTGGGAGGAAAATTGCTGCCAATGGCGGTTCTCTCTAGTTGCTGCACGACAGGACTCATGGAATCTCGATGTTCGGCAGGCGGACTTTGCGTCACCGGAGCATTCTTGACCTCCAACCGATCAGGGCTCAACACGCCTTTCAGATGACCGACGAATGTCGTAGCGTCTTTCTCGGTCCACAGATACAAGTCCAATGCATGGATTTTGTATAAATATTTCTGCTCATTCTTCAGATCATAAGCTGGCAGATGCCACGTCTGATGATCCTGAATAGATTGCGTGTCGATCGAGAACGAGATCAAGGCTGGCTGCAAGTGATTGTATTTGACAGTTGCCGCCTGCAAGTAGCCGTGGAAAGCGTCTTGGTCTGGGGTGCCCGCATGATTGGCGATCTCGAGCTTGGTCTGGTGGGTGTTCGTATTGTAGTAAAGGTAGACGTAGCTGCTCTTCGTGAAACGATCGTGTGAAGGCTTCGAGGACGGGTCGCTCAAGTAGTAATGCACATCTGCAAAACTGGAGATTATCATTAACATGCGCCGTAGTGGACATGTCGTCAGAAGAGACTCACAGCGTGGTCAAATGCTGGTCTCCTGGACCGGCTGGCATATTGACGTCTGGCGCGACTCTGTGAACGCCTGAAATTCACACCCTTGGAGGAGGCCTGTCCTGTCGATGTAACAGATCTATGATAGTCAAGTAAGCGCGTCCGGCGTCAGTCAAGGTGGCAATGTAGCTGATGCCGATGTGGTAGGCGGCCCAGCCGGTGAAGAGGAGGGCAAGGAAACGGACGGTGAGCTCGCCCAGGACAGCAGCGACCAGCATCTATACTTGTAGTCGGCCATCTTGGCCAGACCAAGCAGCTGGTCGCGTCGTGCTCTGCGTGCAGCTGGAGCTGAGCGGCTCGACGACCAATCGAAGCGCGAAGGACGAGGCAGCTCAGAGGAACGCCAAGGCCGCTCGCCGCAGGGCATCTCCGAGAAGCCTCAGAAAGTCATCGCGTGCAGCATTGACGTGAAATCCACATTGGCCGGCATCACACATCTCATCGACCGTGAGGTAACGAATACCATCCGAATCGCAAGCGGGTCTGCTTGACTGCGACAAATTCTCCTCGCCCGCCCGCGAGGGCAACGACACCCTCGACATGTCTCTCGTTCAACTCTCCCATACCTGCTCGCATCTGCAGAACGCCTCACTCGCACGGCTGGGCCTTACCTCAATACCGTATACGAAGCTGCATCTTTCATTAGCGCTACTTCTGCAAAAGCAAGGCTTCATATCGCAAGTCAAACTTGGCGGGCCATCGCCTCCTGCCTCCGTGTTTGGCCAAGGACCACGAGACAATCACCATATTACAAACTATCCCCACGGCGCTGCAGGGCGGAATCGACATAGTCCGGAGGCTGCCTTGGCATTGGTCGTGCGACACAGATACAACTCGCAGCAACTGCAATCGCTAGGCTTTCCGCAAGAAGCCATCGACTTTGCCCAACAGCATGGAATGAAAAGTTTGGAGGAGCTCGAGCAGGAGGGATGGGCGCGGCGGATACCACAATTCATCAGGGACCTGCATGCACAAATCGACGCATTAAGAGAGGAGAGAGAAGAGCAATACACACGGCAACGGGATCAAGCTGACACAATCGAGAATTCCAACGACGCCAATCAAGCAATCAGCCGCTTAGATCAGACATTGGGTGCGAATCCTGACCAAAGGAGAGAATTTGCAGTAAGAGATGTGCTTGCTGGGCGACCTGCGGAGCAGCAAGCCATCTTCCAGAGGTTCAGGAAGGTGCCATTGCACGAATTGGAGAGCATGCGCTTTGACTTGGAAACACTTGCGTCAGTCGCGGGCAAGCAGGCTTTCGTTTCCGAGCGTCAAATCCAGCTGAACGGCATCACGATCGAGGCGATGGGCATTCCGATCTCGAAGCAGTCGGTTACGCTGCCAGTGGAAGAATACCAAGATCCTTCGCACATGGAGACTGAAGGAGTTGTCACGCAGGAGAATCGTGCATCAAGAAGGCTATGGCTTGGTCTCAAATACTACGAAAGCAAGCCTGTGATCACAAAAGCGCAGATGGTATCGAAACCAACGAAACGGATGTGGTTGAACAGTAGGGATCTGGGGAGGATTGTGCGAGGGCAGCAGGCCGGAGAAGTGAAGCCACTCACCAGGGTGGGAGAGATCATGGCAGTAAGTACGGACAGAGGACTCATGGAGGCAAGAGAATGCGTGGAAAGACAAATAGGCGGACAGCCGCTGTGTCGGGTCTGGTAAGGAGTGTCTCAAAGCTGAAGGAGACGCTCAGCGTCTTGCCATGCTCCACTACATAGATGTAAAATACTGTACATTCAGCAGAGCGCAGCATGAACGCGCTCAACGCGTCCATGTGATTGCACATGTCTTTTCAGAGCTCCTTCCCTGCGAGTCGCGACATGGATCACTCGGAAGGCACCGAAACCCAATCGTCTGCGGAGCATCGCTTCTGAAACATCCCATTGCGTCAACTTCCAACGCCAAGTTCACTCGCAGAAACAATCCAATGTAGTCTCTGCAGAACCCTACACATCAGCAAAATCACCGCACAATGGCAAACGAATCGCGAAACTACCGCACAGCCCTCGAAATCGCGGTCATCTCCCTCGTCATCTACTTCCTGGTCGGAGCACCCGGGATATCATCGACATCAACATCAACCTCTTCAAGCAAAGACACAGACACCGAAGCCAAAACATTCTCAGAATCAAATGCCAAAGCCAAGATCGAACACCTCGTCTACCCATCCAAAAACCTCCAATGTCCTGAACACTCATACACAGCACACATCTACTCCACAAGTCCCTTAATGATATACATCGAAAATTTCCTAAGTGAAACTGAAATCGAGCACTTGATCTCATTAAGGCATGACCTTCCCTCCAAAATGACCCAAAACCTCTCACCTATATCCTCGCCGTCACCGTCCCCAAACTAATTCCCTCCAGCGCCTCGAAATGGACCCCCTCCACAACCTTCAACTTCGGCCTCGAAGCCATCGACACCCAAATCCGCAAATCCGAAAAAGCCTCCATTTCCCGCTCCAACGTGGTCCAATGCATCGAACAACGCGCTCTAGCCTTCCAAGGCTGGCCCAAAGAAACCTTCATCGAACGCCTCTGGACTCAAAGATATAACATCTCAGGCCATTATAGTTTACATTACGATTGGACGACATCGTCGAGAAGTTCGAGACGAGTGAGTAGTTTTATGGTGTATTTGAAAGATGAATGTCGAGGGGGTGGGACGAATTTTCCGAGGATTGAGAAGAGGTCGGATTTGGAGGATGGAGGAGGGAAGTGGTGTCAGTTTATTGATTGTGAGAGTGAGGAAGTAGAAGGAGTGACGTTTATGCCTAGAAAGGGCGGTGCGGTTTTTTGGGCGAATTTTGATTCCGAGGGGAGAGGGTATAAGGAGACGATTCATTCGGGGATGCCGGTGCTTGAGGGACAGAAGATAGGGCTGAACATTTGGAGTTGGTATCAAGCTGGGCATAGAGCTCCAGATGAGTAGTGGTAGTATTGAAACAGGTCTGCTACTGCAGTGATCTCCGATTGATTGCTGTTGCGAGCATGGAAATGGTCATCGGACTACGACAGGCACGAGCTCCTGTGACTTCACCCATGGCACCTACGACTCACCGCCAGAACGATGTAGCCAGCGTAGCTTCAGCTGCTCATGCGCATGAATATACCAGCGCCCTCATATCGATTGTCCACAACGGATGCGAGGGAGCGTCTGCAGAAGAGCGCAATCATGCATCGTTAAATCCATTCAAGCATGAGCACATGCTGGCAGGCACACTCTTGGATCCCGATCTTATGCATATCGTGACAGTGCTTTGACCGGGTGCACGCTGGTATCGCAATAAAGGAGACTCACCCTAAGACTGTGGACAGAATATAATCGTGTTTCAGAAAGGCGTCTGCGGCACAACCTTGCCCGAGGCCAAACGAGTGAGCTGAGGACCCTGTATGGGTTCGGAGAAAAGGGTTGCTTTTTGGCGTTTATTTCGGAGGCTGTAACTCTCAGACGCCGTATCATGCAGATAGCTCTCTAGTGCTGCATATGCGTAGTGCTTTTAGGGTTGTGGGATGCGTCTGCAAAACGAGAGCTGATATGCACGCACGTGAAAACTCGCAGATAGTTTCGTGACGCGTGGAGGTAGTTGAGATGCAGGACATTGTGGTTGTATTGGGGGTCCCGGTCCGTCGGATGCTGTGTGACAATGATCAGATTTCTGCAGGTCAAGATGGGTGATCCAAAGTTCTGAAGGAGTCTTCACAATCACACAGCTTGTTGAAAGCTCCCAGCGAGGGTGGATGCATAACGATTTGCATTCGCATGTTGCTTGGCGAGCTTGACCAGTTCTGATCGGAGGGCCGTGTGTCAATTTGACTTTGTAAGGATCTGGTTGGATGACGACTGAATCGTGCGGCAGGAAACCAAAACACGAGTCAAGCGGAACTTTCCATTTCGAGGTCTAGGAAGACGCGTGAAACCGGAGAAGGAAGGGAGGTGAGGCTAGTCGCTACTTCCTGCACGCTCGCACAAGACCTGGTGATGGCCGGTGAAGGCAGTTTGAGCATGGGGCTAATCCTGAGCTCGTCATTGCCAATGCTGCGACAAGGTCGTATTGATAGTGTGGCAGCATGACGTGCAAATCAGCTGTTCACCGCCAGCAAGCACACTGTGTTCACATGGAGGTTGGTTGGCTTATGATCAGACCTACCGAGATGGCGCGTTATTTGCATGTCGGAGGACGACCAGTCGCTAGCCGACTGATGGCAACGAGGCCGTGGGGTGTCCCCAGGTACATGCTCTGTTGTACGTACTGTGTTCTCGGAAGTTGCTCGTACCACGATTGGCGGGGTGCAGAGCGTTCAGAAGGCCGGCCGCGGTGTACTCGTACCGAGGGTGCTTGCAACAGCATAATCGACACGGTTTGCCAATTATGATAGTAATGGTTTGCCGCAGGACGTAGCGGCGGCCAAGGTATCTGCGAGGACTGGCCGGCGTACCATTCTCAGGAGTAGAGACAAGCAGCCGGGGGCTGTTACGGGTGTTGGAGGTGTAACCATGCGCGGCGAGACACTACAGATGCGCTCGTCCGGTGCAATTGCGGCGCGCGCTTGCTTGCAGTCGTGGTTGTTGGACACGTCGCTGGTGCAGAGGTCGCATGGCGCCGGCGTTGCAGAAGCGTGGTGAAGCAGCAGGATGATGTAGTCCGCGTCGACGAGCGCGTTGACACACCCACGCCGCCGGTGGGAAGCAGACGAGGAGGAGGTGTGTGTTGTTGACATGTGACTTGACACCGTTGACCGTCGAGGAGGTTGCGTGTGGAGCCGACAAAAAGCAGGTGCACTGTTGCGGTCGCTCGAGCTGCCGCTTCGTTGCAGGACCGGCAGGACGACAACGGCTAGCAGCATGAAGGCGGCGCGCCAATCAGAAAATCCCTCACATGCACATCCCATGAAGTGCAGGCCAGTTGCTGTGCGGGTGAGGCATGGCTCCGGCCTTGGTGGAACAGGACACGATGGCGACGGACGGCGGATGGAAGCATCGTGCTCGACACGCGCGCGGCAGGCATGGGCACAGGCATCGCGGCGTCAGTCTTGGGCATCGAAAGCGTTGTTGGTTGCTTTGTCGGAACGAACGAAGGTGACGTTGTGGCGAGTGCGAGTTGGAAGGTTACGGGCGCCGAGCGAGAGCCTCTGGGCCAACGCCTCCACGCCCTGCTGTGGAACGGGAATGCAGTCGCTGGGTCTGCGCTAGAAGTTTTGCAGAGTTATTTCGCCCGCCTGGCTGCTGGCTGTGCGGCAAAGCCATTAGAAATCCGCTGCCACCATTTTGCCTTCTCGCCCGCCGCTCGCGCCCACCCTTCGCACCACCACCTCTTCCTCCTCCGTCGCCAATACAACACACATCACACACGGTCCAGCGTCAGCCAGCACGCACGGCGACCCCACGCGCAGCGCTGCACCGCGCTCATTCGCCAGCGACTAGTCCCTCTGCGACGCTCGATAATTGGCAGGCCCGGCAGTCCGTGATCAGCTGCTGCGCTTTTCCCTGACGTCGCCAAGTCACCTAAGCCCGTTCTTCCTTTGCAGGTAAGCAACCCTGCCACAATCACCTCCTCCGCCCACCGCTGACGCTGTTCTTAGCAAGTTTCAGAAGGACATTGCGCCTGCCCGACGCCTTACCCGCGACGCCCTCTTTGCCTCACCACTACCACTACCACTCCCTTCACCACAACATGTTCGCCTCGACCTTATAGCAGCGGCGGCCCAATTGGGTCATTGCTCGACGCGCAACAGCGTCTCCAACCAATCCACCAGCACCCGACGTGACCTCCGTCGTCGCTTCCGTACTTGAGAACACACTACCACTACCTACCCACGATACACGATAAACCGACCACCACTATGGATCACTCCGACTCGAAACGACCCTCCATGCCACCAAATGCGACTGCAGGTATGGACCACGCCGAGGAGCTGCTCGCTGAGGTAGATGAGCCGCCAGACGAACGAAAGGCCCACACCACGTGGGCGCCACCTAAACTGCCTGCCTACCCTACCTTCAACAAAGCCGATCCTCGAATGTATCAACGCCGCGAGTCTTTGTTGACTCGCCAGCTCCACTCCGAGGCCGAACAAACCGACGATGACGCCGTGTCGCAACATCCTCCGCGCACCTTGAGCACACAGTCGACATGGAGCAATCCGAGCAATGCATCGACGGCAGAGCTGACGAGTGACGACGGCCATAGTGTGGCCAGTCCCTTCCACTCGCCACCACTGCCACCTACCATTATCACCACACACGTCCCGGCTGTAGCAAAAGCGATGACCAAAGGACTGAACATCGCTGAGCAGGACAGCAAGGTGGCGGACACCGGATCTGAGCAGTCAGTGGAGGCGAGCTTGGGGAGGAAGAGATGCATCAGCTTCGCATGTGGTGGGAACAAGAACAAGAATCCGCCGACGTCCCAACCCCAGCCCCAGCCCGCAGCCCCTCCGTCCGAGCCAACAGTCCCGTCTTCGCCGCCCAAGCGCAAATGTGCGCTCAAGTTTGTCTGCCCCACGAGAGCTGCGGCAGAAGCAAAACCGGTTGTCGAGAAGCAGCCTACAATTAAACGCCTTGCGAGCCCACCTCCGCCGGAGCGTCGTAACAGGATCAGTAGTCCCAAGGCGCACCGGGGCTCCGATAGCACCGTTACTCATGCTTCGCCTATGAGTGTTCGCAAAAGCTCAGTCATTCTCGAGACTGCTGCGGTTCCCGCCACATCAGGTGCAATGCCAAAGCTCACTCGCAAGTTTTCCGACGACTCGGATCGCAGCACCGAGGCCACGCGCTTTCACGAGTTTGCGTCGAGTGACGACGAGCCCGAGGAATGGGTGCAAGAATCCACTTGCTACAAAAGCCGCCTCACGGTCAATGACACCCTGCAAAAGGAGATCACCATCCGCAAAGCGTGCGAGGAAGTCGAAGAGGAAGTCTTGGAAGAAGAAGACGCCGAGGACGATGACGATGTGATCGATGAGGACGAAGACGACGAAGAAGACGAGGACGATGTGATTGAACTGGAGGAAGAATCAGACGAGGGTTTCCGTACCGACGATGAGGAAGGCTTCGCAGAGTCCGATTCTGAAGGCGAGGACAGTGACGACGACTGGTGGCGTCCCGGTGGTGCATCGACTGCCGCTACTTCGACGGACCACCTGGATCATCTCGCAAAGAGTGCTCTCAACAGCGAGCCTCTCGCCTCCTCCATTGGCTCACTCAGCTCCAGCCACATCTCTCCACGAACTCTGCTGCGCAAGCCTCGCAAGATCCCGGCGAATGCTGTCCCGATTTCCCAACGTGCTCCGGCTATCGATCTGCCTGACTCTACTGATTTTGTATGCGGCACTCTCGATGAGGACAGACCCTTAGAGCAGGCCTACCTTCTCAACAAGAAGCAACGCGAGGCGGCTAAGCACAAGGCTCGTCCACAAGACATCGATCCTACCTTCCCGACATCCGACCCTGAGATGGATGAGGAGGACGACGAGGACCTCATAAACCCAGAGGAGAGCGATCATGAGAGCCTCATGCACGGCACCATAGAAGACCTCGATGACGAGGCTACTCTACGCCGCAGGATGTCCAAGCGGGGAGGCAGACCAAGTCATGTACATCGGTCACCACCTCCGCCAGCTCGTCACCGATCGCCAGCCCCTGGTGCAATGAAGCGGACGAATACCGCTCGCTCGCCGCCACCTCCGGTGCGACGCGGCACTGCACGTTCACCACCACCGACCTCGAGACGCGGTACCACACATTCTCCACCGCCACGTCGACTATTCGCCAATTCACCGAAGAGGAGTCGCTCACCAGCACCTGCGATGAACAAAGTGACGTCCCCGCCGAACACGAGGCGCATCTCTCCGTCCTCTTTCGGCCTCGCAGCGAACAAGAGCCAAGCAAATGTCCTGGCAAGCCGCCCGCAATTGACGCACACTGCTTCGCTGCCTCGTAATGGAGGCTATACGCTCGGCAAATTCAACGGCTACCGCAAGGACGAGGGCGAAGAGACCGAGACTGGTAGTCACATTCACGCGGCTGATCACCACAAGCGCGGAGCTATCGACATCTACAAGGGCCTGGAGAGGAAACGCCAGCGCCGCAAGGAGAAGCTGCACGCCAAAATGTGTGCAAAAGCCGCGGCCAAGGGCGAGAAGGTCTACAAAGTCAAGCCTGGCAAAGGTGCGGAGAGAATGAGGGAGGTTGGCCTGGAACTGCAACGTTATCGCGGCAAAGGCGAACACATCCTCTCCATGTGATCCCGACGACACCGAAACCCCCCAAATCACTTCTATTCTGTGCGAGCTTGAGCACAGCGCCGCCGAACCATCTACGTTTGGCACTTTCACGGACCCGACTGGAAGCAGCAGAAAACTTCTGACCGAGTCTGTCTGGTCGCTGCGCTCGCTGAAGACCCATTTTCTATATACTTATCCTTTTCCATCATGATTCCCCGACTGAGATCTTTGGAGTCGTTTATAAAGGCATGAGCAATTGCGAGTGTTTTTTTCTTGGGAAGCTTTTTTCATTTTCTCAGAGATACCAGCTCACAGTTGAGCATGCAGAGCGGAGCAAGTCAAATCAAGCAAATTGAGCGTTCTAGCAGAGAGCAGCAACAGCATTCTGATGACGAATGAAAGAGTGTGTCTGGTTTTTTGGCATTGAAATTCTACTTTTTGTTCTGTTTCTTTTCCTTTCTTTCGAGTTTTCTCTTCCCAGCGTGTAAATTTTTTGGGTCTTCATACACAGAATGTAGACAACAAACACACATATGGAGCAGGTCCTCTTGCTTGAGATTGTGTTTGTACATTTCAACGCATGTGGCACCTATTCGCACAATTTTTCGAGCATCATCTCACGCATACGTACGTGCATAAAATGCGTACGTATCCCACTGAGGCGGAGACAGGACAGGCTCGGAGAATTTGTACACTGCCACTGCCACAATTCGTACCTCCTACGTCCCGCCTCCCCTCTCCATCCGGATTTCTGGGGGATCATGATGATGCCCTGTTGCGATGCTTGCTTGCTTGCGAGTCTCTCCGCAATCGCCAAGTGAAAGTCTGACAGGCCGTAGGCAGCAAGAAATGGGGATAAGCCAAGAAAGTCATATCTAAAAAGAGGTCTTGGAATCGGATAATGCTCGCCGGAGCGAGCAGGAGTGATGGTTATGAGTTGTGAGCGAGCGCATGGGAATGAGGATCCACCACACTGATGACATGTACAATCTCAAGCGAAGATGGCCGTACATCTCAACGTTCGCTTGACAAGACAGTGCCCAGCTGGCTGGCTGGCTGCCAGAGAGTGATGATTTCATGATGGAGAGAAGCGAGTGGTGAATGGAAGAACTGATGATGAGAGGAGATAAATGCACAATACCAACTAAGACTACTCGATGCCAACAGACTATTTATTCATTCCTCCTGTCCTTCGTCGATGCACCCAGAAATAGAGCAAGCAAGCAAGCGAATCAATTCATCGTTATCAATCATTTCAGTTCAGTTCCTAGCCCATTGTTGTTGTTGCTTAAGCGAGAAACATCCCCATTTATACACTGAAAACGCCGAAACCCAGCAAATGCCTCCAACCAGTAGCAATTCTTCTCAGTCTGTTCGTCCACTGGAAATAGCATTTCTGCCAACCGAGGGGACTTTTGTATGTATTCAATTCGTGCCCATGCTTCCGTTCTTCTCGCGTACTGCCTTGCTGCCTCGCTGCGCCTAACGTCAGCAATGCTGTGCAGCATCAGCTGAGGAAACCCAACACTGCTTGCCTGAGCGCCTTGCCGGAGATCCCCGTCTATCAACCTTCACAAAAAATCGTCCATGGAAACATTCCGCGAGAGAGGAGTTGTTGGTAGCGGAGCTTTGACCCCAATGCGCGCCAGGAGACTGCGAACTCATGCTCGCGCATGGTTCTGACCTGGATCGGGGATATGTCCGTTGTGGTTGCCATATTGACCATCTTTGTAGACGATGCTATTTGCAGCAGTACGCTGCGTCTGCTGCTTTGTGCTCGCTTCTCATAGCCCGTTTGGACTCAGCTGGCCTCATGTATGAGCCGAGTGTGGAAGTGTCTCGTTTCAAGTGTTGCCACCTTTAGCTGCCGTGCGGTCCAGCTACTCTTTAGTAGCTTTGTGGGAATTGACTGGCCGGAGGACTGTTCAGCATACTATTGCGTTTGGCGCGGCCTTTCTTGATATGCGTCTTAAGCGCGCTTGAGTCCAGGGGCTTGAGAAGTTCAAAGGAACACAGCAATTCGCCCGAGACACTCATCACGGCACCCCAGTTGTCGAATTCGCCACAGTACTGTTCGAAATGTCAGTAGATGTCTCTCCACAGCGATAAGCGGAGTTTCTTACATTTGGCGCAGAAAACACCGTCACCAGAATTCGCTCGTTAAAGAATTCATAACCATCTTCCACCACCATGTGTGCTCTGCATACCAGATCGAAATCGTGCTTTTGCAGGAACTCCATGATGACTTTCTTGCCGAAACAATAGCTGACACCTCGCTCATTGGCTTCCCAATCTGCTTCCATGTCAGCCGGATCAGACCAGAGCAGATCGTTGAGGAGTCCGTAATCTGGCACATCGGTCGGTCTGGCGATGTTCCGGATGTCGTCCATGTGTGATAGGGACGGCGAGAGTCCACCGTGGACACAGAAGATCTTGCCAGCTACGATTGCAGCAATGGGCAATGTGTTGAATGTATCAACAAATGTCTTCCAGATTTTGACATTGCATCTCCGCTTGCACTCGTCGTAGAAGCCGTAGACCCGCGTCACGTTAGCGCATTCATGGTTGCCTCGCAAAAGGAAGAAGTTCTCCGGGAACCGAAGCTTGTAGCACAAGAGCAGTAGGATAGTTTCCAGACTCTGCTTGCCGCGATCCACGTAGTCGCCTAGGAATAGAAAGTTGCTGTTTGGTGGAAAGCCGCACATTTCAAACATGCGAATCAAATCCGTGTACTGCCCATGCACGTCGCCAACGATCTTGCAAGGCGTGGAAAGTTCCAGCAGGGCGGGCTGGGATAGGAACAGCTCTCGAGCAGCATTACAAATGGCAGTGATTTCTGCATTCTTCAGACACACAGTCTTGGTCACTTTTCCCGCATAGCCAGCGTCTACGAGGCGCTTGATCATGTCGTCAAGGTCGGCCGGTTTCAGTGCCCCAATAGCCATGTCACCGGAAGTGGATGCTGAGCGTGATTGCGATCCTTCGGCAATCGCAAGCGCTGCTGCTGCACCCTGTCCGTTTGTCTCTTTGGGCGGCCTCTTGACCAGGATCGACTCGGTGGGCTCTTTGTTGTGCGATTGGTGGATGTTGCCTTGGGGTGGCGCGTCTGATACTGCGTCCACCTCTCCACTTCGCTGCGCCTCCTCGATTTCACTGTACTGATGCCCAGTGCCCACCGACGCAGACATAGTAGGGGAGGGCGGAGGCTGAGCGTCGGCGTCATCGCCGGCGAGACTGCCTCTACGCGGCGTCTCAGAAACCGAAGCAGATGCCCGCGAGTGCTTCCCAGATCTTCCACTCGTAGCGGATTTGATAGACTGCGAATCTGTCTTATCGAGGCTTGTCGATGAGTTATCACCTGCTAGGTTGCTGCTGCTAGCTCGCGGACTGTCTGTAGATGATTTTCCCGGGATCTTCGTGCGCAGAGCACTGCGAAAGGATCGCGAGGACTCTTTTGTGTCGGATTTGCTGAAGGACGGGTATGAGCCCAGCTCAGGTCCTGTGGGTGTTTGAGAACCGCTGCTGCTCTTGCCATCCTTGGACGGTTGGTTGCCCATGATTGCGACCCGACACGAGGCCTCCGATTGTGATGTCGTGAATGAATATCTCGTGTGACGCGTGTCGCTCAGGTAAGCTAACTAGTGCGGACGATGCGGTGGTATGATGCAAGGCTGCGCGGCGCTGGTTATGGAGGGCGGAAGAGTCTCGCCAAAAAGGCCAGACAGTGGATTTCAGCGGAAGCGGTGCCTAATGCCTTTGCATGAAAGCTGTTGTGGCCTTTGGCGGGAAAGGTGTCGTGGCTCGCTGGGCCAAGAAGATAGCGGCGGTGATGGCGAGCGGCCAGAGTGCTGGCGGGCGGCGATGTCGTCTTGGGCAAATGATAGCGGGAGAGGGCGGCGAGTCGTCGTCGTCGTCGTTGTCGCCAGGGGAGGCAGCAGAGATGACGGTGAATCAGTGGTCTGCTGGGGTGATGCGCAGCGCGAGTGTAGCTTAGTGTGGGCAAGAGAAGCCCGCTGCTGAGAGGAGGAATACGTCAGTCTGTCGCTGCTGCAGTTTGTGCCTGAGCGCTGGCGGGCATTGCCTGGCGGAGCGTGTTTGCCGCAGCGGAGCACTGGTGGCGGAAGAGGGTGCACGGCGGCGATGCAGCGCGGGGCGGAGTGGCAGTGAGTGTTTGGTAAACGTACAGCTTCGCGTGGTTGTCTGTATGGCCGGTGGGTGCAGACAAGGATGCGGGCTCCAGACACAAAGGGCCTGGCCAAGCTGCCCGTGATCGAGTCAGTCGTAGTCATCCGCTAGCCGCGCAGTGGAGAGCTGCAGCTGCAGCAACACGTCTTCCCACGTCGCCCTCCATCTGCTTTGTTGCCCAACATAACACATGGACTGCGCATTCGAGTGCGTCGCTGTGCTATCACGCGGTTGCATGCACATGCGTGCTCACATCTGGCCCGGCGCCCACCAGTGCTACACAGACACTTCTTTGAACGCACACGTCCAACGTCTCTGTGCATTGTGCCCGCGTGGTGCCGAGCCAAGGAAGCACACGACACGCTGTTGCAATATTGTGTACCTGAGATAGGGCGCGAAGAGACTGTGGTGTAGATTTACAGAATGCAAGTTGGGCTGGATTTTGCATATCTATCAGCTTTTACGTGGCATACACGCCCTCTAATTTTTGTCATGCATCGTCTTCTATTAACGCCGAATGCTTTGCTGCGCTTCTCGTGTCCAACACATCGACAACGTCCTCACATAATGACCTCGTTAGCCACGTCGCGTTTCAGCTCCTTGTACGGCAGGCAGACGCAGTTCTGCACACGAACCTCGTCCGCGACAGCGCATTCCTTGCCCAGAATAGTGATGCTTTGCACCTTGACACCATTCTTCACAATGCTCGTGTTGTGCTCACGCGCTGGTGTTGGCGTTCCCTCCACGCGTGCCCATGCGCCGACTCTGCTGCCCCAGCCAATAATCGAGTACAAAACGCAAGCATCGTGGCGGACCTCTGCATCCTCCAGAACGATCGATTCCTTGATGCGCGCACCCGCACCGACCACAGCGCGAGGTCCGATGGATACATTTGGTCCAAGCTTGGCGGTAGGGTCGACCTGTGCGCTTGGGTGAATGAACACTGGGGGGAGAATGTTCGCGGAGGGCTTGGCAAGCTCTTCTGACTGCATTTGGAAGGCCTTGGTGAGGTAAAGAGCGTTGGCCGGGACGGCGGATCCAGCAGTCTTGATCTGGCGCCAGAAGTCCTTGGTCTCGAGGACGAAGAATTGCCTGCTGTCTGCAAGGTCCGCGAGGATGTCCTGCTCTAGTCGAATGACCTCGTTCTTCTCGCCATCTTCATCTGGCACGTACTGCGAGTCCAATGCATCAGAGGATGGATACGAGACCAATCGTGGGCGATCTGTGCGACGCTTAATCGCGCTCTTAATGCTGGGGAAAATGGCTTCCGTAGCGAAGAGATAGACACCGCAATTGATCAAGTTCGAGATGTGTGACTCTGGCTTCTCCACATAATGGAGCACTCTCTTGCTGTGTGTATCACTGACGATGCAACCGAAGTTGGTAGCCGCCTCGTTCGGAACTCTTGTACCCAGAATTACAGCTTCCGCATCTTTCTCATCGAACAGGCGCAGCATCTGCTCAAGCGGGAATGAACAGCAGACGTCGGCGTTGAGCACGAAGAAGCGATCCGGTCGGCCCTTGAGGATTGCATCGCGGAAGTGGTAAAGACCTCCAGCAGTCCCCAAAGCTTGGTACTCGCGAAGGTACTTGACGCTGATCTTGGGGTGGGTGCGTGAACAGTCTTTGATGAAGTCGCGGAATACGGATTCGTCGTAGTAGCCAACGATGAAGACCTCGTGGATCTCGGGCACTCGGGTAACTGCTTGGAAGCAGTGCTCGATGATGGGGTGGCCGGCGACTTCGAAGAGCGGCTACAAACAGTCAGTCTCGAGCTCGAGTCGTGTGAAGGCATTCGAATTCGCAACAAGTGCGCACCTTTGGCAAATCGAGCGAAAGCGGTCTGAAGCGTGTTCCTCGAGATGGGCCACCGACCTAGGACAGCGTTCAGTCTCGTTCTTTCCCGTGTGTCGAGTTGTGGCAGCTAGATACCAAAATGACAGCTTTTGTTACTGGACTGCTGCCAGCTTTGCCCCGGACGGGTATCTGCAGGGAGGCCATTGTCGACCAGGAAGCGGAGGATTGCGGGCTGGTGGTGGTCGCGCGGAGTGTTGGAGTGCCTGACGCAGTGGTGACAAGTCTTGCACACAGCTCCAGATGATTGTCCAGAAGGTTGATCGATCATACCCCTTGTCGCTTCATTAACCCTGCAGAAACGCACTTGTGCACGTCCCCTAGCGGCGCCCCACCCCCAGGGTCGCGCCTGTCAAAGCCGAGTCTGTTGCTCCCGCAGCTCGTGCGCTGCCCGTGAAAACGTGGACAACGCGTCAACATCGCGATTCATCTTGCCTGGTCGAATAGCGTGAATAGGGAGCTTCATATGACATCTGCCACTGACAGCTGCACCAAAGGACCCGGCACAATGCCGGCGGGATGGGCCCTTCTCCAGACCTCGCGCAGCTCAGCGCGGTGTGGAGTGATGATGTGCCGTCAGATGGCGGCAAAAGGATCTGCGGCGCGTCCATAGCCCGACAACCACCACCATCAACGCCCCGGTATTGATGTCGACGCGACCAAAGCAGGCACATCCTTCGGAGGTATATCAATGATCGCTATGCCATGGATCAGCAAGTCCCTCTCGATAGCCCGTTGTCGCCGGCTCCGACAGACCAAGCATGCAATGAATGCAAGCGACGCAAAGGGCGTTGCGATAAACTGATCCCAGAATGCACCCCATGCGCCAAGAACAAGAGACACTGTCTCTATGAGAGACATTCGAGGACGCCTTTAACCCGCAAGCATCTGACCATGGTCGAAGAGAGGCTGCGCCAATCCGAGATACGTTTGCGGCAGGCAGAGCTTCGAGCAAATGAAGCTGAGGCCAAGCTGGAGGAGTCTCTCAAGGAAATTGCTGTGTTACAAGTAGGTGCGGAGCAGCGCCATCAGCACCCTGTTGACGAGAACAGCGGACACGCAGAGTCCGAGTCACCATTATTCGACAAGCAAAGTATTGCGGATCTACCAGAGGGTAGACTCGGGCACAAACAGTCGTTCTCGCAGGGAACGGCTACTCGGGCTTCAGAATATCATATTGAAGAGCCGCCAGCCGATGACTTCAGCTGGAATGAACAGGCAGTGATGCATAGTCCATTGCTTCCTGATTACCCAGGCGCGGGCGATGCTGGGAGTCCGACCGTGCTCGACGGAATGGCTTCGCTCTCTGTTGTGGACGCAGGCACCGGCTATCTTGGTGTCGCATCTGGTGCTTCAATGCTCAAGCTAATGTTGGACGGCGACGGGGAACGAAGACTCGCCAAGCCACGTACAGGCATACCTCGAAATACTCATTCGGATCCGGACCAACTTGGTTGGGTTTCTACACCCGTGCATTGGCAGAGGAACATTGGAATGGTCGATCTGGATGCCGCTATTGATGCTTACTTCTCGTGCTATCATTTGGCATATCCCATCGTTCACGAGCCAACCTTTCGTGCTCAGTACGCGCAAGTTATAGACCGCCCTGATGGCCCCAGCTGGAATGCGCTTGCCTATATTGTTGGCGCTATTGGCATCTTCAGTACTGCTACGGGTCCTGTCACGCAAGACTTGGATCTCTTCGAAGCCTCAAGGGCCAACATCTCGATCGCCTCGCTCGAAAGTGGTAACCTAACCCTTGTACAAACTCTGACCCTCATGTCCAACTATCTCCAGAAGCGCAATAAGCCCAATTCGGGGTACAATTATCTCGGATTGGCTCTGCATATGGCCATCAGTCTAGGGCTGCACAAGGAGTTCAGCAACTGGCGCATCGCCCCATTGGCCATGGAGATCAGAAGACGGACTTGGTGGACACTTTACGCATTCTTCTCTGGTGCAATGATCACATTCGGTCGGCCAGTGACCTGGCCATCGCACGGGATCGAAGTTGCCCTACCGCTCAACATCGATGACCGCGACCTGACGCATGCTTCTCTGTCATTGCCACCGCCCAAGACAGGCCTGACTCCTTACTCAGCTGTTGCATCACAGGCTAGATTCCATCTTGCGACCAACGATATCTATGAACGGATCATCTCAAGTGACTTTCCCAGCGCCACGGAGCTCCTGCGGCTTGACAAGGAACGAATCGGAACATGGCACTCAATTTGGTCGGATGATGCGTCGAACATGCCGGAGCGCTACCGGCTTCCTCGCATGATCATGAACTGGAGATTTCGCAACTTTCGTATCATTATGTTCCGGTGTAAGCTTTCCTTCACCCGAACGCCTCCCAGCCACGGTGCTAACTAGTCGCAGTCCATCTGATCAAGCATGTCCTGCGAAGTCGAGAGGTCGGTCCGCAACCGGCAAACGATCCTGCGACGCAAGAAGTTATCGATCGATGCTTGACCGAAGCTGAGGCGTCCATCGCTTCCATACATGGTTACTGGCACAATGCAGAGCACAACGTCATGGCATCTTGGTACGGGCTATACTTCATCTTCCAGGCGTCCATGATTCCAACCATAATGCTTCGCAACAATCCGAATGCGCCACAAGCCGACACCTGGCGTGCCCAGCTTCACCTCGTCCTCGCGGTCCTTGAATCGATGCACTTCATCAATCCTGCCAGCAGAGAATGCCACGAGCTGATTATCCGTCTGTGCGGAGGATTCCTTGCTACGAGCGCAGGCATTGCTGAAGCATCTCTGCATCCGGTCGAAGAGTCTCCCGAGACACAACTGTCAGGCTTGCAAGGAATGATGTGGCCAGGCGTTCATGGGACTGAAACCGACACTTTCATGCAGGACCAAGACTGGACGACTTTCTTAATCAACATGGAACCTGGAAGCCTTGACTTGCCTTTCAATCATGATCAATTTGGTTGAGCATTCGATCGTTAGAAGACATTCCTGGTTCTTGGATGGTGAAAAGATTTCCATTGCCTACTTGCTGAGCCCCGGGCTAGAGATCCGGCATAAATCTGCCTTCGGCTGCATGCCGCAGAAGCAATATCAAAGATACTCTCATGAAAGCCAAGTGCGACAGAGAGGCACGACGGTGCCGCAAAGTGCAGCTTGAGGCCTGAGTTATAAACTTCAGAGTGGGACTCGATCGATGCGTTCTTCTGAATGCCCCTCCGCGAAGGCCTTGCTGATCTTTTCTGTGCTGGCCTCGACATCAACGGCTCTTGGGCCATCGAATATCTCTGCTATCTCCTCAAGACTGTGACCACGGGTCTCTGGGAAGACAAAGTACGTTATGGCAAGGAATATAACCTTGGCCACGTCAGCTTCCATTGCGCATGAAGATAACAATGCCGACCTACCAGAAGACAGCAAAACACGATATAGTATCGCCAACCGATATTTTCCAGCCCGATCGGATTTACGAATGCTGCGATTACCAAAGAGCAGTAGATGGACAGCAGCTCGCACGTCAAGCCCTTGGATCGGATAGAAAACGGAAAGATCTCTGTTGGATAAGACATCAACAACGGGGTGTAACTGCAGTCGTAGCCTGTCCTCTGTTAGCGCGTCTTTCCTAGCTGGATATTATGCCACCAACCGAAGTAGAACACAAACAGGCAAACGATGACCACGATCCCTGCTGGCTGCGATCCGGTTTCGTTATTGACCGCTGAGCAAGCAGTCCAGACAATGTATGAGAGCAGCATAATAACCCCAGACATGTTGAAGAGTGTCCGTCTGCCGAGTCGATCGACACAAAAAGCGGCACCTAAAGCGACTATGAAATTGAAGATCTGCAACAGCCCGTTGATCAAGGTCTGCATGAAGGGGTCCGTAATCCCTACCGTATTCAGAACCAAGGTCAAGTAATACGACACCACGCCTATGCCGTTCCACTGAGCCATTGATCCCAAGGCAACAGCGATGAATAGCCTCTTGCGGTTTCCGGGAGTCGCTACCAGTGTGCTCCAGCCTGTGGCTTTGGACTCCTGTTCCAATCTGATAGTGTCGACAATCTCGCCCATTTCTCTGATCACCAAGGGACTCTGTGTGTCGCCGTCTGCGTGGAACGTTGCTAGAACGTTCAGAGCCTCGTCATTTCGACCTTTACTGACGAGCCAACGCGGCGACTCGGGCAGGAAGATGAAGAATGCCAGTTGGACGGCGGGATAGCCGGCCTGCAAGATACTGGGTATGCGCCACGACCAGCTGTTCGCATAGTCCTGCGTGCCAAAGGTGGTCCAGGAGGCCAATATCGCGCCAAGGTAGTAAAGGGTCCAGTAAGCGCTCGTGTACTTGCCTCGATGGGTAGGGTACGAGAGCTCAGCCAGCAGTAATGGACTTGGTTGAGCGGCAAACATTCCGGCAGCTCCGACGACGAGCCTGGAAACAACGAATTGAGCGAGAGTCGTCGCGGTGGCTTGGACTACTGTGGCTACCATGACCCCGATGATGCCGGTCAGCAGGACTGCTTTACGCCCATAGCGATCGGAGAAGGTCCCGACTATCGGCAAAGCGAGAACAGATCCGATCGACTGCGCCGCGTTGACAAGTCCAAGGAGTGCTCCTGTCGGATTTCCGAAATACTCTCTCCATTGCGGAAGGGCTTGCAAGCCATTCATTAGCGACCCATCATATCCAGCGACTGAGCTTGAGATCAGAGGAACCAGTAGTATGAGGTTGAGCTTAAGCAGATGCGGCACTTGGAACCAATATTTATCGGTTTTGGGTAGTACTTCAGCCAGAGCTTTGCCGACAATGAGTTCGTCCTTCATAGTGGGCAACGTGGCTTAGTCCTGGTGACCGGATGCTGGCTCGGGCACAGCAGGAGAGGAGCATTCTCCATTATACCTCGCATCGAACACTCACTTGACTGCCGCGGTGCGCTCCGACCGCGTCGTATGTTCTCGCGGCAATTTCTCGGAGAGATCCAAGAGTGAGGAGAACCACCCCGTCTCCGCATGGGGAGAGCAGCGAAGGATCGAGATATGCAGGGTTGTGACACGCGAGGGCGACAGTGTACCTGCGTGCTAGCCGATGATCTGCGACGTCAGGATCTCTCACACTGCTACGATTGTACACACGACCACCGCATGTGCGGAGACTACACCTAAGAATACTGCCGGAAGGTCGCGACTTTCAAGCACGTAGCGTGGCCAAGATGGATCTCTCAGCGTCGCGCATTAAAGAATGAACAGGCCGTCAGTAGCAGTGGATATCTCGATCCCTCCTCGACCAAAACGTCATTCTAGCATCAATCTGTATTGACAACTATAGCTGCATGTTATCGGAACGTTCTAAGGCAGAGTGTATCCACCATCAATAACAATGTTGGCTCCCGACATATAAGATGAGGCATCTGAGGCAAGGAAAACGTACGCCTGGTGACCCGTCAGCTCTGAGGAGATGTCAAGACTACAATGTGCACTTACTCCTTTCAGCTCAGCTGGATCAGCATTACGTCCAGCTGGGACCAACTGCGACCACTTATCCCGCCATTCCTTAGGATGACTAGCAATCATTTCCGTTTCAATAAACCCCGGCGAAATACAATTCACTAGAAGCAAAACATCACATCAGTCAGCAACCTCCCCAACCAGCACACTGAATCACGAATCACAGAACATACCTCTCCCAAACTCCATCCACTCCACAGCCAAACACTTAGCCAAATGCACAACCGCCGCCTTGGAAGCATTATACGCCGCCTGTTTCTGCGGAACATTCACCAACAAAGCACTAACACTCGCCGTAAAAATGAAACTCCCATCACCTCTCCCTCCATCATCCTCTTCTTTCTGCTTCTTAAAAATCTTCCCGGCTGCTTGAGCAGTATACATCGCCCCATCGAGGTTCACTTGCATGATATCTCGCCATTGATCTTCAGAATACTCTAAACTGTCGAAATGACTTGCAATTCCTGCGTTTGCGACAACGATATCCAAGCGGCCGAAATCGGATGCAATTTGGTTTATTGTTTTGGTGATGGTTTCTTTGGATCGGACGTCGGATTTGTAGGGTATGATTTTCTGGTTTGTTGCTTGGGAGATTGATTTTGCGGTTTCTTCGGCATCTTTGCTGGCTGTGTAGATAAGGGCAACTGTGGCGCCTGCTTCTGCGAGTCCGCGGACGACTTCGAGTCCTATTCCTCTTGCGCCGCCTGTTACTGCTGCGAATTTGCCGGAAAGGGAGAAGTGTGAGAGGACGGGGCTGGAAGCGTTCGTGGGCTTTGCGAGAGGCATCTTGGATGAGTGAATGGTAAATGCTGGATCAAATGAGTAAATCGTCCAAATGCGTGAGTGTAACCTCAAGAAATTTGTTGTTGTAGCTATACTTGCTATAGCTCGTCAAGCTCAGAGCTCATGCAGATCGGCTCGTGACAGAGCTTCACACCCTGCGCGCATGTGGGTACAGGGCGATTGTCAACCGTCTCGAGGCTGTATGTACGGCTGCAGCTTCGGGCTATTGTCACTGTTGTTTTGAGGCGTGTGGGGAGCCACGAGGACCTAGTCTCCGCGAACACTGTGGAGATGCGGGGGCCTTTCGACCGAACAGAACGTCAGAAGTGGTTCGTTGTATCTCGTTCGATCCGAAGACAGTCTTTGGCGGCACTTGAGGCTGCAGCTCTGGTGGGCAACAAGGGGCACGTCTCGAAGTTCAGGTGTGGAGACTCCGTGAAGCTGTTGTGTCACTGTCCTCAGCGCTGCTCTGGCCATGCCGAGATAGAGGACCTGCTGCTGCCATAACATCATAGCAATACATCGTCGAAGTCGTCTAGCTACGCTTGTCCGCAGCAGTTGCAAAGATGGGCTCGGCAACGGAAACAGAGATTGTAAATCGCGCCAGCACATCCAAAAAGACACCATAGCTGATTTCCAATTTAGAACCCTTCATTCGTGCTACGAGCCGTCAAAGATGTCGCATTTGAGGATCGCCCAGTTCCTCAGCTTCGCAATGCGCATGATGTTCGCGTTCACGTGCAGCAAACGGGTATATGCGGATCCGATGTTCACTATTGGCAACGGGGTCGCATTGGGGACTTTGTGTTAACCAGTCCCATTATCCTTGGTGAGTGAGGATAAGATCGATCTCCCTTACGAGAGAGCGAATGCTGATTCGGTGAAAAGGTCACGAATCATCAGGAATCGTCGTCGAGGTCGGCAGCGCGGTGAAGAATGTCAAAATTGGAGATCGAGTTGCAATAGAACCTGGTGTACCCTGTCGCCGTTGTGACTATTGCAGATCTGGCGACTACAATTTATGCGCTGATACCGTGTTCGCTGCGACCCCACCTTGGGATGGTACCTTGGCCAAGTACTATATTGTCGCATCGGATTATGTCTACCCTTTTCCAGAGCATATGAGCATGGAAGAAGGAGCGTTAGTCGAGCCCACTGCTGTTGCGGTACAAATTAGCAAGGTTGCGGAGCTGCGAGCGGGACAAACTGTCGTTGTTATGGTAAGTTGAATGTCCCCTCAATAAATCACCTCTCACACAAATTGTAGGGCTGTGGGCCCATAGGTGTGATGTGTCAAGCTGTAGCGAAAGCGTACGGAGCGAAACGAGTGATCGGCGTCGACGTGGTTCAATCAAGGCTCGACTTCGCGAAAAGCTTCGGCGCAGACGATGTATACTTGTCTCCAAAGCTCTCAGAAGGCGTAGACCCAGTGGAGCACCAAGAAAAGGTCGCTGCACTCATCAAGAATGAGTTCAAATTGGGTGAAGGACCAGACGTGGTCCTAGAGTGCACCGGTGCCGAGCCATGCATACAAACTGGAATCTATGTCTTAAGGAAAGGTGGAACATATGTCCAAGCAGGCATGGGCAAGGAGAACGTCGTGTTTCCGATCACCACGGCCTGCATCAGAGGACTGATAGTGAAGGGCTCCATAAGGTACACTGCTGGGTGTTATGCGCAAGCAGTAGACCTTGTAGCATCCGGCAAGATCGATGTGAAGCGTCTGATCACCAATCGCTTCGCTTTCCAGCAGGCCGAGGACGCATTTGAGCTTGTTAAAGCCGCAAAGCCCGATGTTTTCAAGGTCATGATCGAGGGTGTACATTAGAGTGATAGCGTCCAGTGTCAAATGTCTCGATCCAAGTCCTTGCGCCCTGCAATGTGAAAGACTTTCTGCTTTGCTGGCAACAGTGTGGAGTTGTCGTGTCCCAGATATGGTGCTGCGCCGCAAAAAGCCACCAGAAACATACACAAGCGTGATTCAGTTTGTTTGTCCATTCTCAAGCATCTGGAGATCTGAAAGTGCAGCGTTCTCACAAAGAGTTTCGGTCGGAACGTGGCAGTAAAAGGATAGTTACCAATTGTTCCTTGAAACAAAGACGTCCAGAACCGGAAGCTTGCAAAATGTACTACATGGCCCGGCATCAGTTGGACTGTGCAGTGTAGACAATTTCACTTCACGATGTGCTGCCATAGTCGCATAATATACGCAACATGCGGCCACAGCACGTTTGGTCCACGTCCTCTCATTGAGTGTCGTGATGCATCTTTCGATCCTTCGGCGCCTTGGTCCACAGGCTGCGAGATTGTTGCTCATCCGTATAAGACCCTGCGACTGGACAAGCTGTGCCCGCAGTGTACCGCGACCCGCGATAAATTACTCAAGGAGGTCGAGGAGAAGCAGGGTGTCAAGTTCGACGAATGGCAATGGAAGGTGTCGTACTCGATGCCAAGCGGCGGGAAAGATTACTGGACGAAGAAGACTGAAGAGAAGATGGAGCCTCCCGAGACGCCCAAGACGCCCAAAACTCCTAGAAGTCTGAAGACGCGTACGACGCATTCGTTGTCGAGATTCAGTTGGAGAAAGAGCAAGAGGAAGAGTGTGAAGATGGCGGACGTGCCTGAGTGAGCCAGGGTAAGGATGTTGCACAGTCAGCAAAGCAGCGGATTGGTCCGTCGGCCTGTGCTTCGCTACCTCACCTTCGTCGTCAAGGTACGCAGACAGCACTCTCTCCTGCGCGCCATTGACACCAGCAACCACGTCAAGAAAGCCACTGGTACCCGTGGGACCCGGGAGAGTACCTCAAGCGAACACATTGGCCGCGCACGGCCCCCTCCACCACCAGAACAATGCCAACTCCAGAGTCCGAATCGTTCAAAGCCGCGAAGCCAAAGGTTGCGCCGACCTTCGATGGCGTAGACTACGATGACAACAAGGCACTCAAGGCCGCACAAGACGCGATTATCAGAGAGCAATGGGTTCAGAGCATGATGGCGCGATTGATTCGAGAGGAAATGGGCAAGTGCTATTACAGGGAAGGTGTCAATCATTTGGAGAAGTGCGGGCATTTGAGAGGTGAGCAGCATGCACACGGAAGAGTTACAAACATGTGGATACTAATCTCTGGGGCAGAGCGATACCTGCAACAACTCAAGCACTCGAAGATCAAGGGATATCTGTTCGAGCAACAGAATTACGTGCCAAAGACAGAGTAAGATGTACATTACGGAGGAGAGTACGAAACGGACGAAGACATTATACGCTCAAGAAAGGCTACTGATGAGTGCAATCATACTATCGGCACTTTCAACGCACGCGAGGCCACAAATGTACAAACGCTTTCCATAATTATCCTGACGACGTTGCGGAGTCAGCTGAGCTTCTACACGTTCATCGCATGGGTCTGTCGAAGCGGCACTGTAGCGCGCACAGATTGGTAGCGATCCCGGAAGAGTGATGAAATGGGCACAAGCTTTGATTGTTATCGTCACTTCGTATTGCCGGGAAACCCCACGTCTCCATCTAGCGCTATCTGCACCACACTCCGACTATGCATGACTACTTTGCCCTAGGTAAAAAGCCCCTCGTCCCACGTGCATGGTCGCTCCCAGCCATCTGCCCTGCAGGACGCATGTTGACACTGCCTACAGGCTTGTGATCGACAGCCAAATTTCACATGAGGGCCTGCGAGAAATTCTCCCTCGACACAGGGCTACGTGTATAGACACACACGGCATGTTGTCTGGCCGAAGTTGGCAAGATGCGCGACTGAAAATGTAGAGCATCGCGCGATGGGGAGTAGCAGGGCCCAAAGGACTGTCGTTTATATCAATATTGACAAGAGTGAAGAGCTCAATATGAGACTCATGCAGTCACGCCAGGACCACCCTTCTTGACAGCATATTCTTGCATGAACTCCGGGTTGCTGTCGAATTCTTCTTTCAGCTAAATTGCATGTCAGCGCATTTCAACTTGCCGTATTTGAAGGTAGCCAACTTACAATATCAAGTCCACCGACTAGCTCTCCATCGACATAGACCTGAGGGAAAGTAGGCCAGTCACTGAACTCCTTGAGGCCTTGTCTCACTTCATCGTCGGCCAGAATGTTGAAGAAGCCATATCGTACGCCCTTCTCCCTAAGAATGCTGACGGTCTGCCTTGAGAATCCACACTGTGGAGCCGATGGAGTGCCCTTCATGAAAAGCATGACTGGCGCGGCCTTGACCAGCTCGCCTAGCCGCTTGTTCAGGTCCTCTTTGCTCTGCTCGCCACTCACATGTCCTTCTGTGCTCTGCGGCGCCGTCTGCTGTTCGTTTGCTCCGGGCTTGTATTGTGATAGATCGCCATTTGAAGCACTGGTTCCTCCCATTGCTGTATCGCGATCCTGCTCCTGTCTCGTGACGTTCTGCTTGGGAGGCAGTCCACCAGCGCCCTTGCCATCACCTCCGCTATGTCTCTCAACTGCTGTCCTGACCTTGTTTGCATCTGTGCCGGTGATTTGCTCCAAAACTTTGCCGTCTTTCTGCAAGACCACGAGTGGTACTTGCGTCACATCGTAGCGTTCGCTGACGTCCGACAATTCCTCAGCGTCCAGGCTCAGAAACGCTATCCGGGGAGGTGTCGTTGGTTCGTAGGTCGATGCGAGAGTAGTAAGGATGGTGGACATTTGCTTGCATGGCTCGGCCCATGGCGCATGGAAGTAAATCACTGCCAGAGTGGTTCCTGGAAGCTCTGCGATGGCATTGTTGAAGGCTTGCTCTGTGTCCACGCCGTGCACCTGAGAACCTGCAGCCATGGTGGCAATTCGTTTTGTGATCGTGATTGTGGCGAAGTCGAGTTGGGTCGTGGCGATGGTATGCGGCGTGAGAGACGGTGGTGGAAGTTGGTGGTTTTGTCGTTACGGATGGCGCGATAGCGGCTCGTGGCGGGGTTCGATGAGTGGAAATTCTGCCGTGACATGCCTGCTTCTGACAAACCTCAAGGTTCGCGCTAGCGGCAAAGATCCCGACAATCAGATATCGGCTCGCGCAGCCGAAGCGAAAAAGTTCCAACAGAAGGAACTCTGGAGACGCAGACGCGACGAAGCACACGATCACTTGCAACGGATATCGCATCACGCTTCTGCCATCATGTCGCTCCCGATCCGAGAAGTGAAGCCGAAAAGCGCCAAAACGAAGCGCTATCTCGACAACAAAGCGCCGCAGGTCGTTGAGAATCCCAAGACGACGCTCTTCCTACGCTACTCGTCCTGCTCAGAGATCACCCAGCTGGTGCTCAAAGACCTCAATCGCCTAAAAGAGCCACTCACTGTCAAGTTCAACAAGAAGAATGACAAGCATCCGTTTGAAGACGCTACGAGTTTCGAGTTCTGGGCAGACAAGAATGACACCAGTTTGATGGTTTATGGGTCACATAGCAAGAAAAGACCACACTGCTTGACACTGATCAGAACATTCGGATACAAAGTACTGGACATGTTGGAATTGCTCATAGACCCGGAGACATTCAGGAGTTTGTCGCAGTTCAAGAATGCCAAAGCAACTGTGGGTCTGAAGCCACTGCTCTCGTTCTCAGGGAGTGCCTTCGAATCGCCAATTCAGAACGAGTATACCATGGCGAAGTCACTGCTCTTGGATCTTTTCAAAGGCCCGGACACGGACAAGGTGGATGTGGAAGGATTGAAGTACATGATCCATTTCACTGTGGACGAGGAAGAGCAGGAGGGCGTAAAGCCACAAATACACATGAGGTGTTACCTTTTGAGTTCGCGGAAAGGGCAGAGCTCTAATTTGCCAAAAATTGCAGTGGAAGAGATGGGGCCCAGGATCGATTTCAGAGTTGGGAGGAAACAAGATGCGGATCCTGAGATGCTAAAGGAAGCCATGAGGAAGCCAAAGACCACAGAGGTATGCTCGCATCAACGTGTTGATACAATGCTTACAGACGATACTGACTATGACAACCAGGCCAAGCCAAAGAAGAATATCGAGACAGATATGATCGGAGACAAGATTGGTCGCATCCATACCGGCCGACAAGACTTGAGCCAATTGCAAACCAGGAAGATGAAGGGATTGAAGCGAAGCAGAGATGTGCCAGACGACTCCGGCGATGTGGACATGAGCGACGACGAGAATGGGGGCGTGCCGCTTGCCGCGGACAAGCGGTTGAGGGTCGAGTCATGATTCCTCATCAGCCTGAGGTGATGACGAAAATTGTATTCCTCTTGCGTTCAAGCGTGGCGTTCGGCGTGTAAAAGGACGGTTGTCGGCACTTGTATCTGGTCTCGATGCGGCAAAATGTGCAACAGAAGCGTAATACTCGAGACATCCACCCAGCCTGGCAGGCATCCTACTAGGCCTGTGGTGGCACGGTGAATCGAAAGTTCTTCTCTGCTGGACATTGCTGAGCATCAACGTGTGGAAGCGCCTGTGCAGCTGGCATGACCGACTGACCAAGGAGTTCCGAGGGCAGACATGCGACCGCATTCCAGGGCGATGAATGCGTTTGCTGATACTCTCGCGATGCTAGACACCACCAGGCTATGGTTAATACTGGCTTCGGTTATAGTTATTGAAATTGATGTCAAGCCGCAAATGCAACAAGTCTTCAGTCCTCAGTCCACGCCACAAGGATGCTATCACCAGTCTCAAATTTGATTCAGGCTAAAAGCGACGACCGCCTGCGACGTCTCGTACAAGCATCACGGCACTAGCGGCATCTCCATCCTGCATACACGTGTGAGTCTGGAGAACCCCTGCTCACTAGCATTCAGCCGAAGAGTTTAGAGCTCTAGACGCATCACCTGCTGCCACTCGTGCCACTGACAGCCACGCGCAGGATGGATGGCCTGAGAAGCCTAAGGTGCGACTGGCTAACGTGCCCCAGCTAACACCCATGTTACATCTGCGTACCTGTCTTTAGCCGAGACGCAATGCTTCTGTTGGCGAAATGGCTCATGCATGTTTGTAACATGCTTGAGCAGAGCCATTGCTACATATTGCAGGCCGTAGCTCCCCTTGTCCAAGCCTGAGTCCATCCATCTTCGCATCCCTTCCCTAATCATGGCACCAGTAGGAGGTGCATCACATTTCGACCAGGCGGCTCTCCAGCGCCGCCAGGCCTTGCAAGGCTCTTCTGGTCCAGCCGCCCTGGTCAAGAATGCCAAGGTCTTTGGCATTGCTTGCTTTGCATGCTTGGGAGGACTGCTCTATGGTAGACTTATCGCAGCCATTACTTGTGTCGCACTCAACTGACTATGGCTAGGTTACAACCAAGGCGTCTTCTCTGGCGTACTTACCATGTATAGCTTTGGCACCCACATGGGCCCGTGGGTAGAGAACCAGACTAAGAAGGGTTGGTTGACGGCGATCCTCGAGCTTGGAGCTTGGTTTGGAACCCTCTACTCTGGTTTCCTGGCCGAAATTATATCACGAAAATATGCTATTCTGGTCAACACCGCTATATTCATCATTGGCGTCGTTATTCAATGTGTAGCTGTGACTGGAGCGGGCGCCAGTGCTATTCTGGGAGGTCGTTTCATCACTGGTATGGGCGTTGGTAGCTTGAGCATGATTGTACCGATGTACAACGCTGAGGTAGCGCCGCCTGAGGTCAGAGGCGCTCTCGTTGGCCTTCAGCAGCTTGCGATTACCACCGGTATAATGATCAGCTTCGTAAGTACTGGATAACCGGAGAGACAAGGTGACTATGCTGACGAAATGATCGCAGTGGATCGATTATGGGACGAACCACATTGGCGGCACAGGATCGGGTCAGCAAGACGCAGCTTGGTGTAAGTGCAGTCGCCTAAGAACATCGTCTTCGTCTGCCCTGTCTGGACATCCGTGCGGCCATGAGCGTCAGCTTGACTAGAAGTTGCTTAAACGTTACGGAAACACATGCTGACTCTCCCATGACTAGTGGTCCCTCTCGCCTTGCAGCTCGCTCCTGCGGTACTCCTTGGTGGGGGCATGCTCTTTATGCCTTTCAGTCCGCGTTGGCTCGTCCACCATAATCGAGAAGCTGAGGGTCGACGAAATCTGGCCAGCCTCAGAGGCCTACCGCAGGATCATGAGCTCATTGAGCTTGAGTTCCTCGAAATCAAGGCCCAGTCACTCTTTGAGAAGCGTTCCACAGCTGAAGCCTTTCCTGGTCTGTCCGATGGCTCCGCTTGGTCGACGGTCAAGCTCCAATTCATTGCTGTGGGATCTCTTTTCAAGACCATGCCAATGTTCCGCCGTGTCATCCTCGCCACTGTGACCATGTTTTTCCAGCAGTGGACGGGAATCAACGCCATTCTCTACTACGCCCCTCAGATCTTTGCAGGCCTAGGACTCTCTTCTAATAGCACTTCTCTTCTGGCCACTGGCGTGGTTGGTATCGCAATGTGGCTTGCTACCATCCCTGCCGTCGCATATGTCGATAAGGTCGGACGAAAGCCCATCCTGATTTCTGGAGCGATCGGAATGGCGACATGCCACATGATAATTGCTGTGATAACGGCTAAAAACGAGGACTCGTGGGAGTCTCACAAAGCAGCAGGCTGGGCGGCCGTTAGTATGGTGTGGCTTTTTGTCGTTTTCTTCGGCTATTCCTGGTGAGTCAGAATCGAAGTCTAGGCCTCGTGGCTTAGCACATCTCCGTGTTTTGGAGAGAGTCCCTGTTTTGATTGAGTGGTGGCGGCTGACAGGCGTGTTTCAAGGGGTCCGTGCGCTTGGATTGTCATAGCAGAGATTTGGCCGCTCAGTCAACGACCATACGGCATCGCGCTTGGTGCGAGCAGCAATTGGATGATGAATTTTGTGGTCGGACAGGTTACGCCGGACATGCTAACGTCCCTACGGTACGGGACCTACATCTTCTTTGGTGGCCTGACCTTCCTGGGCGCAGCTTTCATCTGGAAATTCTTCCCAGAAACCAAGGGCCTGTCTCTTGAGGAGATGGACGTTCTGTTCGGCTCCAAGGGCTTTGCACAAGCCGATACTGAGAGAATGAGAGAGATCCACCGCGAGATTGGATTGGAAGAAGTGGTACGCCAAGGAAGCGTCGCTCACACGCACGACACCTGGAATGAGAAAGCTGGCATAAAGCACAAAGAGTCGGAAGAATTGTAAATACTCATCATCCGGAGGATTAGCATTCTGTGCGTACTGGCTTAGCTTTGGACGAGATTGTGCCTCAGATTTGTGTGTGAGTCGCGACTGCCTTCCATAGAAACAATGGGTGAATGCGATTTTCCTCCGCGAATTGAGGATCTTCGCAGCTGCTGAATCTAGATAGAAGGCAGATCGTGCTGCGGAGTGCTGTCTGAGATTCGAGTGTATGTACTTCCTGGCGCCGACGCCTTCCATCCGCGGTCCTTGATGGAGTCTTGGCACATTGTCACGTGAAAGCGCGACGGGACGCGCCTCGCCACGACTGCCGTCTTTGTAACTTGCCTTTACAACTTCTACTCTTTGTCTTGCGTCGCCTCTCAAGCACCGCCGGCTATTCATCAGTCCACATACCCCACCAGCGTGGCGATAATTTGCCAAAGCCTGTCATGGAGATGAGCAGGCAAGATAGGCATGGAACGTCGCACAACACTGCTCGTTCACGCAGGCGCATCGAGTTCAAGGAAGGATGACGAACGGCATGTTCAGCAAGTAGAGACGTACTTGGAACTTGAGAAATTTCGACCTGCGAAAGCGAGATCTCTGGCTGCTTGCAACGTCGAACTTGCGCCATCATCTGCGAGACCGGTCCACCAGTCCGAAGTGGCGGCGGAGAATGCTGTGAGGGCACACGGCCAATATGACAAGCGGATCGTAAAGCGCCAACCCGTCGAGAACGACGATCATAGGTCAGAAGTTGCCCAGCTTCAGGACTCATCTGAGTACATCGACGATACTCAACTCGCCTACACTGCATTGAAAAGCCAACTTTTCACCGCTACCACGGCATCAACATCGAAGCATTTGACATCTCGGAATAGCGGTCGGTCACCTCACGAGAGAGATACCGGGAACGCGCTTAGCCCTCGGCGACCTGTCGAAAGGATATCAGAGACTTCCCCCGCCAGCCAAGACAACAGCAATGCCTCCATGGTGACCAGTCCAAGGCGCCGCGCGGGAAGTGAGCCTGTCGTCGAGTCATCCTATATGAGAACCCCCATAGTCGCTCACCCAGCCAAGCGCCTGCGGCGCTTATACCCAGCTTACGACCGAGCTCAGCTCGATAGTGGCAGTCAGCCAGTGGAAAGAGTACTATTCCCTCTCTCTGCTGGCGCGACTCATGACCCCACAGGTGAAAAGCGGCGCACTGAGAACGAACGCGGTGATGATGGAACCATTGCTAGCGACGATACGACATCTGAACTGCCCACCTCGTATTCCTTGAGCGATCTCGCATCAAACAGCAGGGATGGCAGTAAGCAGGATCGACCGCAGCTTGTCAATCGTTCCGTCAGCGACCCAGGGCCGATAAGCAATTCGCTTGAGAAGAGCTGTGACCCTCAATCGTATATGCTTCGATCTCCGCAACACGCCGCATTGGGCAACAGGTCGCCCGCTAAAGATGGCATTTGGCGAACTATCGCTGATGAAGCTTCTCACTCTCGCGTGGAGATTTCAGCTGGTCAAGGTCTCAATCTCAAGGTAACTCTGCCCGCGTCAACACAACCGAGCAGTCATAGAGACGTCGCCCAGCAACAGATAGCCCTGGACCCAGCCGAAGCCGAGCTTTGCTCTCTTGCTCCGGAAATTCATCCACCGAAGCCAGCGACGTCTAATGATGGTTTCATTACACATGCTACGGACGAGCTTAATGTTCTACGTGCCACATTCCTCTCGAAGTACTCACCTATGATGGTTGCTCGTCAGATATCTGTGCACGAAAGAGGACACTGGTCTGTCGATTGTTCTTCGTGGCAGGCTCCCAAAAAGCTGGCATTCTGGCGCCGCTTGCAGATCTGGATTGCCAACGGCACAGCGGGGCACGACATTTGGTGTACAAGAATAGCAGATGTACGTCTGACTTCACGGAACAGATTCGAGGAGCCACTCTTGCAAGCCGACTCAATCAACAAATTTGAACACGTTCGTATATATTGTTGGGGAGAACTGGTAGAGCATGTTTATCTCCTGCTTTACACGGCCAGTGAGGGCGGTGTCAGGAAACTTGGCTTGAAATGGATCGACTCGAAGGGCGACATTGTTGTTCGGATGAGAGGCCCCGCTGACCTGCGTTGATGAGCCTCGGACAGTGGAAACTCACTCTTGTACGTACGCACTTTCTGGTGATGACTGGAGCAAATAGGCTTCCGAGCTGTGTAACACATCATTTGCTGAGGAGACTCAAAATGAACCAGGACAGCATGTATCGCAGTGTTGCTCCGAGCAAGTCATTAACGCGGGTTCTATCTGGCTTGAAAGCAGTCTGGGTATCAAAAACACGATCTATCTACGCTGAAACACCAGAACATTACCACTTCTTCCCTTCCGTGAAACCGTCCATCCTGCTGACCATGTAGTCTCGTCCTTTCGCAAAACTCACGACGAAACCTGGGACCGACCACCCGTTGAATGCTGCAACACCAGTCTTTGGCCCGACCTGGAAAGGGATTAGCAGATGCCAACATGGAAATTCGAGGCCCGACTCACAGGAACGAATTGTGTCTCCTTTGGCACAAAGTTGTACGTCTTCTCCGCAACATTGCCTGCCTTGGCCTCAGAGAGTAGGTCGTGGTCGATGTTGGCATGGAGCACGGGAAGAGAACTGTACCTGTTTATCGGGTCAATAACACTGCTTCGCAGATGTGTTTCAGTCAACAACTCACATGTTCATCACTCCGCCACTGTCGACGCCGGACACATCACCAGCAGCGTAAACCCTTGCACCAGCCTTGTCGACTCTCAGAGTCTTCTCATTCGTGCTCACGAATCCTTTATTATCCTTCAGGTCGTTGGGAAGCCATTCGGTATTAGGTTGAACACCAAAAGCCGGAATGTACACATCAGCCTGGATCGGTTCACCACTGCTGAGCAGCACTTCTGTCTTGCCGTTTCCGAGATCATTTTGCCCATTGACCTTGGTGTTATAGCGAACCTCCACACCAAGCTTCTTCAGCAGTGACTCGGCCTTCTTCGCGCGGCTTTCGTTGAACACCGGCAACAGTTTTTTCCCGGCAGTGACGAGGACAATCTTCGCTTTGCCGCCGAAGTGAGCGCCCAGTTCGCCTGCAGTCTCCACGCCTACTGGTCCACCGCCAGAGACGACGATCACTTGCGCCGACTTGAGTTTTGTGTTTGCTTCGCGAAGTGCGTTTTGGGAGACAGTGTGATCACCCTGAAAGCCAGTGAGTGGTGTCGGAGTCCTGACACCTGTCGAAATGATGAGAGCCCAGTATTCCAAACTCTCAGTACTTCCATCCGGCTTTGTCAGAGTCACCTTACGACTCTGTGTATCCAATGCAGAGGCAGAAGCCTGGTGAAAGACAAGCGAGTCTTGAAGATTGGTATATTGCTTGAATCCATCTTTGATCGGTACAAAGCTTTTCTCGAAGCTCACATTTCCTTCGGCGGAACAAATTTGTCGAGGAGCTGCAACGTGCCACCAGAAATGTGTTGAAGGGTCAACGAGATGGAGGACATATTTGCCACTTCCAGAGCTTTTCAGTTTTGGTAGAAGGTGTTTGCAGATGTGGTGTGCCGTTCCTAATCCTGCCCAGGCAACGCCGAGAACGACGATGTTCCGCGTCTCGCTCATTGTTGCTTCGGAGAAGTTGTCGCTCGGTCGGAATTGTTGGGGAAAGATTGAACAAATTCGCGAAATTTGCCAGATCTTGTCGACTCGTGAAAAGCGATGATGAAAGTGAGGCAAAAGAAAATCACCACCTCGAATCACAGCGTATATGTGTGCTTCCTGCCGACGGTGCACAACTCTCGAGCTGACCACCGTCACCATAGAGATGACCACTCGGAGGTCGGAACCAGGGGAGATGAGACAAAAGGAGCAGCTGGAACAGGTTTAGCGTACAGTTTTGAGCGTTGTGATAGGCTGGGGAGCAGATCGCCGAGTGGTTTGCAAGCATGAGGCTGACATTGCGACTTGCGACACCTCGGCGATGTTGAGATTCCGTTCGGTGATATTGGAAATGGGAAAGTTAGCATATCTTTTCGGCTGTGCACCAAACCGCACAAGGTAAACTTTGAGGAGAGAAGGCTGACTTCTAGATCAATTATTTCCAAATGTGGCGTTCCGGAGAGGTCGGGCAGCTCAGGTACAGTTGTTGAGATGGTATGAGTAGAGATCGCTCTATGCTAATCCTTCAGCGCACGCTGTTACACAATGCAAGTGAGCTCGCCAATGGAATTAGGGCTTCCCTGTATGCCCAATTCACGCACCGATCTTGACCCTATCCTCCACAACCCGCTCAGCTCTTCGTATCAGCTCTTCATACACAGTCCACGTCAAAGCCGAGCTCACAGCTTTCCTCCCGATCCTCAAACTGAGCCCATAAAACATGCTCCGAACGCCTTCCTCAGCCAACATTGTCCGAGCGGCCTGTACGAGATTCCTGTATTTTCCCGGAGCAATTTGCAACCGAGTCTTGATCGCATCGAAAGGGTTCGTCAAAGTAGTAGCTGCCATTGCCGCTACCACGCCACTCATGAAGTTGATTGTGGCATTGCTGCCCATGCTCCGCACTCCAGGTTCTCCATCTGGGCCGGGTACCAGTTTTGATAGTTTCGCAAGCTGAGCTTTTGACTGTTCGTATAATAGAACGTACAAGCCGGCGTATGGTGCATCTCGCACAGCAGTAGCGCCGAAGCCTGCAAAGAATCCACGCGCACCTTCTGTTCGGATAATGTCTCGTGCTGCGCTGGCCATGGAAGTGTAAGAGTAGTGCGTACTCTCATATCTGACCTTCAGAACCGTAACAGGATTCATGATGAAACCCGCCGCAACTCGCGCTGCTGCACCAGTCGCAAGGTTCGCCACATTGCCAATCTTTGGCAAAACTGACGAACTCTGACCTGCTCCAACGCCAGTAGTAGGAAGTCCAGGGACAGGTATGACAGGCATGCGAGAGACATATTCTCTCATCTGATTGAGTAGGCCAAAGTATAATGCGCTACCGAAACCCGTCCTGATGACAGAAGGAGTTGTGCCGCGCCATAGTGAACGTATAGGATTCGGTCCATCAAGAACGTTTCGTAGAGCCTGTCGCAGTGATCCCGCATTTGATTGTTGTACTCGAGTCTTCAGGAGATCCGCGGGCTGAAGTAATGCAGCACTGGCGCATCCAGATCCCAGGCCGGCTAGAAAATGAAAGCCTGTACAAGAGATGTTAGCCAGAGACTCTACGTGATTGTTGAGCCTCAGGCACCAAGAATAGCAGCCAGTGGCGAAACAGAGGCCGAATACTCACCTACACTTGTCTTCTTGGTCTTACCGCCATCAGACATTGCGGGTCTCTCCGCTGATGGTCTCCGGATGTCAATGTGCAGACTCCATTGCGAAGCTAGTGATGAAGTGAGTGCTGAGAGTGCGCGTGTTGTCCCAAAAGATCTGAGCGAGAAGTCTGTGACGTGTGTGAAAGCACGGTGCTATGCGAGCCGAACACGTTCCGGCACGCGCGCATAGCGCCACCGCTTCTCTCACCCATCCCTACTGACCGGTCACATTGAATACAGTGCTGGCATTATCGGCGTGAAAGCGGTGTGAGAGTAGTGATCAAAAGACGTTATCTACGACTATACGTGTGTGTGTGTGCCTCTTCAATTACATTTACCGGTTCGGTTCAAACAATGTCCAAACAATACAGTCAGTCTCAAATAGCAGATTCCAATCTGGTGGTCGCACTGGGGTATCTTGCGCAAATGCATCAGATCCAAAACGAAAATGACCGGAAACCATATTTTCCACACATCAAATACCATCTTCAACAAATGAAATTCCATCTCTTACGCACTGCTCTCCGTCTCCTCCATCGCCTCAAACAGCCATGGCGGCATATCCACAGACGCCAATGACGCCGTTGCGCTGCTCGGTGTCAAACTTTCCAGACTGACCATCTTCTTCAACTCCAGTACAGCTTCTTGAACTGTCATCGCTCTTCTATGTCGGCCCGAGCGGGGTCAGGCGGCCTGTGGTTCGGAGAACTCACTCATAGGAGTCGGGTCCCCCATCTCGTCTTGTAGGCTTCTGAAGCCAGGCGGAGCCGCACTGTCAGGGATGTCATCGAGGCTGTCGTCCTCTGCGAAGCTCTCTTCGACCTCATCAAGGACAATGGGCGCACTGTCTTCAGCATCTTGATCGTAGCTCTGTTCACGGAACAGGGGTGTGTGAGCACTCTCCTGCGACGTGCCCGACGTTTGTCTGAATGGCACAGGTCGCTGACTGGTGCCCGACGAGTGACGACTTCGTGGTCGCTCAGTGCCCGCACTTTGATGCGAGCCTCGTGAAACTGGTCGATTCGAGTGCGAGCTTTGCCTGCTGTTCAGGCGTGGTGGAGGGAGCTTGTCAGTCGACTCGGGGCGGGGCGAGCTGCGGAAGTTGCTTGCAGGGGGCGTCATGAGGCCCGACTGATATCCCTTTGGCAATGGTGCTTGCGAAGGCGCACCCTTCGATGGCGTCAGTCGGCCATCTGCATTGTAGCGTGGAGCATTCTTCAACGCCGAGCTTTCCATATTCGCTCTCCATTTGCTGAAGGCACTGCTCAGCTGCTGCTGGGCAACCTTTGGAGTAGCGAGACTGCTCAGAAGAGCTGATGCTTGTCCCGTGACGCTCTGTGCTTGTCCGCTGGGCCGAGCGAAGCGGTCCTTTTCTTCCTGCTCCATCTGAAGGTTGGCACGAAGGCGGATTGCGATATCGCGGCAGCGAGCACGGTCGAAGTTTGGCTTTTGAATCAGAGTGATGAGTTCGTTGAGCTCCTCATTGCGGACAGCAAGGAGCTCGCGGAGGAAGGCGATCTCGTCCTCTTTCTGCTTCTTGGTCTGTCCTTCATCTTCAGCATCTGCCTCGAGGCGCTCGATTCGTGTCTCGCGCTCCTGGAGTTGCTCTTGAAGGACTAGAATCGACTCGCGCAAAGCCTGTGGGGAGATCTTTTCAGGCGGTCCGAAAGACGCCTGTGGTGCATATGCCGGAGACGCTACGGCCTTTGATGCTCTTGCTGTCTTTGCGGCGTGGTGCGCTGCAGTCTTAGCGATTTCAAGTCTCTCTTCAAGATGAGCGCACCTCTCCTGGTAGTGTTGTAGCTTCTCATGCATGAGGTTGAGTCGCTCATTCAAGACAGACTCTACGCGGTCTTTGTCCTCAAGAGCATGTCGCAAAGCACGCGAATGCTGGGATGTGAGCTCCTGAATACCAGATTCATATTTGTGCCGCGCCTCATCAAGAGCCACGCTGTTGGAGTGGTTGACTTTTCGGAGGGCCTCTCGCTTGTCGGTCTCGGCTTGCTCTTGCAGGTGTTCCTGGCGCTCCTTCATAGTTTCAAGCTCCATTCTCACATTCTCCAACTCTGAGCGCGTCCTGCTGAGCTCCGTCTCAAGCTGGGCACGAACAAGGTTGACTCGGTTGTTAGCAGCCTCGACTTCAGTCTCGAAAGCCAAGCGTGTACGATGCACTTCAGCTCGTCCCGATTCCTGGGCATCGTAGAATTGGCGCTCGTAACGTGCGGTCAGGCCTTGCTGCTCGGTGAGTTGGGCCTGTAACTTGTGCATCATCTCCTGCAGCTCTTGGTTGGAGGACCTTGCGTGGTCTACGGCGTTGCGCGCTTCAGCATTCTCGACAGCGGAAGCACGGACGATGCGCATCTCGTCAACGAGCTGAGCACGTTCGCGAGCGGATACCAGCTGCTGATGCTCGAGAGCCTCAATCTTGGCGCGATATTCTTCCTCCTTCGACCTCCAAACGGCCTTTTCGCTAGCAAGTTGCCCAGCTGCAGTGGACATGTCCTCGTGGAGCTTCTCGAGTCGACGCTTCATGCCCATTGTAGACTCTTGGTACTCCTCAGCTTGACGAGTGAGCATATTGACGGTGGATTGTAGTTCCTCTCGGACTCGCTTGCCCTCTTCAGAATCATGCCGCCACTTGTGGCTCGAAAGGCGGTACTCTTCGAGCGTTGCTTGCAGAGCTTCTTTCTCGGCCTCAGAGTCTTCAATGCGCTCTTGGGCCTTTTGGCGGGCTTCTTCGGCCACATCCAATCGCTCGATCCATGCCTCCCGCTCCTTCTCCATCACGCGCACCTTTTGCTCCTCATCTCTAGCCGCATCACGTTGGAGCTGCAACTCTTCCTCGGCAAGACGTAACTGCGTACGGACTTGAGATTCGCGCTCTTCAGCAAGCCGCAACTGTCGTCGCGATTCGGCTTCGCGCTCTTCAATGGCTCGTCTTTGATTAGCCTCCTCAAGTGATTTCGCCAACGTCTCATTCAGGCGCCCTTCGAGTTCCAACAATTCGTCCCGCTTGGGCCCTTCTTGTTCTGCTGGTGTGGCCGACTCTGGCTGTTTCCTCACAGTCTCCTCTACCACGGCACGAATATCGTCCAATTCCAGATTGGAAGAAGCAGCACGCGCGAATGATACTTTCATATCAGCCAAGACAGTGTGCAGGTCGGCGATGTCCATGGCTTGCTGTTGCATGCGTTTCGGACTTTGCTCCCGCAGCGCCTCGAGAACGGCGAGCTTGATCTGGTCAATGCGCTTGTCGCGGCCGCGGGAGATTGGTCGAGTCTTGAGTTCGTCGGATTGTTCGTCCTCGTCATCCGCGTCACTTTCAACAGTAGACGGTGTACGCTTAAGCTGCAAGTCAGAAGACTTGTTACGCCTAATGACGGTATTCTGAATGCTTCGTAAGCTTTCTTCAAGTGGCAGAAGTCTGCTTTCCACAGCGCGGCCGATGAGTTTGTCGATGTGATTGTCGAAGAAAGTGCTTCGCTGGTCAAATTTCTCTGCATCGGGAGGTGACAGCATGTCGGACCAATCACTGGTGGGTACCTCCTCTGCCTTGTTGAGTTGTCGCACATGCGGGTAACCGGGGAAAGCCATGTCACTGAGGTCTGTCGTGCGATCAAGCTGTGGTGTAGCGCTCGTATCCTGCCGACGTGGGCTGGGACTGGGTGCTTCGCGACGACCCCAGTCTGCCAGATAGGTCACACCCTTCATTGGATGAGAGCCTGGACTTGGCATTCGCATTGGTGTAGGCTCTCTCTCAGATTCCGTGGCATTCAGATGGCGCATGACGGCATCGATCTCGTCAAACGAAGGGCCCGCATCTGTTACAATATCAATGCGTTCCTGCGAAGCTCGCTGTGGCCGGTCATGGAAGGCACGTGTGTCCAGGCCGAACGACAAAGGCTGTGCGATAGGAGAAACCACTCTTGGGCCATCTTCGCGGATTTCGCCTTCTTCGAGGTCGCTAATAGAGTCGTAACGCTGGTCTTCTGTAGCTGCAGTGACTTCGCTGGTCTCAGCAGGCGCGGTTGCTGGTGGCTGGAACGGCTTGGCCAACGCTGATAGCGATGTTGAGTGCTTGTGGCCATGCTTGGGATGTGCTTCAGCCCCAGCTGTTGTGGCTTCTTCGTGCTCGATGACCTCTGCTTTGCTAGTGTCCGCAGTGATTTCAGAAATCTCAGTGACAGCATCTTCGGCATCTACCTCTGCTTCAGCCTCTTCCAATGTAGACATAGGTCTCTCGGGAACATTGGAACCGAGTACTCTTTCGGCCGGCACAGGGAAGGCGGGCACATCGCAGGGCAGCGCAAATTGTGGAACCTGGTCTCCGTCATCACGCATCTTGCGACCTCTCTTTGCATTGCCTTGTTGAATGCGTCCTTCATCGTCCACTGGCTCTTCCGAGTCCGATGATGCCTTCGGCGTCGGAGGCTTCACGATTGCAATAGCCTTAGACCTACGCGCAGGCTTGACGATGTCTGGGATATCAACTTTTCCAAAGATCTTTGGAAGTTCGTCAACGATTGTGGAAGGCGCATTCATTGGCTGCTTCGGAGCGTCTGATCCGAATGCAGGACCTGAAGCTGAGAAGCTGAAGTCTGACGACGTAGGCTTGAAAGTCGCGGCATTCGCGTTGAAAGACCCAGAAGACTGATGCCTGTTGTGTCCAATCATTCGCCCTGCATCTGGTGCTGGTGCTGCCAGTACCGGCGCGAATGACTGCGTATCGAAAGTCGGGATCGTAGTTGGTGCACCGAACGTGAATGGCTGAGAGGGCTTGAATTCCGCGCTTGGGTTGAAGGTGAAGGACGGAGCGGCGACGTTGAAACGCGTGGATGCGCTCTTCTTCCGGCTATGCGCAGATTCTTGGACCGGTTGATCGCCAAGCGGATCTCTTTCGACCTGTGATGCTGGTGGCTGTTTGTCCTTGGGGGCAACAATGGCTACCACATCAGGCGATTTCGATTCAGCCTGTGAACTCTCTGACTCTTCCGCCAGTTTGGCGACATCGCGGTTGACAGTCTTCTCTCGCTTTTCAGCTTCGAGAAGGTCGCGCTCGAGCCCTTCACTAATATTGTGCCGATGACCTTTCGGTGTGGGGACTACAATTTCTGTACTGGCTTGAACCCTCTTGTGCGGCGGCACATACGTGGACGCTTCAGCCTCGTCGGCTTCATCTTGCTCCTCTTCGTCATCCTCTGCGAGCTCCGGAAGGGCCGGGGTGGGCCGCAGACTAGATCCGTGTGAGCCGTACGGCAGAAACGAGTTAGGCATCGAGGGTGCGGCCATCGACTGCGAGTATGCGTGTTGCTTGCGCCTGTAATCTTCGACCAATCCTCTACTGTAATCTTGCGGAGATTGTGGGAGGATTTGCTGGCTCAAGGGGGATCCTGGTCCGCGGCCAAGATCTTGCCGCAACGCAGCGATCTGAGCTGGCGATCCGCCACGAGGCAACATTCCTTGTTGCAAGTTAAACGGTTGCTGTTGTTGATTGAAAGCCTGGAATACTTGAATGCTTGGAGACTGTGCTTGCAAACCTGGAATGCCCGGAGACATGCTCGGAGGGAATTGCGACTGAGGCTGTGAACCTGGGAAACCGATCGAGCTTCCGGTGAACGTTGAGTGCCTATGCATGTGGCCAAAAGGCCCGTTCATTGGCGATATAGGTGAGGCGACAGACATTGTGTGCGAGTGACCACGCATGAGAGTTGGCCTGCCCATGCTCGAGGCTGAACCAGTTGGGATTGGTGGCGAGAAGGGCAGAGGTGGGTACTGCCCAGACGATTGTCGAGACAAGTCCTGCATCTGTCCAGGCACAGGAAGTGGCGGCAGAGGTGCTGGCTCGTCAAAGCCCAGGGAGACGCCCAAAGCTGCCAACTTCTGTTCAGTGAGGAAGTCCATATATGCCTTCCATTTGGCGAGATCCGGCAGCATAACATTGATCTGATCCTTCGTTCGAGGCACGCGTGCTTCACGCTCGTCTGGGAAAATGTCCTTGACTTGGGCGGGTCCATCTCGAATACTCGACTCCTCAGTGAGATCGTAGCCTGAAGTGCTGTAGCCAGCGTGCTCGAAAGTCTTGATACGCGAGGCAATTTCTTCCTTGCTCATTGGCTTCGGGAAGCCAGCAGCCTCGTAGTCATATCGGGGAATGGCGATGACTATATTCTTCCCACGCCAACTGACCCTCTTCTTCAGTCGTGGCGGTTCGAGCCTCGAAGGAGAAGGCGTGGGCGCCGGAGCGCTCACTTTCGGAGGGCCTGGCACAAGCGAGGCGGGCAAATCGGCGAGAGTGATAGTGGGGCTCTCGTGTCCTGCCTCTGGGGCACCTTCAGGGTCGCTGCTTCCATTGATTTTGGCCAAGAGTGCTTCCTGCTTGGCTATCGCGTCTTCCTTTGCTGCGGCGTCTCGCGCTTGCTGATCGGCCACTTCTTTCACCAAATCGCGCTCCTCGTCCTCAGGCGGAGGCGTGTCCGCCCATCTCGACGCCATGACGCTCTTCGGCACAAAGTTAGGATCGACCTCTTCTTTCTGCTGCTTTTGCGGCGCCGTATTCTCCCCGGATCTCGGAACCGACTCTTGCTCAGACAGCTCCTTCCTTTTCTGCTTCTCCTCTTCCTCTGGCGTCGCCGCCCATCGCGACGTTAGCAGGTCCTTTGGCAACTGCTCCGTCGTGTCTGCACTCTTCAGCTCCTCTCCCGCTCGCTCGAGTGCGTTTTCCGCACTCGCATCTGGCGTCTCCGCCCATCGTGATGCGAGGAGGCTCGACATGCTGTCGTCTCCTTTCTCACCTCGCAAGGTATCCCAGAAACTCTGCTGATCCAACGTACGATTCTCCTCGCGACGTTTGTGGCCCGGCCGCTTGACCTTTCCACCAACAGATGCTCTACGCGGGCCTTCGGCGTCTGACGTGCTCGCGTCACTCCACCAATGCGCACGCTCCGACTGCTCGAGACGCTGTGGCAGATCTACCCAGCGCTGCGTCCTTGACCGAGGTGTCTGGTCGTCGAAAATACCGAGCGGAGAAGTGTTAGGGGCTACTGGCAAGCTGAGATCTGCCAGGCGAGAGGGAATGAGGTGTTCCAATCCAAAGCTCGCTGGGGACGACTGGAGCTCGCTGTTATCCTCGAGAGGATCTAGTTGCGAGAAGGCAGTGTGAGCGGACCTCGAGCCAGGCGAGGATGAGAAGTTGTACACCAACGGGGAGCCCCAAGGCGCAGTGTGGTAGTCGGACTGATTATCTCTGCTCCGCACGCTGGCTGGCGTTCGCGGAGGAGGCAAGCGCGAAAGATCGGGGCTCAGTGTGGGCGGTGAGAGCAGGAAGGGCTCGCGATCACGTCCTCGTCGTTCGGTGGGCGGATCAGCTAGAGCAGCATCTTTGACAACGACAGGCGGCGACGTTGGAGCAAACGCGGCGGTCGACGTGGTGGTGTCGGTGGCTATGGTGCAGCATCATCAGTATCGTCGTCCATCCACCAACAATATTCACGGCATCCGGCTGAGCATCAACGGCCAGCCAGTGACTTCTCCTCACCTTCCACGTTTCCAACAGTTCGCGAGCGACAGACGTCCCGTCTCTATCGCTCCAATGGATGTAGTGTCCTGCTGCTCCGTCGTCTCCCACAAACGACTCTTGTGCTTCTCCGACGCGTCCTGGCACCAGTCCTGAATGTCTTGCAGGGAACACCGGCCAGAATTTCCTCCTGACGCGCTCCGCTCAATTCGGCTTTCTTTTTGGTGATTTTCCGAGCAAATGGCTACAAATGAGAGGGAAAGGAATGACGAGTCTGCATCGAAGAGCAAATGTATGTAACAAGACCAGGCATCATACGCAGGACAAACACGCCGGACAGAACGAGTTGCATGCACCCGGAGCGGCGATGGAAAGTCGGGAGAGTCGTTCGTTCGTCCAGAAGCAAGGAAAGGGAGCAGGCGTCCGTGCTGTGGGGGCCCGAGGAAGGACTCCCATCCAACGACATTGCGACACGACACGTGAAGGACACTACTTCGAACAACCACCCAACTTCAACTGCTGCCGCATCGGGCTTACATGCGTAGGACGCGACTCTGCATCCTTTCCGTCAGCATGTGAGACTTCTATCATCATGTTCGACAACATTTCCTCTTTCCAGCACGAAATAACCCCAACACGATGCTCAACATCAAAAGCATTTCGTCACGTGGCGTCGAGCGTGCAGCGCGAAAAGTTTAAACTCAGCCTAATCGGGGTGTAGCCTAGGAACGATCCGCTTCTGTTCACCAGAGCTTCAGCGAGAGAGAATTGGTATCAATGCCTTGAACAGCTTGGTAGCTTCGAGAGCATCCACAGAACCTCACGGATCTTCTCGGACCGCTTGTCTAGACGTCACTCATCTCAGACTGTAGGACACGTCTTGGGAGCATGAACAAGAAGAAGCGTAGTAGTTCTTGCGATCGATGCGTCTTTACCACAAACTCCGCCATCGAACAGGGTAATATTTGATGAATTGTTTACTCATGCAAGCTGGAGGCTAGGTTGTGATCAGTTGGTCATTTCAGCTCCACGGGCTCTAAGACCACTGGACTCGCTCTTGCACTTTGGACATCCTATTGGGCGATTTGGTCGCGATTCCACATTTTGGTATTCAAACATCACACATCTTACATTTTTACATCGGTCATGATATTTCCCATCTCTGCATCAATTTCAGCCGTCTCTGTTATATGCCGCCCAGGACTCATCATAACCATTCATAAGCCCTCAAGTATCTTGGTCATCCACTTAACTCATATCCTCTGGAGATCATGTCATTCTCACGCCTCAAGCACTAACCGTCAAAGCCTTAATATCCCCCTCTCTCGAAAAACTAATATCCTTACTCAAACTGACATCTTGCCCCAATTCATTCATCGCAGTAACACCCATAACACCAGTCATAGGCGTATCTTTCGGAGGACTGAGTCCTGCAGTTTCTTTCATTGCATGTAACCAGGCTTCATCCATGAAACCTCCGCTTTCGCCGGACATGGCTGCGTATGCGCCCTCATCGAGACCCCAGACGTCACCGGCGGCATCGAGATTGATCAGGCTGTCGAAGTCTGGCTCGAATTCGGGTGCCATGTTGATTAGGCCTGGGAAATTTGGTGCTCCGCTGTTTTCATCGTGTTCGCCCATGCCGGATTCGTGTTGGGTGGCGTGGCCGTCGCTTCCTGGAGGTGTGGATGCTAGGTAGTTGTTCAGTTTGCGGGCGATGTCGTCGTCTGTCATAGATGCGGATGCAGGGCCCATGTTCGAGAGATTCAGCAGTCGGTTATCGCGGTTGCTGCTATCACTGATTCCATTGGCGGAATCTGGTGGTGGTGTGATTGCGCCGCTGCCGGATCGCTCGATGGCTGGACGTTCATCTGCTGGCATTACACCCAATCTCTTGCCAACTCCCAGTAGATCTTGAGCAGATGTGATGACTCGTCGTTCGCGAACTTCATCGGTTTTCTGAGGAAGACTGATTTCCGCTTTGCGAATTGCGGCTTCGAGGAAGGCGGTACTGTAGTCTGCAGCTGCATAGATGTCGCGAAGTCTGCTCATGATTTGCATGCATTGACAGAAACCTTGGAGGCTGGTTCTCCTGGTTACCTCGTCTGGAGCTTTAATATCGAGAAGATGGATGATTATCGCCGGAAGGAGGACTGTGATTCCCGAGGTGGGTAAATACCGCACCATGTCGAGATCGTAGAGGCGATAGGCAATGCTCGTAATTTCGCTCGCAGCGAGCCGCACAGCTTTACGAGAATGATCGAGCTGTTCCGTCTGCTGCTGTCGTGGGGGCAGAGCTGTAGATGGCAGGACCTGGGGTCGATGCAAAGCGGACAATGTCGCAAAGTAGATCATATGCAGCAGGCTGCGATTGAGTACGAGCGAGTCCCTGCCAGAATCGACATCTGTCCATGTGGGAATCGCGTATTGTGCTTCATCGGGAAGCTCGGACTTCCACTGCTCCAGCTCCGCATTGCATGTCTGTACCTCCGTCTGCTCAGGATCGCGCTTTTTCGCAACGAGGCGGACCGTGGTCACTGTGTTGCCCTCGTCAGAAACGACGCCATGATTGCTGTTCAAGACTGAATATTGCACACTAAGAACGTGGCTCATGCAGATGCAAAGCTTCGCGTTCTGAATGCACATGATGTTCAGCTGCCTTTGCATGTCCAGATCTCGGAGCAATTTGCAGCCTGCAGGAATACACGATGGTCCTTCGGGAAGCACAGCACATTCGAAATCGCTGAGCTCCAGCATCGGAACATCGAAATCCGCATTTTTGATGCGAGTTGGCCGACGCATGCCCAGTGCAACCAGTCGATCACGCATGTAGGTCGACCACCAGATTCGTTTCCACAGTTTCTTCCTCGCAGGATCCATAGCAGCTGATTTTTCTGGATTTCGATGGAGTCCGATAGTGTGCGATAGCGAGACTGCGATCCCCATCCAGTGGTGGCTGTCCTTTTGGTCATCTGGCGTCTCATACCAGTATGTCATAAGCAGGAGTGATTGGATCAAACATATGCGATCGACTTCGATATCGAAATCGTAGAGGGTCCTCGTTTTTGTGAAGAAAGCTCGGCGGGCATCTCTCCTGGTTGCATAACCCGCAGCCTTGAGGAATCGTATGTCCACTGACGCAACCGCGCAGAACATCATAGCCTGGAAGAGTAACAGGCTGATCGGTGAATTGCCATCGTTCCTATCGATCGTCGCTACCAGATCGTGGATATTGAGCAACGGCATGAAAGGATGTATGAACTCCACGTAGCTCCGGAGCAACTCATCGCGCAGTTGCTGACTTGGTATCGTCAAAGCTCCCTTCTTCTCCAAGTACAAAATATCCTCCGTATCAAGTTTCGAGGGTAGCGGTTTGATATAATTCGGCAGGCTGTAGGATGGCTGCTGTGGTAGATTGAAGTGAGGCATCACGGCAGCTGGGCTCGACATGGAGGGTTTGTGAGTCAGTCGCTGTAGGTTCATCATCATATCTGACGCGTAAAGATTTGGCCTGGGGTGATCTGAAGACATGGACATGCTTCGCCCGAGATCTTGATCTGTGGTGACGTTCAGCATTTAAACATCTTCAATACGCATCGTTTCAACTCACACAAGGCATGTGGGACATGTTCAGAAACGGATTCCTTCCGCATTGGCGCATACGGTGGTGCCGCAGACATGGGAAACACGGAAGGCTTGTTGAATGGCAAACCTCCCTTGCCGAGCTGCGGCGAAGCTCCCAAGTCGTTCGACGTCCATTTCCTGTACAATATGTTTAGAACGAGACCACAACAGTCGCGAACAAGCCCAAAACTCACTTCTTGCGCTTGCTCTCCGAAACAATGCATTCGACCTCGTCGAGGCGGCAATTGGTACAAGGCGGACCGTGTTCGACGACATTGCAACGGACTTTGCGCGAGCGACAGCACTGACAAGCCTTGGAAGCTCTTCTCTTGACGCTCTTGTTCGGTCGCATGCCATTGGGCTTGAGTCCGGCATCGGTGGAGGTGCGCTTGTTGGACGAGGACTGCGGAGGAGCATGTGCTTGCACGTCGATGGTATCAGAGGGCGAAGATGACGTCTCCGACATGGCGGGCTCTGGAATAGCTATGGAGCCCATGGTTGCATGCCAGCTACGATTGAGCGAGCTGTGGTTGGAGGTGGAGGGGACGAGACAGTGGTAATGGGAAATGCAGCGGAAAAGAAAGCACGTCTTGGGCGAAGCTAGAGATGAAGCGCCAACCTTGACCAGCGCCTGCGATCCTCGTAACGCTCCACCTCAGAGGGGCATGGTGTGGATGATATGAGATGGCCCAAACCTTCTAGCGTGCCGCGACTTATCTCCGAAGTAGCGTGGGTGCAGGCAGAGGGCACACGATGCCGCAGCGTGCTCGCTAGCAGCAGTCTCGACCAAGCCCCAGGCTCGCGTCGGCACAGCTGCTGCGTGAATAGGTAAGCTGGAGGAATGGGAACCTGGGCGTGTCAACAGCCTGCGTATCCTGGCTGCCGCATGTGCCGCCGGCCGTGCGGTGGTGTCAAGGCGTGTCTCGTTGCCAACGCCAAGTGGCGCAGGGCAATGGTCGCGAAGAGCGGAGCCCCATCTCGCGCTACTGCCAGAAAGGCGGAGATGATGGAGTCTGCCGTGCACAAATCTGCGGCCGGAGGGTCTTCTGGGCGCGACGGTGGTCGCTGGCGCTCTCCATCGTCGCGCCCGTTTACCGCGTCCCAGGCCCAGTCCCTGGCAAGCTCGACAAGATACCGTGATGACCAGAGCCGCAATCGGCGTGTGTTGGGGCGGCGGCCATGTCGACGCAGCTGACTCCGCACGTAAGTCTCCGCGGTGAGCGCGCAGCAAGTTCGGAGGCTGCCCCAGTACAAGTGTACAACTCTCGACCAGACACCTCCACGTGATGGAATGCGCTCCGTAAACGGACGTTGGAAGCGGAGAGGAAGCGTCTTGGATCAACGATCAAGCGACTCGGATCCGGCGCGTCGCGTTTGACCCTGTTGCTGTCGTCGAAATAGCCACGGCCATTGGTCCCACATCATCCCCATTCGTTCGGCTCCGGCGAATGCACGCAGAGCCAGGGCATAACTCTCGTGCGTACAGCGCTGCTTCTCACCGTGACATTCGTTATTTCCATGATTGCATGCATAATCCAACGCGTCATGCTGGCCACAGCTTTTTGCGGAGAGCGGAGGTGTGCTGTCGAGGGCAAGAAAGCCGCGCTGGACAAGCGAGAAGGTCATCAGCACTCGAGGCTTTTGAGTGGCTGTTCGGTCCAAAGGCGGGCACATGGTTGAGCCACAAAAGTCAATCGTGCTCGTCTTCCACTGTCGTGCTGAACCCGGAGACAGGACATGGCCATGGACACTTCTTCACGCTAGCACTGAGACATTCTGTTCACTTGAGGCTGCACGTCCGAGCAGTAGTCAGCAGCAATGACAATCGTCGACGCGTCTATATGAGCCTGCTGTGTCAACATCTGCTCGTTGACCAGGCGTGCTATCTCACTCCGCTTTGGTCTGCAGCCGGTGCCAAGTGTCGCTCGAGCAAAGCACCGTGCTCCGATGGTCTGCATATGCGCCGGCTACCGTCCAAAGACACTCTGCAGCTGCAGGCCGGGCTTGACTCGAAGCGGTCGAGTACGCTGAAGCTGTGTGCTGATCGGAGTTCGCGCACAGTACCCCATAGCAGTCTTCTCACGAGCATTAGCAAAAAGCGCGCAACCACGGGTATTTCGCTTCTTGGACGCGTCGCACTCGCACCGCTTCGCCGATCATGATGTAAAAGCGCCAGTCATGATGGCGCGAGCGTCACATGCAGATTTCCAGTCGCCAATTTTCGCTCTGATCAGCGCAGCTTCTTTTTTGCACTCCCGTTCATCGCTGACTGTCGGCTGCGCACGATCTCTGGCAGAGAGATGAAACTAGACCAACTCAACTCGAACTCGTCTGCCCGCCCGTTCAGACAGTGTCGCAGCCAAATGCCCCAAACTACGAGGAGACCTTGTTAGCGAACCAAACTCAGGTCATCGTCCAGAGTGGTCTTGCTCACCGATGTAGAAATACGCGCCCAAACCGGTCCCCAAATGCCACCAGCCGTGACCTTCAAGGAGGATTCCCCATGGCAACCCGATTTCATGTCTCCATCTGCGGATCGTGGAACAGTATTCGTTGTCCAGATTCCAAACTGCAAAGCCTCCCAGGAATAGGGTCATTCCAAGTGCAATCATTGTCCACATCTGCTTCAGAATCCATCGGTCTCTTTCATCCAATTGTTGTTCCTGTGCTCGTGTCGCATCAGAAACGGTCTTGTCTCTCCTCATCCGCTCATGCTCCTCCTTGCGGCCTCGGAAATAAGGTCGAATGTCCCTCTCCATGATGTACATGCTTCTGCTGAGGACGATGATCGTGAGGAGCGCATACGCATTTTGGTGAAATGTCGGATCCTGCAAGTAATGATAATACAGAGTTATAAAAATGGCAAGGCCAGTGGTTCCTAGTGCAATCGAGATTTGTATCCATTGTGACCTTTTGTGAGCGAATGTCGCAAAGAACATGAGGCAGGTGGTGTAAATCATGGAAAGCTCATCGACCAGCTGGAATGGGTACAGGAGCGTGGAGTGGAATGCGAAGGAGCCTGAGCCGACCAAGAAATATCCTATATTGCAACGAGGACAGGTGAGCTTGTAAGTCTTAGTGAAAAGGATATCCTCAAAATCGTACCAATAAATGTGATGAGGAAAATGCGATCATGTCCATATTGGATGCAATTCCGGGCGCCTCGATAGGCCAGGTAGATGAACAGCAGATTCGTTAAAGTGTTGATGATTTCTGCCGAGTATTGAGTCGCGTAGTAATTCTACGCGTTGTCAGTCTCGCCACAAGACAGGCCAAGATGTATGAAGCTTATGGCCGGGGAGCGCTGAGCTTGGACAACGACGGTAGGTGATCCGGGTCTCGCATACCTCTTCACACCAGTCCAAGGTGGACGTTATGGGAGCCCAGTATCCATCGTCCCTAGCAGGCGGATATGGGATGCTGGGTAGCCAGGCTACCATGCTAGGATCGAGATGTTAAACAGCGATACACGAAGTTGACGTAAGCTTCTGGCGTGCAGTGATGAGCCTGTGGAAGTCGCAGATGGCCAAGAAATGAGAGGTGTTGATCCGGGTCGACGTGAAGGACTTCTGTATGCAATGAGTGGCCGTGTGACCAGACAAACAATACTCAACTGTTTGTGGTGTCTGCAGGCACACACGTCACTTGCAGTAGGTCTCACTGGATCTACCGCGGCATGCGTGGCTTCCCGAAGTCCATGCCTGACGCCAAGCCTCAGTCCCGGAATAGATGCCGCATGTGATAGCGATAGCGATCTCCAAAACCACAAGCACAGCACCTTCGAGCATTTGTCGACGGCGACGCGGCTACGGCATCATGGCGATCCCGAACGAGAAGCTGCAGCAGGTGTGTATATCCTCATGCCATGCTCTTTCCTCGCCGTGTTGGCCACGTAACTGACCGCCACCACCCCAGCTCTTGCAAGAAATCGAGCAAAAGGCCGCCTTCGCCTCCCAGCAACTCCAGATCGTGCGCGGCCAGATCAACTCCAAAAATCGCGAAAGTCGGATGCTGCAGCTGAGTGCGGTGGAATTGGACTCGTTACCAAAGGACACTCCAGTTTATGATGGTGTCGGCAAGATGTAAGCTACTCCTCACCCTTGCTCTTGGGCTGTATACCGTAACCGAGGCTGCTTCCGGCTACACCATGACGATGGGTCCTGGGTCCCAGACTAATGCAAGGGTTGCGATATAGGTTCGTGCTTACTACTACTGAGGATATCAAGAAGCGTCAAGCCAAAGAAGCGACTGATGTCAAGGCCGAAATGGCAAATCTCGAGAAGAAGCTGAATTATCTGGAGACGACTTATAAGAATAGTCAAGAGCATATGAATGCTATTTTGCAGCGAGGCGGGTGAGGGATTATGATCTGCAGGGTGAATGAAGTTGGACGTAGCCGCTTGCCATCGCTGGCTTCGAGTGCTTTTGGCTTGAATATGCACTTTCTCCGGGGAGCACCGTCACCGAAATTTACGGCTGGCTAGCCTCCACAGCGTCTTCGCTGCACTCCCAGTCCGACAGAAGGCCAATACCCATGCTATGAAGCACTTACTGAGGGGGCTTCCATTATCGACGCGGTCGATGTGCTGCCAGCAGTTGAGTCGCCGGCATGACTGCGACTGTGGTCAGCCCTCTCGAGGAGGAAGCAGAACAACTGTGACAAAAGCCAGACTGCGGACGTAGAAAATCCTGCCACATTGCAAATGGCCTCGGCCTAGCAGGAGCTGCTGCCTCATATTCCCGCACGAATTAGTCTCAGCAGATAGTCAAAATCAAATGCGTCGCCTTACGGGCTACGCAAAGCGCTTTCAATCCATTCAAGCCAACTTCTCGTTTTATACGATTGACTCTCCAATTGCAACAAGCTGTTCGCACAATAGTCGTTCTTAAAAAGAGCATATTGAGCAAACATCACTCTACTTCTGTTTCGCACAAGAACCTCCGCCTCCTGAACCAGCCAACTCTAGACCTCGACTGCACTCAATACCTAATCACCCCGTGCAAGAGGACTGATCCCCTCTCTCTCTCTCTCTTCCTAGCACAAATGTACTTGATCCATGCCTACACCGTCAAGCTTTAGTTTTAAACCCATCGCCACCAAGATGAATAAGCTCAACAAAATTCTCTGAATATCCGAACATTTCTCCTGCGTGCCTCTCTGCTCGGAACCATCCAGCGCGACCGAACCTCTGCCACTTGAAGCTCTCTGTTTCTGACACAAGTCAGGAGGATTGATTGTCTATCGATGAGCATTACCACAATAATGTCTCCCGGATAACCAAATTTGCACTGCTGTGCAGGACAAGATCACAGAGCATAAATCAAAATTCTTGAAAATGGTCAGTAGTCTCTCACGGGACCAGTCCGTTATGCTTGTTCAAGGAGATTCAAGCTGGACAGATGAGGATTCAAGGCCAATGAAATCTGGTGCATTTTGATTGTCATGAGTCGTATCTATGCAACCCGAGCTGTTTGGTAGCCAGACGAGTTTGCGATTTGACACAGGCATAGAGGCACGTACGGATATGAGCAATGATTCCAGAGAGGCTTAAACATATTTTGAATATGAAAGTATGAATTTAAGAACCGCCCGTTACATGCAGTATCAAGATCATTCATGCGCTGAGTGCCAACCTGCAGCCGAGGACTGTATCCCATCCAGGTGAAAAAACCTAGTTCCGTGTAGCGAATCCAATTCTCGAGCCGGTCGTGTCAAAGACGGAGTAGTAGTTCTCGAGGAACTTTTGGCCGATGATCTGCATTTCGTGGGTCAGTTACGTGTCTCTGGAAGGCACACGAATGCAGATGAGAACACAAGTCTTGGGACTGTCGGCTAACTTACAGTGTTGACGCCAGAGCTACCACCGTCGGTGATCCAGCTGTAATACTTGCCCGAGGACAATCCGTAGAAGCCGTATTGCGATGTAGGCACCAGGTATTGCGCAGGGGTCAGATTGTAGGTGGTGGATCCAAACTTGATGCCAAAGTTGGCGGTCGGCTTGGTGGTGAAGCTGGCCAGACCAGAGCTGCTATCAGTTCTGCCTCCGGCAGCAGACAAGAACTTGTTGTATGCGGTGGTGGGAATGTAAATCAGAGTTGTACCAGTGTCCACAATGCCCTGGGCGTTGGAGGCTAGGGTCGTGGATCCGTAAGTGAAGCTAGCAATTGAGATACCCCAGTATGGAGCAGCTGAACCACTTGTCAATTGCGGGAAGTACTGAATGCTTCCAGTGTACTTGGAGCTGTCGGTCCCACCGAGAGTCAGTTCTCCGTTGGCGTCATTCGTATCACTGCCGGACTCTGGACGGAAGTACACGCCGAGCACTTCTCTTGCAATGCTGCCTTGGCTGTAGAGGTTGTCCATGAATGTTGGAACGGTGTTTGCATTGGAGACAGTGCCTTGCGTCAAATCAGCGGGACCGAAGCCGATGATCCCATCAACGCCAGTGAAACCCTGAGCTGATGTAGCGGCACCAAGCGACTGAGATCGGACAGTCAGACCGCCGAACGAGACAGTGTCTGTGTACTCTTTGCCAGAGACAGAGCCACTGCCGTAAGAGACCTGGAAATTGCCTCCGGTGGCTCTGCCGGTCGATGTGGCCTCGCATGAGCTCTGAGCACCACACCACAGGTTCGAGGCTGCAATTCCAGCATTAGTGAAAATTACACAGTTGCTTGTTCAGTAGCAGCATACATCCTGTGTCCACAATAAGGTCCCAGGTTCTTCCTCCCACGACGATTGGCGCCACGTAAGTAACATCCTCGTTGGTAATAGAACCAGAGCTTTGACGGGCAGTGAGCTTGCTACCAGAATTGATCTTGCTGATTTTAGCCTCGCCACTCTGCACAATGCTCTTCATTGATGAGAAGTTGGCGACACGCTTCAGGGGAAGAACGATAGAAGAGCTCTCCTGCTGCACCGGTGCAGCAGAAACTACAGCCGCAGCGGCTGCGAGGCCAAGGGATGCTCTGAAGAACATGATGAAGAGAATATGAAGACCGAGGCGAGAGTAAGTTGTCCGGGATTGTTGAGCATCGTGGTGTTGGAACGAACCGCCTCACATTTATATAATGCCATCGTAAAGAGAAAACTACTGGCGTGGCAGTCACGTCTCGCACTTCGTCGAGGGAGAGTGATAGAGGACGAGCGCTAGGCGATGATACCTGCCTATTAGGTAGAAGGGCCGTCCTGCATCTCGCGTAAACATGTCCAGCAGGCCTCTATCACATACCTGAGACATGTCGCATCACCGCATGTGGACATAAAAGCATTTCTTCTTCGGTAGAAGGGTTGCATTCTGTGGCGTGCTGGCGCCATCGTCGTAGCCAATAGTAGATCGCACATGGCTCATAGCATCCGTGCCCGAGCGTTGGCAGTGAGCTCGCCATCACTTGTAGGTCTTGCAGCGGACCCAATATTCACTTCATCCACCAGTGACAGAATCAAGACTTGCCAAGGACGTGCTAGAGTGCTTGTTCAACGCTTATCGTTCCTGAGAATGGAGAGATGGTGACATCCACTAAGGTCCAGCGCTTGAGCTGTGCTAGGAAGGCCAGATGCAAATGCTGGATAAGCTGCCGAATTTGCATAAGCGCGCCATCTGCGCAGCAGTTTGATCGACCAAGCAACCGCCAATTCGAATGCATCCCCGGTGTCCGTCGATTTGCTAGAGGGTAGCTGCGAACGTGTCCACTAAAGTTCGCGAACAGCAGAGCTTGATCTGTTGCTTAGCATGCTTGTCGATCCCACCCAAAGCAGAAGGTAGTGGTGTCTTGCGACCAGAGCAACCAGTACGAGGTCCGGCAGCAAGCATGTCGTTGATAAGCGACAACTTGCAGATACGTCGCAACTAGTGCATCTTATTGTATCGCCCCATTGTGGAAGGTGTTGAACGTCCCGCATGAAAGGTCATGAGAACAATCTGTGAATTCGAGACACTACGCCGGTGCTCAGAGTGCTCCAGGTCTCCTGTGTGGCAGCAGATGGGCGGGGGAAGCTCGTCTGGGTTGGGACAGCTCCGTTCGGCAGAATGTGTCTTTCAATCAGCGCAGGTGGGAATGCAACGCCAACTCCATATTGAGCGCTCCTCAACTGGACTCATTGTATTTCGCACGAGTAGAGCCATAGTCACAACTAGCTCTTACGCAAGAGCAGGTTAGCGAGGGCCTCACTTGCATCGGCGGCAAGCTGAATCGGCCTATTGTCATTCGGCTTCGGCTCCAGCTGTCTCTGCCACCGAGAGCGTATTCCGGACAGCTCGCATGGCTCTCCTCCAGATCGACTGGTCCGCGTGATAGAAGTGGTGCAAGTCGCGATTTGAGTATCTGAGGCTGCAGTCTGCAGTCGACGCGGTTTCAAGGATGTTCCTGGAAAGCACGGTCGACATGGAGGGCAGCGTGGAAAGGTCCGACTTGGCAAAACAATGCATCACCACGCGTCGAGCAAGTCCTCTAGTTAACGCGACATTGCCTTTCATCAACCGTTCGCATATTTCTCTCGCCGCCGTGGCAGCAAGGCACCCATCGCATGCTGAACTGATGTCTCCAGCGTCACACAGCTGAGTGCCAGTCGAGTGCAGTACTGCGAGACAACGGACGCGTCGCGGCGATTGAAAACCAAACGACCTCGCCCTCGAGCGCGCATACCTCCTGCCAGCAGTGCCCCTTCCAGATCTTCGACCGCACCACCGATGAACACGTCAAGAAGGAATTATATGAAGATGGCGGAAGTGGTAGCACTGCATACCAGCAGATTGTACACACTATTGCGCTTTGCACAGACAGCCAGTCCAAGCAAAACTGCACTGGCCAAATCCGATGACACAATGTCATGTAAATCCTCCACCGGGCTCTTCGCTCCATACCGGTTGCTTAATCGAGAATCTAGCGAGGTTCAGCGTTGCTGGTACGCTATGCAAGGCTGACCACCGTTAAGCGTTCACGGTTTTACCTGCAGGCTAGCCTCATACGCCTCTGGACACTGCGATCATGAACGTACGCAGCAAGTGTCACGAGGACAAGAAACGGCATGCAGCATTTCGTGCTTCCAAGCCGTCGTGGCCGTCTTCCGATGCGAAATGGCAACGTCGCCCTCGGACCGTTGTTGTGAAATACAGGAACCAACGTTCGCCATCGTTCATGACGAGGCAGCGGTGGCTGACCTTGTGTTTGATGTTGACATCGCTCCCGATTACTGCCATACACAGTGGCCCAGCCTCACCCGTTGGGTCAATGTGCGACTGCCTCAGAGCTGCAAGACGTTGGTCATGACAGCCACAACATTTTCCCTCCTAGCGGTCATTCGCCTCTATCGCAGACTCAGGCATTCTCTCATGAGGCTGGTCGAGATTGTTCTGATACAGCAATTTCACATTATCAGCAAGGCTGGTCATGAGAAAAGAGATGGCTGTAGGCAGCGGAGGACTCTATATCATGGCTTCGAGCAATCCTCGGTCCAAAGGTCAGTAAACCACTCATTCCTCGTCCGATACCGTTTTACATTTGTGCATCGCATCAGCTACATTGCTTCGACCAGTCTACAACAGATCAAGCAGAGTTCCGGAGCCGCTGCAGCCATGAAGGCCTCAAACAGTATGATGCTCGCTGCTGCCACAGCAACCTCAGCTCAGACGTTGCTGAACAACACCGGAGATGTCGCAGCATCGAGCTCCGTTTCATACTTGGTCGCGGCCTATGAGCAGTTGTCCACATCGACTGCAGCTGCATTGGCAGAACCTTCGACTGATGCGGCGCTCTCGTTGAACGACCCGGCGGCGGCAGCTACTCCAACTGAGGCGGCAGCTGACCCAGCGGCACTCTTGCCGACCACTCCTACCGATGCGCTGGCCGCTGAGACTGGAGTGGCACCAGCTCCTACTGAGGCTGCTATTGCTGCAGAGACAGACAATGCGGCGACGGCAGCCGACTTAGCAGCGGCGGAGGCGACACAAGCCGAAGGATTGCCACCGGTCGACTTGGCCAGTACTACATCTGTCACCACAGAATTTAACACTCAGGCCGCTGGATACACACAGGAATCGCTTGCTCTGCTCCCGACAGTCGAATCCGCTACACGCACATACACCGTCCCAGCCGGTCTGCCTACATCATATCCCTCGCCATTCCCTCTTACGACTGGAACCAAATACGAGCTGAGTCCAGATGTCGACCTGCTGCCCACCGCGTCTCTGCCATCCTACGTTACAACGGTAACATACACAAAGGGATCTTCGATGTTCCTCAGCACTGTGACATCTGACTGTGGCAATGGCACCATGGTCTTCCCGCCCAGCACTCAGCCTCCCGTTCTGCCTCCAGCGCCTACCACCGGCCCAGAGCTCCCGCCTGCTCCAGCTCCACCAGCCTCATATCCAACATTTGGCCCGCCATCCAGTACGTATCCATTGGCACCACCGCCGAGTGAGCCGACTCTGTCCAGCTCCGCTTCCATCTGGACGGACCTTCCTCCTTCGACGCTCACGGAGATCCCGCTGACCACTCTCACCATCATCACTGGAACCTTGACAAGCTACAGCACAGTGGTGTCCAACTGTGGTAACGGGAGCATGACTCATGCACCCAGTGCGCCGATGCTGCCTCCGACAAGCATCAACATTGGCCCAGTGATGCCGTCTCTGCCTGGTGGAGAACCTGGGCAACCACCCGCACCAACAGAAGCACCAGGACTCTTTCCCGGCCTTCCAACACCAATTCAGCCACTGCCAGAAACTCCATGCTCAGAGGCTACTGGCGAAGCACCTTACCCGATCCCTGCAGCGACCACTACACCTGCTTACACAAACGTCTGGTCGGCATCTGAGGTACAGCTCTCGCCCGCCAACCCAACACAGGGCCATCAGTTCCTTCCTGTTCTGAACACTACAATGGCAACCATTCACAAGCCCACACCCAGCCCAACAATTGAGGACCCCGAATTGATGGGTCCTCCGACGACAATCGCTGGAGGCTTCTCGCAGGGAAGTGGCACAGCAGACCCCGGCCTCTTTGCTGGAGGTGCATCGTCTGTCCACGGGCCCAGCAAGATCTGGGTGGTCCTTGGTGCCTTCCTGGCCGTCGCTTGGATGTTCTAATGAATTGATGTGCAACTTGAGCATAGCAGTGTAGCCGCATGGTGATGGCGTTTGGGTAAAGGAATACAGGGAGTTGGGCTTGCAGCGAGATTTGGCGATCTGGTTAGTTGTGATAGCGTCCTTGCAATATGTAATTGGTAAAATCGGTGCATATAAGAGTACAAGAAAATCACTCGTCAAAAATTGTTCGCTCGTTTCTTCTTGAATATTTTATTCCGCGATCGCAAGTTCCATTCATGTTGTGCAGTGAGGCTCTGAGCACGTGAACTGAGCATGCAGACCCCTGCTAGCGCATGTCGACCTCGAAAGTCGCGTCGTGAAAGAAAGGCATCGCAACAAGCCGACTACAACAACCACTCTCTTTGCGCTTCCGTACTCTCGCCTTTCATCGCGCAACTTAGGCTACGAGCACATTCTGGAACGCGCGGACACTGCATTGAAAAGACCCCGCCTGAACGAAGCAGCGCATTTCGAAGACAGACAACGACAACATGGACTACGACGCATTCGGCGCCACCGATGGCGATGACAGCGGGCCAAAGATCACAATCCGAGAGGTGGGTGCTTGCGACGAGCGCTGAAGGCGTCTCAGCGCATTTGTGCAGAACAAGCAGAATAACACATTTGGCGATGGCAGACTTCGAATACCACGATCCGCTTCCGATTGTCCAACACCTCGCTCGCGCTCGCCAACTCCGTACGTCGCGTAATGCTCGCAGAAGTACCCACCATCGCGATCGATCTCTGTCAAATCGAAAGCAACACCTCTGTCCTCGCTGATGAATTCCTCGCGCACCGATTGGGACTCATCCCACTGAGCACAAAAGGCGTAGACGAAATGGTAGATTTTCGAGACTGCACATGCGACGAATACTGCGACAACTGCAGCGTCGTCCTCCGACTAAACGCCGCCAACCGCAACAGCGACCAAAACCTCAAAGTCTTCGCGCGAGACCTCTTCGTCGAATCCGGCGCTCCAGGCGCAACGTACAACCGCACGAGCTCCATGAACGGCTCCTCATCCGATGACCTCCCCCCACGCGGCTCACCCATCATCGCCGACCCAGCCGGTCAAGGCCCTCTAATCTGCCAGTTACGCAAAGGCCAAGAACTGCGAATAAAATGCATAGCAAAGAAAGGCATAGCGAAAGAACACGCAAAATGGGCACCTACAGCAGCCGTAGGATTCGAATACGATCCGTGGAACAAATTGAAGCACACAACACTTTGGTACGAAACCGACCCGAAAGCCGAATGGCCAGAACCGCAAAAGAATGGCGACTGGGAAGAACCGCCGCAAGAAGGGGAACCCTTTGATTATGCTGCAGAGCCCACGAATTTCTATTTCGAACTCGAAGGAACGGGCGTCATGCCTCCGGATCAGATTTTACATTCGGGAATTCGGGTCTTGCAGGCTAAATTGGCTGGTATAATACGAGATTTGAACTCGGATGGACAATCGGGTGATCAGAATGGTTATGGGGGTTTCAGTCCGAATGGGGATCCTATGACGAACGGTGGGCAGAGTGCGTATGGTGGAGGGACGGCATATGGAGCTGATGGGTATGGAGGTGGAACGGCGTATGGTGGGAATACGGCGTATGGTAATGGGGCGGGAAGTGTGTATGGAACTACTCCGTATGGGTCAAGGCCGTATTGAGAGCGGGGCTTGAGTTTCACGAAGATGGAAGGGGCATTTGGGAGAGTGAAGAAAAGGCCTGGAGTAGAGCGAAAAGACAGTGCAACCATGCATGCCTCCCATTGAAGAGACGAAAGACGCGATGGGTTTCGAGCGATGGCGTTGGAGGTCGCATATGAGCTGGCGAGCTCAGGTCAGATCATCAAGAAAAGTCAGAAAGATGCCACGCAAACAAAGTCCTGGCGCCAGGTATGGCAGTCAGTAAAACGCAATTAGCTCGACGAAGTGCCGCAAAAGGCTCTGCTAGAGGACAGTGTACCAACAGTAGACTGAGAAAATGTAACAATAAGTTCATGGCTAAAATGCATTCAAGAAGATCGTTGGGTATCTAATTCGCATGCGTTGAATCGTCTCGATACGGCGGACGTTAATTGTCCCCGTCATGCTCCGTCTGCCAGTACCTCATCGTGCCCCAATCGTACTTCGCTCCCATCCCTGAAGCACACTCTCTATCATGTCACGCTCCGCCCTCTATCCCTTTATCCCAGTGTCATTGGTTCATAAACATATACTCATCGAGCTGTGCTGTACTCAGCTGAAAAGGATGCTCAGCATCCTGAAACCCCGTCTCATTCTGCCCATGCCCACTAATCGGATGATAAGCGTAAAACGCCTGCTGTCCATGCGGCGTAGGAGGTTGCGATACCGAAGGCGTCGAAGTCGCACTCCGACAATCCGGTATCCTGCAAGGCTCATGATGTTGAATCGTACAAGCAACAGCCTGATGAGGATGTATCGAGCAAGAAGCACCATGTTGAAGTGTGCAAGGCTCATGATGTTGAATCGTACAAGGTGGAATTTCATCATGATGTTGAATCGTGCAAGGTTCGATACCACCGTTGCACTCCTGCCTCGTAGCTTCTTCGCAGTCGGGATCATTGCAAGGATCGCAGGGATCGCAAGCAGCATCATCGCACGGCTGGAGATGGTAATCAGGAAATAAGTCATGATAATCGTTGCAATCAAGGTTGCAAGGAATGCATACAGGAATGTTGCAGTCCTGCTTACTGCATTCGAACGCTGGCACTCGAAAGGGAGTGGGAGCGAACGGTATACTCGAGATGCTGGAGGCGCGGGACATGGGCGTGCCGCTGATGTCTCGGGATCGGCGAGATTCGGCTTTCTTTGAGGCGGATTTGAATCCTTGGACGTAGAGATTCCATTTGTGAGGGTCGTTGGCGATTTCTAGGCCGTGGCATTCGCGTTCGCAGTGTTCCTTCATCTTGTCTTTTCGACTGTCGACATATGTGCATCCATGGCTGTGCCTGGCTGGGCACTTGATGCCAGTCTCTGGGTTGTGGACCTGCTTCTTATGCTTTGAAAGGTTTGATGAATCGTCGAAAGCTTGCGAGCAATGCGGGCAGACATGCTTCTTCGCTTTCAAGTGAACACTGTTCAAGTGGCCGTCGAGTGCGTGCTTTACTGCAAACGAGCGCCCGCAACCCGGCCAACTGCATACGAAGTCTTTGGCTCCAGTGTGCGTTGTGAGGTGCTTGTCCAGTTGGTCCTTAGTCACGAAAGCCTGTGTACAGCTTGGACATTGAAAGGGCTTGTATCCAGTGTGCGAATGAACGTGTCGGACCAGTTTGTTGGCCGTGGGAAATGAGCCTTTGTTGCAGCCTTGCCATTGACATGTGAAGCTCCCAGCGCCTCGCACATGGTGAGAGCGAATGTGTTCGTTCAGCGTCTTCGCATCTTCGAACTGTTGGTGGCATGCTGCGCCATCTATGGTCCAATGGCAGCAGTAGCGTCCACAGACCAAGGCCGATGCTCCAGCCAGGCCAGGCCTCCGTACGGTCCGTGTTCCGGTAGGCGTCTGTATAGCACAAATGTCAGCTTGAATGGCATGGAGTAGGTGGAACTATGGCGCAACATACCTTGACTGATACCAAAGGACTGTATTGCGCCGATGAAGACTGCTCTGCCTGTGCGAATTCCTGCGCCAATTGCGAGATGTCACTGAACGGTGAATATGCCGTCGACTGCTCGCTGCTGGAATGCTGCGAAGGTGGGGGCATTTGCTCGCTCGCAAGAGCCTGGTATTGTAACTGATCGCTTTGGCCATTGTCCGGACTGATCAGAGAGGAGAACTGGCTGGAGGGATGCCAATAAGGCAGCGTCGAGGGATTCTGCTCAGCGACGCTATTGCGAAGAGCACTCTCCTCGAACCTCGTCATGCTTGACGACTCCTCTCTACCACACACCTGATTGCGGCTCGTCGATACAGGTGGATCGTGCGCAAGACCCTTGGATTTGGGCAGAAGGTAGTTCGAGACCTTTCAGCCTTTGTACCAAGAAGCTTGTGTTGGCCGTGGGTGGAGGCAGTGGAAAGGTCCGTGGGGGTGCCGCTTCCGGTACTACGCGTGTCTCTCGACGAATGCTGCCACCACAAACGAGCCTCTGGTTTCGCAATATGGCGTGTCAAGAAGTGAAGGCAAGAAGAAGAATCAAGCACATTGATGGCTCAGAATGCCGGAGGTCGAGGTAGTAGAGGGGTTCATGGTTGCTCGACGTCAATTGTGCGAACTTGCGCAGCGTGAGCACCTTGATGGACACGATGCCCGCCAAGCATCGCGAGCCCGTCACGCGTGTGGTCGGCGGCGGCTATCCTGGATCGTGGTCTTGTTTGTCTGCCCTGGATAATCGGCTGCTTGCTATGGCGGTGTAGATCTTCTTGCTGCTGGCTGCGCTCGATGTCGTGGCAATCCTTTGCCCGCTTGGAGGTGAAGTTGCGATTATCTTTGTCGTGCGCCAATAGCCGAGAGCACAAAGTCAGCCCAGGCAGACCCTAAGTTAGTTAGAACAGCCCGTTTCGCTCCGCTCTGCGCGTGGTGCCTCTCTGCTCGGCTGCTACCTCACCTGCGCCGCCCAGCTCACGGCCATGTGCGAATGGATCATCCACCACTCCCAAGACCGGCCGCGTGGCTGGCATAGGCAATCACCAGCCATATAAGCTTGCTAGAACACATCTACATATCTACCTGCGCCACTTTGCTGTCTCACCTGCTTCATTGCGCCAGAACTGCGAGACGTACACGATGGGAAACTGCTGCGGCAAGAGCTCAGACGAGAACTTCCAAGGCGAAGGTCGCACCCTAGGAGCTGCTCCCGTCAATGCTCCAATTCCATCGAACAATGCGCGCGCTGCCGCACCTCCGAAGGTGACAGGACCAGGGCGAACACTGGGGAGTGCGTCGGGAGAGCAGCAGCCACCGGGATCAGCAGCGGCGAGGGCAGCAGAGGTTCGTCAGAATCCCAGACTCCTAGACATGGCTCTGTCGATCGCATAGAGCCAGTGGCAAGTGGTGCGAATCATCGTACTAACATAATTTCAACAACAGGAGCGAGCAAAAGCAGCCCAAGGCAAAGGCAAGCTTGGCAAACAACTAGACGCCCAGAAATCGCAAACACAGAAAGATACATTGGCACAGACTGCACGAGATAATGTCGCGGCGAGGGACGCTGATGCCGCTGCTCAAGCGAGGGCGTATAATTGAGCTCGAGTGGGGAAAGAGAGCATACGACGGAACGAAGTCATGAGCTTGCATGCACATTTGAGCGCGTAGGAAGGAGACGTACGGCCGTGGAGCGGGAGCAGGCTGTATTGAATGAACGCATACAGCCGATCATGGTGGTCGGTTACGGTTGAAGAGCATAGACTGGGAGGCAAGCCTCAGCGGCAGTGGGCGAGGAATGAGAAGGCACATATGGACATTGACCATCAATTCATGATTCGTGCATTTCGTTTCCAATCATATCTTATAAAAATCCCCCATCTTTCTCATCAAGATCGTAACCTCATGGCGCATATACCACATTCGAAGCGTAAATCATTAGGATCCAGTCATTCAGATCGTCTCGTCTCGTCTTCGCGTCATCATCATCATCATCATCATCATCGTGATAATCAATCATCGATCTCCTCTCAAACAGACCCCATACTCCTCTTCACAAACCCCGAAGTCCCACTCCGCCACCCCACAAGTCTATTCGCAACATCGCTGCAATAGCCATGTGTCGCAGCGCCCTTTTCAAGATCATTGCTCTCATCCACGCTCCCACTGTTATAAGCTCGTGCAACGCGATACCACATTTGAGCATCAAGGTAGCCTTGTCCTTCCTCTTGATCCATCAATTGCATGATACCGCGGCCGGCATTAGTTCCGAGGATACCGTCGCGGATCATGGCTTCGATCTGGCGGGAGGAACAGTCGGTTGAGACGAGACTTGCGTCTTTCATGGGGCCTGGTTCGCCGGCTTCGATCATGTTTGTGTTGCATGTGCCGTTGCTGTGAGGGTCGTTAGTTGAGGATTTCTGTGCAGTTTCTACTGGTGATCTTGAGGGCTGATTTCGGGAAACTTACCCGTTGTGAGATTGGAGGATACCAGAATTTCGGTGAGATCCTTGAGTCTCTGGTACACGAAGGCAACCGTGCGATTCCTGAAGCATCATTGCTAGAACCACTCGTGGGTCAACGCCACCTTCCTCTGAGATCCGAGGAGTGAGATTGAGGAGAGTGTCGATTTCTGCTGGGGAATTCTCCGGGACTCCCCAGTATTTGCAAGCGCCAGCCAGTCTACCTTTATTTGCATTCACCCTGCGTAGTGAGAAAGTTAGCATGTATGCAAAACAAACACGTTTGTCACGGCTGGTGTGTGGGGCGAAAGACTTACAATTCCTCCCAGCTCAACCACTCCGACATTTGCGGCCATCCCTCTTGTGCAGAACCATTGCCATGATATGGCATATAGCTGTGTACACTCGTGTGGTCCGTACCACCATGACGGGATGGCGTCGATGCCAGAGTAGAGTCCGGGTCCGATGAAGCATCGCACGGAGCTACGCAATAAGCAGATCCCTCGAGAAGAGACTTGCAATCGGAGTTCAACGTCGGGTTCAAAGTCTGCAGATCCGCCTGTGATCCGAACTTGGCTGCCACACTGTCGCATGTGTCTCCTTCCGCCACGACATACCACTGGGAACAGCTTGTAGCACCGCCGCTAGGGATCGGTCCAGGCGGAGGGATGCACGAGTTGGTGGTGTTCTTCGCAAGGGATGGAGTCGTGCCAGATCGTCCCGACGTAATAGTCTTGTTCCAGCCCTCGGGCCCGTTCATCGGTGCGTGAGTTGGCTCCAATCTGGCATTCTCAGTAGAAGGGAATGCAAGCGCTGCGGCAGTCGTCGTTGTATTGCTGATCATCAAGCCAACTGGAGTAGCGGTCGGAGCGAAAAGAGCACCTGCATCGGACGAGACCTGTACACCGGTAGGGCTACCCAGCGTAGCATCGGTAGCATGCGTCGGCAGCCCGGTGGGAATCTCGTTGTGTAGTTGCGGGAGCGGCGAAGGGCTCGCAGCTTCAGTCGACATGGGCTCCACCATTGCTGAGTTGATCACAATCCCTGAGGCGTGCGCGAGATCAACCAAAGATGGGACCGCAGTCGAAGCCGTCTGTTTCGCATTCACGACCTGATACGTCGATGAAGGAGCGCCGAAAGCTGCTTGACGTCTCGCTCTTCCGCGCAATGCATAGGTCGCGTTCGATGAATCTGCATTGGCAGACAAATCTGTGACGCCAGTACCAGTTACCTGAGAACCCGTCGCCACCTGTGCTGCCGTGACGAGTACGGTTCTGAGACTTGTTGAATTGCCGCTGCTAACAGTGACGTTGATCATTCGCGTTGTGTTGGCAGATAGCAGTGTGTAGTTGAGGCTTGACGCGCCTGCACTCTCGACAGTTTCGTCGATGGTGGCGGACGCAGGTACAGGCTCTTCGAAGCTGGCAACTGAGGCACTGGAGTTCCTTTGCACTGTTGCACTGTATTCGGCAGCACGTTCGCTGGCTAGCACGACCGGACCACGTGTCATGGTGGCCGCGGTGTCAGTTGTGAGAGCAATCACTCCGACCATCGAGCCGTTTAGGCCAACAACAGCAGCAACAGGGGTCGAGGCAGTGCCATCAGTGCTAGCCACGGAGCTTGCGGCGCCTGATTGCTCAGAACCAGGTGATACAGACGCTGGCGTAGGCACAATAGTGCTCACAGATAGCGTGCTTGCCCGGGACGTAGGGAATGCAGATGGAGAGTTCGTCGAAGCGGCCCTACAGATGCCGTTGGCATGGAGGAAGGACTCGCACCATGTCTCCGTCGAGGCTTGGTCGTATTCGGGGAACGTGAGGTAAATGTCGAACTGACGCGCAACAACACCACAGGGCACATCTGTCACCCATTAGCCATGATCATGAACGGAGATCATCCTTCAGTCGTACCTGGTTTGGGGTCGAAGTAGAGTGCTTTGCATGTGCCGACTGTTGGCAAGCTCTGCGCTTTCGTTCCGACACTATCTACAGAAATTGGAGTTATCCCAGGTACCGTAGTGTTCAGGCGTTCGCGGCGAGAAAGGGCTGCGGGGGAGATCGGTACGGCAAGGACTGAGCTTGCCAACAATACGATTGCCGTGAGCTATTTCACATTAGCAATGCCTCGATTTGGCCAATGGAGATGGTGAACTTACATGAAGCAATCGCATGCTGCCAGACGCTTGCCGCGAAAGCCATGCGATTAGCAGAAGTATGAGGGAAGGAGGAGTGCAAGATTTAAGCCCGATTGACAGCATGATCTCGCCTCTTTGCGCGTGCACCACTCAGCACCAAGAGTAAAGCCCGGTCGGCCGCACGCAGATGAAGGCTCTCGCGATCGAGAAATCAAGCCCGGTTGGCACCTCCTCGTGTCTCTTGGCGATGTGCTGTTGGGTGAAGATTTGAGCCCGATTGGCAGCAAGATCTGCCTCTTTGCGTAGCACTTCTCCAACGAAGGCAGGGAAGGGGAATATTGATGTGGAGGCAATGTGCAAGTGAGGTGCTGGGGAACGTAGGTACTCAGCTTGTCAGTAGTTCACTCCGTCCCTTGTGACCCGAAGGTCAGTGTTCACTCGTGGGCTTTCGTTTCTCAGTCTGCTTCGGCAAGTAGAGTAGAGTCGTAGGTGGGTTGTTGCAGTTTGGATGCTGCAGGTGATTGCAGCAGGTGTTCGCAGCAGTTCGTCCTGTTTTCCAACGGAAAAAAGGAGTGGTGCCGAGCCGCTTTGTATTCGGATAGGCAGTGGATTGGTTGAATACAAGAGCAGATATGCAGGTGCAAAGATGCGGAACGAGGAAGAGATCCGGCTCCATTTGTACGAGTAGGCGGACATCGCCACATACTCCAGTGACACTTGGCGTTGTCCCGAGAACAAAAACGTCGCGGCCATCGTGGTGACGAGCTGCAGGGCCGTTTTTGACAACGTCCTGTCCGCTTTGAAAGAATCAGCATTGAGGCTTTTCCAGATCGTTCGCGGGAGTTCATGCCTGCTAGACAACGTACGCCCTAACCCGGACTAGACGTTGCGCATTGGGAAAGGCGACGGCGACGTGCATTACTGAGCCGCCAGCTTCAATGCGTACTGCTCCGCCAACCGCCTCCCTATCGGTCTCGCAGGTCTCCCTGACAACGTCGTTGTGCTTCAACTTGCTTGCAGCATTCGTTAATGGTACTCTCCCGGCCAGAGCCAGCCCATTGCGTACTCCTTGGTGTATTGGCAGAACGACTGTCGTCGTCATTTGCTGGAGGATGCGGTTGTCAAATGCTGAGTAGAGATCGACAGCTGTTCGCTTCTCCGGCTGCGCTCATCCGCGTTCCGGTTCACGGCGCATGTCGAAAGTGCATCGGAGTTGACCCACTACAAGACTTGCATTAGTATACATATTCACTGAAAGGAACAGTCATCGCGAGCAGATGATTCCTTCTGGAAGGAGAAGCACTGGGAAAAGCCTTGAGCTCTCATATCAAAGACACTTGCGCTTGTGTTATTGAAAGTCGGAATAAGCAGAGGCTCGCCTGCAGGAGCGAAATGGTCACGACTACTAGGCCTCAGTGACATGTCGCCGATGTGAGAATGATGAGTCGTGTCATCGGCAAAAGGAGGAAGATGCATTGCTTGACTTGACTTTCGGCTGTCGTGGCCGCAGCTTCCTGTTCTGAGCTTGTGTCGTGGCACTCGTTGCTTCCAGCGAAATGCCGACACATCTAGTAGTTGCCTCCGGAGCTTTTGCTACCATAATAGCTCGTGTTCTGCGGAGAGCCAGCTCAGCCTGACAAATTCTTGCACTGCCTTGCATCTAAGCCGTTCGTCAGTCGTGGTAGCGAGTAAAAGCCGGTGGCTGGAGCCACGGTCGAGCTTCTGAATCCATCTTGACCGAGCCGATGCGGTTCCTCTAGCTACTTGTGATTCCGGTAACGACAGCGACATCAGTGATGGTTCCACCGTTGAAGCCATCTTGTGACCAAGGGCACGATGAGGCTGCGCAGATGACAGCTTGCATGGCCTCGAACTCCACAAAATCGCCTGCTTTGCTGGATCCCAATCTTTTCAAGCTGTAGTTTGGAGTGTTTTGAAAGATGTTGAAGGGCGACGTGACTTCCAGGTATGAGCCCATGCCGTAAGGCTTCATCACTTCGGCAATGTTGGCCGCACAACTGCGGTGACCGTCGAGGCCGATCTTCGCGTACATCTCTGGGAAGCATGACATGAACGTCATGTCGTGGACTTTGACAGTGTCCTGGACCAGCTTGAGGATTGGCTCGTCTCGATTTGTCCAGAGATACTCTCCCACGGCCGGGGTTACGCCGTCTAGATGGTAGCGAGTGTAGTCCATTGAGAGCTTCTCTTTCAGATCTGTACCCTGCACCCAAGCAGCGAAGTCGACGACTTGTTCTCCATACAAGTCGACGACACGGAAACGCTCGCCTTTCTTGACTTCGAAGGCAAAGCCATGCGCGGCTTTGACGATGTGCGTCTTGGTTTGCGGGTGAGAGTCGGGGCTGGGCATCTGGGGGAAGGCCATTGTATACGCCAGGCGATTTACACCTTGATGAACGACCGCGACAGGTTGGTGGGAGATGGAACAGCACGCGTCCTTCGGCAGACTCGAGGATTCAAGTGCCAACGATCATCGCGTTTATTACGTACATGAACTGTACATCATTGTGGAGTTGGTACCTGGGAGCTATAGCGACGCGGGACTCGTTTTGGGCAGGGGAATACGAACGATGACTGGCAGCATCACTGAATGTATGCAACATGTCTCTGGCGCAGCGAGAGTAACTGTGCAGAGGTGTGCCTACGAGCAATGGCCCAGCCTCGTCCTCCAGCAAAGAAGCTTTCCGCACGAGCTCCTGTCCGTGTCTGTGCTTCGGTTTCACAATGACGCAGCCGCTGCGCGACTCCTGCTGACTGCCGCGTGAGCCTGGTCGTGTGGGCGCTGACATTGGAAACATTTCTTACTCCCCCCAAGCCCGACTCGGTTCGCGGCGACGACTCCGGACAAACTGGCGCGCAAGACGTGGCGAAGTTTGCTGCAGCTCGTGCGTGTTGACGAAAAGGTCAAACTGCCGCCGTTGAAGCGATACTCTGGACGCTGGTTCCCAGGCATCCGAGCCACCGCACGAGCAGGCCTCGCCAGCTTCCGCTACGCCTTCTTGCCCACCGTCCGTCAGAGAGCCCAGACCTCCATCTACCGCTATCTCGTCGCACGAGCCCAACGCAAGCACCACCGGGCGAGCAAGCTGCCCGGCGGCGTGAACAGACGCTTGCTCTCGCCGAGGGAACCGCATTCGAATGATGGGACTGCCTCGACAGGAGCAGACAGCGAGACCGATAGCATGGCATATACGGGGCCCAGGAATGATCAGTCCTTTGCAGATTCATTAGGCCTGAGGTCGGAAGGGAGGGAACCTGGGGCACGGAGGAAGAGACTGGCTGGCTATCTGAAGACTGCGAATGAGTTTCGACAGAGCTATTTCAGTCAAGATGGAGCACGAGAAAGTCACAGCGTTGAAGATGGCCCAGGGGCATTTCCAGATGCAGCCGTGGTACGGAATGGCAACGAAGAGATGATATTATTCCCAAGCTATGCTAGACACCACGTGAAAAGTAAGGTGAGAGAACGCTCCGCGAGAGCATGCCAGTGACTACAGTTGGCGGCCGCTGATATTGCAAGTAGCATCATGAAGTTGCAACGCCTGGCCGTGAAATGTCTGAGGAGGAGTACTGGAGACGAGAGTGGGACAAGAACGAGGACGTCAATGCTATAGTGGATGTTGATGTCAGGGGCTGGATCTACACACCCGCAAAAGGTCAACATACGCGCAAGCAGAGAATGGTCATCGGCTTAGCACGACAGCTGTCTGGAATTCCGGCACCAGCTGCCAGTACACGACCTGGGGACAATGGCTATGCAGACCAGGTGTCAAGCCGGCCTTCGAGCCCGACACGGCAACAGGATGAGGACCTCATATCGCTCGAAGCGGAGAACATCGTCCGCAAAGGACAAATGGAGGAGCGATACGCACAACGCGGTGCCTTCTCCGAACAGCCAAGCAAGGCCACCGACAACGACAGTCTGTATGGGGACGTGCCCGACCGTGGTCGTCCAAAGTCGTCCTATGCGAGCAGCATCGCTTCGCAAGACTCCGATACCACTGCTACGCCCTCTGTTCAGAAGCGCCAGACATCGGCCCAGCCTGGGAGAATGACATCTGCCGAGCTCGCCGTTGCAAATGCACACCTCCTGGCCCGCCTCAAACCTTTCATGGCGAACCCCATGGCGAATAGCCCCATTAGTGCATTCTTCTATAACGATAAAGCGTCGAGGCAGCAGACAGTCTACACGGACGCCTCAGGACATTTTAGCTTCAGAGCAGCACTCGACTTTATTCCCACCCATGTGCGGGTCCTAGCATCGGAGAAGCTCTCAGTGACAGAAGAAGTGCATGTTACTGCCCCTGAAGGCGTCAGCCTTATCAGCGACATTGACGACACCATCAAACATTCGGCCATCAGTGCAGGTGCTCGGGAGATCTTTCGTAACGCTTTCATCCGAGAGCTACACGAGCTCACGATCGATGGCGTGCGGGAGTGGTACACAACCTTGGCCGATATGGGCGTGAAGATCCACTACGTATCGAACTCGCCATGGCAAATGTACCCGGTTCTGACAAGCTACTTCAAGCTTGCGCATCTACCCAAGGGTTCCTTCCATCTGAAGCAATATTCCGGGATGTTGCAGGGCATCTTCGAGCCTGCTGCAGAGCGCAAGAAGGGCTCGCTTGAGAAGATTATGCGAGACTTTCCAGACAGAAAATTCGTCCTGGTTGGTGACAGTGGAGAGGCAGATCTCGAGGTGTATTCCGAAGTTGCACTGGCCAACCCTGGCAGGGTCCTGGGCATCTTCATCCGAGACGTGACGACCACGCCAAAGACGGGCTACTTTGATTCAAATAGTAGCCCTGGTGGGAGTGGAAAACACTCCCGCAACCATTCGCGACACCCAAGTGGTGAAGTTCTTGCTCAGTCGAAACGACTTTCAAGGCCTCAAGATACTCGAAACGATGAAGCCGATCTTCAAGCAGCCATTGCTGCCTCCCTCGCAGATATGGAAAACGAGACGCGGCAAGCACGAAGGTCCATCAATCCTGATGCGATACCTGACGATTATCTGTCACCAAGCAGAAACGGCAGCGCCACAAATCCTCGTTTACCTTCACGGCCCCAAGCACGGCGTACAGTCAGTGGCTCAAGCTATGCTGCGTCACCGGAAGAGGATTTGATCGATTTTTCGGACCCAAGTCCTCCTGCACCTTCGACCGAGAAATTTAATAGGAACTTCACTCCGCCGACACCTCGTCACGCAACAGGCCCGAAAACTGTATCGTCTCCTCCACCGCCACCAAAACCAGCTGGGCTTAAGAGCCCCCCGCCTGACGCTCAAGTTTCAACGACTACCGGGAATAGCGGTAAGACGCCGCCGCCTAGGCCACGGAAATCCTCAAGTGCGGTGCAGTCCACTATTGTGCCACAGATCCAAACGCATCAACCATCACCCCTTTCGCAGGTACAAAGGCAGGAGTCAACTAGGAAAGCACCGCCTCCACTACCAGAAAGGCGTAAAGTTAGAGGCGCAATCGCCAAAGCCTTACCCATGCCCGGAAGCTACTGGCAAGCAGATCCCTCTTCTGGGGCGTCAAAGCCCAAGCTTTCTCCGGTCGTGTCTTCGCCTCTAGCTCAGTCGATGAAAACAAAAAAGTCGTACGACGACTTCAGCCCAAGCACATCAGCAATGGGTCGCACAACAGTCCCGCCGCCCCCAAGAAGAGAAGGGACAAATCTAAGCACTTATTCAACTACATCACGCCATACGCAAAGTAATCGACTATCTGGAGCCTGGCCAGAAGACGACGGGCTGCCTGTGAGTCCTGGGGACGGAGTGAGCAAGAAGGAATTTCTATGGCAGCAAAGATGGCAGCGGGCGAAGACTGTGCTCGAGAGGAACGGCGTAACACTACGTTCCTGGAGAATTGGAGCTGATGTTGCGGACGTCTGCGTCAAACTCATTGAACAAGAGCTGCGAAAAATCGAACGCGAAGCTAAGAACAACAGCAATAGAAACAACAGTGGGCGCAGATGAGAGTGACGGATACCCCTTTTTCTGAAATTGAAAATTGCATTGCGGCATGAAATGGGAGCACAGCTAGACCACGATATTGTTACATAATCCTGAGCTGATCACTCAATCCCACCAAACATCAAATCATCACATCCTCCCTCCCGTGACCTCGACCACAGACCCAGTCATATACCGACTCTCATCACTAAACAGAAAAGCCACAACATCAGCAACATCCTCCCCAGTCCCCATCCTCCCCAACGCAACTTTCTCAACCTGTTTCTTCACTGCCTCCGGCCCCGCCACCACACCCGCATTCGTCGGAGTATCAATATATCCCGGCGCCACAGCATTAACTCTAATCCCCTTGGGACCCAATTCCAATGCCAAAGCTTTCGTAAACCCTACAATTCCGAATTTCGTCGCGCAGTAGATTGCGTATTCGGGTGAGGCTTGGATGCCCATTGTACTGCTGACGTTGACGATTGCTGGTGGTCCGGCGGTAGCTGCTCCCTCGCTGTCGTTGCCAATTGTAGAATTCTGCTTCGCAGCGAAAGAAGCAGCAGATTTCTCTAACCAAGGAATCGCAGCTTTGGAAATAAGATACGTTCCTTTTAAATTCGTATCGACGAGTTTACTCCAATATGCATCCGTCGTTTCTGTGAGTGGATATGCTGTTGGGTTGACGCCAGCGCAATTGAATACGAAATCCAATTTTCCTACATGAGCTATCACACGGGCGAAATATTCTTCCACAGCGGAAGAGTTGCTCACGTCAAGTGTATCTGCAAAATGTGTAGAAGGAGATTGGCAGAGTGATCTCGTTTCTTCGACGCCGGAAATGTTGATATCGGAAAGGGCAAGTCGGGCTCCATGAAAGGCCATTTTGATTGCGGTGGCGCGGCCTATGCCTGAGGCGGCGCCTGTTATGAGGCAAACTTGGTTTTGGAATTTGGTTGACATCTTGTGTTTTCGTTTGCTGAGGGTTGAGAAGATAGGGTGTTGATGCTGTGATAGCGATGAGTGAGAGACAGTGAACTTGTCTCGAATCTGCTACAGTACCACCACCGTGATGTAGCATGATGCCCACAAGAGTGGAGCAGAGATGCCTTGTGAAGTGGGGAGATAGGTGGGTGCAGGCACTTATGATTGGTCAGCCTTGGAGATAGGCAGACCGATGTTCAGAGCAGTCTCAAGACAATATCTAGTTTGCTTTCATGCTCAATGTCCTGTAGATCCATGCTCGAACGACGAACGTATGGTACAGCTGATGCTCTCTCACCGGAAGACCTGCTTGCAATGACAATAGACAATCGACAAGTGGTTCAGGACAATTCCACAACACCATCACTGCTTGGAGCACAACTCATCAACAATTACTTCTTTGCACGAGCCTTGCCTTTGCCCTTCTTGGGCTTCTCCTCCTCTTCTTCATCGTCATCATCGTCTTTCGCGGTCTTCTTCTTCTTGCTGGCGACAGCTTTGGTAGCAGCAGCCTTGCGCTTCTTCGGCTGCTTGACATACTTATCTTTGCTAAGGTCGTTTTCCTCGTCTTCCTCTTTCTTGACGGCAGTCTCGTCAGGACCCTCATCAGCGGATTCCTCGAAGGCTTCTTCAAGGTCAGGCTTCTCCTTCGCTGGAGCTTTTGTCGGCGCTACAACTTGTGAGGCCTTCATGAATGGCAGCGGATGAGACATTTGGTTGTACCTGTACAATATTAGCGGAGTCAATTGATGCCATCTCAGCGATGCACTTACTGTCGAGTAAACGTGGCCTTCGCCTGCGTCTCGATCTTGACGTGCTCCATATCAGCCCCGCCCACACCAAGCTCCAGAATAGCATCCCAGTCATCCTTGGTGAGGTAGTACGAATCCATGAGCTCGATTATCTCTGGCACAGCATCCTTGCCTTCCTTTTGCAAGCGCTTGACGAGCTTCTCAAACAAAATCGGCAAGTATGTCTGCCGAATCTCGTTCTTGTCTGCTGTGACCCGCAGACGCATGTGTCCTTGGATCTCCTTCACGAATCTTGACAGCTTGCCCGTCTTGGAATTGTTGCCGAGCCAAGCAGTGAAACGCGTCTGCGAGCCAGCCATGCTGCCATACACGAAGCTTGCAGGACGTACAAAGCTGAAGACAGCATGTGTGGGCATGAGTGACCATTGCTGCTGACTGCCGTGGATCATGCGGTCGACCAAATCTCCATCACTAATGGAGTCTGCCGCCTTGCTTGCCAGTTCCAAAGCCGCCAATCGCTTCCTGCTAGGCTGATCATTGTACTTGTTGGACCGCTGTGGATTCGTGCCAAGATAGTTCTCCTGCAACATGAGGGGTGCAAATTCGTGATCATTGAAATAAAGTTCAGTCTTGTCGTTCAAGGTCGACTTGGACGCTTCGTTGAACAGCCCTCCGCCAAGAATCTTGCCCACCATATCCCACGGCTTGAGGACGGTGTGCTTCTCCCAAGCTTTGCTCATGTCTTTCCCGTCTTCGAAGCACATTGCCTGATCGTCCAATTTGGCTTGGCTGATCATGTTGATCACCTGTCTGATATCGGCACCAGATCCTTCGATCAGTGCGTTGATGACTGGAGGGGGTAGCTTCATGCCTTCTCGAAATGCAATTGTCATGATGCGTGCTCGAATCTGGTCGGTAGTAGGTCGACGGAAAGGCAGATCAAAAGTGCAGAAGTCGAATGGTTTCATCTTGGGCAACTTCCGATCATTGCAGATCAGGATCATGGGGACCTGGGTCTTCTTGCATACTGCAGCCAGTGCTCCCACACCTCCACGATCTCCGGCACTCATACCGTCGACTTCGTCCATGACCAAGACGATCTTTTTGTTTGCTTCTTTGACGTCCTCGACTCCTTGTGAAAAGTATCCCATAAGAGAGGTGGCTGCTAGTGTGCCCTTCAGCCCGTTTTCAACAAGCTTCTTCGAGCGAGTGTCAGACGCGTTGGATTCGACGATGTCGTAGCCTTCCATCTTAGCAATAAGATGTGCTGCAGTGGTCTTGCCGATGCCAGGGGGTCCATGGATCATCACGGCGCGATGAGTGCCAGAGCCATCTGGTCCGGGCATTTTGAAGCCGGTCCGCTGGTTCTTCGGAAAAGCGCGCAGCCAGCGTTGCAGCTTTTCCACTTGTCCTTTGTTGCCGCATATCATGGACATCTGCGTCGGAGCATACTTGACAGTCCACAATCGACTATCAGGGCCATCTGCTGCTTGCTTGCCTTTATCCGATTTTGACGCGGCCGGAGCAGCTTTCGAAGCCTGCTTGACCGGGCTCTGCTTTGCAGCTTTCGCCGCAATACGAGCCTTTCGCTCCTGCTCTTCACGTTCCAGCTCTGCAGCTTGTTCTCGGATCTGTTCCTCCTCCTTGGCCATCTTTTCGGCATACTTTTCTGCTGCAGCGCCGGAACCTCCGTTGGCGGGCAAGCGTCGTATAAGCTCAAACAAGCCTTCTTCATTGATGACCTTGAGCTTGTGTTGCTGAATGGTGGCGAGCTTCTTTGGTCCAGCGTCCTCACCAAGCACGACGTAGCTGGTTTTGCTCGATGGCGCGCTCATAATGCGACCTCCGTAGCGTTTCACCAGGTTCTGTCCCTGCTCGCGGCCCAATCGCTCCAACTGCCCTGTGAAGACAAATGCTAATCCAGCAAGACAGTTTTCCGCTCCTGAGGGCATATCTGAATCGGATAATGCCCCTGCAGGCACGGCGGAATTGGCGTGCTGTGCACCAAATTGGAACTTTGGCTTGCCGCCATCCTCACCGTCCTTCTTGCTGGGAGGTGACGGAGGTTTTATCGTTGGTATGCTATCAAATATGGCTTGCACTTCTGCGCTATCCTGAGGAGCATCCTTCTTCGCTTTCTTGGACGCAGCTGTCGTCTTCTTCTGAGGTGTCGCACGCTTCTTGGCAGGCTTCACTTCTTCGATCTCTAGGTCATCGTCGTCGTCTTCCTCGATTGCAGTCGATTTTCGCTTCTTCGAGCTTTTGACGGGCGTCTTCTTGGCCGGCTTACTCTCGACAATCTCCTCGTCATCGTCTGGCACTACGAAATCGTCATCAGGATTCGTGTCCTTCATATCGATGTCCTCGTCCGGATCTGCATCATCTTGTCCATTGTCTTGAAGCTTTTTCTGCCTGCCCGCGGCCCTTCTCTTTGGCTGGATCATATCCTCATCCTCATCAGTGCCCTCCTCGTAGTCATCGCCCCTCCGCTTGCCAACCTTGGCTGCAGCTTTAAATTCATCGTCTGCATTGTCTTCCATATCATCATCGGGGAAATCATCGGCATCAAGGTCGACGTAACTCGTAGCCTTTTTCGATCGGCTCGAGGTCTTGCCGCTAGCTTTCGTGCCATTGGCCTTGGCTTTCGGAGTGGCCTTTTGAGGGGTGCTCTGGGCAGTACCAGTGTTCTCCTTCTTCGGTCTCACAGCTTCAGAACGTTTGGGCTTTCCGCCGCCAAAGAAAGCACTCGCGGTCGTCTCTTCAAGTTCGGGTTCTGGCTCAACCTTCTTCTTCGCAGCGGACTTCTTAGGGGAAGTTTTCTTCGCAACAGGCTCGTCGTCATCCTCGTCATCTTCCACAACTTTCCGTGGTCGGCCTCGCTTCTTGGGTTCCTCCTTGGACTTGGGCTTCTCGGCCGGCGTGCCTGCAGGCTTGCCACCAAAGAACGAGCGAATGTCGGACGGCATTATGAGGGTTCAATGTGAATTCCAACACGCGCGGTCTGTCTCGCGTCTTTGTGCAAGATGGCCAAGCAGCGTGCGGCACAGCAGGTGCAGGCAGGCAGGCAGGCAGTCGAACAGACACCAGCTCCTTCTCGTGTCGCTGCGACGCGGTCATGACGCGTGAATGGGCAGCCACGCACGGGGAAGCTTTCTCGGCAGCTGCCGAACCGACCACAACTTTCGCATCTCCCGCCGACGCCGACGACAGGCCTGGCATTGAACGGGATGCGGCGATAGCATCGAGCAACTGCTCCATTTCCTGTGCGTGGAACATACAAACAACATGGCATCAACGCGCGTGGGCGTTCGCGCCCCTTCAGCCCTCCTCGCATCAGTCACCACTCGCGCCTGCTGTACGAAACACTCCCTCCGTATCACACACCCACAAACTGACCCAATCCAGGCCTACGAAGTGCTCTCCAGACACTATGCACCCAAGCGCAAACACAATCCCGAGCCTTTTCCTCCACCCCTCGCCCCTTAAACTGGCTCATCCCCAAAGCCGGCGAATCCTCCAAATCCCGCAAAGGCCGCCCCAAATGTCCCACAGGCGGCAGCACAAAAGGCACAACCCTCGTCTGGGGCAGCTACGGAATCCGTCTCATCGACACCGACCGCCGCATCTCCTCCCAACAACTCAAAATCGCCGACGAAACCATCAAAAAACGTCTCCGAGGCATGAAATACCGCCTCTATCATCGCGTCTCCGCAAATATTGGAGTCTACACCTCTGGAAACGATCAGCGAATGGGGAAAGGAAAGGGGTCATTTGATCATTGGGCTGCTAGAGTTCCGGTTAGTAGGATTTTGTTTGAGTTGGAAGGGAGTATACATGAGCAGGTTGTGAGGGATGCTTTTCGGTTGGCGGGGAATAAATTGCCCGGGCAGTATGAGTTTGTGAGGAAGGGGGATCCGCCTGTGATGGGGATTACGAAGTTGGGGAATGGGGTTACGGAGGAGATGTTGAGAAGGCCGAGGAGGGAGGTTCCTGCGCCGGGGCCGAATATGGTGGAGCAGGCTGAGAGAATGCCGGCTACTACGGCGCCTTGAAGGAAGTGCGAGGCATGTAAATGACTGTATCAACAGCTTTCGTTGTATAAAGAGATTTTCGCCAATTTCACTACGGACAAGGCTTTCTTCGCTTGCAGCTTCAACTCTTGCATAGATTTTCATGTGCATCCCATACATTCATGAACAACGTTCTAACAGACACTCAATGCTTCGTGAGATGGGGACTCAGCACAGCATCTTTTTTGTAAATGTTCGGTCATTCGAGAAGCCCTCTGTATACAGTCTGAAACTAGATACGCTGAAATGCAGCCTCCCATAAGGGGAAGCACAAGAACACATGAATAGCATGTGCTCTAGCAACAAGTCGCTCTCTCAGCAGACTTCCAAATGGCCGTGGCAGCTTTGCTCGCAAAGCGTTGGCAAGTAGCCAAGCCCAAATCTGGAGCATCACCGCGACCTCGATTCTGTCTTGTGTGTATACAGCGGTGACATAGCACCGTCATCCTTTTCGCGCCGAGGAATTAAAGCCGCCCATCCATCTATATGGTATCGTCCTCGGCTGTGTCGTCATAAGAAGTAAGAAAGAAGAAACGCCGTTTGCCAACCACTATGTCCAGTTCGGGTATACCCATACAACTCCCACTGCCCCATTTATCGAAGAAGACGCCTGTTGGTGGTATCAAACGGCCAAGTCGTAGAGCAAGCAAATTAAGAAATATGTCGGAAATTTTCGGATCGTAAAGTGCGATAATTCGTAAACCAGGTCGTGGCGGTCGTGTGTGAGGTGTAGCGATATACACTTAACATACATAGCTCGAAGCAGATGAAATGATGTGTCCTCAGTAGCCACTGGTCTGACCCGCCGGCGGGGCTATCGCAAAGGCAGCGGGATCCAGCTGTAGGTCCTTGATGATGCGGGCATTTGCGAGTTGCAGCGCATAGAGGTAGTTGTTTATCTCTGTCAGGCACTCGGAGCGCGAAAGGCCAGATTTGCCCATCGCAAGAGCTGGCGTGAGCTCATTGAGATCGCGATAGCCTTGATTGATGATCTCGCGGCGCTTCTTCTCCGAAACGATGTGGTTTGCTCGTTTTTGATCGTCCGTGAGATTCTCCTTCTTGCGGGGCGGGCCACGTCGCACGTCGTGTACGGGGAGCGTCATCGGACCGTTCGCGTATGGCATCTGAGGCGGGGGCATGGGGTACTGTTGAGCGTACATCGCCGTATGAGTTGGTTGAAAAGGAGTTGCCATCGACTTGCGCCGCTTTCTCGCGCCACCGTCGCCTTCATCGTCGTCTCCCTCGTCGTACTCCTGCTTCACGCCGCTCGCACTGTTGCTGTTAGGCCGCTTGTTGGATCCTTGCTGCGAATACGGTCCTGCGCCATTCCATGCGGTGCTGTACTGCGGAGCGAACTGCTGGCTGTGGTGGGGTTGCGATCCATGGTCCGCCGGCACGTCTTGGCGAAATCGGTCGTGGCCATTATTTGGTGGGATTCCAGCTGCTTGAGGAGCTAGAGGGATGCCTAATAGATTTCCAACCTTCTGGCTGTGATCGGTGGCAGTACCGGCGAAGTTGCCGTTCGAAAAACTCGTATCGCTGCCGAAAGTGCCAAAGGGTCTGGCACTTTGAGGTGCTGTTGTGGGTACGTATGCGCTGCGGTGCATGTCTCCGATCACCATTTCAACGAGACTGCCACCGCTGTCCCGCGGTGGGGCGTTGTTAGGAGCCGTTCGCGGGACGGAGCTATGTAGCCACTGTCGGTCGCTGCCAAAGCCGCCTGCACTACTTGCGTTCAGACCTGACATACTCATGGCGCCCCAGCTCGCACCGTCCAGTGTGAAACCTTCGTTAGATGCGTTGTTGCGAAAGCCGCTGAGGGTAGTGGCAGCCGCCACGTCATTTTGCGACATTGCCTGTTGGCTGTAGGTCGCCATACTGTTTATCTCGTTCGCTGAGTAGCTTTTGGACTTGCGTGTGGCATCATCGCTGCGAAACTGGCTGCCCACATTATTGCTGTTGTGGCCCTGGTTGTGGGTGTAGCCGAAATTGGTGTCATGCAAAACGTTGGGATGCTGAAGTGAATGCGAAGGCGCGAGGTGCTCTGCGGCGTTGCTACCCCCGGCGGTGTTTGTTGAAGGCTCTTCGTAATATCCGAACGCAACATGCTTGCCGCTGGAGAAGTCGTCAGGGTGTGTGAAGAAATCGGCAATGAGGTTCTGCTCGGATCCGGACAGCAGAGGTTGCCCGGATGGAGGCACCTGGCTCAGGTCGAAGCTGAAGGAATCGCCTTTGAGGCACGCGTCAGTGTCACATCACATAGATGCATTGCATACGCTGATCAGCATCGTCGCAACTCACCAGAGAACTCCTTCGCACCGCCATACACGGCCAACATGTCGATACTTTGGGGTTGCTGCCCTTGGTGGTGGTGGTACGGGTTGTCCATGGCTCTGGGCAGGCCTGCCGATCGTGCTACCTGAGCCGCCGCCAGTGTGTCTGATGTTCTTGAAGATTGGACGTTATGCGAATGTTTGGGTGCTTCTTATGGTGAGCGTTCAAGATTGTCCGGAGGGCTCGCGGTGACTGGATTGTCATTGTGTTTCATGCGTTCACCACCATTGCCAGCCGTCCTGCTGCTGATTGTCTCCTTCTATTGACAGACTATAATTGGGGAAGCGGAGATGTCTGCTATTGTGTCGTGGTGATTGAGCGACGGGAGCGAGTGGAGAATGGCGGCGACAATGGGTCTAGACTCGAGATGCGGCACGATTGATGGAGTGTTGGCGTGGACGTGGGCGTGGACTCTGTTTGGAGCAACAGGCGACTTCAACGATTGCTGCAGTGCCTGGTGGATTGAGATGATGTTGTCGTTGTCGCTACAGCGCAAGGTGAGAATTGCGCCCACGCAGATGCATGTGAAAGAAGAGCATGTGATAGTGCCTCAGCGGTCCGTGCTCACTGCGTCCCAAAGGTTATTACTTTTCCCAACGTCTGGCGGCATCCCAGCTGCCACATGACGCTGCGCTGCCCACACATCGCTTGGCTGTCGCCAGCTCTGCTCCAGATGCATCAGCGCCGGATGGTTTTGACCTCGTGGTTTGGCTGTTGCGAACGCTGCATCGGTGCTCCTTCCACCGCGCTCGGCTGCAAACGCGATGACATAGCCGAAGCGAGACTTGGCGGACTCGCAGCCGACGTCGCAGCTCTGCCGTGCGTGAGCAGTGACGGGAGAACACCGACGCAGTTGTCTGCTCGCGCAACGCCCATGTCTTGATCAAACTCGCACAATAATGAAGGAGAGCTGTGGAGAGTGCAGGTCCGCTTCGAGTCACTGGCCCAGCGAATCCTACATGAGCTGCATGCCTGCTCGGCGGAATTCAACAGCAGAACCTGCATCTCGACCAATCGCAACATTCTGGGGCCGTGCACAACGAGAAGCCACAGCTACACCCACTTGCTCGGTGGTCACGAGACATATCAACAACATTGCTGATGCTTCGAGCAGTATCTTGAAATCACTGACTGTGCGGAGCAGTTGCAGCTACAAATTCCAAACCTGACTTCTTGAATGCAGCCTACATTACACCTCTATATGGCAAGTACGTGATTGCATTGGCGTGCCGAACAACTGATCACCACAGCGGAGCAACGCCGACTTCATGACCGATTGCAGTCCCCCAACTTGCCAACCTGGAAAGCCAATACGAGCGAGCACGAGTGGCTTGGAGTCCTTGCGGCCTGGCACTGTCAAGGCAAACGAGGCTGTGAAGGGGTGAGGCCTTCTTTTCTCTCTGGTTTCCGGAACTTACGATGCTACTGCAGACATTCAAGTAAAGCCACTCTGGCTGTCTGCTGAATTGATGTATGAACGGCGAGTATATCCGGCTTCCAGCTACTCCGTGACTGCAGGTGGGCAGCAGTCTTGCATGATGGCGCGCGTGCAGCTGCATGCGAACCCTGTGTCCTAGATCAGTGCTGCGAAGCTCGTCAGGTTGATCAGCTAATCGTCGACTGCTGTGCTAAGTGAGTGGACTACGGAGTCAGCGATACCCTCACCAGCGGCCATCGTCGAGGCTAGGGCCGTTGAGAGCATATTCGGGCGCGAATTGGTGCTCCCAGGGAGCTTGATGCCATCCCGCTGTTGGCTTGTGCATGCAACTACTGCTTGCCCGCTGTCTTCATAACGACATCAAGCATCGTGGCTTGCTTGACCGGTAACCTTGGTGACCAATCTGACGCCCGGATTCCCAGACTAGCGCATAGAGATGTCACGTCGTGGGGAACGTTCAACCTTCCCATCGCTATCACCGCCCTTCGGATTGGACCAGATCGCTGCATCCGACCCCGGCTTCCAAAAGAGGAAAGCATTTGATGGCAGAGCCGTCGATAGGGCTAGCTTGCGCTCGGAGCGGCCCTGTGAACAGCATGCAAACTAGGGTAAGAGGTCGGCAATGGCGATGAAAGAACGTCATATGGAAAGGATGTCGGCGGCACGCGCCGGAGGGATACCATCGAATGGCCCATGTGACAAGTGACTTGCGGAGTACATGGCCGGACGTGATATGATTGACTGCCGGCGTCTGGTAGGCTCGAGCGGTGGAGTGTGCGCGTTGTCATCGAGAAGGTCTTCGGTCTAGTGAACCAGTGGGCCTGGGTTGCCACAGTGCGCTCACATTGGCCATGCTAGACTGGCGCATGGTCGGGCAGTCCGTCTGCATCACGTACAGACTCTGTGCGAACCTGTTCGCGATATCGCTGATCAGGCCGATCTTCAATGTCGGCCAAGCTTGACCACGTCGCGGAGTCCCTTCGTTATAAGATCTGCTGATGCCATGTCAGATCTTGCACTCCGCCATTTGCTGGTACCAGGGATCTGTTGGAAGTCAGCACATACATTCTCAGCATTCTTCGTGGTCCACATGAGGCAGACATCATGGGCAGTGACCTTGATCCCTCGTACGTGCTAGGTCGCAGAGTCCGAAGGAGTTCGCAAGTGGACCGCCGTGTGAGCGAGTGGTTCGAGACGGGCGCAGGAGACTTGGAGCAACGCCTCAACAGCCAGGACTACCAGCCTCTTTCGGGCAACGCAGGTCCGAGATCCATCCCAATGGCATCTTCAACATGGTCCTCCATAGCGCCATCTGCTCAGAGTCGAGGTTCATATCCAGGTTCGGCCCAAGTTCCATCCTTGACCAATTATGGATCGACGGTGGGCAGCGATTTCTCAGATGTCTGGACAGGTTCCGCCGCTGATCAATATCAACCCATGCTGGTGGACACAACTAGCGAGGAAGGAGACGTTGTGCGCGACCAGCGACCGGCAACATGGCAATGTCCTTTCGTTTTCCTAGGATGTAGCCAGATGTTTGGTAATGTTGCACATTGGGACATGCATTGTCGGACGCACCTCCGGAACCAACTGCCAAGGCACGTGGAATGTCCTTTTCTTCAATGTGGTTGGGAATACACGGGACCTTCTGGCCAGGATGCCTGGCGCGACCGATGGGCTCACGTGGTGGCGTATCACACCAGAGGCGGGCTTGCCGAGCCTCGAGCGTCCAGGTCCATGATCCAACACCTCTATGCCAGCAGGCTGATAGATAATGCTGAGGAGCAAGAGCTGAGGTCAGTAGGCCTGCAACCTTGAGAGTACCAGCATCATATTGATCGTGCGTAGGGGATCTGCAACAGGACCGTACACGGTCTCTTCCAGCACTTCGCGCCGGCGCGACAGATACCCAGGATCCAACCAGTTCCCACGCAGTGGCTGAACTTGATGGGAATAATTGAACGCATCCGGAGCCATCGGCACTAACATCGTTTTGCCTCTTATCCTGTCATGGTACTCTCTTGTGTGGCGCGTCCTTTGCTCCTGGCCGAGCTTATGGTCAACAGGTCAGGTCTTTTTTAATTCCTCGGTATCTTCAATAATCCACGAATCGACAAACAGTCACTGGAGGCCGCTTGTTTTATGCTGTTGTTAAGGCTGATATTGTTAAGCAAGGAAGGATGCAGTCCAGGCGAAGAATGACTCGTGAGGAGAACGAAATTGCGAAATGCCTGAGGCACGACGTGGGAATTGGCAATGTCATGGAAGGAAGGCAATGAAGGAGTCAACAGATCTATTTGTATATGCTAATAATATAGCGATCCGCTGCGGTTCTTCATGCATCCTGCATCTGCTAGGCATAGGTCACAATGGAAACGTGTCGCACCAGTCTTAGAGCGACTTCGCCTCACGGAATTCGCTAACGATGTGAGGCCGCCTCACTTTGGCGCGGCAAGGCGGTCACTCGCATCACGGACTAGATCCGCCTCATCATGTGTCAGCGAATGTGGCATTCGGAAGAGCTTTGTGCGTGTCAGGACTGCTGAGCCGGTTGCCACTAACGCTCTTGAAAAAGTCGTACTGTCACACCATCACGACGCAGCACCAGCCTCAAGTCCCGACTCCAGCTCCTTAACCCTCTGCTCCCACTCAGGAGAAGCACGCAACTGCAAATCTAACTCTTCCTTCTCGTCCTCCAGCGCCAACCTCTTATCAGCATCGAGACGCGTAAATACATGTCCACCTTGCCCATCAAATTGCAGAATCCAACCATGGTACCTCCATAAGCTTCGTCGATGGCTCACAGTCATCAACGTGATTCCTAGTGCTTTCGCCTCATCATACATGATCTTCTCCACTTCTGGCGTCAGAGATGACGTGCATTCGTCGAGAATGGCATATTTTGGTCGATGGTAGAATAGTCGGGCGGCAGCTACGCGTTGCTGGAAGCCTGTGCTCAAAGCCTCTGGCCATTCTTGTTCGGCATTGAGACCACTGGTGTCGATCTGTGATCGCCCTCGGTTTTCTGCAGGGCTGTTGGAGGCGCTTGGGTCGTTGGTGTTTTGCGAGCCGGATATGCTGAGGAGGGATTCAAGGCCCAATTTGATCATAATGTCAACCAGGTCTTGATCTCGGATGCCCTTGGCGCGCATGTCGAGGAGATTATCCGGGTAGAGGATCTGTTGTCGCAAAGTTCCCTTGCTCAAATATGGCCGTTGCGGAACGTAGAAGATGTCTTCATTGGAAGGTTTCCGAACCATGCCGCCGTATACCGGCCACAGACCACCGAGAATGCGGAACAAGCTGCTCTTGCCACAACCGTTTGGTCCCACGATCAGCATATGGTCGCCTTGTTTGATGTGAAATGATAGGGCTTTCACCAGAATATCACCATTTGGCGATACAATCGGGACATTATCAAACTTGATGTCATCTCCCTCTTCGAGCTCACCTCTCCCAGCCAGGATTTGAGCGTTGTCTTCCGTTGAGGCTGAGGAAACCAGAGCCTTTTCGAAATGCCCACGCTGGATATCTGCAATGACGTCCAGAAGCATGCTGACGCGACTTGTGTATCCTGCCAGTTCGGAGACCTCCTTGTAGGAGAACATGAGTCTGCCAAAGGCATCGCTCGATTGCAAAAGCAGTCGTCTGTTCGTGATGAACGATTCTGTCCTGTCGCCAGTCCCTTGGCCACCAGGCTGCGCTCCTGGCAGTTTGAAGAAAACCGGGACACTGCATAGCAGAAGGCCCAATGATCCCCAGAAGTACTTGACCACGAATTCTTCCATAATTCCATGGTACAGTCGTCTTCGCAGTATCCTATTGACATGTCGGATGAGTGTGAAATAGCCTTTGTCGACCATGTCTTTCTCTGCATCAGCTCCATCATACAGCGCAATTTCTTCGCTGTAATCGATGAGACGAGAATGCTGTGCTCTGAATTCACCCTCCAATTTCGCTTCTTCCGCAACGTATTTCCCGAATGGCGGCGTCAGCGCTCTCATCAGGCTGGCGCTCAGCTGGACCATTAAGCTCATAGCAAACAGTCCTTCACCACCAACGCTCCGAGAAAGTGACCAATTGTAGATAACCAGATCCAATGTGGGTTTAGACAGACTGGAGTAGAGCTCGGCCAAACTGTTCGAGAACTTTGTGACATCGACTGTGATGAGCTGATCTGCATTCTTTATCCTGTCGTCCAATGCTGAGAGGGTGTAAAAGGTCATGTTGCCAAGATACAAGTTGTGGATGTAGTTGGTCAGGCGTGCGCGGTACGATAACGATAGGGTGGTTTGGTGGTATGACAGCATCGAGTTGGTGAACGTGGCTGGAACAGCAACGAGCATCCACCACACGAGGCCTTTGAGGAAAGCTTTCCCTCGACCTCTCACCAAGTCGCTGACTAGTCGGCCATCTAGCTCCGCGACATACCTGGGACATGTCAGCTTCCAAGTGGAGCATACTCACGCCGCGTGCTAGCTTACAAACTGATGAGTGTCCGAAGGACGAGAAACACGGAATGACTCGCAAGTAACCGTGCTTCCTTGCTCTTCCATGATGGTATGCATATTCGAAGGAGTCGTCCAAGACTGCGAAAGAACTCCCGATTGAGCTCGACCTTCCTCTTCTTGCCATGTTCATCGCCTCCAAGTCCTTTGCGGCGATTGTCCGCTGCTCTCGCAGCAGCTGCCTTTTGCTCCTTGATGGCTCCACGGATGCGTTGTATGACAGCTAGAAGAAGAGCGGCATATATTGTCCGCGAGATCTTCGTTCGGTGCGCGACGTATAGTGAGGTGAGATCGGAGAGGATCTGCTTGAGGGAACGGTTCGAGATGGTCAAAGGGAGCGACTTGGTCGCCATGTTGTTGACAAGTCGGCGGGTGCGACTAGTACCCGCGGTAGACAGAACATCAAGGCAGTGGAGATGAGGGTGACCAAAGTGCACGACTAAGCCGACGCGCTCATCGAAGGCATGTGACGCTCGTGAACGTCTGGAGGTGGACGGTGAATGGACGAGCTTGGTGATGCGGCTCTTTCACATGCGCCTCGGTACGTAATCCTTGTCACTTGTCACTTCCTGCCTGAGGCAAACACAGTGCATCAATGTGCTCTATTCTCTCAATGCTTGGTGTCGTTGACCTCTTCGTCTTCCATTACATTCATCTACTTGCATAGTTCATGCTCGCTCAAGCATAGCGGCCTCCACGTCCGGTACTGCTGCTCTTGCTTGGAGCATACGCCTTCTGGCTCATTGGCGCTTGTGCAGCGGCCTGTTCTCTAACCCTGCTCCTCCTTCTTTCACCGATAATCGCAGAAAGCACATATAGCAACCACATGACGCCTGCTGCCACTCCATACCCAATGATGGCGCCATTGCTCGGTCTATTGAAAGGCATTCTCCTGGCAAGACGCAAGCCCAGACCGCCATTGATGATTCCAAGCGTCACAACAATTCTTCCGAGCCACAAGTGAAGATAGCTCCAGAGTGTCCTTCGAAGATGCTTCCTGAAAAGGAAGTGGTGCAGCAGGCCGAAGAATGGTTGGAAGAATAGTAAGCCAAGTAGGACGATACCGATGATGGGATGTGGGTCATGGAGCATGTTTCGTGGGCCGGTTCGTACAAGCTGCGAAAGACGTCAGTGTCATCCGTGTCTGCGGTATGGCCGGAGAGAAATTTTACTTACCCAGACTCCCAATCCAAAAGCTGCAATGTACAGGACATACGCCAGCAATTGCCAAACCGCGTGAATGACCCACAGCCCCCGAAAGCTCGCCAGACGGATTAGAATGCCACCCGCGGGGAACAGGAAACCAAAGGCGACTGTTGCGAGCACTGCATGTGCTATGACCTTGGTGCTGTAAGAGTCCGAGAAGAAGCCCGAATTCCCGAATCCTTGGAAGCCGTTGCTACTGTAACTGCTCCCGCTGTTGTCGCTGCTGCTGTCACTGCTGCTCCCGCTACCGTCGTCGTAATATGAACCACCGCCCCAAGCATAGGTCGTCGAAATGCAGGCTGCCAGGCATGCTGTCGCTAATGTGAGCTTCATCGTGTACCAGAACAGCTCTTGCGCTTGAGCACTCTGCGGGCAAACAAGGCCAGGCTCGAGGAGAAGGACGCGGGCACAAGAGCGATTGTAGGTGATGTCTGACCTGCAACAGAAAAGTAGAATCGTCCCTGGAGCAAATTGCAGTGACGCCTGTGCAATGTTGATTGAAGTCTGAGGAGAGCTTATAGAGGACTAGGTTCGGCGCCTTTCTATGCAAAAAGGTGAGCCATCCCAGCCATGCTGTGGCCGAGCAGCCACCGCGGCGGATGTCCAATCCCTTGACGCGCACCAACGGTCAGAGTATAAGCTTACGTGTCTGGGACGCCCGCTGCAGCTGCGTTTTAGCAGTTGTGGTTGGTAGACGTTCAGACTTTTCGGGTCGCGGCAAGCCGTTGGGGATCCGAAAACTGCGACTCCGCCAAGAGCAAGGGTTCTTTACGGAGAACAACAAAAGCTTGGGCGGAGATCCATTCGCTTGTTGTAAAAGATGACGGCAGCAGGCTGAGCATTATTGTGAAAGGTCCATCCTTCGTGCTGCAAAGTGTTGCTTCTGGTCGGGCTTTGCGTGAGCGCAAAGGTTCGTTTCCTAGAAGGCACAAGTAAACTCTGCGATTACCTCCTAGGATGCAAGCCTTGCTTTCGCACCATGAGACAATCTCATCTACGACTGTTTGATCATTCAAGATCGGTTCGAATAAGCATTTCGCCAAGCTCAGCGACGATTCTCCAGTGAACGGTCCTAGCCCTGCCACCACTTGTGGGTTCTATACCATTGCTGGTAAATTTCCGGATGGCAGCCGGAGGGCATTGTCGTTATCGCTGTTCTGCCGAGTCCAGCGGATTGCGCAGTAGCAGACTGTCGATATTCCGTGGGTATCATTTGACGACCCTACGTTCCGCCTTGGGATCGGATCTCAATTTTGCGGGGCTTCTTCCTCTCCTTAGGGGCGTCGACCTCGTCCAGCCTCTGTTCATGTTGCTGCGTTGTAGATTGCTCTTCCGTCGGAGGTGCTGCACCTGTACGCTGTTCCTCTTCGAGCGCGTCCGCCACCTCTGCGGGCGTAGCATCTTCGAACCGTTTTTGCACGTCACCGACCTTGATCCACGGTCCATGAATGGCTCCCGTGCTCGCACCCACCAGGCCGCCTATAAAGCATGGAAGCGTTAGAAGGAACAAGATCTGGAGCCCAGCTGTCTGCGTACCTATCGCGGTCGTAGGTATAGACAATATCCCTCCTACTAGCAGACCAAGCACCGTCCCCAAGCCCATTCCGACGCCCGCACCAATCCCTCCGCCCCCAAAAAGTCCTTGCCATGTGCCACTCTGCATTCTTCGTGCCATCTTGCTGTGGCCATTTGCTTCGACTTCCTTCTCGTAGGCCTCTTTGAACAGCCGCTCTCGCTCGGCAGGTGATGAGGCCTTTGCAGCCTTTTCTTTCAGCTCTTTGGCCATATTCTGAGCTTTAGCGACATTCTGTAACGCGCCGATAGTCTCTTCCAGTTCTTTTCGACTCGGCGGCTTCGACTGATCCTCTTGCGACATGGTGGTCGTTGCGAGCGTCGATGGCGGTGATGTTCCTGTGATTAGTGATGGAAAGAGAGTACAATGTACCTACCAGTGAAATGAATGCATCGTAGTGTGCATGACTTGAGCGAGTACAGCACGCTGTAGCTGTGACCTCACTCTTCGCGGTTCCTGGTTTTGGATGCCGTCTCCACACGTGGGAGGCCAAGCTTCGAGTTCCGTCTGATGACACCAACCTCGTCCATCACCTCCTTGCTGAAGATATGTATCATCGTACATCGTGATATGTGGGCATCATGTCGACTCTGTCGGTGCTAGTGCAAGCAGATGTCGACTGGATGGCAGGCGGGATCCTCGGCGACGCCAAGACAGAGAGAAGGCAAGTCAGCACGCTTTGTTCCTCGCTGCCGAAATGCTCTCGGAACACGAGCTGAACTTCCTCATCATCGTGCACCATCCGGACTCAGGTCTTACCACATCTGCCGTATCACGAAGACCGCATGGCATCTATGTATAGACATCTGAGATCTCCACGCTATAACACAAGGCACGAACAGTTCAAGAACGTACAATTCTGTTATTCAGGATGGCTCGATACGCCCACGATACTCTTATCTATCTAGAGCTGGAGGGGACTGTACAAATCGGCCTGAGGACGACAGCGAGAGCCCATCGCTATAAGACTGTCCTCGATGCGTTTGCAAGGTAGGACTTCTAGTCGCGCTCTGATGACAGCAGCATCAGCTTCGTGGAATTTCCCACTCTGGGCACTGCGCACCTGAGTAAACCCGGCTCGTGGGAGTGCAAGAAGGATTCAGTCTACCCGTGTTCGGTCTGAGATATCGTGGCATGAGACACGATAATCAAGGTCTCATGCTGCCACTGGTCCAAGTCGTACTGGCGCCGCTGTGAAACGAACGCAGGGACGACATTTGTAGAAGAAGCGCTGGATTTCTTACACGCCCAAATTTGACTAGTAGTACACTTTCTCCGTTTGAGGACAGCCATACTGTCCTTAACAATCTGAAGTGCATGGTGGCCGACCTCTCGCCGCTTAGGGCGGTTTCTGTTGAACATTGGGGACAGCAGCCATGAGCTAAGTCCATCTCACAAGGACGACAACAGAGGCATAGGCTCAAGCAGAACTACTAGGCCCCACGCGAGGCGCAAGCTCCTCCGTCAACAGGTACAAGAAGGCCGTTCTACGTCCCCAGAGGTCATCATCGCTCATTCAACTACCACCTTCGCTTGTTCAGCTTTTGCAGTATTTAATCGCTTCAGCAAATCACGACTGCGATAGAATTTGTTCCTTTGCACAATACTCGATCTAACCATGTATTCCAAGGTAGATTCGAATCGCTGGAGTCCGGTCGAAGCATAGCTAACACATGTAGGCCTTCATTTCCCTTTTGGCTGCAAGCGCTACGGTATTTGCTGCCGCAGTTCCAGGCGACGATGATAAGAGCGGCAACGTCGGCAAAGGAGAGCAAGACAATGGCTACGACGCAGGATACGATTCTGGCTACGACACTGGCAGCAAAGGCAACGGCAACGGCAATGGTAATGGTAGTGGCAATGGTGGAGTCAAAACCGTCACCGTCACCGTAAAGGGCAACACCGAGTGGAAGACGCAATGGAACACAAAGACCATAACTTCGACTTCGACCAGGAGAGATCCTCCTCGCACGATCACTGTCGAGGCAGATCCAGTCACTCGCACCACCACCGTCACCGTCAATGCGGCTCCCGCAGCAACCACGCCTGAGATTCTCAACGTTCGTCTGCACCCCAACGCTGGCTGTTCCTCGAACTCAGTCCGAGGTGATGGTAACCAGGTGGACTACTCTGAAGTGGCCATCGCCGTTCCTGTTAGTCGCAAGGGCCGTGGCGACCGCAAGAGCCAGTGCTACAACACACCAAACGACTTCTCAAGCCTCTCCTTCGAGAGCTTCTTCGGACGCAAGGGCCTCGATGGCTGCACTGTCCAAGTCTTCGACGACCAGAACTGCCAAGGAGGTCGCATCTTGAGATCTATCGGAGTCAACAACAACGAGCGTGAGTGCTACAATGTTCAAGCCGGGGGCCAGAACGGCGGTCAGAACGGAGGCCAGAACGGAGGCCAGAATGGCTGGGGCAACTCTGGCAGTGGTCGTGGCAATGGCAACGACGGCAAAGGCAGCCAGCAAAATGGCCAGCAGAATGGTCAGCAGGGTGGTCAGCATGGCAATGGTGGCAGCTCCTCCAACAACGGATCCAAGGGCGGCAAGACCCAAGGCCCAGGCGCTCAATCTGTGCTCCTCGTTTGCAAGAACTAAACCCGTCACCGCCATGGAAAATCAATGAGACGACCAGCAAAGACGCCACGTGAAAGAGTACAAGCAAGTCGCTGAGATTCCTGGAGTTTTCTACTTTTGCTTCTCTACACTGTCCTTACCGAAGTTCTGTGATAGCGCAATAAATATACATACTTCTATTTCCTCGATGATTTGTGCCCTGTGACGATAGTCATACATCCAGTCGGCCATGTATGTAGCAATCGTCGCTGTGTGATCTTCCAGTCATTGATGATCACAGATTCAATGCCTTGTGGGCTGCTACACTGCCGTCTTTTATGCCCTGCAGCTCTCTCTAGGAGGGCAATGGTCTCCTCGTTGCTTCGTGTTCGCAGACAGCTCACGATACGATCCAGTCCCTGCAGTACAGGAAGAAGCGGAAACACATAGGTAAAGAACAGATGCATCACATCGCCTCGAAACCAAAAGACCGAAAACAAAAAACACATCCAAGTCTCCAGCACGACAAAGATGAGACTAAAAATCCGCCGTTCCTGTAATTCGATAATAGCAAACGCATCCGCAGTTTGCAATGTACTTTGTAGTATTTCAACGGCTTTATTGTCGTCAAAGCGATGGAAAGAGCTCATCAGTCGATAGACCTGCGTACCGTTGGACTCATATCCTTGTTGTAAGGCAGCCTCCTTGTCTCCGCGAGTCGTGCTGCTGATCGCCGCAAACGGGGGTCTCGCAGGATCCACGGCTTGGGGGATGAAAGTGAGATTCTTCGAGAGCGAAGCTTGGTACATCCAGGCGTCGAGTTGGGCATTTGGTTGGAGGTCACTTAGTTGGAAGGGAATAGGTCGTCGCTTTTCGGCTCTTCGTCTGGTATTAATTGACGATTCGATGTATGATGCAAGGCGCCCACTGCCAGAGCAGATATCGATGATGCGCCATGGCTTCTCATCAATACTCAATTCTTGTATATGGTCATAAATGACTTCCGCAGCGAGAGCCGCTGGGGATTGAGTCTGCGCTATGGCATTCTGCCTGATCCAGGCGGCGGCAAAATTGTCCTGAAGGTCATGGTATACGAATCGAGGAACGCTAAACCGAATGAGCAACTGCCACACTTTGCTAGAAGAAATTTTCGGACGTGCCACGAGACGGACATACATACAGCCAAAGATCTCCAAGTTCGACGAGTTGCCAACGTCCGCCAGGAGCCGCAAAGTTCAGTTTGTCAAGCAAACTTGACAAAGTCATCATTCGCTGCAGGCACGTTGCCTGCGAAAGCTTCGTAAAAAACCGTTTCTTCCTTCCTTTGGGCATGGGCAGAAAATAGCTGCCTAATCCATTTCTAGAAAACGTTCGCAGCCGTTGAGGAGTTGGAGTACCGATGTCGTGATTGTTCGGTGCTGTGCGTGTTCCAGAAGCGGCAGTGGTGGGGATCCACGAGTGAGACCAGGGTCAAAGCGTGAGCTTGATTTCGATAGACGATCCGCACGGCGCGCGAGTTAATCGATCGCTTATTATACAACTTCAATATTGAATACGAGAAAGAGAGCCGAGACCCAACGTCCTTGTCAATACGCAGAACTACTAGTGATCAGTGATCACAATCGTTTGCAAAGAAAATGTGGTGGCAAACTGCCAATAGTTCATAAATGTATCGTTCGTATGTAGTATATGTGGGCATTGACGTTGGCCCGTATGCATCTATATGCCTGGCACTATATTCAGTGCAAATGCGCTCTAGGGGTATCTTCGCGTTGTAAATGCTTAAGACTGATCGGAATTGATGCGAATGTGGCAATGTGATCGCAAAAATGCCCGACGCTCAAAATATCCCTTGATCTCTTCCAGTAACGCCTATCCTATCATGATCGTGAACAACTTCGTATTATTGATCGCGCTCGTCGTCAGAATGGATCTTTACGACCTCATTTTCTTGATGCGATGAGAGTTTCTCTTCTCCATTGACGGGCCCCAGAGTCCAGACCCATTGCCGATGTCGTTTCCGTCTGCCAGCGACAGGCGTCGCCGGGCACGAGTCACTGTCACTTTCCTCCTCATCTGACGACTCGCGCTTGTCTCCTGTATGCGGCGAAGGCGGCGATTTCGCAGAGGGACGATCATCGTCCTGTACAGGTTTTTCGGTCTTCTGGTCCTGGGCATCTTCATCGAGCTCACTGTCGCTCTGCGTAAGTTCGAGTGTAGAAATAGTCGACGTCGAGGATTCTATATCGGAATGACGAAGAGTGAATCGTGTATTCTTCACATCTTCGGTCAAGGGCTCTCGGAACGCCACCTTCTTCGGAGCCGGAAACATTGGCTTTTGGTGGCCGAAGTGCGATCGACGTGATGTTCGCGGCAGCGGAGAGTTGATCAAGATCGATGTGGTGTTGAAAGTGAGCTTGTAGGGAACAACAGTCGAGAATGAATCGATAGAAGACAATGAGGATGTAGTTGTCGCGGAAGAGGCAGCAGAGTCGTTTGTTGTAGTTGGCTGTATCTGTTCTGGCTCTCGCGGCGAGGATTCCGTCGCAATCTTTAGTGATGATAGATTTGGCTTGGTGTTTGTCTTCTTGTTCTGGGCAGTCACTGGATCCAGGGCATTCCGAAAAGTATTTCTTGCCGTCGGTGATGTCGCAGAGAGTGTTTCAAGTCGCAAGCTCGTTGAGCTCTTTCCAAAGATCGATGGTACGTTGTTGGTGTCCAACGAGAGTTTGGGTCGTTTGGCCGGCGACCTCGAAGGTCGAAGTGGCGACGGCGCTGAGGTACCACTATATCCCATGTGCTGTGACGGGAGAATGGCAAGTGACATGGTGCTGGTGTCCATTTGTGTGTGAATAGAAGGCTGTGGTGTCAGGTATTGAATCATGCTTCGCCCTCCAAGCACCTAGAGCACTCTGAACAAGCGGATGCAGGACGCCAGGCTCAGCGAGGTGGGAGGGACCGCGTGCCGTGATGTAGTGCAGGTGACAAGAGCCTGGTCCGCGTGTGCAGCTTCCTGCTCGTATTGGGCTTACGGCAGCTGGCTCGATTGAGAATACAGTGCTTGGCTTGGGGTATGGCGTCGAGCAGAGCCGGATCGACAGTTCGGCCTCCTGCCTTGGAGGACGGATTGGCACGAGTAATGAAGGGAAGGAGTCAAGCGCTGTTGGCGGGGTTGGTGTTGGGATAGTAATACTATTAGACGCAGCGACCATAGCGGGGTCCTGCAGAGGGTCTGCTCACTGCTTTTAATCCGTGTCGCAATCGGAGCACTGTACAACAGAAATAGAGTAACGAATGGCGAGCGGCACCGTCTGTGGGATCGCTGCGTCTAACGTTAAGCGCTAGCAATCCATGTAGGCGTGGATGGCCACCAAAAAGCCTGTTCGAAAATAGCACACTCGTTTGCGGCCCTAAGCTCAAATGAGCCGGGTGGGGCACAACGGCCAGAGCACCCTGTGGAAACGCTTGCTTCTTCTTCGTGCCCACTGCATTTGCGCCTGGCCTGCTCGTTGAAGCTGTTGTGTTACTGTTTCAGCCGCTGTTTGCGTATCGATTCTGGCTGGAAGACGCATCTCGCTGAATTGCTCCTGTAAGCGCGTGATCCGGGCACATGAGCGGCACGGCCAAGGCTTAGATGCGAAACACGTTCGTACATTGGTTCGCGGTTGACGACGAACCAAGATTCAAAGCCATCCAACATGCGGAGCCTTTGTTGCCACATGTCCGCGTGTCGTCGCAGACACTCAGGACAGCTGGTTGTAACATCGGCAGTAGTGTGATTGCAAGAATATCCCGTCGGTCTGCGGAGATACGTCGGCGTTGGTCGCATCGATATTCCTGCTTGGGCTCCTCTACTGACTGCCACCTCGTCGTCGCTGGATCGGAGTCTGTACCGTGGACTACGATAGCACTTCGGCATTCATCATGGGTCTTGATCGCGACAGCGCTCGTCACGACCTGCTGCAGCGCATGTCACGAAGATTGCCGCTTGCGGCACCTGCCATCATCCTGCTTGTGGCTTGCCGGGCTTGCGTGTTGCTGCAGAGGTTGAGCGAATGTGCTGACGATGCCAAGCAGTTATCCTAGCAGTGAACATGGCGTGCGCAATTATATGCAGACTGCTTGAACAATGACGCACACTCAATTGCCCATTACACTGTATAGCTTCAGGTGAAGGCAATCCACCTCATACCACGCACTCCGCCTCCAGGAAACATGCGAGCGTATTTTGTTGCCCGCAACATCTGGTACGAGCAACCCCGATTCTCGGGCGAGACGGATGGGATATCTGGTTCAAGCCTGAACAGGAGTGTGACGCATGAACACGACCGAAGAGAGCTGTCGGTGGCTGTTCTGGCAAAATCCCCATGTCTCTGGGAGGATGGCGGGTAAAGGTGCATTTGCTGACCTGTGTTTCACGTGTGACGACATTGCTCCAGGTTTACGATAAGGTCAACCCTGCCGGGTGTGCTTCGCTACAGCACTTAACCATCAAATACCGTGCCGCTCCTCGAGGATACGAACTAAGCATAGATGTCAGTTGGCAGCTGTGGCAGTATTCCGGAGGTCGTGATGATGTGAGCGTTATGTGTTCGTCAGTTCGTAGTGAGAGCCGGTTCATGTGGTCAGGATCGGGTAACACCTTGAGAGCGACGGCATTCCGATCGCCGTGGCAGCGTCCGCTCGTGAGCTTGCAGATCATTCAGAATAGCACGATTGATCCTGGCACAGCTGGTGAAGTCCGTACGGAGGTGATACCAAGTATGGTTTAACAGTCTTGTGGCTCATTTCAAGGACACGTTGAGACGTGGCAGGAGCGTCTTCGGATGGCTGGTTGATGTTCCGTAGATTGAGCGCCATAGTAATCAGAGTAAGTTTCCTGGGTGAAGGTCGCTCAGATGCTGATGAATGCAAGTGGCATTGATGATGAAAGGCGATCGTGTTCATGGCAGTCTATGTATACAGGTGCAGGTGCGAGGGACACGCGTGCTAGCGCGTCTTCAACACAAGGCTTGGCGGCGCGGTTTGCACTTCACGTCGAACACCTCCTCGCCACCGAGCGACCACAACACATTCATGTCAATTTCCAGCATAGAGTATCCACGCCGGACAACATGAGAGCAAAATGGGTACAAGAATGGTTCCAATACCAAGGGATAGGGTGATCCTGCACTTCGATTACGATTGCTTCTACGCCTCTGTCTTCGAATCGGAAGATCCGAGTCTACGATCACTCCCTTTCGCCGTCCAGCAAAAGCAAATATGCGTAACTGCTAGTATTTCTCGCCGAAATGCTCAAAGAAAGTGGACGAAATACTGAGAGAAGCGTGCAGATTATGTGGCCCGAAGCAGAGGAATCTACAAGCTACAGCTGGTCAAAGATGCAAAGCGTATGTGCCCAGACCTGATCATCAAACTAGGTGAAGACATCAGCAAATTTCGCGACGCCTCCAAGGAACTCTACTCGTTCATCAAGAGCTTCAGCTGGAATAACAAAGTGGAAAGGCTCGGCTTCGATGAGGTCTGGTTAGATGTCTCCGATATCGTTGACTACAATCAAGAGATCCTGAACAAGCACGACTTGGAGCATTCATTTTTCCAGACGTCTAAGGATGATCCTACAATCGGTTTTCCATTCGATGCAACCAAGATTGCTGGCCACTCATACCCGAAGGACTATGCCTCTCCCTCCAATGAGCCCGACGAGCTGACCTTACGCCTTCGTCTCGGGAGTCATCTTGCTTTGCATATCCGTCATGAGCTCGAGAACCAAAAAGGCTACACCAGCACAGTCGGCATTTCCACATCAAAACTGCTTTCGAAGCTCGTCGGAAACCTGAACAAACCCAAAGGTCAAACGACCCTCATGCCGCCATATTTAACACAAGATGGCGAAAGTGGCAACGTCACAACCTTCATCGACAACCACGACATTGGTAAGATCCCTGGAATCGGCTTCAAACTATCCCAAAAGCTCCGCGAATTCTGCTTGCAGCGTCCAGCCGCCATCGATGAGGGACTCGTCTACGGCGAAACCAAAGAGCGCGTGACAGTAGCAGATGTTCGCAAACATCCCGACGTCAGTCCTGAAATGCTAGAAAAGCTCTTATCTGGACCAGGATCCGCGCATGGTATTGGTCAGAAGATTTACGATCTACTGCATGGACGTGACGAGACAGAAGTCAGCTCAGCACGAGCTGTACCGAGACAAATTTCCATCGAAGATAGCTATATTCGTCTCGATACGATGCCGGAATTACTCAAAGAACTTGACGCTCTGGCACGAAGTCTGCTGAACAGGATGCGAATTGACCTACTTGCATCTGACGACGATTTCGACGACAACAAACCAGGACAGGCAGAAGAGGACGTTGAGAACGTATCTGCCAAGCCGATTTCCACAGCTGGAAAGAAATGGCTCGCACATCCAAAGACTCTTCGCCTAACAACTCGACCTCGAATGCCGCTGCAATCAGACGGTACCAGAATACGCTCATTCAAACGCATCTCGCACTCCGCGCCATTACCCAATTTTGTCTTCAATCTCAATGGATCAGTCGATGCACTGGCGGAGAAGTTGGTCAAAGAGACTCTCATCAGCATGTTTCGCAAACTCCACCCAGAGAAGGCAGGATGGAACTTGAGCTTAGTGAACTTGGCTGTCACCAATATGGCAGAGACAGCAGGAGACAGCAAAACCGCGAATGGACGCGATATCGGCGGCATGTTCAAGCGACAGGATGAAGTGTTGAAGGATTTTCGAGTGACGGATATCAGCAACTCGCCGCCCAAGGCGGGCCTCTTAATACATCAGGAGAATATGTTCAAGGAGGAGGAGAAGGACGCATCATTGGGCACAGAAAATGAAGCGTCGAAAACTGGGGATCATGCGTACGAGGCTCAGCAGACCTTGTTCGATGACGACGACGATGAAGAAGAAGAAGCTGGCTGGGTGGAAGACGAACGAGATGAGATGGACGAACTTTGTGGGGAATGTGGCATACGATTGCCTACGTTTGCGATGGGTGCTCACCTGCGATTTCACCAACAGGCTACTGTATCCAGCTGACGACCTCCCTATGAAAGCCGATCGGATACGGTATCCTGTGCCCGATTTGGACATAGAATATGACTCAGCCCAGCAGCACTCTTACAAGGCTATTCTAGCCAAATCCATCGAGGCCTTTCCGTAGCACTCCAGGGACACACTTGTTATCGGACTGCTTTCCTCGGAGGGACTTGCTTCGTACTATGTGTCTTGGATCCATTGACAAGAACGAGCCCCCCGATTTTGGATACGAGTACGAGTATAGTACGAGGTTCATGTTGTTTGCGGAACACCCTCTCTCTAGGCAGACGCAGAACGCTGTGCTTCGCCCTCGGTGCTGCTGCCCACGACACTATCGCGACGCATAGCCCGGGCTTTCATCGCTGCGAGTTCAGCCTTGAGCTTCTCGGCATATCCATAGAGGTTGGCTATCTCGGTCTTGTAAGCTTTGGTCTGGCTCTGGAGGCTGGTGATCACACTGTCCGACTGCGCGGCTTCCAACTGTAGCTGAGCGCTCCTCTTCATGTGCCCAACCGCAAGCCCGTGCATCTCGCCAAACTCGCTGCGCAAATACGCATTAGTCTCCTTCTGCATCTCCCTCATCTCCTGCATCTTCTTCCGCTCAAGACCCATCTGCACATTCTGCTCCTGCAAATCCTCAAGCTCATCTCTCGCAAGACCGCACATCTCATTCAACTCATTGATCTCCTGACGCAACTTCTTATTGTCTCCCTCAAGCGTCGTCGCAGTAATCTTAGTAAAACTCAATTGACGTTGATGATTCCGGATATCATTCCGTGTATTCTGCAACTGCTGACTCAATTCCTCAGCTTTCTCGCGCTCAGATTCGAGATCGTGCTTCATCATCTCGTTCGCGCGTGTTGTGGCCTCGAGGTCGACTGTGATTTTGGCGTTGTCAAGCTGAGTTTGCCGATTCAGGTGTTCTTGGTAGGCGAGGTCCTCGTACAGCTGATCGACATCGTTCTCGTGTTGTCCACGAAGACGTTCGCTACTGGTGAACTGCTTCAGGATCACGAGACGCTCGCGTTCGAGATTCTCGATTAGGTGCTCCATTTGCGCAGAATGCTCGGCGAGCGCTGCAGATTGGCCGAGGCGTTCGGTGAGGTACTCCTTTTCAAGCTCGAGGTCGACGATTTGGTCTTCAATGTGACCCATGCGCTGTTTCATTGATGGAGCGTTCTCGTCTTCGCGGTTGGCTTTCTCTTGCTCTTTGCGGGCTGTGAAGCGGCGCGCGAGTTCTTCGCGACTCATCTTGGGCATTTCTTTGAGCTCCTTAGTATCGTTGAGGAAGCAGCTGTACTCGCGACTGCAACGCGCGAGAGCATTGTTGGCTTCCAAGAATTTGCGATTCAGCATAGCTTCAAGGACGACATTCTTGTTGGTGTCGCGAGCCAATGTGATGTCCTCGAAGGCGGCAATGGCCTCGTCGAGCTCTGTTCTGAGGAGATCATGTTGTTCGCCAAGATCTTCAATGTAGTTGGCGTTCTTGCGGTCCTTGATGGTTGCAATCGGATTCAGCTCGTTCGGCACTACGAAACTGTTCATCGCTCGAGCGAGTCCATAGTCGGTGCGCATAGATGGCGCGCTGCAGGCGCTCGTCACGAACGAGGTGGCGAGAGTGTCGAACGACTCGACGCGGTGGAGTGACTTCTGTTGCTGCTTCATGATGAGGCGTTGTTAAGTTGTGAAGGAAGAAGATTTTGCCGCTGAAGATGACTCTAGAAGGGTGGGAAGAGGTGAGAAGGGAAGAGGGGAGAGAAATGTTTGTTTACCTTTGCAGTTGCGTCGCCTTTCGGCGCCTGTTGGCCCAAGGCGAGGTTGAGCATTTGCTCGCGACGCTTCATGCGCCATCTCAAGTTCGGGAGTGTCAACGGCATCTTCATGATCCGGAGTGTCGATGGCGTGGACAAGAAGCTGCTGTCAGAGCAACAGCGCGAGTCTGATGGGTGTGAGCAGTTTACGCAGCTTGGCGTGAGCCGTTTATGTTCTTCACTTGCAGCTTTCAGCCACCCTGAATCGGCCTTTGTGTACGTGAGTATTGTCCCAGATCCCCCCTCTCCACCATTGCAGACACAGTCGACGGCAACGCGTATAGAGTGAAGTGGCAACTTCAGACGACAGGCAGCGTGAGAAACCCACCTTAACAAGACAGTAATCCGGCACATCTTCAAGCTTGTGTTTATCGTCTCGTTCGGGGTATCTAAAGTGCGCCTTTGCTGCTTGCTGCAAGCCATCTGCATCGTGTTCATAGTCCTGTGGTTCTCAATGTTCAAGCTCCCCTCACCGTAATGTACAAATCTAAGCTGTACACACCCTCCGTCATCGCGGCTGCGTTTCATGTACGCCTGCTCTTCATCTGTTCGTGCGATCCTGAAAAGGACCAGTTCCACTGCCCGACCTGAAAATTACTCGTCGGGTGCCGCCTGCTTTGCCTAGCTCACCGAAATACTTCTCCTTCTCTTCCTTGCTCTTCTCAGCGCTGGCACTCTTCTTCGCTCGTTCAATCATGCCCTCCACCCACCGTTCCTTATCTGCTGGAAGACCACCTCGTTTCGTTGCACTCGAGGGCCCAGAAAGGCCGACATCGCCTGACATGGGAGCCTGAGTCTGTCTGCTAGACGGTCTAGAGGCGCCAGCGGTCGAGGGACGTGAGCCTGATGAGCTTGATTTCGACGACTTTGGCGTCGTGGCCGGGTGGTCTCCGCCAAAAGGTGACGTAGCAGAGAGACTGCTCGCAGTCTCCCGTGAGTCGAGAGGTGGGCGCTTCAACGGCATTTCGTCGTCGTCACTGCTGCCAGGCCGGTACGATTCTCGCGGTGTCATAGGCGTTGGCGTCTTGGCTCTGATATATTCCGCAGGGTTACTAGACTTGCGCAAACTTCCAGGCACAGTGGGCAACGCTGCGACTTCGAGATTGCCTTCTGACACAGTACGACTGCCGTGATGGTTGGCAAAATCCCGGAGGTAATCTGCAAGGTCGGCCCAACCTCCGCCAACACGCACCATCACGCGCTCGCCCTCGCCTACCAAGCGCACAAAGAGCTTGATCGGATCCTCTCGTCCACTATGAGTGAGGTGGTAGAGCTTCACCTCCGGTTCTGCAGCTGATCTGGCCTTGCGGGGAGACCCATCTACAGGAGCAATCGTCATCTGCTCACCCTTGGGGACTACACGCAGTGTCGATGCTTTGGGTCGTGGGCCGCTGTAACCACGGGGACGGCTGACCGGAGTTTCCGCACCTGCTCTAGACTTGAAACGGATCGAGGCAGGGAGCGTCTCTAAGACCTCGGAAACGTGACGATCGAATGAGTCTGCAAGAACGGGTGGCATCGATGGTGACCCTACCGGGCTGTGATCCGGTGCAGAAGCCGCACTCTCACGCCGGGTATTCTTGTTACCACGCAGCTTCTTCATTGCCACATTCAGAGGAGCCAACGGGGACTCCGGAGGCTGTTCCGCTACTGGGCTCGAGCGACTGATCTCCGGTGTGGCTTGGTTTGACGACGGCGATGGGTGACTCGGCAGGCTAGAGCGTCGTGGTGGGGGCGTTGGTGGGATAGGCGGGCCAAGTGCTACAGCGCCATTGTCCACAGAAGCTCTCTTGCCTTCGTCCGCAATCGCTGATGCCCTCCGGGACATGCTGACTGGTGTTCGAGAAGGCGATCGGCGTGACGAGACGCTGCTGTGACGGGAACTCTTCGGTACGTCAATGCTTTTGAGTTCAGAACGAGAGAACGCTTCGATTGAAGCGATCGAAGCACGCTTGACCTTGTATATGCTCCCAGCTTCTACATCGCTAGTCTCAGCATCCACTAGTGATGACTTCGCTCCTGGGACTGACTGCAATTCCGGTTGCGATGGTGCGGTCCGTGGCCTTGACGGAGACGTTGATGCTCTCCGTTCGTCTCTGGTCACAGGTGCCCACTGCGGAGTTTCTGGCGTTTCATCAGGCAGGAGATCTGGAGATTCTGAAGGCGGAGCTAGCGAGGCACGCCTAGTGCTGCTGCTGCTATGCTCTGAGTCTTTTGGCTTGCCCGATGTGTGAGGGGCAAAACTCTGTACGAAGGTCTTGTCGAAGTCATCAGTGTTCATCACAGCCATAGCCGCCATGGGCTGGGCCACGTTGCGAGCTTGCGTTGGTTCGGCCGATGAAGGTTGCTGTCGTGGCTCAGTGTGAGATAGCGGCCAGCCGTCCGGGAACTCTTCTTGACGTGATCCATCCTGCGGCGACTCGAAGCTACTGCTGGATTTTTGATGCGGTATTGACTGTTCCGCGCCAGAGGTGGTCATCGCCCATCGCGCATGGCTCGCGTTCTGTGAATTGCCGTGAGCGGAATGATCTGACCGCTTAGCAGTGGATCTGCTGGTGTCTGAACTCTCCGTCTCATTCACGGAGCTCTTGGAAGAATTGGCGCCAGATTGTGTGGACATGGTCGGGCTGACAGAATTGAATCTGGAACTGGCGAAAGAGACTGGAGACAAGGCCGCACGCTCGGCTGACGAATTCCTGCCGTTAGCCAGTCTGCTCCCAGATCGTGAGAGGGGCACTTCTTCCGTATTCTTGTCCTTCTTGAACAGCCGCGTGAACGCATTGCTAGCGCGCTCAAACGGCCGCACTGGACTCTGAGTCGACTTGTTAAGTGACTGATTGCGCTCAATGTCCCGCAGGAATGCTGCTCGCTTTGCTGCCTCAGAGCCTGAAGTCTCTTCCTTTTCTCGATCGTTCGTTGACGCTGACCTTGACAGACCACCGCTGTTACTGTCAGTCGCGGACGAGAGCTGCGACTGTGGCATAACTTTTAGTGGTGCTGATACAGATCGATTACCGGTAGCCCATGGCTCATTCGCGCTCAGCTCGACAACCTCCGAAGCGAAAGGAATGCTGGTCGGAGTACTTGTATCAACGGACAATTCGGCCAGCTGAGACTCATCGACACTCGACCGAATGCTCTGAGACGGCCTTCGGATCGCATCATCGTCAGACAATGGGTCTTCTGTTTCCGATACCGCAAGCGTGCCGTTGGAGCTCTTAATCGCAGTCGGAGCGAGTGCTTTCTCGCTACGTGAGTGGATGGATTGGCGTTGTTGTCGCCACTCATTCTCGTTGACAGTCCGCTCCGCCTGCACGACGAACGACCCGTACTCGGCTTCAAGGGACTCAAAATCATCGATCCATTCATCAGGTACACAATCACTCCTTCCCTCCAGGTTATCCAAGAATCGATCCAGTCGTTTCCCTAACCTGCCGATTTGTTGCTCAAGACTTGACTGCATCGCTTTCATCGTTGCGCGTGTGAAGTTTGTGCTGTCCACACCAGTCGTGGTGTTGTCAGGTGAACTTGAGACTGCCGCCCAGCAATTCTTCAGCTCTAATTTGGCTCGTCTCAGATCGTCAATGAAGCGCGGGGCGCTCCGAAGTATTATAAGTCGTATCGTCCAAACATCAAGTAGTCGGTTCAACCGTGTGAGAAAGGGTAACGCCTGCAAAATAGTGGCAGTCACCAGAGCTGTGAAGTCATCCAATTTCTTCAAGTCTGTCGTTGTATGTAGATCATGTTCGCCAGCGCCATCGAGACGTGATGGCGGTCGTGAATTAACCCGGTAATGTGAATTCAGCACATAGTCCTTGAGCTCTTCCACATCAATCTCGTCCAGGGCTTGTCCAATCTCGTCCGCGCGCTCTTCATACTCTTGCACCAAGCTCGCGGGCAAGCTGCCCCAATATGCATCGTTCGTACCGCTCTTCGTAATGCTCGATCGTTCGTTGGAGCTCTCCGCTGGCGCAGCAAAGGTATTCGGCCATTGCCATTGCTCAATCTCTCTTGTCCAATTGCGCAGATCCAGACATGTTTGCGCGGCCTTTGCACCCAAGCTCCGCTCTGCCATGGTAGCAGACCTGATGCTGGCGACCAGAGCATCAGAGCTGTCGGCCATCTCGCTCGGGTCGGTCACAAAGGCGCGAAGGGTTGCGGTGGGCGAGAGATCGCGTAGGAGAGCGTCGGAATGGCGGACATGGTGCCGAGTAGGCGATCGGGAAGGCTTGCGTGCGTGGATCCGTCCATGTGTCGGCGAGGGAAGCCGGGGCGGGTTCACGAACGCGCTGCTGGCGGACGCCATCGGGGAGAGAGGAGGCGGAGTCGCGCCGGAGCAGTGGGACGAGTGGGTGGTCGTGTGGTGTCCCTTGAGTGTATTTCACTCGCACAGATAATTGCCTTGTGCGTGGGTGGGCCGGCGACGTTGTTCGGCCATGTGAAACGCTCGCAGCTGCTCCCAGATCGGTGCGCGCGGTGCTGGTGCACTTTGTGGTTGTGCCTGCGACCGCCACCGACTCGCTGCGCCTGCTACATTGAGCCGTGACGACAGCGCATGAGTTCTCGTAGTCTCACGTTGGCTCGGCCTGGGAGTTGAACGATAGCAGTAGCAGCAGCAAGGGCACGATCAAGAAACGAGCACCAGAACCAGAGGCAGAGCTCCCGCTACCCTGAGATCGCGCGTGCATCACCCCGGGCGCGCCTCATTGGCGGACCGCGACGGTCGGTCCTGCCTAAAGCGAAGTCTATTAGTCACCTTGGCTGTGGTGGCTCCTGCTTCCGCGATCACACAACTGCACATCGCATGCAGGCAGTCGCACGACGCAGAGGCAAGGGCGCGCGAGCAACACTCCATGTCAGCATCGATGCGCTCCATTGCTCCGTCGTCACACGTTGGCGAGCTACTGAGCACGCAGCTGTGATCAAGCCACGCCGACAACTTCATGTTAATACCCCTGTCTACTGCCAACGCTCGAGCTGCCAATTGATCGACTCGACATGACATGCTGCCATGTTGGGTCGCCATGAAATCAGCCTGTCTTGGGTCGGGCTCGATGCTCACCACTGCAGCACTTGGGCGCGCTGCTCTGCGCTGCCCATCCGGCAGTGTGCATATCGCAAGGCAGCTGTGCATGCTGCTTGAGTCGCAAATCTCCTTGCAGGTGCGCCGGCCGATCACCCACTAGCTGGACGCGCTCCATCTTCCGAACGCGTCCGTGACACCCGACGCGTACTTTATTACAGCACTTCAGCAGTACGTTCATCCTCCCACGGACTACTGTAGCATTTCCAATTCTGCTCATAGACCTATCCCATGCTCAGCGACGCTGTCAGATACTGGACTTCACATACCGCGCACATGCTGATCATGTCGCCTGGCTGAATCACCGGTCTCAGCCGGCCCGGATATAGAACAAGCAAGGCAGCAACACCATGAGCACCTGTCTCAATTCGTGCACTTTCTTCACAAGAACCGTTCACGAGGCTTGATAACATTCTCCGGAATGATAGAGGCTTCACTGCTTTCTGAATTAGATCCGGACAAGAACTTGCCGCAGAGCACTGACTGAGGCACGAGTACATGTTTCTTCTGCCAAAGACTGTGCCTGGAATCTGCCTGCGAGGCTGTTCCGTACAGCGGCGTGACCATCTACACTCTCCTACTGCCTGCACCTCACTTGTTGGGATTGCTCGTGGTCGCGGCAGCGCCTGAGCTCCTCCATGCACTCAAAATGAGGTCCACAATCTGGTCTACACCCTTCCCATTCTTCACCTGGGCAAATATCGTTGGCCCACCCTCTCTGTCATATGCTGTCAGCTTCATCTCCAATAAGCCAGAAAGAAAAAGAAAGGAAAGACAAACTCACCTTATCTTCCTCGCATCCCTATCCATCACCCCCAAATCCGCCCCAATCAACTCCGCCAGATCCGTCTTATTCACAATCAACAAATCACTCTGCGTAATCCCCGGCCCTCCCTTCCTCGGAATCTTATCCCCTCCACTAACATCAATCACATAAATAATATAATCCGCCAACTCCCTCGAATAATTCGCCGCCAAATTATCGCCTCCGGATTCAATCAACAAAAGGTCAGTTTGAAACTCCTTCTGCAAATCTTGCAACGCTGCAAGATTTTGCGAAATATCTTCGCGAACTGCAGCGTGAGGACAACCTCCTGTCTCAATGGCCCGAATGCGTTCTGCAGGGAGAGCTTTGTGACGGGTGAGGAATTCGCAGTCTTCACGGGTGAAGATGTCGTTTGTTACGGCTGCGATGTTGTATTTTTCTCGCAGGGCGAGGCAGAGGGCGAGCATGAGGGCTGTTTTGCCTGAGCCGACGGGTCTGTGCCAGAAAGAAGAAGAGGAAATGTGAGTATGCTTTGCTTCGGTATGTCATGTTGATAAGTTCTGAAGAGAAGAAGGAGACGTACCCGCCAATCCCAACAGTGAAAGCTCGATCTTTCCAATCTCGACCTTCTATAATGGGCATTTCACGTCTCAGGAAGGAGCCCGGTCCATCGAGGATCTCGTGCGTGTGGCCATGGTCTGCGGCGGCATGAGAGTGGGATGCTCCGCCTTCGTGTGAATGGCTGTGGCCTGACATTGTTTGCGCTGTGCTTGTGGCTCGATAACTTCTTATTGTAAGTTGGCTTTTCTGTTAACTTGCTCGTTAATGGTGGGGGCCCAGAACGAGAGAGTCACGATTGTGGGGCATGGAGATTACGGATTGCGATTGCGGCGCCCAGGACTTCTGAAAGCCAAAATCCTGGAGCTTTTTGGCGTTGGCTTTAACTTGGGCTTTTGCGGACTTGTGAGATACATTTTCGGTCTCTTGATGAGGGGTATCGAACATCGTTTGTACCTCTTCGCAATATAAAAAAGTCCCTGATTTTGTGGACTCATGGAATGTCAGATGCACAGCATCGTACCTCGCCAACAAAAGTTTGGCATTATTGGAAGATGCTGCTGTTCCATCGAGCGTTCGGCCACATCTGTCCAGCAGAAGCGGAAAATGGTAGCGAGACATCGTTATCATATGCAAAGCTAAAGTTGACCATTCCGTGAGCTGATACAAGTATGATGGAACAGGCAACTTCCTTGCGAAGGGCATTACTGGATTTGACTGCCGCTATTCATTCAATTCCCACTAACTCTCTTACTCCATTACACCGAACTTCCAAAGATCTTTAACAGCACTCATCGAACTATGCTCAAAACCACGCCATCTGATATCGTTCCTCCAATCTGATGCGACATCACGTATCGCTAAAGACCTCTCAATTACTCGCTGCGGAGAGAAAAACTTGTCAGCAACTCTGCTCCGAATTGCGTTCAGATTCGCTTGTGGTGTCAATCAATACACATTGGACATGTTAAAACACCTCTTCTTCATGCACTAGAAGTTCACGACTGTTATTGTGTGATCTTCTAGAGCTCGAGAAACAGTAGCGTTGAGTTCTTCTTCCCTCCTTTGGCATGAAGAATGCACAGTACTGCTCTCGAATGGGGAACACGAGTTGGGGGATGGCAACTTACTATAGTGATAGTGTGAGATCGCCGCGAATACTGGCTTTCAATTCAATCTCGACATCAAGGTTGGCTTCCAGTGTGAGCTTGAGACCGTCGGTGTCTTTCAGGGCTGACTGGAACAGGTTAGTCTCACGAGGCGACTTTTGTAGGCCGGCGATGGAGGATAACGTACCCCATTGCTCTCCTCTTCTTGCGGCGTGATATAGTATGGTTGATTCGGGTTTGAGCCACGAACTGGAATCTCTCCTCGCATAGCTCGAGCATGCGTGACAGGACCGTCCATAGATGTGCTGTCGGGACCTATCCGCTCGAATGGTCGTTGTTGATCAAGGTCTCCATTGGCATCTGCCTCTTCCAAAGCCTCCAGCGAGCCTGTTTTCATATACTTGCCATCTGTCATGGCTTGCTGAATACGCTTCCTTCGCTCTCTTCGTGAAGATGATCGTGATCGGTTAGACTCAAGACCTGCTTCCCGCTTTTCTTTCTTGATGAGACGGTCCTGTTTCTCCTGTTGTTGGACTGTCCTCTGCTTTGGTGGATTCTTCAAGGTTTCCTCTGACAGGTGCTCGAGCTTCGGCTGCTCGTTGTACTTCTTTCGGTACGACTCATTGTTGATCTTGTCCGCCATCTTGGCCCCCAGCGTGGGCTAAAGATATCCGGGGAGTATGTGGTATGCAAGTCGCTTTCAAGCCGTGTCCAGGTGTATCGGCGACGTGTTCCTGCAGTGAGTATACGATGGAGTCGGCACGAAAGACTGGTGAAAACGACCAAAATGCAAGAGAGCGAACACAACGAACAGGAACCTGGACTCGCCTCGTCTGCCGTCAGCAGCACACAGTACCCACCTCACACCTGCCCTTCAGACCCGCTATGAATCGCCAGCGAGCACCAGACGCAATGAAACCTGTTTCCAGCCGATCGCACGACCATCGCCTCTGCATGTTGCGTCTTGCGGAGTGGTATCCCTGTGCGCACCGCCACAGGTACCCAGTTTTGTGACTTCATCCTTCCTGCAAGCACTTTACGCCTGGGACACGCAATGCCTCGGCGGCCCGCACCACTCGCGCCTGGAAGTGCAATCAGGAAGCAAGTCGCCTGGCAAGCAACGTGGAATATGTGGCATTAGACTCAAGGTTTTGATCATCGTGTGTGGCTAGCTTCGCATGCGTGCAAGACGACACCTGCTTTGCAGCTTCGACGTGCAGCCGCAAAACCTGGCAAGCTGGCAGCAGGCCGCTTCCCACGGACCCGACATTCCATCAATCCAGAGGATGAAACACTGCGAGGCTGGGTTCCGGCTTGGAGACTCGTATTCTTTTCCACGGCTGATCATTTGTCGTCATTGGAAAGAGTACATGAGTTGTGTCTGCGTCAAGAGATGTATCGTGATGTATCTGACAAGGTTCATGGTAGGCGCGAAGTCCGGCGTCATCAAGGGCTCAAAGTGAGAGTGACAGAGCCTCGCCAAGCAGGTAATCAGCTCGCAGACATCGATCATAGTCAAACTTGGGTAAAAAGTCTCGTCATTGCAACCATCATCTACGATTACACAGTCGTCCAATCCAGCTCCCTCGGTAACATCATGCAATTATCCATAAGAAACAAAACTCTGCTTTTCGCGCCATACGCCCTTTGTAGTAGTCTAGTTGAGCAAACCAAGAGTAAGGTCACCATGGATCTTTGCCTTCAATTGGATCTCAATGTCGAGGTTCAGCTCCAGTCTCAAACGCAGCTGCTCGCCGCCACCACCATCTTCCTCTCCGCCGCCTTGCTCCTGACCCTGCTTGCCTCCACCGGTGAGACCACCCAATGCCTTTCCGGCAGTGTCACCCACACTGTTGACTGCGTTACCGGCAGTGTTCTGAACGAGCTCGCCGGCCTGGCCGACAGCTTCTCCACCAGGCAGGTCTTCAGTGATGCCGTCCAGAGGACCGCCTTGCGAGTTCTTGGTTTGCTGTTGCTGCTTCTTTTGGCGTTGGCGCTGACGGCGACCACCTGCGGCGCTCTGGTCGCTTCGCGCAATAGACTCGGTGTCGCTCTCCTGCTGGCCTCCTTTGCGGCCGCGACCTCGACTCTGGCGGCGACGAGATTGCTGGCGAGATTGCTCTTGTTGCTGCTCGGCCTCCATTTGTGGTTCGGCTTCTGCTTCGCCGTCGCCTTCTGCGTCGGCTTCAGCTGATGCTTCTTGTTCGGCGCCGCCTTCGGCTTCGGCTTCGTCTGTTTGTTCTGGCGTTGGCTGTTGCTCTTGTTTCTTCTGGCCCAGCTTTTTAGGCGTCTTCTTGGTGGTTTTGCTGTTCGTTTCCGCGCTGCCAGAAGCGTTCAGTCCAGCGTTCGCACCCCCGGAGCCTGATACGCTAGCAGATTGCTCTTCCTGCTGAGATGACATACTGGCTTTTCTGTTTTAGTGTAGTTCTTGCGGATTAGTTGCGCCGTGCTTGTGCACAAAGTCAGAAGTTGAGGAGAGGAAATGCGAAAGATGTGCACTTAGACCTAAAGGAAGCGGCCCCAAACCTGTTTCCAAGAGCATTGATTCATTCTCATGCTGTACCCACATCACGCACCTGACGCAATAAAGCTCCATACAGCCACAGGTTGCAGGGGTGAGACTTGTTACAGGGCGAAGCGAGGGTGCGTGGATCGGCTTGCGAAGACTGCAAGCGGGCCGCGTGGTGTGGCGCAAGTCCAGTCTGGCACTCGACCGCATGAGCTGCATGACGAAGACACCAAAGGACCTTCCAGCGCGGTCAAGGAAGTCCGCATCAGGCTGGTCCGCTTTCATCATCACACCGCGTCGTGTCCTTGGATTGAATAGGATATCATCACGATCTTGTTGTCATCCTTCATGACCCGAAAAGGGTGGCTCGGGGGCGCTGGTTGTTCCACGAAGAGGCGAGCTCCCTTGCACGACTGATGTCACTGGACTTGAAATCTCGTGTCCGCTTGTCAGCCACCAGCAGTCTTCGGCGGAAGGTGGTTCCGTGATGCTCGTAGTATGCGAAGCAATGCAGACGACGACTGATGAAGGGGAGAGTTGTGAAATGAGCAACGAAGCTTCAAGCCGTCGAGCAAAGTCGAGGTTCCTGCCCACAGCGACGGCCCGGATCAGTGCCAGGACTTTGGCAAGCACTGCTATTCGCGCCTGCTGACTTCGACAGTCGTGCTTGCGGTGATCATGTTGACAACATTCAGTTGAACCAAGCAATCCACGATGACGAGCAAAGGAGCAGCTCCCGATGCTGCTGCGGCGAAGACGCGGATCATCAAGCACATGGTAAGGATGAGACTTGAAGTCGAAATGATACAACGAATGAATGCCGAGTAACACCTCTCAGAACAATGATCATCATGATTCTGTGCGTACTGACATACCAGACTTCGACCCGCAATGACTGACCATGGGGCAGGTCGTTCGCTATTTGCAGCATTATGGCAAGATTCCGTCCTGGAAAGCATACGACGGCGAAGTGACAGACGTGGACCTCAATGCACTCTCCCTCTCGTGTCACGGAACGACAATCAGAGTGCCATTTGAGCCTCCCATGAGCTCTTTACGGGAGGCGCGCGAACGCGTGGTCGAGTTTGATCGGGAGTGTCGCAAAGCTCTGGGGCAGTCCGATGTTACTGTCAAGGCCTATGTCCCACCCACTGGAGCACGTGCGATTCCCTTTGTGGGCATTCTCATCACAGCTGTGGCCTATAGCCAGCGCTGGTGGTTTGAGAAAGGCCAAATTGTAGAGCAGTTGTTCGGCAGCTCTTTTGCGAAGTTCGCCTGGACGATTCAGCCGTGGCTCCTGATAGGCTTGGCTGCCGTACATGGCAGTGAGATGCTATATTTCTCACTGACCAAGCTTCCACAGCACTCTGTCAATGTGCGCTCTTTGCAATGGTGGCTGTGGAATGCTTCGATCTTCATTGAGGGAGTCTTTGCCTGGAAGAGATTCGATGAACACGTCCAGAGGCAGAGAGAAAAGCAGCAGCACTGATCCCGACAACTTCTGGTCACCACCTGTATGTGCTGCTCCACAAAGCAGTGGAAGACATCTTGTGATTTTCATACACTGGTATCGTACCACAGGGCAGTGCAACAGTCACTCGCGGGTTGCCATGAGGGTTGCCATCTGTTCAGGTGAGCTTCCGATACACACCATCACGCTGTGCATGATACGTGGACAAGGCTATGCCAAGGGGCATTCTACAGGCTCTGAGATGAAGCGTGCATGGGGACGCAGCCGGTTCGCGCACGCTGCGCAGACGACGTCTTGTTCGCGACTTGAAGTCAGGCACTCATCAATCAGCTAGCAGGGGCGGTCAGCGATCGCTGCTGTTCTCGGAAAACATTTGTGTATGATACAGAGGCTGACCAGAACCAATTCCAGGACTGTCTGACAGCTGCAGCAAGCCGTCGATGGATCCGTGACACACATACAAACAGCATCCCAACGGAGAGCCCCCTCGCGTGGCCAAGACGTGTTGCTTCATGTTCATGCTACCATCCGAGGTCTTGTGGGTCGCGGGTAGTGACATTGGGCTGGTTGATGTACAAACCACAGCTGACTCTTTCTGGCTCGATCATGCGCTCGGACGAAATACCCAACAGGTTCCTGGATGGCGCGTTTATCCAGTCAGTGCTGGTGACTCTATCGAATTTCGGATAGCTAGTCCTCAATCGCTGGCGTCACGCGGACGCACAGCATGTGGTGGATCAGCCCGCGCGGCTGCTCGTGCCGACCTCAAACAAGCCAACTTCATTCATCGCGCTCGAGCGCGAGAGAGCCCAGACTCACCGTGCAGTTTCACTGCGCACCTGTCGTGTCTTATCTCCTTCATCTTCCGTCGTGCTTACCCGCCTCTCTGCAGCAGCTCGACGTCCACGATTCTTACTTTTGTGCAAGCAGAGCCGGTCTTTGCTATGTAAAGCATCGTTCAGTCTTTGTTTCGGGATTGAAGATGCACCGCAGCGCATCTGCTTCACCGACAGTCTGGATGCCGTCGGAAGTTGCTCAGTTCAGGGTGCACACCAACACTGCGCATGATGGCAATCACCTCTCCGCCAGTGAATATTCGCCGCACAGCATCATCATCGTTCCGACGGTCTGGCAAGCAACGTGCAAGCTTGAATGGAGACGCAGAATGACCCGCGAGACGGCAGCACCGAACCACAGGTCAGCGTTGCAGTGTATAACGAGGACGAAAATTGAGCTTGTGCGACGGCGTTACACAACGCACTCACAGAGTTGCAACTGTGTGTAACATTCCGCTGTGTCGGTGCCGGGAACGATTCGCGTCGCCATGACACGAGCAGAAATGCCATGAAGACGATGGAAACACGCGGATCAATCATACGAAGCGCGCGGCCGAAGCGAATCCACGGAAACTGCGATTGAGGGTGTGGCGGTTTGTTTACTTGCTGCGCAGTGAGTCGTCTAGCATTTCATTACAACCGCCACCTTGCATGCTTACCGCCTAGGAATGTCTCAAAGGAAGCTGACGTTTCGCCTGGCTGCTTCGCGCTACGGCTTGGCCGCTTTCGGACCCGCGGGTTGCCAACAAAGAACAAAGAAAGCCTGTCCACTTCATCGACTCCGCAACAATCGCAGCATTGCGTGAGGCAGACGATGACCGTGCTCGGCATTGGACAAAGGATCGCATGCCACGGTTGGCGTGGAATAATAGACACAAAGATTTCTTGCTTTCCTTTGCAATAATGGGCCGTCTCGATCCGTCACGCGCTCTCATTGGTACGCTCCAGCTCTTTCATTGTCGATTCGGCATGCCAGTGGAACAAGAGGACTGTGAGACCCTGCCATCTCCTTCTCGATGTCTGCCTCTATTCAGGAATCATCGGTATCGTCACTTCCCGTGCATCGACAGTGGGTTCATCCAGTCCAGCCTGTGCAAACGCAGCCTCCCGCAAATGAATCCGGGCACATCATTTTCACGAGACAACTGTGGCAGCGAACCATGCCAGACGGCACCCATCCAACTGATGAAGCTGTCTTGAACAAGTCTCAAGCTCAGGATACACGAGGCAGCAGCCATAATACTGCCGCAGCTACCAGTAGGCGCACGTCGTCTTCCGTTGCTGCACGCCCACACAGACGCTCTTCCAGTCCCTCCGCCAGAGATCCCTCCAAGACTCCATTGACACCTGAAGAGAGTCCACCCTTTAGTAGAACAACGAGAAAGCGAACGGCTGGCATTGTTGAGGTCGAAGACAAAGATTTCGATCTGCCTGAAGCGTCGCCGGCGCACACCAGATCTGATAGCGGTGAGATCCAGGTGTGTATCTGTCAACCAGAGCCCAAAATACCCAGACCTCGCAACGGTGAGTACTCGTCCTGATACACGACAGTCGGTCATTTCAAATGCTCACAAGTGGTAGCATTCATCTTATATCGCCAGAATCAACAAGCGCAGGTTGTCGCTCAGAACCCAGGCCTCGCCAACCCAGAAATTTCCAAGATCATCGGTGAGCAGTGGCAGAACCAGCCACCCGAGATCAAGAATAGGTGGAAGGCGCTTGCTGAAGAGGAGAAGCTCCGACATCAGCAGCAGTATCCATCTTACCGCTATCAACCTAAGCGAAGCAATCGCCGGGGCAGTCTGTCGTCAGAGCCAACATCAGGAGTTGAGAAGCCTCGCTGTCACAAGTGTGGTGGACGAAGCATCTTGACCCCATCAACGCCATATACTGCGGGCAACAGTCCTGCGTCAGCACACACGCCAGGGTCGCTCGCCACGCCTGTCACAAGAACGTTGCCCGTGCTACGCGATCTGAGTCTGCAGTCGCCGGCAGCGAGACGACACGGTCGATTTCCAGGAAACGCCATGTCTATCAACCACCACGATGAGCGCGATGACCTTGGACCCCTTAGCCCCGAACTCAAGCGTCGCCGATACAACAATAACAACGACCACCCTACCACGATGGCTTCTCGCGCACCACCATCCAGATTTGTGGCTGCGCCGCCTCCGGGTCCGCACGGTGGTCCTGGAACCCCATTTCCGTTTAATCAGCCACCTGCACCACATCCTTATCCGCCAGCAGCTCCACACGGTCGTCGAGAATCACTGCCTGGCCTACGCGGTGTTGTAAGTCCACCGGGGCCGATGGCGCCGCCTCCACGACCAGGCCCCGGGTATGCACAACACCGCCTGTCCCAAGGTCATGCAGGTCCACATGATCGGTCTCTGACACTGCCACCGTTACAGACTCACAGTGCTAGTGTTGCACCAGGGCCGATGGCCTCTAGTGGAGGCGTGAAGAGCGCCAAAGAGTCCATCATGACCTTGGACTTTTGGTACAAGATCAACGTGCTGGGCAAGGTAGCACCACCAGCACCAGTGCGAAAAGCAACCCCGAGAGGACCATTGGTCGCTATCGAAGGTGATAACGCGGAAGCGGTCAAGGCGCTGGGCAAGTGGTTGAGCGATACCTTGGGCAAAGGTGACGACCTCAGCGTGAAACAGCTGGACGAACCAGTCATATCGGTAGGAGGTGGCAAGCAGCAGATCATGGCACAGTATCACCGTCTAGCAGCGGAGTGGCTCATGCGAAGCGTTGAAATCAGCGACATGCTGATGATCAAGAATGCCTCGCCGACGGACTCTGTCATGGTTGATTCCTCGAGCTCAGTCACCTCTTCCAAAGGCAGAGCCAGGGAGAAGATTGACGAGAACTACGACGATAGCGATGAGCCAGAATCTGGTCCGAAGAGGGCATCGCCAAACAGAGTTGTGGCGCGAGCCGACGATCCAGTTCCGCAGAAGGCGGATCGAGATGTGGAAGACGCCGAGAAGATGGACGTCGACACAAATGCGCGTAAGATGTCAGTCTCCAGCAAGAGCTCATCCACCTCCAATTCGGCAAAGCCAGTCGGTATCATCGCCAACTACTCGCTTCACGCCAGCAACTTCTTTGCTTGCCATATCCCGATCGAGCCGTATGCACAGTACTCGCCCAAGGATCACTGGGAGTGGACGGCGACACACTGGCGCGGCATCATCAGTCCGGACTTGACCATTTACGTCAAAGACAGCACCACGCCAGAAAGTGGCAAGCCTACGGTCGAGATTATGGAGCCGGGCAGCCTCTTTGTCGTGAAGAGAAGCAAGACGGAGGGGAAAGATGCTCTCGAGATCGAACCTTCCACACTACGCCGTCTCGGGTTCGAAGTCAGCGAGTGGGTTCGTGGATTCGGCGAGAATGCCGTATAGAATGGGATAGCGTGAATGTGCGACTGCTGACTTGGTTCATCAGATTCAGAGCTTGAAATGTGTGCAGAGGAGGGTGTGGTAGATCGGAAGTCTGGCGTGCTGGCTTGCCTACGTATTGTCGAAATTCGAACATCGTGACACGTCCATTGATCAGTTCTGATCAGTTTTCATTTGTTGTTGCGTGGTGTTCCGAGATCTTGAAACTCTTTGCGGCGACTCGCATGCTGCCACGTTCGTTCAGCGTGACAGCCTGGTTTCGGAGTCCGTCGTGACACGCTTGAAACGCACATGACATGTCTACCAGAGCTGTCTTCTCCAGATCTTTGGGTGAATGTGCCATGTGCACGAATAGCACGTGCTCAATCAGTAGTGTGTTGTTCCGTGTGAAGCCGCCCCAGAGCGTGGACAGTAGTCAGCCTCGGCAGCGGGATCTGTGCCTGGACTTTTGCGGATTAGGCTGGGGAAGGCTGTCACTGGCGCTTCCCCCGTGCTTTCACATGCTAAACCCGCACGTCTCGTGGCCGGGGCCATGACGCTTCGGTGCTGAACGGCAGAATGGGAATTGGCCAGAGAGAGAGACTTCGCGGTCACGATGGCCAGCTGTTCGGCGCATGCCATGCCATGTGCTGAGCCTTTCTTTGCCGTCAATTGTCCCCTTTCTGTTGATGTATGAGTAACACGCATAGACATAGACTCCTGCCACAATAGCATTCCTTTATTGTTCATTCAGCCTACCAATTCGACCTTCCCTACGAGCGACACCCTGCTGCGCATGCCTACCGGCGAGGACTGCACGTCTGTAGTGCGGATGCTGGGCTCGAGGCCATGATAGGTATGTACACAGTCCATTCACAGTGTAGGCGCAATCCACAGCAGCTGATGTCTTTGAAGACCACATCCTGGGTCGCCCATCGACCCGCTTTCGCAAATACCAAGTCCTCGCCGTCGTCGTCTTCTGGAGCCTCTACCTCCGCAAATTCAAACGACATGGCCCTCCAGGCGTCGATCGATTCTCACGATGGCTCTCCCAACGCTTCACCATGCACCAAGCCCTCGTCGTATCCTGCATGGCCCTCTACGTGTCGCGGAACTTTGCAAGAGTCGTGGGCTTGGAGTCTCCAGAGCCGTTGGCGAATCTCTACGATAAAAAGTTCTTTAGAGCGACATGGGTTACAACGGCGTTGGATGCGGGTTTCTGGACAGCGATGCATTTGAGGCCGAAGTGGCTGAGGCATATTTGCGAGATTATGTTTACGCTGTATTATTTGGTTTGTGCGGAGCAAGCGGATGAGATGGTGAGGAGGGTGAGAGGTGATTTACGAGTGGATCATTTGAGGGTTAGTTGGAATAAACCCAATACGCCTGTGCTCAAATTCTTGACGAGCTTGATGAGGCCGAGGTTGATGAAGTATGAGCCTAAGAAGATCAGGATTCACAGACCAAGGGACAGTGATTACAAGGAGCCTATTGAGGCGTGGTTGTATTTCAATGGATCGGATACGGAGCTGCGACGACAACGAGAGATTGTGCTGGATATACCTGGAGGTGGGTTTGTGGCTATGGATCCTCGATGTCACGATGACAAGTTGATGCACTGGGCTGGAAAGCTTGGATGTCCGGTTTTGGCTCTCGACTACAAGAAGGCACCGGATGAGTGCTATCCTTACCAGCTGTATGAGTGCTACGACGCTTACTATCAGTTGATCACGACCCGAGGACGGTGCATCAATTTATCTGGAGAGCATGTTCCGAAGATCATCATCAGTGGAGATAGCGCAGGCGGAAATCTGGCTGCGGGTCTTGTACTCATGATTTTGGACGAGAAGTCTCAACATTCGACCTGGCATACAGGCTTCATACCGAACACGCTTCCGCCCCCTGAGGCAGTGGTGCTGATATACCCAGCCCTTGAGCTCAATATCGGTATCTGGATGTCGGACGAACATCTGGCTCTCATGAATTCGCTGAAACGCAACAAGGACGACAAACGGGTGCTTGATCGCAAAGTCCAAGACTATCGCCGCATAGATCGCACAACGCCATACACTTCAGACGCAGAGGACTCGGACGATACAGTGACTCCGAACCCTAGGAAGAAATCAGTCGTGGCGGTACAGCCCGAGAAGCGAATGAAGACTCGACTGGCCATGAGCAGCGTCATATCATACACGAACGACCGCATCATCAGCCCTGAGATGCTTCGTGCCATGATCATCGTCTACATCGGCCCTCACCGAAGACCCGACTTTACAACTGATTACTGGCTCTCACCCGTAAGAGCGCCCGAAGAACTCCTAGCGAAATTCCCAAAGACCTTCCTCATATGCGGTGAACGCGACCCACTAGTGGACGACACCCAAATCTTCGCCGGCCGCCTCCGACAAGCCAAATTACTCGAATTCGAACGTCAAAAAGAAGTCGGGCTCGTGAGCGAAGACGCGAAATTCAACGACGATGACCATTTTAAGAAAATCATCGTCCCGCAAATCAGCCATGGTTTCCTACAATTCGTCAGCCTTTACCACGATGGTTGGGAATGGATCAACGAATGTCGAAGATTCATGCAAGAGGCTTTTATCGAATCGTATAACAAAGAACAACCTTCTTCTGTTGCATCGAATGGCGGAACGGATTATTTTTCGAATCCGAGAGGAACGACGCCTTCGAGACGGGGGTCGCATGGGTCGGAGAGTGAGAGGCCATTGGAAATTCCGTCCAAGTTTCGGATGACGAAGATTGAGAATGGAGGGGTGGTTTCGCCGTCTGCGAAGAGGAGACATCATTCGAGGAATGGGAGTGGTGGGGGGAGGTATTCGAGTCAGGCGAATGGGTCGTCTTCTTCTGCTTCTGCGGGTAGTGCGTCGAATTCGAGGAGGAATGGGATGAGGTGGAGACGGTATCATCATATGTCTGGGGCGGTGAGTCCGAGTACGAGTCGGAGTGTTGTGAATCGGTTGGCGAGTTCGGAGGATTTGTTGGAGAGGAGGATGCGTGGGATGACGGGGCCGCTGTTGGGGGATGTTAAAGATGATGATTGATTGATGAATAGGGTTTTGATGTCTGGTGGGGAGGTTGTTGTTGTGATACCATGTGAGTACAGGATATAGCAAGCAATTGCATCGGTGTTCTGCCGTGTACATGCGACTCCTGTATGATCGATACGTGCTTTGGATACCACACGATTTGTGCCCAGAAAATGAGCAGAGTAGCATGACGAGCGCTGACAATGAGAGGAAAAGTGAGACTGTGCGATTTCGGGAGAAAGTCTTGCGGGACTGTCTAGCTGCATAGAAGGCCACCAGGCGCTGGAAATGCCCATGGAGTGACCATACCGTCCGATTACGCCGCCATGATATGGTATCTCGAAGCGCTCAAAGCATGATTCACCCTTTTCGTAACTTTTGTTGCTCGTCAAAATATTGCAACTTTTTACGCAACAGCCTGTTGTCACCAATCAGCACACCCAATGCACGTGGTTGTGTATGGGATCCCACCACCATTCCTCCTCGCCCAAGAGGTATTAGGTATATGTGGGTGTTTTGGATGCAATCATACCTTGACGGCGAATTGCCTCTGAGGGAAGTGTCGCTGCTTCTTCTTTTGCTTCTCGGTCACGCGCTTGGCATCCTCGGGAGACAAGCGGCGGCGGATGGCACGAGTCTGCTTCGAGCGGAGGTCGAGTGGCAGGTACTTCTTCTTTTGGTAGAAGAGGCGGAGCTGAGCGCGCTGGTTTGCGTTGATGATGGTAAGGACACGGGCAATCGACTTGCGGACGTCGTGGCTGTTGTGTCGTTAGTACCCTGGCTCTTCTTCCCCATCGCACATTGTGTTGCCAAATCGTACATCTTGTTCAGCTTCGACGAAGCACCGCCAGCGATCTTCTGAGTGCGCAGCTGCACGAGCTCGGCCTTCAAGTCATCGAGTTGCTTCTTCAGCTCCTCCTTGTTCTTGCCCCAGAGCTGCGAGGCCTTGACTTTTCCGGACGACTGCGCGCAAGACCGTCAGCATTTCTGCGCCGACAATTGTAATCCGAGCGATCGATTCGTACCATTTTGACTGGAGTTCCTGTAGGTTAGTTGTCGAGAGAGAGGAAGTGTCGTCGTCGCAAGCGAATGTCTCGTGTGTGCGAAACGTCTAAGTGGAGAGGATTTCTCAGTGGCCAAGACTTGTCGGCGTCTGGTTTCCCCGGTCTCGGCTAGCCTTCCCGAAACCAACGGATGTGCTTTGTGGTTGCCAACCGTGCATGTGATCCTCACGTCAGGAGCAAGCAACTATACGATAGAGACGGGCGCAACAGACAACCGGAGACAGAGGCTTTTGGTTACGCGAGACGGAACTTCTCATACACATCGCGAGTATGGCAGTCAACATGGGAAGCTGGGCGCAATTACGGCAGCAAGCAAGAGCACAAGAGACACAGGTCAGTTTGGTACCATCGTCCACAGCCATACAGATTCTAACAGCGTCGCCTAGACAGAATCGCTTTTCCACACATATGCACAGTTTGCCTCCAAGACTGACATAGATCCCGAGCCGAGTGAAGAGGAAAGCCGCACGGAGGAGCAGCTGAACGAGATACTCGAGAAGGTAATTAGATCATTACAGCGACATGCATCGCATGCTCGAACTGTTCTAATGACATGCAGCGCAACGCATCAATAGCCTCTCTCCAACGAGCAATCGACTCTGAATCCACGCCATCGCAACTCAAACGTACGAATCTGGAACGACACAAAGAAATCCTATCACAACACCGCAGCGAACTCTCCCGACTGAAATCACAAATCTCTCAAGCCCGCGATCGAGCGAACCTCCTTTCGAATGTGCGAAAAGACATATCGACATATCGCAATGCGCAAAACCCTGAAGCCCAGGAAGCAGAATACATGCTTCAAGAACGAAACCGATTGGATCGATCGCACAATGTGGCAGATAGCGTCTTGAGCCAAGCTTACGCGGTAAACGAGAGTTTCGGGCTACAACGAGAAAGCTTGGTGAGCATACAGAGGAGGATCACGGGTGCTGCGGCGCAAATACCTGGCATCAATGGGTTGATGCAGAGGATTGGTAGTAAGAAAAGGAGAGACGGCATTATTCTGGGCTCCTTTATCGCCATATGCTTTTTGGTCCTGCTGTGGATGTGGTGAAGGATGCGCTGAAGCTCTGGTAACTCGGACGCATGATTATGCTCAGCATTTTTACGTCGAGACTCTTCGGTATGTCTTCCATTCGCTCGACTACTGGTCTGCGATGCTGATTTGAGCCCCCATCAGGCACGAATCAAATGTGTCGCTTCGCACCAGCGAGTCTCTGCTGGTGGAGCTTCCTGCGTGATGCAGCTTGCGGCGAAAGCAGCACCTTTCAGCAAGTGCTAATAGCTTGCACGCCTGCCTCGTGGGGTGATGCGGCATAGGCAGCGTCATATTCATGGCGGCCAGCATTACACCGAAGCATGAAGTCGCCACTTAGATCGCATGCGCCCGTCGCTGTTGGTCCCCATCCTCGAAATGATGCCCATTTTTGGCTTAGATTCAACAGTACCGATTCAGACTTGCGACACGCCATCGATTGAGGAGAATCTCTGAGCACCAGACTGTGCTTCAGGGAGTCGTGGGCTGCATCGTTGGGCTGGGAAAGCCAGAGCTCCATCGGTCATCATTCCAGCAAGAAACTTCGGCCTGGATCCTGTCGACTGGCACGCCAATTTCCCGCAAGCTGTCTATGTACGTCGCAAGCGAGGCTTTCCGACACCAACCAAGCCACTTGATCTCAATCATCCGGATGAGTGACGCATCCTTGGTACCGATTGCTCGGAGCCATTGAACGTCGCCGCTCGCGATCCGGCCAATGCCGTCCACGGGAGTAACTTTAGGTGAAAAGACGAACTTGTTCCGGCCATAAAACATGGGCAAAGTCTCGTTGCGGATCGATCGACAGACTCTCGTTAGAGCAGGTTGCTCGGGACTTCGGCATTCATAGGGCTGGGGGATGGCCAGAACTTGTGTATTCTGGTCGATATATTCATGCGTCACGATCCAGTCTCGATTGTAGCGGGACAAATCGACACTATAACATTGTTAATTATGAATGTTCCTGCCAGTTTGCTCGCGCTCTGCTTTTACCAGTGTTCGCTAATGTTGAAGCGGCATTCGAAGTGCCTTGGATATCGTATGGGCCATTGGATTCTAGCATTTCCGCTACACGATCGCCCTACTCCCATTGTGACGACGTCCAGGGTTGCATGTTTCTTGCAGTTCTCGCACTGAACGACAAACAGGCAGCCGGAAAGCTCGTAGATGCGATTCCGGAGCTCTCCGGGCAAGCTCAGGAAGCCAGAACTCCGTACATGGGCTTCATGGGCAGCCATATCGCGTACTTGAACGAGCTACAAAGATCGATAGAGAACGAGTGAGAATTGGGTAGGATAGCAGTGTGGTTTCGTTCACTTCAGTTCGATCAGATAAGAGTTATCTGATCGTGCTAAGCCGATACCGGACAGGTCCTGTGAGCTGGCGGATTCCGGCTAGCCAATGATACAGCTTCCGGCCTTGATGCTATAGACCGTGCGCGAGAATCTTACGATTGATGAGGGTTGTTGACGCGATTGAGGGATATTATGTGATCTCACGCGTTGTGTCCGGATCGTGTTTGCGAGCAGTAGACGCGCTGTGTTGCGCTTGCTCAGCTTCGGGCAACGATATATGCCAGGTCCTGAGCATACATATGTACAAGCCATGTAGGAATGTTTGCGAGCACAGGAAAGCATGCTCATCTGGCGCCTCCACTCGGCTCAGTATCATGTCTCACGAGACTTCCCATAGAGAAGTCCGAGGCTGTACACAGGGGGGCCGCAAGCCAGCGGCAGGTGAAGCAGATATACCGGTGTGAGACTGCCGGCTGCGCTGAGCCAGGAGATGATATGTTACCGTTTTGCGATGACCCGGGACATATCTTCAGCAGGACGCGACAACGTGCAGCTGCTGAAGATGATTATTCTCTCACCACTGCTTTCGATGTTGTAGCAGTGAAGGGGGTAATCCACTGGCGTCTTGGAAGCTTGGTGAAAGCACTCCACTCGTTAAAGTCCGCATCGTCGAGCACCACTCTTTTGCCGTAGTATACCCGATTTCTTCAGGATCGGACGCAAAAGTGTACAACAATACTGTATTTTCGTTGTGTGATGGTTCGGCAAGGATAGCAGTGCACCGATCGACAGGGCCCCGCTGGATGAAGAAGCCGAATGGGGAAGGCGCGTGGATCTGCTTCCTGGGCAACCCCGGATGACGGAAAGCAGTAAACATCGAAACGGCAAGCACGAACCGCAACCAAGGCGGCACCCAACGACCACGAAACGGCCGAGAGGGTACACGCTCGCCATTGTCTTCTCTTCCGCTCTTGTTGGTATCAAGACAGTCGTTTCTGTATCTTTCGTATCGTCTAACCAGCTACCGCTAGTGATCGCTGTATTGCAGCAGAACAGCGTTACACAGCCAGCATTCTTGCCAGTCACCAGGCAACGCCGACTTGGACACGATGAAGGACAACCGTGAACCTAGCCCGACGTACATGTCGAAGGAGCAGATGAGTATGTCTTCTTCACTTGTGTTGCTGCCTCATACCCCTCCTCGCCCATCGCGCCTGCGAGAATGCATCACCATCGAGCATCGCGACGCCGACTTACCGCTACGTGCAGGTTCCTACCTAAAAGATCTTCGAAAGCCTCTATCGCGACCCTCGGGCTCTCGACCTGCTCCGCCCTCCAAGTTCGGCAGCGTCCGACGAGCAGGAACTCCCAGTGCTCCAGATGTCGTCAACAACAAAACTTCGCTAGATGACGATCGACCTTCGCTCCTGACTAGCAACAGCATGCCGATCATGCAGCCACCACAAAAGCTGTCGCATCACCGCACCGATTCGACCCTGTCGCAACGAAGCATGTCGCGCAGCCCGTTTGCTGGACGACCTCTAGCCCGAGCCCCATCAGCGACGCCTGAGCCTTCAAAAGACGATGCCGACCGACCGCAGCCGCGTCGCACGCCGAGCATGAAATATATGGAGAACGGGACGCGGTGGATGGAAAAGCAGGAGACGCGATCTTTGCGGCATGCTCTCGAGGATATGGATCTGGAGGAAGAGCGAAAGGTACATCTATCTGCGCAAGAGGAGGCCGCGGAATTGGTCTGGAAGCATCAGAATCCGGAAGCTGCTAGCGGACCCTTCATCAATCCAGATCTCAAGCGAGACTACAACTCACACTTGCGCAAAGGCAGCTATCACCGCAGTCACAGTCAGGATGCATACTCGTCTGCAGGGTCCCGGAGTGCGTCCGAGGGGAGCCAAGCGTCTATTGCAGATGACATCCTTGGGCACCCGAAAGAGTTGCACACCTCTAACAAAGGCCTTCGAAAAGTCAGCCCTCCCACAGGCGAGGTGTCTGTGCAGAAACGACGCGTGTCGAGTGGAAAGAGCTATGACCAGCTAGCCGAAGCGGTCGCGAAGGACATTGCAATTGCACAGCGAAGAGTCAGCAGTGGCAGCAAACGCATCATGAGTGGGGAGAAAAAGAAGTTCATGGATCCGAACGACCGGATATGGGAAGATCCTGAGGAAGGCGAATCACCGCAGAGACAGCAAAGCACACGGCAAGAAATTGCAAAAGATACAAGGTCTACAGCCACTTCTCCGGTCCCATCGTATGTCCGCAAGAACCCATTCGCTCGGGTCAGGGCCCAGTACGAAAAGAACCTGGAACGTTCAACTTCGGCGCCGACACTCCAGACTCTCGGTAGCACGCCTCTGCCACGACACGAACGCGTTGAAATCCAAAGGAACCCACCAAGCCAAAGCCGGAATGCCTTCTATACATCGAACGAAGTGGTCCTACCACCGACTCCACCAGCGGAGTCACCGCATGAGGCAGATGAAGTTGCTCCAAAAGGCACACCCACAAAAGACGGGAAGGAGATCAGAGGTGACGATATCAGAGCAGCGACCAGCAAAGCCAGGAGTGCCTATAGTCCCAATCTGCCGCGGCCGACAATGGTCAGTGACAAACCTGGAAGACCTATTGTCAGTTTTGAGAAAGACTACAAGACGAAAGAGATCGTGATGGAGGAGCAACATGTTGATTGGCCCCCAGAGGCTTCCACTTCCTCCAATCTGGAGCATAAGGATCAATTCGAAGCGACGCCCAAGAGCATGCCGTCGCCGTCCAGGAGCAGTCCTTTTGCGCGGAGAACGACTGGTGAACAATCGAGCCAACCCTCCATGTCACGACCCCTGCCAAGTTCGCCCACGAAGAGTAACATTCCCAAGATTAATGTTGACGATGTGCCTAAATGGCAACCTTCGTCCCAGGCGTCGAGATCTCCGGCTCGATCAACTCACGTCCCTCCCATTCCAACCATATGCGCGCCTGATGTTCCATCTGTGCCGACGATCAACGTTGACACAGAGACTCCGTTGATCAATGTCAGCGAATCACCTGCAAGTTCGCCTACGAAGTCTAGCAGGATACCTCAAAAGGCCAGCCCAGCACCAGGTTCCAATCGTCCGCCGCCCCGCCATGCCAACACCATGCCCGTTGGCCAGAACAAGTCTACACCACACTACACGCCTTCAATTCGCCAGTCCGGCGCACTGTGCGCTCATTGTGCTTTGCCCATTGCGGGAAGAATATTGAGCGCAGCAGGTGAACGCTTTCACCCCGGATGTTTCGTCTGCAACCAATGCAACACGAATCTGGAATTGGTTGCATTCTATCCTGAGCCCGAAAAACAGCGATGTGCTCGTCTGGAAGATCCGGACAGTCAGGATACAGACCCTACCTTGCGTTTTTATTGTCATCTCGATTTTCATGAGCTCTTCAGCCCTCGCTGCAAGTCTTGCAAGACACCAATCGAAGGAGAGGTCATCGTCGCTTGCGGCGCTGAGTGGCACGTTGGGCACTTCTTTTGTGCTCAATGTGGCGACCCTTTCGATTCCAGCATGCCATTTGTCGAGAAGGATGGATATGCCTGGTGTGTTGGCTGTCATACCAACCGATATAGCTCAAAATGCCGTAAGTGCCGGAAGCCTGTCACCGATGTTGTTGTAAAGGCACTGGGGTCGGACTGGCACAGCAATTGCTTTACTTGCATGGTACGTTATGAACCCACGACGCGTGAAACATCTACTAACCACTGCTGCAGGAATGTCATGGCGAGTTCATAGATGGTCGATACTTCCTGCGTGGCGAGAGTCAGGACCCGGTATGCGTCAAGTGTGAGGAGAGAAGGTTGAAAGCATAGCGCGATTATGCTGCGAGCTCCGGATAGATCTGCTCTATTTAGAAAGTCTTCAAGCTTCCCTGTTGAGTAGCGTGAGCAGCATGAGCGTTGAACTCTAGATCGCATACAGGACATACAGCCCGCAAGACACTTGAGCGCATGCGTTGTCGTCTGTCGGAAGTTGCTCATGAGAAGTGCTCACCGCCGGCAAATCTGCGCGCAGATCATGTTTCCAATGCTCCTGTAACCAAGGTGATACAGTGTAGCGCGCGGCTGCTGCACTACTTCGGAGCTTTGAGCGAATGTGTGCCTGTACCTCCAGAGTGGTAGGATGTGGGCTGACGTGTGTTGTGCGAACCCGCCAACCAGTTTCTCATCGTGCGCTGAAACCCAGGTTTTCGAGGGTTCGTTATTGGTTACTGTTGGTCATACGGCGACGAGCGGATGATGAAGGACAGGAGTGCAGTGGGATGGGCCCCCGACATGAGGATGAGATGGGACGCGCCAACCCATCGTGAAGCCACGAGGATTGAGCCGCGGGTGCCCCGTGCTGCCACGCGTGTTCGAAAGCCAAATTGGCGCCATTATGCGCCGGAAGGGGCTGCGTCGGCAATGCACAGATGGAAATAGGCGACGCGATGCAGGTCGGACAGGGCCGAGGATTGGTGGAAGGCATTGGAGGTGTTGTGCCCCTCGCATCGTGCCAGTCAGTCCCGGGCAGCAGCAGTCGAAACGCAACAGCAACAGCGTTCCTGACGAGACGGCCGCCAGCGAGGCAAATTAGGAGAGTTGGATCGACGACTACGTACCAGCGCCGATCTCGTATGTGGTGGCCAATGCCGGCGGGTTTCATTTTAGAGCCCAACACACAACTCCCAAACTGCGAGGCAGTGGGGGGCGGCTGCTCACACGACCCAGCTGCAGCGCGGCGAGGACTGCCATTCTTCTCATTGCATTGCGGCCAAGCGACCAGCTCGCCAGCACATGCGCCGACGCGGCCCACAGCAGCCAACACACACAGTACAGTACAGTACAGCACATCACCGCTCCGCGCCGCCGCCGCCGCCGTGTAGAGAACTGCGCAGGCCGCAGCTGCACGGCGAATCCGGCATCCTCCGTCTCGGTATACCAGCCTGCTATAGCACCTTCCCTGTTGTCAGGCGCATCTGTAACGTCCTGCCTGGATTATCCCGACCTCTTCCCTAGCCGCGAATCGTAATTCGGCCGCCGTGGAAGCCTACCGCTACCACCGTCAACACCACCACCACTCTCTCTGCCGTCGCCCCATTGACCGTATGCGAGCATGATCTCGACAAGCAGCCCTACACGACAGTCCATCCATCCTGCGAGCCCCCGCGCACGACCGTGTGCATAACCCACCGGCCCAGCGCCAGCCCAGGACAAATGGCAATACATCGCGGCATCCAGTCCGCTCTTTTCTACTACTTATCCTGCGCACCATGCGCGGACTCACGCTACCGCAAGAGGCGCAAACGCGAGGCCGCGCTTTCCCGAGCAGAACGTCTTGCCTTGGAGACTGAAGAGTTCAATGCATATCGCCATCCCGGAGAGCCATCGTCGACAAATCCCCATTGGCAGAGCGAGATCGAGCTGGGCCCAACGCTTGTACGCCGAGGGAAGAAGAAGGTCACGACTGCAGACAGTCAGAGAGGCCTGCAGCCGAGCAGAGTTAGCAGCAACACCAGCAAAGAGCCGAGTCTGGCAGACCTCGGATACAGAAGTGGCAGCGATGCGAGAGCCGATAGCAGGTCGCAGTTTCGTGTGCATCAGAGGGACGATGAGGATCTGTGGGGCTCGTCAAGTATGCTGGATGGATCCATGTATGCCTCGAGTATACGAAGGCCGCCTACGGCAAGGACCGCTGCTTCAGGATCCAGCAGGTATCACGCCACCCGCAATCCTGCTATCAATGATATGCATCCACCCACTGTAACCAAGGTCGACAAGCGTGAGGACGTGATGTGGATGATGCAGCCAATGCCAGTCGCTGAGGTCATGAGCGGCAAAGAACGAGCGGCCAGAAGCAGAAGCGACAGTGGCGCCAGCCGCCTCAGCCCGTGTTCCACAAACCTCTCCAGGCAGGTCAGTACCAAGATCATCGAGCAAAAGTTGAGGGCTGGCACACCTTCAGCAGCTGCCATGTCTCGTGAGGGCTCGGCTCGATCAGCCCATAGAGCCAACGAGCAGAAACATCATACTGGAGCTGAGCACGATTTACCTGCAATTCCACCTGAGCACAGTCGACATCTCCCTCCTTCACGGATGCACGAAGAGCAAAGTGACGAATCATCGGAAACAATCCTGCGGAAGCCGGAACTTGCAGCCGTCCGATATATACGACCAGAGCTCTCACCGGTGCTTTCCGATACTGGACTGCCATCATCAGCTCGATATCTTGCACCAAAGGAGAATAGTCTGCCAACTCCGCCCTCGTCTAGCGACGGGACCACCGACATTAGAGACAGTCTTGTCCGTCGCTCCACCATGGCTGTCATCGACAAATCGGGAGCTGATAAAGCTCGCCACAAGCATCAAGAAAGTGAGTTGAGCATACGTCCCGAGCTCTTTGACAGCTGGTATACTCCCGAATTTGAGTTGCCCAAATGGGTTGCCGAACATACCAAGCGGGAAGTACGACAGAGATGGAGTATGGACATATAATGTCAGCACTTTTCGTTGCATGTATTGCATTTGGCTCTGAAGCGTTCTAGCGTGGCGTTCAATGGGGGTTTTTCTTTTTCCTTTTTGATGGAGTTGATATGTTGTGGAGAGCACAGGGAACAGAAGACCTTGGAGATTGGAAATTGGGATGATGCACAGACGCACTTCCAGACAAGAACAGCCTAGATTGTATATATTTAGAAAAGAGCAGGCTTCAACACCTTGTTGAACTTTGCAAGCCCATTCGCACATTGTGCAATGGAGTTCTGATTGTCGTACAGGCGACTTGAGAGAACGAGATCGCTCAAGAGTCCTCGAGGGTGTTTGGACGCGACGAATTCTCCAACCCTAAGTCCTCAACCGGGCTTGATCCAGTCCTGGAGCGGACAAGGGCAGAGGACCGCGCAATGCCATTCTGTATCACTGGAGCCCTACAACAAGATCTATGAATCTTCTGAATCTGTTCTGCTGTCCAAGCCAAGTATGGCGCAGCTGATTTCTGGAGTCTGCTATTTGACTTGGGAGACATCCAAGAGATCGGAAGCTCCATTTGGCGGCGGGGCCACAGTCAAACCGAACAACGACCGATTGGCGTCGATCACAACAGGACAGATATCCGGGCAGCACGTCTCTTTTGCATCGTCAAAGATCGAGATGGCTCTAGAAAGTGACGAGCTCTCCACAGCTGTGATGTCAATCCACACCTCGGCTGTATCTCGTGCGAGAGAAAGAGCTTGACATAGATAGTACGACATCCTCTGACTACATCTGTAGCTCCGACGCTGTCAGACAGTAAGCTCCAACATCTCCAACAACTCAATTTTGAAAGAAGTCGATCACGATGGGACAAAAGACTAAGCAATGGCAATTGGCTCACAAGCCAAGAGACGACCCTCAACTTGAGGGACCAGAGCAGACATTCAAGCTCGTTGAAGATGTCGAACTGCCCGACCTGCAAGACGATGAAGTCCTCGTCAAGACTCTCTACCTCTCCAACGACCCTGCCCAGCGAGGTTGGATCGATCCCGACATCCCACCAGAGCGCCTCTACCTCCCACCCGTCAAACTCGGAGCCCCCATGTCCGCACGCGGTCTCGCCGAAGTAATCGAATCCAAATCCTCCAAATTCAAAAAAGGCGACACAGTCCTCGCTCCCACCAACTGGTCCGAATACGCCATCGCCAAAGACAGCTCTGTCCAACCCGCTCCCGACCTCCCCAACAACATCAGCAAAACCGCCTACCTCGGCGCCCTCGGCATGACCGGTCTGACAGCCTACTTCGGCCTCACAGGCGTCGCCAACACCACCAAAGACGACATCGTCGTCATCTCCGGCGCCGCAGGCGCCACCGGTTCCATGGCCGTCCAAATCGCCAAGAAAATCATCGGAGCGAAAAAAGTCATCGGAATGGCAGGTACCGATGAGAAATGTCGTTGGGTCGAAAAAATCGGAGCGGATGTTTGTTTGAATTATAAGAGTAAAACTTTTGCTGAGGATTTGAAAGCTGCTACTCCAGCACCCGAAGGTTACGCGAACGTTTACTTTGATAATGTTGGAGGTGAGATTTTGGATCTCATGTTTACGCGTATGGGACATGGTGGAAGGATTATTGCTTGTGGTGCTATTTCGCAGTATAATACTGCGCAGGAACGTACGACGGGATTGAAGAATTGGTTTGAAGTTGTGATTATGCGGTTGAATATTAAGGGGTTTATTGTGTTGGATTTTATGAAGGATTTCCCGAAGGCGATTGAGGTTTTTCAGCAGGCTTTGAAGGAGGGGAAATTGGATCTTGAGGGGGGAGAGACGGTTGTTAAGGGGAAGTTTGAGGATATTCCGAGGACTTGGACGAAGTTGTTTGAGGGGGGGAATCAGGGGAAGTTGGTTACGCAGATTGAGTAAGCTGTACACCTCCTTTGCTTTGATGTGGAGTTGGTGAGCTGAGGCTTGAGGGTAGGGAACGATCTAGTCGAGCTCGATTGTAGGAACAACTTTCCGGCTTCGAATGAACTGTTGCAAAATTGGTTCGGCAATGCTTGTTGAACGTGCCGTTGTCTTGCTATTCCCTTTTTGATCTTGCTTATGTCGATTAGTGATCGAACGCATATTCACTGCTACCCTTGCACGAGGTCCCTGGGCTACTGATACAACCGAATGCCTCCTTAGACAAAAGAAGCCCACTGATATCTATCAGCTTCCATCTTCGAAGAAGAGCCCCATGAGACAAATCTTCACTCCGTGTCGTCCTCTGTCCCGTCGAGCACTTTCAGCTTTCCTTGAGCATGTGCCAATCGTTCAAGTCATCAGACAACGCATGCTGGTGTAAGTGGCAACTGCGTCCACAGAAATGTGGGCGTGGCGCGACTCTATCTCCCTCCCTTCTCGTAGCTTACGACTTGTTGTTGTTTCCTCACTTCACACGACTTCCGCATCTCCAGGTTGCTGCTCATCCTTGTGTTCGCCCAATAATATTGCCTGCAATCTTATATTGACATTGACTTTAGACCACCAAACGGTCCCGTGGTGCAGTGGTAGCACGTCCAGCACAAATGAGGGCGCAGCCGCAGGGAGTCCTACGGGACAACTCGGCGTTCGTGTGATCCGGCTGTACCGCCTGCAAAGGTGTCTGGAAGACCCGCGTTCAATTCGTGGCGGGACCAAGACTTCTGTTTTGTGCATTTGGACTTGCTGTGGCAGCCTGTTGCGTTTCTTTCCGCTCAGGACGTGTAATTTTTTTTTATCGAAGCCCCATATCGTTCTGTTTTGCCATTCCTTATCGCACTTCTCACGGCGCCGGTCAATAATGTCACTCCAGGCTGTAAAGCCAAGGGGCAAATGCATATCTTATGCTGCACATTATCTGCCTTACTCGCCATTGCCCTTCATCTCTCGCTCTTGCTCCATTCAATGTCTTCACTGCGACCTTAATCGTGGAGGAATAGTTATTGCACTGTTATATTAGCATCAAAGAATTACCTCCACAATGGTTCCGTAGTGCAGTGGTAGCACATCCAGCCCAAGTGAGGGAGTCTTGTCAACTCTCTCTTTTAATTCTCTCACTTGAGAGGATTCATTGAGATGAATTGTCTACCTTCGACGATCCCAAAGAGGTCGCGGGGTCTGCCCTGTTGTTCCCCTTTGTTTTCTCGATGCTCCCGGCTGTAGCATCTGCAAAGGTGTCTGGAAAGCCCACGTTCAATTCGTGGCGGAACCAAAATTCTTTTTACACTTTCTGCGGCTTCTTCGTGTGTATGAGGCTTGTCGTGTGTTTTGTCGAAGTGGATCGTCACTCTGGTCCTTTCGAGTAGGCAACGTTTTACATCCTTAGAAGTGCTTTCAGGGGCCTGAACAGTCTTCATCTCTCACTGCGCCAGTCAGTCCTCGGCTGTTTCACCTCCACCTCTTCAATTTGCTATCACTTAACCCTAAACCCTCATATTGTTCTTTGGTCGCCCTCACCTTAAAGACAACAACATCCACATCACTTTGTGACTCCGACCTCGTAGCTCAGTGGTTAGAGCGTGTGGCCACAATCACCAGACCGCGGTAACGTCGGAGCATTGTTTGCAAACAATGACTTCGCGCGACGTTACGGCGGTCGGTGCCCACAAAGTCCTAAGTTCAATTCTTAGCGAGGTCTTCTCTTTTTGCGCTCGATATGTCTCCCTCAATGCTCTTGCCGTGCAGTATTGGTATGTTCGTACAATGAATTCGGCGCTGCGTAGTCGGCCTTTTGCTTTTTCGCACCTATTCATCTCGACCTGTTTCGTCAGTGCGCTGATTATGTGCACGAACACAATCGATGAGTGCTTTTGCCAGAGTTGGGGGCAGAATAATACAAAATATACATTTCCTAACACAGTAATGCCCTTACCATCGTTCTCCAGGTATTCTGCTTTCATAATGGTTTCGTCCCGTTGCGCCCGCTCTGCAAACGATGCTTCCATCCACGTACAAGTAGATCTTCCTTCATTCTTCTCAAGACGCTTAATGCTGCGACCATTCAATGGTGTTGAGATCCACGCCTTCTTGCACCAACTCCCATAGCGGGCTCAGCTCGCGCAAGAATGTCACTCGTTCCTTGACGGCGTTGAGCACGTAATCGATCTCAGCGTCGGTAGTGAAACGTCCAATACCGAAACGAATCGAGCTGTGAGCCGACTCATCAGAGTTTCCGAGTGCTCTGAGCACATACGATGGCTCAAGCGAGGCTGATGTGCATGCGGATCCAGAGCTGAGTGCGATATCCTTCAGGGCCATGAGCAATGACTCGCCTTCCACATACGCAAAAGAGATGTTGACGCAGCCAGGGTATCGGCGTGAGGGGTCACCATTGAAAGAAGTGTGCTCCATAGCCAAGAGCCCTGACGAGAGTCGGTGGGAGAGCTCGCTGATCCGCTTGTGGTCATACTGCCAGATTGTCAGCTTTTGTTCGCATGTCAATGCGGTAAAAGTCTAATGTGTCATTGTCGAATCATAACCCCTGCTGTGTTACAGCATAAAGTGCACCGGTCAAAGTGCGCTCAGAAAGCCATGCATGTATGAAGCATATAATCATGTTGAATGAAGCGGGTACGAGGGATTGAATGCTTACCTCCATTTCTTCCTTGCATATTCTTGCTGCTTCGCCCATCCCGATGATGAGAGGCGGCGCCAACGTTCCAGAGCGTAGACCTCTTTCCTGTCCTCCACCTGAAATAATGGGGTCAAGTCTCACTCGCGGCCGTCTTCGCACGTAGCAAGCTCCAATTCCCTTCGGTCCGTAGATCTTGTGTCCAGATATGGACATGAGATCAACGTTCATTTTGTTGACATCAATGGGGATCTTGCCCACAGCTTGCGCTGCATCGGTGTGGAAGTAAATCTTCTTACTCCTGCACAGCTTGCCAATTTCCTCCACAGGCTGCACCACGCCGATTTCGTTGTTGACGGTCATAATCGATACCAGACATGTCTCAGGCCGCATGGCCTTTTCAAGCTCTTCCATACTGATCAAGCCGTTCGACTGCACTGGCAAGTATGTCACTTCAAAGCCTTCGTCTTGCAAATGCCGACAGCTGTCCAAGACACATTTGTGCTCTGTTCGTGCAGTAATGATGTGATTCTTCTTGCCACCCTTCTTGAAGAAGCGTGCCACGCCCTTGACGCTCATGTTGTTACTTTCGGTGGCACCACTGGTGAAAATAATCTCCTTCGCATCGGCTCCAATCAGGTCGGCAATGTGCTGGCGAGCATCTTCAACTGCCTTGTCCGTTTCCCAACCGTAGGCATGGGTTCGTGAGTGGGGGTTGCCATACAGGCCTGTGTAGAAAGGAAGCATGGCATCGAGCACTCGCGGATCGGTGGGTGTTGTCGCCTGTGCATCAAGGTATATGGGCCGCGTTCCAGTGTCCATGACAGAGGCGGTTTTCATTATTCCAGCAACTGGGCTCATGGCGGCGTCGGCGGAGATATTGGTATCGGGCATGGTAGCATCCTTGGGCTTGATGCCCGTTTCGGCGAGAAAGGCACGCTGGTCCTGTCGAATGGTGTTCTCGATATTGACGGTGGCGTTATGCGGTTTGGACTCGGAGACATAGTTTCTGCGCGACCTCGCAGCGATGCATGCGCGGGGCACGAAGGACGCCTGCGTCGACGTCGAAGCCCGGCGCGCGCATTGGCGGAGGGCCTGGCGGGCGGCGGTGGGGGCGATGTTCGACATGGCCGGGGGTGGTGCGTTGATGGCGATGGCGAGTCTTCGATGCGCAATGGAATGGAGCTTCGCCAAAGTCGACGACGACAAAAGATGGGCTGACTAAACATGCCGACTCTCCGACCGGCCGGCACGAGGCGCGGCGTGGCGTGGCGAGAATGGGTGTGGCTGCCGTTGCGTCATGTCTCCCAAGCCCGCCTACGCACGCAGATGCAAGAGACGACCGACAGATGCTGCTGCGAGCGATCTGGAGCGCGGGTCGCACTGCGGATGCTGGTGGAATTGGTCCTTGGGCTTGTGTCTCGCAGCAACCTGTCCATGCTGCGCCGCGAGTGTGACAGGCAAACACGCCGATCGCGCCCATAAACGAATCTTCGTCGCCGTTCTTGGCCATTGCTCCCGCTAAGCCTCATCATCGCGCGCATCCAACTCTCCGTCCTCCTCCACGGCCACCTCGGCCACGCCCTCCTTGCCCTTCCACCTGCAATTGGCAGCTTGGGACCACACACACCGCATACTGCTTGTCAACCGCGCAACACCGCCGCCATGAGTTGGAAAGGCTTTACCAAGGGCGCCGTTCGGGTACAATCTCACTGCCTATTCACAGCTTCCACGACAGACCATGGCCCGGCTGACAGCTTCGACAGGCGCCCCAAATGGTGAAGCAGAAATTCAATATGGGTGAAATCACCAAAGACGCCATCTACATCGACGCCGAGCGCCGCTTTGCTGATCTAGAACGCGAAACGAAGAAGCTGCACGATGAGTCGAAGAAGTACTTCGATGCAATCAACGGCATGTTGGACCACCAGATCGAGTTCTCCAAAGCCTGTGCCGAGATCTACCAACCCATATCGGGCCGAGCGAGTGATCCAGACTCGTACGTGATTGACGGCAACCCGGAGGGCATTCGCGCTTGCGAAGAGTACGAACAGATCGTGCAAGAGCTGAAGGCTAGTCTTGCGCCGGAGTTGGAGATGATCGAGACGCGGATCGTCAAGCCAGCAGATGAGCTCATGGAGATTATCAAAGTGGTGCGAAAAGCATGTGTGAAGCGCGACCACAAGCAGATTGATCACGATCGGCACAATGCGACCCTCAAGGCGCTGCAAGATAAAAAGGACAAATCGCTCAAAGATGAAAAGGCGCTATACAAGGCCGAGAACAACGTGGAAATGGCCACCCAGGAATATGAGTTTTTCAACAACCTCATCAAGGAGGAGCTGCCACAACTCTTCCGGCTGGAAAAGGAATTCATCTTGCCACTTTTCCAGAGCTTCTACTACATGCAGCTTAACGTCTTCTACACGTTACACGAGAAAATGCAGAGTATCGACATTGGCTACTTCGATTTGACCAAGGGCATCGAAGAGTCGTTTGAGGAGAAGCGAGGTGACATCCAGCAGCAAGTGGAGGCACTGTCAATGGTCAAGTTCAAGACCACCGGTGGCCTGCGAAAACCTGCTGCTCTCAAATACGGAAACCGCCTAGCCATCACAAATGGCAAAGCCGAGCCCGAAAACCGCCGTCTCACCATCGATGGCGGTCACGCTCCTCCGGCATACGACGAGAAGCCATCCTCAACAGACCTTGTGCAACGAGCGAGCAGTACTGGCAGCAATTGGGCTTCTGCCGCCAAAGCCAAAGGCGCTCCTCCGCCGCCCAAACCGAAGCCGGGCCGTCTCAGTGCTGCTCCTGCCGTGGAAACCGTCACAGCACTATACGATTACGATGCGCAAGCAGAAGGCGACCTCTCATTCCGAACAGGCGAGGTCATCGAGATCGTCAGCAGAACAGACAATCAGAATGAATGGTGGACAGGCAAAATTGGTGTCAGGCAAGGACAATTCCCAGGTAAGCTCTTCTCCCCTTTCCGAACACCACACTCTTACTCTCCTGTCTTGAATAAATACTAATCGAATCCTGTATAGGAAATTATGTTCAACTCAACTCATAGGGAGGGTTTCGTCGCATTGGCATGATTTCACCGCCACCTACTCATCCCACCGGATATCAACGGAACGCCTGATACTCGTGTGGAACGCATGGAGGATGTCTTATTTTGTAGCTTGCTGAAATGTGCTGGACGTGACCAAGATGAGACGAGAGAGTAATGTGTATAGGACTGAGCATATATGAACATCTTACACACCTCCTTTGCGTTTGTCGTGCTATCACGTCACGTCTCGAGGTGCAAACGGAGGCCTATGGCAGGCGAGACGTGTCGCAGAGAGCAACCTGACAGCCCTGCACAAACACGAAGTTGACAGTAGTGACTTTGTTTCCGAAAGGTCTGAATAACACATTTACTTCCAATTCTCGCTACACGCTGGGATATTTTTGAGCAAAAAGTATTCGATTGCAAACACAACACCTGACGGGTCAACCTCTGTCGCCAACAAGCTTGTATCTGTGACTAATTTGGGTCAACAGGGAAAAGAGTTCTGCTGCCCTGCCTCGGTGAGAGAGTGGCTGGTGCAGCCCCATTGTGCGGCCTTGCTGCCGGTGGGGGCGAGCCATCCTACTCCTCGCCTTCAAGTGGCGCCTCCTCGTCGTACTCCTCCTCTCCCTCGGAGACAGAGGCCTCCTGGTACTGCTGGTACTCGGACACCAAGTCGTTCATGTTGGACTCAGCCTCAGTGAACTCCATCTCGTCCATACCCTCGCCAGTGTACCAGTGCAAGAAGGCCTTGCGCCTGAACATGGCAGTGAACTGGTCACCGACACGCTTGAAGAGCTCCTGGATCGAAGTGCTGTTTCCAACGAAGGTAGAAGACATCTTGAGGCCGCGTGGTGGGATAGAGCACAGTGCGGTCTGGACGTTGTTTGGAATCCACTCGACGAAGTAGGCAGTGTTCTTGTTCTGCACGTTGCGGATCTGGTCCTCAACTTCCTTCATGGAGACCTTGCCACGGTAGATAGCCGAGCAAGTGAGGTAACGGCCGTTGCGGAAGTCGCTGGCGGCCATCATGTTCTTGGGGTCGAAGATTTGCTGGGTGAGCTCTGGAACGGTGACAGCACGGAAGGAGTGTGCGCCACGGCTAGTGAGTGGTGCGAAACCAACCATGAAGAAGTGGAGACGTGGGAACGGCACCATGTTCACGGCAAGCTTGCGCAGATCGCTGTTGAGCTGACCTGGGAAACGCAGACAGGTTGTCACACCGGACATGACGGCGGAGACGAGGTGGTTCAAGTCGCCGTAAGATGGGTTGTTGAGCTTCAGAGTGCGCATGCAAATGTCGTACAGCGCCTCGTTGTCGATACAGAAGGTCGCGTCGGAGTTCTCGACGAGCTGGTGAACGGACAGAGTGGCGTTGTATGGCTCAACGACGGTGTCGGACACCTTTGGAGATGGCATGACGGAGAATGTGGCCATCATGCGGTCTGGGAACTCCTCACGGATCTTGCTGATGAGAAGGGTACCCATACCGGCACCAGTACCACCACCGAGGGAGTGGGTGATCTGGAAACCTTGGAGGCAGTCGCAGCCCTCGGCCTCGCGGCGGACGACATCGAGAACCTGGTCGACGAGCTCGGCACCTTCAGTATAGTGACCCTTGGCCCAGTTGTTTCCGGCGCCGGACTGGCCGAAGACGAAGTTGTCTGGGCGGAAAAGCTGGCCGAAAGGACCAGCGCGGACGGCATCCATGGTGCCAGGCTCCAAATCGACGAGGACGGCACGTGGGACATACTTGTTACCGGAAGCCTGTGGAGTTCGCGTCAGCTCGAGTTCGAGCAGTTTGGTGCTCTGCTCAATGCGGGCGTACCTCGTTGAAGTAGACGTTCATGCGCTCGAGCTGGAGGTCAGACGTGCCATTGTACCTGCACGACGTCAGTCGCTGCTCCACTTATCCATTGCGATATTCTGCACATACACGCCAGAGCCGTCGAGGCCATGTTCGCCGGAGATGGTCTGCCAGAATGCAGCACCTATTTGATTGCCCTTGGCGATGTCAATTCCTGCCCGAGTCGTGTCGATACAGCGCGTTTACGTACACACTGGCCGGTTTGGAGATGAACCTGTCGTCGAGACTCTGTTAGCACACTGCCGCCGCCATTTGTTGTCGCGATAAACGCGTGCCCCACGCGGTGGTGGGCATCAGGGGCGGTGAGGACTCACGATTTCACGCATGCCGGGAATTTTGGCGGTGTTGTGGGGGGTGTTGGTTTGGGTAACGGTATAGGTGGGAGCTGGAGGGTTGACTCGAAGTCGTCGTGGGTTGCGGGGCGTGTACGCGGCTGCCTGTTGTTGCAGTTGCAGTGGATGAGGAGGAAGCAGGCGGCGGCGGTGGGTGTTTACCACCAGTGGTGGGCCAGGATTTTAGAGCTGCGCGGCAAGAGCCAATCAGCAACCGGTGCGCGGCGTCCCTGAGGCAGGAACAGACCACGACTTTCGCTTCCCGCTGGAGCTGCGCCGGTCCCATTCACTTCGCAGAAAACACAAACTGCAGGCACGTCTCACTCCACGTGCCGCTATGCAGTCGTCAGCCATGGCATCGTTACGCCTCGCCGTGCCTCGCGCCGGCTTCTCGATGCATGCGCGACAATTGCAGCGACTGCGGACGCTGCCGCCAGTACGATATGCGTCCAGCGAAAAACCTACGCCGCCGAAGCCGCGAGTGCTGGAGAAGCCCGACAAGTTTCGTCCGCCCTCACATCCGTCTCGCCTGAAGAGCAAGACCAGATACACGTATGGCCCCGACCTCACTCAGGCCCAGAAGACGAGGCGCTACCCACACATGATGCCGCCTGAGGGCACCTTCCTGCACTGGTTCCTCACGAACCGTACTATCCACTTATGGATCTCGTTGGTATGCGCACGCCGCCGGACGCTCCTCCTGCATGACTAATGTCTTTCAGAGTATCTTGATCTCACTGGTCTTGGGCATTTGGATCACAGATTTCTTGCACAACACTCCTTACCGCGATATGCTGCCTCCGCGAAGCATGTTCTTCTCCCATCCCATCGCGTACATTGGCCGTTGGATCGAGGCATACGACTTACATGTTGCTTACGTCTCCGCCCAGACGGCTGAAAAGAGAAAACAAAAGGTAGATGATGTGAGGAAGCGTTCCGAATATCGAAAGGCGCACGGGTTGGATCAGGCAGAAGGAGGGCTTTTTGGAGGTTGGAGCGCAAAAGAGGAGGACGAAAGCATGGGACCTGCTCTGCACGACAGCAATGGGCAACCGACTGATCAAGCTTCATCCGACCATGCAATCATCGCAGCACCTGGAACGGAAGAAACCTCGGCTGCTGACCCAGAACATGCCGAGGACACTTACATCGACTTTGAAGGCAAGAGGCAGCCCGTGAAGAAGAAGTGGTTCGGGATCTGGTAGCATTGCAACACGACAAAACTTCTCCGCGTGCTCGCGCAGTCTTGAAACCTACTATTCCTAGCGGCCGTTGCGAAGGGCCGTACTCATGCACCGGGACACCCAGACTGGGCAGCCATTCGCGTGAGTCCCCTTGAGAGAGCGGCTCCGCTGTTGATGCATCCTGCAGCATCCTAGGGATCATTCTCACAACCTCACCTCAAGTACTCGCTTCAGTGCTATAGCCGATTCGCTGTTTTTCCGATTATACGAGGCAACGAATGGTCTACACCCAGGGAGAAGTACTGACAATCACAGGTGACAGTGTTGAAAGTCAATTGCAAGGACCGAAGCCTCACTGTTTCATGCCCTGGCCACGTGGAATATATGACGTTGACTCACCCATTCAGTCGAAAGCTGAGCGTCGCATGCTGTCAGTCGGAGCCACGAGACGCTGCTTCCGATTCTCCTCGGTTTGCCGCGATCCTCTAGCGACTGCATCCGTTAATGGCCGAATCCGATCGCTTTCTGCGTAGGCACATGAAAGAAGACCATGGTCTGGCAACCTGTACCTTTCTGACTGGACAAAACATCTAGTCAACATCCAATTGACTGAAAGGTTGATCAGAAAACGAATGGCCCACTTGCTGTTGTGCGCTGTGGCCGGAGCGCGCTCGAGCATTTCGGCTCTCAAATGCGATTTGTGCTGAGTCGTCAGTGGACCCTAAGCGCCAAACCGCCTGAAAACTTCTACATTCTCCCTAGGCCTCTGTTCGCATTGAAGTCATGTACTACTACGAGGCGACTCAGATGAGGCATGCCGATCGCACAATTTTTATCCGAGCAGGGCAGTTCGACTCCTTCACTTAAGTTGTGAACACACAATACTTGGAAGCCACAGCAAGTACGTACGAAAATCATCATTCACCATCATTATACAACCCTCGAGGAGATCGTAGCGTCCCGTGACAGGCGCGCTTAAGAGCACCGACCTTTCCGAGTCCTGTCCACACATGTCTCTCCACTAGTCCCCGGATCTGTTGTTCTGCCGGCATTGGTGCAAACGGCGAATGGTCGTAGCGGCAGTGCACTTCTTGCAATCAGACCTGCGCATAGCTAATCATGCAATCGAAGCAATCAACAGGCGCGACCGCCTATGCTGGAAGTTAACAAAGTTGGAAAGCGTCCACTCTGACGATAGTGCTCGGTATAATCTACCTAGCGGCAGACGGCAACTTGACATGGGTACAGCCATCGCTATTCTGAACACTCGTACGTGTAGGAAGACCTTTCTCGGTAAATTCGACATCTTGCCGAGACCGGCCGAGGCTCACGTTGATAGAGAGCAGAGACGTGCTAGGGCCTGACGTTGTAGTAAGAATTAGTGATGACTGAAAAGATCTCTCCGAGGTTTGTCGGTGTTTTGTCTGGCACTGCGGTCGTAAAAGCCTTTGAGGTCTCGCAGGTCTCTGCTGCATTCACAGGGGGTGTTGCCACGCAGATCCGGGGCCTACAGGGATCCTGTCCCAAACTGGCCATCGCTCAATACGCCCGGCCTTTCTGCTCGCACCGATTTCTAGGACTTGAGCACCCGCTCCATGGCTTCTTGCTCTGTTGTTGTCGTCCGATGAAGAACATCCGTACTCTACAACGACGAAGACGAGATGGGTAACGCGGCATTCCTGTAACACACCCCCAAGAAGTACCTACAAGACGACTACTGACTGACCTGCGACACTTATAGCTACGGTGACCGAGGAGATACGTTGCTGGCAATTACCTGGACGTGGTTCTCAATCGCAGCTGTTCTTTACGTCTTACGAGCAGCCAGTGCTGCACGACAGAAAGCGGACGGCAATTTTTGCGGCATAAGATGGGACTTCGTGTGGGTCACGGTAGCTGTGGCGCTGGCATTGACCGCACAAATCATCTACACCGTCTCCTACGAGTTTGCTGCACACGGAAACCAAGGCCTCAAGACAGTCGCCCAGGTCATCTTCTATGGCACGATTGCTAGCTGTACGGCCATGACGTCCTCGGTTTTTGGCCGCTTCGCCGTGGTAGCTTTGCTACTGCAGCTACAAGGCCCAACGTATCCAAAAGGAAGAATCGTACTTTGGTTCATAGCCATATCTCAATTCATTGTGAATGGCATTCAAGTAGGCCTCACAGTCAACCAGTGTGATCCGGCCAGCAGACTTTGGAACATCATGGAGCCTGGAACGTGCCAATTGATCCTTGTCACAAGGAAGATGGGCTTCTTCACTGGCGCATACGGCGCCTTTTGCGATTTGTCGCTCGCATTTTATCCAGTGGTTTTGATTATTGGCCCACTGCAACAAATCAATCCAAAGTTGAAAGCGGCAATCTGCATCGTTATGGCGGGCGGAGCAATTGCAGGAATCGCCGGCATCGTGAAAACGGTACAGATTGCGAATTTGCTATATGTTCAATACGATTATGCGACTATCGTCATCTGGATACTCACCGAAACCTGGTTCATCATCATCTTTGGATCAATCACAACGACCAGGCCGATATTCGTGGCAATCGGACGACATATCAAGCTGTTTGGAAGTGGGTTCTGGACGTCGACCAAGAAGCTCAGCAACAAAGACAAGACCGACTCTGTCGAGATGTCGCGACCATGTGTGCATGTGCATACTGAAGACGAGTGCAAGAACCCCACTTCGAAGATCAAGGATGAACACGACCTGAGCGACGATGAAATGGCGCTCCATGACAGTTATCCCCGCCATCCGTCATACGATCACAGTCCAGCCTGAAAGAGCGCCACTCTTGCATCTCACACACAGGGGTGAGATCTCAAGTCCCGAGGAATACCCTTGCCTATCTGCGCACGTGCGTCACGCCAAGCACTTATGCTGCCCGGCAATCGTATGGCCATTCTAGTTGTCATGAAAGATGATAGCTTGATTGCACTGTAGTCAGAGAGCTCAGTGAGCTTTATCTGCCACGCCGTGCCTAATGGCGGGGGGATGGAGTATAAAACAAAGTGCTTCGAGAATGCTAGTCATGGGCAATCGACAGAGACGACCATTCGCAATCGACCAGGCTGAGATCGCATCTGGATCACTGGAGGTTGGAAAGACCGACCCTTGACCTTCGCATCCATGGCCGGCACTTCAAGGCTCCTGCTTATCCTGGCAACTACTCTCCTTGCGGCAGGGTTCCCACTTTCTGATGTCGCCGAGCGAGCTGTCCCGTACGACTTCTCGTCATCGGTCAACTCCAGCCTGCCAAATGTGACGATCTTCGCAACTGGTGGCACGATCGCCAGTCAAGGGACTTCGAATACCCAGACTGTCGGATACTCCGTGGGCCTGGGGGTTCAAGAGCTTGTAGATGCAGTACCCGAGCTTCTCAACATATCCAACATCAACGGATTCCAGGTATCGAATGTTGGATCTGGTAGCATCAATTCAAGCATTCTCCTCACCCTGGCTGAGACAATCACGGCTGAATTGAGCAAGCCAGAAATATCTGGAGTTGTGGTCACTCATGGCACCGACTCATTGGAGGAGACTGCCTTCTTCCTCGATCTGGTCATCGACTCACCGAAACCTGTCGTGGTCGTGGGAGCGATGAGACCGGCGACTGCGTTGAGTGCTGACGGACCTTTGAATCTCTATCAAGCTGTAACATTAGCAACTTCTGCCAATGCCAAGGGTCGCGGCGCGATGATTTCGCTCAACGATCGCATTGGATCAGCCTTCTATACGACGAAGAATAATGCCAACTCCCTCGACACTTTCTTCTCCACAGAAGCTGGCCAACTTGGATTCTTCATCAACCAGGTTCCTCATTTCCATTATGCTCCATCGAGACCTATCGGGCGAAAGCACTTCGACATTTCGGGCCTCGAGACATTGCCGCCGGTTGACGTCCTATATGCTCATCAAGAGATGGAGCCTGATTTGGCGTCGTTGGCAGTGGCAGGAGGTGCCAAAGGACTGGTGTTCGCAGGTATGGGCGCTGGCTCGCTCTCCGGAGCTGCTGGCGAAGCTGCCGAGGCTGTCTTCAATGCCACGCAAGTACCCATCGTCGCAAGTCACAGAAGCTCAGATGGTTTCGTTCCGGCGGATGAAGATGACTACATTATCGGCAGTGGATTCTACAATCCGCAAAAGGCGCGCGTGTTGCTGCGGCTTGCTTTGGCAAAGGATTATACTTTGTCTGAAATCAGAAACGTTTTCGCTCTCAGTTATCCTAAGCCATAGACAGAGTGATCGTATGAAAACAATTTGATGAACGTCAGCTCTTTACTTTTGTCTAGACGGGATACCGCTGTATGTCTATCCTTTTGTGTATGCCACCGAGGGCTGAAGTGCGGAAGTGGGGCACGATGTCCTTCTATCGACCACAGTCGATGCCGGCCAGGTCGTCGCAGTCATTATGTCTCCCATGCCCATAGCATCCATCACGGGCCATTTATTCTCGCATGACCATCGCACTTCTGCTCATGCTATCCAAGCTGCCGTCAAAATCCTACCAGACGCACAGAAAACCCGGAGTCGAGTCGAGCCGAGTCGAAAGTGCCATCTAGGCGCGGCAAATCGTATCACACTTCTTGCAGATATCCAACATGACGTTCACAGCCTCCATATTAATCAACTCCGAATAAGCTTCGAGAAACGTGATGATGTCCTGACCGTTCATTCTTCTCGGCGTGCCGACCCTCTTGGCCAATTTGTCGACTTCGCAGCGACAGGGCTCAACGTACTTGGATTTCAGCCTGGCCATTCCTGGCATGAAGACTTGTCGATCGTAGGGTTTTCGCTTGAGAGCCACGCGACGGTTCTGGAGGTCGAGTGTTACGCTGAAACTGATTTCGACTGGACGGCGCATGTCGCCGATTTGGATGGAGCGGCAGACTTGGACGTGGTTGAACTTCTTGAGGAGACGGCCGAGTTGGTCGTGGAAGGCTTCGATTGAGCGGAGTTGGAGGACGGCATTGGTAAAGAGGAAGGTGTTCTCGAGGTAGTAGATCTCGGAAGCTTCTCTGCGGATTTCTTTGCTGACGTAGAGGAGGGCTGGGCCACCTTTGCGAAGGTCGTGTTGCTGAGAACTAAGGGTGTAAATGTTAGTGAGGGTTCGGAAGGCAGGTGAGTGAATGAATACTTACTTCGGTTCGACTGGCTTCGGGTCAGATTGCTTTGAGTTGACTCGCTTCGAGGGTAGAGTGCTCGAGCTGCTACACACTATCGTGATGGGACCGCGGCGACGCAACGCCAAGCGGTACACGTAGTTGCGCAATTCCCCAGGCAGATCGAGGAAAGTAGCCCTTTCTGTAATATTAGGTGGGCGCGACGTCGAAGTTTGTTTTAGTGAAGGGCTCGTCAGCCGTGGTTGCGGTGGCGCCAACATATCTGCTCTTGCGCAAGGCCTCATAACGACGCATCAAAGTCGACCTGGTGGTGATGTTGAGGAAGGAGAAAGACACAGAGGGAGGGGAGAGACTTCGATTGACCACCAAATGAGCCGCAGATATGCGGGAGCTGTACTTGACAATAGGTAAGTCCCTGCAGCAGCTTGCCATTGTGATGTGTGCATATGTGCCTGAATGTTCACTTGACAAAGTGAGCAGCTAGCGCCAACTCTAAAACTGCCGACAAGGATGTCAAAGTCGCGCCGAGGTCGACCACGACATCTATCTTGCGGGCTTCTAGTATCTTATTGTTGTAGAGTCTTTGAGAAACTGGCAAGTCCGACATTTCACGTGCCTTCACTTCGCGTGCTGTAAATTGTGCTCCTGTGCTCCCTTTCTTCTCCAGGCTGCCGTTCGCGCTACTGCACCTCTGCCGAATTCACATGGTACTCCCGCAGCGCCACATTCACATCGAAAATGTCAATTGAGGGTTTTTTTCATGCCAGGAACCGAGCCCATGGGTTCTAGACTTCAGCTGCTGTGCATCGTATTCGCAACTCAAGCGGATCGTGAGTCCATTGGCAGCTGCCAAAAGGCGTTGCACGGGTGTATTGGGGCCGCCCAACCCGTTGTGATAGCTAGGGACCACTTCATCCGTCAATCGAAAGATACTCTGCGTCAAATGGCCGTCGAATTGATGTGACGCATTGACCGTTGACGTACGTGCCGGATAGCACAACAAACTGCGAGTCTACGAGTTCTCGCAGCGAGTTCGTCTGTGGCGCATGTAGCAAACGTCCAATCTTGACACCGTCTCAGCATGGCGTGGCCGACAAGATGCATGATTGCTGGACCGCTAGAGGAAGGCTTGCAGGTGGGAGTCTTTGCTACCCCTAGTTGATCATGAGCCTACTCCTGCAGCTTTGGGAGCCTCCACGATGTCGGCAACAGCGTATTCGAGTTGCTGCGCGGAGTCGCGTCTCTGGTCCCGTGGCAATCTAGCCTCTTGGATAAGTCTCCGGAGCCCCTTGACCATGCCCTCGCGTTCTGCAGGCTCGGCGTCTGCACTCCCAGCCCATCGAATCTTGCAGTCGGGATCGACCAGATACACATATCCCACTTTCTCGTTCAGCAGCCCGATCGACTCCTTCATGATCTCGCTCACACCTCGTCGCACCATGAAGTATCTGTGCTGCTCGTCCGTAGAGAGCTGGCGCCGTAGGTTGCTCCGGAAGGCCTGCAAAAGCCACCACCGCAATGTATTCTCCTCGTGGTTGATCCACACCCTTTGTGCTACACCTGTGTTTTCTCTGAGGACTTCGTACAGTTCCGGGTTTTGCTCCTCGCTCACAAATGTATCGACTTGCGCCTGGGCCCACGTGCTGGACACAATGCTCACGACGCTGACCTTGCCCTCCATGACCTCGCAAGTGTCCCTACCCAAGCCCTTGTAACCATCCTTTCGCCAGCCCCCTGTCTCATCTTTGATATGTTCTGCTTCTTTGCTAAGCGTTTTGCCGAAGAAATTCGGAAACCACAAGCTGAGGTCTGCTCGGAATAATCTTTCATTGGCTTTGAAAATCTTCCCGCGATGAAAGCGTAGGTTGCTCCAGTCCCGGAAGTAGGGTTTGCTAATCTGTTTCGTCATCGTTCGTCGCCGCTCCATGTGCTTGTCGAAATCCACGAAGTCATCTCGACGCTGGCTCAATGTCCGGTTGTCGAGGCCCATATTCTCGCCTGGCTGCGGCGGGCTGGACATTCCAATAGGCCGCGTGAGGGGCTGAGGGATGTGTTCCGCATCATCATCTGATTTGGCTCGCTTGCGAAAGCCAGGCTGGTAATCGGCGGCGATGCGAGCGGGAATCTGGGGTGAGGGCGGTTGTGGACGGGGCCGCGGTGGAGGAGGCTGTTTGGAGGCAGTCGGCGGTGTAGAGTAGCATCTATGCCCGTCAGACAGCGCTATGCTGCGCAATGCGCGGAGACACCGCAGAGATGGGACTCCTTTCTGCGCCATTGTCTTTCTCTCTGCAGCTTCACCTGCTCACGGTCTGAACTGACTGTGCCAAGACATTGAACAGACAAGCATGTTCGGGGATGACCCACTCTGCTCCGCAACTCTCATTCCGGCCGACATTCGCACATCACCTCACCTCATACCACCCTTCCACACCATGCCTCACGTCAGACCCCGACCTGTGTCATCATTCACCAAGCATGTCCAGCCGCATGATTGTGACCATTACAGGCAAGCCGACTCTGCGGTTCTGGTGGTCCCCGCTAGCTGTCGCGAGCATTGACCGGGCATGAGTAGAGTGAATGTTTTATGCCGCCTCACACGTGGTTGTTCTCGCTAATTTGGTAGATCCTGCGATATGCCGAGATCATTCACTCCCGAGGCCTTGCGATAGCAAACCGTGCTGCCTGTACGATCGTCAGCCAACAAGAATCCATAAGGTCAACTTGCTACACTGGTTGTCCACTCAACACGAAACCCGAGTGTTCGTAAGCTTCTCGGCTGCCACCACACCTGGGCTGGCGACACATCGGTCCGCTGAAGCATATCTGACAACGAAAGCATGACTTGAATGTCTCGTATTCCAGAAGAGCGGACAAGAAGCCTGCCACGGCACACGGTTCAGGTCACCTTCCCTTCAACGATGGGCAAGGCTGCCAAAATTGTCCTACGCGAGCGACTGGACACTTCCTCTGCTTTCTCTCGGTCATGCAATCTTGCTGTCAATGACGTGACTCATGCTTTCGGGACTGAACTTCACAGCGCATCTCAGTAGGCCCCATTTTGGCCAGGGATTGGCCGAGATCTCGCTTCTGTTCCTCAGTCTTATTTCCCGGCCGCATGTCCGAAGCATGTTGGACTCCTTTCATGTCCTGGTAAACGGTATGCCTGCATACATTCATGACATCATGAAGAAGCGCCTCGAGGCACGCTTCCGTGCATTTCTCTGGCGCGCCTACCATCGCGACTGCATAATCTTGACAGCGGCTATAGCGTGTCAACAATGGTCTCCTGTCAATCGCCGCACACGTCACCACACTGCGGCTGCCATTCTGGCCTGCGTTGATGCAGTGGCGGTGTGAGTCGACACTACGCCCGGCATCCGTATAATGCGACCGACCAAAGTCAAGGATCATCATGAATGGCCGTTCCAGCGACCATGATCCGAGACAGTCTCAACGGAGACCTGTATGGTCATGTGCAGCCCCTTTCGTCTGCTAAAACTGATGCGGCTCAAAGGTTATTCAAGAACCCTGCGCATGCACCCAATGTATGCTTACTCTCCAACCCCGTACCGTGGTCCTTCCAGAAGCGCGGTTCTGAGCTTTGACTGGTCCACTGGACTGCCTCATTGAGCACTCCGAACAACCTTACCGTCTTATTGCGACATGACCCTGGACAGACGTACCTGAATCTGGTGCTTTCGGACATCTCGTCCTGTGATATGGCGACATGCTACTGCTTTCTGGCTCGATGGCCCACCAGTGCGTAATGCTAGTCATCCTTTGTGGAGTCCACTTTCGGGCATTTCGTCATGCAACAGCCAGGGCGAATAGTGCTTTTCGTCCTGCCGTGGCACAAATTTGGCACAGCAGAGATTGCGCAACGTTGAGACGCTACGAGACCACGGTAGTTCTGGGGGTTCTTGGAGATGGAGATGTGCTTCGTGGTGTCGAGAATGTCTCGCGAGGCGCAGAATGTCTCCGAGTGCGGACGAGGCACATGCTTGGCAGAGGACTTCGGCAGTGGCATCAAGATTTATTGACATGTGAATGAAATGAGGGCAGTATTCACAGGTGAAAGTGGAGCGCAGAAGCGATCTATAGTAGTCTATTATGGTGCAAGGACGATTTTCAAGTGCGCAGCTAAGATCGACACTCCGTCCTCTAGCTCAGTGCAGCAAGGCTAGCATAGCGCATAGCATCAGCCTTCGGGCAATGTCACCGATCCTGAACTGACAATCACGTACTTCTCGAGCTCCGTAACTCGTTCATGCTGTCAAAATGCAATATCCGATATGACGGCGTGTGTTTGGAAGGATACCGGTATATCTCCTTAGGTGCTAAAATCGGACTCCGGCTATGGGTCCGTCCTTCACACAACGGAATACGACTGCACTACTGTTACAGGAACACACTAGAGATCATTCACTCGGGCTATAAAAGAGGCGTGGTAGTGGCACAATGTCGAACATCACAGAACAACACAACAGCACTACATCAGAGGCCTACACAGATCGGCCTTGGTGTCAGAGAAGCAACAGGAACGACAAAAGCAGCAGAAGCAACAGCGAATACAACAGCAATACTCCACAACAGAGGCTTGTCGTTGTTCCTATCATATCCAAAAACAGACACATCAAGAACAGCAACAATGTTCCGACCAACATACGACTCAGAGGAGGAGGCCAACTACCATCTGCCTCGAATTCTCATGTTCCACGGAGGTGGCACAAACTCACGAATCTTCCGTGCACAAACCCGCGTACTTCGACGACTACTAAGCCCATATTTCCGCTTCGTCTTTGTCGAGGCTCCATATGTATCATACCCTGGCTCAGACGTTGTCAAAGTATTCCAAGACATGGGTCCTTTCAAGGGCTGGCTACGATGGCGAGAGGAGGACTGCTACAGAGACCATGTGGAAGCCACTCAACGAATACACGATGCCATCGAAGCTGCAATGGTTGAAGACGATATGCGTGGTGGTGAGGGGGAATGGGTTGGAGTTCTTGGCTTCAGCCAGGGTGCCAAGCTAGCCGCCTCCCTACTTTACACACAACAATACCAAGCCGAAGTTCTCGGAAAGCCTTCGCAATGGCCGCGGTTCAAATTTGGCATTTTATTACAAGGCCGCGCTCCGTTCGTGTGGCTTGATGCAGAGGAGGAAGTTCCAGCAGGATTGGTTGACGCAACGGCTTTGAGCACTGCAGACTATTCAAATCTGGCGCCGATTCCGCAGGGGAGGAAGCTGCACATTCCAACCCTGCATGTGCATGGACTGCAGGATCCAAATATTCAGCTCCACAGAGCATTACTGAAGCATAACTGTGATGGCAAGACAGCGCGGTTATTAGAATTGGATGTGGCCCACAGAGTCCCCATCAAGTCCGCAGATTGCACAGCACTAGCACAGGAAGTGCTTGCCACAGCCAGAAAATCCAATGCCATATGATGATACCCTAAACTCCGGTTTCACTGTTCCTCATAGTGTCTTCTTAGTCGAATTGACGTCTCCGAGCCGTAGTCGCGCCTGCGTAGTAAGCAGAGTGTGCCTTGGATTGCCCTGGCTGAACAGACACGAGATTCGCGTGGTGGATCTAGGTCAATGGCTGTCAAACGGGATGACCTTGCGGCAATCTCGCGTGTAGTCGCGTGGTATTCGTCATTGTCGCACGTTTTGAGGCGGCTAACACAAGGACCGCGTCTATTGCGCGGTTACTGATGAGATGGTGGGCTGGCGAAAGAGGAGATGAGGTGAGACTCCGGAGAGCCAGGCCCCCAGGCAGAAATCTTGGCAAATTCTTCGCCGTCTTCGCGACTTCACTTCACATCAACTTCCGCATCAACAGCAATCATTGCGAAATCGAACATCGCCGCTCGCTCCGTCACCGCGATTATGGACTCTGTAGGCACTCTGAGCGTCTTCTCTTCCATTGAGAGTGCACTCCGGCCAATGTGTCCTTCCTTGTAGTCCTGGTCCACTTGTATCACCTCAGCCAACCAATTTCGGGATCCGATTGTCACGCCAGTCCCGCTTTAAAAAGATTTGCCATCCTCGCGGACATGCGGTTTCATTCATCTACCTCTGACTGAGCAATGGCGCAAGCTCGCAGTCAAATCGTGGTCAGGAATACTGATATACTGGCCGTTTTTCAAGCAATCGCGACACACGTTGCTGTTCACCTCCGTTGACACGTCTGCATGTGGCATTCCTCATACCAGCCCTGGTAATGGCTGGTGCAGTCATGAACTATCGTTGGCACGTATCGAATTGAGCGAAGCGACCCATGGCTGCCGGCTGGACTACCATTGGCCTTTCGGTACAGCGGGGTCTCCACGATACCTGCCTGTGCATTAGTACTCGTCTCGAGTGGCCTGTCTGCTCGCTCATTGATCCAAGCAACGAGCCTGTAGCACAAAAGTATGAGTGATGATGAAATTCGCTGACATATTTATGAAGGCCATTTTCTGCGTCAGGCTTTTCTGACTCAAATTCCGTGCAGTACTGGCGACTGCCGCTTTATCTTTCGCAGTGTGGTCATGGAAACTGTTCCATCTCTGATAGCATTTGGGGCACTGGCTCCATGGCCTAGCTTAAATTGGCAGGTCCGACTCAGGGCTACTCTGAAAGAAAATCGAGCACTGGAACCAATAGTCGCCGCTGTACTCGAGCTTCCTTTGCTATGGGAAGCGTTGCGCCGGAACGATGACCATCTAGACCAGTTTTCCGGCAAAGCTGCAGCAGAAGACTTGGCGAAATGGCTGGCGGAGGATACTGATGACCGCCAATCCCAGGAGAACCGCAACGCCATGACCATGCCCATTACTGTTATCTCACATATAGTCCAGTACCTGGAATTTCTGCGGCGAAGCGACAACTCCGTCGATCATGCTTCGTTGCTGGAGCACGTCGCCAAGCGAGGTGGCATTCAAGGCTTCTGTGCCGGACTGCTCAGCGCTCTGGCAGTAGCCAGCGCAAGGCACGTATCAGATGTTGGGCTTTATGCCGCGAGCTCGATTCGACTTGCCTTTTGCGCTGGAGTGTATGTCGACATGGACCAGGAACGCTCCACGCGGTTCACAAAGCTTGCTGTACGATGGCCACGAGGAATGCTATGCTCCACGATTGAGCAAGTGCTGACAAAATTTCCGGATGTGAGCATCACGTGCTATATGCAACGGACAATGAGCTGATCCGCTGCCAGACATACATCAGCGTGCTGCGAGACGAGAGAGATGCCACCATTACGTGTCCGGAGTCAGCACTCAAGCAATTACAAGAAGCCTTGGCTCGCGAGGGAGTTTCCACTCGTGATACCGGCTCACTCGGCCGTTACCACCATGAAGCATACAGAGGAATACCCGAACACATCTTGAAAGTCTGTGGCCCGCATCTTGAGCCTGCTTTCACCAACGTCAGCCTCGTACTTTCCAACACAGATGGAACGCCGTTTCAGGAGAATAACGTTGTCATCATGGTGCTACGCAGCCTGTTAGAGGACCAAGCGAATTGGCACGACACCATGTCAAAAGCTGCTGCCACTTTCGCTGCAGGAGATTTTGGATCGTACATACTTGGAATAGGCACGGACGCAATACCACAGTCGGTGGCGAGACACGCACACACTCGCAGAATGGCCACTAACACCAGTGACCTTACGGATGTAATGCCGCCAAGGACACACCGGGCGTCAATATCATTCACGCCCTCGATAAATGACAATAACCCCAAACACGCCATTGCCGTTATTGGTATGGCCTGTAAATTCCCGGGTGCCGATTCTGTGGACGAGTTTTGGAGTCTTCTTCTCCAAAAAAGGTCCATGTTGTCAAAGATGCCGGCAGAGCGCTTCAAATCAGGGGCTTCCTCAAGATCAAATGATGACATCAAATTTTGGGGCAACTTCATTGCTGACATCGATGCTTGGGACAACAAGTTTTTCAGAAAATCTGCCAGAGAAGCCCTCTCGACTGACCCGCAGCAGCGGCATCTTCTGCAAGTCACATATCAGGCTCTCCAGGACTCTGGCTACTTTTCCAATGTCTCACAGCCTCGAGACATCGGTGCCTACATAGGAGCCTGCTCTTCCGATTACGACTTCAACGTAGCCTCACATCCTCCCACTGCATATACTACAATCGGAACTCTTCGAGCGTTCTTGAGTGGCAAGATCTCGCATCATTTTGGGTGGTCTGGGCCGTCCCTGACTTTTGACACAGCTTGCTCTTCATCAGCTGTTGCAATACATACAGCCTGCAAAGCTCTTCAGAGCGGTGAATGCTCGCAAGCTATTGCTGGCGGCGCAACTCTCTTCAGCAGCCCGTACCTGTACGAGAATCTGGCAGCTGCTCATTTCCTCAGCCCAAGCGGTGCGACGAAGCCATTTGATGCAGGCGCAGATGGGTACTGTCGCGGCGAAGGCGTAGGTGTCGTGGTGCTGAAGAGATTGGATGATGCAATTGCAGATGGAGATGCAATACGTGGTCTGATCCTTGGCTCAGCTGTCAATCAGAACAGCAATTGCGTTCCCATAACGGTGCCGCACTCGGAGTCTCAAGCCTCACTGTATCGCAAGGTAGCCAAGGAAGCCGGCATAAATCCTCACAGCATCGACTTTGTCGAGGCACACGGGACTGGGACACCGGTGGGCGACCCCATAGAGATGGAAAGCATTCGAGAAGCTTTCGCCGGCGCTACTCACAGAAGCTCGCCGTTATTCGTGTCTTCGGTCAAAGGTGCGATCGGTCATCTAGAAGGCGCTTCCGGAGTTGCAGCACTCATCAAGGCCATCTTGCAACTAGAGCATAGAGAAGTGGTCCCACAAGCATCGTTCACCACACTGAACCCACGCATTCCGCCGCTTGACCCGAATCACATACGTATACCGACCTCAGCACAGAAGCTTGGCCAACAGCGTCTGACCGCTTGTGTGAACAATTACGGTGCAGCTGGTAGCAATGCTACTCTGATGCTGTCGGAGGCGCCACGTCGCCAACCTAGATCTCCGAGCTCCGGCATTGCGGAGAGATATCCCATCATGCTGTCTGCAGCGTCCCCAGGTAGCTTGATCGCATATTGCAAAGCGTTGAACACGTTTGTGTCCTCGTGGCGCGGGTCGCATGCACCTGCTGAACATTCCAAGCTTCTACCCGATCTGGCATACAGCCTTTCGAGGCATCAGGATCAATCTCATACACACGCCCTCGCCTTTACAACTGCATCCGCAAATCTTGGAGAGCTGCAGGCTCAGCTGCAGAAGCAGACGGTAGAACACAACACTATCACAGAAGTGCGACAGCAGCCTCCGCTAATTCTGTGCTTTGGAGGCCAAGGCGCAGACTCAGTTGCGCTCGACCAACGAGTCTGGGAGTCTTCGACTATACTACGCCGTCACTTGGACCGTTGCCATGATTTACTGCTTGAAATGGGCTATCCGGGCATCTACCCATACATTTTCCAAACAGAGCCCGTCACGGACGTTATTGCGCACAATTCGATCCTGTTTGCTATGCAATACGCCAGCGCCCAGTCATGGATCGATGCGGGCCTGCAAGTTGATTGTCTGGTGGGACATAGCCTTGGCCAACTTACCGCTCTGAGTGTTTCTGGCATCCTGACACTTCGAGATGGTCTGAAATTTGTCGCTGGCAGAGCCGCCTTGATGGTACAGCGATGGGGCCCAGAGCCTGGCTCAATGGTCGTGCTAGATGCGGATGAGGAGAAGACTTGTCAGATGACTTCAGCTCTCACCGAACACAATCCTCACCATCAGTACGAAATCGCTTGCTACAATGGCCCAAAATGTCACGTGGTGGTTGGCGACCGGATGTCTGCCGCAGCCTTGATTGACGAGGCCACAAAGATTGGCATGCGACACAAAGCACTCGATGTGAAGTATGGCTTCCACTCGCGCTTCACAGACGACCTTTATCCCGAGCTAGACCAGCTCGCAGCTTCACTTGAGATCCAAAAACCAAAAATCGCTCTCGAAAGCTGTACTAAGGACAGTAGCTGGGATGCGCCGACCTCCAAACTCATAGCAGCTCACACACGAGACCCAGTGTACTTCAAGCAAGCTGTACAGCGCGTGAGCGAGCGGCTAGGTCCGTGTACCTGGCTCGAAGCTGGTTCTAACTCCACAGTCATCGGTCTTGCAGCACGAATCGTGGGCGTCTCCAGCGATGTTCCAAACAAATTTCTGCCTGTTGCATTGAACAAGCCAAATTCTCTCGAAAGTCTGGCAGATACCACAGTTGACTTGCGGAAGCGTGGCCATAAGTTGCAATTCTGGAACTTTCACCACTCGCAGCAAGCAGATTATGATATGCTGAGGCTACCGCCGTATGAGTTCGAGAAGCATAAGCACTGGCTGGAGCTTGTGATCCCAGGGCCAGCGGAAAATCTTTCGCAATCCAAAGCACAGCCATCTTCACCACAATTGCCAGCAACACTCATCAGCTTGATTAAGTCCGATTGGCAAGGTCATCGTTTTGCCATCAATCCTCGTAGTCCAGAATTCGAGATACTGGCCAAAGGGCATAACGTTTTGGGCAAACGTTCCTGCCCTCCCTCAATCTATATCGACCTTGCAGCACGCGCTGCGTGTCATGTCAGGCGTGACCACCAAGATCAAGTGTTGCCAGAGGTCACTGGCCTGCAGATCGGACCGTCCATGAGTCTGGACGCAGAAGGCAGCATCGAGCTCCTGCTTCAGCCTTTCGGAGCCGATTGGAGATTCTCGCTCAAGACCGTTGGCCCTGATAGCAAATATACTGAGCACGCTTCAGGTACAGTGGGCTTGCAGACCAAGGATGCTGCCATGGAAGCCGACTTTGTACGCTTTGAGAGACTTGCCAATCGCGATCTCATCACTACTCTTCTCCGAGATGCGGAAGAATCCCTTTCAGGATCGATGGTGTATAAAGTCTTGTCATCACTTGTGGACTACGCTGAGCACTACCGAGGAGTTCGCCATGTCTGCGCACGGAGCCAGCAAGTTGCTGGGAAAGTTGTCTTGCCCAAGGAGCTTGCAAATTGTTTGTACGAGGGCAGCATCATCAATACCGCGCTGCTCAACTACTTCACACAGGTTGCAGGCATATATGCCAATTTCATGTGCAATCAGCCGGAAGGACATATCTTCAAATTATCCAGTGTCGATGTCGTTCGGACAGGCCCCAGTTTTCAGCCACTGAGCGCAAATAGCTTCTCCGAGGCTGTCTACGAAGTCCTTGTATACGCTTCTCCTGGATCTCAAGAAATCGCCAACGACATCTTCGTCTATGATGCGGCTACTGGCAGGCTTATGCTTTATATCCTGGGCGCTGTTTTCAAGAGTTCAGAGCTAGTACCGACAGCAACAGTACATGCTGTTACTCCTTCGCTGGAGCCCACAGCCACAATGACAAGATCGCACAATCCAGAAGCGCCTTCCCTAGCTGGAAAGGGTACCGTCACATTGAATGATCCTGTTCAAAGAAAGCCCGTTCCGCCTAACTCCACGGTCTCAAGTCATGCAACAAAAGACACGAAAGCTATTATCCACGCACGACTGTGTTATATATTGCAAGAACTTGCAGATATCCGACCCGCAGATGTCACAGGAAGTGCCACTTTCGATGGCCTGGGCATTGATTCGCTGATGATCATGGAGATCGTTGGTGAACTCGCAAAAGCATTCAGCCTCGAACTGTACCTGGACGATGTGGTAGAACTTGAGAACATGGACGCACTACTTGCGTACCTGGAGCGAAGAGGCTGTGGCAGTGCCAAAGCTGAAACTTTCGAGTCTGATGCTCGCCGTCAAAGTGAAACCTCAACAACAGAGCTATCGCCACGGACTTCTCGTGCCATGTCGTATGGCTCAATAGCCACACCCCTTACTCCAGCTTCTGAGATTGCGTGGCAGAGTGGCGACCTGCCATCCCATCTCTCCGCATTGGTTTGCGCATATCTCCACCTCGATACTGAGCTGCATGGGCCAGAAAATTTGGCTGATGTGGGCTTTGACTCCCTCGTTGCGATTGAGATCACAAGCGACATCAGAAGACAATTCTCCTTGGTGGTTGATCTTGAGGATCTTGATGAACGTTCAACCTTTGCGGACCTCGTGCGTCTTGTCACTGGGGAGAAGATGCCAACTTCACCAGCTATCGCAGACCCTACGAAATGTGAAAGGCCCGCGACTGCTCCTCACAACATGCCACCGCATCCAGTACATGCTCCAGAGTCGCGGAACGATGTTGCAGTCTCAACACTATTCGATAATGTCAGACTAAAGTTTGATACGTATGCAGAGCAGACTGGATTCCAAGGGTTCTGGACACAAGTATGTCCTCTCCAGAGTCACCTAGTTGTGGCGTACGTGGTCGAGGCACTGGAAAAGCTCGGATGTGACTTAAAGGCTCTATCTAGTGGCCAAAAGGTTCCACCCATCCAAGTAGAGAACAAACACAAGCACTTAATGGCCAGAATGGAACTCATCCTCGCTGATGCTGGACTGCTAGAGCCACGAAACAACAGCTATTTCCGAACGGAAAAGCCCATGCCCAAAGAACCATCGTCAGCTCTCTTCACAGAAATGCTCGCTCGCCACCCACAACACACATCCGAAACCAAACTCCTCAACATCACAGCGTCCAATCTTGCCGCCTGCCTAACAGGCACAGCTGACCCACTGAGACTCCTCTTCGCCGACCCCGTAAACAAAGAAATCCTCGCCGACGTCTACGACTCAGCTCCCATGTGCCAAGCCATAACCCGCCTCCTCGCCGACTACCTCTCTCAAATCCTGTCCAGCCCCCATTACTCTCCATCATCATCAACAACAGAACCCTTCCGAATCTGCGAAGTCGGAGCCGGAACAGGCGCAACAGCACGCCACATCATCGCCTTCCTCGAAACCCTTGGTATAAATTTCGAATACCACTTCACCGATATCTCAGGCGCATTAGTCTCAGCCGCCAAACGCAAATTCCGCAACCTACCCGGTTTCGATAAGATGGTCTTCTCAAATCTAGATTGCAATGCGCTACCTGCTGAAGAACTTAAAGGGAAATTCGATGTTGTTATAGCCACGAATTGTATTCATGCTACTCCGCATGCGAGCCGATCGGCGAAGAATGTGAAAGCGCTACTCAAAAATGATGGAGTCTTTTGTTTGGTGGAGTTTACGAGGTCGTTGTATTGGTTTGATTTAGTCTATGGCTTGCTAGAAGGATGGTGGTTATTCGACGATGGGAGGACGCACGCGCTTGCTGATGAGCACTTTTGGAATAAGAGTCTGCGAGATGCTGGTTTTGGTCATGTCAGTTGGACAAGTGGGGATACGTTGGAAAGTCAGACTATGAGACTGATTTGTGCTTTCCCTTGAGCGAATAGTTTGAGATCCAAATTCAAAAGCGAGTTGATCTTTGTCTTGATTGTTGAATTGTGCTGTGTTCCAGCGCAAACTGTCTCCGACGCTATGGTTATGTACACCATTTTGATGACCATCTGAATGCATCAGCGCATTCAGACGTAATAAATGCCGGCTTGAACGCTTCACTCAAATAACGCTCCTGCATCTTACTCGAAAGCTTTCAAATCTAATGGCACACTGCTTCCCCTCCCAGCACGATACCTCTTTGGTCCGCCAGCAAAATCTCGTGGTTTGGGTAGCTGCCCATCGTCCTGAAATTTGAATCTGGAGTCCTGTACTGTGAACCGCGCTCCCGAGCTTCTAGCTCCGCTATCTGCTCGACTTCGATTCCCATTCGTCAATGTATAGCTGGCGGCATCCGGGAACGAAGGCATCCTCCCTGGTCCATCGGAGCCCAGTGATACACCTCCCGCAGTTGGCATTCCACCTGGTGTGCTCGCTTTCAGAGGAGAAGGTGGAGGGCCTTGAGGTGATGAACCTGCCCGCGACATTGGAGGTGGCGGCGGCGCTGGTGGAGGCACTGAACCAGGCCTGTTCGGAGCAGCTGTAGGAGGGGGCGGCGGTGGCGCTGGCGGGGCTGCCGCTGGACTGGCTTGCTTGTTCATTCCAAAGGCATTCATGGCAGCCTGCTGTGCCAAGCTCACTTCTTTGTGTGCGCCATTCGTCTGCGGAGGCGGCGGAGGAGCAGGGGGTGGCGTAGATCTCGAATTGTAATTGTATGGATCATACTCGTCATCGTCGTCCTTGACATTGCTTATCCGTGAGACTGGAGGTGGAGGAGGTGCTGCGGGCGCTGAGGGAGGAGTTGGCGCTTGTCGTGCGAGGGGCGCGGGAGGAGGTCGAGGTGCGCTCGGTGGAGGTGGAGGGGCTGCTGAAGGAGCAGGACTGGACGATGGTCGCGGAGGATCGTGTGTATGGAGGTTCAGCATCGATTTGGAAGCAAATCCAGATGGCTTCCGCGATGCTGGAGGAGGAATAGGAGGCTTCTTGCCAATCGGCGGGGGAGGCTTTGGTTTCGATCGTGCATCGCTGTCAAGAGATAGTGAACTGGTAGGGCGCAGATTGCTCTTCAGCGCAGCGACCGAGGGTGGGAGAGGTGCGGAGCCCGGCGGAGGCGGCGGCGGCGCTGCGCCTGGTCTGGGAGGCGGTTGTCCATTCGGTATTGAGGGCGCACTCGAGACCGGTGCTGAGACCTTCCTGGCATTCGTCTCTGGATCCGAATCGTACATGTTCACTCCTCCGCCCGTCTTCCTCAATTTCGGCATCCCGCCCGCAAAGAGACCTCCCAATTGCGGTGCTGATTCCATACCGCCTCCTCCTGCTGCTGCGTTTCCTGGTTGATCACTATTGCTCCGAGCTCTGTTTCCACCTGATGGAGCAGGTCTCAGTCCTCCCGGAACAGGTGGCGCGCCTCCAATAGGTGGTCCGCCCGAGTCCTTTGGTTTGTCGATGATAGGCGCGCTGCGGTCATTGACAACGCCAACTTTCTTCAGCCGTGTGCCCTTAGTGATGTCTCCAAGCAGAGCACCCTGTGCAGCGCAAACATCAGCAAACTGTCACTATCTTGTGCGTTCCGGCGCATCGCCCGCTGTACACGTGTAACGTACTCTTCCTTTCACCTCATTCGCAGCAGGTCTCGCGGGTAAACTGGCAGGCGGCGGCGGAGGTGGAGGCGGTGGCCCTTGTAGACGATCAGTGACTGTTCAAATCTATGCTCATGCCATTACTTACCACCAGCCATGCCAGGCATCGGCGGGGGCGGCGGAGGGGGTGGTGGTGCTGGCATGGTGTCGTTCTCGGCGGGCGGAGTCGTATGCTTCTGTCTTACTCAGGTGAC